AGTAAAATTGTATGGAAAACTAATAATAATAATACCTGCTAAGTACATATTACATTGTAATATATTCCCCGCCGACAAAACCATCGTTAAACGATGGGTTTGTCGGCGGGTTGGTATTTATATAATAAAATGTATTAAATTAATATAATGGTATAACTGTGCAACAATTGTAACACAAACAAGTGAAACAAGTACGTAAGTATATTGGTACGTAATAACACTGCTCGGCTACCTAGAAAACGTCCTGATGGAGAAATTCTTAAAGGAGGAAAAAAAATCCGGTAATTAAAAGGGAATTGCGCAACGGTGGTATGAACCTTTCAAAATTGCTACTGTTGCAAGCAATTGAAAGCCGAGAAAGAGCCTCTCAATGTTACGCTGCTTTCCTTACAGATGGATTTAAACTTAGTGATTAAATAACCTTATTATAGGAACTTCAAAATTCTATGATAGAATCAAGTATAATTCCGAAGACGCACCAGAAATAGGAGGATGCCTCTTTAACCTTGACTATCAGACTAAAACAAATTGTATTTTGAATAAACTATTGATTACTAATAAATGAGAGAGAATTAGGCTCACCATGCCAAACGTTGAGCTGAGAAAGTTTCTGCTGATTATTCAGATGCACCGAAAAAAGAGCATCACCGTAGATTATGCCCATTTACCTAGTAGAGCCATAAGACCAGCACCCAATAAGGTGCACCCAATCATGAAAGTTAAAAGCCAGACATTATTAGTTCTTTCTTCATCAAAAATGAAATCTCTCGCAAGCAATTCAACAAGCCCGGTATAGATTAAGACACCTGCTGAGATAGCATCCAGAACACCGGATACGATGTTGACAACAAACGAATTACCATCGTATGTATGTCTTACCCCTAACCCGATAGCAACACAGATAGGAGTTGTGAGGCCATAAGCTAAGCATAGAAGATATGGCCACCATTTTTTACCTTCAGGGAATGGAATCGCTGAGAGTCTTGCACCAATTCCAAGACCTTCGAAGGATTGATGAAATACCAAAACAGGATACAAAGTGGAAAATTCGTCGTCAGTAGTTCCCAGATTCAAACCAATCATCACAGAGTGGAATAAAACACCGAATTCGAGGATCAGAAACGCGGCGATTTGACTCTCAAATGATTTTACGACAACTTCAGAACTGCTGTCAGAGGTATAATCATACTTGGTGAGTGATTTTTCATCATGGCTACCGCTAGTATCGGGAATTGCAAGCTCGGCTCTATCTCCTTCAAATTGGACATTTCCTTCTTCTCTAACAATAGCGCCAGAAATAGGGTCGCCATGACTGTGTTTGATACCATACTTCTTCTGAACATATACATCACTGATCAAATCGACCAAGAAAATTGTAAAAACTGTTAAAAGAATGATGGCGGGACACCATGAGTAGTCTGCCCAATGACCGGTCATACCAACACAGCTGCTGCCACCAATCTCACCGTAAGCAGGATCAAGTAAATGGATGAATGCGGTAGCAACAATGACACCAGTACCAAAATATCTGGCGAACAGATAAACGTATTTTGGAATTCTTAGCCGCTTAACCCTCGATGCGATGACTGGGAATAAAGTGAAAAATGTACTGACGAAGAAGATAACGAAAACGGAAGAAATACGAGCACCTAAATTACCAGAGTACGCATTTCCCCCAAAGTAAACTCCATCGATAACACAGACTTTCCAGGAGTCTGGAACATCCTCATCGGATATTGTTACATTATCAGGACTCCATTGTTCCCACCATGGGCTAATATCGCTCATCTTTGTTCTTCGATAAGCGTTAATTACGATTGATCTATGCGGCTCCCATCATACATCGTTTATATACAATCGCTTCGCGACCTACAAGGTTTAACCATTAAGGTGTTAGTTTCACTAAAATTTTTAAGAACATGCCGAACACAATAGTAAGGGTGCCTAAGGGAACAGACAACGCGCAAAAAGAAATTCAAATCTTCTTGGTGGCTTCGATAATGGGAACTATTGGTACTTCTCTTAATCGTGTGTCCCTCGGTAAAAGATTTTTTGAGATACTTAAGTAAACGTGAAAGGACGGTGGTTCACACGTTGTAAGACCTGATTACTTCAATTTTGTGCTCAACCTTCAACATTCGAAAGCACAATTTATGCATATTCATGTTTAGCCCATGATTTATGTTTGGTTGACACTGTACACTAGGTCTTGGCATCATAGGCGTATGCAGTGAATATACGTCACTCCGGAGTCAATTACATAAAGATCACACGAGCTTTCTCTCACTTGTTACGACAATGGAAATTGTAGGGCGAGGGCGAGACAATTGAATTATATTGTTATAACGTCCATGCACGGTAGAGTTAACAAGGATAATTTTCAGAACAATGCGCAAATCGCCGCGTTGAGCAAAGTGACCAAATTGCTTGAAAAATACAGTCACCGGTTAGTGTCGTGATTCAATTGAGTTGGCGAAAGGTTCATTTCTCAGATATAGTGATTATTCTGGAGCTTCGGGCTCTTTTTATGCAATCCTCATTCATTCACAGCACAAGATGGACATTATCATTTAATATTAGATGGTGTTTCATCAGATATGGACTTCTCATAGAGTTTTATGGAAAACTCTGTAGAATTCCGTTCCAATTTTTACTTCCTGAGCACGTACCGTTTGACTCATCATTTTGATGATTGAGCTGCGACCAAGAAGTATTGACCGCAATAAGTAGCTGCAGACCACGAAAGTTGTCATGTAAGTGTATCAAACTTCTTAAGTCTCATGACGTATCAAGTTATTATGTGGATATTCCCTTAGATATCTCTCAAGACCAATAATATACAATGCTTTAGAGTTTTACTGATCAACTGCTCGACAGTGCAGAATAACTGACCTAAACCTAATAGGACATGTGAATTGGCCTGAAATTTTGTGAATATTTTATCTATATGATGACATATTCGGGAGCAAATACCTTGCTCCAACGTAAGATCGTCTGGACAATCTAAGTGAGAATGATACAAGCACGTTTTTCGCGATTTACGGATTACAAATTTAAATGCACCGTCTTATTATGCGAAATGGATACCCACCTGATGAAATGCATACAGGAGTTTAAGGAAGTCCGTCTGATCACACTTTCCAGCTCTTTTCTCGGCTAATCCTGTTTCTACCAATACTGTGTTGATCTTTTCCTTAACAATTTCTAACATGGAAGACTGAGAATCCTCCATCACATCTAAGTCTGCATTAGTACTTGCTAAATAAGCTTTGTAGTTCTTTTCAAGGATTTCAAGGACTGTAGATGATTTAAATCCTGCAGCAATTGTTCTATTCTTTCTAACGAATACAATTCTCAGTAAACCATCCCACTCTTGAAAATCAACCTTTGGTCTTGGATTCTTTATTTCAATCCTCACCACACTTGACTCCACTTTTGGGGGCGGTCTAAAGTTGTTTTTCCCCACTTTCATGATGTGCGTTACATTAGACCACATTTGTACATTGGCAGACAGCCTGCAGTATAGCGCATCACCTGGTCTTGCCAGTAACCTCATTGCGAACTCACGCTGAAACATAAGGATGGACACTCGAGGCGGTCTTGGTTGATTTATCAGCTTAAATACGAGAGGTGAGGAAATTTGATATGGTGTGTTGCTAATGCAGATATCAAAATATGGTAATTCCGTTTTCATAAAATCACCTAATAGGATCTCTAGTTTTTTTTCCCCAGCTGTGCCATGGACACGCTTCGTGAGTTCAGCCGCCATTCTTGGATCCATTTCAACAGCGACAACTTTTCTAGCCTGCTCTAAAATACGGACTGTGAGATTACCAGTACCCGGACCTACCTCAAGAACAGTGTCTGATGGCTTTATTTGAGCTTTATCGACAATACCCTGCGCAACCAGTGGATTCTTCAATATATGCTGGCCAAGGTCAGTGTTGAACTTAAAAACGGAGCTCAAATGTTTCTCAGCAGCGACCTGACTACCTGAGCTTTGTGAGCCCGTGTACTTCTTCTTTGCAGCCTTAGCCATTATATGTTACACCGGTTGTGCTACAGTTCAATAAATTCTAGGAACTGTCGCGATGAGATGAGCATTACCGAAAATTTTTCCTGAACGATATGTGAAAAAAAGAAACGATTTCACAAGCAGCAGCTATCTTGCGAATCTTGATTGATCTACAGTTTCATGGCAATGCCGGAACTTTCGTATCGGCGTCTAGAAAGGTAATTAAGGAGTCTCTGCTTATGAATAGAGCGGGATATAACTTATTCGTTTGCCAAGGGTAACTTTTGAGGGCAAATTTTGCATTTCTAGGTTTGACCAAAGACCATTTAGTTAATATCCTCGTCTCGACTTTTGCTTCGAGGTGCTAGTCGGATAGTGATATGTTTGACCCTTTGTGTTAAACTCGTTGAATTTTCCATCTATGTGAAGTCGTATCCAGGTAACTCTACTCTAAGACACAGAGCTTCTGATTACCATTTTGAAAGAATTTAGGGGATTCTTGGGAGATCTATCATCTTCGTTCGATCACTGGTGAAACTCTTCCTGCGTATCTAAAGATTTTAAGGGTTTCGTAACTCTATCTGGATAGGATTCGCACGATAACCACAGAAATACCTGAACTTTTTAGGTGAATAGAATGTGCTATTTGAGCCCATCTTTTGCTCTTTACTCACAGTGCTACCAAAGGGAATTCACCTATGTCTTGAGATCTTTGCAAAATCGAGAAACTACTGATATTATTCAGCAGGTCGTGTGACACCATTTTGTGATTTTATGTGATGGATAAGTCAAATGCCTCTACTTACTTCCCATTACTTATTTTCGCTGAAATTCTACTATTGAGTTGTGGCTTCAAAACTTTTACTTGATTGGCATTCATAATGTCTCATCTGACAAAGTCAAGTTCCTACCGTAACTTCCCAATTATTGATTTTGCTAAATCACATTACTGCATGAAATCATTGCAAAAGCTAAATTGGAATAAACTATTAAGGAAAGCTGAAGGTTTCTTAATAGCAGATGTAGTGATAAAGTAGTCGATTGTTAATATAGTTTGTGAACCTTAAGTACATTTGATACATTTCCTTCTTCATGTGATGCTATGCGATGTTTCTTCATGTTATTATTGGCCCGAGAGAAAAAAAAGACGGGCATGTGAGCTAATACATGTGGCAACATCCATCATCCTCTTGGTGGTATGTTTAATACATGATGGTAATCCATCTGACTATTTCAGGGGCTACTTTGAGAAAAATCATTCGATCCCAAAAGCCTTCCCGCTAATGATGCACCTTTCAATTATTTCAATAATCACCCTGCATTCACATAAACAAAATACAATTCTGCTTCTCGCTAGTAGTCGTCAACAGCTTAAATTGAATTCCATGTGATGTAGCTTAAGTAGATTTAAAATACATTTAATACTTATGCTGCATGTGCAGTATCCTCTAAAAGAGAACAATTGTTTCCTATCGTGATTTCAATTATGGGTACAGATTGATGCTATGGTACCAACAAAAGTTGAACTAATGAGGCTCATCTTGGAGCAAAGTTTTGATACACGAGGACTTTGAACTTCGTAATTAATGTACCATAATGTAAACACTAATGCCACAGAATATCAGTCCCGTACGTTCCAATGACAAGTGAATGTCATGTGAAAGCGGATGGCAACGGATAGTGGGATGTAAGCAGCGTCGCATCTATTTCATCAAGTCGAAAATTCTACTCCTATCTGTCTTGAGTCCATAAATTCGTACTACCGGTGAAAACGCTATTCAATAGCTGGCCTCATGCCCTGCTCGCACTGAAAAGAGAATGGCATTAACCACGCATTAGCGCGACCATAATTCGCTAAGGTTCGGTACATGAGATGTTAAGCGGGCTTTTTTAGGCTTGGTGAGTGAGCATTACTAGGATTATTAGTCTCGTCAAAATGTCGCTTTTTAGATGTTTCCCTTGGAGCCTCATGCGATGATGAAGGTGATAAGCTATAATGAACCTTTTTCGTCTTATCTGGGGAAGAATGAAATGAACCAACTATTTCTATAATCTTTCGATAGTAAGTGTTTAAAACATTGAATCCATTGTTAGCAGTTTTGTAAACCTCGGGAGGCGTATTTGTTACGAATGTTCCGCATTGCTTTTCCATTTTACAGTTGGTAATATTGTCATCTCGCGGAAGTATCCGGTAGTTCACCCGCTTCAAAAACTCGTTTTCCAATACATGCAGTTCGCTGCATTGTACCCCACCGACTTTCGCATAATGTGTGTTGGTACAAAATGAATCACATAGCCCTTTGCTTCCTACACTTGTTGCAGTGAGCAGAAAACGATGCACAGTGAGAGAGTTCAGCGTAAATGCTGAGTACACAGACGACAGCAGGTCGATGTAGTAGACAGACGATATTAAAACCGCAGGCTCTAGGGACGAGTACTTGGTTAGCCGCATCAAATAATTGAACACAGAGATATCTGGAGGCACTCTCGAGTGGAATCTGGTCAGCTCTTTCGTTTCACCTTTTGGCATAGAATCATTTATATGTATGAGAAATGAAAGCATGCGAGATATCAGAATGACGAGATCGGTTCTTGAGCATTTCCTGAAATCCGCTGGAAGTACGATTTTCGGTATTTCATTTTCTTCTTCATGTCCAAGCAGGGGCACATCTTTTTGCTGGTCTTCCTGCAAAACATGATTGTTAGGCTTCACCTCAACCGACTCTTTAGTGGACATCCAGCGCACATTTATTTGGTATGAGCTTGGCGTGGTAACTTGGCCGGTAAGCGTGAGGTTTTTCGGGTATCTTTTTTACCTCTGACGAGGCACGTGCCATAATTCCCACATTATTTGTTGCGTCAATAATACTTTACGAACTGAGACAGATAGCTGCAACAGGCCTCCCTTATCTGAGTTTGAGCCAGTCGTTGCTTTCTTAAGGATGCCATTAGAATTCAAATTAATATTACAGTATATATTCTATTCTAAGTCAGCAGCCACACGAACTTGGCTCGCCATCAAGTTGGATGTTGATAGCGTCGTTGAACTCGTCCTCGAAAGCGTCTGCATCTGCCTGGCTTTGCTGCAGCGCACTACGTGCGATCTCCTCAAACGCAGTGTCCACGTTGATCGAGCCTTTCGCACTGGTTAGAAATAGCGGAATATTGCCTAGCGATTTGGCTAAATCTTGGGCTGCTCTGTTACTAACAACTTTCTTAGGCTCTTCAACGTCGATTTTGTTACCCAAAATCACAAAAGGGAACGTCTCTGGCGACGATACATTCGCATGCACTAGGAACTCGTCCCTCCAGGACTTGATGTTATCGAAGGACTTTGCGTTTGTCACGTCGTATACCAGCACACAACAGTCGGCACCACGATAGAACGCCACCCCAAGCGACTGGAAGCGTTCCTGTCCCGCAGTGTCCCAGACCTGCATCGTGGCCACCTTATCGCCATCCACCGTAACTTCTTTGGTGAGAAAGTCGGCCCCGATAGTGGCCTTGTATTGCTGCGAAAACTTGTCGTTGACGTACCGGTGCATTAAGGACGTTTTACCCACACCCGAGTCGCCTAATATTATTACCTTGAGAATGTTTTTCTTTCTGCTAGACATGAGGAACCGCTTTCTGCAAAACGCTTCTTCGATTGGTACGCAAGGGATGCAAAATTCGCATTTTCAGGGCAGGAGAACAAATCAACAGAAGATCACGGTCACGTGGTCTCGCTTTTTTTATCACATGATGCCATATGTTCTCGTGTGATGTGATATCTGTATTTTGGTCACCTGACTTAAGCTCACCTAACTTTTTCCTTTTTCTTACATGAGTAAGATATTACACATTTTGCAGAGGTTTCTTAAGCAGGTAATTACAAAGCATACAATAATACAGAACATCGAAGTTATTATTTTTTTCCAGAATATTTGCTATGTAGTGAATAAGAACTGACAAAGAGTTATTCAGTAAAGCTAACATCCCAGGTTAATTCAAAAGTATATAGGGCGGGCAAAATTTTACTTCTTGATCAGAGGCTTGTTTCAGAAAGCATATTGCATCAAACAATAATACATACCAGAACAATGAACAAGTTGCGTTCCATATATAAGTTTTTCACCGCTATCGAACAGAGCGAGGGAGTGGGTGCTCGTGTGAGAAGATCGATAGGGACCATGAAGTTGAGAAACTTCACGCCATTCCTCATGTTGGATCATTTTAGCGTGGCTCCTCCTGCAGGATTCCCAGATCATCCACATCATGGGCAGGAGACGATCACATATATCTTGAGCGGAATGGTGGCTCACGAGGACTTCACTGGGTCGAAAGGTGTGTTGTATCCAGGCGACTTGCAATTTATGACTGCGGGGAAGGGTATTGTGCACTCTGAAATACCAGTAGGTCTAGAGTCTGGAGAGCCCGCGGTTGGTCTTCAATTGTGGGTTGACTTGCCATCGGAACTGAAAGATTGTGAGCCCCGTTACAGGGACCTCCGTAAGGGCGAGACACCAATTGCCAAGCCATCAGAGTCTTTGCAGGTGAGGGTAATTAGCGGTGAGTCCTACGGTGTCTCTTCGCTCAGCGAGCTGGCTTACACACCAGTGAGTTTTTATCACTTCATCGCCTCTCAGAAGGGCACAGAATTCGAGCAGGCATTCCCTGAAAATTTCAATGTTTTCATGTATGTTTTAGAGGGCAGTGTGAGCGTCAACGATAAGGAATTTCCACAATACTCAACAGTGTTTTTCAACGCTGATGGCGAGGGTGTGAAAGGTGTCAGCGTTTCAGATAACGCTGAGTTTGTATTGATAGGTGGTGAAATCCTCGAACAGCCTGTTGTACAGTACGGCCCCTTCGTTGAAACTACTAAGGAACGTATAATAAAGGTGTTTGACAATTACCAGAGCGGTACCAATGGGTTTGAAAGAGCCCCTGGGTGGTCATCATCTATTTCCGGAGGTATCGTCGAAGGCGATGTGGAGAATTTCGAAAAATCTTCCTGATTTCTCTTGTTGGTTTTACCTTAAAAATTGATGGTTTATACATTTTAGTTTAGTATTTATATTTATTCGCTGGTTAAACATTCATTTTATCTAAGGATGGCGGTCAAAAAGAGGGTTCTCAAAGAGTCCTTTTTTGCCTCACCTCTCTATGATTTCTTATCACCTTTCAGGCCTGTCGCCAGTCAATGGTATGCAGAATATATTATTGTGTTGTTTTCTCTGGTTATAAGATGCGCGGTCGGCCTAGGCTCTTTCTCCGGTGAAAACACACCACCAATGTATGGTGACTTTGAAGCACAGAGGCATTGGATGGAGCTCACGGTAAATTTGCCAATTTCGAAATGGTACTGGTATGATCTTCCGTACTGGGGATTAGATTATCCCCCACTCACAGCATATCATTCGTATGTCTTGGGGTTACTAGGCTCCCTTCTGAATCCCAATTGGTTTCAATTGGATTCGTCACGGGGCTCGGAATCTCAAGATCTCAAATCATTCATGAGGTTTACTGTCGTACTCAGTGAAGCATTACTGTATATTCCGGCCGTGATTTACTTTACCAAATGGGTAGGCAAAAGAAGAGGACAATCTCCAATTGGCCAGTATATTGCAGCTGCTGCAATTCTTTTTCAGCCGTCGCTGATATTGATTGACCACGGCCATTTTCAGTACAACTCTGTCATGCTGGGACTAACGGTATACGCGATCAACAATTTGCTAGATGGTTTCTATGCTCCGGCGGCCATATGTTTTGTTTTGTCTTTCACTTTCAAACAAATGGCCCTCTATTATTCTCCAATTTTTTTTGCATACATGCTCAGCAAGTCTCTTATTTCACCTTCTTTCAATCTGCCTCGACTGTTTGGAATTGCTATTGCCACTGTTCTTTCTTTCGGTGCCATTTTTGCACCTCTATATTTATTTGGTGGACTACACAATGTGCTGCAGTCTGTCCACAGAATATTTCCTTTCGCTAGAGGCATATTTGAGGACAAAGTTGCTAACTTTTGGTGCGTTTCAAACGTGTTGGTCAAGTATAATGAAAAATACACACAGATTCAACTTCAAAAATATTCATTGTATGCTACAGTTGCAGGTCTTTTTCCAGCCTTTGCGCTCGTGTTTTTCTACCCAAAAAAGCACATGCTGCCCTATGGTTTGGCTGCCTGCTCGATGTCTTTTTTTCTTTTCAGCTTTCAAGTTCATGAAAAATCGATTCTAGTACCTCTGTTGCCTATTTCCCTTCTTTACTGTTCTACGGATTGGGATGTCCTCTCCATGGTCAGTTGGATAAACAATGTTGCCCTCTTCACGTTGTGGCCGCTAATAAGAAAAGATGGTTTAATTCTACAATATGGTGTCTTGATGTTGTTGAGTAATTGGTTAATTGGGAATTTCAGCTTTGTTACGCCAAGATTTCTTCCACACTTCTTGACACCGGGCCCATCTGTCAGCAAAGTTGCTGATAGTTATAGAAGAAGGAGCCTATTGCCAGGGAATATTTTATGGAAATTTATCATAATTTCTTCATATTGCGCTATGGCAGTGATTCATGTCTTAGATTTGTTCGTGTTGCCACCTGAAAAGTACCCTGATCTATGGGTTCTTCTGAATTGTGCTCTTGGCTTTGGTTGTTTTGGTCTATTTTGGCTTTGGACATACTATCAGATGTTTAGAATGAGAAATAAGACATTATACGATCTGTAGAGGTGCATAGCGTTTAGCGCCAATCCATAATGACATAGCATTGTGTAAGATAATCTGTGAATAAAGACAGCTCCCTTCGTTGTTACATTTTTCCTCAACTAAGGTATATGGACCTAGCTTCTTACACTAAATCACGACTTGACGACAGTATAATAATTACTTTCGAATATTTTTCTAAAGTTCTCTCAGTGTTGCATTTGACTGTAGAGCCATGAATTTTAAAAGTGGTGGAGATTAATTGGCTTTTTAGCTATGAGCGCTGGCTGTCCAAAATTATTTCCTTTTTCCCTCTTTGTAATCCCAAATTTAAGCTTGGAGCTTTATAATGCTGATTGTTAAAAATACACATGCTCATAAAAGGCCTTATTATCTGTGGCACTCTTCTTTATCTACATGTCGTCTCTCCAGCATATCTCAGACTTGCTATTAATATTGCCTCACAATATCCTTCCCTTCAGCGTTGCTTTGTTCAAGATTAGATAGTTGAAATCATAGAGTTTCTGCTTTTTCCAGCACTTGAAATAGAAGTGGAATCATGTACCTCATATTCAACAATTACCGCATGAACTTACGTCATTCCCCACTTTTCAGGAACATTTAGGTTCGACGCATATTAGTCTACAATTTACACTATGCCAGGCCCACGCAAGATCTTTTGCGAGGATGAGGGTAGGGCTGCTTTGTTATGTTCATTTAATTGCGGCATATGTTTCTGAAGCCACCGTACACTCACAGAGTTTTGTACAAGTTGAGATGACTAGAGTTGTGTAGTTCACTTGCATTAATGTCTATTGCTTCCATTATATGATACCAAGTAGACTGGTACTATCCTTTGACCGTAGTATTATTGAGAAGTGCGAATTTCGATGCAGCAAGACTCACCCCTCTAATTTTGTCTTCTCGCTCTTCGGAATTTTCATGCACCATGTTCACTTGGTGTTCGAATGAATAGTCCTTTGTTCACACTCTTAATGTCAGAAGTTATTCTTCATTCTCTCATCAAGGTGCCTCAAGATGCGTGATTCTACTAGGTACATTCCTCTCTGGACATCGGCTCTTGCAATATCTTGTAAATTCAAAGGGTCGATGTCGGGACTTAAGATTCTTAGTGGATTCATAGGCATATGAATTTGCTGGTTGTTGAGCTCCTAGTGTAGGAACCATTACGCACACATACATAATTCTTCGCACATGCTCTAAACTCATTAAAATACTATAGTGAGTATATCTCTTTATCTGGATAGGTTTTTTCAGGAAGTAATTCTACCGGTGATTAAATGAATAGCTCATATTCATCTAAACATGCAGTTTGTGTTTGACCTATAGACTTGGATATAACATAAAGTCTCGAGACGTTAAAATCATAACATTCTTGGAGTTATTTTATTATTTATCCATACGCATCTTTATTAGTATCGTGTTCATCTGTTAAACAAACAAACAGTCTCTGGCACACCCGATCTACTACCCAGTTCCTTCACTTTCTAGTCATCATTCACGGCTTATGTGCCAACGAACCGTGTCATAGGAATGCCAAGATTCAAGCACTTCATTGATGTCATCTATTTTCTTGATATGGGACCGTCATCACTAACTACATCATATATTTGTTTATAACAATGGCTACTGCAGTGGCGGCTTTAAATTTGTACTTCATTATGAGGTTAAAATATATTCATGAACGATTTGCTCTCCTCCTCTGTTCATTCTTTTAATGGCTTTAAAATTTAGAGGTAAAAAAAAACTGATGTCAAGCCTGTTGGAACGAAATATAACTATCGACCATCGACTAGTATTCGTGTTACTAGTATATTATCATACACGGTGTTATAAGTTGACATAAAGAATGAGAAACGGTCATCGAAGTTAGTGGAAGCTGAAACGCAAGGATTGATAATGTAATAGGATAATGAATGAAAATGTATAAAAGGAACAGAAAGAGTAAGAATATTTATAAGTAGAATTATCAACTCTTCTTTCTGGATTCTTAGAAAGGGGAGGAGAACTTCTAGTATAACCATACACCAATTATTATAGCCTTAATTAAAAATGGAATCCCAACAATTATCTCAATATTCCCCCCATTCTCAATAGCCTTAATCAAAAATGGAATCCGAATAATTATCTCAATATTCCCAAAATTCTCAAAGCCATTAGTCAAACTTCCAATAGCTAGTCTCCCAACTAACTCTGATATTATTCCTTTAGTGTTTCAGAAATATTGTTTTGATGCAAATCCATTTCAGGTAAGCTCATATCAATCTGAAAGTGTTCTTGTTCTTCGAAGATCTTATTCCTCGTGGCCCAATGGTCACGGCGTCTGGCTACGATTGTATCCACTTCTGAAACCAGAAGATTCCAGGTTCGACTCCTGGCGGGGAAGATCTTTTTTGCTTGAAATCCTTTTTTTTTGAAATTGTGAAAGATTTATTTGCAGTATACGTGTGTAAGATTGCGCTGTATGGAGTTTTTAAGTCAAGATTAGCGTCTCTTTGATCTTTGAATTTGAATTTAAGTATCTGGTCGTCGTTGTTGTACTTTAATTCAGAGTCATAACACGCCTTTTTTGGTAAGGCCTTAGATCACCAATAAGGAGAATTGTTCTGGTCGTTGTTCTGTTTATTGAGTTATAGTTTTTCTTGTAAAACTTTAAATCCAAGATGTAAACAAGTATATATATACGCAAAGGTAAAATCACAATCTGTTTGATCGCTGAATTTAGTACAAAGCATATTAAATTAAGTAAGGTACTCAAGCTCGAAAGGTGTAATATCAATTAAAATGGAATCCAATGAAGAGTGGTTACCTACAAAGTCAAGAAGTAATGTTCTTTTATTCAACCATGAGTGGCGGCAACCTGAGGTACAGAGACCACATCGCTGTATAGCATTGTCTTTGTATGACAACAAACAAGAAAGAACTCAAAGCATGAAAATTCTTTAAATCGGGGCCCCAGCTTCAAGAACAGCTAAAATGTTTATCATGAGAAATGCCTAGGTACAGCCGCTGTCCGCAATCTGATTAAAAGCTCGCAAAACGATCATTTTACTAAAATAATAAATTTCGAGACGGCTACACGAAAAAGGAATAAATAGGCATACTCAAAAGTGGCTATTAGACGATTGTTTTTCCAATTGTGCAGATTTCTTCATCTTTTTGATACCAATCTAAAAGCAGATGTAGTTTTTCTATGAAGTTCTTCGCGTTCTGAAAGGAAAAAAAACAAGCTGAAAGCATTTGGTAACAGTTTTGCCACCACATCACCTCAAAATTAGAAGTAGTACTAAAAATGGCGGGGAATAGAAAGGATATTGCTGCCTTAATTGTTGGCTTTTTGAATGACACGATCAAAACGAAAGAGGTATCTGAAGACTACGTTGACTCCTTGAACGTGGCAATTGACTGCATCGCTGAGGCGTTTGAATTCGATAAGGAAACTGTTGGAGCTATCATCAAGAAGTCATTTGACGGCAGAAACCTCGAACAGCTTCTAAGTGGATCAACTGATGGAGCAGAGGATTTGCAAAAGGAAGCTGTTACCGTGAACATTCCGGTCGAGGACGCCGAAACCAAAGCCAAGGCAGAAGAACTAAAAGCTTTGGGTAATAAGGCTATGGCTGCCAAAGATTTCGAGCTTGCAATCACCAAATATACCGAGGCTATCGAAGCGCTGCCTACTAATGCTGTTTACTATGCTAACAGAGCTGCCGCTTACTCATCTTTGAAGCGCTATGAAGAAGCTGTCAAAGATGCAGAATCTGCAATTGAAGTCAACCCATCTTATTCTAAGGGTTACTCTAGATTGGGCTTTGCGATGTATGCATTAGGTAAACCTGAAGAGGCTTTAGGCGCCTACAAGAAAGTCTTGGATATTGAGGGCGAGAAAGCCACCGATGCGATGAAGAGGGACTACGAAACCGCAAAAAAGAAGGTTGAACAATCATTAGACTTAGAAAAGAGCTCTCCTGCTCAAAGCCAGGCCGAAAACAATTCTGGCGGCTTCCCCGACATGTCATCTCTGCTAGGTGGTGGCTTGGGGGGCTTGCTCAATAACCCTCAAGTAATGCAGGCTGCCCAACAAATGATGCAAAATCCAAATGCCTTTAAAGATCTTATGAGTAATCCGGCTGTCAAGCAAATGGCGGATAAATTTTCATCTGGTGGAGGTGCCCCAAACATGTCTGATTTGATGAATGATCCTGCTTTGAGAGACATGGCGAAGAATATGTTTGGTCCTAAATAGTTGAATTTGTATGCTCTCTTTTCCTATTATGTAAATTACACATCTCTGCTACTGACGAGTTTGATCGTGGTAGAATGACACAGCTTCTTTCATGCATTCGAGCTGCTCATTGATGACTTTTATGGTCCTAGCGCTGAAATCATTGATTATCCCACTTTTCCAAAATCTAGCCTTGAAAGAAAGATATTTGCTAACCTCGACAGCAATCATCTCATTATCTTCTTTAATACTATTATTAATGAGGGCCAGCCTCTTCACACATGCTTTTGTTTTGGCAGTCAAGGTTTCTTCTAACTTGAATCGTTTCGTTTCAATGTAAGATCCGAAAATTCCACCGTTGTTCGCATGCGGTTTCACAGAATGTGGAAAGTTCTTTTTGTACTCATTGCGAAGATCGATAAGTTCTCCATAGAGCTGCCACCATTTTGGAATCTTTATTTCAACAATGGAATGGATTTTTTCTATGAGGTTAGTCGTGCACTGCTCAAAAAATTGCAAGTGACGGGCAAGTGACTCAAATGGATAGCTCTCCACAACAAACTTTAAGTTCTGTGGAACTCTGAAAGACTCTGATATGTCCCTAGAATAACACGAAGTACCTTTCTTGAGAAGCATGCGATATGATTCATTAACATCAGCACTTTTTAGACTTCGAAAAGCAGCTAGCTTCCCCAAGATTACCACACTTGTCTTGATGGTATTCAATTCTGATAAATTGAAGCGCAAAAAGCTTTGAACGCTATGAATCTCCTCGGGCTCGATTCTTTCGTTTAACTGTCCACCTTCCTTTTTCAATCCTCTTTTAATCCACTCTAGAAACTCAGGCTCTGGCAGAGCTATAACATCCTTGAATTGGGGATCTTCATTAATTGTGCTCAGAAAGAAAGTTATGTTATGCAGAAAGTGGTTTGTCTCCAATCTACTAATGTTCATTATGCGAAACTTCGACAAGGATTTGAGCTCATTGATAATCAGTTCCACGGGCAAAAATGTCATTGGATTTGTTTTCAAGAAAAGCATCAAGAAAGATTGGAGCGCTTTTAAACTATGCTTGAGTGTTTTATGCCGCGGATCGTGCGTTGGGGACTTGGCTGTCATCCAAAGGAACCAATCATCACATTCAAACTTTATACTATGTGCACTGACGGTTGTAAACGTAGAAGCATCACACATTTCTCGACCAAGTTCTTCCAAGACTATGGGATTTTTGACATAGTCAAAACAGGTCAGGAAAAGAGGCTTTTGTAACTTATCTATAATTAAGCGTTTGTCTTTAACTAAAGATTGTATGTTTCGCAATCTATTGTAACGCGCATACATCATTAGTGGAGTTAAGCCCTTTCTGTTGACAGCGTTCACATTTATTGAATCATTGGTCAGCAGAATGTCAAGATTTGACTTAATGATATGCAATAGAGTATTTCCTTTGCTATCCATATGTTTCCTCAACTGTAGGTGTGATCCTCGTGATTCATACCATTGGGTAGCCGCCCAATATGCCCAAGAAACCATTTTGTCATAGTCGGTCTGGTCATATGATCGAAATATTGCGAATAGAGGAGTATGTCCATTGATATCTTTCAGGTCCCAATTAAAGAGGTGTCCAACTTTATAGAGAAGTTTATGAGCGTGCATCAAGTAATGTGCAGCCGATCTACCCACTTTGTTTGTCCTATTGAGGTATGATAAAACCTCATGGTTTGTACAACTACTGAGGAGAATTTCAACAAAAATTTCGGCAACTTGTTCTTCTCCAGCCTGTAATAATTCCATCAAGAGTGTATTCCTGTCAGTTGTTTCATCATTGAGAAGATCCTCTAATGGAAATTCTGATTCGCACTTTAATAGAAGGTTGCGGAACATATCTATGTTATTCCTTTGAATGCAAATCGACAAAGAAGAACGGCCATCAGCAGTTCGTATTCCGAGAAGGTTCATATACGTAGTCGAATGAGTTAGATTATTAAGGTCACTTGATTTCAAAGATATCTTTTCCCAAAATACTTTGTTTTCAAGACAATGCTTCTCCAAACTTTTCAACTTCGATTGGTCATCGAAATAATATAGGACAGCTTCTAGGGTAGATAAGCCATAGGCCAAAATTCCAAATGTTACAGCTGTTTGATTCTCAGAGAATTTTTGAAGATAAGCCAAGTGACTTTTCAAATTCTTCAATTGTGAACGACACACGACTAAAATCATCATACTCATTAACGTGTCAGCATCTATTGCTATATCTCCCTTGCGACCATGGATCGTTTTTGTCAGCGTTTGAAGCGTCTCTATTATAATTTCTGATTTTTCTGAATGAGTGCTGCTAGTGGCCAACTTTTTAAAACAACCAGTCGCAGCCTCTATGTTCTTCTCAGCCGAGGTGACGTAATGAAGATCAAACTTTTGCCTGTCATGCGGATATAAGAACGTCGAAACTTGGCTGATTGAAATATACTTTAATATCTGGTAATCGCATATTGATTCAATTTCTTTTCCCTGGTTTAACATTGTGAGTTGACTCCAAAAGTCGTCGTAAAGATTCACCTCAACGTATTCGTGCACGAGTTTAAACTTGTTGGTAAAGTGGTCAAATTGACTTTCGGAGCTCAAGAGTTCACATGCATCAACACAGAATTTTTCAAAAAGTCTGCTCAACGTCTGGAGGTCTTTTGAAGATGAAGTAATGATAGACCGCTGGTTTTTGAAGAGGTCATTGAATGAGTTACCTAATGTGGGATGGATTCGTAGTACCTGCTCGAAAGTGGTCCTTTCTCTTGAGAGCTGATCTTTTGTTGAGCCTGGAGCTGTAACATTATCTATCTGCTTAACAGCGAATGATTCCCAGTCTTCGCGCTTTACCACGTTTCCTACCAGAGGTAAGTCCACAAAGAGAAGAGGGAAATGAATGGCGCCCGTCAAGTAATCGTTGAAATTAGGGAATAGCTCAAAATCAGTAATATGAAACCTTCTTCGGCGATCAAACCCATCTGCGGTAAATATGGCCCCGTTTTGAGGCCGAATAAGAACAGTTTTACCACTTAGTGTCCTAAATTCATTCTCGGATAAGCCCTCCTCAATCTCAGGAAAAATAATATGGGAGGCAACGAAGTCATAAGTGTAGGACAGCTCCTGTAATGTTGAACCAGTCTCTAGATCCTCATACTCCAGTAAAATGTTTGTTCGAGGAACAACTAATATGAATCGTCTATTCTTAAGTTTAACGAAAACTTTCTTAAGCGAAGAAGTACCTGGAGTCGGACAGTTAAAAACTGCATTGATGAGTGGATTTAAAAGTACCGGAAGGTAATACGGCATATGCTGAGACACTTTAAAAGTTTATATCTCGAAACACATTACAGTGTTCACAGCCCTTGGATTATCGACTTAAAGAATTCGTAATTAGTGCGCTTAAACAAAAATTTTCTATAGAGATCGTCGAAACTCCATCTCATCGTTAACGTCCTTGAGCGGCATAGGTTTCAGCACTTGCTTGACTGAGGGAGCTGTCTTCGAAGACAAAACATGGCCAAGGGAAAAAACAAAGCCAGTGATGGTAGGTCCTCACGCCCAAGTAAAGGCGCTAATGGTCACAGCTCAAGATCAAATCACAAACGCATGGAAATGAAACATTCTGGTAGTGGAGCAGGGAATAATTTCCCCGTCAAACTCGCGATGTGGGACTTTGATCAGTGCGATCCTAAGAGATGCAGCGGAAAGAAACTCGAAAGGCTCGGAATAATCAAGTCACTGAGAGTTGGTCAAAAATTTCAGGGTATAGTCGTATCCCCCAATGGAAAAGGTGTTGTGTGCCCGAACGATAGACAAATAGTCGAAGAGCATGGGGTAGCTGTTGTTGAATGCTCATGGGCTCGTCTTGACGAAGTGCCATTCCAGAAAATTGGTGGGAAGCACGAAAGACTTCTGCCTTATTTGGTAGCTGCAAACCAAGTAAACTATGGTAGACCATGGCGACTGAACTGTGTGGAAGCCCTAGCTGCATGTTTTGCAATTGTAGGAAGAATTGATCTTGCAAGTGAACTTCTTTCCCACTTCTCATGGGGCCTCGGATTTTTGGAATTAAATAAGGAATTAATCGAGGTTTACCAGAAATGCACTGATGAGCAATCTGTGAAAGCTGCTGAAGAGGCATGGCTGAAGAAGCTCGAACAAGAGGCAGAAGAGCGCAAAAAAATGTCATCTTCAGAAGACATTTGGCTTATGGGTAACGTTAATAGGAAGACCGAAAACGTAGGAAGTGATCAAGAGAGCGATGAATTAGCAACGGACAGAGAAGGTTCCTCCGTTTCAGAATCTCCTAAATTCGATAGTTTGGGAAATATTATAGAATCATCCGAGCATTTAGAAACGCCTGAAAATGAAACTCGGTATGATTCTTTAGGAAATATAATTGAATAAGGACTTCAGAATTTCACATTATAGGATAGCATAAAATCCAGGGCCTTATCCTCGCACTCTTAAATACTTTCGAAGAAAATACAAACTTCACTTTCGAATCAGATGCTCGAATTAGGAGCATGTCCAATGAATGCTTCCAAGTAAACATGCTGCGATTTAAAAACAATCATACTTGATGGTGTTCCATTGGGCAGAGGATGCAACTCTCATATACATCGTATTAAGTGATATATTGAATAATGAGGGGAAGAAAGTGTCCCACAAAGCCTTTATGGTGAAACGAGTGATAGATGGCCGGTCATGGAATTAGGAGAAAATTCCCATTCTGAGAATTTCCACCACCAAGAATCAACATTTACTCTAAAGAACTTCGCTCCATCGCCTGAATTTCAATGGTTCTGTAATGAGTTTTTTGTTAAGTTAGATGATTTAGTTAAACTTCGTCATAAACTTGGAAAGTCGTTCACTGTCAAAAGTCTTGAAGTCATAATTCATTTTATCAAGCTCTGGAGAACGACTGTGGGTGACGATTTCTATCCAATTTTGTTGCTTATTTTTCCATATAGGGATCAAAGAGCCTATAATATTAAGGATTACACGTTGGTAAAAACAGTCTGCAAGTATTTGAAACTTCCTAAGAATTCTCTTACCGAGGCTAGACTCTTGAATTGGAAACAAAATGCAGCTCGTGGCACTAGCCTATCCTCTTTTTGCGTCGAGGAAATCAAAAAACGTAGGAAGGAGCCAATAGTGGAGCATCGCATGACCATTGATGAGCTGAATGGTTATTTAGATGATCTATCGAAGGGAGCTGGTCAAAAACATTGGGGTTATAGCAGTCTGGCAAGCTGTGATTCCTTTCGAAGTTGTCTCGAGAGAATGTCTTTCATCGAGCTCAAGTACTTCTTTGATATCATTTTGAAAAACAGAATTATCGGTGGTCTAGAACACAAGTTCTTCAATTGCTGGCATCCAGATGCATTGGAATATTTAAGTGTGGTCTCTGATTTACGAATTTTAGCCACTAGATTGTGGAATCCATCCATCAGATTAAGAAAGACGGATTTATCAATCAACATTGGGCATGCTTTTGCTCCTCAACTCGCAAAACGCCTACATATGCCCTATGATAAAATTTCTCAAAAGTTACATAATGATTTCTTGGTGGAAGAAAAGATGGACGGAGAGCGCATTCAACTCCACTATTTGAATTATGGGGCTCAATTGAAATTTTTTAGCAGGCGAGGTACTGACTACACACACCTCTATGGTGATTCCGTTGGAAATGGAATAATCTCGAAGTTCCTGAAGCTCAGTCCCGATGTCAAAGAGTGTGTTATTGATGGGGAGATGGTTACTTTCGATAAGGAGAAAATGGTTATTTTACCATTTGGAATTGTGAAAAGTAGCGCAGTTGATGAGCTAATCAGTAATCAAATTGGGACGGAGCAGAGTGGATATAGACCTTTGTTCATGGCTTTCGATTTAGTGTTTCTCAATGGTTCATCTCTCTCGAAATTGCCGCTTCACATCAGAAAAGAGTATCTTGCAAAAATCTTGACGCCATCCTCACAAGTAGTGGAAATAATTCCGTATGTCAGAGCGAACGACTCGAATACAATTCAAAATTCTCTTCAGAAAGCAATTTCTTTAGGATCTGAGGGAATAGTCTTGAAACACTACAAATCTACTTACCACTTTGGCTCGAGGAATGACACGTGGATAAAAGTTAAACCTGAATACCTCGAACAGTTTGGAGAAAATATGGATCTTATCATTATCGGCCGCGATCCTGGGAAAAAAGACTCTTTAATGTGTGGCCTGGGGGTAACTGGAAGCGAAAAAGAAGGTGATATTATTATTTTATCTGATGATGAAGAACTAAACGCCAGACATGAGGCTGTCGTCAAATTTGTTTCCTTTTGTACGATAGCAAATGGAATATCTGATCGAGAATTCAAAGAAATTGACCGTAGAACTAGAGGAAAGTGGATTCAAACTCGCGATGCGTTACCACCACCAGAAATTTTAGAGTTTGGAACAAAATTACCAGTGGAGTGGATTAAACCTGAAGATTCTATTGTTCTGGAAGTGAAAGCTAGATCAATTAGCAACAATAATTCCAGTAGTACGAAGTTCAAAACAGGCAGTACTCTTTATGGCGCGTATTGCCGAGGAATCAGATCTGATAAGGATTGGACTTCTTGCGCAACATTCCAGCAATATTTACGTGCAAAACAATCTCACAATTACTATCGTTATCGAAAAAGGTCTCAAGAAGTTTCTCCCCGCAAAAAAAGGACACTTTCTAAGAATAAAAAGCACCTTTTTCTTGAAAATGAAGCCATTTCCAAGAAGTATGACTCCACAATCTTTCAGGGTCTTCTTTTTTATGTTTTGAGCGATTATGTTGATCCACAAACCAAAACAAGGATACTCCGTGGCGACATTAATAGAATCATCAAAAGTAATGGCGGTGCCATACTTCATAATATTGATATGAGACCAGAGGAACTTTTCCTACTCAGAATAATAGCAGGGAAAACTACGATAGAATGCAAAGCATTGATGGAAAGAGGTTACGACATTATTAAGCCTTCTTGGATTTTTGATTGTATAAAATGTGGGTTTTTGTCAAAATTAGAGCCTAAGCATTGTTTAGCTGTTTCTCGTCCTCTTTATGAGAACAGCAAATTACGTGTCGATAGCTATGGTGTGAGCTTTCAACGATTTATAGATGAAAGTGATTATGATGGGTTGATGGAATTTGGAACGAATGTTGAAACCGCTTTTAATTCGGTTCCAGAAGAGCTTCAAGAAGTTCCACTGTTTCTTTTCAACAAATATACCTTTTTCATCGCTCAAGAAAATTGTACATCACAAGTATTACAAGAGCTAGAGACAAAAATCAAATGGTTCGGTGGAAATATAACCGCCAATCTTTCAAGCGCCACAATTATTGTTGTCGTGAATTTTCCAAAAAAAAACACGGCGTCAGCTTGTTAAGGAAGCAAGTTGTCGAACAATTCAATGTCTGCAATACAGAAACTGTTGTAATCCCGAGAATTGTAGAGTCTACCTGGATTGACCGTTGCATAGAAGAGAATTGCTTAGTACCAGAAGAGGATCACCCTGTTATATAATTCTATACGTCTTTAGACAAAGGGATTTGAGTCTTTTTCGAAAGCACCTGCAATACCGACATATCGAGTTTTGAAAGATAAGATGTCAAGCCACTTTGATGGCTTCATTCCAATTCACTGTGTTTTCTACTCTATATTTCACCCTACTGAAGGGACAAAAGTACGACACCAGTTTCCTCCAGGTTGTTTGGAAAACAGTGGAATCAATTTTGACACTATCAAGAATTACGTTATACCAAAACCACAACTTTGCAATAAACTATTGACGTTCAAATATGGTCCTTACAGATTAGTATGCTATCCAGTTAATGTGAATGCTTCTTTTTATGCGAGAAACTCATTCAATTTTAACTTCGTATTTGTTTTCCCTTACGATTGTGCTACCTCCCCTTATGAGCCAGCCATTGCAAGATTAGGGAAAATGTTTAGGGTTTTGGAGGAACAATCACAAGTTCTATCCAAGGCAGAGGAGAATCCAGTATACTTTCATCTTAAATCCATGGAACCATCTCAAAAATCTGATCATGACAGCTTAGGCGACGGAGAGTCGTCAACTGCTAATATGGATGATCAAGACCATAATCAACCAAAAAATGAGACGCATGCATTTGAAAAATTTCATGAGATTATGAGAGATTTGAAAAATAGCAATAGGCGGCTTTGTATTGAAGATCTGATCACTAAAATATATCAGGATCTGAACAATTATTCTGAATGTCTTATACCAATAGATTCTGGAAACTCAGTTGATATTAAACTATTTCCTCTTCTTTCACCTCCAAATTCATGTCTTTCATTTGAAGATGTACCTATTGCGACAGTGAATTTGGCTAAACTCATTGATGTTAATTGGGATCCAACGATGCTAAAGATCGTGCCATTTATCAATGGTATCAACAGTATCTCTAAAATAGCGACTTTCAGTGACAGCGATGTTAACTTGGTAATAGAGTGCGTGAAACATTTAATTTACTATAATTGCGTTGTTCTTGCTGATATCTTTCAGTTCAGCAACATTTATGCCCCAACCAGTCTACTCGGGAGGTTTTTGACAGATCCCTCTCTTGCAACTGCATGCCAGCTATACGTAACATTCGAAGAGTTTTCTGATTTCCTTAATTTACCACTAGACAAGAAGAAATCATATCAGTCACGTCCTATATCTCGTAAGCAGTTGTCCAATAACACAATTGAGACACTGCGGAGAAAAATGTCTTTGTCAAGAGATAATTCATTTGGTTCTGGAGTGGACTCCTCTGCTGCCAAGCAGCTTTCATCATCTTCTCAATCTTCACTAACGCCGGGAAAAAACATTTCCGAAACCAGCCTGACCACACATAACTCGGAGCAGGGGAAACAAATGCCCCTCACGACTAAGGCAAGCTTATTCGATTTGTATCGATCACTTTCTCAGGGTCAAAGTGTGAAGGAATGGCTAAAGATTAATTTTGATAAAATCAGAGAAGCTCATATCGATATAAGGAGGTTTATTACATTTGGAGTAATTCATGGTTTAATTTATAGGTGTTATTCATATCCGGTGATGAAAAATATCGGGACTTTAGATATGGTGAGGATGTTGAATAAAGCAAATGATTCTGACTTAAAGAGATGGAAACTTACAGACAAACATAAGACGAATAATGTGCTATCAACCGCCGATATAAGGGTGGGCCTCGAGCATAAGTTGAAGGGAGATTCGAAATATTTACAAACGTACTCAAATAATATTGATATTGCAGAAGAGGTGCTAAAAGATGTTTATAAAAAGTTGGCCATCAGTGATAGCACTGATGAGGTAGGTGTACAGAGTTCGAATCCAATTTCCAAAATCTATGGCAACAGTAATGAGACAGAACAATCCTCGATTAGCATTCCAAGGAAAGGAAGTTCCAGTTCGATGGGATCAGATGGTCGCAATAGAGTTTCGTTTGAGCTCAAGAAAAGTCAAAGACCTTTGAATGATGATAAGGTCAAATCTGATACGATAGATGCAATGAAAGAGAAAAGAAGAGAAGAGTTCTTAGTTCTCCAATCTCTAAAAAGTGTTGAAACGTTGGATAAGCTGTGCATGCGGCTGGAAAAAGATCGAGGTGATATTGAAGTACTTCTGAAAGATATGGGCCATTACTCAATTATTAACAGTTAATCTACTTATGAATGCTCTTGATACGTTTAAATATAGTACAACCATCTTAGAATTCCTAATATATAGGCTGTCTGAGCTCATTTCAACTACGATATTTTTGGTGACTTAGAAACATGGTGATCATCCTCCTGTCGCGTTCTTTTCAACGGCGATGCGGCCATGGAATTGCTTCTAGAGGTCTTTATAGGTGAAGCTTTGTTCGAACGATCCTCGGCATCTTCCCTGCAATTCAAACCCGAATTGTACCAGCTGGAGGTTCGCATCGGTGTCTTTCCGGTCGATCCAACAGGCTTTAGTTGCTTTTGCTTAAGTTGCTGCAAGAGTAAATCGACTGAATCGTCATTTTCTGCTTTTGGTGAAAGACTCTGAATATTCAATATGTCCTTCATCGAATGATCAATCTCCTCTAGCTTAAATTTGGCTGTATTCATATATTCCGTGTGCTGCTTAATTTGATCTTTAAGCCAGACATGTTTTTTTCGCATTTCCTGTATATTGCTCGAAAGTGCTTCGTTATTTCTCAAGTTACCTGAGATTCCTTCAAATTTCTTCATGCCCTTTTTAACATCTGCCACAGCAATATTCGTAGTTTTCAAGGCGTTGTTTATATCATTATGAAGCCCATTGACAGCAGTATTAATATCATTCTCAAATTCATGATTCAGCTTATCGCATTGGTTGATATTTTCTAAAGATGCCTCCCAAGTTTTTTTTACCGGTTCAAGTAGCCCCATTTCCCTTGTTACAACACCCGATGCAGCATTTTTCAAGTTTTTCATCATATTGTTTCGGTTTTCGTCCAACTGATCATTCATACTTTCTTGCAATTTTGCAATTAAACCATTGGCTGTGATCTTAAGTTGATGATACGTTCGATCTACATGGACGTCCAAGGCTTCTTGAAAGTTGTTCTTGAAAAAGTGATCGTTTAAGTATTCCTTGAGGTGATTATATTCTTCACTTATGCTACTCAAATGACTCATGAGCTTAACTGAATAAGAATTAACAATTGTACTAACGTTCTTCACTTCTTTGGATATAGTTTCGAAATGATCTGGCGTTTGATCCAACACGCCATCGATAAATTTTTGGCAGATTTCAATACTCGAGGTTTGAACAGATTCAAGTATAACATCTAGTTCGTTAACGATGTTTTCAATATTGGGGTCAATATTAGTACTTTCTTCAGTTAAATTTTGTTTCACTTGAACAATTTCATTTCTTAACGAATTTTTAAAGGAGTCCATCTTTAGACGCAGAACCTTTTCCATTTCATTTTGAAACTTTTGCCCATTATCTTTATACACACGCAAGGATTGTTGCATGATATTGATGGCATGCATCAATCTCTGAACAGCATTAACAAGCTCCTGTTCGTTTTTATGCTGCCGATCTATCTTGTCATAGAGGATTTCAATACTTTTGCCGAGTTTTGAAATTTTTAACCGCTGTAGCTCATGCAGTTCATTTGAAGTTTTCTTGTCCTTAAGTAAAAGGGAATTTTGAGAGGCCAACTTTTCAAGTTCCCTTTTACACTCTTGAACCTCCGTTTTGTAATTTTCCAGATCATTTGTAAGCTCTCTATAGTGTTCTTGGCTCATATATATTCCATCCTTTGACTTCGTAGAAAGTAGGTCCGATTTTATTTTGATTAGTTCTGCTGTTACATTTTTTACTAAAACGTCTTTCATCACAAAACTTCCCAACTGCGGCTTGTTCTTGATATTTTTGGCCTTTGTAGCATATTCTAGAGTGCTGGAAGTCTCCTCTGAATTGATCTTTGCAGGCGAAATTGTAGCGATCAGTGCTGTTTTGGTGTTGCCTCCTAATGAGTCCTGTAACAACCTCGTCAGTTTTGATTCACGGAATGGAATATGGGAGCTCTTATCCGCCAGGGAGTTAATGACACGCCCCAAGGTTAAAAGACTTTGATTAATTGAGCCAGCTTCCTTCGCCCGTTGGTTTTGTGCCCCCGACCGGTTTATGTTTTCAGATCCTGCTAAGTCGACAAGATTCATTTTTGATACCCTAAATGCTTCTCCATCGCACTTTTTGTACAGCATTATCGTGAAAATCGTATGTGATCGGCTTGAAACATCGTTCATTTTCGTAGAAGCAACTTGTCTATGTCGCAGGCCCCTCTGTAATAGCCCTATTCCTTCTCTGGCACTCATGATATGAAATTCCTGCAGATTTTGAATATAGATAGCTGAATTTTGATCTGCTGGTTGTTGGCTCTTTTGTAATATATGTTTTACTTGCTTTTGAAGCGGTTGCTGTTTTGATTTTCTTTTCAACGAAGTTGACCCATCGAAAGATCTAGGAGAGTTGCTCCTCGAGCCCGCTCGACTGCTACCCAGATTAGAATTTGAGTCAAAAATTCTTAGTTTTTTTAACAGAGTTGTTTCCTGTGGTTCGTCAAGCAAATCCCTAAGCTCCTCGTTGTAAAGTTCGACGAATGAGCACTTCACCATATGGTCAGCATCTTCTTTCGTTAATTCTTCAAAAAGCTTGAATAGTACCCGAGGAATTACACCAGCTGCTTCACTCAATTCGCCGTCATATAGCCTCTCATCTCCTGTCATTGTGTAAGTCTTCCCTGTTGATGTCATACCATATACTAGCACAGTACAATTATAACCTTTCATGAAATCATGGAACAAGGGCTCTGCAATCTCTTTGAATATAAGCTGCTGATCAGCACTAGGGCCAAAAACCTTATCAACTGTATAAGTTTTAGAGTTCATTTGTGCTGCGATACCAACATCTCCAGTGGTATTTAACGACACTTCATTTGAACCCATGACATCTGGAACTGATACCACAACTGAACTTTTTGCCTTTATTTCCTTTTCATTACGCCCTCGGCAACGTATCGCAACTGTAATATTCAGTTCTTCTTCGTCTGACATAGCAGCGTACCTCAGTTATAGAGTGCTATGCAGCGTAAATGCTAATCATTTGTTTACCAATTGATATTCAATGCCAAAAACAAAAAGAACGCGTCAACTATTCTAATAATTCTATACGAAAAGCATACTTAGCTTTACTTAACTAGCACCGTTTTTCTCGAATATGATGCAGTCAAATAGGTTTTGAAGCCGCAAGTCACCCTATGCATCCGATTCTTCGACTGCTACCGTTGCATCAGACGTTTTCTTGTGAGATCTCTTCCGCTTCCTTCTCTTCAATGTACTTTGATCGCTTTCCTCTTGGTTCTCATCAGCACTGCCTACAAACTTCATACTATCAGAAGAAGCAGTTTTTGCTTTCTTCTTCCTCACACTTAAAGGATTGGGTTCTTTGGCCTGTCTTTTCTTCTTTTGCAATGCTGGCGTTTTCGAATTCGCTGATTCTGGATCATGCGATAACCCTGCATATTTAGGATCATTGAGACCTTTAAACAGTTTTTCATGCTCTTGTGTTTTATTAACGGTCTCACTAGCTTTACTCAAAGGTTCCATCACCATTACGGATCTGTTCATGTATATCAATGGCACGCCAGGGACGGACCGAAGTTTCCGTCTTATTTCTAGATCCTGAGATGCCACCACGTACCTATGCTTGTTTTTACCATTTACATCCACTATGCTCATAATGCACTCTAGCGGAGGTCTAGGTTCCTTCGGTGGATGGTTGCAACGACGTCTTTCGTAAGTTTTAGCCTCCTCTATGGCATCCTGATTACCCGTCTCATACAAAGCTTGCATACAACATTGAGTTATCATCGGCTTAACTTCTGCTTGCAGTGTTCGTTTGAGACCTTTGACTAGATCATAAGATGACTTATGCGTATCCAGCACAATTTGGTTATCAACAAGGACTTGATATGGTTCTCTGAACTTAAAGCTATGATTGTAGACAAGCATCTGCTTTCTGTAAGACTTTGCTCGCTTCTGACGCATGTCTCTTCTGATGTTTAGCTTGATAATACGATGATCTTTATATCAATTCAACTCATCTCATCTCATCTCATCTCATCTCATACCCCAAGATAGAATCTATGCGAAAATTTTCATTCTACGTAAATAGTGATATGCGGACGGTTTGAAGATTAGAACTGTCAATTAAGTCCAGTCATTGCTTTGATATATTCTACTAAACGGCCAGCAATCACGTTCACTTGGAAAATAATGATGACTAATATTATGACTTTGATAAGCTTCTTGAAGGGACTAATTTGAGGCATACTATTGTCTATTATGGAGTCCATTGCACGGAAAACGGGGCCTACTATTGGAATATCGGTGTCTGAGAAAGTGCGCCCGTGAGTAAGATTAGAACCTTTTCCAACCACTGACGAACCTACTTGAAGATTTCCCGGGAATTTTTTTGGAGCTGGCGGGTCAGGAGGATCTGGATGGCGATGGTTATTGCTTTGCAATGGTGGCTTTGGTGCTGTTATCCTCTTATCCCTCCTCCTTTTATTAGGTACTTTTCTTGAAATTATTTTATCGCCTGTATCAATAACTGTCATGTCGTCCTCTATAGCAATCTGTTTGGGCTTATCTCTAGGAAAAACTCGGATAAAGCTGTCCTTACTTATTTGCTCTGCTGTTGTATTAGGCTTGATAAATGGGCTGATAACTTTCTTAGCAGTGTCACTCAAGACCAACATTCTTCTGTCATGGTCGTCTTTCAAGCGGGTGCGAGTGTCCTTGATGCGTGTTTCCCACGTTTGGTGTGTCTTCGATGTAGAGGGAGTATCATAGAGGGATCCCTGATTTTCACTTAAAGTGAATTCATCTAATTCTTTGACTGGATACGGAATCATGGGAGGCATTTTTACAACATTACCGATAAGGCATGAAACTATTTTGGCAGATGAAGGTCTATTCTTCGTGTGGCCATCTAATTTGCAATCGCGGCGCATGCGGCGGGTTTTTTTTCCTTGGCCAAACGACCTGCGGAACTTCGAAAAAGTGTCAATAATTACTTCTCACAGGCCATGGTTGCTAAAATTCAAAAAACCTGAAAAGCCAAGAGAAAATGAAGGGTCATATATATTTAGATAGCTGGCTCTCACCAAATATGAAAATGATACGTAGATTATTATACTTACGAGGTTAAGCTTTCGTGCCGAGATGTGGCGTTAGTTAAACTAAATGATATTCAATTGGTCGAAGATTTCTCTGACTTCTTCGAACAAAATATCTGACTTCTCATCAAGTGCATCAATTAGTTCGGATAGACCGTCAGAAATAGAAGATTTTTCTGCGGAAGCATCTTCTGCGACATCCTTGCCCCAGAAATCGTCCAAATCTTTACCACCACCGTTGAAAATCAAGTAGTTAGGTGTGTCGTCTGGAACATCGCCCAGAGCATTCTTAGTGCTGAAGGCAATCAATCTCTTCTTCAGTTGATTTGGAGTAACACCTCCAGCAGCATTGAAAAATTCACTATCAGAACCTGGCTGCAATGATAAAAAGTATGTTAACAGACCTGCGACATGTGGGGAAGCCATGGAAGTACCTGACAACGTCGCTGTAGCTGTGTTAGAACCAATGTAAGTAGAGAGTACGTTCAAACCTGGCGCGAAGATATCAACACAGCTACCCCAGTTGGAAAAGTAAGCTCTGTCGTCACTCAACGTCGTTGCACCAACCGTAATAGCATTTTCTGCAGCAGCAGGAGAAGTGTTACACGCATCCTGGTTTTCGTTACCGGCTGCAACGGCGAAGTGAAGACCGGCCTTAACAGCTGCGTTAACTGCCATATCTAGAGCAGGAGATTTACCACCACCCAAAGACATATTAGCAGTGGAGCCCTTGAAACCCTTTTTGTTCTTCTTCACCGCATCTTGATGAGACTTAGCCGCAAATTCGACTCCCTTAACGACGTCAGACATCGTACCAGAGCCGTTAGATCTCAAAACCTTCACGGCAACGACTTCCGCATTTTTAGCGACACCGTAGTGCTTGGAAGCGATGGTACCAGCACAGTGAGTACCGTGACCATTTCCATCACTGTCTAAGTCGTTGGTTGGTATTGTCTTACCCCAGACGGCTCTTCCTTCGAAATCCTCGTGATCAACATTGATACCCGTGTCGATGACGTAAGAAGTAACCCCCTTACCGGCGTCATCGTCAAACAGATATTTATTGAAACTGCCCAAGTTCAACTTCTCACGGTGAGAAATACGAGATAACCCCCAGGGAGCGCCATTTTGGGTGTCAAACTCGGAAGCAAACACTAGAGAATCCTTTTCCACAAAATCGACAAGTGGGTTCATGCGAATAAAATCAATAACTTCATCAGTGAAGTAACCAATGTAGCCGTTTAGAATTTCGCCAATGTCAAATGACTCCTGGATACCACCTTCGGCAGAGACTGCGGCGACACCATACTCGTTAGATTCACCGGTAGTTGACGCAAAGAAAATATCATCTTCTTTCAAAGCTGAAATAGACTCAGCATGAGCTTCCGCAATTACCTCTTTGTGGAAAGCAATCTCCTCCGGTGTCAGGTTTTTCTTGAAAACAATAACGTACCGGTTAGGAATAACGTTAGAAGCATCATTTGGTGCCACAAGAGGGGCCAACTTGACTTCTTCATCCTTTTCGGCTGCGTTCTTGGTAATTTCTTTGGCAAAAGAGCTCATAACACCGTTAGCAACAGCCACAGCATTTTCAACTTTATGGGACACCGACTTTACGGTCTCGTCCACATCTGGTAGAACCAGCGCGGCACCAGCAGTGGCCATCGCGACCACTGGCAAGATTGTGTTCACCTTCATGGGGTAATTTGTTCACTTATGATTTATCAAAATTCTTGAATACCTAGAAAGACCAGCTATCTCTGTAAACTATGACTTTTACAGATTTTGTTCTTTGTCTCACTAATTGCGACTTCTACTCATCCTTTATACCTACATCTTAGGGGGGGCACTTTCTATTTCAAGGGGGCGGGGAGGGTGGCAAAAAAAACAAAAAGAAACCTGAAAACTCAGCATGATAACCGGAAAGATAGGATATAGCGCTCAAGTAGGGGGGTGGGGGGTATTATGTGATGAGTATATTTAGGGAGAATATCGATGTTGGACCGGACTGACGTTGAGACAGAACTAGTGTGGCAGATGTAAGCTGGTCGAGAACGTCATCAAGAGGCGAAAAGTCGTGATGTCTTTCAAATGTTATGTATTTGTATTATTACTGCTTTTGTAACAAGCGGTTGTTTGGCCGAGCGGTCTAAGGCGCCTGATTCAAGAGTTACTCTTAACGCCCACAGGGCGGAGCACTCAGGTATCGTAAGATGCAAGAGTTCGAATCTCTTAGCAACCATTATTTTTTTATTTTTTATCTTTTATTTTTAGAATGCTGTGCTATCGCTATGGATAACAAAGCCATGAGACACCCTGACAACAACTGTGAGACTTCTGGCTGAACTGGGCATTGAAAGCATTTGGAACGGGTATGACATACGTGAAGAGTCAAAAATATATAGCTCGTTATCGCATAGTTTATGAAATCGTTAAATAATCGTGAAGTATGTTCTGAAACGGTTTCACTCCTTAGGACCAATCATGTTCTCGGGGACTACCCATTGGTCGAACTCCTCTGCAGTGAGCACCTTCAACTCTAACGCAGACTCTTTCAAAGTAATGCCTTTCTTATGGGCATTCTTAGCGACTTTTGAGGCTGCATCGTAACCGATCTTAGGGTTCAAAGCAGTGACCAACATCAGAGACTCGTGTAGCAACTTGTTAATCTTGTCCTTGTTGGCTTCAATGCCGTCCACACAATGGACTCTGAAGGAGTAGCACGCATCGGACAATAGCCTAATGGAGCTTAGCAAATTCGAGATCATGACTGGCTTGAACACATTCAACTCGAACTGGCCGGATGCGCCAGCAAATGATATAGCTGCATTGTTGCCCATCACCTGGACACAAACTTGGGTCATGGCTTCGTTCTGCGTGGGATTGACTTTACCAGGCATAATGGATGACCCAGGTTCGTTTTCCGGTAAAGACAATTCACCATAACCACACCGTGGACCAGAGCCGAGATATCTGATGTCATTGGCTATCTTGAAAAGAGAACATGCTAAAGTGTTCAAAGCACCGGAACATTCGACCACTGCATCGTGGGCCGCAAGAGCCTCGAACTTGTTTGGTGCTGTTCTGAAGTCAATACCAGTTTCCTTGGAGACTTGAGCAGCGATTTTCTCAGCGAAACCCACCTTGGTATTCAACCCAGTTCCCACGGCGGTACCACCTTGGGCCAAGAATTTCAAATGGTAGAGGGTTTGCTCTACACGGTACAGACCATTGGTCAACTGTTGAACGTATCCACTGAACTCCTGGCCTAATGTCAAAGGAGTTGCATCCTGCAAGTGAGTTCTACCAATCTTGACGATGTCTTTGAACTCCTCGGATTTCTTTGCAAGAGAATCCCTCAATGCAGTCAATTCCGGTATCAAAGAGTGAGTGATCTCTGTAACGGCAGCGATATGCATCACAGATGGAAAAGTGTCATTAGATGACTGTGCTTGGTTACAGTGGTTGTTAGGATGAATAGTTTTGGAACCCATTTTACCGCCGATTAGCTCAATTGCTCTGTTCGAAATGACTTCGTTAGCATTCATATTACTTTGCGTACCTGAGCCAGTTTGGAAAACAACAAGCGGAAAATGATCCATTAACTTACCCTGAATCACCTCATCTGCAGCTTCTTGAATTGGTTTAGAAATCTTTGGGTCGAGAGTCCCCAATGATTCATTAACAATAGCAGCCGATTTCTTCAAAATACCAAAAGCCTTGATAACGGGTTCTGGCATGCGTTCACGGGCACCTCCAATTTTGAAGTTTTGGAAGGAGCGCTGTGTCTGTGCTCCCCAATACTTGTCAGCTGGTACCTTGATTTCGCCAAAAGCATCTGTTTCGATCCTAAACTTCTGTTGCGCCAACGCTGAGCTAGAAGACATTAACCTTTGCGTGGAACTAGAAGCCAATCTTTTGTTAGCAGAATTAGCTGTGATTTTTAGCATTTCGTCACGGTCTTGTTCAAGGCTTGTCATTATAAGGGAAGAAAGAAAGATTCTCCTGTTCACAGTTATAATGCCCGGGGCGTCCGCTGCATGAAGAAAATATTCAATTGGGCAAGGAGCCGACTTCGCAGACAGTCGAAAATGGAGCCCGGGTATTTCACCGTATGTTTGGACATTGGAAAAAATCTTAATACCGTCCGATCCACTTAAACTTAAAAGGAATTCCTCTCACGTACTTCTTTAAGTAGCAACTATATAGTCTCTCAATGCCGCAATTATCGAAATCAGATTCTGAAAGTTAACAGAACACCTTGTCATAAAATTAAAAATCAAACCACAACCTAATACCCCAAAGAGAGTAACCAATAGCTTGACACTTTTTTAATTAGCTTGAAACTCATGAGTAGACGCTGGAAGCGAGTAAATTACGTTACCTTCATAATACCCCGTGTCTAACGAAATTGAATATGTGCCCGTCGATTGGAAGTGCTCGAACATTCTACTACATCTGCTTTCCAGCCCTTTAGCGGGGATTTTAGGTCCTGAATAAAGGGTTAGACTCCCATATCCAGCCTTCCACGTAAATAAGCATTTTAAATACGTCCAGATAGCGTGGAATTCCAGAATCGTTCGACTATCTCATCATTTAGGATATTTTTATTTGTGTGAGCATCTGTAACCTCAACTCTTATTGTTCGGTCGCCCACGCTACACTCTTCAAATAACCTTTTGAAGGGAACGCAAATGTACCCTTGACCATCGTAGGTGCATTCGTTTTGGATCAAAGAGTACAGTTGACATGGTCCGTGGATTTTTTCGAGCAGTGGACTCAATTCTTCCTTTCCGAATATTGGTGTGGGTGGAGCCATGTCGTGTCCTTCTTTAGTTTTTTAAAATAGGTTAAAAATACTCTGTTTTCTTAAACCAAGCTCGCGACTACTAAAGAACAGGGTCATGTCCAAATTCACCATTACGGAGCAGCAATATAGGAAGCATTGTAAAACAGGATTCAAGTATTCTTATGGTACGGCGGGATTCCGTTATAAAGCCGACGTCTTGGATACAGTCATGTTTACCACAGGCATCTTAGCCGCATTGAGGTCCATTTATCTCGGAGGACAAACGATAGGCGTTATGATTACAGCATCACACAATCCTCCAGAAGACAATGGTGTCAAAATTATCGATCCAAAGGGTGAAATGTTGGCCCAGTCATGGGAAGCTTTCGCCACAGATTTGGCCAACGCTGCTTCTCAAGGGTATGAAGAATTGGTACGTGCTACTACTAAGCTAGTTTCCCAGCTGCAGCTTGACGTATGCGATTCGGGAAATATTTCTGTGGCGAGAGATTCTAGAGAATCAGGTCCTAGACTATTGCAGGCGTTGATTGACGGCATCAATATTTTTAAAGAAGTTAGCATAGTTGACTATGGATTACTGACTACTCCTCAATTGCATTTTTTGACCTGGAAATCAAATGAACAAAAGGATAGGAAATGGGTGGAGTTGGACTACTATGAGGAGTTTTTATCTTCGTGGTTTGAAATTGCTACCCTATCTGGTGTTAAATCTCTACCGTTCAGCGTTCAAATTGACGCAGCGAATGGAATTGGTGCTTCCAAAATTCAAGAAATGCTATTGAATATTGACTTCTTCAGAAGTAAAATAACACTTGTCAATAGCAATTGGCAAAATTCGCAATTACTGAACTTTTCATGCGGTGCAGATTACGTGAAAACCAATCAACGTTTGCCAAATGGTGTACAGCTGAACCCCAAGGATAATTGTGTTTGTTGCTCGTTCGACGGCGATGCTGATAGGGTTGTCTTTTATTATGTCGATCAGCAGGGAGTTTTCCACTTACTAGATGGCGATAAAATATCTTCCCTCTTGGGTAAATTCTTCCAAAAGCTACTCTCAGATGCGTACCTGGAAAACGACGTCAAATTAGGCATAGTGCAGACCGCGTACGCGAATGGTAGCTCTACGCGCTATTTGCAAGAAACTTTAAAGATTCCAGTCTCCTGCACCTCAACCGGCGTTAAGCACCTCCATCATGAAGCAATCAATAGCTACGACATCGGTATCTACTTCGAAGCCAATGGGCATGGAACAGTGATCTTTTCGGACATTTTAGTAGAAAAAATCGACAAGAGAATTCAAGAAAAGAATTTAGCTGATTCTGAAGCTAGATCTCTGCGACTCTTGAAAGCTTTCACTAAGTTAATTAATCAGACGGTGGGTGACGCCATTTCTGACATGCTTACGGTTCTTGCAATCCTTTGTATCATGAAGTGGGGACCATCTGATTGGGATCACGAATATATTGATCTACCTAATAAGCTAGTAAAGGTTGTAGTTCCGGACAGAACCTTGTTCACTACTACAAATGCTGAGAGACAACTGGTTACTCCTGAAGGATTGCAATCGAAAATTGACTCTACGGTTGCTAAGTATGACTTAGGAAGGTCATTTGTAAGAGCAAGTGGTACGGAGGATGCCGTCAGGGTATATGCGGAAGCTGCTACGAGACAACATGCGGAATCGCTAGCCAAGGAAATAACCGCTCTTCTAAAATCTTGAAGAAAAAATTTTCGCTGAGATGGGCGAGGAATATATTACAACTACATAAATTAGCTAAGACCTCTCTTCTCAAGCCATTTCATCTGAATTTATCGAAGCACTGTAGTTGAAACCATGGCCAAGAAAAGTAAGAAAGATAAGGAAGCTAAGAAGGCGAGGGCAGAATTAAAGAATAAAAAAAATCTAGAAAAGGCAGAGCTCAAGAATAAGAAGAAGGTTAAGAAACTGGGTGATGATGAAGATGATGATTTAGATATTGATGAGGTTCTAGCGAATTTTAAAAAAGAGCAGGAAAAGTTTGAAGAGATTGTCATTGAAAGAGTTAATAGGCCAAGCAAACGTATTAATCCTTGTATTATAGCCAACCCATTGCATGGCAAAAGAGAGCTGCTTATGTTTGGGGGTGAAAACACAAATTCCAGTACATCAGTGACCAACTTCTACAATGATCTTCATGTCTACTCACTAGATAGTGATCAGTGGAGAAGAATCACCTCTCAAAACTCACCTATGCCGCGTTCATCGGCCGCTATTGCAGGGCATTCAAGTGGTATTGTTTTAATTCATGGTGGTGAGTTTTCATCACCGAAGCAGAATACCTTTTATCACTATTCGGACACATGGCTATTAGATTGTAGCACAAAGGAATGGACTAAAATCGAGCAGAAAAATGGCCCTAGTGCTCGGTCTGGTCACAGAATTACTGTGTGGAAAAACTTCTTCATTTTACATGGTGGTTTTAGAGATTTGGGTACCTCAACCACATACCTCAACGACTGTTGGTTATTTGACATCACTACTTATAAATGGAAACAAGTCGAATTTCCATCAAATCATCAAGTACCCGATGCGCGGTCAGGACACTCTTTCATTCCTACACAAGAAGGGGCAATTTTGTGGGGAGGATACTGTAAGGTAAAAGCTGGAAAGGGTTTGCAAAAGGGTAGGATTTTAACTGACTGCTGGTATCTGAAAATGAAGGCCGACCCTAATTCAATTAGATGGGAACGTAGGAAGAAACAAGGGTTTCAACCTTCCCCGAGGGTTGGTTGCTCAATGGTCCATCATAAGGGGCGTGGTATATTGTTTGGTGGTGTGTTCGACTTCGAGGAAACAGAAGAAAGTTTGGAATCCATATTTTACAATGATCTTTATTCTTATCAAGTGGAGACAAATAGATGGTTTTCTATTCAGCTTAGACCTCAAAGGCATAAAAAGATTCAGATGTCAAAAAGTAATCGGGATAAAGATAAAGAGCTTGAGAATATATTAAATGATATACTGTCGAAAGCCAACCTCACAGATGATAATGATGAGGACACTAAGTTTATAGGGGAGGAATTGGATAAAATGGATCTGGAAGATAATTCAGACAATCAAAGCGTGGACAAAACTCAGGAATATCCACTAATAGCACAATTACCACATCCGAGATTTAATGCTGCTGTCGCTGTTGTTGATGATACGCTCTTTATCTTTGGAGGTGTCTGGGAACTAGGAGAGAAAGACTACTCGATTAATTCGTTCTACAGTATTGATTTGAATAAAGCAGATGGGGTGAAGGTTTATTGGGAAGACCTTGAAGATATTGATAAGGCAAAAGAGATCGGAGCAGTGGATGATGAAGACGACATGGACGATGAAGAAGATGACGATGACGATGATGAAGAAGATGATTCCGAAAATGAGGCCGGTGAAGCTATTCTATTAGAAGAGGAGAGCATGGAAGAAGAAGCTTCAGACCATGAACCCGATGAGGAAGGACCCGAAATCCCAGATCCCACTCCATGGCTTCCTCATCCCAAACCTTTTGAATCTCTTCGCGCTTTCTACATTCGAACGGGTGCCGATTTCCTGCAGTGGGCAATCTCAAATAACAGAGATGCGCGAGGAAAACACCTTAAAAAGAAATCGTTCGATCTTTGTCAAGACCGGTGGTGGGAAAGGCGTGAACAGCTACGTCTCGAGGAAGATAAACTTGAAGAACTCGGTGGAATTGGAGAGGTTATTCAAAAAGATACTTCAAAGACTACCAAAAGAAGATAAAGATAGAAGTAGTCTGATTGCAACATTTATATCCAAAGAGATTTAAGTACCGCGGGCCGCCGATTACGGAAGTGCTCTTTTGAAAGTTTACGACTTCTCCACTCGTACTATCTGCTCACCATTAGGGCAGCCTTCTCATCACCTTTATCTATAGAGTACATATGTCATCTTAATTAGGTGACACGCTATTTCTCATACCTCTCGGTAATTTCATGTTATTTGAGAAATTGACATTTTCATAGGAAATTTATCATATTGTTGCACATCAGTATTATGGCAAACATGTTCCTTGCATGTATTGCTTATATTCATAAAATCTATAAAAGGCGTGTGATTTGTTTGTAGACGCTGGTTCGTTTTTCAAAGAAAAATTCAGAGAGAATGATAGCAGCAGCAACGATGATATTATAGGCTTTGTGAAGGAATAACCATGAGTGAACTTCAAAACGAACAAACATTATCAATCCAGGAAGAATATGATCTTTGGAAATCTAATGTGCCGCTAATGTATGATTTTGTCAGCGAGACCAGGTTACTCTGGCCTTCCCTGACTATGCAGTGGTTACCGAGCGATGGACCTTCAGCTAAGCAACAAATGATCCTTGGTACCCATACATCCGGTTCCGAACAAAACTATTTGAAAATTGCATCAATCGATTTGCCTAAGGAAGTTTCCGATGGCATAGACGTGCCCCTAGTTGATGGTGGTGAGGAGGTGCAGCAGGCTGTTCAGTCGCGAATCAAAATTAATAAAAAGATACCACATGAAGAGGAGGTTACGAGGGCTAGATATTCGCCAAAAAGTCCCAACATAGTCGCAAGTATAAATGGTCACGGCAAAGTCTTCTTATTTGACATTACTGAGGACTCCGAAAAGGCCTTGCGAGCGGAGCTATGCTTTCACAGGGAGAACGGGTATGGTTTAGCTTTTAGTGGTTTGACTGCAGGCGAGTTGTTGTCAGGTTCTGATGACGGAACCGTTGCACTGTGGGATACCTGTGCTATTAAGGTATCCTCCCCGGTGAAAGTTATTACTAGCCATACTGATATTGTAAATGATTGTAAGTGGCACGAGTTTGATGAGAATCTGTTTGGGTCTGTGTCAGAAGATAAGCATCTCATGATTCATGATAAGAGACAAAATGGACCTACATGTAGTATTGAACAATCTGAGCCCTTCAATACGATAGCGTTTAGCAAGCATTCTAGAAATCTATTCGCTGCAGCTGGTACGGACAGTTTAATTTACTTGTTTGATCTAAGAAACACGTCCAAGCCTTTGCATAGCATGTCAGGACATCAAGATTCGGTGACAAGCTTGGAGTTTTCGCCTCACCGTGATGGTATTCTGTGCTCTAGCGGGACAGATAGAAGGGTATTGTTATGGAACCTTGACCAGATCGGTGCTGAAATTGCATCTGAGGATGCAGATGATGGTGTTTCTGAACTGATGATGATGCATGCGGGGCACAAAAGCGGAATAAATGACTTTTCTTTTAATCCTAACATTCCATGGCTAATGGGTAGCGCGGAGGAAGAAAACATTGTCCACGTTTGGAAAGTAAGCGAGAAAATTACTGAGCTTGGGCATATGAAGCATTACGATATTAATTCCTTGGAATAAATTACATTGTTTTTAATAGACGCTATGATAACGAAAAGATAGAATAGCATAATATTACTGAATTCTAGAAAGCTCCTCCATGAAAGATTGGAAGCACTCAACGAATGTTTCCATAGCATATCCCTCTGGATAGTGAATACATATGTTCAAACCAAATTCATCTGAATAACAATACGATATCGACATAAAGGCGTCAGAGTTACGGCTACTAGTTAAACAGACGTCCTTAATGTGATATGTCATTTCTTCTGCGGTACAAAACTGCTGGTTGGTAACGTCATTAATCTCAATTATCTTTGATTTAACTGTCTTTCTCGATTCACTTTTCGTGAATTTCATTCTCTTTATGTCGTCATCATTGAACTGACATCTTTCCCAAGTTCTCATCCTCTGCTTCAAGCAACCTGAGACGTACGATACGGATTCTCTAAATTGATACTCCAGTAGCGATTCTTCAAACGCGGGATCTCTTTCACTTGGCTTGACGTTAGAGGGATCATATCCGTTGTAAACGTTAAGACCCTTAAATATTCTGTCATTTATCAGAGAAAGTGGACAATCAATTAAAATGTCTTTGTAGTACAGGCCAAATGGGGTTGACCATGGTATGCTGTCTCTAAGATCGACCGGAACTGAAAAAGTGATACTGCCATCAAACTTTCTGACAAGAGGTTTTAGGCATAACAGCACGATAGCACATATGAAGCTCCTAAGGCAGATATTTTCTCTATTGATTATTTTCTTCAGACTCTGAAATCTGTCAGGACTTATATTCCCAAAAATAATAGTACCACATAAATCCCGTGTTCCTGAAAGAATATCAGTGTAGTGTGATTGGTAAGACTTAGCAGTACCTGTCTGGCCAGATTCAAGAAACTCTAGAGGCTTTTTAACAGTGAGGTTGTAAACAGATTTAAAGAATGCCCTTGTTTGCAATTGGAAAAGATCGCTTGCAATTGCTGGTAGGTGGAGTTTAGGATTCTCAAATATTGATTTCTGGAGAATTCCGCTGCCAGCTTTATACTTAAACAAGCAGTCTGAAACGGGCGCTTCGCTAGCTGTCAACGAATTAAGCGAACGTAAGAACAGTTTGTGAAAATTTGCAGCAGCAAAGATGTCAAATAAGACATCATGCCCATGAAACACAACCATCGTTTCGTCGACAATAAAAAGTTCCCAAAGAGGTTGTTGCTTTCCAAGAGAAAATTTGCTCTTATCGAAAATATGGCGTAGAAGATAAGGTGGTATACCATTATGGCAATTAACCAATTCATCCTTGTAGCTTTCAAATTCCACCTTGCGAATCACATCGTCAACGGTTATTTGAAGTACAGGTTCAAACTGCATGCATTCATTGATTGTCGTAAAAAGCTCGACGTTATCTCTGATCATGCTCGATAGCGCCTGATATACCAATGATGAAGTTAGCCGCTGATCTCTAACGGTTAGCAAAGTTGCGTCATCATTCCATGTTTCTTCTCTACCGTTGCCTTTTGAATATGCAGCTGAAAATACAACACCATTTCGCTCACCATTGATGGTTTCTATACATATTCTTTTCTCGACTGATGTTAAATTTCTTAAGGGCTCGCGGACAAAAGATGGCATTATTCCGAGTTCTTATCCTTTTGGTTTTTGACCAACTGTGGGACATATACAGGCCATATTCTCTAAATCGCATATCGAAACCGAACAGCTTTTATAACCAATTGAAAAGCCTCGTTTATCTTTGCTACATGCTTGTTTGATCCATTGAATTCGCTACTGTTGGCAATGACATCGTATAGCTCTTTCGTTTAGTTTGACTTTCACAACAAAGTCCGTACGAGGTAAATCATATACAAAAAAGTTCGAAGCATATCGAATGTACACCTGGGGAAGTTATCGCAAAACCATCATGGTCCCGAAACGACGGGTGGCTGTGTTCCTTAGATCTTATAGGATCATTTTTGGCAGGCGGAAAAAGTTCTGGGTTGCCAGTATTCTAACATTTCGTTATCGGGGACGTTCACTCTGGTCATTTTGGGATATTGTTGACCCCACAGAATCCTGGAATGCGAAATAAATTTTACACTACTATACGGTTTATAATCTGGTACTTGAAGAATTAGTGATAGACTGACCAAAGGCATTAAGGTCGGAAGTCCAAATAGTAGGCGTCTTTGTGCAGTCATTTTTCCAGGGCCTTGTGGCGATTTTGTTTCTTACTGTCAAGCCAATTCATAAAATCCAGGAAGATGGAGACACCAAACTTACCCTCTAAAAGCCAAGATTTTAAGGTCTTAGTATAAAGATCGATCAGCTGATCATAGCCATTATCGTCTGTTGACATATCAACGATTAACTTAGACAAAAAGAGTGACGCAGAGGAGCACGCTGCGAAATATAGAGATTGAAATTGACCTCCTTTTGAAACAAGTAACATTTCATGAATTTCTGTTAGCATAGACATAACTTGGGAATGTATTTCTTCTGTGACAGATAATTCAAATGACTTCCATCTTGGTTTGCAAATTCTGTTTTTGATTAGCTTTGATACTTTTTCAGCAAGTGCTCTATCAAGAGTTATCCTTAAACAAGAGATTAGCGGACTTAATGTTGAAATGAAATTAATCATGAGATTCAAATGACTTCCGGAAGATCGCTTCAAAAAGTTATCCAAATTTCCGACGTAAATTTCAATCATGTCTACCACCCTATGTTTGAAAGCAATTACATTTTCCCTAGATTCCTGTACCTCTTGCTTTCTTTTGTTTCCTGTTGATATGGCTGACAGGGCTTCTTTTCTCCTCTTGAAAATTTCTGACAATTGGCCATCAAGTTCCATCATTTTTTCATCATCTAATGATGTTTCACTTAGAACATCTTCGTCATCTTCGGAGCTATTCAGATCTTCAATTTTGACCTCTCCTTTTTCATCAAAAATTGTGTCAGGCAGATTTAAGGCTCTTGCAAGAGCACTCGTGGCTTCCTTATCAATTTTTTCTACGTTATCATCAGAATAATCGCTTTCTTCTGACTGACTCACTTCGGTTTCCTCTGAGACTTCCTCCAAATCTAATTCATTGACATCCTCTGTTGCAGATTCCTCGTCATTATTGTCAGCCTCAAACAATGCTGCGAAACCTTCTTTGTTCTCCCTGGCCGTTAATACTCCAAATAGAACATTGAGTTCAATGAGTGATACATCACCACAAAATAGCTCCCATACCTGGAGACTCAGTTTTTTCAAAAGCGCTTTTTTCTGTGATGCGAAGGAGAGTAGGATTTCTGTGAGACCAACTAATGTAGTATTCTCCTCAGAATGGTTCAGAGAATCTACTAAGCTCATGAGGTCTTCCAGAACTAAAACGGATTCTGTATCGCCGGAATACACTAACAGAAGTGTTACTGAGAACAGTAATTCTAAACCGCGTAATTGGGCGGTGGGCGAATTTGCCAACTTTGAGGAAATAATCTTGTGTTGAAGCAAACCTCGTTCAACTATTTCTTTTATTTCTTCGTCCATGGAATTCAGCAGTCTAAGAGACTCACGTTTCTCGCCCAAAATATCCAATGCGACGTGAGGCCAAGACGCATATCCAGAAAGTTTATCATTTGCCGAGAAAAGCTCAGCAAGTATAGAGAATAACCTGTCCCTAGCGACAAGTTCCAAACCACTCAGGGGCTCATTATCCTCTGATTCTTTGGCAACACTATCGCATGTCTTAAAAAAGCCTAGACATATTAAGCATTTCAACAGCGGATTTATCCAACTTTCATCACTGTCAATTTTGTGACCACGAACAACATGTAGCAAGGTATCTAGTACAAATGTCCTTGTCTTGATGTCATTATCGCTCATCGCTTTAGCAACTAGCATGTTGACTAGCGCGCTAATATTTGATTCTGTCAATCCTTTATTATTGATGAGAGAATTAATTGTTTTAGTCTTTGTAATTTTGTCAAAGTTAATACTTCCACTTTCGCCAAAAAGAAGCGAGCTCGCAAATGCTATAGTTCTACTTGGCTGTTTTTGACATGCCTTAACAATTGAGTTAAGACTTTTTTGAGCTATTTTGTGAAGGTTTCTATCAGCGTCCGATGCTTGATTGATCAAGCATCTTAGAAGATTCTTCGAAACGACTACTTGTATCAAATGATCTGGGACGAGATCAAAAGCTTTCTCTGCAATCAGAAGTCCATGATACTTTCTTTCACTCGATGATTTGTCGCTGAAAAAAGATTCATCTATTACAAACTTCCAAAAGTCGGGAAATTCAATGTAACGACCTTTTTCCTTTTTGCTCTTCTTCCGCTTCTTTGAAATGTGAGTGGGCTGTTCTTCCAAACCTCTAATCAACACTTGCAGTATCAGATCCCACACAAAGTGCAGCCTGGAGTTCCATGTTCCTTTTTGTTTCAAGCCCGTGTCATCTACAGGCGAAGAATCTTTGAGCACCCCTGCAATTGTAGGCAAGTTTCCTTTAGTCAATGGATCGTTGTACTTCCACGCTGGTGTCACGGATAGTTTCTCCAATGAATCACTTTCCGCGATAATGGTTCTTGTGTGATCACAAACATGAATGAAGTAGATGTAAACTGCCAAACCCTCATTAGTTAGTGTTAAACCTCTTTTATCAAGCAATTGTAGAATTCCTACAATAGGCTCCCAAGAATCAAAAAAAGGTGACAGCTTTTCAAGCGCCTGATAAATTGTGTAAAAGCAAGGTTCCCGAATCCAGTTCTTTTGAAGAGCTGTTTGAATTAGAGAATCCACGAATTTCATTGTGAAGCCCACATTCAGTAAATTTGACTCACTCTTGAAAATTTTGGAAAATAGTGGTTCATTTAAAAGTGCTTGAAATCCGAACATCTTACCGAACAAAAGACCCCGCTCCTCTTTACCGTTCTTGACGGCCTCTCTGAACAATGCTCCTTGAAGCAGATCCATATAGTCATCGATAGAGCCAAGGAATTTCTTTTCGAGCGCTAACGAAACAACTTCAGTCAAGCATAGAGAAAAGCCTAAGCGAGCACCATTTCTACTTGATGCAAGACCTTTTATGAGTCTATTTAACACATATTCCCATTCTTTTGACTCATTCTTAATCTCTGAGAGTTCCTCAATCAAACCAATCGTTGCCCGGACCCGTTCTTCTTGTAAGTCAGAGGCTAATTTATAAAACCAATCTCGGCTAACTCTTTCGATCATGCTAAGAGCCTTTGAATCGAGATCGAGTAACTCTGAACTTGAACGGCAACGCATCTCAAAAGTTTTTGATATCCAAGATGAAAAACTTTCTAATCATGTGACTGAAGCATGTACTGTTACCCGGGCTTGGTGAAAACAATGTGGGCTTAATATTCTTATTGACGAGCCAATCAGGGGCTGCTTCTTTAAACTTCGTGAAGAAAAATGAGGACATATCAATTAACTAAATTTCTCAAGAAATTTGATTAGCGAACTTTTGAAAACTATTCACAAATAAAGAGTAATTATGTCTGCCTGGAGAAAAGCTGGTTTTACTTTTAACAACTATATGGCCATTGCTGCTCAAACTGTTCGGTCCGCTTTGAAAACGGAATTTCAGACAGCCCAGGTTCTAAGTAGGTCAAAGACCGATGCCAGATATGCCAAGTACGAGAAGGGTAGTGCTGTTTCTGATTCAGAGCCACTCAAGGACTGAAGCATTAGGTTGCAAGGGTGCTCGGTCTCAGCTATCTCTTAAAAACTTATCACGAATTATAGGACACGTTTTGGAGCGCAGTCTCCACCTCCTTCAGTTTATACTTCAGGGGAGACTTTTATAAGTAGAGTCAAATTGAAACAAGTGTTTACGGTAAATATTCTAAAAATTGTTGTTGCTACGCTAAGCTGTTACTCTGTCGCTTTTCGCTTTCATTTCCAGTTTTTTTCCTCTGTTTAATCTCGAAATATAATCCACGGCAGAACCCCAATCATCACCGTGGGAATGATGGGCATGAGACAAATAAGGTTACCTTCATTTCACATATGTTTTAAACAGCGGCATATCCTGGGGCGTGCTCATTTGTTGCCTTCATCATGTGGCCTTGTCTTCACCGCTGTAAGAGGTTTAAAGATGCAACGAGTAACTCCACATTGTATTCCAAGTAAGTTGCCGGTACTGAATTTAAAGGCGAAAAGCTACAATCAAGCACTTGCATTTAATACTGTTAAATTCTACTCAACAGCTGACAATAGGAGCAAAGACAGGCCGCGAAAGAGAAAGGCTACAGAAGTAGCCAAGGAGCTAGAGCCAACAAATAGTAGCTATAAGGAGATTTTACGTTTATTTCGTCTGGCTCGCCATGATTGGAAGCTCCTAGCTTTGGCGATTGGTCTTTTAACTGTATCATCGGTGGTGGGAATGACTGTACCTAAGGTCATTGGTATGGTACTAGATGCAACGAAGACTGCTCTAACGAGCGAGGAAAAGCCAGTCAATCTTGACGACTTACCCCCAATTGCTTATGGACTTGGTCTCTACGATTTTTTTGGTTTATTTGCGGGAGCATTGCTCTTGGGCACTGTTGCTAACTTTGGTAGGGTGGTGCTCCTGAGGGTTCTGGGCGAAAAGCTTGTAGCTCGACTGCGCTCAAATGTTATTAGAAAAATTATGCATCAAGACGCAGAGTTTTTCGATCGCAATAAGGTTGGGGATTTGATATCAAGGCTGAGTTCTGATGCATATGTGGTCTCTAGATCGATGACACAAAATGTATCTGATGGTTTCAAGGCGATAATCTGTGGAGGAGTAGGTATCGGCATGATGATTCATATTTCGAGTACATTAACTGCGGCTCTTTTCCTCTTTGCCCCGCCGTTATTGGTAGGTGCCACGATATATGGTAAGAAAATCAGGGCAATATCAAGAGAGTTGCAGCAAGCAACGGGTAATCTAACGAAAGTCTCCGAAGAGCAGCTAAGTGGGACGAAAACTATACAATCATTCGTTGCAGAAGGCAAAGAAATACACAGGTATAATAACGCTATAAGAAAGGTGTTCAGTTTTGGCAAGAAGGAAGCTTTAACAAATGCTACCTTCTTCAGTACAACGGGCATTATGGGTGATTTGAGTTTTCTTATCGTTCTGGCCTATGGGTCACATTTGGTATTGCAAGGAGGTCTTTCCATCGGTGATTTAACTGCATTTATGTTATATACAGAGTATTCGGGAAGTGCCGTATTTGGTCTTTCGAATTTTTACTCTGAGTTGATGAAAGGAGCTGGTGCAGCTTCACGTCTGTTTGAAATGACGGATCATAAGCCTTCTATACACTCTACAATGGGCTCGAAATATATACCTGGCCCTGGTAGAATTGAATTTCAAGATGTGTCGTTCAGTTATCCAACTCGTCCCACTAATCAAATTTTCAAAAATCTCAACTTTACTATTGAACCAGGCTCTAATGTTTGCATTGTGGGTCCTTCTGGTAGGGGCAAGTCCACAATTGGCGCGCTATTATTGAAATACTACAATCCTACAAGCGGTAAAATAAGCATTGATGGTCAAGATATATCAAAGTTAAGCAGCAAGTCTCTAAGGCGCCATTTGGGAGTGGTTCAACAAGAACCCATGCTTATGTCTGGATCAATTAAGCACAACATAATTTATGGTTTGCAGAGACTTCCTGAAATGGACGAAATTCGTTCCGTGGCAAAGAAGTGTTTCTGTCATGCATTTATTACACGTTTTCCGGAGGGTTATGACACAATTATTGGTCCAAGAGGGGCATCTCTAAGTGGTGGTCAGAAACAACGAATTGCGATTGCTAGGGCTTTGATCAAGAAACCTAAAATATTGCTCCTTGACGAAGCTACATCAGCGCTTGATGTTGAGAGTGAAGGGGCAATCAACTACACCTTAGGTCGACTAATGAAAAGTAAAGAGATGACCATAATAAGCATCGCTCACCGTTTAAGTACAATTCGCAGGTCCGAGAATGTCATTGTCCTGGGAAATGATGGATCAGTTGTGGAAACTGGTAAGTTTAAGGAATTGTATAATAATGAAGGAAGTGCACTTTTCAAGCTTCTAAATGAAACAGGTAAAAATGCAGTCAATCCCTCCACTTCTGTGCGAGTTTCGAACTTGGATGGAGCGGAAAGTAAAGAAGGCACAAATTCTCAAGATAAGAAGAGTGAAGAAGAAAAGCTCATCGAGGAACAAGTCCTCGATCAAGTTCTTCAGGACATGACTTATGACCAAAAATCGTCGTCGCTCAGGCCATAATGAGAGTTTAATGTGATGGAGAGATTGCACAAGAAACTAAAAACAATTTATTCTTTTAACTAGGGAAGAGACATAGATAGAAAACTTCCTGTATAAACACCTAAATATAAAACGGGTCTCTTTGTAACAAGACTATCTGCAATTGAGATCAATGAGGAGAATTTCGTCTTTTTTGCCTTAACATATGGTGCTCAAGCAGAGATGCATTAGACACTTTTCGAGTTCCAATGAACATTCAATTGATCAATAATTAATACGTGACAAGAAATTCAGATAACACATGATAACTTTAGACGATTATACGTCCAAATCGTAAACAAAACACACACGTAGCTTAGTGAGCAATGGCCTTCGCGGGGCCTACAGAATATCCTATGCCACCGAATCAGCAGTTTTCAACATTAGTGGAAAACTGCTCACTTTCGCTCCGAGAAACTACTGCAGTTCTTCTGAATGATTCATCGCGGGACTCTTCAATTCACCACTTGATATCACTTCAAGATATCTTGAAAGATATCAGAAATATTTTTTGTCATATTTTCGATTTCACCTTGAGTGAACCAAAGGATGTTTTCCCTGTCCTTAATTGGATAGAGGATGGTAGAGGGAAGTTTTTTGAAATTTTTAATGATTTAGCAAGTATAGAAGTTTGCTTGTTGAAGATATTAGATGATGTTGAAAAACAGATCTCAGAGGGATATCAGGATGAAAAATTTGAAGCGCTTTTCACTGCAGTTGAAAATTGCTCGAGTTTGTCAGACGAGTTAAAAAAGCTTCTGAATTCTTCAAGACCCATATTCGATACCACTCTCGAATTCAAAGAAGTATATGATGACCACCTCAAATCTTTGGATGCTGTAATTGACGAGAATTTAAAACTGTGTTCTGAAATAAGAAGTCAATCAAATGACTTTCTTAATCAGCAAATTCCGGAACTCAACTTAGATCAACTAGTACTAATGTTAGCATCCAACTTGGAAGCTACAAGAATTAAAGTTCCTACTTTTTCGAATCTTGATAAGTGTATTCTTCAAAAATATTTCACGGTAGCTGAAAGTATCAATCCAATAGAGAAAAGCCTGATAGATATATTACTGCCTAGAATCAATGAGTTTGAAAGGCGGGAGATTCTAAATTCTCTGCGGTTATATGACGTTTTGGAGAAGAGATACAGTCAGATAAAGGAAAAATTTCAGCAACTAAATGATAATATTCACGCCATCAAGAAAGTAGTAGTGGATACTCGATGGGAAACTTTATTCACAAATCTATATGTGGAGGTGAAGAACAGTATTGTGAAGAGTAAAAAAATGCTTTCTGAGATAAAAACTGATAACCGTTCGCCTAACAAGAGAAAGGATGTGATAAAAACCCTCCGACATGAAAGAAATGCTATAGATAAAAGTTTCGATATTTTTCATCAAGCTATTGTTGAAAGTTCTCTCGTTACGTTGCAGCTGGCGGAAAACATCAACAACTTGGGTGCTGAATGGGTGTCGCTGCAGAGGAGCATAGATCTGGTCACTTCTTCTGAGAAAAGAGAGACATCTGAATTAATTTCACAATTGAGCAGGATAACTTTGAATGGTAAGAATGATGGTAATTCTTTGCCTAGCAGAAATCCCAAACATCTTGATAACAGCAAAGACCTGCGAAAAGTCGGGGCTTTACTCTTTAAAAGGATGAATATTCACCCTATTATTGTAAAGAACAGTCCGAAATCTGCCAAGAAGGACAACACTCTGTATAGAAATGACTGGCCTCGGAATGCAGTATCGAGAGCGTTACGCTTCAAACCAATACCAGATTTAGGTTACGTGGACAAGGAAAATGGAGACATCGAACCGAAAGAGATCAGTTATACGCTCAAGAGAGAGAAAGAGTTAATAAGTCACTACCGCAGCCAAAAGTCAAGAATCCCAAGGCTAAACGAAGAAAGCAGGAGAAAAACAAAACGTTGTGCGATGACATCGCCCAAACATCTGAATCCGTCTATTAAGAATAGTACGGGAATAAGCATGACGAATCCAAAACCCTTGAGAAATACGATACCGCGACCGACACTAACGACCGCTCTTTTGGCAAGCTCTCCAGTTGACCCTTGGATATGACTAAATGCGTGATGTACGTATATGATGATATAATGATATAATCTTTTTGATTGTGATACTTAATCTGCTCTCAATGGTGGGCTTTACCAGATTCGTTGACGTCGATTTAGAGTTATTTCATAATTTCAAGCTGAATTTGGTGATCAAAGAAAGTTTAAGAGTTTAGGCTCAGCGTTGGTTTGTCGAAAAACCGTGCAGTATGGGCCAGGCACCAGTTGACAGTACATTGCAAGATAGAGAGCCACTCAATTTCAACATAGAAGCTGAACGTCAGAAAGCTACTGCTATAAATAAGATCAATCGAAGCGGAATCATATCGGGCACCCGCAATAACTCTACTGAATCTATTGTAAGTAATGACAGCACTCACTCCAGTCTAACAAGAAATTTGAGAGGAATATTTAGGAAGACCTCTAGTTTTGTGTCAGGCTTCAAATCACAGCCCGATTTCAGCGACTTAGGTCCTCTAACATACACTCCATCCCTCGCACCTGCGAGAGAATTCGTTTTTCAAGAGGAAAGCCCCTGTGATGATAGGAAACTCGAAAAACTGTGTGCAACTCTGGAGTCTGGCATTTGGCTAACAAAGATCACTCGGAGAAAGAGGGTTTACTATCATTTCACGGTGAAAAATGGGACGATCTGTTGGAAGGATGACAAGCACATTGACCTAGACTCGATCAAAGATATTCGTACAGGGGAGTTGGCAAAAAACTATATCGAGGATTATCAGGTTCCGTTAAATTACGCTAGCAGCTGGATAACCATAATTTATCAAGTTTCCAATAAGCTAAAAGCGCTACATGTGATTGCTGCGAACCAGGAAGATTTTAGAAAATTTTACTACGGCCTTCTCGGCATTGTTAGTTCACGGCGGGAGTTAATGAAAAGCATATCAGTACCAGATAGTGAACAGTTTGCAAATATACACTGGAAGGCCAATGTTTCCTTTAATAAAGTTGATGAAGAAAGAGATACACTTTCTTTTGCGGATGTAAGAAAATTGTGTTCGAAATTTAATATCTACTGTTCGAGTGAACACCTCGAAAAATTCTTCAAGCTCGCTGATATCAATTCAAATGGTCTACTTAATTTTGAGGAATTCAGAAGATTTGTTAAGTTACTAAAAAATCGCGAAGAAGTTAATGAGATATGGAAATCACTGACTGGAAGTAGAGATTATATGGATTTTGCTTGCTTTTCAGATTTTCTAGAGCGAGTGCAAGGGGAGACTTGTGACCAGGCGGTATTTGAAAAATTATTCGACAAGTTCTGTACAAATAAGGGTATTTTGCAGGAAGAAGGGTTTTTAAAGTTTTTAACATCCCAGCCATACATTGAATACCACCAAGAAGATTACTCTAAACCGTTAAACTATTATTTTATTTCTTCTTCCCATAATACTTATCTTCTTGGAAAGCAATTAGGTGAAAATCCGACAGTCGAAGGCTATATCCAAGTCTTGCAGCAGGGATGCCGTTGCATCGAGGTAGATATTTGGGATGGTGAAGAGGGTCCAGTGGTTTGTCATGGGATGTTGACGGGGTCAATTCCACTTAAAAATGTTCTTGAGGTGATAAGGAAGTACGCTTTCATAACGTCACCTTTTCCGCTGATATTGTCCCTAGAGATACATTGTAAAAAAGAGAATCAACTGATTACGGAAGTTTTGCTCAAAGAGTTACTGGGTAGTAAAATATTCACTGGGCGGCCTAGATCCGAATTACCTTCACCACTAGAGCTTAAACACAGAATCATTTTGAAATCCAAGAAATCGAAGATTGAATTCACCACTACCACGGGAGACATAACAAACTTAATCTCTTCATCTACAAGTTCCTCATATGACTCTGAATATGATATCATACCTGATCAAGGGACTAAAAGAAAAGGAATGCGTAGACTAAGCCTTTCGAAAAAGATTCAAGTCAGTGAAAGCTTGCTTCTGATTTCTGCGATACATGGTCTCAAATTCAGAAACTTTTCACTTCCTGAGTCAAAAACACCCGATCATTGTTTTTCGATTAACGAAAAGAAACTTGAAAGTCTGGTAAAGGATGAAAACCAAAGACTGGCAATTGATAAACATAATAGAAGACATTTGATGCGTGTTTACCCTCACGCGCTAAGATATAAATCTTCAAATTTTAATCCTACAAAGTTTTGGAGGTTGGGTGTTCAAATGGTCGCCACTAATTGGCAGACACATGATCTCGGTCAGCAAGTTAACGAAGCTATGTTTCAAGTTCCATATGAAAAAAACTCTTTGTGGCATTCAGGGTACGTGTTAAAACCTCATTACTTACAAACTGGTATACACAAAGCTAGTGATATTTTGGAGTTGTACGAGAATCTGGAACGTAGAGCAATACGCCTCGAAATCGACATTTTATCAGCACAACTTTTACCGAAAACGAGAGAGACAAAAGAAAGAGATTTTTCTTTCAATCCGTTTGTAAGCCTTGCATTTATTTGTGATGGCTCTCCAAGACAATCTTTAGAAGTTATGAATGGTGTTACATATACCGAGACGTCCGGGGCAACAAGCCAATGTAAGGAAAATGGCTTTAATCCTATCTGGGGAACAAAGTTCAAGATCACTCTCAAAGATGATAAGCTGAATTTCGTTATATTCACAGTGAAGGCTGGCGATTCTATTCTCGCCACCTGTTGCTTGAAGCTTGAACATTTAAAAAGAGGTTATCGACACCTTCCGCTGTACAGCATTACTGGAGAACGTTACATTTTCTCGACCCTATTCATTAAGACTAATTACGACAGTTTAAATTAAGATGCATCTACTTTAAGACATCATGGCATACATATCATATAGGCGCGCAAGTCTTTTTTATTTAAGCTATATTTTCGCGCCGTGAATTTGATGTGCGCGTTAAGGTATCTTTCGCGTCACAGAAGATTAGAAGAAAAAGTTCCTTAAAAAGGAGCATAAAGAGGTCTTTCAATGTGAAATTTTGAGCATTAGATCACATACTTCAGTATGGCAATAAGAGGAATACCAAGTGAAAGAACACCACTATCCTTAAAGAATGTCAATACGAAGAATATAGTGAGTAAGAATCCTTTGAAGACGTCACCCCTCAAAAACCGAAGAAATTTGGTACGTTCACAAGGATCCTACTCTGAGAGAACGAAACACATCATTCAAAACAGACCAGAACCTTCATTCCACTTTCATGAAGAAACTGCAGAAGAACGAGCTCGCATTTTAAGCAATCAGACGTCAGTGTACCGATCTTTGGTTAAAAACGAGAATGATTTTAATGGAATAAAAGAGAACCTGGATCCACTATCTTCATATTGTGGGCAGCAAAACAGAAAGGATGCAAGGTGTTCTAACAGAGACCCACTAACCGACTTAAGCACAGAGGAGTTTGGGGGTTTTATTCAATATACTGATTCAATGAAAGAAATACCTTTATCATTACACTGGCAGGACAAAATCACCCTACCAAGCTATATTACTCCTCCTAGGAACCCATACTTAAGAAATTTCTTCGATAGTGCACGTACTGTTAAGGCTGTCAAACTAACAGACTCCAAGACTACAGATGATATCTGTCAAGATAAAGTTGTGAGGAAACTCTCTTTTCGGATTTATGAGAATTCCCAAGGTTAATTGGAAAACGTAAACCTTATATTATTAATAACATCTTGGGCCAATGGGGCATAAGTCTTGATCACTGGACATGACTTAAATGCGTTTGGTCAGAGTAAGTTACATATGCATAACGCCATCTCAAGGCCATCGTTAAGATCCTGTATCAAAGCTTATCTTTTTAGTGTGGTAAGTATCCTTGAAGTCCTAAAGATCATCAAAAAGCAAGTCCGTTCTATCCCCACTTGAAACGGATATCATTGAGTACTTGAGAGAAGAGCTGATCTCATCCACTCAGTTGTGCCAGTCATACTTGACGAACTCTCATGGAGGACCCCAAGTTTTGTAGGATCACTAGTTTTTAGAAAAGCAGACCCAAACTGGAAATTGCTATATAATCTTTTTCAAAAAAAAAAAAATAGTTGCTTCTTGATAAGGATCCTATAATGAGAGCTGTATATCAGTCTTCAATGACTATTGGCTATGAATAGCTTTGTCTGATCAAAAAAATTCTATTTGTGATTTGTTTTATTTCTCAAATACCAGGTAAGTGTCAACTTGTCGGTCATTTTTCACTGAGCGAAAAAAAATATTTTTTCCCCAAGATGCAAAGTGTCTTCTTCACTTTGTCTTCAGTGTCACAATAGAAACCTTTTTCGGAAAGCTCACACAAAACAAAACTTAAATATAAAAAAGTAAGCTTGCTTTTAAAACAATATAAAAACATAAAAATTGACAAAATGTTTAGAAATTTAAGTTTAACATAAAATAAAGTTCAAAGAAAATCAAATTATAGTAGATTATGTTTTGTTACAAAATTTTTTGTTTTATGACTCACGTGATAAAACTTTCATAAAAAAGAACTATTTGAAAATTTCTTTTTTTTTTTGTAAGACCTCATCACCATCTCTCATCTCTCCTAGTTAAACTTACTTCCACTGTAATGGCAGATAAGAACCAAGAAGATCCCCTTCTCAGCGCTGTGTTAAATACTATAAGAGCATCAGTCTCTCTTTCAGCACAAGATGTCGAGTTTTTCAGGAGTCTTGATCCCGATATTTCTGCCTCTGTTGATCAAACAGCAAAAGGCGTTTTGAATCTTATTAACGATATTCTACTGTCGGTAGATGGAAATGAGGAAGTTATAGAAAGTGGGAAAGAGGGTCTTGAGAATGCATGGAAGAACGTTGGTGAGGTTATGGATACATTATTCGAGAAGTCGGACCATGCGTTTTCAGCTATTCGTAGGACGGACAACAATAATAAGACAAACTATCAATATCTCGATGATGCGCCCTCAGTAGATCAAAATCATAGATCCAAAAGAATTGAGAAGCCTCAATTGAACTTCAAAAGGCCAGTAGATAATTCAGAGCTACAGCCCTTTAAACCTTTGCTTAAGTCAAAACCGCACTCTATTATATCACTCAGCGAAGTTCTCAAAATATTACCTGCTGAAGAGAATGTTCCATCACATTATGCGCAACCCTACGAGCATGAAATTGATAATCAAAAGTATAGCAATTCGGTGCTTGAGGTGCGAGACCCAATTTCCCCTCAACCGTGGGAGCAAACAGAAGCCACATGGGTAGATTCAGCAGAAGCTCTGAATAAAATGGTAAGCGAATTAAGATCTGCCAATGAAATTGCCGTTGATTTAGAGCATCATGATTATCGCTCTTATTATGGTATTACCTGCCTGATGCAAATAAGTACTCGCAATCAAGATTGGCTAGTTGATACTATTGCCCTGAGAGATGACCTGGAAGTTTTGAACGAAATTTTCACTGACCCCTTGATCTTGAAAGTGTTTCATGGTGCCTTCATGGATATTATTTGGCTTCAAAGAGACTTGGGTCTTTACGTCGTGAGTCTTTTTGACACTTATCACGCTTCCAGACTTTTAGGATTTCCGAAGCATAGTCTTGCTTATTTGCTGGAAACAATTGCTCATTTTAAAACTTCGAAGAAGTACCAATTAGCAGATTGGCGAATTAGACCCCTATCGAAACCTTTGAAAGCATACGCGAGGTCTGACACTCATTTTCTTTTGTACATTTACGATCATTTGAGGAATTCTCTGATAAAACAAAACAAGCTGGCCCAAGCTCTTAATGATTCAAGGAATGTGGCTAAGCGCCGCTTCGAATATAGCCGATTCAAGCCGGTAATATCCTCTACTGCAGTCTATTCTCCAATTGAGAAAGATGAGCCCTGGAGAAATTTAATGTATCAATACAACCTTCCTTCTGCTAAAGAACCACTTGTGAAAAGTATATATGAGTGGAGGGATTTCATAGCGAGAAAAGATGACGAATCACCGAGATATGTGATGCCAAATCAATTGTTAGTTTCTTTGGTTGCTACAGCTCCGACAACCCCTACTGATGTTATGTCGGTGAGTACCCTACTTACTGATCATGTTAGATCAAATTCAAAGACCATTTCTAATCTCATCAAGGCAACAATGGAAACAATTCGAGAAGGGGCTAAACCAGGCCTTCCCTTGGAATTTTCAAAGGACTCGGATGCACAAAATTTAACTGTTAGCCAAATTCAAAGCATGCTCGAAGAGTATAAAAGGCTAGAGGGAAAGCTGAAAGCTAAATTAGCGGCTACTTTTTCTTCATCAGCAGAATCTGTTCTGTTTCATGGGAACTCTGACCTCGATGAAAAGGTGGTCTCGTATGAAGACGCGGTCAAAGTTGTTTCGGGCACTCAAGACTTGATTAAACGTAGGGATGCTCTCTTGAATGCCATCACTGATTCTCGCAAACCCACAATTATCGATATTGAGGTTACTGCGGGGAAGCCTGACGACGGGCCATCAGACTACATCCCTCAACAAGAAGTTTCACGGGCAGAAGAGAAATTGTCAACCCCCGATCCAACCGACATTATAGTGCTTAAGGAACGTCGGCAACATACCAAACCACAGAGAGGTTACTCAAAGGGTTCAGAAGAATCTGAGAATGTTTTGTATCTCGACAAGCAGAAGAAAATACTAAACGAGCGTGGTGGACAAACTCGCTTGCCAAAAAAGTCAAGAAAATTCGATCCCTATTCTTCAGATAACGTCGGACCACAGGTTGCCAAGAAGAGAAAGAAAGCACACGGAAAGCAAGGCTCGTTTAAGAAATAATTAGTGACCCCTTCCGTAGGTACCTCATCAACTTGCATGGTCGACTGTTTGATTCTCTTATACGAATCTATCTGTTTCGATGTACAATCCATACAGTCATCGATAATCAATAGAAAGTTTAGGAGCAAGCTTTTATTTCTGCAATATGTGTAAATTAAAATATTCTATCTTCAGCACCATTGAACTTGTTTCAGGTGTAATTATAAAAAAAAAGGTTAAGAGTATATATCTTCAGGTCTCTCTGTTCAACATTTTTAATATATTTTACATGGGGTGACATTAAGAAATTGTTGAATATCTTCAGTGAATGACAGGTTACAGACAGAGTATACAAAACATTATACAAAAACAAAGAAAACTGTTGGATGAACTCTCTTTCAGCTTGAATCAAACATAAGAGAATTCAGCCCCATCGTGTTCTCAGAAAACATTTTCGTTCATTTTCGGGAGTAACTATAATCTCCGATCCTTAATTGAAGTCGGCCTTGTAAGACGTCGAAGGTTCCGTTTTAGAATCAAAAGGATTTTCAATTTGTCTAGGTCTCGGATTTATATTAGGTTCACAGATAATACGGTTACCGCAAAACCACACAACTTTTTTTTACGACGTCGAGCACCCAATTATTTGACTAGTATCTTCATATAACTCGAGAAGATTAAAGAGCCATCTACATTAGCATGGCAGAGACTAAGGTGCAGCAGAGAAGTCAACGCAGATTCAAATCCGATCATAAAATGAGGACAGAAGCAAGAACTTTGCTAAAAGACACAAAACCTAAAGGAAGACGGAAGAGGTTATACTCTTGGGAGGAAATACCCGAATGGCAAAGAGATAATGAACATATTTTGCATGGTTACGTGCTTGAAACGAAAAGTGTATCAGAATGCTTGAAAAGCTTGTTGTATCTTCACAACGAATCTGTGAATATTTACACGCATTTAATTCCTGGTATTTGCTTTTTGTTGGTTGCGCTTTTCGATAAGTTTGCCATCAAGAAGTTCCCAAGTACAGGTCTCATTGACTACCTGATGATAGACTTTTTCTTTTTAGGTGGATTCACTTGTCTAATAATGAGCAGCACTTTTCATTGTTTCAAATGTCACTCACTGGAGATTGCGACTTTGGGAAATAAGCTGGATTATCTGGGGATTGTTGCATTAATTGTGAGTTCCATGATCAGTATTCTATATTATGGTTTTTCGGACAACAACGCATTTTTCTATGGATTTTCAGGCTTAACACTGGCATTTGGGATTGCCTGCTCAGTGGTATCTCTAAAAGAGAGGTTCCGTTCACGAGAGTGGAGAGCTTACAGGGCTCTTCTGTTCGTGGCATTTGGACTTTCTGCAGTGCTTCCAGTGATAGCTGGAATTATTTTTTATGGCGTAAGAGAGACATGGTCAAGAATTCAATTAAAATGGGTACTGTTGGAAGGTGTCCTGTATATACTGGGGGCCCTTCTATATGGTATTCGTTTTCCAGAGAGGCTTGCGCCTGGTTACTTTGACATTTGGGGCCATTCACATCAACTTTTTCACGTTCTAGTAGTTATTGCAGCGCTTTGTCATCTAACTGCGCTTCTAGGCTCTTATGAACGTTTTCATAAAGCTCTTGGCACTTTTTAAATAGCTTTAGATGATATAGTATGTAGCTTCCAATTGGCACTAATCCATAATGTGGCAAAAAATGCTTCCAACCAGAGTCGAACTGATGATCTCCACATTACTAGTGTGGCGCCTTACCAACTTGGCCATAGAAGCGGAACTTAGTGCTAACAGGTCGCTGGGGAAGAACACATACAATATAAATATTTTGAATTAATGATGAAGAACGGCTAGATTCTTCCTTTCAAGAATATATATCACGTGACATATATGAATTATTCACTCTCAGAAGTCTAAATTCCATCTGAAATTGTGGAGCTACGCTTACTTTGATACTCGAATGGCAATCGAGTTCAAAAGGCCATGGTTAGGGATCGCGATTCCTATATTTCTAATTGCATTTATAGGATATGGCGCTCATTACTTCATTCTGGCCAACTACATGCACTTTAATAGTCAAGTTTGGTTTGAGTGCAGCTTATCGATGATTTGGTTATCTTATTTCCTGGCAATCAAAACCGAACCGGGCGAACCACCACGAAACTTTCGTTCTCAAAAATGGCAGTGGAAACAGTTTTGCAATAAATGCAACAACTTCAAGCCTGAACGGACTCATCATTGTAAGAAATGTCAAAAATGCGTACTAGTTATGGACCACCATTGCCCTTGGACCATGAACTGCGTTGGCTACAGGAATTATCCACATTTTCTCCGATTTCTGTTTTGGATCATTGCTACAACAGCATTCCTTGGCTTTCAATTAGCGGAGAGGATCGGATATCTTTGGAGAAATAGAAATGATCGACTTTTTATTGGGAAAACAGAGATTGCATCTCTTGTCATACTGACGCCGTTAAATGGCTTTGTCCTCTTAACAATAAGCATTCTTTTCCTCAGGTGTGTAAAGAACCAGATCTTCAAAGGAATGACCCAAATTGAGTCTTGGGAGATGGATAGAATTGAAAACCTTTTCGAGAATAGACGTTTAATTCCACAACTAGTGGAAAACTTGAAGGAGTTACATTCTGACGCAAACTTGAATGACACTGATTGCCGCCGTTTACTATCGAGTAAACGAGTTAGATTTGATGATATCGTCAATTTTCCATACGATATAAATCCATGGATTAATGCAAAAACTTATCTCAATAGTATTAACTACTGGTTACTTCCCTGGGGATGCCCGGATGGACCCGGTACTATTTTTCAGAAGAATGATATAGCGCTATATGAACCCAACGCCCCGCTTGTGGATAAACTACTTTCCTTACCATGGCCTCCTGATGGAGGGCGCCAGAGGTCTGAAATAATAGAAAACTCTTTGAACGATGTTGAAATTTCGACCCAGGGAGGAGAGCATGTTATCAGGAAGAGATGGATAGATCCTCGCGTAACAATGCCAAGATCTGAATGGTACAATGACTGGGGAGAAAACCTTTCGGATTTTGGTGTTGATACTGATGCAGAAACTGGCCAAACGTAGTTTACTTGAATACAATACTCTCAATATACGACTAATACATTCAAAATTTTACACTTATATTATCATTACATCTCGTAGAATTTTCACTAGTCACTTCCTCCAACATCCTCTGTGGTAGTGTCTTCGCCTTGTAATTCATTTTCCCTTTGAATAACAGAGCCATTGGGTTCGGAGACACTATCAACTTTCTTTAATACTTGCTTCTCAGCAGACTTGTCATCGCTACTCGAAGTGAAGTTTTCAAGGGATCCATGAGCTTTGACAAAGTCGAAAATCTCTTGGCCCTTCTGATCACCATCTATTTTCAAGCCCTTTCTCCATCCATTTTTACCTTCTAAAAATGATGTGGTGAGTTTTTTCTTCTCCTCCTTCTTTGCTTCCAATGCTTGATCACCCGTACGAATAGGGAATTTATTGATTGAACTCCTGCTGAATAAATCCTGAGAGTTTGGCTCAATCTGAAGTGCGTATGTCTCAGGATTTACATTTATCTTCAATTTACTGATGGCAACCCCTTTCGGAGAATATCTCTCAGTATCGTCGTCTACTTCTTGGTCTTCTTTGATAATTTTCTCCAAAAACGGTACTTGAATGTCTTCATGATGGATGCCCTCAGTTGGGTGCGATAATGCATAGGAAGTGATATAGTACTTCCATCTGTCTTGAAGTGATTCGGGCTCCTTCAAAGTCAAATCGTCCACTGCGACAAACTGAATACAGACATGGTTAGTGCCTTTATTGAATTCAATGCGAAACATATTCTCTGCGATACCCATGTACGACCTTACTTGAAGACGATACAAAATCTGTTCTTTTGCACTAGTCGTGGTTAACTTTCTATCTTTCTCGAATAACATCATTATTTCGGCGGTTTTAGAATCTGTCATGATAGTGTGGGCATGTTTGACCAAAGCCTGGACAACCTTATCGACTGTGTAGATCTTGAAAGCTTTGTTCTTATAGGCTTGACGAAGGCTTTCTTCGAACCATTGATGCTCAATGTCATTCTCAATCAATCTCTTGCAGAGACCAAGCAGCTGGTCATATGCATTAGTGCCAGAAAAGTCCAGACCCATTTCGGCCAATTGAGTGGAGATCAAATTGAGGTCCTTAGCAAATTGAACCGTCCGCCTGCTTTTTATTTCGTCTGTAACTGCATCATTCATTTCCTTCACTTCCAATAGTCGTTCATACAAAGTTGTCAGGTGTCGGAAAAAGACATAAATGTTCGTGTTAGCAAACAAGTTAAAGCTCTTCCTGTTCGCGATAATCCCATGATCATCAGACTCATTCAAAATATTTCCTAGAAGCCATGGTTTTTTCGCCTCTTGCCTAATTATTTCTTCTTCTTCATTTTGTTCATTATTTCTGTCGGAATCCTGATCGGCAGACCCAGTTTCATCATCTGCTGCGGATTGCCTACTCTTATGATGTTTGTTTCGGTTTGTTAAGATATCTTTGAAGGAAATCTCCGCCTCTCGTGCCCTCTTCCCCGAGCCGTTTTCGTCTTGAATAAGAGCTTTATCATTACCATTACTCTGAGTCTTACTAACTCTCTTGACAAGGGCGGACTCCACATCTTGAGACGAATAGGAAAAAAATAGTGACAAGAAGGCCTTGAAGAATTCCAGGAGTTTATCTTTGTCTGAATTAGAGTAGGTTGCATTGTGTTCAATGAAAATATTCACAAGCCCTAAAACGTCATATAGCACATCTCTGTCAGAGAAAATATAGTCTAGCTGACTCTTGGGTTTAGGTGTTAAAGGATAAACCCTCTTATTCGATTGATCAACCTTAATGCTACTAATTTCAGATATCAATTGCTTGGCTGTCAGTAACTTCTTATCAGCCTGCTTAAATGTCAACCCTAAGTGATCAAGAGATTTGAAAAATACTTTTTGTTCTAATTCTCTCCAAACCTTATTCCATTCCCTTTGTGCTCTCCGCCATTCTTCATCTTTCTGCTTAAGCCTCTTCAAAACAATGGGCACAGACACTGCCGGATTTTCATGTAAGGCATCAATGATTTCAAACCCTCTATCTTTGTCATAAACCTTTCTTATAACTTTTTTGTAGATTGTTACAGAAGTATGACCCAATCCCGGAGGAAGTTTGAATGAGGCCTTCTCTTCAGAAGTCATGTTTGCTATCTTATTAGCAATGGTTTCCAAAGTTTGAATGGTCCTTAAGTTTGCTTCAATATAGAAATCATATTCGTGCCTTTCTTCTTCTATTTTGAACAAAGTTTCTTCATACTGATTTTTACGATGTGCAATGAATCCAGAATCTTCGGACGCCCATACAGGGTGGCCTACCCATTCGTCATTAAGCACTTCCCAGCACATCTCATCCCGGCCCGAGCAAGGCATGAAAGTATCTGTCTTGGGGAGTTTCTTATAACTAGGACCACAGGCTTCACAGAGGTCAAGATCCAATCTGTGCTTTTCATGTACGATATTTTCGATGTGCTTTGGTCTTTCGACAAATCCAACAAAGCTTTTGAACCAATCAAACAATTCCTTGTTTCCACCCAAGTAATATTCGACCTTACTTACCAGGTCATCGATATCCAATAAATCCTGAGAATATAAATTTAGAATTTTCAGGAACTCGGTATAAACTTGTTTGTTTCCTATGAATTTCTTGGCTTTGTCGAAGAAAGATGTTTCTTCCAACAAGTTCATGTCACTCTCTATGGGCTTGATGGGTTCAGGTATTACAGGCACCAGACTAGGATCTAAATCAATTTCTGGGCGTGAAATGGGCTCGTTATATTGTATTTCTTGTGAATGCACAGCATGTGGTGGGTAAACACCGTCCATTGTACTTCTCAGCTCTGAAACGGGGACACCATTATTAGAAATTCCTTGTGTAACAATGTGTTGTGGAGTTGGGCCAGCTTGATTGGAAGTGATATCAACACTCGGATGTTGAACAGCAGGTAGGCTGACTTGATGTTGCTCGCCTTCACGACCATTAATTGGTGGGGAAAAGCTTCCTAAAGGTGGCAGATTTTGATGAGCGACACCTTGTTGTGGATAAAAGGGTCCTCCGCCGCCATTAATGGAAGTCGCATGCGGATGCTGCTGTTGCACTTGCAATTGCTGCTGCTGCTGTTGTTGTTGCTGCTGCTGCTGCTGCTGCTGCTGTTGATGCTCTTGGGCAGCTGTTGCATCTGGTAAAAATTTTTTGAAGTCATTCAAAAGATCAGGAGCATGCTGGAACAACACAGTCACTTGAGCGTATACTTCATGGATTGGCTTTTGCTCTCTCTGATATGTTTGCAAGATTTCCAGAAAGTGTTTGTAAATGTCGGGTTGATCTGCAAACCTGGTCTTGATTTTGTTGACATAGCTGATTGCATGACTAAATTCCACATCACCATTCTTCCGATCAATTGCATACTGAGGTTGCTGTGGAGCCGTAAGAGGCTGCAGTTGTTGCTGCGACTGCAAGGGTACATGCTGATTGTTTTGCGCGAGCCGCTCATTTTGTTCCGGGACATGGTGAAGAGTCGCTTGAGCTTGTTGCTCAACTTGGTTGAAGTCACGCTTCGATTCCTGAAGTTTTTCCTCGTTCGTAGTTATCTCAGTTTGCTGGGGAAGGACATGATTTCTGTGAGGGCTCTCGGGCGAGGTGTTGTCAATAATGCCGAGATGTCCCATACCCATCTCCTTGGAGGATCCAAAAGGGGTGGTCACTTTGATGGGATGTGGATCGTTGGGATTCTTCGAGCATTCGATCTTGTAGCCTTGCGGCAAAAACGTGTTAAAGCCCTGTATTAGGTTGGGGTAACCCTGAAAAAGATTCGAGACTCTCTCGATGACGCCCGGCGTATCAATAGCCTGAGACTTGAAATCTTTCATGATGTCCAAAAAGTGATTGTAGACGTCGGGTCTGTTGTTGAATTGGAATTTGACCTGCTCTAAATATGACAGCGCGTCCTTTACATTCAGCGGTCTATACGAAGGATCATGCGGATGTTCAGCAGGAACCATCTGAGGCGTTTGTTGTTGTTGCTGTTGTTGCTGTTGTTGTTGCTGTTGTTGTTGCTGTTGTTGTGGTTGCTGCTGTTGCTGTTGCTGCTGCGGCTGGGTCAGCAAGGGGTTGTTCAAGCTTGCAACTGAAAAGCCCTTCGTGCTAGATTGACCAGTCTGCCCCAGAGGACTCTGCATCGAGGGTAATCGCTGACCACCAACCCCATATTCACCATAGCCGCCTCCGTTCAGTCCAGAGATCGAGGGCAATACGAATGGAGCTTGCTGTTCCAGTTGTCCATTACTTCCAGCAACCTTCGAATCTAAAACCGATCCAGAACCGGCTACACTGCTCGTTTGTTGCCCAGCTATCCTATTACCATCTCCAGAGCTCCCTGTCCTGGGGTGGCCTGGCGGTTGATTCCAGCCTTGAGACATTTTTACTTCTTTTTCTTTCGAGATTTATACGTGCAGATTCCTTGCCTTTGATGCAGCTCGGACACAATAAAATCCACGTTTCTAGTCCTTAGTTCTGTTCAAAGAGTGTGCGCTGTGTCTAGTGTTTATGTGTAAAGTGCATGCCAACAAGAACAAATTTTTCACAGTGCAGGGGAAAGGGGGTTCGCGAGAGCGCGGCAAATCGATCGGGGGAAAGCTAGATAAACACGTGAAAATCACGTTTCATTTTTTTCTCGACATCGCTATTGGGAAAAAAAAACCTAACAACTTGTGAGAAAAGCTGATAGTGTATTTATTGACAAGTGGGTAAGCGTAAGCGGGTAATAAAAGTGTAATGAACGCTCCAGATAGATTTGAACTGTTTCTGCTCCCTGAGGGAGAGGCCAAGCTAACAATAGACCCAGATACAAAGGCACCTAACGCAGTAATAGTGATGTTTGAGAAAGAAGACCACACCTTGGCAAATCTCATCAGAGCGGAACTTTTGGAAGACAAGAAAGTCCTTTTCGCTGCTTACAAGGTAGAGCACCCTCTGTTTGCCCGTTTTAAGATGAGAATACAGACGGTTGAAGGTTACGACCCCAAAGAGGCGCTAAAAAACGCATGCAACAGCATTATCAGCAAGCTTGGACAGTTACATTCCAATTTCGAGACAGAATGGAATCTGCAGGCCCTTGCCACAGAAGACAACTACGGAGTCTGAACAAAAAGCTAGTATGCAACCGTCTATATTTACGTAGGTAAGACAACTTCCTGTACATTATAAGCCGTTTCCTGCCGTCCGTCTATAGGTATCATCATTACATTTTATTACACAGTTTGAAAGCACCGCCATTGTAGGACGAGTTGTTGTGCAACTCCAGCTGAAGGTGCCGATCCTAAGCGGATATGAATGCTAATAATTATTTGTGGGGAAAAGGAAATTAAGAGAGAGTATGAAGTGATGCCTGAGGAGCGGACTGTTCAAAGCTGAGTTTGAGCCACTGACACTATTGAAGCCTTTTGTTTCAGCCCTTCTTTGATCATGAAGAGCTTTTCCATCAGGTTGATATCTGGATGGCTAGGTATCTCACCCTTTTTGAGAAGCTCGACGGTCGGATATGTGAAGCTCTCGCGTTCGGGCGAGATGTAGGTGACAAGGGTTCCTCCTTCAGAAACTGCAAATTTATGATGGTCTTTGAAATTGAACTGGAACGTGCCGTCACTCAGCTCGAACATGACGTACTGCTTGTACCGCGTGTATCTTCTCAAGAAAACATCGTCCTTATGATACTCCTCACGAACAAACGTCGAGATCCTGCTCAAATTCGCTTTCATGTATTTGGAGAAGAAATCTACCACTTCTAGATGCCTGGACAATTCGTGAGGTCTTTCTGCTAATGTATAATGACTTGCAACCCATCCTTCTTTATCATCGTAACTAATATACCAGAATTCTTCGGCATCTGCCAGTCTCAGCACAGTAGTTCCATTGTTGAAAAGTACGCCAATATCGTCTGTCGACAGTTGGTACGAAAAGCCATGCTTGTTAGAATAATCAACCCATTTGGTTACAACGATGGGGTTTTTGATTTTTGGTAGTCTGGATTTGGGTAAACCTCCCATTCGTTTCTGAGCTTCAGCTTCCAGAATACCATTTAGAGTTAAATGGCATTCGCTTGCCAGAATTCTTAGAGATATCTCTGATTTGATGGTGTTCGTCGATGTAGCCACTAAATCCTTCTTAATTGTAGCTTGTTGCGCGCGGCGTATTCTAGCTTCACGGGCCAGATCGTTTAGTTTTCTTTGAGCTTCTAAATCAACAACTTCCTGATATTTATTTTTCGTTCCACCGGGTGATAATGACTGCGGTAGAATTGTTCTCGGTTTCTCTTGCTCAAGGTCGTTTTTGACAAGTTTGATAGGATCTTTAGTGGAGGATGAAGAGCCGCTATACAAACCAGCGTGTGCCATGCAGTTCTTAAAGTTGATCAAAGATTGCCGAATGTCTAAACCATCGTAATTTGGCACTGCGCTGAGTACAGAATCATCGACTTTGGAGGGAAATATGCCTCTGAACCATACGTAATCGATGATTTCATCCAGCGATGGCCTCTCTAATGGATCTATGGAAAGAATATCCTTGATCAAGATGATCGCTTCTGTAGAGATGGGTTTTTCCTTAGGAAAAATGTAATCTCCAGTCTTTATTCTCTCATATATTATGTTGACTTCCTTAGCTTGAAAAGGTGGTTTACCTATTAAAAGCGCATATATCATGACACCGATTGACCAAATATCAACTTCATACGAATGCCCGGTGTGTTTACCTGTAAGCACTTCTGGTGCAATGTAGTTCGGAGTTCCACAAACGGTATATTTTCTTTCTCTATCATTGGCCAATACTGCTGCAAGGCCAAAATCACCAATTTTTAAGTTATAATTACGATCAAAAAAGATGTTTCCAAGTTTCAAGTCTCTGTGAATAACTCGTCTGCTATGCATGTACTTGATAGCTCCGACGATTTGGGTGGTGAAAAAACGAACCTCAGGTTCTGTTAGCACTTTTCTTCTTTTCAGCAGATCCATTAACGAGCCGTTGGGACAAATTTCTAACAGTATATAGACATTAGTGTCATCTTCAAAACAGTCCACAAACTGAACAATGTTCGGGTGCTTCATGCTCTTGTGGATTTGAATTTCTGATAGAAGCTTCTTACGGGTTTTTTCAGACTTGATGGAAATCTTGGCCACGGTTTTAGCGGCGAATATTTTACCACCGTCATCTTTGATCTGAAAACAACGAGCGAACCCACCTTCTCCAAGGAAATGGCCTCTATGATAGTCTCGTCCCCTCATTTTAATTAGAGAAGGAGGTGTCTTACACAGTGCGGATAGTTTTTCCTTCTTCTTCTTCTGCACTGGCTGACGATGTGGCTCATTGTTGCAGTCTGCACGCTTAGCACTTGCCAGGTGGTTTTCCTTACCGCCCATATGTTTGATGGGTGTATGAAGAGCATTTGTGCGGGTATTCAACTGTTTCTCGTTTACTATTTGTAAAGGTGCAGCCGACATTCTGTAAGGGTTTCCTTCAGGCATGTGCCGGTGTTGTTAATAATTAACAGTTGAAATTAAAGAATTCGTAACCCCTTTATAGGAGTTTCGACAAGTATACTTTTGTGGCAGTATCCTGCTATCTGTGATTTCTTCAAATGCCAATGCCTGTCCGTCGTTATTCTGACAGATTGGGGGTTGGATGTAAGAAAGCTATCTGACTTTAATTTAGTCTAGAAAAGTATGATACAGGTATCCTTACTTTGATTTCAAATACACAGTATGCGTGTTGCTCGATGGACGTACTGGACAATAAAAATAGTAGTTTCCTGCTGCTGCAGATATAATCAGTAGCGTTTATGTGACTCAAAAGACGTTGAAAGAGTGAAACGTAACAGAATCGTCAAGTCTTGATCACTTCGCAATGATGGAGTGGGCAGTCTTGTTTTTATTCCTCGACAAGTACGGAAACTTCAGAAGTTTGAGAAATAAACAAAGTGTGAAGATCGCACATCAAACCAAAACAGAAAAATGTCAACAAAAGCGAAAAAAAATGAAGATGCCTAAATCTACGTCGGAAATGAGGGAGGGAAGGTTCAGATATTTGGTCCTGGCGTATGCCAGGCTACGATAAGTGATCTTTGATATTTAAAACTTGGCGTTAACTAACGATGCATTCAATGACGCTACGCCTTTGATAGCTAACGAGCGGTTGAACATAATTGGTGATAAGCTACACTTGAGAAACGCCGATATTTAGAATTTCGTTTCGCGCATCTCTCTATTCAAAATATCAGATTGGCAAATATGTGCCACTCAATGCTGATAGTTTGATTTGCCCAATAATCTGTTCAAGTTAAACGGAGTAATTAGATTTAGATCTCAAAAATCTTGGTCCATCATGTAAAACGACATCCTTGATATACACATAGTTCAACATGAACATATGAATGTGCATGATAACCAGTTGTGGTGCACCACCGGAGTAGAGTGAGCGTTATATCTTTTATATACCCCACGAAGAGATACCTCGACAATCACAGCCGCATGCTTTCCTTTACAGGAGTAAGTGCGAGGTAAAAAAGAGCAAGAAAAAAAAAATTATTCTCTCTTCAACTCTTCCCTGGGAAGTCCCGCGAGTGCCATGACAGTGAAGCCAAAGCATGAGCTCTCATCTGATGAGGAAGATATACCACTTAACTCTCAAAAAAAGAGAAGAAGAGCTAACGCTACCCCAGCGAATGGGAATGACATCAAAATAGTGAAAAAGGAGGAAGATGGATATGACAGTGACGAGGCGCTGTCCAAGGTTTCAAGGGCATCCAAAGTGTCCAAGGTGCCAAAAAAGAACAAGAGTCAAAAGAAGAAGAAAGAAGTTCCACAGAAAATTGTGAAAGAGGAGACTGCAAATGAAGAAGATGAATCAAGAGACGCGTCAATAGATGCCGAGGATTTCAAATGGTGGGAGAATCAAAATAAAGACGATAGCATCAAGTGGACAACCTTGAGACACAACGGTGTTATTTTCCCCCCAGATTATCAGCCACTACCTTCTCACATCAAACTGTATTACGAAGGTACTCCCGTGGCTCTGCCTCCTCAGGCGGAAGAAGTTGCAGGGTTTTTTGCAGCATTACTTGAGTCTGAACACGCCAAGAATCCAGTTTTCCAAAAGAATTTCTTTGAGGATTTCTTGCAAGTGCTGAAAGAAAGTGGTGGGGCCAAGAACAGCATTGAAATTAAAGAGTTCGAAAAGTGTGATTTTCGAAAAATTTATGATTATTTTGAGTTGCAGAAAGAGCAAAAGAAGCAATTGAGCCCACAGGAAAAGAAGCAGCTCAAGCTTGAAAAGGAAGAATTTGAAGAACCATATAAATTTTGCTTTTTAGACGGCAGGAAAGAGCAAGTGGGTAACTTTCGTATCGAACCTCCAGGTCTTTTTAGAGGCCGTGGCGCGCATCCAAAGACTGGTAGACTGAAGAGAAGAGTGTATCCAGAAGATGTTGTTTTAAATTTGGACAAGGAAGCTCCCATCCCCGAAGCACCTGATGGCCACAAATGGGGGGAGATAAGACACGATAATACTGTTCAATGGCTTGCTATGTGGCGTGAGAACATTTCAAATTCTTTCAAATACGTTCGTTTTGCCGCCAATTCTTCTTTGAAAGGTATCAGCGATTACAAAAAGTTCGAGAAAGCTAGACAACTGAAAGAGCATATTGTGACTATCAGAGCTGACTACAGGAAAAATCTGAAAAGTAAAGTTATGCTTGAAAGGCAAATAGCGGTAGCAACATATTTGATTGATGTATTTGCTTTGAGAGCTGGTGGTGAAAAGTCTGAAGACGAAGCAGATACAGTTGGTTGTTGCTCCCTAAGATATGAGCACGTCACTTTGAAACCGCCCAATACTGTTATCTTCGATTTCCTCGGTAAGGATTCTATTCGTTTTTACCAGGAGGTGGAGGTTGACAAGCAAGTTTTCAAAAACTTGACAATTTTCAAAAAGCCACCCAAGAAACCCGGCCATCAATTGTTCGATAGACTCGACCCTTCAATATTGAATAAGCATTTGCAAAATTACATGCCGGGCCTCACCGCTAAGGTGTTTCGTACCTACAACGCTTCAAAAACAATGCAGGATCAATTAGACCTGATTCCAAACGAAGGAACGGTTGCTGAAAAAATGCTCAAATATAATGCTGCCAATCGTACCGTTGCTATATTGTGTAATCACCAGCGTACTGTCACCAAGGGGCATGCCGCTGCAGTACAGAAAGCTACCGAGAAGATTGAAGAGTTGGAATGGCAGAAGATAAGATACAAGAGAGCGATACTAGAATTGGATAAAAGCGAGTTGAAAAAAGACCCCAAATTTTTTGAGGAAATTGAAGATTTAACTAAAGAAGAGGAGGCTTCGATCCACAAACGTGTTATCGAAAGAGAGCGTGAAAAATACAATAAGAAATTTGCAAGGGAGAACGAGAAACGTAAGTTCGATAAAGAAGAACTGCTTCCCGAGTCTCAGTTGAAGGAGTGGCTCGAGCGTGTTGACGAACTGGAGGAGCAGTATAAGAAAGAGCTGGAAACAGGAGAGATCCAACTTAAAGCCACTCTTCAAAATGTTGAAAAGCTAAGAGCTCAAATCGACAAATTAGATCAGCGTATCGAAACAAGCACTATTCAACTGAAAGATAGAGAAGATAATTCTCAAGTTGCTCTAGGAACCTCGAAGATTAACTATATCGATCCGAGATTATCTGTCGTGTTCTGCAAGAAGTACAATGTTCCCATTGAAAAAGTTTTCACCAAGTCACTTAGAGATAAGTTTAAATGGGCCATTGAATCAGCTGATGAGAATTGGCGGTTTTGAAGCCCACAACATATTCCCACTATGTATGTTCTGTACGATCACACATAATCTGCATCAAGTCGATTTTTTTTCCAGATCATTTCGCGTTGGTATATGCATGGAATTTTTCGCGTAGAACACGAAACGCGAAATTCACCTGCCTTCTTAGCGCCATCGAGTGGAGGAGACCTTACCGTATTCGATTTGGAATGAATCTTTATTTATATGATGGAACTCTGACTGCCTCGCACGAATCTTGACGAACATCAACTGCCATCATAAGCCAAGGATGAAAACCTCCAAGTTGCTGATAGCTATTTGCTACATAATGAGTAGCGTGTTTGCCAGCACCGAGTATTACCAAAATGCAGCGACGGTCATGATCAAGAGAGGTTCCATGCCTTCACTCACTACTTCCAAAAGTTCCTCAACTACCACTACCTCAGCGAGCTCCGTAAACACATCCTCTGTCTCATCAAATAGCACAACGATAAATGGTTACAATACAACTACATCGTCACAAATAACATCGAGTTCAACGTATAACGCCACATTTACCCCGATAGTGCCTAGTACAAACGGAAATAAATACATGCAAACCCATACGTATCCCAACGGAACAGTATTTATCGCCGTTGGAAGCGTACTCGGATCTCTTGCATTAGCATCCGCGGTAGTATGGATTACACTAGCAGCAAAGGCTTGGCAGAGCGCCCGGAGGGAGTATAAGTTGCAGGCGATGGAGCACAAGTATCAGACTGACCCTTTTCTTTTCTACTCAAACGACGATTATGCCAGCTACTCTGACACAGATGGTTCGGATATCTCTGAGCACGTGTTGAAGACTAAGCATTCTAAGAGACCAAGTATCTATACGCTTGGGTCGACTTCCACAGTCGATCTGTTGCAGAAGTTTAATCAGGATCAATCAGAGGCACCACGCCTAAACGCAAACAGGACGTCGATGTTTATCTCGCCTACGGAAATTATGCAAAACCAAGCAAATAATAAGAGCTTCCTGACGCAAGGTGACTCTAGTGTTGAGCACTCTGCAGTAAATACGCCAACCCAACCTTTTAGCCTCTTTGGCACGCCCAAGTTATTCTCAGAACCTCAGCAGGGGGAGCCATCAGATCGTAAGAGATTTAGACCCCCATCTGTCCATTTAGAGCAGATGCTTGACAACGACACAGAGGAAGATGATGACGAGCATGAAGAGTACGGACACAGATTATAAATAGCCCTGGAATCTTCGAGAGGAATTACATAGAAACGCACATAATTAACATTTTCATTAATATGCATGCCCAATTCCAGTGACTAATCCGATAACGGTTAAGGTCAATGTGTGGTGCACGGGTGCATGGCGGATATATAAGAGATTTCATTTTCGAACGCATTTTGCCACCTAGGTCATCACCAATTCACCTATTCACAAATACACAAAATGGCTCGTTCCAGAGGTTCAGCTAGATCTAGCGCAAGAGCTCCAGCTCAAAGACGTTCGGCCTCCACAATGGCTGCTCAACCACCAGCTCAGTCACATGTTCCACAACAATCTGCCTACTCAAACCCACCTGCTGTCGCTCAACCTAGACAACCGGGCTTGTTCTCTCAAATGGCCTCGACCGCCGCAGGTGTAGCTGTTGGGAGTGCAGTTGGACACACAATTGGTGCTGGCTTGACTGGAATGTTTTCGGGCTCCGGTTCATCTGAGGCTCCGGCTCAGCAACAACAACAGGCTTCCGACCTTGCCCCAATGCAACAGCAGACTTATGCTCAAGAGCAGGCTAGACACTGTGATGTCGACGCTAGAAACTTCACTCGTTGTCTAGAAGAAAGCAACGGCAACATGCAAGCTTGTGACTTTTACTTGCAGCAGTTGAAAGCCTGTCAAGAAGCCGCTCGCCAGTATTAGAATTTATCACTGGTATCCGCATCGTGACAACATTTTTCAATATTCTGAATTATATATTTATGAAGCTATTGTGTCCTGAATATTTGCAGTGACCATTTTGCGGCTTTGTATTGCATGTACATAATGACATATGGTGTTTGATTGGCTATTTGCCGTTCCTAAACCTGTTTTTGGCCTTCATCTTCCCAAATTACGCAATTATACAAAATAAATTATGCTTACCTCGTTAATCACGTGTGTAATACTCTGTATTATGGTTTTCCCATCTTGCCGAAGATCAAATTCGGATGGAAAAATTTATGTAAACAAACCCAACAACATAGCTCCTAGTGGTTAAATATTTGCTCTGAAGCATTTCCGCTATCTCTGTAGGGGTTTATATCAATACTTATTGTAACGCTAAAGTTAGTGTCAAGATGGCATTACGAAAGGCAGGATTTGGCTACAATTTGAGGACTATTGCGGAGAGCTACAGAGCTGTAACTCCATTTTGTTTGTTCAGAGGTTTCTCCATTCAGCAGCAATGTCAGTCTAGATCAGTCCACCAAACATCTAAAAATGAACACACCCCGCTTTTGAGTACTGATAAGCTTTCAACTTTCAATGTGATGAGCTTGAAGGCGCTGAAGACTGAGTGCAGATCCCGAGGGTTGAAGGTTTCAGGGCGAAAGTTAGAACTCGTAGATAGAATTCTCGCGTTTGAAAACATGCGCCCTAGTTCTGGAAGTATTAGCAACGAGGCTGCACGTCTCATCCACACAACTCGCCCTAAACTCTCAAGAAGTGACCGAAAACCAGTGGATGCTGTGAAAATACCCAACATTGCAGCGACAGAGGCGGCCTTAGATCAGCCAGAGAAGGACTATATAGTCAAAATTCCACCTTTGAGTAAGAGCGCCGCTCAAAAGCCTGTCACGAAACTTGAGAAAGAGCTTGATTCACGCTCTGGCCAAACAAATCAACCACCTACGGTCTCGACGCCCGACCACGAAAAGGTGATTTTCCAAGCCGAAGCACCTGAAGAGCACTTCGAGATTGTCAACGAAGAGGAAGAGAGGACCACCGAAAACAAGGTCTCGCTACACCACAATTCAGAATCTTCGCAAGAAAACCTAAACAAGAGAGACAAAACCTTCATACTCGGTTTTGTAGCAATCGTTACGGGATGGTGGACACTCAAATATGTGGGAAAAACGGAACATGGTAAGCAATGAAGTCTCTAGGAGGAGCTTCAGCGAAGTACGGTAATATTTACTGTTTTTTGGGTTAAAGTAAGTAATATTTAGGTACAAATAATGTTATGCCTAGTAATCCGGGATTCAAGGACTTTTAAATGAGCATGAACAATATTGGATTTTGATTCAAGTATTGTCAACAAAGTAACAATTCTAGTATACTCATAATTTTATTGAGCCTTGATTACGCCTTTACTAACCTGAAAAACCCTTCGTTCGAATGCTTTCATCACTAGTTGCGTAACACTTTTAGCAAATAGGGAAGCGACGCTGTTGTATAGTCTTGACTTGAATTGAAATTTAAGCAAAAGTTCAACCTGGGATGCATTGGCTCTTGTTGGGTGCCTCTCTACCGTCCATTTTGTGTATAATACATCAAAAAGTCCATGTGTTAGTGACTCGGCGACAACTGTCTTGATTCCCTTCGGATTAGATACACAATTGACTTTGCAAAGAAAGCGTTCATCGTATTGTTGGAACCCAACCCTTAATCCTGCCTCTTCTGGCTTGCCCGTTTTAAGATTACGCTTTTCGACAAAAGATTCGACACAGTAGGGAATAAACTCATGATATTTCGATACTTCTGAAATGACGTCGTAAACATTAAGTGCTGGCGCGTTAATGGTTCTCGTTAAAACATACTTTTGCTCTTTCCCTTCATGTGATGATAGTCCGAAAAAAGTCCTTTTATATATCATTGATCGATTAGCTGTCGAAAGCTGTGCCTTACATATCCTTCTAACTAGTATCATGTGTTTTGAGGATCTTATGTCTTGTGCCCATTGCTTTGTTCCGCTTGTTTTTTTTCTAATGAAAGATGTCTAATAGTGCTCATCGACAAATCTGAAAACCTCTATGTCGTTTGAGGTTAATTGGGAGAATCTAGGCAAAGATCGTGTCATTAACGATTCTATTAAAGGCTTCATTAACTCTCATTTGCAATCTATAATATTGCCTAGCTATGTTAGTAGTTTGCAAGTTACAGATTTCAGCCTAGGAAATATTGCACCGAAAATCACTTTAAAGGAGATTTCCAATCCTTTGCAGGAGTTCTACGATCATATTGCGGAGGACGTGGTCCAAACGTATGCTTCAGAACAAACTGTAGATGGTACCGTCGAAGGGTTTTCTAACAATGTTATAGATGATAAGCAAAGTGATGCTCAGTTCCTCTTGGAAATAGATTACAAAGGGGACATGTTAATAGAAGTCAAAGCTGAATTAGTTCTGAATTATCCTAGTAACTCCTTCATGACACTTCCAGTCAAATTAGCTATCAGTGACATTGGCATCCATGCTTTGTGCTTAATTGCGTACCTATCCAAACAGTTATTCATCAGCTTTCTATGTGACGTAAGTGATCCAATTCTGGATGCGCATGATTCTATAGTCGACTCGACCGGCACTAGCTTTTTAGGTAAACAGTCTCTCGAAAGAATTTCACTTATAAGAAGTATTAAGATTAATAGTGAAATAGGAGAGCAAAATGATGGAGAAGGCTCTATATTGAGAAGTGTTGGTAAGCTGGAGCAATTTCTCCTAGAAGTTTTCCGGAATATCTTACGAAAAGAGGCAGCTTGGCCAAGTTGGATCAACTTAGATTTTAATGACGACGATGAAGATAATGAAGATGATGAAGATGGTGATGGCACCGATCTTAAGCAACCAGACACTAACGAAGCAGAAGCTCAGTTATAGAAACATTTTATTTAGAAATTTCAACATAGTCATTCGCTTAATTTGTGTTTGAGTTTCTTTCGCTCTTCTCAACTTTGATGATATTTAAGAAATTCCTCGCACGGCTTAACAAATAAAGTGATAACAATAGCTGTACGGACGGAACAAAAGCTACTGCGCGGCACAGTAATGAATTTTTTGGATGAACCAGATCCTTGGCGGAGTCACTCAAGTGCGGATGATAGCAAAGGGGGAGATATTTGGGCAAATAGCGATGCAGGCAACCTAGGAGCATCCTCAGTTCTTCAAGCGGATGCACTAGTTTCACGCATGGCAGACACATCTCTAAATGACAGTAGAGGAGGAATTGCATCGAGTCATTTAACAGCAACAAATTTGTTCAGTGACCCAGATGATAATACCTTGCAGGGCAGTGCTTGGAGTGCAAGTTTAGATACAGGCAACGTGGCAACCCTAGCAGGGACTCAAGATGATGCTGTGTTCTCAAGTCAGGTTGAGACCTCTACAGATGATCACACAGATACATTGAACGCACAAGAAGATTTAAGCAGGTGGATTGAAAACGTGAGGAAAACCTACAATCCATTATCTATGAATATTGTCCAAATTGAAGAAATCCCAGAAAGAGAAGGCATCCTTTTCAAACATACAAACTATCTTGTCAAGCATTTAGTCGACCTTCCGGACACAGATCCATCTACTGACAGAAGTGTAGTTAGGAGATATTCTGATTTTCTTTGGTTGCAGGAAGTCTTGTTAAAGAAGTACCCATTTAGACTTATCCCTGACCTCCCACCCAAAAAGATTGGTTCCCAAAATACCGACCCTATATTTCTAACTAAAAGGAGAAACGGTTTAACCAGATTTATAAATCTCATCATGAAGCATCCTGTTTTGAGGAAGGATGACTTAGTTCTCACGTTTTTGACTGTACCAACTGACTTATTAGGCTGGAGAAAGCAAGCAAACTATGATACAACCGATGAATTCACTGACAGGAAAATAACACCATCATTCATGAAAATGTGGCAAAAGGAACTCTCTGATTTATGGAATCAAGCGGATGCGGCTATAGATTCGGCACTAGAATCATGGGTAAAGATCACCGTTCTCGTCGAACGATATGAAGCAAGGCTAAAATATGTTGCTCAAGATAGAGCACTTCTCAGTACTATTTTAAATGAATTCAACGAAAGCTCCAAGCATATTTACTCGCCAGACCAAAGCACAATTCATGATATTAGCTCACACGTTCAAATGATTTCAGATCATCTAGCTAAATGTAATGATTTGGTTTCGAGAGAAAATGATGAGATGGGCAGCACATTGTCTCCCAAATTTAAGACGTTTATTGACATCCTGCTTTCATTAAAAGGTCTTTTTGAAAGGTATAAGATAATGGCCGGGAATAACGTTCCACAATTACAAAGACGCATTGAATTAAGTATGGAAAAACTCGAACAAATGAAAGGAAAACCGGATTTAAAAGGCGCGGAGTATGATAGGGTGAAGCAAGCAATCGCCAGAGATCGTAGAAGTATTGCAGAACAGATGAACAGAAGTTGGTTAATCCGGGAGTGTATTCTAGAAGAGTTTACCATTTTTCAAGAAACTCAGTTCTTAATTACCAACATATTTCAAGACTGGAGCCAATTGAACATGAAGTACTGCGAATTAAGTTCCAACGAATGGGAGAGGCTCTTTGATAATGTCAGAGCCATGCCTCTGTCCAGAGATTAAAAGTGCTACAAATATAGTTACATAAAAAAAATAAACGAGTGTAGTTTAACGCACCTATCATGTCTCGTCTATGTATTATGATCGCAATACAACGCTTATGCAATTTTTTTACTGGTGTTGGTGAATCCAACGCCCTTAATAGTGGCAATGAGATCTCTACTGGAAATATCGTCCACAGGCTTTAGAAAAACCTCAGTATCGAAAATTTTCTTGATGTCTCTGAGTAGCCATATAAATTTCTCGTCGATTTGATCTTGATTTATTCTCAGTCTTCCGATGTCTTCTTTCCCAATTACCATGTAAACTATAGCCAACGGCAGTTGAGTTCTTCCAACTACGCCGCTTTTCGATATCTCTTCCAACAGTTCATAGGCCACTTCTCTTCCGACGTCTTCAGGAATGTCACCCGCGCCACCAATGTTTTCTGTAAAGTACCTCCAACCGCTCTTATTTTCAGCAACGAGAGTCAACCCCCAACCAGGGCTCTTACCTGAGTTTTCTCCCCTCCAAACATCTGCCGTGATATTGACTTCGCATCCAACTCTTTTCAACACTTCTTTCGCCCCATCAATCATCCTATTCACCATAGAAGGGCTTACTCTGGTAGAATATGCAACTCCTCTAATTGATGATATTGGTGGTATCTCTAAAGCGTGCATAGTAATCGGTTGAGCAATGAGTGAGTCGACAATCAAATGTACCTCCCCACCTCCCAGTGGCGGGGAACCTCTCTTGAGAGTATGGAGAGCGCACTCCCTCACACCAAATTTTTCCATAATTGGCATTAGACCCCACTTTATAGCTTCAATTCCAGCATCGCTGTGGGAAGCCGTAATCCCACGGAAGAGAATTGAAAACTTTTTCTTCGAAAATGGAGCAAGATATAGCATAGGTTCCACGAAGTATCCGACTGGCTTTGCTCCTGCACAATTGTGAGTATATGTACCTCCAGTTATAATACCAGGCTTAAAAATTACCGTAGTACCTGTGTATGAAATTTCAATTATACTTCCATTAGTTACTGCCTCTATGAGTCTCAAAAATGACACTTCATGGTCCCTTAAACCGGGGTTCATGTCATCGGAGCGTATTTTCTCTATCTTGATTGGTCGGCCAGATAGAGTTGAGAGTATAACTCGTAACCTAAAATTCCTAGCTCCTTGGAAAACGACAAATCTAGAGGATGACATGGTTTTTTTAAATTGGAAACTTGCTCGTCCTGATGATATCGATGCGATGAGCTTCAACTTTCTCAAAAAATTTTCATGTAAATTTCTTTTAAGCGTAAAAAGTGACCTATCTCTTCAAAGTTACTTTTGAAGAAACTCCATTATGATTGTTTTGCCACTTCAATAGGTACTGTTAAGCGTTCATCCACATCACATCACGCGTGTAAACAATGGGAAAGTCTCCAAAGAGATCGGCTCCGCCAGAAGATCAAGAAACTAGTTCCAAGAGAATCAAAAACGAAGAAACAGGACTATATGGAGAAGAAGAGCCGGCATTTGAGCTTGGCAGCAGAAGTGTGAGCGAAAGTCTAGAGCCTGGTAATACGGATTTCTCCACAGAATTGCCCACACCATTTGATAATATGGTTAATGAATCTGAATCTGGGATGTCGCTGCCCGAAAGTGCCACTCCTACTACAAATCTGGTAAATAAATCTAGGGATAATGATTCAGAAGCCAATATTACAGCAAAGACAGAAGATAAGAAGAAGAAGAAGGATCAGAAAGCAAATATACAACTTCCCCAACAAAAAAGCAGCGTCGTTGCCAAAAGACAGCATGGTGGGCAGGGCCAACAGACACAGGGACAGCAACAGGGTACCTCTAAGACGCAAACAGACCCTGACAAACTGAGTGACGCCCTTCTTTCCGCAGGTGTGGACATCAGGGAAGAGGAAGCTCTTTTGAGCTCTACCATGAACATCACCAAAAACAATGCCCAAGTCTCAAACAATCAAATCCCTAGTCACCCACCTCTTTTGCATCCTCTGCATGTGGCAAGCTTCATGAAAAAAGTTGCGAATGAGCAGAACTTTTACCAAGATTTCAACAAAACACAGGATATTCTAGGGTTTATGTCTGCCGCATGTGAAATGTTCATGAGAGACATAATAACTAACTCTCTGATAATATCTCGTCATCGTCGGCGCTCAATCAAACAAAATGCAGGCCGTCGAAGTGAGGCGTCAAGGGCGTTACGGGACCTGGCCCTTAAACAGAAGGACCAAGAGGAAAGAAGGGTCAAAAGAAGAATCCAAATGGGTTTGGAGAAAGAAGCTGCTGAAGCGAAAATGGAAACTGAGGAAACACTTCACAGAGCTTCCAACGCTACTGCTAATATGATGATAGCGGGAACGAAGAAGAAGTATAGTTGGTTGACAGCAGGAGCTAAGAACCCCAATAATTCTTTGAAGACAGTTGGAAAAGTATCTTCAGATGTCGCTGCTAGAGGCGAGATCGGAATTCGTTACAGGGAAGCCAGAGAGGAGCCGGGAATTGTAATGAGAGATCTCTTGAATGCTTTGGAGAATAGAAGAATTGGAGTAAATACAGCTCTTTCTAAGGGTTACGCTAGAATCCGTGATTAGTTAGACTTGCATTTCGTTCTGTAACTGTATATAGCAAAGGCTAGGCATTTGATGAATGTTTTCACGTGAAGAACTGATCACGTAGCGCAGCCGTTTTTTCCTGGCAAAAAATGATTTCGCCCAGGATCGAACTGGGGACGTTCTGCGTGTTAAGCAGATGCCATAACCGACTAGACCACGAAACCATCTAATTGTTGAGTTTATCTGTGGTAAATTTCTTACATCTGGTATCGGGGGCGTCACGTATGAAACATTTGGTACAGAGAGAGGAAGGAGTCTATGGAAAGAATCAATTGATTCCCTGTTGGACGTCAGGCACTATTAATAGTATATGGAGCTGAACTTGCAAGCCTGATGTTGTTTTTTTTTACATCAAGTGATCTGGAAACTCAACTACATCTCTTAAAACTTATGATAATTATGAATTGTATATGAAATTGTCTTTTTTTCCCTACGCGTAGCCTGGATTGAATGATTGTTCACTTGGCATAATATAATGAGATAACTTCTGGTTACTCTCCTGCACTATAGAGCTAGATACTTCATCCTGCATTTATGGTTAATTGCCTCCGGAGATATGATTATGAATTCTCATATGCTAAATTGATAGATGGTGTTTGATATGAAATATCGATGGTCTCATTTTGTATTGAAAGTATTGCTACCTACTGTATTGAAATTACGTTATTACAGTGTCTTCATTGGCGCCACTGAAGTTCAATAAATGAATATATTGAGATGGTAGCGAGTGGAAAACATTTTGACGGTTGGACCTTATTCAGCTGGCCAAAGAGACAAAATTAGAAATACAATGTGAAACGACTTGAGGCGGCCAAAGCAAGCATTTGGTTAGTGCGAGCGTCATCAGGAACTAATGATACCATATAAAGTTAGCAGTGCTTCCCGTCTACGCGGAAACTGTTCTACTGTCTGCTGAACCACATGTATAGCGATCAAGCGCGGTAATTCTATCATTGGCGTAAAGCATAGAACCGTCTCCGCACGAAATAGCAATGAATCTGATTTAATTTATCATTTATTTCCAGTTCCCCCGAAGAAAATGTAGTACCGCACATCCATCCCTCAAGCGCAGAAGTATCGCAGGATACATTCGAGTGATAGAGACTGCAATCGATATTTCCTACGATACATCTATTTTATACGGCCACGGAAGGATTAAACACTCCGCTTGTAATAGCCATTGAGATAAAAAAATTACAATAGAATGCATTCTGTGCCTAGACGTTACTTAATAAGCGAAAGTGTTCCTTTGGGGCTAAGGTCGTAATTTATAAAAAGTAAGTTTTTTCCCGATGCGTCAGTTTGACTAACTTAAGTTGCTTTTCTCTAAACTTCAGAGCTTCTCTCATAGTGTCAGTGAAGGAATAATTGTGGGGTTCTCCTCTATCTGCTACCTTCAAAGTGCTGATAGTTGTATTTGATCTCTAGGTTTGATCAGAGCAGTTTACGGGGCCAAACAGTAATCTCTGACTTAACTTAGATAGGCAGCAGATGTGAAGTACCCTACGTGAACCTTCAACCAAGTTTCTTTTCATCTAACGTAGAAAATTTCTAGAAGAATAGAAGTTCTTTTTATGTTGTAGAACCGAAAACTTGCACCTATTGGCAGCCTGAATCATCCCTGAAGGTGTGTGCTACAAACTATAATCGTGAATTTGGTAGAAAATATTAATTACGCTGATGTTAATATCACTAATAAACTAAAACTAAATCATTAATTTAAATAATTTTGATGCATCGATTCATTTTATCTGCTTTTAAATTGTAATCGGAGCATCGTTTTCGGTCATTAAAATTCAAATAGTTTATGACTGAAAGCCTTCAGAGAGAGCACTGGATTAGTGCAAACATCGCTAGTAGCAAATGATACCATCTAAAGTTAACTGTGCTTGCCACTGACGTAGGGGCTGGACTGTAGAATGTTAGACCACATACATAGCCATCAAGCGCAGTAGTGTTTTCACCAATGTAAAGCATAGAACCATCTCCACAAGAAATAGAATTAAACCCATGATTTAATGTATCATTTGATTCCATTGCTCCCGAAGAAAATGTAACACCGCACATCCATCCCTCAAGCGCAGAAGTATTGCAGGAAACATTCAAGTGATATAGACCACAATCGATGTTTCCTACGACACATCCATTTGATATAACCATGGAAGGCATAACTGCCGAGCTTGACACAGACATATTGATGGTACTATCTAAAGATACGTTATCAGCAAAGCCTGTAACACAGTCAAATTGACGTAAAAGACATCTGATTTTGAAATTTTCATATTATTTTTCTGTCTGCACTTTTCTCCTGTTGGATGCAACCGGTGAAGTGACTTTTTTTCCGCTTCATCACTGCATGACTAGAAGGGTTTTTGGTCGCATATGAATACTGTTAGATACTAAATTGGGTAAATTCGACCAACCTGCTAGATTGTGCTTCTTTCACTTCTCTTCGATTTACTCCGAGGTGGTACTGTAATATTCAAGTGTATCGTATCTTCGCCGAAACTCTTATCGAAAAATACTCAATTTGTACCTCCAATTGAGAGATTGACATATTGCAAGGAACTCGTTTCTCACAATTGCACCCACATTTAGTAGCGAGATTGATCTTTATTCAGGATAGTCTTGAAGCTAGTGATTTTCCCAATCTTGGTCACTGGCAAGATAGCCAGCTCATCTATATGATCGTATCGATATTAGAAGAACACCGATTTCTTAGAAAGTATATTATGTATTCACAATACTTTCTGGAACATAAATAGCGACTTAGTAAACTAAATGTTTTGTTTGAAGTTGTGAAGAATATGCCTCTAAAATACTTGTGGTACGCATCAAAATTAAATGCTATAAAAATTGGCGTAAACAATAATTTTTAAGTGTCTATGTTGTGTGCTTTTGTTTCATATATAAGTCATAAAATAAGAGACCAATTGGAAATATAATACCTCTCATTTTTGAGCATGCTTTTCATAGTAAGCCGATGAGAGCACCCAAGATGACACTCAAGGCGGTATAAATCTTGTTGGACAGGCCGAATGAAGGCGAAGAAGCGCCCGAGTGCTTTGAAGAAGAGGATGTAGTCGATTGACCGGCAGTGGATGTATAGGAACTGTTGGAAGTGAAACTTAAAGAAGAAGAATAGTCATCGTTAGTGGCGACTGCAGCTCCTTTATCGGAAATTGTTCCGTTCCAACAGTAATTCGAGAAACATTCACTGCATTCTGATGGTAACGTGATATTCGATGACTGTTGCTGACGCCTCATAACAGCACATGCAATGCAGCCCAGGAAGCTGGAATCTTCTGTCAAGTTGTTTCTGGTAATGGCTTCAAAACCATTCTGAATCATGTGATGACGCTCAGATGTCGAATATGACAACTTGAATGTGCTCGTATTGGAGTTGTACGATTGTTTGTTATTTGGCATGTAAACAATTAGCGGAGGTGTGTAACGCAAGTCAGTAAGGTTGGACGCATCGCAACCAAAGAACACAGGTCGCTCGTTGAATCCCAAGTTTACGAAGGTCTGGGAGTCTGGGACATATGGGAAGGCAAAATCTCTTCCCTGATACTGATATTGACGTTCATAAGTTGCAACTAAGGACAAACCTGCCGGCCAGTATTCGTCAGTATCAGCACTGTTGTCAAGAGCGAAGATTACATCAACATCACGGTCTTGTTGCAAAAGAGGCACTAATGGAATGTTCTCACCGTCCTCACCACCGTCAACTAAGTAAAGAATCTCAGATTCTACAATACTCTGAGTATAATTGCTTTCAACAAAAGTTGTGCCGTAGAAGGGGTTGGGTTGATAAAGAGCAATGTCATCACTATCCTCAGAAAGATCAGTGAGGAAACCTTTCAACATATCTTGCAGGAAAGAGGATAAACCACTGCTGTTAAGTTGCAAAAGGAATTGGTTGAACAAGGTAGAAGAAGTAGCAATTAAAAATCCAGTGTTGTCGTAGCCAGCAATGCATTGGCCGCTGGTTGTTGGAGTTCCATTCGTAACATTTGTGCCCAAATATTCAACGTCAGTGAAAGCTCTTAGAGAATAATCCCACGAACCCATCTCAAAAGGGTTGAATTCGAACAAAGTCGCGTTCAGGTTGATCACTGTGCTTCCTGGATATCTTCCATCGGCAACCGTGATCGGAAATGGCATCTCGGCATTCTTAAATACATCTGCGTTCCTCAAGGTAGACCAAGTGTATCCCACACCACCTTCATCAAGAGTGGGAAAAAAGTTGTAGGATAAAGCACGGCCCCACACATCAGCTAAGGAAGTATTAAAACCAGCATCTTTCTTTCCCTCAACAGCATCAGAGATGTCGTCCCACCGAGAGATACTTTTTAAGATGTTGATACCTCCAGGGTTAATGATAGAATCGCTAATATCCCACAATTCGTCATCATCACCAGCGCTATTAATAATATCTTGAACAGAAGTCCAATTGTTCCAGGCAAGAGAACCTACAAGCCAGTTACCTCCCGAGAGACCCGCCAAATAGGTCGCACTTTGCAACAGTCCACCCAAACCGTGGTCATTGGCACCATCTGTCCTATTGTCCATGGCTGCCAGCATACCGGCACCGCTCAACATAGCTCTATAGCCACCACCTGAGCAAGCCACACCGACCTTGGGGATGTTGCCAGCTGACCACAAGTCGCTAACAATTGAGGAATTAGTAAAGTTAGTAGTAGCTCTATCAAGAAAGTTCTTCAAAGCATCCTTTGTAATAACATCTCTTTTCTTAAGCCAATCCGTTTCGTTTGGAGAAAGCCCGGAAGCTTCCCGAACTAAGTTGATGTCACTAGCACAGCTCACATTGCCAGGTGTATAGCCATTGGTCGGCGACCATGCGGAAACAGTACTTGCCGCAAGAAGGCTGATCAATAAAACCGACATCAATTACTTTGAACTTATTTTAATGGCGCTTCTGGAATAACTATAAAGAAGCGAGGCTGAGGTTATTCCGTGCTTCTTATTTAACCGAGAGTCACATGACCTTTGTCCGGGTAATTATTTTGGACCTCCGCGATATAAAAAAAAAAGATTAAAATCAAAACAAACATGCAGGGATATCGATATTAATAAACAAAGTACGCGAATACACAGCTGAATTGAACGATTCAAGATGTCAGGCAAAGTTCACGGTGGTAAAGGTAAATCTGGAGCCAAAACAGGTTCTAATCTAAGGGCAACAACGCATTCCGCTCGTGCTGGTCTGCAATTTCCAGTTGGAAGAATCAAGCGTTACTTGAAGCGCAACGCAGCGGGAAAAACGCGTGTAGGATCAAAAGCTGCTATCTACCTCACAGCAGTACTGGAATATTTGACGGCTGAAGTGCTCGAACTAGCAGGTAATGCAGCGAAGGACTTAAAAGTCAAGAGAATCACTCCTCGTCACTTGCAGTTGGCGATCAGAGGTGATGACGAATTGGATACCTTGATTAGAGCAACAATCGCGTCAGGTGGTGTGTTGCCACATATTAATAAGGCTTTGCTTTTGAAGGTGGAAAGGAAAGGCACGAAGAATTGAGGGTATGCAATGTGAAGCCAACGCTTTGGCCGAAACCTATAACGTTATGCTAGGAATCGTTTCGATATTTTGTACCATATTTTTCAATTGCCCCGATTTTGGCAGAACCACGTCTGTATTTCTATACCTCTAGGAATTTAAGTACGTCGAATGTATAACAGTAAAGAAAATTGGATCCCGTCTATTTACAAGCTTCTTTCTTGGGTGGAATCTCCTGAACTTGAGCCCTCAACTCGGAAATCTGTACATTTTGACGGTCCAGAGCCGATCTCAGTTCCTCAATTTCGCTTTGCAAGTAAGAAATATCATCTGTTACTTGCTCACGCCGGTTTATTTCTTTAGCTCTCTGTCGTATTGTCTCCCACACCACAACGCTACCAGTAACACCGAAAACAAACACTTCACTGAGAAGAGTGGCTCCATTCTCAACTGCCTTGGTGTCATTTAGTGGTCGAATCTTCACCTCATACTTGCTAGGCGTCAGTCTCGACCTTAGACGAGCGTCTGCTCGATGCATTCGCTGGGCCAGCCCTATACAGAGACGCTTGAAACTTTCATGTTGTTTCGCTTGTGCCTTCAGAATATTAGCAACAGGCCTTGTAACTTGACGGATCAAGAGGGTACCTAGTTTGATTCCAATAGCGCTCATATAGAAGGCTCCAACGACTCGAACTCGAACAACTATTTATTGAATTATGTTGAAAGGCAATTTGGTGATAAGAGCTTGAAAACAAAATACAGCACGTGATTTTCACATGTAAAGTTCAACACATGATCCATCGTAACATTTGCACCTGCGTAATCTTTAACCACTGTTAAAATTGATAAGCAGTTCTAAATCTAGAGTAAAGACTTATAGTCCATAACCATGCTTACTACCAATACACGGAGAGGCCAGTTTGCAATATACTCTGTGTGCACCTACGTGGCCACGGTCTGGTCTGTGTACAGCTGCATTGAATCTAGTCGGTCGTTTCTTGAAGCGACCCTAAAACTATGCGAAGGTATAAACCTCGTGATTATCGGGAATTTTGTATTGGTAAATGGTGTTCTCTTATGGAACGGACTCACAAGGTTGCTGTTCGGCGAGCTTCGTCTAATTGAATATGAACATATCTTTGAAAGGCTGTCGTTTACAATCGTGAACAGTATTTTTGTCTCGTCGATGTTTAAAGAGCAAGATTTCGTCACAGTGGTATTTTTCACAGCGATCCTAATCTTCACCAAGGTATTCCATTGGATCCTTAAAGATCGCCTGGAATATGTATTTCAAACAACAAACGATGATACTACTGTTTCCGACCTACTCCGCTCCAAGTTCTTCATAAATATGATAGTCCTTGCACTTGTGGACATCCAAATAGTGAGATACTGTTTGAATAATTCGATGGCTTGGAATAGTCACCAGCCTGCCAGCCCATCGGTGTATTTGATGTTTGGAATTGAGTTCTCGACTTTATTGGTCGACGTGGTAAACGTAGCTCTACATGGCGTGATTAACTTGGTGGAGTTACATACCTATAACCAAGCCCGTGAGGCTGATGTCGATGAGTTTACCGGGCTAGAAGGCAAATTCATGTACCAAAAGATAGTTGATATCATTACCAGGTTTGCAAAAATGTTATTCCACATCGTTCTCTTGATACCATTTCAAATGCCCGTAATGATTGTGAAAGACGTAATATGGGATATTGTCGCGCTTTTCCAAAGCATCAAGTCCGTTTGGAAGACCTGGAAGAATAATAGACAGCTAGATCAAAAACTCCCCGATGTTACGGAAGGACAGCTCGAGGCCACGGAGAACAAGATGTGCATTGTGTGCATGGATGACATGCTGCCACCTCAGGAGGCTCAAGTTTCAAATCAAAAGCCAAAGCGCTTACCTTGCGGTCATTTCTTACATCTAGGATGTCTAAAAAGCTGGATGGAACGGTCGCAGACGTGCCCTATATGCCGTCTACCTGTTTTTGACGAGCAGGGGAATGTATATGCCCAACCAACAACTCCTGAGTCTGCTCAGCGCGAAAATCCAGCAACTTCTAACGATCAGAATACCAACCCCGTTCCGAGAGCTTCAAACGAGGGTACAGAAGGTGACGTAAGTTCTTCGGACAACGCACCTGTTCTTGTTAACATTGAACTACCTTCAGATTGGTACCCTTTCCCAAGAGAGGCATCATCAGACAATTCGGAACTAACTTTCAAGTTGACAGACTTAGATGGAAAAGAAATGCAAGCAAGACTACGAGTTTCTGATACACCAGATATCCCCAATGAGGATGAGTCTGGCGCTACACACACAATTGTGATTCATGAAAGTGATATCGAACAGAGACAGGAGATAGAAACTATGAAGAGGAAAATCTCGGAATTGGAAAGCAAGGTCGAGGAGCTCACGAAACGTGCAAGAAATGAATGAAAAATGCGGTAAATAATAACAAAGGTTTAAAAGAGAATTTATGTATATAATGACAATGCAAAGTTTATATTGTTTTTAAAATTACAAATCAGTCCAGTGAAATCAGTCACTGCTGTCAGATTCTACGCCGAATTGAACCTGCTCTGATCCTCCAAAGTAATTCTCATAGTCATCCGATGACCAATGAGCTTCCGTTAAAACTTGTGTATCTAGTTGTTCTATCGGTGACTTTTGCTCTTCGCTTTCAGACGGACTGGATACGTCCGATAGTTCGTAAAGGCGGCTTTCGTACTCGGCAAGCTGTTTTTTTATGGCTCCCTTCGGAAACTGGAAGTTTTGTCCTTTGCTTTCACAAGTGGATAAACAATTCTTGGCGTTTGTGATATGCTGAATGACCTGATTACGCGCAATGTCTCTGCTCAAGTCATTTTTGTCTTGATAACTATCCAAACATTGTTGTGACAATTGATCCACCATTACTACATGACATATGGCATAAATAAACCAAATCTGAGGGTCATCCATATAAGGTGGCACATGGACCAACTCAGATAACTTGTCAAGGAGCAATTCCAATTTCGTAGTAGTCTGTATTTTAACTTCCTTTACCGAAGAGTTATCTTTCCCATTATCAATGCTACAGGCGATTAGCGCCTCCCAAAGCCAAGTCGTGACAAATTTAGGAGTGTGCGTCTTGGACCCTGACCGAAAGACAGGATCCATTGTGTAGATATTAGCCTGATTGTAATTATATCTAGATGAGTACACGCTACTCAACCAAGCCAGAAACTCGTCGCAAGTACCGATGGATGTATCTACTCGAGATACTTCATGCAAAATTCTTACCCCCATTCCCCAAACACTCCTCACATCGATACCCGGAAGCCTTATGAGAATGGAAAAGCAGCGATAGGCAACGTCCCAGCGTCCATTCGTGATATTTAAATGAAGGATTTCGTTCAGGTGTCTTATGTGAGTTTTTTGGTGACTTTCCAAGTGTTTCCGTGGACATATCTCGTAGCCAGCTTTTAGCGACTCAAAGTAGGACCTCAGATTGTTTGAACCATGCAATAGTTTAGATGATATGCGTTCTTGTGCCACTTTCTCCGCAAACTTGCAATCGCTGTAAGCCATTGTCGTTCTCCTTATTGGTGTTTTGGCCTTCACATCGGTTCTCCAAATCTCGTAAGTGTCCTGTGGTTTATGGTGTTTATTGAAAAAAGCTTTCTCATAGTCCTCCAGATTGTGTTCGCTTTCTTCGTCGAAATCGGATTCATTGCTCTCCGATGAAACCGCTTCCCCCAGGACGCTTTGAAGTCTCCTTTTCCTCGTTCTTCGTCTGATAGCCGAGTTTCCACTCTGGTGATTGCTATCACTGACTTCTTCTGCAGCCGAGTTTTCTGGAGTTGGAAGCCCACCGTTCTCCCCACCAGCCCCTAGGCGTTGGTATCTTTTATTTACCGCATCGATATATTGATAGCGAAGCTTCCTGCGTGATCTTATTCTTTTGTTCGCTCGTACAAAGGGAAGCTCAAACATCTAACTATTTTATAAGCGTCAATTCAACCCAATATCATCAAAGGAGGCGTTTTATACTTCAAGGAGCAGCAATAGTGACTGTGTTGTTACACTCAAAGCGATGAGATGACTACAAAATTTTCAAATACACGGCATCTTACACGTGACCAAAGTACTCCCTTTTCATAAGGCAGTAAGTGGGCCTAAGCGACGGGCGCAGAAGGACAAGGTGTAAACCTGAGAAATGGGTGAATATTGAGCTAAATGTTGGGATTCCATTTTTGATTAAGGCTATAATTATTGGTATATGGTTATACTAGAAGTTCTCCTCATCTTTCTAAGAATCCAGAAAGAAGAGTCAATAATTCTACTTACAAATATTCTTACTCTTTCTGTTCCTTTTATACATTTTCATTCATTATCCTATTACATTATCAATCCTTGCGCTTCAGCTTCCACTAATTTCGATGACCGTTTCTCATTCTTTATGTCATCTTAAAACACCGTGTATGATAATATACTAGTAACATGAACACTAGTCGATGGTCGATAGTTGTCTTTCGTTCCAACAAAACCAAATTTTATAGTCATGTATCCTCGACCGATTCAAATACTATTAATGCATCACTTCGCCAATATTATACAGGAATGAAAAGCTTTTGGTGCTAAATTTCCAGATATATAGTTCTACTTTCATCTCCCCTTCAACAATTTGGGCGTGTGGTCTAGTGGTATGATTCTCGCTTTGGGCGAAGTTCGAGCTTAAACTCGGATTACAACATCACAAGCATGCGAGAGGCCCTGGGTTCAATTCCCAGCTCGCCCCAATTATTTTATTTTTTATTTTTTAAAAGCCTGAGCATGTGACAAAGACTGAACTTTTGTTCAGGAATAGAGATTTCATTCGAAATACCATAAAGAAAACTTAACATACTGAGAACAGTTTCGTATTTACATGTGCGTTCATTATTTACCGTTGGTGAAAAGTTTGAAAAAGAGAAAGAAATAATTAGAAAACCAGTATCAAGGGATTCGCGATGGTACTCATCACATCATACCTGGCATACCTGGCATACCTGCTGGTGGACCGCCAGCAGCGCTTGGAGGTTGAGGAGCGTCAACAATGGCAACCTCGGTGGTAGCCAACAAGGATGCAACACCAGATGCGTCAACCAATCCGGATCTCACGACCTTGAATGGGTCAATGATACCCTCGGCCAACATGTCTGTGTACTCACCCTTGGCAGCGTTGTAACCCTTGCTGAAATCGGAGCCGAACTCGTCGATGATCTTACCCACGATAACGGACCCTTCTTCACCTGCGTTTTCGATGATCTTGCGGGCTGGTCTAGTGATGGCCTTTCTAATGATCTCCACACCGAGCTTCTGGTCGAAATTCTCAGTGACGACTTCGTCTAGGACCTTGGAAGCCTTCAACAAGGCGGTACCACCACCTGGCAAGATACCTTCTTCAACGGCGGCTCTGGTGGCATTCAAAGCATCGTCGTAACGGTCCTTCTTTTCGCCTACTTCGACTTCAGAAGAGCCACCAACTCTCACAACGGCCACACCACCTGACAACTTGGCCAAACGCTCTTGCAGCTTTTCCTTTTCGTAGGAGTTGGTTGTGGTTTGGTCAATAGAGTTCTTGATTTGTTCAATTCTGGTTTGGATGTTTTCCTTGCTACCGTTACCGTTTAGAACAACGGTATCTTCCTTAGTAATTGTAACAGCATCACAGGAACCCAAGTGTTCCAAAGTGCAGTTCTCTGGCTTTAGGTCCAGTTCCTCGGTGAAGACAGTACCACCGGATAGGATAGCAATGTCACCCAAGGTGTTCTTTCTGTTGTCACCAAAGCCAGGGGCCTTGACGGCACAGACCTTGACTTGGCCTCTCAACTTGTTCAAAATACAGGCTGCTAGGGCTTCACCATCAATATCTTCGGCGATGATCACCAATGGTCTTCTAGTTTGGTTGGAAATCTCCAAAGCAGGCAAAATGTCTTGGATTGAGGAGATCTTCTTTTCACTCAATAGCAAGAGAGGTTTCTCGAACTCGACCTTGCCAGACTTGGCGTCGGTGATAAAGTATGGAGAGATGAAACCACGGTCAAATCTCATACCCTCAGTAACTTCTAGCTCGTCCTCTAGAGTTCTGCCCTCCTTGATAGTAATGACACCTTCCTTACCAACCTTTTCCATGGCAGAAGCTAAAAGCTTACCGACATGAGCATCACCGTTGGCAGAGATAGTGGCAACTTGAGCGATCTCAGCAGAAGTGGTGATCTCCTTCTTGTTTTCCTTCAAAAACTCGATCACTTTTTCCACGGCAGCTTGAGTACCCCTTCTCAAGTCCATTGGGTTGCAACCAGCGGCTACATTCTTCACGGATTCCGTGAAAATGGCACGTCCCAACACGGTAGCAGAAGTGGTACCGTCACCAGCAGCTTCGTTGGTCTTTGAAGCCACTTCTTGCAATAGCTTGGCACCCATGTTTTCAAACTTGTCTTCCAACACAATAGAACGAGCGACAGTCACACCATCCTTGGTGATTTTTGGGGCACCGAATGGTTGCTCAATCAAAACGTTTCTACCCTTTGGACCAAGTGTTGCTGACACGGCATCGGCCAAAGTTTCCACACCTTTCAACAAGGCTGCTCTGCCTTCAACTCCAAACTTCAATTCCTTGTGAGTTGAGTAACTGCGACGCAATAGCGATCCTACGTTCGCTCTCAAAGAACCTCTGGTTGCTCTCAACATGTTTGTCTCTAAGTGTACAATCGTTGCTGCTTCTTACCGCCGCCGTTGTCCGCTAGTAGGTTTTCCCTTATATATTCGATAATCCCCCGCATACCTGTGAGAAAAATTTTCGCTCTAGAAACTTCCATTAAATCACAGAGCACGTGACACAATCACATGGGATAACTAATAACTAACACACACGCGTATGCCAGCAGTCTTTCACTGTTATTCTGTCACCGGGATAGCTTGAGATTTGAATCGGTTCCAAATAATGAGTCAGAAAAACATAGCACACTTTAAGCATCTGATCACCGTAACACTGTGCAATGGCGCCTGACAAGGTAGCAAGATGCCCTTCAAGTGATCTTGCCTGCATATACTCCGACTTTGTAGTTTGAAAGGTTGGATTGAAAATGCGTCCAGCAGAGAACATGTATGCTCTGTCCTGCGTATGTTTCCTTTTGCCAACCGCGATGTGACAAAAAAAAAACTGACGTCCCAGAAAGGGCGGGAGATGCGAAATTTGGGTTTCAATGGAGGTTATCGGCTATTGACCGATCCACAGACGATCGACGGCGACGGCAGCATCCATGCGTGGATTATAAACAACGAATAGGTGCGATATGGAGAAGGACCCACTGATCATCACCAATCTCCAGAGTCTTACAACTGCAGGCGGTGAGCGCCGCAGTGGTTCGTAGAAGAGCTTCAAGTCTAGCATTGAAACGGTTAGAAGAGCAACTCATTTTTCTGGCGTACGCACAAGCAGTAGGCAGTCAAATAGAAGAAGCTTTTTACCGGGCGTTTTACGACGTTTTTGCCGGTCTTTTCAGTGCGAGCACAAGTTATTTTCCGTGACGTAGAAGGTCAGTTAAATAAGAGGCTACCATTTTTTCTCGTGTCATTGGTGTAGTCTCTTAGATGCTTTGAGGATGTTTCAGAAACAATTACTTACCGTATAACGCTGGTTGTGGTGACACTACGCACAGAGGATATGCTTGGCTAATGCCGTAGCAGATTATACCGGCAACCGATACAGCCAGCGAGCATACATGCACCAATAAAACGGCCGAAATAACCAGCACAATGTTCCAGCACAAGGTACCTTCACCAGGACTTTAAGCACCCTTTCTTAGGAGTGGCACTGAAAGAATTGCTGCCCATATGTGTCTAAGAGCCTGTGCACGACGTCAGATAGCGTTCTTTCTAATGTACTATACACCTTTCTTTCAGCCCTCTTGAAACTATAAACCTACAAGAACTAAAGAAACGTCCCAGGGCTGTCGTATACACCTTCCGCTCTTCAAATAAATTTTCCACCGACGGGTGCAGAACTCGAAGATATCGTTCATATCTTAGGATCGAGAAATCCGCGAAAAACAATATCTCGAGTCACGTGTATATACCATTTAAGTTAATGGGGATGGTGCCATAACTATGAAAAAAAAATGCAACACCAAATTAGTATTTAAATTTGTATTCAACTTAACAACGTTTTGTATCTAGTACTTGAGCTAGATTTCCCTGCCAACTAATAGTTATTCCTTTGAGTCATTAATTTTACGCTTTATCGTAAAGAATTCGAGCTCGAACCGTTATCTTGATTCTTTTGAGGGTTTTTATCGCAAGACAGACGAGAAAGTGTTTCCAAGGGTACACAAGAAGTGGCTGATTCGAGTTGACGGTCAATAGAAGAGGTCCAAATTCTGAAGTGCCAGCTTTGGATAATAGTGAATTTAGTGAAAATTTTGTAAGGAGAAAAAGAAAACAAGTTTGGGTCACAAGGAGACTAATGAGAAAACTGAACATGTTCACGAAGCAGTACAGCAGGGCTGTTCTGACGGAAACAGGTGTGATGATCAAAGACCAGCAGTCGCGTCCTATTGACAGCTACGAAAGTACACCGTTTGAAGATGCAGATGACACTACTAGTAGTAGCGTCTTCGAAACAGCGTCGCTGATCAGCTGTGTAACGTGTCTAAGCGAAAATGACAGCGATGAGGGCAGAAATGCACCACTGCTACCTGCGAACACCATTATTCCCTACGGAAAAATTCTGTACACGCAAGAAATCGAGCCCTCTCCTCAAGCCCCCTTCGAGGATAACGAAGTAGAAGATCCTTTTGAATCGGAACCGAGCTCTTCGTCCAAGATAATAGAGGTGACTTTTGCAAAGCCCAGACGTCATGACCTGGTTCCCAAGAAGCTGGTTTTGTCCATAAGTGACATCCCATCTTGCAATGACCTCTCCGCCGAAATTATGCGCAGAAGCTATAAGAAATCCAAGGTGGGCAAATCTATTTTAGTGATTCTCAATCCTCATGGAGGTAAAGGACGTGCCAATAAACTCTATGTGTCGAAAATCAAGCCTATCTTAATTGCCAGTAATTGTTCGGTAGAAGTTATGGAAACAAGTTACCACCGCCATGCAATGGACATTGCTAGGAATATAGACATTGAGAAATATGACATAATTGCTTGTGCATCCGGCGATGGTATTCCCCATGAAGTTTTAAACGGTCTGTTCCAGCGGCCCGATCGTGTTCGCGCTTTCAATAAGGTTGCAGTGACTCAGGTGCCGTGTGGTTCGGGTAATGCCATGAGTGTCTCCTGTCACGGAACGACTAATCCATCGCACGCAGCCTTGAGCATTGTGAAATCTACAGAAATCAGGATTGACTTGATGTGCTGTTCGCAGCCTTCTTACATCAACCAACCTAGACTTTCTTTCCTAAGTCAGACTTACGGTGTGATTGCAGAATCAGACATTAATACAGAATTTATGAGATGGATTGGACCTGCTAGATTCGAGCTGGGCGTGGCCCTCAATGTTTTACAGAGGAAGAAGTATCCCTGCGATATCTACATTAAATATGCCGCGAAGTCCAAGAATGAATTAAGAGATCATTACGTTTACCATAAAAATAAAATAGTGAACAAAAGCAATGAAACAAACTCTGATGATCCCGATAACGACGAAGTCGATGAAAATGACTTTCAAGTCAAGTTTCCACTATCAGAAGACGTGCCGTCCGATTGGGAAAAGCTGGATTCTGGCTTGGCTGATAACTTAGGAATTTTTTACACCGGCAAAATGCCCTACATTGCAGCAGATACGAAGTTTTTCCCGGCCGCATTGCCTAGCGATGGAACTTTTGATCTCGTGATAACTGATGCTAGAACACCTATAACGAGGATGGCTCCCATTTTGCTTTCCTTGGACAAAGGCTCACACGTCTTGCAACCAGAGGTTTTACATTCAAAGATAGTTGCTTTTAAGCTCATACCAAGAGTGAAGAACAGCGTTATATCCGTAGACGGTGAAAGCTTTCCTCTTGAACCGCTGCAAGTTGAAATTATGCCACGTCTTTGCAAAACTTTATCATACAACGGCTCTTATGTTGAAACAGAGTTTGAGTCCATGTAAGTTGTTTAAATTCACTAGGTTTTAGGGGTCGTTGTTGGGAGGTTATCGGTTTTGTCTGATTTTCAGTATAGTATAACGAAATATAATAGTATGTATAAATTCGTCATGCAGGCATGTTTTTGAGTGCAATTGTCACTAATCATGAAAACTTTGAAATGCTTGCCATAAGCTGGATTGATTGAACTTAAGTAGCAGAAAATGAACAATGGTGTAAATACCTGTATGGAAGCCTTATGATACCTCGGGGTTATCTGCACTGTTGCGCAAGTAAAATGCACTCTCAGTATTCTAATACGCACTTTCAAATGACATTCTTATGTTCAATTATTGTCCTTTGCCATCCTTATCTTCTCTGGGCGGAATTAAACTCGCCCTTTTAATGTACATGCCATAGCTCACAATCGCGATCTTTCATCAAAAAAATCCTTCGATACTCAGAAAAAAAAACTCTATCTAGGATTACGAAATTCTCCAAAGTCCGATGATGAAAAGTTCATCAAAGATCAGCCTCATAATAAACTTCTACTAACTTCAAGATTTTTATTAACTAGTTCGCTTAATATCAGAAGAACGAGAAGTAATTTCTAGTTCGTCAACTCTTGGTCAAAAACTTGAGATAAACTAAAACAAATACTCTTGTCCTGCCTTTTGTGGGATCATTTGCCTTCCTTTTTTTCGTGATGAACGAGGGTTAGCATTTTAATTAGATTAGAAATTTATCACCATTTGCTTATATAATGGAAGGAAATTATTTGAATTCCTTCGAGCAGATAATATGTCGCGAGGAGAAGCTTTCAATTTAAAGGAACAAAAGGAGAGGTAAACAATTGAATTGATCAGAATTTCATGAAATGTCTGTGGAAGAAGTCATGGCGGTCAGGAACTACGGAAATGCGACTTTAACTGAAGACGGCATAAAAATCTTGGATCAACAAGCCAATGAGACAGCTATTACAGGAAACCCACAGGCTATCAATTACGATGCTAATAAAAAGGGTTTCGATGTCCCCTCTAGAACGACAATTTCTTATGATCGAGTACTGTTTGCAGCGGAAATACGCCATCCAGAGCTGTCTTTAGCGAAGCATAAGGCAAACGAGAGACATGAAGACAAAGTGGAGAGTGAAGCAAAGCTCTTAGAAATAACTTTTGCAGATAAAAAGGGTTCCGACCTAGAACCCAAAAAGATTACACTATCATTTTCTGGCGTTTCTGAAGTCGATAATGTCAGGGACTGGATAATGCAGGAAAGCTATAGAGAATCCAGCGTCAAGAGGTCTTTCTTAATAATCATCAATCCACATGGGGGGAAAGGTCGAGCAAATAAGTTGTTCAAGTCAAAAATCGAACCAATATTGAAGGCAAGCAATTGCCATTTTGATGTCATTGAAACAACACATCATGGCCACGCATTGAAAATTGCCTTGGAGATGGACATCGAAAAGTATGATGTAATAGCTTGCGCTTCAGGCGATGGTATTCCTCATGAGGTTCTCAATGGACTTTTCCAAAGACCAGATCGTGCAAAAGCGTTCACTAAAGTAGCTATTACCCAGCTGCCCTGTGGGTCTGGAAATGCTATGAGCGCGACATGCCACGGAACTTCAAATCCATCCTACGCAGCATTAAGAATATTAAAATCACCGGAGCTAAGAATGGATATAATGTGCTGTTCCCAAGAATCATATCATAAACAACCGAAACTTTCATTCCTGAGCCAAACTTATGGTGCTATCGCTGAGGCGGATATCAATACAAACTTCATAAGATGGGTAGGCCCTGCGAGATTCAACTTGGGTGTGGGGATGAATGTATTGCAAAGAAAGAAATACCCCTGTGACATTTACGTAAAGTATGCTGCAAAGTCGAAAGACGATTTGCGGAACTATTATCGCAGTCACAAAACCATCGCCTCTAATAGAACGGTGGACTTCCAGCAACAGCAGTTTAATACTTTGAAGGATGAAGATTTCAACCTCAGGTTTCCATTTTCGAAGAGCACAGCGGAAGATTGGGAAAAGATAGATACAGATCTCACCTCTAACATCAGTATCTTTTATGCAGGAAAAATGCCATACATTGCGACTAATACCGAATTCTTTCCAGCTGCACTTCCTGACGACGGAACAATCGATTTAATTTTGACGGATACAAGGACCTCCATCTCAAAAACCGCACGAATTTTACTTTCGTTAGATAAGGGTACTCATGCTTTACAACCTGAAGTGGTTTATTCTAAAGTCGTTGCTTACAAGCTAATTCCAAAAGTTAAAAAAAGCATGCTTTATATTGACGGAGAGAACTTTCCTTTTGAGCCTCTGCAAGTCGAAATTTTGCCGCGTTTGTGCAAAACATTATCATTTAATAGTTCTTACGTAGATACAGGTTTCGAATCGATGTAGCCGCAAACAATCAACTCCAAAAGATATCTTATTAGCAGACATTTCATTCAGTCCCTTTGAATTTAATTGACAGACTGAGGTATATATACACATCATGCAAACACGTCGGCAAACATGGGAAGGCATGGAGTTCTAACATTGACACCCCGATTGTTCCTGCTCTGCGGAATTTGTTGAAATGTCAATAACATCAGGCTTACTTTGAGCATTTTCATTATCTAGTGGCACATTTGTAGAATTTTGAAACTCTGGTAAAGATTTCGCTATTCTCTTGAAAAGATTCTTGACGTTAAATCCTGCTTTAGTTGAGGTTTCTATGAAGATCTTAGCATTCAAAACCTGAGCTTTCCTCTCTCCTTCCTCGGTTGAAACTTGCCTTTCATCAACCAGATCGTTTTTGTTTCCGACAATGCACAGAATTACATTCTCTTCACCTCTTTCATTTTTCACATCTTCCACCCATTTGTCAATATACTCGAAAGACTTCTTATTTGTGACATCATAAACGACAATCGCGACGTGAGAGTCCCGAATATAGGAGGGAATCAAAGATCTAAAACGCTCTTGCCCTGCTGTATCCCATAGCTGCAGCCTGATGGTTTTGTCGTCAAGGTACATCGTTTTGGAAAGGAAATCAATACCGATCGTTGCTTGGTAGTGATCGTCGAAAGTATCGTACATGAACCTAGTTATAAGAGAGGTTTTCCCGACACCTTGCTCACCTAGAAAAACAATCTTATATTTTGTCAAGGATTTACCAGTTCTAGCTCCGCTCATTGTCTTCTACCCACAAGTTGTGTTCCAATCGAACTGCTCTTAATGTTCAGACAATACCTTGAATCCTTTGTCCCGTGAGCAAGATACAGATTGTACTCGTCGTTAACGATTCAAAGGCCTTCAATTATCGATCACGTGTGATGAAGATCGAAGTTAATACATCTCTTCATTCCTCACACACTTGATTCATTACATGTAATCAATGTATTCTTATCTTTGGAACGCGATTTCGTGATCTTCCGAAATTGATCTTACCCTTCGCTGTATAGCATCAAAAAGAATTCAATAATTTGGTGTATGTTCTTTCTAATCGCAACTAAAAAGCAGATTAACCTTGTGACCTAGCTTGTCAAAAGATATCATGCCTTAGTTCAGGAAAGCTTTACTCTCGCCATTGATTTTTTTCCAGATAATTGATTGATATGGTTATAATTATCCGTCTTCTCATTGACCAACGCACAATCCGCGCACAATACTTAATATAGCCCCTTATTGAGAGACGCGTTTTGAGAGATGGGCAACATATATTTGTACAGAGCTTCTATTCATTGCAAATATATAAGGAACTGAAAAAACCTGAGCCACAGATACGAATTATGGAAACCAACAATCACCTGTCGATTTAACCCTCTATTTCTTACCAGATTTCTTGATTCCACCACCAACTAGGGGCTTTCCGCTCTTCATGTTAGCCATTAAGGCCTTCTTGGCAGCAGCATCGGCCTTTTGCTTCTCCTTGTAGGCAAGCTCCTCGGGGTCTAGGTCTTGCTGGGCCTTTTTCTTTTGCTTTAGAGGTTTCATCTTACCACCTTGACGACCGGACATTATTGCTCTGTTTTGCTTGGATTGTATTCGCCTACCACTCTACATCTTCATATGGCATACATGTGTGCCATCTCAATAGAAAATTTTCCTCTGTTGCGACAGAATCGTGCCAAGCGAGTGGACAAACTACCGGCTGAAAGAAAACAAATCTGTGCGCTATTAACTTATTTAATCACACCTTGCAGTAGACGTACAGAGCTTGACCAATCTTGCTCATTTAGTGCTTTCCTTTAAGCTGACAATTCTGTTGAGGACAATGTTATTTGCTTCGCTGTCTTTGTCCAGAGTGAAGTAACCAACTCTCATAGCTTGGAACCTACAAACCTCCTTTCTGTCGGGCTCCTCCTCAACATAAAACTCCGATGCCTTTGCACTGTCAACGACCCATGGGGAGTTCTTGATTACGTAGTTGAAGTTATGCTCAATGACCGAATTCTTGTGAACAAGCTCGCTGTCAGGATTAATGTCAGCCAGGAAGCCATCTGGATTAGAAGAGGGATTTTCAGATTTGAACAGCTGGTTGTAAACTCTGGTCTCAGCAACTCTAATAGGCGAGCTATATTTGGAAGAGATTGGGACCCATTGAATGTAAGTCTTTGGTTTCTTGGGCTTTTCTTCATCGTTATCGTACTTGACATGAATTCTTGTGATCTTCCCATTCGTGTCCTTTTCCAATGATTGGAAGGAAACGGTGTATGGAACTTTGATTAAGCCCACGCCTTGAGAAGGAGTTAGTCTGAAGAACTCAGGATCATCTGCACGCTCTGAAAAATCACCTCTTTCGATGTAAAATCTCTTGGTGAAGGGAACAGTTCTATCACCGAACTCTGGAGTTCCAGGTCTGTAAGGAATTGTGACCAACTCTTCATAATCTTCAGGCAAGTTGTCCACTACGACCTCCACAGGATCCAATACAAACATCAATCTAGCAGTTGTGTCTTCCAAGTATTTTCTGATTGCAGATTCAAATCTCACAACTTGAATATTCGTAGTACTAGTGGTGACACCCAATGTGTTGATGAAGGAAAGAATAGATCCTGGTGGAACACCGCGTCTACGGATGGCTTCCAGCGTGAATAGTCTTGGATCGTCCCATCCTCTTACAAATTTCTCGTTAACCAATTGTGCAATACGCCTCTTGGACAAAACTGTACCGGTAATATTTAATCTACCGTACTCTCTTTGTGCGGGTCTAAACACATGGACTTGATCACATAACCACTCGTAACTCTCACGCGACAAGTAAAATTCAGTGGTACACAAAGAATGTGTGATATTCTCAAAAGAATCAACTAAACAGTGGGTAAAGTCGTAAGTTGGGTAGATTTTCCATTTGTCACCAGTTCTTGGATGAGGCGCGTTCAAAACTCTGTAAGCAATCAAATCCCACATTTGAGGAGAAGGAGAAGTGAGATCTTGTTTCATTCTCAATGTTGCCTCACCTGGCTTATAGAATCCATCTCTCATCTTTCTGAACTCTGCCAAGTTTTCTTCAATTGGTCTATCACGATCTTTGCAGGCAGTTCTTTCTCCACCAGGGGTACCATCCTCTTTGATACCACGACCCCGCTTGATTTGCTCAGCAGTACAATGGCAAACGTAGGCCTTTCCATTGTTAATTAATACCTCAGCAAGTTCATAAAGCTTGTCGAAATAATCCGAAGAGTATGTAATTTTCCAGGGTTTGAAACCTAGCCAAGAAACCATTCTTTTGATGGATTCAAAGTACTCAGGTGCTTCTGCTTCAGGGTTAGTATCGTCAAATCTCAAATAGCAGACACCGTCATGGTATTTCGCATAGCCAAAGTTTACCATGATAGCTTTCGAGTGGCCGATATGTAAGTAACCATTTGGCTCAGGAGGAAATCTAGTGCGCACTTTACCTCCTGTGACCTTCAAGTGTTCCTTCATCAACTCTGGATAGGCTTGTGGGTTTTCACCAACCTTGTGAAGATCACCCAAGAAACCCTCACTGAACATGGTTCTCTTAGGAGCTTGAGTACTAGTCTTCGAGGTATCCTTAGTATCTTTGGCTTTGCCCTTTTTCTTCTCTTTTTTGACCACATCTCTTTCATCTTTAGGACCCAAAAGTCTCAACACTTCTTTGTCAATGATAGGTTTGAACAAACGAGGTTCAGCCCACTTCAACTCAGGCAGGTTTTTGATTACAGCAAACAGGCCTGGAACTATCTTATATCTCTCAGCAATAATCTTCTCCTTGTTATCTTCCATGTATTTGAACACACGCTCTTCCACTTGAGCCTCGGTGATAACCACGCCAACACCTGATTCCTTCTTCAACTCCTCTTCAGAGGCCTCATCTCCGGTCCTCATTAGGTACTTGTAAGCAGCATCAACCTGTAAGGGAGTCTTCAAGTCTCCGTTCAAAATCTCATCAACAATAATCTTTTGGTTAGGCAAATCCTGGCCCTTGATTTGCGAAGCCAATGTGTGCATTAGTGATCTCGAACTTTTGTCCCATTTGTAATTTGGAGGGCAGTCCCTGATAAGAGACTCCAAAGACCCGGAAACCTTCTTGTTCTTCACAATTTCTTTCACTTTAGGCTCTTCAAAGCCCACGCTGCTAAAAAGCTGGGTCAATCCTTCGACCGAAGACATATCACCGTAGATTAACTGTTCTTCCTATAATCAATCATCGATAGATAAATCCTTCTCTCAAATTTTCATGAAGCCGTTGAGGAAACATCTGTACATCACACGGTCATAAAGAAGAAAGTTTAAACGCTTGTACAATTGACGGATTATGCGTTAAAAAAACATAGATTAGTTGCTCATAAGTGTCTATATATCCTCAGATCAGAGAGTTATGATAGCTCATAGTTTCTTTGACCCAGCTTAAAGTTACATATTGATGGCTGTATCGAAAATCATCATGAACGAAGATGACTTTTTACTTTCTGATATTTGGTATTGATCGATTCCTTTGACGGCGGCTAAACAATCAACAAACCAGGGTAGTTGTCAACAATATAAGGTTAGAATAGAACACGAAATGATTAACTTAAACTTAGAAATTAAAGGACTTCTCACTGAGTTTGATCATATAGACAAAGGCCCCAGTTCATTTGTTTTGAAGCGCTTACAGTCCTTGAAATATGATGATGCATCGACGGATCGCGTCACATCGGAGCTCTTTAATGAACTTGTAAAAAAGGTAGAAGTAAAGGGTGCAATCAAAATATGGGCTATAATAGATGTGATTGTCCAGATAGGAGCCGTTGTTACTAAAGAAAACACGAAATATCAAGATTTTTGGCTTGTCCTACTGGTTAGTAAATGAAACAGACACCCCTCTTATGCAATTGAGCATATCAGACAGGAAAATCAACTAACAAAAGGGTGGCTTTCATCCTCTGGGATAAAGACTATAAAAATTCCAAAAAACGCAATTTTCGATTCTCACTTGCTTGAAACGCTTTTGTCAAATGGTTTGAACTCTGCTGGTAATCATGCATGGAAATGCTTTGCTCTATTGACAAAATTGTTTTATGAGCTGCCACAATGCAGGCCAACACTTACCTCCTTACTGTTAAAAAAGTATGCACGCAAGATGGGTCGAGTTTTAGATTCACTGCATGATTTTCAGCTTGCCAATTACTTAGTCGAACTATTGGCGAACGCTTTTCCTCAAGGGCTTGAGTTTCCTAATAAATCAATCCTTCTACCCAAATTATGGCAAAATCAGAATAAGAACGTAGATTTCTTTAACAGCAAGAAATTTCCTAGAATGGCAAAGCACGGAGAAAAGATGCTTATCGATTATGTCATAGATAATCTGGGGCCATTTGACACTTTTGGATCGATTAGCAACGTATCTTGTGGGAGCTTGGAGGGCAAATGTCACTTATTATTCACTGGCCAAGGTTACATTCAATTTATTGGGAAAAATCTCTACATTTGGAATGACAGTAAGCTGTTGCTACAAATGCGAGTCGATGGGCTTGATGTTATGCCTATAACAGACAAATCCATCAAACTAATTGTTCTTGATGTATTCGAAAGTGTCGTAATGTCACTAGACACTGATTGGCTTCAAAACCTGAAAGAACCCGAGTGCTTTTATATTACATTCGAGGAAACCCGTTTACAGGGACGTATCCTGGAGGCCACCAAATTCCGCAAAGTAAGTGAAGTTGAATCATTCATATCCTTGAACTTCAATTCATCGAGCGAAGCTGACACTCATAGTACACAAAACTCAGCAACAAACAGCAAACCATTGGCTGTGATGTGTGCCGAGGATCATATAGCCCTTCAGCAATCGACCAATGCAGCATCGAGGTACCTCAATGAAAAATCGCAAATAAGAATCCATGGTGATGACTGGGATATTGAACCATCAAGCCACTCGCCGAACCAGGAAGATAGCCCAGATGACATGCAACATGTATTCGGTCACCTCGACTATTCTGAATTAGAAAAATCCCCAGTGGTGATGATGCAAACAAGAAGAAAATTACGAGCACATTCAAAAGCACTTCGAACAGTTCCTCAGATCACAAATCAAATTGGACTCAACGCAGAAATCATCAAGAGGATTCCTGAAACCAGGACCAAACAAAATTCGAAAAACATGATTCTTCAGGAAATGGGACGGCTGACACCAAGAATAGACGATGCATCAATCATAAGTTTAAAAACTCCGCTGAAAAGTTTGAAAAGTTCAAATTCGAAGGGTTGTAGCACCATCAATAAAAGAGATATTTCAGCCTTGGAAACCATTTTTGGCTCCGGTCAAAAAGATAAGAAAAGGCACAAACAACAAACCAAGGGCCCTTCTGGTAAAATAACTCATGAGTCGAGCACCATTGGAAAGAAACCATCGAGGTCACGAAAGCAAGCTCCTAGAATAGCAAAGTCTACCATCCAAAACAATATTGATGTGGCCACAGAGAAGAGACTCCGTGGTTCCTCGAATCACCAACCTCAAAACAGTCCTGCCAAAACCTCCGAGCTTGAAAAAGCCCGTGAAAATTCAACCCATTCTGATAATGAGGCTAATTCTAAGCATAATAAAAATGCTTTCAATATTGACGGCGAATCTGGAATCGAAAAACCCACCTGCGATACCGGCTCCGGACTAGGACTGAAAAATGCTGCAGAATCAACATCTTTAGAGGCCACCACAGTGATATCCGGATTATCAGGCCCCTTTCAGGAAGCAAATATGCTGGGCAGCTCCTTCACGAATAAGCTCCAGGAACAAATCTTTAGCTCTATAACAAACTTCTCCAACGAGCTTGCTAAGAAAATAACCATCATAAACGAAGAATTGAACAAGAAAATATGTCGGGAATTGTCAGACAAATATTTGCGAATGTTTGATGAACTGCAATCGAGCTTCGAAAGCGATGTTGCTCAGATGTCCCAGTTCGTAGGTGAGATTGGAGAATTGCTGCATTTATCGGAAGAGCGGCTAATCGAAGTGATTAGAGAAAAGCAATTTCATTAGACAGTCCATGCGTATAGGCCACTGGGTGTTAGAACTCAGTATCACCATTATTTTGGCATTGCAAAACGGTCCCAATATCTCTTCCTCAGATGAAAATTACCCGAACAGAAGCACCGTACAAACGCATCACGCAGTTTCTGCCAGTTTTTTTGGTTCCACAAAGCGCGTCAGCGAGAGCGTAGCTTGCAAGCTTGAAAAAATTTTTTTCAACTTTAGGTCTCTTCTCTCGTTTTCACATCTTTTCCTCAAAAACTCACAGAGAAACAGAATCAAAATGGACTCCAAGACCCCAGTTACTCTAGCTAAAGTCATCAAAGTTTTAGGCCGTACCGGTTCTCGTGGTGGTGTCACTCAAGTCCGTGTTGAATTCTTGGACGACACTTCCCGTACCATCGTCAGAAACGTCAAGGGCCCAGTCAGAGAAAACGACATCTTGGTCTTGATGGAGTCTGAACGTGAAGCTCGTCGTTTGAGATAAACAAGCCAATACTATTCGAATTGTGGGTCAAACCATACTTTTTGTATCATTTTGAATTGTATTAGCTTTTTATTTTGGGGTGAGATCGATCGATTATCCATTCATGCTTGAGGAGTGCAAGAGGACAAGAGAATTGAAAAGAGTTTGCGAGAAGTGCGTGCTAATTATACAGTGTGCTGTTTGAAGTGATTCCATGGACACCAGTTTTTTTGGGTAAAATACGTTCAAAAAAGAGTTGATTTCCTCCTTGATGTGCGCATTTGTGGGGATGAGATGGGAGATTGAAGTCTTTCATTTCTACTGGTTTCTACGAGGTGTGGCAGATGAGGTTTCTTTTTTGGCTGGTGTTAGTCACTGCAGGGTGCTGTCTGTGATGAAGCTTGCCTCCTTGCACTTTCATTTTTGATTTTGTTGTCCTCTGAATTCGTCTCTTTTTAGCTATCCTATATAATAATAAAAACTCGTTTTTACTGTTAGATGAAGGCCATCAAGAATGGCATAAGGCATTCCTTTGCCCCGACACTCGAAGTATATTCAAGTGATGCTTTCGTGTAGAAGCTGCCTACCAAAAAGCAGTCACAAATTCCGATAATATCATAGTGTAGTGTACAGGTGTACAAAATCGCCAGATCATCACTGAAAAAAACCCATTCATTTACTATTATTGTCAGTGAGTGGGTATTAAAAATTCTTGATTTTGTTCCATAATATCATTATCAACGTCAATAGAATTGAAGATCATGTGATATGGATCACGTGCTGGAAAATGAAATGGTCAGATGATCTACAAAATGATCGTGAATGTTTATGTCATAAGAGGTTGAGACATTCATCGAGACGGACCATGGTTGATGGTGTCTACTTCAGGGACAAACGAGCGAGATAGTTCGAAAAGTGCATTTAATCCCAATTCACAGCATAATCCAACTGGAAAGAGAAGAAGAAGGCGATCTGGAAGCTCAAGGAAATACACCGTTGATGACATCGAAAAGATCATTTCTGAAGATTCGAATGGCATAGATGATTGTCCTGCTAATAGAAGTGGGATAAGTTCGTGGGGATCCCCTGATCGTAAGGAAAATGAAAAGGATCAATTACCTCAGAAAAGCAAAGCCAATGCCGATTTTGATGGCGACGTGTATATGCATGATATGGATGACGAGACGAAGGTTGACACCGTTTCTCAGTATGTGTCTGCCCAACGCAAAAAAACCGACTTGACTGCAGAGGTACTGCCTACTGTGTGCCAGGAAGAAGATGGCGATAGAATGGAGCTCGATATTCCTGGTCATAAGAGGATCACCTCTTTCATCGTAGATACGAACTTTATTATTTCGCACCTGAACACTCTTGAGGCATTGCGTGGTCTTTGTCCAAAATTTAACCATCAGATAATTATTCCAAGAACTGTGATCCATGAACTGGATGGCCTCAAAATGTCGAATAAAGTCATAGAAGGGGCCTTTGGCTCAGACAACAATGAGAAACAAAACATGGGCACCCTTGCGAGAAGAGCGAATGACTGGATTTACACAAACTTGGCAAATTTAGACTCGGGGATATTAGGACAGAAAATAAGACAGCGGTTGGATTTCACCAGTATTAAGGACGATTCGATTTTAGACTGTTGTCTATATTTTAGAGAAAAACTCAACAGGTTTGTAATCTTGTTGTCCAATGACAAAAACCTGTGCCTGAAAGCACTTACAGAACAACTACTCACAGTTTCGTATCGGAAAGGGATGTCTGCTGAGCTGATTGCGAGTATGGCATTTAAAGAGAATCACAATACTGAAAGCATCGACCTAATTAATAATGATGACTACGAGTTACAAGGCAAACTTGAAAACATAAGCCATGAGAATCCTACTGAGACATCAGACGGGTCATCGCAAACTATGATAAAAGCTAATTCCTTTCGTGAAGCTTCCGAAACAATCTATAACGAAATACAAGCAATTGTTTTATCCGCGATCGATCATGTAATGCTGTCTGAATATGGTGACGATCTTTCACTTGTTGGATACGACCGAAACGCTTCTAGCCTTTCACATGCATGCCATAACGTGTACAAATTTTGGCTTTCTGTTTTTACAGAGTACTTTAAAGACTCAGAGTATCACAAAGACTCTTGGAAGAATCCCCCTCAAGCGATTGTAACCCTTCCTTTGTCACCGCAGAATCTTATCAAGTTCACAGAATTCTGGATTCATGCCCTGGAAAGACTTTACTCGAGAAGAGATGGAGTTCAGAAGAAATCGTTGGATGTTCTTTTTGACAGATGGAGAGATGGAACAGCCCGGTGGTCAACCGCGTAGTCACGGCTCCACAGATTCGCTCTTTACCTTTCCAAACTTGCGTCTTTTCTTTGAGGGTGACAGACTAGATGTTACTTCCAGCTTTTCGTTGGAACCATTGTTCCGTTTAAGGTTACTTTGCGATTCTGTGCACGTATCTGAGTTTATGCGTTCACTTACGGGGAAGAGATTTGATGCTTGAGTTTGTTGATCTGAGTTTTCTATATTTTGGATTACCTCTTCTTTTGGTTGCAATCGTTCCTGTGATTCCGGCAAATTATGTTCATCATCGAATTCTAAATGTGGCTCTTCGAATTGAACAAAACTGTCAGAAGAATTCGAATCGAAAACATTAATTGATTTAGTTTTCAGATTCTTTTCAGAACTTTTTGTAGGATCATTTATATTACTCTTTTTCATTGCCAATAAATTTAGCGTATCGGATATTTTGTTCAAGCCACCACTGAGAACATCAGAGGGGACCTTCTCAGTGGCCCAAGCTGATTGCCAGTTATCTACATCAAATGGAGTTAACAAGTCACGATTGAAGGAGTTCGGTGGTGCCCATTTTGCTATGAGGCCTTCATATCCTAAGTCACCCACCGTATCCTTTAAAAATCCTATCGCTTGATCTTTATGCCCTATAATGGCAACTAGCTTCTCCATAGCCATATGCAAGAGACAGACACCGTCAATCAAAGACAAAGAAATTGCTTTATATACATCATTTTTGTAGGATTGATTAACAGGGGTTGTTTTGAGCCGAATTTGAACCTTGATCTTTTTAGTTATATTCATGACGAATTCGAGGTACTCGCCTCTACTCATTATTCGTAAGTCGTCAGAAGGGAATTTTAGCCGTTCTTCGAAAGTTGTAAGTAAGTTTGGTAACGAATGATTATCAAACCCTTGATCGGAACATTGACGTTCGACTTCCTTGGAATCGATTAGCGATATCATTGGAGAGCAATGGAAGGAACAAACGCATAGTACCATCATTTGTAGTTCTTTGGAGAAGGTTAATGCCCCAAAATATGAATTATCTCCTATCAAATATACTCTCCATTTTACAGGTTTGTTTTGGTTACAGAAAAGGGATATTAGACTTTCGTTAGTGATCATTACTGTTCTTGTTTAGCAAGGATGTTCTGTTCGTTCACAATGTCAGATAATTTTTGGTTTTATTTATGATCTGCGAAGCAGGTGATATATACCTTATAGAAATTTGAAAAGATCTTCTAAATTGTAGAATCCTGTTCGCTCTGAGAATCTTTCGTCTCAGTTGGTTTGATAAGGTCTTGCAATTCGAATTCTTCTGTCGTTCCCTGCCTGGAAATCGATGGCTGAGGATGATCATCCACCAAAAACGATCTCAATTTATCCTTGACAACCTGCCTTGATTCGTTGACCACGGTATTAATTACTGTAATCAATGGATTCCAGAGATTTAGCTTATGAATAAAGAAGAAACCAACACCAAGTATCAAAATAATTGTGACAAACAATGGATTCCGTATGATCATCATGAATTCATTCCAGCCCAAGACTGCCATCAAGGCATAAATATACAGCGGAATGTGAGTCGTAGTCTTAATGGTTGACCTCTTTGCCTCAATTACAGTGTAATCAGCCTGGCGCTTAAATTTCTGTAAGATTTTCTCCTTCTGTTGGGCGGTAAAAATATGAGCGAATCGAGCAGAATGATAGACTCCCTCTTCATCTTCATAAATGTGATCATCACTCTCAGAGCTTAGAGGAACATCTGGTATAATTTCGGCACAGTTTGACGTCGAAGCGGTTGAAAGAACGTCGAGAATATCGAGAGCCTGTTCACGAGCTACTCGGAAAATGTTATCAATCTCTTCTCCATTCTTCCACAATCTGGGCGACTCATTTTCGTCATAGCGGAAATAGTTTTCGAACCGCTCGCGAAGAATGGATACTACCATATCTTCAGTCAGGTAGTCACGAACAATGTCGTAAAGACTAATCCAAGCATTTATGCGAATTTTGGTATAAACCTCTTTGTTTCTATCGGCAGAAAAACCTAATTGGAAATCATAATTATCGGAATCAACTTGATATCTTTTTAAAGCTCTGTCAAATATCTCATTGAACTTTTCCAAGACCAAATCCCACAAGCTAGGGTCCGGATGGCCCAATAAAAATGTGACTTCTTCTTTCAAATTTGATGAAATGAATTTACTGCTACGAGCATAAATGACGTTTAATTGCTTCTCTTGTAGGTCAACTGCTTCTTGTTCAACTACAGAGTTGAATTTGTCATTTTCTTTAACTAGAGAAGAAACCAATTCTAGCTTGGTGAATTCAGATGTAATGGCTTCAAATTTCTGCAGGACATTTTCCTTAGCAGCACTTAGTTTTTCAATGAACGACTTCTCACTTGTCTTATCCAGAACGTCTTTTCTAAACTGTGAAACCAAATGATCGCTTAGCTCCAACAAGTAAGAAGTCAAAGTTTCAGTAAATCTCAATTGTATTTTTTCAACCAATTCATTACGCTTGTCTAAATAGACCGCGCGTGCATATCGCGAACCATATGTATCGTATTCTTGCAGGCACTCTGTTTTAAGCTGCTGCAGAATAGAAGCCATATTTTCTTGGTTGGAGCTTCCCACACGAGACTCATAATTCTCAGTGAAATTAGCGTACGCTTGGCTGGCAATTTCATCAGTTTTAAAAAGAGCAACTAGAATTTGTTGCGTGGGCAAATCTAGGTCTTTATTCGTTTCAATTTGCTCCCAACAATTCTCGGCGTACATGGTCCAGCCATCTAATGGTAAATTGTGGTGATAGTCCGGCTTAAAGTAGCTTGAATCTCTTTTCTCCAATGTGAACGAGTCTCCTAGCTTTTTAACTCCTTCCATGAATTGGTCTGGTTGTAGAAGTTTGTGAGCAAGAGCTGCAAACTTCAAATCGAAAAAGTCGTACAGGGAGGATTCTTCGGTCCCTTCGGGCTTACTTAGCTGGGACCAAATACTAACTAGCTCTGTTTCTAATGTCTCCTGCAAGCTTGACAAAGGAGTAACTCCGATATGATCCCTGATAACGAAAAGTAACAATACTTTGTGATCATTTTTCTTATGGCCAAACAACGACAAGTTAACTTCGAAAACTGTTTTGAGCAGGGCCATATTGTTCCCCTGGTACAGCCCAACTTGTTGTTCCCACATATTGACAATTAAAACCTCGGATATGGCAATTGCAAACAATGCAGCCTTTCGCTCGAAGTCTTGATCCTCACCCCGTTCAGCACCATCAGACCCTTCAACATCAAGCACAAAAGTATCTTTGTGAGGAGGAGCTGGAGAGCCGGAATTAGTAACGTTTCGAGTGTATCCTAACCAAATACCCTTCGTAGTTTGCTGCCTCTTAATTTGGGCATTCATCGTATCAAAGGTTGTGTTGAACAGAGCATTCAACAACGTGGACTTTCCACTGGACTGTGATCCAAATACGGAGATCACATGGTAGTCGACACCTACATCCCTATCTCCAATACATTTCCTGAAGTGGGTCAACGTATCTTGATTGAACTCCTTGTCCTCATTTATGAGCTGGATAGCATCTTCTGCGTCTAGCATTGTGTTAGCCTATGTTTATTGAACGAGAAAGAAATGGCGAATTTAAAGATTTTTTGATGACTTAACCCTTCCACAAAGAAAGGTAACAACGAAAGAATGAGCGCCAATGCAAAGCTTGCACGCACTCTAGCAAGATTCGAGGCTAGAATCGAGAATCAAGATTTTTATGAGGCGCATCAAACTCTTAGAACGATTGCTAATAGATACGTCAGAAGCAAGAACTATCAGGAGGCAATTGATTTGATTACACAAGGTGCACAATCTTTCTTAAGAGCAAAGCAAGGAGGTTCAGCAACCGATTTGATATTCTATTTATTGGAAGTTTACGATACTGCACAAGTTAAGGCCGATGACGCTTCGGTGTCAAGATTAATTCAGCTTTTAGTTGCCATCGACCCTGAAGAACCAAATCTCAAAGATGTTGTTACCGGTATGAACAATTGGTCTGTTAAATTTGGTGACTACAAGTTTGGAGATCCTTATTTACATGCGGTGATTGGCTCCAAATTGATTGATGGAGGGCATGTTTATGAAGCCGAAAGGTACTTGGTTTTGGGTACGCATGATTCCTGCGAAAAATACATCACCCTGGTATGGGAATGGTTTGAACAAACTAATGACCTGGCCACTGTCGGTGAGTTTTTCTCCCGCTTGGTCTTCAACTACCTGTTCATCAGTAATCTCCAGTCAGCCTACACTGCAAAGGACCAATTCTTACAGAAGCTGATCGAAAAGTATTCCCCTAAACACGAAGAAATCAATAAAGATGGCTTTCGCATGTACTACTTTGAAAGTCACTCTGACTTGAACTTTCTACAACTACTGCTCTTAACATGTCAAACAAAAGATGCAGGTCTCTACAACAACTTGAAATCGCATTATGCAGGCTCAATAGAGAAATACGCAACTCAATTGGACTTTTTAGGCCAAGAGTATTTTGGCATCAAGGTACAAAAGCCGGTGAACTTTATGCAGGATATCCTTTCAGGTATTTTGGGCGGTAAATGAGCTGTTAATCAAAAGTACTAGATTGTTATACGAAGTTTTTATGGATGCTCTTTCTGAACTATGTAACGAAATAACAAGATCAGACGGAAGTTTAATCAATCTTTGATTATACTAGATCTATTCAGAGCTTCTAAAAGTTCTGGTCTCTTCGCTTTCAGTAGTTCTTCCTTGGCGTCTTTATAGCTAAACCACTTTCTGTTCCTCTTGTGTTTTTCTGGATATTCATCGACCACGGAAGTTACATCCATTTCGTAAAAATGGAACTCAGATCTTGGTGGATGTTTACTTACCACCGAGTCATTTGTAGCTTCTTCGAAAGCCTTTCTATCCTTGTTCCAGTCCTTTGGTGGTCTCATGTCTTCAATCGCACCAAGGCTCTTGACAATTTCTCCCTCAACTCCGGCCTCTTCCCAAGTTTCTCTTCTAGCCGTATCCTTATAGTCGGCCTCATCACTTTCGACACCCCCTTTTGGAAGTACCCATTTCTTCTTGTGGGCTGAAGATTGAATCATAAGGACTTCTGTCTTGTTCGCATTAAGACAAACACAGCCAGCGACAAGACGAGCTCCGGTCTCAGGGGAATATACCTGATGCTGTCTGCCCTCACGAGCAGTCTCAGTACGTACGAATTCTGACATTCAGTTAGGTCTTGAAGACTGAGCAATTAACCCAGTGATTAATTGTACTTCTAGAGACACTATATCCATTTGGCCATACACGTGGCTTCAGGTAAGGTCGTCAAACGTGAGTGCATGGACATTAAACTCTTGCAGTTATTCCTCGCGTATTATTGTGCTTCATCTTGGCTTTAATGTCAATCATGAAACCACCGGATGCTTAGTTAGGTACCAACATTCATAAATTTTTAGTCGCCTGAATACCTGCTGATGTAGCACAAAGCACCCATTGGCTGCTATGTTGAGAATCCTTTTGATCTATACGATCATGTGAAACGAGTGGTAAGATATTACCCAAGCGATGAAATAAAACAACAGACCTCCGTTTAATTAAGGCTATCGCATCTTCGATATTGTTCTTGTGCGCCTATATATAAGCTCCCTTTCCTATTTGAGGAATCTGAGAATATTATTATAATCCCGTGTGACCGTTCAAGGTCCCTTCGATTCAATAAATAAATATAAAGCTATATTAAGAGATTCCCACAGGCGCAGGGCTCTGATGCAAGGTGATCAGCAATGATATGGACGTTTTTATTGCATGATCGAATTAAGCGATGTGATTTTTGTAGACCTACCGTATCATATCACTAGAATCCGCGGAGGGTAGGTTGGACGAGACGAGCCCTCACACTCAACTAACTTCGGGAGAATTGCAGCTGCTCCATCAACAGTAATCACAACATTGGGCCCGAAAGAAGAGTTGTCCGTGAATGTCAAACTGCGGCATTCGGGTAAGTTATTCCACGTTGAAAAAGTGAACATACACAACTCCTCGGGATTGCAATGTGTGGGACACCAGCCGGAAAATGAAATATCTAGCTCCTTCAACTTAGGCATGTAGAGACCCTCGGCTCTCAAGGTACCGCCGCGCTTGCAATTGATTATGCCAAGATGTAATTTTCGGAGGGTCTCTTGATGTATACAAAATGGCGGAGCAATTGCTTGTTCATGTTGAACACCATCGAAAGGTATCCAGTTTATGATTGAGGTTTCTAAAACACCCTCGGGAACTAAGCTCACATTAAAATGTGACAATCCATCTGGGTTTTCCCTAATGGCGATATCACGTAGTAGTCTTAGATTTCCCATCATCGCGGCGCTACGTTGAAATCGACTCCGACAACCTCCACATGAATTCTTGCATTCATTGAAGAGGAGCTCATGCCCACTAAAATACCTTAACTTTGGCAAGTCCCAATTTCTGAGAGAGTGAACGCTGAAATACTCCGCCAGTCTTACATCCTTGAGATTCAAAATGTGAAACTGCTCCCGAGTTAGAGAGATTTTGTTCCATGAAGTCTCATTCTTATCATTCACGAAAACAAGTGACTTCAAACTGGGCATGTGAACATTTACCTGCAAAAAGGTAGCTATGCTAGGTGCATATTCAATTGGCCTTGCTGGCGTGAGCTTGACGAATTCATGTAGTTCGTCATCCCTCATCCGCAACGTTTCCACATTAAGAATTGTGAGATGCTCAAATAGCAAGTCGCCACGAGGGTAGTATTCTTCTTTAAAGATGTCGAGACGTTCTTCGTGGCAGTCAAGAGTATCAAAATTACACTCCATCAGAACATGATGGAAAGTGCCTATGGTGGGAAACTTGTAGCGAAGCAGCTTTCCCAAGCGAAGAAACGACACCAGCCCAGCTTTGACGTTAATGACCACAGAAACTTGGGTGCTTTCATTTGCCAACGATATGAATTGTCTGTCTTCCGTGGCCAGCCATCGCTCGTCAACGTGGAGAAGCAAATGAGACGTTCCTACCGGAACTTCGTTTCCTTCCCGTAATGCATTGTCACGATTGCCTAGCGTTCGTACAAACTCGCTTTCGTTAACCGATGGTGCGAAGATCGACACCTTTTTTTTCAGGCAATCGCATGTAGCAGGGCTGAACCGACCAAGTGCCTTTACACAATTGTAGTAGTCCATAATCGACGTGGGGCCCCCTCCTGACAGCTGTTCAACAATGAGATCTAAGATCTCCAAAGGGAGGATGTCAACTGTAGCTGATTTTGCTTGGACAACTTTGTCCCCTGGGCCATTTGAATAATCGATAGCTTCTTCCTTCATATTCCAATAATGAGATTAATGGTGCAGTTACAGTACAGCGATTACTCTTCTGGCACGTAGTCCTTATCCAAAGTTGACATTAATGTCTCATTTATTCTTTATTCGATTTGCGCTTTGCTCCTGCTAAGCCTGCACCTCATCAACGGCTGAAGTCATATTTTTGCATCACCGTGTGACCTAAGGGTCCTTTCTCCCCTAACAAAAAAATGATGATTACTTAAAACAGCAAGAATGCGACATAAAGTATAAATAGCATGACCGTTGCCGTGGGTACGGCACTTTATAGAAGATGACTCTTAGTTGTCTACTTCAAAAAATCGCCATTCGACAATTCCATCTCCAGGTCGTAGTCGGGTTGAAATTCTGTGTAAAGCGTTTCAGGATCCGAGGTGTTGAAGTAGGTGTAGTAGGCCTCCTCATCACCGATAATCTGTTTTTCTAGTCCGCTCTTGGAGGCCATTTCCACTTGGAGTTGGACCTCGCACGTGCGTTCCATCATCGTGAATAGGTAAGCAGCCTCGTCGATGGTTTCCCCGACTGTCAGTAGGCCGTGGTTTTTCAGAATGATAGCTTTGTTGTCTTTGAGGGCCTGGGCTAGTCTTCTGCCCTCCTCGTCCTCGAAAACGACTCCGCCAAAGTTCTGGTACACAGTGTGTTTTTTGTAAAGCAGACACGCATCCTGGTTGATCATGTCCAGCTCCCTGCCGAAAGCGGACCACGCCTTACCGTAGACGCTGTGCATGTGGCAGGCAGCGTTGACATCTGGTCGAGCTCTGTGTAAGTGAGAGTGGATTTTGAACCCGGCTCTGTTGATGACGGCCTGGTTACCATCGGGCAAGATGTTACCCTCGCCGTCCACATGCACAAGGTCAGAGACCCTCATGAGGGAAAAATGACGGCCCAGTGGGTTTATCCAGAACGTCTCAGGGTTCACAGGGTCCCGCACGGAGATATGACCTGCAGAACCCTCGCTATAGCCTCTTCTGCCGAAAACCCGAAACGCACACGCCATGTGCTCTAACGTATGGCGACGCTCTTCTTCCTTGGTCTTGAAAACCGGTTTCTTATTAGCAAACTCGTGCTCACCTATCAGTAGGTTATGCACACCTTGAGTGCCCAAAGTCAACCCATTGCCGGTAGAGGGCTTAATTGATTCTGGAATATCCTGACCAGCGGATCCAGTCGTTGTCGTGGTGCCAGTTGAAGACATATTCTCTAGGCTGCAAAAAACAAGGACGTGAAAGTAATATCTGTAATCGTCAGCAGTAGCGAAGTTCTGCGCCGCTCACAACTCTTGCTCTTATACCCTGAGCTCACTTTAGGTTTCGTGAGATTGCACACCTTCTTATCGGCGTAGGTTGCATCTTTTGTTTTCGGGTACGATTACATAAGCTCTCCACTTTTGATCGCGGGGCGAAGGTATATCTTCTGTCTTCTTGGCAAAGCAACGGAGAGCGAAGCGATGAGTGGGAAACCGACGAAGAAAGAACAAGGTAAAGTAATTGAACTTGAAGAATTGTATGCAAATTGGCTATGTGAAGGAATTAGACCGCAATTTTTTTTAAAGTGTTATTTCGGAAAAAAAAATATTGTTCGAAATGCTCTCATCCCGCTCGGAATTTTCACGAATTTCTGAAATTCCGACACAACTTGACAGATAATTTACCATTCTAAGACATTCACGCTTTTCGATGAAAGTGCCTGTCTGTTGCCTTTCATTTTTTTTGGTTGTCAGTTTTTAGTGACGCGATTACTGGCGCGGTGCTGTCTCTGGCGAAAACTGTAGGATATGCTCTTAAAAGGGCTAGTGATGGCGAGGATGGCGAGTACAACCAATATTAACAGCGCTTATTACATTAAAATGCGATACTAAATAACAAATATCTGAAGAAATTAGTCGGAGGACGCAGATGTTCCCGGTAAACTGTTCTCTTGTGTTTTCTCCGTATAAGATTGTTCGAGGTCCTCGGATTTGGGTGGGCGTATGAGTCTTTTGTTCGAAGTGAAAATACTGAACAAAAAGCTGAGTGCATAGCAACCCAGGGCAGCATAGAACACATTTCGAATGGCTCGCGCGATAATCACAGAAATTTGCGAGTCCTTGCCGTCGTAATTTTGAGCGCGTGAGGCGATCAGGTCCTCGACGTTTGTGAACCCTGACATCTGCAGCCCAGCACTTATTAGTTGATTCTTCACAGAGTTGGTGAAGATCATCGTAGCAATAATACCACCGAACGACATTCCCAACGCCTTGGCAAACGTGTTGAGTGCAGTAACCTCAATAAACTTCCTGTGGAATTCTGGATCTGTGTACTCGATCTGGATTTGTGCGCTTAGCAAGGTATTCTGCATGATGCTTCCGAATGCGATACCTGGCAAGATTGTGTAGCCAATGGTTTGGCCCGTTGTACTGTGATTGTTCTGGAGCGTCAAGAGACCTGAACCCACAACACCACAAATCGCACCAGCTACTATTGCCGGCTTGACATAGCCGGTGACGTTGCTCACTTTCCCCAAAACGACAATACTAACCATAGTTGGTATTAAGAATCCCCAGAGATGCATGCTGGCTGCGGTTGGACCCTTGTTAAACACTAGCTGGAAGAACTGAACAACGTAGACCGTCTGCATGTTAAATGCAAAACAACAGAAAAAGAGTGCAAAAGAGCTAGTCCAGAGTCCCAAGATGGAGCAGGAAGACCAGTCAAGTAATGGTTTTGCCTCCATGATCCCATAACGTTTACCCCACGGACGCAAAACGACAAAATCATAGAACGCGAATGCAAATATGAGGCACCCGCCAACTGTGACATATGCAATAATCGTGCCCGAATACCAGCTGTGTTCATTTCCGCCAAAAGTGAACCCCAACATGAACAGTACGAACCCGGTGGAGGAAAGTGCAAAGCCCACAAAGTCAAGTTCAAAAACGTAAAACAGCAACAGGCTTTTCCAATAGGGTAAGGTCAACATTTGACGATAATTGGCATCCTTGATGTAAATTAGGTTTTCTTTGATGGATTTCAATAGAGGTATGTCAGTTGGACGATAGCTTATTGCTAACATGGCCAGCGCGAGCCCTCCAATGGGTAAATTGATGAAAAAACACCAGCGCCAAGAAGCATCTTCGGTCAGCGCACCTCCAATCACCGGACCCACAGCGAATGCGATGGCGAAAGCGAACCCCAACACGGTAATTACAAAGCCTCTGTTTCTTTCCTGGACCAGCGATGTCCCGACAACAAACACTAAGGACTGAATCCCGCTTCCACCACACCCTGCTACCACTCTACCTCCAATCAACATACCCATGGAGTCGGCGACAGCAACGATAAGTGAACCTATTTCAAAAATCACGATGGACACAATCAAACTGGTCTTCAGGCCAAAGAGAGCGGCCAAACGACCCCATAGTAACGTGAAGAGCGCATTGGGTAACGAATATCCTGTCACTAGCCAACCGATACTGTCATAAGATTTGAACTTTTCCCCTATCGTATCATATAACGTAATGACAATGACAATGTCTAGCGCTGCGAGAAACAGCGTCAGGGCAAGTGAGACTAGACAAAACACAAGTTCTATTCTATTCATACCTCGGTTTAGTAATATTACTTTGTTATTACAATTCAGATGGCCATATTTTACAAATCCCCTGCACTTTTATATCGCATTTGAATTTCTAATGCTGTCATTGTAGGAAACATCCCCCGTATGGTGATTATCTAATCCAATAGGAGTTTCGGAAATTAAGCGGAAATCTCGTGTACCACAAATTAGGGTATATCCATGTACATAAATTACAAACTTCAATTAGGGTAATGCACGTTTAAGTAATGCAGAGTGTATCCTATCAGTTGCACCAGTTGACTCTCATCTTGAGAGTTTACTAAATATCAACTTAAAAATTGACGTTGCCCAGGAAAAAAAAACTTTCCTAGGCGCGGCTGTAGCACGGAAGAATTTGTATTTCGGATTTGAAAATTGCATTTGAAAGTTGAACAATTGAGTTTATAATTACGATATTTATAACTTCATAGATCTATATACACACTTCTTTGAAAAATTTGGAATGGCAACTTTAGCGAGCTGCAGTATCCTCCTTATCTATTATCTCTCTCGCCTCTTTTTCGATGGAATTGGACGATACACTTGCAGTTGCGTAATGTGCTTCTTCTTCGTCTTCTTTTGAACCTAGGTTAACTGCATCCTCATCCAAGGCAGGCTTTTCAGGGTCGGGTTTTTTGGTGTCGAACTCCAGACGTCTGTTAGAGGTAAATATGCTGAAAATGAACGAACAGCAGTAACAACCTAGGGCAGCGAGGAACGTATTGCGAACACCTCTCGTCAGTATGCGTGCAAGTGGAGAGGACGAACCGTCATAGTGGGTGGCTCTGTAGGCAATGAGAGATTCAATACTTGCAAAGTCGGGCAACGACAAGGTCGAGTTTTTAAGCTCATTTTTAACTGTAGTTTCGAAAACCATGGTGCCCACAATACCACCAAAGGATAAACCGAGCGCCTTGACGAAAGCATTGAGGGTGGTGACTTCGATGAATTTGATGCGATACTCAGGGTCGTCTTTTTCAATTTGGACTTGGGCGCTCAGCATGGTGGCCTGCATAATGGCTCCGAATGCGATACCGGGCAAGATAGAGTAACCAATCGATTGGCCGGTTGTGGTGGAGCCTTTGAACATTGTCATGAGCCCCGAACCTACCACACCACAAATTGCGCCGAAAACAATCATAGGCTTGAGAACACCGATTTTGGAGTTTATTCTAGCCATGACAATGATTGTCACCAGAGTGGGGACTAGTAGCCCCCACATGTGCATACTAGCCGCAGTGGCTCCCTGGTTAAACACGATTTGGAAGAACTGAACCAAGTAAACTGCGTGCATGTTAAATGCGAAGGTACAGAAGAAGTTAGCCATGGAGCTCGTGAAAACACCTAGTATCTTGACGGTATGCCAGGGCAGCAAAGGCATTGCAGTCTGGGTATTGTGGAGGCGCGACGCCAAGCGTGGGAACACGATAAAGTCATAGACAAAGAAGAGCAAAATGAGCCCACCACCGACGACAAGGTAGGCAATGGTGCTTCCAGAGTTCCATGGGTGCCTGTTGCCACCGAAAGTGATGCCCAGAAGTAGAAGAACGAAGCCGGATGAGGAGAGGGCGAAGCCGACGAAATCCAGCTTATAGAAGAAGAAGTTGAAAGCAGTGGCCCAGAACTCGGCGGTCGCAAGCCAGCGATAATTGAAATTGAGGACGGTGTGAAGATGGCTTCGCAGCTGGTGCCAGACCGGCTTGCCCGTGGGGTTGTAGTTGAGGGCGAGCATGAACAGCGCGAAACCACCGATGGGCAGGTTGATGTAGAAACACCAACGCCAGGTGGAGTGCTCGGTGAAGGCGCCACCGATGACGGGGCCGATGGCGTTGGAGACCATGAAGGCGAGACTCATGACGGAGGTGACGACACCTCTGTTGCGGGCCTCGACGAGCGAGGTGGCGACGACGAACACGAGGGACTGGATACCACTGCCACCGATACCGGCAATCACACGGCCGCCGATCAGCATGCCCATGGAGTCCGAGAGCGCGACGATCAGCGACCCGATTTCGAAGATGATGATGGACGCGACGAGGTTGGACTTGAGCCCGAACAGCGACGACAGCCGGCCCCAGAGCAGCGTGAACAGCGCGCTGGAAAGCGAGTACCCGGTGACCAGCCACCCGATGTCGGCGTAGTCGTTAAATTTGCGTCCGATTGTGTCGTAAAGCGTCACGACGATGATAATGTCGAGCGCGGCGAGAAAAAGCGTCAGCGCGAGCGACGCCATACACAGGATGAGTTCCAGCTTGACCATGGTGAGCGGAGCGGGAAAAAGCGGGAATAGAGCTGAGAGAGCTAAAAGACCCCAAGATGGAAAATGCAGTGGAGATGAGCCTGGAGCCTGGAGCTAACGAGGCCAGATGAAGTGTCGAGCGAGTTTGCGATGGATGTAGGGCTGCGCGAGTGAACGACGTAGACCTAATGCAGTTGAAACGATGTGTGAGCGCGAATTGCGTGAGCTACCGGCAGTTGACACCTATAAGCCGCGATCTGAGCGTTTCCAAGATGTGAATCGTGGATCTTGCCTCCAGAATATTCATTGATAAAAAACTTCAGTTCCTGTTGACTCAACTTATATTCCACCAACGGCTTCTGCACGTCGTGCCCAGACGGATGCGGCTGTAGGCGCGCAGCCAAATACGCGCCTAAAACCCGTCGCGCATTTGTCTCGGCGATTTGTCACGAGCGGCGGCGGACTATATGCGCGTATACGCGGGATCACTCAGCACGGGACATCGTATCACGGTTACCCGGCCCGCGCCAGCGCAGATACGCGCATATAAGACGCCCGCTCGTGCTTTGTGGCTTGTAGACCTCGGCGGCAACAACGGGGAGCCTGAGGCTGCCGAGGCGCAGCCGGCACCCCGAAGGAGTCTTGGCAGGGGCGGGTCCAAGACGAGCCAGCGCATATGCACGGAAATTGCGGCGGGAGGCCAAAAGGACAGAAGAGGTTTGCGATTGCTTTACAAGAGAAGTAGAGGCCTTACCCTTGGATGCAGTTTTTGTCCCTAGATTACCCGTGGAGACCTGGCTCTGAAACTTCAGCGCCCAGCGGCTTTCTCCCTTTGCTCTCTAGAAAGACCCAGAATCGCAGCCATCTGGCTTGGCCGGAGGCGGTCCAATTACGTAAGCTCCAACATCCGTGCACACTGCGGCTGACTTATCTCAGCGGCACTCGGCTCTCTCGGTGGAACTCGGCTATCCTGCCGAGCACACGTGCTCAGATCCGCCTACAAGCGGCCAACTCCCTGTAGTAAACTCGGCCGCCTTGTCCACGGGCGCTCGAGATCGCAAAACGTGTGCGCGGCGCAGCACGGCAGTGCGTCGTAAAAAAGTCGGGCGGATCAAATGAAAGCGTTCACGTGCGCGGCAACCGGCTCCCCATTTGGCCGGCGGCAGGTCTCGTAATTGTCGATGATCTCCCAGAGAAAAAACGCTTTATAGTTTTAGTTTGCGGCTATCGCGCTAGCGTCGCTGGCGTCGCCGGTGGCGGGCCGTTCAAAATGCCATCGGGCGACGAGCACGGTGCCAATTCGTAGCAGGAACCAAGGACCGGCAATTCTCGGCGCGCGGTCCCAGCTTTGATCGGACGGAGTAGCCGAGGTGCAGTAAAAGCGGCGGCACGAGGAGCAGTAAAAGTCAAGGCTCGAGGATCGCAAAAGCCAAGGCTCGAGGAGCAGTGCTCTCAAGCGAAGGCGAGAACCTTTGTGTCTGGAAAAATGAGTGCTATTGCAGGAAAAGCATATTTCACCGCGATGCGGTCTTTGTTTGCCTGTACAGGCAGAAAGTTTTTCAAGGTTTCAATCCGCGCGCAGACGAAAAGTGAGGATGAAAACGAGACGCAGTGGATACGTAGCTCGATTGGGCCCTATGTACCGTATGTAGTGGGCTCTTGGCTTGTTTGCACTCCGAATAGTCGAAGCTCGAGTTGTTTGCACGGTACACGCCGCCTGGCGGTGGAACGGCGAGACGCGAAGCAACCACGTGACGCGGACTCTACATGCACACCGTGCGCTGCGCTGAATCTGCTCTACTCTAGTCCATCCGAGATTCACGTTCACTTTCCACGAGCTTTTTGGATGCTCTCCGACCAATAAGCATCAACGTTAGCTTGGTAGACCCTCAGAGCCTTCTCAATGTATTTTATAAGTTCTGGATACTCTGACGCTTCAGAATCCCGCATAAATAAGCGCTTGAATTCATCGTGGCACATCTCGCCATCAAAAAAGTAGCCGGAGTTGGAATATGAGCCGTTTGAGGCTAGCGTTTCGTTGATGTTGGCTGCGACCACGTCCCACTTGTCCATGGTAACGCCTGGGCGGTTTTCGATCACCTCATTGAGAAAATGCATTCTATTGCGCAATGACATAACTTCTGCAAATTCGTCCTGAGTGAAGATGGTAAACAGTCCAACGACGGCAAAGGTGACAAACAACACATCAAATGTGATAATCAAAGTCAGGATGAACACATTGGAATCGTTGAAGCCTTTGCGAAGTAGCCACACAGCAAATATGATACACATTGCAAAAACTAAAAGAGCCAACCGGTGTTTGAAGAGCATCCAGGTTGAATAGCCCCAAAACTCATCTCGTGGTAGCCTTTTATGCCTAACCGGGCTCCTGTGATTCCTTTCAACTTCCTTCTCTTCCATGTGAAGTATGTTTCTTCTTGACATTCAAGAAGGAGCATTTTCATATCTCATGTGGATTCCTGAAATTTTCTATATATTGGCTGTCCTACCAGAAGCGCTACCAGAACGTACGCCGGCAGAACGTACGCCGGCAGAACGTACGCCAGCAGAGCATACGCCAGCCTCGTTCTTCGAACTGCTTGTCGATTTTTAACAGATACTACAATTATCAACTCAGCCTCTCGGACTTTTAAAATAACTACAAATTAGTGACATACGTGTGAAAGACGCGGCATCTTCCTACATCTCTATAACTCTTGTCAGAACAGTAGTTTTAACATAGCATATGGACCCCTCAAACATTTCTATGCAAGCGAGCCGCCTTGTATAGAAGCAATTGATACGGCACGCCCCGAACTCACTCGCCAGAGAGCCAACGGCACCAACCGAAGCTGTACCACCGGTCTTCCCCAATACGAGCATTTCACCCATCTGCTTGACATCAGTCTGCTCCACACCAACTTGCTCTACACTAGTCTGCTCTACACCTGCTCTCTACTAATTTACCCGACCTTCAAATTGACGGTCAAGAGCATCTTGGATGTTGTCCGGCAGAAATGTATCAACGTCTGCTTTATAGACCCTTAGAGCATCATCAATGTATTTTTTGAGTTCTGGGTACTTGGACGCTTCAGAATCCCGCATAAATAAGCACTTGAACTCTTTGTGGCACATATTGCCATCGAAAAAGTAGCCGAAGTTGGAATATGAGCTCTTTGAGATTAGCTTTTCGTTCATGTTAGCCGCAACCACGTCCCACTTGTCCACAGCAAGACCAGGACGGTTTTTAATAACCTCATTGAGAAAATGCAACCTATTGTTGAATGTCATAACAAATTCACTTCCGTGATCAGCTAACGTAGAAAACAGAAAAGCGACGGCAAAGAAGGCAAAGAGAAGATCAAACATGATAAGCAAAAACGAGAGGATCCCACTTTGGATATAAATGGTTATGCGAAATAAACACACAGCAATTATAATCCATATTGCGAAAACTAAAAAGGTAAATCGCTGTGAGAAGAGCATCCAAGTCGAATAGCCCCAAAACTCATCTCGTGGTAATCTTTTACGCTCAACCAGGCTCTCAGTAGTCCTTTCAATGCCCTTATCTTCCATGTAAACTATGTTTTTCCCCTTTAAACTGACCTGAAAGAGCCTTTGTTCCTATTCGATCTCTTTAAATACTAATTATAAGGATTCTTGAATTTTCACATATCGCCTGACTTACCGAAACGCTAACGGAACGTACGCCAGCCTCGTTTTGCGAATTGTTGACGATTGTAAACAGATACTATTACTATCAACTCAGCCTCTCGGACTTAAAAACCAACTACATCTTATAAGTCTTGGTTGCGTAGGGGTTAGTGAACGTGGCGTCTTCCTACATCTCTCTAATTCTTGTCAGAACCGTAGATTTGAATTACGCGAGGTCCCCCAGAGATTTCTCTACAATTGAGCCGCCTTATATCAAAAAAATTAATACAGCACACCTCGAGTTCGCTCGCCAGAGAGCCATCACTACTAACCGAAGCTGTACCACCAGTAATCTACGCGGGTAATCTTGACTCCCCCAATACGAGTATTTCATTCATCGGATCTATATCAACCTGCTCCACACCAATATGCCCTACGCCTGCTCTACACTAATCTACTGACCATTGAATTCTCTATCCAAAGCTCCTTCGATATTCTCCGACCAGTACGCACTAACGTTAGCTTTATAGATCCTCAGAGCCTTGTCGATGTATGGGTCTAACTCTACGTACTTAGTCTTCTTAGACTCTGGCATAAACAAGCGCCTAAACTTATCATAGCACATCTCGCCATTGAAGAAGTAACCAGCGTCCGAGCATGACCCACTTGATATCAATATTCGGTTCATATTAGCCGCGATCAAATCCCATTTATCCATGGTAACTCCTGCTCGATTTTCAATAACCTGATTAAGAAAATGCATTCTGTTCTTCATCGACAAGACACTAGCATCTCTTTCTGCAATTATGATCATCATCACTATGAAACCAAGGGGAATCCCGAATATGGCAGAAAGAGTGAAAATGATTTTCAGATAGTCAATGGATACATGGAAAGACCACCAGGTTAAAAGTACTAGCAGGGAAGCAGACAGCAGAAAAGTTGTAACAAGAAATCTGACTTTGGATAATTCCCACGCGAAGCGGCAACAATATAAGTCTCTTGGTAGTGTACCCTGCGTTTCTCTTCTCCTATGTATTTCATTAGATCCCATTTCTTGACTGCCAATATTTCTTCTTTTCCTCATGTTCAGGATAATTAAGTGTTTTTTAAAACTTCATTCTCAATATCAAATGTGACAGTTTCATCGTTTACGGCACGAAACAGCGTCGCCAATAAAGTAAACAGGGGCAGTCAAATGGCCGAATCAACTTTTTATTCCGTACCATCAAGCTTACTCAAAGCTGAACAAAACGGCAGAAGGCGGCGCCGTAAAACCGTGCGATCCTGCACATTTTGCCGACAACGGAAGCTGAAATGTGACCAACAAAAGCCTGTTTGTGGTTCATGCAAAACCAGAAAGTTACCCGAATGCGTTTATACTGACGGTTTCAACTTTCAGTTAACATCTGATGAACTTTTCGAAGCCACCCCGAATGTGGCTCTGATTAAAAGGATACAACAACTTGAAGATGAGCTGAAACAACTGCACAATAACGATCCAGAAGCCGTAAACAAAGAAGAGCCTCTGCAAGAAAATTTTAAAGAGATTCATGGATACACAGGTGGGAATAAGGTACTAGATTTTAGATTCCTAACAATTGGCCAGGACTCTTACGTATGCTATGGTCCAACTGCCATTCAAACTGCCATTACTGCATCTGGAGAAAGATTTGTGGTAGAGTATCGCAAGCTTTGGCAACGTGTAGAGATTGAGTGCCTACATTGGGAGTCAACGCACACTACTACTTTAAAGCAGGAGCGATCACCATCCGAATGTCCGCTCGATGGCACGGTGATTGAAGCCGTGATCAAAGATCTGCCCAGTTCCAATGTGATGTTTACGCACCTCAAAGAGTTCTTTGAAAGCCCTTTACATGAGTACTATCAATTTCTTGATGAGGAGAAAGTACTCTTTGATTTTAATTCATGCTTTGTACACACAAGCTCGATTATAGGAGATGCTGATGCTAGTGAAACAATGTCATTAGCTCGTCACGATGAGAAAAGCCTTTTTATTATTGGTATTGTGACCGAATTACTGTGTTTCACTTACTTTAAAAAAAACGTACCAGTGTCCATTCAAAATTTCAGAATCTGGCTCACAGGTCTCTCTGTGACAGAATTGTCTTACATCGAAAAAGCTCAATATCTCCTGCTACAGTACCTTTTCAAAGTATACAACTCACAAGGCGATGTTCAATCTCCACATCTTGCCAATTTAGTATCCAATCTTTGCAACACCACGACAAACTTGGGTCTTCACGAGGATATTTTTGCACTTTACGAGGGCCAAGAGTACTTGGTTGGTCGTCTTTGTACCTTGCAAAATCTATTTTATTGGACATTATTTGCAGATCTTCACATGGCTTTTGATATGGGAAGGCCACTTCACATAACAGATGAATACTTTGATGATTTCAAATTGTCTACAAATGAGCGAGGGCGAATTCCGTTGTTGAGAAACTACTTGTACATTGGACGAAAATGTATGAAAGAAGTTTTTGATCCCCATAAGGATCCTGACTTGGAACATTTAATAGATGAATTAATTTCTTTTATGGAACAGCATTTCCGCCCCATTCGTTACTACACAGACAGAAAACTGGTTCAGCAAGTGGACCTATTCGAAATTATGATACTATCACCAGTTCTCATGATGATTGCAAACTTTTATAATCTGCGGCGAATCCTTTGTACAGAACTTACAATGATTATCAAGAACGGTTTTATTAAATTTGTGCTCATGTCACTGTCTTTGTCGATAAATACAATACTCAGGTGTTATGAGCTGGATCAAGAGTATTATCCTGACGAAATTTTCAGCAACGAGAAAGACCTTACTCCGTTTCTTCATCTTTCATTGCTATTGGGTAACTCTCTGCTGATGAGATCCATGATGGAACTCTACGGTCTTTTCTTCTTCAAAGTGGCACTATTCGAAAAGGGTCTCATAGTATCCACGGATCAGGGTATGTTTGACTTAAGTCTCGATGATTTTGACGTTCCTGGTGGAGATTTTTTATCCTTCAGAGGAATTTTCAACAAGTTTCGTTTAATATTCGATGAGTTGTTCAGACCAGAATACAGTACCTTGCATAGAATTCTTATCAATTCACACTATTTTACTAAAATCATTGCTTTGGAAAAAGTAAACCGGACCATATTCGAAAAAGGATTAGAAAGCCGTACTCAAGTGGAGGTTGATCATAACTGGTCTCAGGTAGATTTTGATCAAATATCTGATGAAATATTTCAAATGATGACGGACAATTTTTGGGCAAACTACAACCAAAAATTTTCAGGGCTCATTCAAATGGATCCAAGTTGCTTTTTGACCGATTTTGATCAGTTTTCTCAAAGCATTTAGGTTAAACAAGTGAAACTTAGGAAAGTTTGCATATAAATCAAGCTCGCTATGAAAAGGCATCGAGGTCCCCTTTAAGTGGACATTTTTAATTCATCGAACTTTTTGAAATTCATAATTCTTATATTGCCAATAATCATATGTAGGTATGAGGCCTATAGTAGTAGTTTTTGGAAGAAAACCTTCAAAATGAAAAAGACTAGAACACTAAGGCAAAGTATGAGCATCTAAAGCATCTCTAAATCATATCTTCAATCTCTTGAGGTTCTTGATTTTCTTTTGAGATTCGATATCTGCAATTTAAAAATTGATTTAAAATGTGTAATTATTTGTTTCGACCTTGATTTTTCGCGCCATTCGCGATTTTTACATATCTGTTTGCTGATAGACAAATAAACTCCAAAATGCATCTTTCGGTTTTCCTGTTTCTGCTCACTTATCCACTCTCCGTACTATGTGAAGTTCACAGTGTTAAGTCGCTAGATTTCTTCTACGATACGGTTAATACTGAGTCCTACACAGTGGTTAAGTATTTTACGACGTGGTGCTCTCATTGCAAGCATCTAGGCCCAGTGTTCGATCAATTAAGCAACAAATTTGACAACGCCTCCATGGCAAATATCACCTTTCTTGAGGTGAACTGCGATTTGTTTGGATCAACACTATGTAGACGGTTGCCAGGTTATCCTGTCGTCGAGCTTATTAAGCCTTTAGTAATCGACGAAGAAGTCGGAATCTCAGATCTCTATAATGAATCCAGATTACCATGGTACAAACGCCTTATTAATCGTGTAAGTCAAGGCGGGTTCAATCCTGCGTGGACCTTGGATTTGTCTCGCGTTGTCGAGTTCAAGGGAAACCGCAACCTGGACGTTCTCAGTAACTTTATTGAGCAGGCTATTGAGAAGAATGCAAAAGATGTTTTAGTTGAACAAATCATGTCTGGTAAAGAATGCAATACTGAGGCATGCGAGAAAGGTAGAAAGTATCTCGATAACGTTATAAATGTGGGCGCTGAGATAAAGAAACTGCAAGGAATTCTAAAAAGCAACCCTGACGAAGAACTCGAGGAAATCAAGTTTAGGCTACGTCTCCTCCAAGATCAGGAAGATCTCAACCATGACGAGTTGTAATCTTGCACCGCTTTCATACCCTCGCACTTTAAATAGAAAAACATAAAATACAATTTCATCCATTTTACATCGTCTAATGGCGCATTTTAGCTGCTTAATTAGTTACTTGCACGAAACCATCCAATATGTGAAATTTACAAGAAATTTAACTACGTAATAATTGTACATGGAATTCTCATTTAAGGCGATGGAGAGGCAACACTCATGTATATCCCAGACGAATTTCTTATAAAAAGCATATCGAAATATAGAACTAAATTCTCTGCTGAAAAGTATCGCGATATCGAATGGTGTTCACGAATGTGCAAAGTTCGGTTCACCAAAGTGACAATCGCAGACTGTCATTGTGATAAGCTTTCTCAAATGTCAGCTAATTGAATCATTTTATGCCATATTTGATAATTAAGCAACTGTTTTGATGAGATAAAGCCGCATCTCACACCACTGAACTTAATTAGCGCCTCGAGTGCTTTGTTAGATAAGCTTTGACCGTGGAAGAACCTCTAAAGTTTTTACAGTCAGGATTAATCGGCTAAATGATTGTAAAGAACTGAAATCACCGGTAAGAGTACACAAACCGAAGATTTGAAGGATAAAGCTCTCAATTAGGAGTTTCGGAAGCTAACAAGAAACGTCGTTCGAAAGAAAAGAACCTATTGTTGGTTTACAAAAGTACCCTTGAATAATCAAGTAAATATAGCATTGCATTTCAAAGTTGCGAAACTGTGCAACGCAATACTAAACAAGACACCTATAAGACCTAACTATGGGATTTACCAACTCTCATATTTTTGGACACAACGAACTTTCTCTGGCCAAGGAAGCTTAGGCTTCTCGGGGATAACAATTAAATCAATAATGGATTTCGTGTGCTTAGGAGTCACTCTTGCCAACCATATGAGCGAATGAGATTTCTTCAAATAAATTATTACGTTCGCTGCATATTTGTGCCCACCTACATGATTCACATAAAAGACAGAACAGCCATCAGGTCTAAAATCAGAAATGTCACGAAATAACCCTTTTTCCCGTAGTTCCTCTTCGAAATGCTTTTTCAAGATTGGCGCAGTGATGCCACAGCGCTTGTCTCTAGTGTTGTGAGAGCACAAGAAGATAAAAGATTGCTCCTTTGCTTCCTCAATGTTATCCTTCTTCATCAATTCTTCGCGCTTGTTGGCGACAAGCAGAGGCACCAATTCTTCTAATGTGCCACCAACGTCGTCTGCCTTCAAGTTCTTGATCCACAAGAAATGAGGTAAGACGAGCACATTATTTTTTTTCCCACGCATCACATCAATATCCATAATATCGATGGGCATTGATGACACGCTGCAACGCATCACCTCACCAACGCCTCCCTTGTATTGGCTTTTATTGGCGTCAATCCATGTGGCAACACGATCTTGGACAGAACCTCGCTTTTCGGAGCATGCATCATGAGCCCAGTCTGTCTGAGATGTAGGAACTATGAAATGTATTTTGGAAGTTTTAGATGACCCAAAAAGTGGATCTTCCATCTCTATCTTCAGCTTGGCGAACTTTGCCTCATCGCTAGAGTTTTCGTTCGAGTCTTCACATGCACAAGAGTCGCATTCTTTGGTACACAAATCTGCAACCTGTTCTATCTGACTTAAAGCATCGTTTGACAGTCCTTTGGGACGTTTTAGTAGACTTAGCAACCCCATTGACCTTTGTTGTAAGATGTAGAAGGGAAGCTTTCTAACCTCCGGCTCAAGTCCGTCTTTTTCCTTTCGGAAAATATCATTAGAAACGAAAGGAACGGAAGCGGCTGTAACGTATCAAATTACAACATCGGTATCGGAGGTTTTCTCTTGTTGCCAGTGGAGTTTATTCAAAATAGTGAGATGATCAGTGATACTTTGGAAGAGAGCAAAATACGTAGGCGTTTGATGTCCGATTCCACTGTTGAATTCATACCTGGAGGAGCTAGAAAGCGAGTTTCTAAAGCCTGCGATCATTGCCGGAAGCGGAAGATTAAATGTGGACCCGTGGATCCTGCAAGTAACAAGTGCAGTAACTGTATGAAGTTTGATACTGTGTGCACTTTTGAACACCACCATGAGATGGAGCGACAACGCAAGGCGTTTGAAATGGAACGATTTGCAGCTGACAAAAAAGTGCGGAAACAGCAACATACGCAGCCAGACCAATCGAGCAATGTGGAACAAAAGTTGGAGAAAATTCAACAAGATCTATCGGCGTTGGTAAAATGTATGTCAATGGATGGCGGAATAACGATAAAGAAATTAGGTAAGGCTGAGGACAAAGGGTATTTTGATAGGACACCTATGGCCAAGCGCAAGCGATACACGACAGCGTTGCTCACCAAAAGGAAGATCGCGTGGCTTAAAGAACAAGCGACTTCAGTTTTGGTCTGCAAGGATGTAGACGGGAAAAATGACATATCAGACTCGGTGGGAGTTGCTCAGACCTTTATACCACTAAAAGAAGTTCTGGTGACATCTTCCAAGTGGTACGTAGTTCAATTGAAAAAGCTCATTGATTTTTCAAACCCACATTTGTCTTCAAGTCGCGAACTGTACCCTATCCCTTCTGAAAATCTGTGTAAGCGAATCTTGGAAACTTTCAGGACAAAGGTTTTTGCTGATGGGTTCAATATTGTCCAGAGTGAAGAATTAGACGTACTTTTTAGAAGATATCATGATCACGAAAGACTTTCATACTCTGAGTTGCTTCTGATAAATGTGACCTTACTACTTAGTACATGGTATGACCTCAATGATGGGACCTTCCTGAAAAAGGATGATCTGGACGCAAAGCAGGAAGAACAACTACAGACAGTTGAAGATAATACCCTTCTAAACTCAATGTACCATTATCACAAGGTCTCTTTGGTTTGTGATGGAATCAAGACTATCCAGGGTCTCTTGCTTCTCTACCAACATGTCAAAGCTAAGATTAGTGGAGAAGTATCATACAATATTTTTTGCATCGCTGTGCGCTTCGCTCAAGACATGGGCTTAAGCAGAAGGGAAACCTACCAGGGCTTAAGCACTTCCGATGCTCTTCAAAGACTAATCATTTGGTACTATTGCGTATCTGAGGACGGTCAATCATCGTTGAGTTTTTCTAAACCACCGCTTATAAATCCAGATGACACGGACGTTTTAACTGATGAATACTACATGGAGTTCATAAGTGAATATCTACTGCCGCAAGTAGACCCTGAAGCAGCAGAACAAAGGTCAGTCAAAACACTGGAGCAAGCAATGACAATTTTACTCAATCATGGGGAATATGTGCTTTTTGCCACATCTTACTATTCTAACCTTTTATCAAGAATAAGCCACAAGATACGCAGAAATTTCTTTTCAGTCAATGCCTTAACTAATAAATCATTTGATGAAATTGTTGAAAGAATACTGAAAGTTAAGCAAGAGCTTGAAATGTGGGAAAGGGGCCTTCCACCCTCATTTTCATTGGATACATATAAGCAGTATCTGACGATCTTTGAATTTAAAAGCCTCAATGGTAAATCAGTACCAGACATCGAGTATCTCTCTGCTCACATACTAGCATTACATTATCACCATTTTTATCTCACAGCGGTAGTGAACCTGTTTTCCTGTTCGTTTTTCATCGATAACAAAGGAGCACATCACTTGTCTAAGTACAATATTTCTGATTTGGCGCAAAATCATACAAATCAGGTTGGAGACATGTGCGTTAGAATTTTGCTACTTTGGAAGAATGTCTCAGTGATACCAAATATGCTCCATGGTATGCTTTACAACTTTTTCACTGGCGCGTTTGTACTCTTACTGATGGTTATCAAGTACTGTGATGAAGTTCAGACAGCAGAACACATTAAAATTCTTTGCGACCTTTATGATTATCTAATGGCGTCGGGTAATCTCAGGTTGCTTACGGACAATATCAAATGGAATGTTTCCATGTTTCTGTACACATTCCTTCTAACTTTGGGGATAAAATGTTTTAATCAAAAAAATTCGCTGGCGTCTTCCTATCAGTTTAATTCTGCACGATTTGAGTCAAGATTTGGCGAACTTACTCAAAAATGTGAATCTATAAAGAACATATCCGTGGCTCAGTTGAAAGAGTATATGAACAAGTACAATCCTACACTTGCAAATGATCTCTCACACGCAAACGTGGTGCCCGATGGAGAGAAATGTACTGACAATGTCGTCAGGCTTCTGAATATTTTCAATGAACTCGACTTCCAAGACTTGGAAAGTTTGGCATCTTCTCTACCCGTACTATGGGGTCCCTCTTATGATGACATTTCCAAAAAAAGGTCCCCCACAAGAGCGAGCAATTTCGCAGTTCCCTCTACTATAGAGCAATCGAACTTCCCTAGAGGAGATGATAATGATTCACTTTTCCCCGAGAGCTATCGAGGCGGCTTTACACCTCAAAATGGTCCACCAGTGATAACAGGACCTCTTGAGACCGAAATATTAGCATCGGACCCTTGTGACTTTGAACAGTTGTTAGATAACATGTTGTTCGACAGGGATTTTAGTCTGCCATCGAACAATATGCAAAAACTATGAGCTTTTGACCACGTAATAAAAGTAATAGAAATATAATGCTTTCATGGCGTATTAAGTTCATATAAAAGGATACGTAAAGTACTCAATTGTACGTTTAGTTCTTCCCTATTATTTGTTTTCATAGAATGTTGGGATACAGGAGGAAAATTGCTCGTCACGGTAACGACGCTCTCTTCCGATTCCAAATTTATTTAATCTGTCCAGTTCTTCTTCCGTCAATGGCACAAACTCTATATTCCCTGCGATTCTTGTAGGATTCAAAGAGCGAGGAACCACAACGACACCTTGTCTGATGTGGTAAGATAGCAATACATCACTAGCTGATACGTCATGGACTTTAGCAAATTCCTTGACTTCTGGGATCTCAACATTGGGCACGCCATCTGCACCGAAGGGGGAAAAGGCTTCTAAGACGATCCCATGTTTCTTACAGTATTCGCGGAGCTCCAGTTGTGGCAAGTACGGATGCAACTCGACTTGATTTATAGCAGGAACCACTTTGAAAGTCTTTAGTAATTTCTCTAAATAAGGGATGGGGTAGTTCGAAACGCCAATAGCTTTCACACGAGGATCCTTGTCCAGGTACAACTTCTCGAGCTGCCTGTAGGTTTCGTAGAAGTCTCCATCGGGTTCGTACTTGGCAGTGCCATCTTCATTCTTGGGGTTGCGTGCAAGGCCTTCAATTCCGTTGGGATCCTTGACTTTTGCAAAGCACAATGGCCAATGTTGTAGCAGCAGGTCAACGTAGTCCACTCCCAAATTCTTTAGAGAGGATTCCAATGAATCATTCACTTTATCCCAATGGGTTGGCCACACCTTTGTGGTGATGAATAGGTCTTCCCTTTTCACAACACCCTCCTCAAACAGCTCTTTCAAGGCTTCTCCAATGTACTGCTCTGTCCCGTAGGCCCACGCAGTATCAATGTGCCTATATCCTGCTTTTACCGCAGCTTTTACGGCCTGTTTTGTTTCTGCAAGTCTCTCAGGCGGATTCGCAGTACCGAGCCCGAGTGCGGGCATTTTTGAACCATTGTTCAAAGTGAAGTAAATTTCGTAACTCTTGGGGTGCAACATTTTCGATACCCCGCAAAAAAATCGATATCAAGTCGTGCATCCTTGTCCCTTTATATACATTTGTAGACCTTTTTTCAATGTCTTTTCGTCATTGCTCAACCGAAATTTGCGCTTGACTAAGGGCCTTAACCTGGTACTTTTTCATCATACAGGTCATATGCTTAATCGCAAAAAACGGAGGTAACGAATCGACCGATCGTAAACTCCGGTTTACTGAAAATGGTTAATCAAATCTGATTATCTACAACCTTTGTAGATATTGACAGGCCATTGCTTATTAATGCAAACACAACTTGAGATTTCAATCACAGAAGTCGTTCCTTGAAACCGGCAAAGGTATAGAAATCGTCACAACAGGAGTTCCGAAATTTCCTTCACAAATTTGTTGTCAGTGACATTAGTTGTTTCAGACAACTGGTTTAGTATTTGTGCGATCTTTACTTGGCTTGCTTCTTCGGTAAGCATCTCAGAGGAGTCCAATCCTTCAGATCTGATCTGCTGAGCCCAATCCTTGAGAAGTGTCTTGAGAACTTTAGTTCCCTCAGCAATTTCAGAGGCAGATGCCTTATGTTTTTTAGTAGAATCGGTGGCTTCTTTTAGCTCTTCCAATTCGTTTGCCTTGCGTTTGGCCATAGCGACTATTTTCCTGGGAAACTGAACCACTTCAGCAACGTGAATACCAAAAGATTGATCAGAAATGCCAGGCTCAACCTTATATAGTAGAGTAATGTCGTCTGCACTGTGAGAGACCTTGTCTACGTCCTGAATATGTGCAATAACGTGCATGTTCTTAACTGTTGGTATTTGGTCCGCGAGTGACGTTAATTCGTGGAAATGTGTAGCGAACAACGCGAAACAATGAATTTTACTCGCGATATGCTCTGAAATAGACCATGCAAGTCCGAACCCATCGTATGTGCTGGTGCCTCTCCCCAGCTCATCCACTATGATTAATGAATTTTCAGTAGCGTTTTTCAAAATAGAAGCTGTCTCTAGCATTTCTACCATGAAGGTCGAAACGCCCTTCAATTGAGAATCACCTGCACCCACACGGCACAATATAGCATCCATAACAGCAATTTCGGCATTATCACAGGGCACAAAACATCCAATCTGCGCCAAAAGAGAAATAACCCCAACTTGTCGGATGTAGGTGGACTTACCACCCATATTGGGTCCGGTAATTATCAAGAACTCGCTTTCGCCTTTCTCCATCTTAACGTCATTTGATATGAATGTGACATCATCAAGCATCTCTAAAACGGGGTGACGTGAACCTATGAGCTCGGTTTTCCTATGTGTTCCCAGGCCATGCATTTGAGGTCTCACGTAAGGAATAGGAGCATAGGAAGATACATGCGCGAATGAACAAAGTACATCAAGATTTGCTAGAACAATAGACAGCTTTTCCAACACTGGAGTGTAAGTCAACGTGATCTGCACAATTTCCCTTACCAAATCCGATTGCAACTTATCGTATTCTTTTTGGAGCAATGCAGTTTGTTCTGCAATTTGCTTTAATTCTTTAGTGCTAAAGAAAATTCCTGCTTTGACCGTGGATAGCTCAATATACTTTTTCTGTTGGCGTAGAGCTTTAGCATCGTTTCTTGTTAAACGCATGCACCAACCATGAATATGATGGTTCTCTAGCTTCAACTTTTTCTCTGGATCAAAACCTAGGTCGTCTGCTGCATCCAAGTGAATACTTCTGATGTTGTCTTTTAAATCATCGAGTTCCCCTCTGATGCGGGCCAATTCTTCATTAAATTCAATTTTTATCATAAATTCATTGGTGTCCTCGTAGGCATCCAAATCGACAGTAGTTTCAACCATTTCTTCGAATTTACGAAGAGGAATAATATGTGAGTTGAGTGGTTCATACCATGTATCTTTCACAAGCTTTTTAATGGGTGCAGTTTCTTCGATATTAGATAAGTACTCGTCAAGCAAGTGAGATATTTCTGGAACCTTTTTCGAAAATTGGTATATCTTCAGAATATCTTCGAGTTTCCCGTTTTTATTGAGCTTCTTTGTCAGGCGGCGTACATCAGGCACCAATGGCAAATAGTCATTGTGTAGAATTTGTCTCAATTCGAGCTGGTCGATTAGAAAATCGACGAGATCATGCCTTTTCTCAATTTCTCTCACATCGGTTAACGGTTGCTTCAACCATTCGTTTAGTAGCCTCACTCCTGCATTGGTTTTACACTTATTCAATAGTTGAAAAATGCTCGAGATCTTCCCGCCTCCACCTGCAACGCTATGGTTAGTTGATGGGCTAATAGTGGAGTTTGGATTACTGGGGAAGATATTAAGTGCCCGAAGAGCAGATGCATCCAGCTTCATGAATTCTGTTAAAGAATGCTCTATGAGTTCATATGTCCCCAATTGAGAAGAATCATTCAAAAGTTGAAGATATCCCAATAGTGCGTTACAAGAACCTAGCGCAAGATTGGAAAACTTTTGCAACGACATGGAAAGTTCATCTCCAATCAACTTAACGAGATCCTGCTCCACATCTTTATGAGAAAATTCAGAATTTTTCACGAAAGTAGCAACACAGCCACATCTATCAATAACACCTACCATCTTTTTCAGCTCATTGGCAACATTATCATTGCTCCTTTGATCAGGCAGTAAGCATTCCTTAACCCCCATTTGGATTAAGAAACTTTCGAGGTTAGAGAAAACCTCATTGTCCACTATGTCGAGCATTCCTATCTTATGCGAGTTACTGTCAATGAAAGAGACACCTAACACACAGTTTCCCTCTTGTGCATTGGCCTGGAACTTAATGCTTGCAAGTACAATAGAAGATTCTAATGAAATATTCAACAAGTCGTCAACTTGCTCGATATTACCAGGTGATGCACTCCGTAAGAGCTTCCAGGACTTATCGTAAATTTCCACTTTGTAGCCTTGTTCCAACAAACATGTCTTCAACAAGCCTGATAGGACTTGAGGAGAAATAGTGACGTATTTTAAAGGTTCCTTGATTTGTTTGGCAGTTCCTGGATCTATGCGGCAATCTTTCAAAACTGAACTTGTATGATAAACACTGTCGGCGACAAATAAAGCATCCTCTCCAACTACAGTGTAGTATTCGCCTTTGTCCACGATTCTGATCGTCTGAGAGGGTTTTTCCGGCAAATTGGCAAATCTTTTATAGAAACCTCGCTCTTCTGATAAATCAGAAAACTTCAGTTCCGGTCTACTCGAAGACATGTCCTGATTGACTTTATTAAAGCTTTCTATGAAGAATATTGTATCAATTAAGTACCTGATGGATGCGACGCGATTTTTCAAAAGTTACGCGTGTCGAAAATTATCTCGTTTTACGAAATTTGAACATTGTCAGTACATACGTAGAGTTTCTATCCCAAGTGAATGAAAGAGTTAATTATACAATATTTCTATCATTCAAACCCTTGTCTTTTGATCGGTGGTTAGAGTTCACCTTTTTTAATTGAACGATCTTTTCATCCTGTTTAGATATTAGAGTCCTTTGTGTTTTGCAGTCTTTCAGCAATCGGGCTATATATTCTTCATTGTCCTGAAGTTGTTTCCTTAAGCCGCGCAGTTGCTGCGATAAGAAACTGTTCGATCTCATATACGAAATGTGTTTCGCAACTACCTGATCTAGTAGTTGAACCTTGGCGAATTGACGATAGAAAGTAATCACTCTCAAGCGCTCTTCTTCTCCTTGTTCTTTGAGTAATTGTTCGTTAAGTGATGTATTCGGATCAAACATCATATTATTGAACAGTGTGTTAGAGTTCAACGATTGCAGATAGGTGTCGCATTCTGTCATCGTATCTGCGCTCAAAATGCTACGATAGGACATCATAAGTTGGGCCATGAATTGTAGTGCTTCATCCTTATGACATCCTATCAACTCCAATTGGCTTGTAAGAAGTTTGAGGTCCTTACGCAAATCAAGAACTTTACGTCTTTCTCTGTGGTAATCTTGTTGTATGCGGCCGTTAGCTCTCTTGAGATCAGATATCTTGTTGTCACTCTTCACGGAGTTAGTTTCTAATTGAGTCACTTTTTCCCTCAATTGTCTTTCAATTGACTCATGTTCCGTCAACGAATGGACCAAATCGCAAAGCCTATCTCTTGAAGACTCATGCTGCTCTTTCACAAGTTGATGGTCAAACTCGAGATTTTTATATTTCATAGTTAATGATGACAGCTCTTCCTTGACATTATTAAAATCAGTCAAGTTTTTGTCTGCCTCATCAGCTTTTAGCTTTAAGTCATTCTTACAAGTTTCCTCCACAGATTTTAAATTAGTCTGTTCTTTTTGGAGGTCGGTTCTCAAAGTATTAATTAACTGCTCATTGTCATCAACGGTGTGCCTTGCCTGAATAAGTTCTTCCCGTGTGGCCTTTAACTCTTTGCGGGAACTGTACAAGTCCTCAAGGCTCGTTTCATATTTTTCCTTGGTGTTACTGAGTTCTAATTCCAGTTCATTAATTTTGGCATTTTTTTGTTCAATTTCATACGCGTTTGGATCTTCTTTTTGATATTTTGTTAAAGTTTTCAGCCTTAATTCAAACTGCGAGTTCTCGTCACTCAATTTACTGGCTTTTCTGGAGATTCTACGAGCTAAAACTAAAATATCATCAGAGAGTTCCAGTAACGATCTCAAATCTGATATTTCATCTTTAGTGCCTTCCAAGAGTTGTAGTACGATGGAAAAATTAGCATACGTTTTTGAGCGCCTATCAACTTTCATTTCATCAAATTTCGTCAAGCCAGCAGCATAGGCGTTAGAATTTTGAAACACATGACGATATTGTTCGGCTCCAAAACTGAGCTTATCCTTTTTCCATACCACAACATCATCAACTGGTGTAAGCGGTGAAGGCATGCGGACTTCATCGGAAGCTAAGTCAGTATTATTTTCAAAACCATCGCAGAATTCCCTCAAAGAAGAGCTAGGTTCGCATGGTTCTATGTAATCTAGTTCTTTTTTGGTCTCTGGTGTTTCTGCGGTAGTGCTGTCGGAGATGTTCGGTCCGAGATCTTTTTCAGAGGCCTTGTTAACCTTAATATTCTCTAAGTCATCCTCTTCAACTTGCAACTCTAGATCCAAGAGTTTTGCCATGTTACTCCCTCGCCTCGTTAATGACACATCGGTGCATGTCGGAGTAGTCTCCGAGTTGCTGCCCTCCTTTGACTTCGGTGTTATTTTGCTCCTTTTCTCTTCATCATGCTTGTGATTGCGATGCTTCCAAGACCGCCAAAATCTCGTCGAATTCGAAATCGTATCACTACTATCTTCTTTACTAATGAACGAAAGAACAGTGTCAGGTTCTTTTGAAGATTCAGGCTCCCTCGAGGGTTCCCGCTTTTCGTGGGTTTCCTCATCGCTTCCTGAAGATCTTTTGAATAGAGAGCTCAGGCTTTTCTTGAAGGGAGAAGCGCTTCGAGGACGCCTTATTTTTCCAGATTCTCCGTCGTCTACTTGTGATGCAGTCGTCGCGCGAGCCCCAGATTCGAGCCAAGATTGGGAGTTTGGATCCTCATTTTCCTCCTCATCATACTCATCAGAAGAAGTGATCTCGTCATCATCTCTGATTGTGTAGTTTTGTAAATTATATGGGTTGAACTCATCAACAGTTTGTTGGATGTGTCGTCCTTCCTCATAGTGTTTGGCAGTAAGTAGCGGCATCTGAAAAAAATGTTGGGTTTGCTAGTTCAAAATAATTGATGTAAAATTCACAAACTAGTTGTGGGCTTACCATTAATCAATCCATTCCGCAATAAAGTATTGCTTCATTTTATAGTTGTTTTTTTTGTGTCACTGACACTGAACGGCGCCAGATAATCAAACTGGAACTGACACAGACATCAAATCACGACCAACGTATTATCGAAAACGTCAGCACGCCAACAGACGTAAGATGTATTAAGGTGTCACTGTTGTGTTATTTTGTCATTAAATAATGTACATTTTATATGTCATCCCTCATACGGATACTTCACGGGAACTTGGCGCATATTCCTCCTGTGTGCCATAAACGAAAAACTGAACGAATATAATGAAATCCATCAATAGTGTACCAGAGCTACCTATTAGCCAAGAGGCATTTACCAGAAGATATCTGGGCTCTAGAGAAATGCTTAGAACGGAAATGATAAATGTGGTGTTACCTAGACATGCAAACAAAAAGAATAGGAAAGAGATACCCTCGCAGGACTTTCTCTTGAAGTTCAATAGAATCTGAGGAACACGAGATCCTAAATAAAGCACAGCACTCAAGTAGCCGAAGAACTGAGCTAGCCAATTCATAGACAAATCAGGTTGACTAGGTTCAGGATTTGGATCCTTAATGTACGAGATGTACCATGAAAAAAAACCCCCAAAAACAACACCACATACTAGTAGACAGTTGATAGCATAGTTTTTCAATCTTGTGTTTGATTGTTCTTGCGAACTGATGATTTTCGAGTTGTTCTGAGTTGAAGCTGTCGAAGCACCTTCGGAAGGGCCTGTTACAGGCTCGTGGTGGTGATGACGACGCAACAAGGGCTGGCGTTCGTTGAAAACATCTTGTAGCACGTTTTCGTTAATAGGATTGGCAGGTGAGAGATGCACTGGGTCGACCTTCTCTTCGGTTCCGTAAAAGATGCATTGCACCAGCAACACAATGTCTGCAAGGGTATAGTATGCGGCCAGAATGATCATTGTGGGCAAAAGATGCTGTAACATCGCCCCAAGCAGGTTAAAAATGTCACCTGCCAGCCAGAGGACAACGAATAGAAATGAAAGCCCCTCAGCGGATCTTCTGTAGAAATTTTCATAAATCTGGGGCATAAAGACGATTACCCAGCAGGCAATAGAAATCGACCCGGTAATTCCACTGACAGTTTCCGAGTTCAGCACTATAGGTACCATTTTGATTATTGAATAGTGGTCAAAAGATTATTGAAGCAAAAAAAGATAGTCTTTTAACAGAAATGTACAACGACTGACTGCTTGCTCCTTTGCTAATATAAGTCATCTCCAGTTGAAAATTTTTTGGAAAAAAAAATTCCACAGGCATTATTCCAGCGCCTTCTTCACGAACGGAATTATGCATGGAATCATTTCCAGGTGAAGCGGTTTATATTGATACATACTCTACAAATGATTTAAAACTCGTCATTCCTCCTTACCAGTGGCTTCAGTGGACTCTGGAGAGCTATCTTCGAGTTTTCTTGGAGGCAGCACACTCTCAAAGGCTTCTTTCCAGTCATGATTGTCAAAATATTTGAGCATAATTTGGATCACGTGCGCAGTGGTGAGTACTTGCCGGCCACATAGCTTGATGTAATCTGAAATAGGTAGTCTTTTGGTGGGTATGCCCAATTCCTTGGCCTTGTTGTAGCACAGAAGCTTGTGCCTGTTCTTGTCGACGATTCCTCCGACTATATAGGTCATACCAGGCTCTAGGGTTTCTAATGTATCCTCAGTATCCGCGGTTAAATACACAGCGTTCTCCGTTGGCAGCTCTGCATCTTCCGTGAACTTGAAGTGTTTCCATTCGTCGTGGAACGAATTGTGCAGGTCCGTGTCGAACCTGTGCTTCAGCCGTTTGTTGAAGCTGGTGACCTTAACATCTGCAAAATGGTTCTCGCGCTTGTTCCAGCTGTATGCACGCGTAATTTGAGTGCTCATACTGACTATTTCTCGATCATTCATTAGGTCATCGAACGCGCAATCTACGATGATTTTGATCCCCGAATCCTTTTGGTTGAGGTTTACTCTGGGTTTTCTCTTCAGTTCTTCCGGAATTTCTTCGCCACGATCTATAAATTCCTGTATCTTGGCTCTCTTCTTTTCTCTAGCCTTGAGACGTTTCTCCTTGCGAATAGCAGTATATTGTGATTTTGTTTCCTGGATCCGTTGCTTTCTCCACACTTTCTTCCATTGAGATTTTGACATTCCTTCCGGAACAGGTGGAATATGTGTATGAAGGACCCTTGCCTCCTGTTTTTCTACACTGTCACTCATCTTCGGGGCCACTAAAGCTACTTCCTTAGACTTGAAGCCTTTCTACTTGCAATCTCATCTCATCAGTACTATCAACTGTACACGAAAATTTTTCAGTTTCGTGATACGCGAGAGTTGAGGGTACAATTAAGATCAAGAACCAAATCTTTGTGAGAAAGGCGTGGAACAGCTGTAAGCATGTCATCAGCCGCATTGAGCTTAGAGCTCCCTTGGGTTGAAAAGTATCGTCCTCATTTACTCAAAGATATAGTCGGCAATCAAGAAACTATTGCTCGCCTTCAACAGATAGCTCAGGATGGTAACATGCCGCATTTGATTATTAGCGGACTTCCTGGTATCGGAAAAACTACATCTGTCACCTGTCTCGCGCACGAGTTGCTAGGAAAATCCTATTCTCAAGCAGTGTTAGAACTCAATGCTTCCGACGATCGTGGTATTGATGTGGTGAGAAACCAAATCAAGCAGTTTGCTCAAAAGAAGACTAGTCTTCCTCCTGGGAGACACAAAATCGTCATTCTAGATGAAGCTGACTCAATGACAGCAGGAGCACAACAGGCTTTACGTCGTACTATGGAACTTTACTCGAACACAACGAGATTCGCATTTGCATGCAATCAATCAAATAAAATTATAGAACCGCTACAAAGTAGGTGTGCGATTTTGAGGTATTCAAAACTGCAAGATGACCAAGTTCTTAAAAGACTACTAGAAATAATTAAGGCCGAAAATGTTCAGTACACTAATGACGGTCTGGAAGCAATCATATTCACAGCAGAGGGGGATATGAGACAAGCGATTAATAACTTACAAAGTACTGTAGCCGGATTTGGGTTGGTAAATGGTGAAAATGTCTTCAAAATTGTTGACTCACCCCATCCTTTGGTTGTCAAGAAAATGCTTTTGGCGCCTTCACTTGAAGAGAGCTTAGTCTTTTTGAAGACTCTATGGGAGAAAGGCTATTCTGCTGTTGACATAGTAACCACTTGTTTTCGTGTAACCAAAAATCTGGATGATGTCAAAGAGGGCGTCCGTCTTGAGATGATCAAAGAAATTGGCTTCACGCATATGAGAATATTGGAAGGTGTTGGTACGTATCTGCAATTAGCTGGCATGCTTGCCAAAATCAGCAAGCTCAAAATTTAAGTAAGTAAGCTTATCTGTATATGAAGCTCTCATAATAGTTATTGGTGATTTCATCTGGCTGTCTTTTAAGGGCACCTATCTAATTTTTTTTATAATATCAAGTTAAAACTCAAACTGGTGCAAGGAAAAAGCGATCAAAACGCAGGATGGAAACCCTGCAACAAGTTCTGGGGATTGATTCAGCTACAAACTTTACGAAAGAAGTATCAGATCCTTTTCTGAGCTTTTTGGAGCACTCGAAAATATCTGGCCTACAGGTTAACAACAGTGTCCTCAACGAATTACAAGAACTCGAAAACAAGCACAAGCAAGTCCAAAAATGTGTCGAGGAAGTACTTCCACCTCTCAAAGATTATTTTGATGGTCTCAATGATCAATTGGTGTCTTTGACAAGAGATTTGAGCTTCATACGGGGTAAGTCATCAGAGCTGAGCGATTTGTTGCAAGAAAATTCCTCCAAGCTAGCAGATATCAGTCCCCTAGTGAATGATCTCATAATATCACCTGATGTAATATCCCAAATACTTCATGGAAAAATCAACAGCCAATGGGTTGAAAACATTGCTTACATCAAAGATAAAACTGAGATATACGAGAAGTACCGGGATTCAAATGATGTGCCCTCCGACTTCGGAAAATTGAGTAATTTATTAAACTTACTGCGATCAATGTTACTCGAAAGAAGCAAGAGATATATTGTATCTAGAATTAAATTGCTGAGGGATTTCCATACAGTCCCATCGCAAAAGATTCAATCAGAGTTATTAGAAGTCAGGGAAATATTTCAGTTTATCGCCGAAAACAATTACTCCCTAGCACTGGAATTAAGACAAGCATATGCCTATACTATGCGTTGGTATTATAATCAGTATTTTGGTCGTTACATGAGATCTCTTACAATACTTCAGTATGTCTCCATTGACTCTAACTTTGCCTTGGGGCATGGGCTCACTTCCACTTCGGTGGGCTCCAAGGATGCATTTGGAATATCCAGCTACTTGCTTGGTGGATATAAAAGGCCTTTATTGGGGTCATTTGCGGTTACGGATGAGGCAATAAATGATTATTTCCAAATTGATCAAAGGCTATCGGTTCTGACGCAAGAAGATAATACAGTAATGGTTTCACAAATAGCGGAAAATAACCACGTTCCTAACTATCTTGAAATTGGCTTTAAGAACCTAAACTTAGCCATTTTGGATAACTGTGCAGTAGAGTTCATGTTTTTGAATGACTTTTTCCAAGCGAACGACAATATCGAAGATCTCCGTGGTATACTGGAGCAGATTTTCCAACCCACGTTTGATGGTTCCATGGAATATACGAAACAACTCATTTACAATACATACGACATCTTTGGTGTTTTAATGAGTATTCGAATCGCTCACCATTTGCAATTTGAAGCACAAAGAAGACAGATCCCCGTAATTGATGAATTTTTGGATGGCCAGCTTATATTACTGTGGCCGAAATTTCAACAATTGGTCGATTTTCAGTGCGAAAGTTTAAGGAGTTTTCCTATAACAATTACTGTTGCAAAGTTGCCTGGAAGAGCAGATAACGATCCCTCCACGACGCCACACGAACTTACGGTACAATTTGCCAAATTTTTGACAAGTATCCTTACCTTATCTATAACACACAAGGAGCTCATAGATGAACGCTCAGAGCCACTCTACAATTCTATTCTGAGAATCAGAAATGACTTCGAGACTGTCATGACAAAATGCAGCAAGAAGACTAAGCACGCGGAGAGGTTTTTGGCGGTAAACTATATCTACTTGCTCAACGCATTGCAGCAAAGGCATCTTGACTTTCAAGGTGATGATGGTTCAGAAGAAAAGGCCCCCATCATTTTCGAAGAAACGAAAGAGCATTTGAATGTATTGGTTGAGGCCTTCAGTAAGGTCACGTGAATAACTTAGCATTCATATTTACGTTTGTATAAATACGACAGGACGAAAATTGTAAGTTCACAGATAGAAATACGTTCTCACCAGTGGAAATGCATTAAAGTGTTATCTATACGCTTGTCGGTAGCTTAAGTGCCTTTTTAGAATGAGTTCCCCCACTCCATCTCAAGAAGCTGTGATCAAGTATCCTTATATTCCCAATTCTACCTTGAAGGTAATTGCGGGCCCTGGATCTGGCAAAACTTATACATTGCTGTCAAAAGTTTGTGAATTGATATGCACAGGTGCCGTCAGGCCAGAAGAAATTCTGATAGTGTCGCTCACGAATAAAGCTGTTGACAACATAATCTTCAATTTGTTGGACATGTTCGACTCCTCAGCGAACGAAATCTCAACTGAATCTATCGAGGAAATTGTAAGCCAAATTGGCATATACACAATTCATGGCCTGGCAAACAGGGTCGTCATCGAAAATGAGGGTTTAGTAAGTGTAATAGAAGAAACTGGTTGGAGAGGTCTACTTAAACTACTTCCATCGGATTTTCGTAGGAGGCATACCTCAAGTAGAAGCGCGACGACAATTACACCGAAAGAATTTGAAAGAATGTTTAAAGAGTATCTTGTCAAAAAGCGACCGACGGATAAAGATGATACCCTAGAAAGAATATTGGATATCATGAAGCAGTCAAAAGTTGTCACGAACGAGGATCTCATCTTAAAAGCATCCAAATATTTGGAGTCATTCAGCACATCACAATATATGGAGGAGAAGCAGTTTACTGATATGTTGCTAAACAGATACAAAATAATAATGATAGATGAATTCCAAGACTTATTTCCTTCTCTATTACCACTTCTGAAAACCATAATTGGCGGCAAACAGTTGATTATGTTTGGCGACCCACAACAGAGCGTTTATGAGTTTCTTGGGGATAACAAAGAAGTTCTTAGGGCTCTTGATGACCTGCGACCACCAAAAGATATAATTACCATGCAATTGCGTGACAACTTTAGATGTACCCCAGAAATAACGAAAGCTACCAATTTAGTTATCGGCAACAACACTAGCCATCCCGCGGATTCTGATGCAGACTCTGTTATTAAACCATCGTGTATGGTATACCCGTGCTTTGTTGAAATAGCGGATCCCATTTTGGAATTGGAATATCTTATCGATCAAATCTGTCAACTTGTTTGCAGCTCCGCACGTTTATCAGATATTGCGGTTCTGACTAGAACTAACGCACAACTTGCAACAGTTACCAAGCATTTGCAATCATATGGAATACCTACCACAAAGCTTACAACACAACCAGATTGGATGAATGATAAGAATATTAAAATCTTGATTGATTTGTTGAAGGTTTATACCTTCGTTTTTCGTGAAAGCAGCCAATTTCATGGCCCAGTAATAAATGAAAGAAACCAAAGTGATTTCAGTGTGATTTTAACTCTTGGCGCAGTGCATGGAATTGGCAACCAGTCGATTCAGTCCCTGTTTATCGCCGCGAACAAGAGAAAAGTTTCCTTGTGGGACTACATCACTCAGATTGATGAAACTAAATGGCCACCAGGGATTGTTAATAAAGCGAAGATAAAAAATTATACAAAAACATTAAGCCCTTTGATTGCGAAGGGCACGCTTCACCAGATCTCCAGACCGGTCGATGTATTGGCAGCAATTACAATGATTGCAGCAAGACTTGGTATTCATCTTAATGATGTGAAGACATCTAATCAGTTGAAAGAATACAAAATTCACCTAATTGAGATGTTGAAAACGTTGAAGCTTTGTACTATCAACAAGCCTGATGATGTTTCGTTGGTAGAGTGGTTTCTGGAAACCTATTTCGATCAAAGTATGATTTTGCATCATAATCAACCAGGCGGGGCAGCTAATGACCATTTTTTAGGATCCGTTAATATTTCAACTATTCATTCTTCGAAAGGCTTAGAATTTCCAATCGTCTTCCTGATGGGGGGATACAATAGTTTTCCTATAGAAACTAATGTTTTGTATGTTGGTATGACAAGAGCACGAAATTTACTATATTTGAGCAACGTTAATAATGGGAAACTGAATTCGATGATGTCAAAGAAGCCATTCTCTCTTTTGAAAAATGAGGAATTCTGGAAATACTATAATACAGATTTAAAAAGACCTTTCGTCCCGGATCTCAAAACAACTATGCTAAACTATAATAAACTCCAACGAAAGTATGGAATCTTCACATCCAGCAGAACTTATAGTACTAGAGCAAGACTCATGTTAAAAATGAGCAAATACATAGCCAAATAAATTTTGCCTCTTAAATCGGTAGTGAGAAGCAATGTGTGTTTATGAAAATCCTTCAGGTACCCCATTAGCAGCTCTCTGCTGTATGTCGAGGTAGATGCCGCCCCGAGCAAAACCAAACCACTTGAACCTAGGATGTGGTGACTCCGTTGTCCCATCTTCACCAATAGGGTCTTGTAGTTCTTGAATGGTCTTATACGCCTCGACGTCAGCATATGGAACCCCATTCTTTGGGTCGAAATACTGACATTCTCTATTCGTTATGAGACATTTCTTTCTGACACCGTTTGGAAAGAAGACACCAGTAGGTGCTTCGGTTTTGATATCTAGCTCAAGCTCCTTATTTGTTTCCTCCACAACCTCGGTCGAAGGTGTTTTATCATATTCTCCAAAACCAGAGAACTTATCAAGAACGCTATAGTCGGGTATTAGAGGAGAGTTTATCACGTCGGTCCATGCCATTCCTCTATCATTATTTGTAATCTTTGCCACCAATTCCACCTCTTGTGAGCGTGAGTTCAGCGGCCGAGACCACTGTGGACCAAACAAATACGTGCGCACATCATGAACCATTGGTGTTTCTTCGGGGTATGTGTAAAGAGTAACAAAATTCCTTCCTACTAACTGCTGTGGTCCTTCTAAGAATTCCACCGCCTTTTCTTCTGCGGGGTCATCTGTTTCGGGCGTTTCTTCCATTTCACTTTTAATATGGTCGGCGTCCGCGGAATGCTCGGTTACTGGTGAAATTCTATCCGGTGGAACATTTGCATCAATTAACACAATTTCATCTCGTGAAGCAAAAGAAACTTGCTTCTGTACATTTTGGTCGCCATCGTGTTCCGATTTTATTGGCGGATGTTCTGAGCCTTCAGTGAAAGATGTACTCTTCTTTGATTCCACGTGGTGACGATCTTCAACATCCAACTTTTCATTTGATGGTGAGGCACCAATTACATCATCGGATTCGCATGATAATAAAGGATCTTTCTCTCCTATTTCTTCCAATTCCTCCATGGATGTAATCACCTTACCCGAAGTCGAATTGGGTTGCCTCTGGATTTTGTCATATTCCGTATGAACACCGTCAATTTCCTCCCAGGTCCCCTTGATCTCTTCTTGAATAGTATTTTTTGAATTGGTACCTTCCGTTGCCGAGTTCCCCTCGGTACCAGCAGTGTCCGAACTATTTATCCTCTCGTCAATCTGTGAATTTACTGATGGAGACTCTAAATGATTTGGGATAGCATTTTTTGTTGAGCCAATCGAAGTAATAACATCTTTCACAGGTTCAGACGGCTGTTGCCCTGTAATAGTTATTTGGCTTTCCGGTAATGCGCCATCTTGCGTTAGATTTCTAGATTCTGAAACATTTTCACCATCAGGACTATTTTCGATTCCATTAGGTTTTTTTTCGTGGACGTTTTCTGATTTATTAATGGCCTTATCATCTTCAGAAGTTACGTTATTAACCTCTTCACCTTCTGTTTTACCCTTTTTCCTTCTGGTGTACTTCTTCTTCTTTTTGTGTCTTTTCGCCAATTGCTGTTCCCAATACTCTCTATCTTCGACCTCCATCAATGGATTAATCAGCCAGTCTGTGGTAAGAATCCGAATAACCATTTCGCCAGGTTTGAAGTCCATTTTCTTACGTTGGTGTAGGGCCATCCTTGTTTGCTTTTTATAGATTTCCTGCTCTTTAAATTTGTTTAGACTTAATAAATTGATTCTCTCCGTTTCCTCAGCTTCTCTAAGACGATCCTCTTGAGTTATTTCCACCTCTGCTTGTTTCTGTTTGTGCTTACGTATACGTTCCTGAATCTCTTTGCGCTTCTTCTCCGCCTGAGATAGTTTCTCATAAACCTGGAGTTTATTTGCCACGACTGAAGATCTCTTAGAAGTACGTCGCGTCTTAAGTAATAGGCTTTCAGCACTTGGTTGATCATATTGTGGTTTGGAAGGTGCCTCTTCTTTTTGACGCTTCTTAATTACAGGAACTTTTTTCTTCTGAGCCAACTTGCGCTTCTTCTTTTCTTGTCTCTGTAGCTCTCTTTCTCCAGCTTCCTCATCTTCCTCCTCCTCGCTCTCGTCATTAGACTCCGAGAACTCCTCATCTTCATCCCTTTTCCTCTTGTTATCTACAGTGAATTCCTCATCATCCTCATCTTCTTGAAAGAGAAGGTTGATTTCATCATCATCTAGCACTGCTGTTCGCTCCTTCATTTCTTCACGCTCCTGCTCTAGCAACTTTTGCATCTTGTTACCAGCATTTGATCTTCGGGATCGCGTTGCTATCAGCATTTCTTCGGTGTCAGACATCCTGGTCTGTTTTATTCAACTCGTACTTTCAACTATGTTAAAGAAATACTTCTTCAGATCAAAGGGTTTTTTCGTTCCAAAAATTATATTGAGAACCAATTGCAAAGAAAAACATCTCAGTGGACACAATCCAGAAGATCACAGGCCCTTTGCTACGTCAGTTGTGTTTTTCTTCTTTATAGAATTGACTTCCAATATTCTATTTGAGATTACTACTGCATTCTATCTCAGCGCCATACGATCAATCGGAAAAGTTGACCCTTGTATCCCAAATGCTCAGAACTTTCAGAAGATTCTCAACTAAATACAATCCATCTCTGGCAAGTGGTTTTCATGGAAAAAATGCTACTTCGACGTCAACCTCCGCTTCGCAAGATGAGATACACCATTTCCAACAGCTAGCACCATCCTGGTGGGATGTGTGGGGACCCCAGCGTATTTTGCATAAAATGAATCTAGCAAGAATGGACTTCATTCAGAAAGTTTTATTTTCCCAGGTCAAGGCGAAATCAGACACTTTTGTTCCAGGTTTCAATCATCAAGAGCTGTTACCGAAAACTGTTTCCACTGCCATCGAAAGAGAGCTCAACAATGATATACGTTCTCAACTTGGGGAAAAGCATTTGAAAATTCTAGACATCGGATGCGGTGGAGGAATTTTGGCCGAATGTCTAGCCAGATTGCCCTATGTATCTACAGTTCAAGGAATAGATTTAACACCTCAGTGTATTGATGTCGCAAAGGAGCATGCCAAGAGCGATCCGATCCTGAAGAACAAACTTTCTTACAAAGTACAATCCCTGGAGGATGTTACTGATCGTTTTGATGTAATAACATGCCTTGAAATGCTTGAACATGTCGATCAACCAAGTGAGATCTTACGGCATGCGTGGGGGAAATTAAATCCTGGTGGGATTTTATTCCTGAGTACTATAAACCGTGACTTGGTGTCATGGTTCACTACCATTTTTATGGGAGAACAAGTTCTGGGGATAGTTCCTAGAGGAACACATCATTTGAGTAAATATATCAATGCAGCCGAGATTGAAGACTGGTTCAGGAATGAATATCCGCGTTCACATGAAGTCTTGGATTGCAAGGGTACCATGTATTTACCTTTGACGGGTTGGGTTAATCATGATTGCACCAGAATCGGTAACTATTTTATGGCGGTAAAGAAGCTAAAATGAGCCAGTCCTTGTATTTAGTCGTATTATGTACAGTCTAACTAAGTCGCTGTTTCCAACTTACCCTCAGCTTCAGGCATTGGCTCTTCATCAATAAACTGAGGCACTGTTCCGTTCAAATAAGAGGGTATTTCTCCTGTAGTTTCGGCTTCCAAATTATAGTCCATATCAAACTGTTCTTCTCCCAAAGCTTCCAGTTCGGCATCAAGCTCACTATCACTAATGTCCTCAAGATCTTGTGCTCCTGATCCCATCGCTAGGACTTGTTGCAACTCCTCTCCTTGTTCGACAAGGTCCAACATTTCGTCTTGCATGTCTTGCAACTTATCAATATTGATTTTGCCATATTGTGCCTTCAAGGCCTTGTTAGTTTGTTTGAGAGCATTGACCGTCACCATCGTGTTCCTCAAGTTATCACTGGTCATCTGTGCTTGATTCATTGACCAGGACTGCGAATCCAAGGAATCTCGCATGGACTCTAATTGTTTGCGCTTGTTCAACAACTTTAAAGCACGCTGTCTCAAGGGCTTTTGCCCACTTGGAGATTTTACAGATGATATCTTCCTTTGAATTGTCTGGAGCTGCACATTAAGTTGTGATATCTGTGTGTCCATTTGGGAGATTCGCTGCTGCATTGACTGTTGGGCATCATCCATAGCTTTATTCGAGTCCTGGAGGAGCTGTTCATGTGTTTTCTTATTTCCATACCCGAATATTCTATTCATTTCTGTGTCGTCTCTGCGTCCTTTTGGGAGTAGGAGGTATTATAATTTTGTAATATTAATCAATATTATATATAGGGACAACAGTGGGCAATCAAACAAAATTTGTTCGGTAAACAGAATGCCAGCTCTACTTACCACGGTCCAATAACTCATCTTGGAACGTCAATTACTCAAGCGCGAGAAACTTATGTGTCTGGTAGAACAGCGAGATTGCTACATGTCAAGTGTAACGTAACCACGCTTCACAGATAGAAGATATAACGTGATAATGAACAATATTATCCCGGTTCCAGAAACCATTATTATATAGCTAAAACACAGGCGTCAGCTGCTCAGACTTGGATAAGGCCTCTTTTCCAACTAGTATTTTGGCTGACCCAATGTCACATGATACAAAACTGGTGTCTGCTGTTAAGCTGATATGGAAAATTTTCAGGTTTAGTCATTCAAGATGATCGTTCGAACTAGAAGTGCTTCAGTTCGCAATAAGTCGAGATTTTTTGCTCCATGTCAGCCTCAGATGCTACTGAACAATTGAATGATTTGTCCCTCAAGGAACAGACTGTCACTCCTTGGGATGTGGAGGGTGCAGTCGATGAGAACGGAGTTGTCCAGTCGATCGATTATGATAAGCTTATTAAGCAATTCGGTACCAAGCCCATCACAGAGGATACATTAGCTCGATTTGAACAAGTGACTGGACAAAGACCACATCACTTTATGCGCAAGGGCCTCTTTTTCAGTGAACGTGACTTCAACAAGATTTTGGATCTGTACGAACAGGGAAAGCCTTTTTTCCTTTACACTGGCAGGGGTCCTTCTTCCGACTCTATGCATCTTGGTCATATGATCCCTTTCATGTTCACTAAGTGGCTTCAGGATGTCTTCGACGTACCTTTAGTTATCGAATTGACCGATGACGAAAAATTCTTGTTCAAACAAAAATTGACCATTGAGGACGTCAAGAAATTCGCCAAAGAGAACGCTAAAGATGTGATCGCTGTTGGCTTTAACCCAGAAAACACATTTATTTTCTCTGATTTGGAATACATGGGCGGTGGTTTTTATGAAACCGTTGTGAGAGTGTCTAGACAGATCACCGGCTCCACTGCGAAAGCCGTATTTGGATTCAATGACTCTGATTGCATTGGTAAGTTCCACTTTGCTTCCATTCAAATTGCTAGTGCTTTCCCTAGCTCATTCCCTGAAGTACTTGGGCTGCCACCAAAAACCCCATGTTTGATTCCTTGTGCTATCGATCAAGACCCTTACTTTAGAGTTTGCAGGGATGTCGCTGACAAGCTCAAATACAGCAAGCCTGCCCTACTACACTCCAGATTTTTCCCCGCTCTACAAGGTTCTACTACGAAGATGAGTGCGTCGGATGACACGACCGCCATTTTTATGACAGATACACCAAAGCAAATTCAGAAGAAAGTTAACAAGTACGCTTTTTCGGGTGGTCAGGTTTCTATTGAGGATCACAGAAAATATGGTGGTAACCCTGATGTTGATGTTGCTTACCAATACTTGAGTTTTTTCAGAGATGATGATCAACTACTTAAAGACTGTTACGACAAATACAAGTCCGGAGAAATGCTTTCCGGTGAGATGAAGAAACTGTGTATAGAAACTTTGCAGGAATTTGTCGCTTCGTTCCAAGAACGTAGAGCCAAGGTCGATGATACCGTTCTGGCCCAGTTCATGAAGCCTCACAAATTGGTAGGTGGTCAAAAAGAAAGGCTCGTGCCAGTGAAGCCTAAAGAGAAGAAGTAGAGTGTCTCGGATTTTTCGTAATTGATTTCAAGAAATAATTTTAAAGTAGATACAATATAGAAATACTGTCTTTTTACGCTATTGTTATATGTTTTCCATCAAGGTTTTCTTTGAATATGACTCTTTAACTGTTCAATTGTAATCAGTTCAATTCCGTGTTCTTTACCGAATGCGACACAGTCATTCAATCTCATCATCATTCCGTCGCTATCCCTAACTAACTCGCAGATAACTGCAACGGGAGGCTTACCAGCTAATTTGCAAAGGTCGACAGCGGCCTCGGTATGCCCGCCTCTCTTTAAAACACCACCATCGACAGCCCTCAAGGGAACCACGTGACCAGGCTTCAAGAAATCTGTTGCAGTTTTAGTCGAGTCTGCTAACTTACGGCATGTAAGAGCCCTGTCGTGAGCCGAAATACCTGTGGTCGTTCCTTTGGCGTAGTCACAGGTAATTGTATAGGCAGTGCCATGTCTGTCGTCGTCGTTCGCTTGACACTTGAGTTCACGCATTAGAGGCAGGTCAAGTCTATCCGCAAACTCATTGCTCATTGGTGCACATACGTAACCCGAAGAGTAGCGCACTAAGAAAGCCATCTGCTCTTGCGTAACGTTGTCCCCCGCGCAAATTAGATCGCCCTCGTTTTCCCGTGATTCATCATCCATTACAATTAGGAACTTGTTTTTTGAGAAAGATGCCACTGCATGCTCGATTGATGCGAAAGGGCCTGCCATTGGTATTTGGAACTGGTTACTGGAACTCTATGTACCGCCGTCGTTATCAGCAGTTGTCTTGAAATGTGAAAGTGGAGGAAAAAATTAATGATTGTCGCGGATGTTAAAAGGTGATTCGTTTACTATCTCCGCTCCTACGTTTACTCCGCCAATTCGGCTCCTACCCGATTCTTCCAAATGCCACGCAATTGAATTTATCACAATGGGAAAGCCACATTTTATTAATGAATTTCTCAACCAGTCTGACACATATTCTGACTAATTATTGTGTAAGACGTAGTTGTCTGGCCACATTCTGAAAAGAAGAGAAATTTTTATCGCAGCCTCTCGTGAAGTCAAAGCCTTGGAGGAAATGAAATCTTGCCATTTTGGATCATCTGAGATGGCCAGTAGTGCCTTTCAATGCCGATATTCCGGGTTGTTATTCGGTCAATACCTAGTTAGTAAAAAAACTGCTAATTGTTACCTAAGGATAATTGCAAACCAGAACAACAATTCCACAACAACTTCTTATTCCTCGTGGCCCAATGGTCACGGCGTCTGGCTACGATTGTATCCACTTCTGAAACCAGAAGATTCCAGGTTCGACTCCTGGCGGGGAAGGAGTTATTTTTTTTTTGCAAAAATGCGACTATTTCTTCTTGAGAGATAGCTCATCGAATAACGTTTCAATCTTATAGGTTATACCTTGGTTAATTGCTACATTTGAGGCATTTACATATCGAGGCTCGATCTATTTACTGAATGGTGCTGAATTGTTCATCAAATAGTTTCCATATATCACAAGCAAGTGCAGGAATGTAGCAGCCGGGATATTGAGATTTCTCGCACTTTCAACTTGAGTTTCTGGTCCATGGAGAGGAAAGCTTGTTCAGCTAGTCGAGAAATAACTTGAAACAGTAATTTAGTGGTGAATCACCGCCCAATACCACGAAATTCTCCTTGTTTGAAGAAAGCAACTTGAACCACGAAAACATATCAAGGGACGCACATTGCTCAATGCTCAAGCTAAAACGCAGTGATGGTTCGTTGACCACTGACCACTTTAATGAATTCGGGCCCAAGTGCGTGGAAGAGATGTGTATTTCGAACGCTTCTAGGGAACTGGGTGTCAATATCATCAACAAATTATTGTCGCCATTGCTTAGCCACTGACAAGTTATGATAGGATGGTCCAGTTCAATAGTCGCAAGGTTCAAATTGTTTGTTACGTCCCATAAAATGCATTTCCAATCCATTCCAGATGACAATAGGAGATTGGGAAGATCTCCACACCTGTATAAGCCGCTAACGGGGGCAGAGTGAAATAAGGTTCCATTATCGCTAGCGAGCTGGTGCTTACTCTCATAACTAAACTCACTCGCTTTGGTTGGCATGAAGCCATTGTTGTCGAGTGCTATTCTAATTGTTTTATGTTTGTCTGTGTCGTTCTGGGGAGTGATCTTGTATATACCTCCATCTTCACAACCCACATAAAGTGTAGTTTGATCCTGGGGTAGTGTGACTAACGACACAATTGCAATTTCGTCGTAGAGCGACATCCGCGATAACTGGTCCCAAAACATATCATATGAGGTACCTCGCGATGAGGGGCTATCAAGCATTAAATCTGACGCGCTGACGGGCAAAAGTTTGAAAGAAAAAGGGGTAGTATGTGAGCCTATTTCTTCGTAGAGCGACATATCTACAGCATTTATTTCTCGCACACTCCCATCTGTGCTTGCTGTTAAGAATCTGGCGTCCCTGGTGTGAAACTGCCACAATGCCAAAATTGGATAATTGTGGTAGTTCTTGGATATAATATTCCGCTCAACTTTGATAGGGCCATCGTTATAGGATACAGCTCTGAGTTCATATAAAATTGTCTTACCGTTGTAAGAAGTTAGAATGATAGATACGATCTTTGAGGAAGGATTTCGCAGAAATTCACCTTTTAAAAGTGATTGACCTTGAAACTCAACAGCATCTAGTAGCTTTCCACTATCAAACTGATAGACGTATACATAGGATGATGACGAGTGCGTTTCTGATTTGTCATTGTGTTGAACAATTGACATTACGAAGCCGCTGTAAACATCTATGCATGAACATATTTTTGACCCAACACCGGTGAATTCCGGATCCAAAATCTGACGTAGGTCAAAATTATTACCATTGGTAGTGTTTTGATCTTGAAGATGGGCATTACTTTTCTCGAGTACTTCGCTGAGAGCGAAGGTTTTGGTTATCACAGAAATGCCCTGATCTTGATAAACTAGAGGCACAATCTTATCTGTTTGGGATTGTTCTTTGGGAAAAACTTCCAATTTATCTTCAGCATAGTTATCTGCATCTTCATCAGATTTTTCAGTCTCAAATTCGCCCTCTAGGTCACGAATTACTTGGTGCTCAGTCTCTGTTATTTGCGTACACGGTTCTTCCTCATCAAAAAAGTCTGTTTGAACAGATTTCTCATACGTGATTACTTCTCGTACGTCTACGCTAGAAGGCGCAGCGCTTGATGGCTGTTCGAAATCATCGGTTTGTGTAGATATGCTGATTGTTTCTCTGTGTCCTCCAACTTTGACATTCTCCAAAAGCGTCTTTATCCGTTCGTCGTTGCTTATTATAGAACTGGAGTCATTTACGTACTTTCTTCTTTCTCTAAGCTCTTGTAATTTTCTCTTTTTTTCCTCTAATTGTTTGATCCGGTCCATATCCTTCTCATTATCATATTTGTTGATGGTGTTGTTAGGGTATCAACTTCGATGATTTCGCATGTAGACGAAAAACACTAAATTTGTGAAATAAAAATATTCGAATATACTATTCAAAGCGTCAACATATAATATGGATATTGATATTGATGATATTCTGGCAGATCTTGACAGAGATACTACTGCTGTTGACCACACCTTCACCTCACAGGGGAATGACATCACGGTGCTGGGAAACGATGAACCGAATCCCGAGAAGGCAGAAGTGCCGCGTCTTTCGCCAGTTAAAGACTTTGATGACTTGACCACTCACTGGCGCAATGAGAGAATGTGTCCCGAACTTCTGCCATATCCTCATTTGTTGATGGCGAGGATGCTGCGTCGCGTACAAGAACAGATGGAGCACATTGAGTGTCTATCTATGGGATTTTTGGACGACGAATCGAACAATAGTGCCCAGAATATTGCGAACAAGCTGCCGCTTCTTTGCATGGAGGCTGATTTGGAAAGACTGAAGTTCGTGCTGAGAAGTTACATACGGTGTCGGTTGTTTAAAATTGACAAACAAAGTCTGTATCTCATCCAAATATCGCAGACTGGCGATTTGACAGTGCCCTTAGAGGAGCTTCTGTCGAAACAGGAAATTGAATACCACCAACGACATTCTGCTATTCTACTGAAGCTCCTGAATAGTGCCATATTGAGACATATGCCTCCCGAGTTACAAGCTATCGATGATAATGACGGTAGTGTTAAAATGGTAGAAGAGCCAGAACTGGATAGCTTTGTGTTTATCTACGTGAAGGGTCCAGACTATCCGCATAAGCAAGATCCTATGCTCGAGGTGAATGAGGAGGGCCAAAGATACTATCCGGTAACTATCCAAGAGCTCAAGGAAGAAGTTGAACTTACAATAGGCGGCATCTATGTGATGAGATATAGTGTCATTAGGGATCTGTTGAAGGACAGAAAGGTCATTCTCATATAAGGCATTTCCACAGCCCTTGGTTTACATTAGGCATTCGCATGTCCGGGTAAAAGCATTTTTGTACAAATGTTTTCTTGTTGTATCTGATGTAAACTTCTTTAATAAACTGTAGAATTAGTAATTATTTTAGTTAGCAAGGCACAGTCGACTATGAATCGACCAGGATTCAGCATGAATCACCTATTTGGAAATAGGGCATTGATGATTTCTGGTCCTCAAACCTAATCACGGCATAGTGAATGATGAAACTTTTTATTTTTCAGACGTTAGACTTCTGATTTCAATTAAGAAGATATAGATATATCTGACACTATTCGCGGTTTTAGAGGTAATTCGGCAGCTTTTTTTGGGAGATAGATCTTAGTAAAGTGAGCGTCTTATAGCCATGGGAAACTCAACAGTACGTAAATTTTTGTTGTCTGTAATAACAGCAAGCAATGACCTTTTGCGTTTGACAAGCATTGTTGAAGGCTCATTAATCGTATTTTCCTTGGAGCATTATTCTGTAAGTCTCCGGACGTACAAAGCAAAGGCAGTTCTTGTAAACTCTTGACCTGAATTTTTTTTTCGATCATATCTTTTCATTGAGATTGAAGTAAATAAGCAAGCACGAGTGAGCGATGGTGTTCAACAAGCTAGTTTCGTTTCAGATTGACTATGCTCCGCAATATTATCTAACGAAATACATCTCAACTCATTCGCGCCTCCAATTGATCCATATCAACAATAAGGCATCGCCTATCGTTGAAGGCTTCTTCGCTGTGGGAACAGAATGCCCTACAGACTCAGGCGTGCCACATACATTGGAGCATTTGATCTTTATGGGCTCACATAATCACCCATACAAAGGATTACTTGATATGGCAGGGAACTTGTGCATGTCTTCCACAAACGCATGGACCGCTACCGACCAAACTGTCTACACATTAACAACTGCTGGATGGTCTGGTTTCAAAAAGCTGTTACCAATCTACCTCGATCACATTTTAAATCCTACATTGAGCGAGCATGCTTTTACTACAGAAGTTCATCACATCGATCCAGATGATTTGGAGGATAAGGGAGTGGTCTACAGTGAAATGCAAGCCATGGAATCTGACAGCGACTTTATTATTACTTTGGAAAAACAAAGGCAAATGTTTCCTGAGGGAAGTGGCTACAGATCAGAAACAGGTGGCTTAACTGCTAATTTGCGTGAGTTAACAAATGATGCCGTCAAGAAGTTTCATGAAGATATGTATTCGCCCGATAATCTATGTGTTATTGTCGTTGGGCATGTCCCCCAAGATGAATTACTGAAAATCATGGAGAATTTCGACAGTGAACTACCTGAATTCAAAGGAAATCGTAAGAAACCTTTTGTTGATACGAAAGAGTCTCAGATCCCTCAACGAAGATCTGACTTAACACAAAGTGAGGTAGAATTTCCGGAAGTTGACGAGTCTCAGGGAGGGATGACCTTCGCATGGATAGGCGAACCTTTTCCTTCACATCTAAACGATTTGGGTGTGACAATACTGATGGAGTACTTCACCAAAACCGCTTTGGCACCTTTCACAAAAGAGCTAATCGAGACAGCCGACCCTCTTGCTAATCATGTTTCGTTTGATACTGACGATTTCATGAGAACTATTGTTAATCTAACGTTCTATGGAGTTCCTACGGAACGGCTAGGGGAGGCGAAGGAAAAAGTCCTTGACGTTATACAGAATCATAGCATTGATCTTTCCAGGATTAGGCAAGTTGTGGAGAATGAAAAATGGACTTTCGTGCAGGATTGCGAGAGAAGTCCCTTCATCTTAAGTGAGTTGTGTATTACCGACTTCCTATATGGCTCAGATGATGGAAAGCTCCTTGAAGAATCCTTAAAAGATTTGAAAGATTTTGAGCTACTACTTCAGTGGGAAAAGTCCCAGTGGCAAGAGTTACTACAGCGCAATTTTGTGGATAACCGGCCGGTGATTGTGTTAGGCAAACCTAGCAGTAGCCTCTATGCGCAGTTGGAGGAGGAACAAAAAACTAGACTGGAAGAGAGAAAGGCTAGTCTTGGAGACCAAGGTTCAAGAGCTCTCAAAAGAAAACTTGAAGATGCTATAAAGGCGAATTCTAAGGCCATTCCTCCAGAGCTACTGGAACAGTTTGTTGTTGACGACCCTGTCAAGAGTATCGACTTCATCGAGACGAAAGGTATAACTACAATAAGGAACCCATTGAACGATGAAACCGACGAACTAACGCGAAGGGTTTTGAATCAAAAACCACCTAATTTCCCTTTCTTTCTTCATCTCGAACATTTTACATCTGAATTTGTGCACATTAGCTTTTGTCTCAACACAACAACAGTTAAAGACGTGAGTCTTTTGCCATTGTACCATGTTATGTGCAAAATATTTTCATTTCCTATGCGGTGCGAGGATGGTTCCATAGAGCCCTTTGAAAAGGTTTTGTCAACCCTGAAAGCAGAAACTATACAATCTAGCCTTTCCATGGGCATTCAGGGAGTTTTTACTAACTTGCTACAAGTTCATATCGGCTCCCGTTACTCTAATTACAAAGAAGCTGTAAAATGGATCAAACACTGTTTATATGACATGGTTTTTGACGAAGAGCGTATCAGCATCTTTATTGAGAGCTTTTTGAGTTCTATTGTGGAGCTAAAACGAAGTGGATATGATATGTTAGACTCTTTGATAAACCGTCACACGTTTACGCCTAGAGCAATGAAAAAATCAACTGATGGTTTGTTTGTGAAGGATATACTGCAAGCATACTTGGATGAAATCAATAATGGTAACTTTGAGACAAAAGTTTTGCCCAAACTAGAGATTTTAAGAGATCAGTTGAGAGCTAATTTCAACACGTTTCATATCTTGATCTCAGGTAATGCGGAGAAAATGGGAGACATTTATGGGCCTTGGATGGAATACTTTGGGGAGTATGTCGACAAGCAAAATGAAGTTATGAAAGTGCCCCCCGTTCCACGCTTAACAGATACCCTAAGTGATTTAGGAAAGGATATGAGAGACACCGCTCATATCGTGACTACCCCTGCTTCAGAATCTTCCTATGTGAGCGTGATATCCAATTTGCCCTCCGGTTTTGACTATTATCACCCAGATTATCCAGCGATTGTATTGGCAGAGGAGTATCTCGGTTGTGTAGAAGGCCCACTATGGAATGGCATTAGAGGTGCAGGTCTTGCCTACGACGGCTCGATTAGGAAAAGGATGGAATCCTCATTGATAGAGTTTTCTTTCTACCGTGCTGCAGATGCTACTGGGTGCTTTCAAGCGGCGAAAGAAATCGTGCATAACTTTGCCGCGGGGGTCACTAAGTTCGAGCCGAATCTTTTGCCAGCCGCATTGAGCAGTGTTCTTCTCTCTATGGCACAGGCCGAATCCGATTATTTTTCGCTCGCTGGTAAGAAGTATGCAGACATCTTCTGCAGGAACAAAGAACCGAACTACAATAAACAGTTCTTGGAAAAACTTGGTGAACTGACCGCTGACGATTTACAGCGAGTGGTAAAAGAATACTTTGTTGACATTTTTAATCCAAGACGTGGGGCTGTTTTCATCAGCTGTCACCCAACAAAATTGGATTCCATCCGTGCATTCCTGCAGCAGGAAGGCTACGATGTGTCGGTCGAAGAGTTAGAGGAGGATAGTGACTATGAGAGTGATGACGATTCTTGCAGTGATTCTCAAGAAGACTAAACAGGGCTTACAGCGTTTCAAGTGCCAATGTACACAGTTGGAAAGATATCATTTCGTCGGTATCTTGAGTCAACATACAAATCTTGTCTAGAATTATATTTCTTAATAGTTTCTCGGTCTTTTAAGTTTTGTAACCGTTTTTTCTAAATGCATTTGTGTGATCTACGACGTTCTTGTTAAAAATGAATTTTCAACAGTTCTGACTTTGGCATTGGCAAAAGACCGTGAAATTCAAAAAATCAAAAAAATCACCCAAGAGCCAGTAACTGCAATAGTTTTGCAAATCGCGCTTCATGCTTAGAGGAGAAAGCTACCTAGTATAGAATTTTCAGTTTCAAGTGGATCATTGGAACTGATCCAGAAGACTCGATAGAACTTCCCCTGAACGGTCAGCATTGAAAATAGTCACAGCTGGAAAATCTCTGCACAAAGAAACATTAGGTCAACTTCAGTACAGAGGCAAGGTTCTGGTTGCACAGAAATTGTCAGATTTGAAATGAAGAATACTCACGGTAATTCGGTGCATAAACAGTGGCCCGTTCACAGTCTCATTTTCCAAGTGTGAACGGACTTAGCAACATCACTCACTGATTTTTGCTTTCAAACTGGTAATTTAGTTCGAACCGTACTGTGGCATGAAGAGAAATCCTTCAGCGTACCATACTCCGAAGAGATCAGACAGTTGGTTGTAAATGGTACTTTGTTCAATTGCGTTTTAAATTCCGACCATGCAGTTTTCCAATGGTGATACGGGATCTTGCATATTTTTTTTACCGAAAACAGCATTTGACGGTGCTTTGTAAAAGCAAAGGACCTGAGATTTACTACGAGACCTGATTTCTGCGTTCTTGTAGGAACTAATGCATGTGCGTGAATCATTGTGGAGCTGAGTACGGTTACCTGCAACATTCCAATGCCAAGCACATTGAAATACCGACTAGCGGAATAGAAGAGAACTTAGTAGCATTATTTTGCTACATTAGATTTGGCAGAAGACGGTAAACCAGACACTACGCCACAGGAACCAAGCTACTTCGGCGGCAAAGCAATTTTACAATATGGAACTCTGAAATTTGATTTCTTTTGTATGGACTGTATTGAAATTCTGCAATTTCTGAAATTTACTCCATATTAGCGAATCATTGCAGCGCAGATCACGCAAATATCAACAGGCAACAGGGTGTCAAGAGCGTTCGGTTGCCAGCAAATCACAGATCGCGATGCGAAGGCACATAATTTCTCAATAGCACGTATGAGAATGCCGAAAGAACGGCGCGAAGTGCATTGAGAGTGGAGAGCTACCGCAAAGCAAAACCTTATGAAACTTGCGTTTACAGATTTATGCAAACCCCTGGCCACTGTTTCCGCATTGTCCGTTTAGTTCTCACGGTCAAGATCCCAGGTATGCCTAATCTAACACATTACTGTATACTCATACTTACTTAACGGTCGAACTAGCGGGTTAGTTTCAAATACCGAGGTTGCACACAGGCAACGTGCTATTCACTTATTGAACCAAAATGTAACTAATGGTACTAACTATGCCCGATTCATTTATTTTCTTAGTGTTCTCTCGCTTCTGGCTAGCATTCGCGATGACTTACCTGACAATGATTTTCTGGCAGAGGATCCCGATCCCGTTCCGGCCTGTAGACGTGGACTAAATCCGTTCCTACTACCCAAATCATTGGAGGAAAAATAGTCGTCACCCGTGCTATACATAGCCGAGACGCTTGGTAAGCCGTTAATCAGTTTCCCAGAAAGGGGAACTGGCTTAGCTGGCCTTTTGGTTTGCTTGCCCTTAGAACTCACAAAGGAATCAAATAACCGTTCTGGCTTTCCGCTGGCCTGTGCGGTTCCGGAATTTGCGGTCAAAGAGACCTTTGGCGAGCTCTTAGGTGAAGACTGGACTCGTAATGATGCAGTGCTCGAGGCTTGGCTGGAATCCGTAAAAGATTTTTCTGCCATTAGTTTCGGGCTTGCTAGTTTTGCGGCTTTGTTTGCCGTTTCATGAATCTCCTGTTTCGACAGAAGTCTATCATGATTCATTTTAATGCTTTTTCCCAGCGCCGTTAACCAAGAACCAGAATTATGGCTATCACATTTCATAACAAAAGACTTGAATGGAGTTTGAATAACAAAATAATCATTAGGGTCATTAGTGTGTGGTTGTTTAGAATCATTTACAACTTCCTTCAGTCTAGTTCCTGCTTGCGATACATTAATGTCGTATTGTAGATCGAAGAAAAGGTTCGTTTCCGGTTGCACCTTTGTTCTCTTTAAGAAAACCAAGCAGCGGCCAAAGGTAGTAACGACAACGATTTTCTTCAGAAACTCATTGGCGGGTAGTAGTTCGTGCGTCTTTTCTGGTTCCTCAACTTTTCCTTGAAAGAGTTTCTTGAACTTATTTGACACTAAATGCGATTCCGCTTGTTCGGATCCGGCCTTTTTAAATGTATCAAGAATCAAATCTTCTGATATGCTCCACTCGAAGTAATAATCTTGTTCTGACAGGCCCTGAGCGGAGAGATCTGTTCTGAATCCTGTAACACTACCACCCGACCGTGCAACTTGTGAAAGAAAAGTAGTTCTCTGATTGGATTGATGGGGATCTGCTAGTGAGCTATTGACCCTATTCAACTTCTTTTCAAGCAAGGGCATTTTCGTAACACACATGTTAACCTCACCCATCTTTATGACTCTTTCATCAATATTCTTCAAGTAATATGACCATAAAATATCAACTTTACCCATCGGTGGCACTTGATTAGCGTAGACATTGGATGATGAGGAGGTTGGGATAATAGGAGGGTTATCATGAGATTTGATAGGAGGTGGTGCGTGGATTGGTTTTGGAGGAGGATTTGCAGTTGGTGAAGACCCGTTACTAGAGCTTAAATTACCGGAAGATGCTGGCGCTGAAACAGAGATGGGAGTTTTTTTTGAAAGAGCAGCAGCCGCAGCAGAAGCAGCACTAGTCGTTCTTTTAGCATTTTGCTTCCTATTGTTTATGCTCTTCTTGGCGTTCTCCAATATTTGAGTTGTTCTTGGATCAACTGGGGGTTTTTTCAATTCTTGCTGCTTCATCTCACTAGCAGCTGTAGTGGACGGCGATGATGATTGAGATGGAGAGGCAGATTTTACTTGTCTCTTTGGCAAGCTAATGACAGTACGTGACTTGGACTCCTTGAGACCCGGAACAGGTTGCATAGCCTTTGCTGTGATTTTATAAGGAGCGATCTCTGGAGGATTTTTATCCCATACGCTACCATCCTCAAAGTTAACATCTTTGAAAAAAATGTGCTTCTTGATCTGGCTCTCATCTGGTCTCAAATCTGGTACCTTGACTAATATTTGTTTCACCAAATCCCTTATTATCAAGGGAAATCCAGCAGTGAAAGCATATTGCACTTTCATGACTTTCTGGAAAGTCAGATATTCGTTCGTTGCTTTGAAAGGAGGTTTTCCTGAAATCATTTGGAAGAGAATGCAGCCGAATGCCCAAATATCACACTTGTAATCAACGTAGTTATCGTTCAAAAGTTCTGGCGACACGTACTCTGCCGTTCCCACAAAAGACTTCGATCTTTCCAGTAGGTCATACTTTCCACTTTTCTCCGACTTGTCCAGCAACTTGGCGGTACCAAAATCTGTTAATTTTATTTTCATATCTTTATCAAGTAAGATGTTTTCAGGTTTTATGTCTCTATGAATCACACCCATCTTATGAATGAAATCAATGGCGTCTAGTATCTGTGCACTATAGTAGCAAGCACATTCCTCACTGAGACTGCCAAATTTTTTCATAACAGAGAGGAAATCTCCATTTGGTGCATACTCCAATAGGAAATACAGGCTTGCTTCGTCTTGAAATGTGAAATATAACTTAATCACGCCGCGGCTGTTGTTCAGCCTTTGCAATGTGTTTTTCTCTATGTTGACGTATTTGACCTTTTTCTGTCGAATCAAGTACTCCTTGTTTAGCACCTTCACGGCGTACTTCTTGCCACTATCATTGGAGCGTGCTAGCATGACAGTAGAGTAGGATCCGTCCCCTAACACGTCGCCAAATCGGAAGTCCTTTATGCCCTTTTTGATCACATGTTTGGTAGTTTGTCCGGTCTCTGGATTGGTCACTTCCCGAACGATCTTGGCCGCACCACGCTCTGCCCATTCCTCCTGTCGTCTTTTCATAGCCTCATTGACCGGTAGCTCATTAGGAGTCATCGGTGCGGTTCTGCTAGTATCCTCATCGCTGTCGAGTGTGATTGTCTCAGCCTCGTCCTCGTTTTTGTCATCTTCATCGGAACCGTTCAGGTCAATACTACCAATCGTGTAATCAGAGCGAGTACCACGATTTTCAGGGAGTCGTCCAGGGCTGTTCTCATGCATTGAGATGAAATTCCGCGTGTCTGTCAATGCCTTTTCGACAGGAGGACGCAGCGTATTGGAGCCATAAACGTGTCTTGCAGAGCCATACTCCTTGGAAGCCTGAAGCGCGTCCGGCAGCGACATCATAGATACGTCTGTGCGCGGACTAGTCGGGGAGTTAGTCGAGTTCTTGAACTGTTTCTCCATCTGTTCTTCATCCTTCGGGATGAGTGGCCTTTCGAAAGTAAACGACATTTCTTAACAAAAAAACAAAGGGATGCAAAATCGTGTTGTCAAAACCTGAAATAGCTCTATTGGCGATTGGTCATACGCAATCAGTACCAATACCTTTGCCGTCAATCCTGAACTCAGCTCCTGTCGTTTGTGCCAGTTCAACTTCAAATGTTTTCTGTGATATTGCTAAGGCACCAGGGGCCGTCGCTAACTACGAAGGATCAGATGATCTCGTCATAAGCAGTTCAAACAGAGTACGATCGTAAATGCACGCTCTATGATCATACTTGTCAGTATATCACTATGTCGTAGACTACAAATGCATTAATTCTACTTTAATCGGCAGCTTTAATGGCACGTTTTGATTTGTAGGCCGTTTTTTGTGTCGTGCGCCAGGTCGACGTCTGGCGATGGGAAGATAGTGACAACTCAAACACGATTGACTGGATAATGCGGTCTACAAGTAGTATACACTACCTCGATTGTTGGCACACCGTATTATTATAACAAAAAATTATGGCTTCTACGGTAAATTCGAGCTTGCAAGGTGACGTTCACGAGTATTTGTTCGGAATCCAGTTCCGGCAACGGTTCAGGTCGTGGCTGGGCTCGCCTAGCAGCTCGGACGAGCGTCATGAGTCGCACAAGCACGCTGCAGACGTGAGTTATGACACTGAGGAGCTCGACACGCTGCTGCGGCTGAACGGGGTCGGCCACAGGCCCTGCGGCCGACGGCCGTGGTCGCCAATGGCCACGCAAAAGTGCGATGTCCAGGATACGTCACGACAGCGTATAAAGATGCTACGAGGTCGTACGCGCCGAAGGTTTTCGCATTTATACCACAAGCTCAAAATCTCGTGGCAGGGTGTTGGGTCTGGCGTGGAGGCTGGTGTCAGAGGCATCGTCGAGGTAGCACCTGAACCTGAGGACAACAATCCCGTTTTCTTCGCCGAACACTGGGACTCGCCAAGCCCCATGGGGACCTGGTGTGCGTCGAAATCTTCTGTGCCATCCAAGTCGCCTCCAGCATCAGACATTTCGTTCATATCCACTTCGCTCGACAACAATGTGGCAGCCGTGCCATCGCATTCTGCGACCTTTGTCGACGATACTTATATCGGCACGACTGCATATTGTCCTATTCAGCGGCCCGCGCACTCTACCAATGTACTCCAAGTTCTCGAAGCTCTTTGTGCGTTCCACGCAGCACCAGACATCGTCCACAGGCAATTGTTGGAATCGTCGGGAAACCCTCGAGGATACAGTGCGGCTAGAACCCATATCGTGTCTGGTTTGTCGTTGCGGTTGCCATGCGACCCACTTGCCCGCCCTTCAACCCGTCACTTGCGCTGCTCTGCTCGTTCATTGCCGGAGAATTCGCTCTAGACATCACCGCACAAGCTGATGCGATTTCTCCGAGCCGTAATGTGCCCATTAAGCACGTACACTTCCCCTGCGGTTTATGCAGCCATTGCAGTACTTTTAGTTCTCCCCACAGAACCGCCTAAGTGTATACGATAAAATACGATAAAATTATTTACATAATTCCAACAAGACTATCACTTTTCATGTTGTCGCTGACACCACGAGTTATTTTTTTTTTCCAACAAAAGTAGTTCAAAGTGAAATAGTTATAAGAGATCATCTCGAATAGGTGCAGTTTGAATTTAGTCTCTTGGTAGCACAAGGAGGCGGTATAGAGTACAATATGAGCGCTACCACGACTGTGAGACAGAGGAGAAACTCCAAATTGCAAAAAAAGGGTCAAAATGGGAAAGAAAGCGCAAAAAAACAGAACCCACGCTTGTGTAGATACGAAGAGTTGCCTGACTGGCAGCAGGACAACGACAAAATCCTGAGCGGGTACGTGCGGGAGACAGGTTCGTTTCGCAAATGTCTGGAATCCCTGACCTACATGCACAATGAAACGGTGAATATTTACACGCATTTGATTCCTAGTGCAACTTACTTGGTGTTATTGATGTTCTTCACAGATTTGTTTTTGATTCCACAATTTCCATCGACAACTATGTCGGACTACATCATCATCAACTTTTACTTGTTGGGTGCATTCTTGTGTTTGATGTGCAGTAGCTGTTTTCACTGTCTTAAACAGCAGTCCGAGACCCATAGCGATCTGTGGAGCAAAGTCGACTACATGGGCATTATCATATTGATTTCGTGTTCCACGGTGTCGATTCTGTACTATGGCTTCCACGATCATCTGCTCCATTTCAAAATATTCACAGTGATCACCGTGGTGCTTGGGTCGTGCTGTGCAGCTTTTGTGCTCAACGACCGCTTTAACGCCAAGAACTGGAGAGTGTGCAGGGCATCGTTCTTCATCGGATTTGCGTTTAGCGGCATTGTGCCCATCGTGACAGGTGTTCTTGAGTTTGGTATCACAGAGGCCTTCAGAAGGGTTCAGGTTAAATTTGTTGCCTGGGAGGCTGTTTTCTACATCGGTGGTGCAGTTCTTTACGGGTTCCGTATCCCTGAGTCACTTGCTCCGGGCAAATTCGATCTCTTCGGCCACAGCCACCAGTTATTCCACGTTCTGGTTGTTCTGGGCTCCTTATGCCATTTCAGAGCAGTTTTGGGATCTTATTTGTGGGTCCACACTGGTAACTATTACCCAAACTTCCTGGCATTAAAGTAGATTAGCTCAACACTGTTTATACAGGTCATATAAAGGTGTTTAAAGTTCTTGTGATTTTTCGGATTCACCAACATGAATTTCGTTTTTCGTTCACGGAAAATTTGTCGACTTCTATCTTGAGATAAAACCATATCCAAAGAGACATAACTACGGTTTAGGCATGTCTACAACTTTAAGAGCGTTGAACGCTTATAGGAATGGTTTGAGAGCCACACGGGTAGCATTTGGACGGGACTTGCCAATGCTTTCTGCTGCCAGAGCCAAAATGAGAGAGGGTATGCTCAACCCTCCTAATCCAGAGCTATCATCAGAACAGCAAATACAACACTTGAATGATGTATCTACCTTTTTGAAAAGAAATATCGTGCAAGGCCAAAAAGTAAACCAGGGTCGTTATCATTTGAACATCCACAAGGATACCGAACTCGGTGACAATGAGAGCATCAAGACCACCAAGAAGACCCTCGCTGCACGTGGAGGCGGGTGTTGTGGCGGTGGCAAGGATCTTTACAAATAGGCTGGCGACACGGGGTTGCCATCTGGATATTTATCTATCTTGTACATAAGTAATTATATTATTTACTGTGTTATAACAAACGAGCACTGACACATAGGAAAATCAATATGGGGGTGTATGTTTGTTCATAAATTCTCTACAAAGTCACATTTTACTTGTTGATCTACAATGCTCATATGGGGCAACTACGATGGTTAGGTACCTTCTGTTTTGTGACTCATCATCTGCCATATCTTGATCATCTCTCGAAAGTTTTAATTTACTTCGGTTCATAGAAGAGAGGACCACATTTGGCAAACGCAGGCTACTATGTCAGACCCCGCCAAACGAGAAATTCAGATATCTAAGTCACTAGCGTACCTATTAAGACATGGTGCAGTCAAGGAAAAGCTGCCTATTGACAGCAATGGCTACATTCCTGTGGACGTTTTATTGAGACACAATAGGCTGAAGAGTCTTAAGTGCACAAAGGCTGATATCGATAAGGTGGTTGCAACAAACAGCAAGAAGAGATTTCATCTCAAAGAGGAAGGGGCCAATACCTTGATATGTGCAACGCAAGGCCATTCTATCGCTGCCATCGCACCCGCAGAAGAAGTCCTTGAACAGATAAAATCCCCCGACAAACTTCCTGCCAAGCTGGCTCACGGAACTAATCTCGGGAATTGCAAGTTGATCTTACAATCTGGGTTCATTAAGCGCATGAATAGAAACCATGTTCATCTTTCCCCAGGTGTCACAGGCGTAGATAGCGCAGTTGTAAGCGGGATGAGGACTTCTAGTACTGTTATCATATATCTCAAGCTGGACAAAGCATTGGATGAATTACGAATCTACAAATCTCTCAATAATGTTTATCTGACTCCTGACGATATCCCGCTTAATCTCGTCGAGAAGGTGACTATTCGGAGTGGACAAAAAAAGAATCCAAATATTGATGAGCTATTAGCACTACTATCGACAAATGAAATACCGTTTTCCTTCTACTAGACATTTTACCATGCTCTGGTTGAAAGAACATATAGCATAAATATATGGCCAATCAATCAATCTTCTTCTGACGATCATCGCCGTGCAAAAATTATTGAAAAATTTTTGAGCTTCGAAGGTCTTCAGATTTCCATCACAATAGACCAAAAACTTCAATAAAGCGTCTCAATAACTAGCCATGCTTGGGTTGAAACGTATTACAGGCTTTAAAAGATGCTACAGCAGCTCTATTTCCCAGGATTTCTTGAAAAATGTACTCGAAAGAGTGAAGGAAACTACGTCAAGGAAAGCTGCTCCCCCTATGAGGAACAATAGAAACATGAAGGCGAAGGACGGGAGAAAACCAAGACAAAATGGTCCAAGGAAAAACAATTATAAAGGAAGGTCGGAAAATCAAATTGTGCAAAGGACAAAGCCAACTATTAATGTTAATATTATCAACAGACAGCCTCAATTCCAGAAGAGGCATGGCGCGAACGCGGCAGTAGCTGCTGAATCGGCAGACAACCTAATTGATGCGTTAGATACTAATAACGTTACTTCTTCTAAGCGTCAAAAAAAATTGCCCAGGAAAACCCAAAGAAGCGTCCCGGCACTCGCTCAAAATCCAACCACTACGGAGGATATCATCGCGCAGGCCAAGAGAACAGTTGTATCTCAGCAATATATTCCTACAGAACCCACACCACTTTCACTAGTGAAATATACCCCTAGAATAGCTAATAGCTTCGGTGCGAGGTTTAAAAGTTATGGTCTCTCCACACTAGACCAATCCAACTTTCCTCTTTATCGTCCTGTGAACTTAGGAGTTGCTTCATTTCCCGACCAAAGCCCAGCTAATATTTCACTAACTCCTCGCTCCCAATATTTTGGCCAATATACACCTTACACTGGTCTAGTCTGGCAAAGGGAGAAGTTCTTGAAAAACATTGTTCCTAAATCGAATATCGAAGAATTCTCCACTTTTGTCAAAGGTGAGCGTATTCCGCTTCAGAAATTAACAAAAGATGACTTCATGAAATTTGCTAAAACTGATAAAAAACGTCAAGAGCTTGTCTGGAACAGTGAAACGGTCAGACTGAGTGTGGAGCGCAGTGGTCTTGATAATGCCAGCAAGCAGTTGGTGTTTGAAGTGTGCTCTGGCCTCAAACCAGTGGCCGAATTAAAAACTTAATTGGAATGCATAATAATATAGTCTTGCTTCTATATCTTGTAAATACTTCAAGAGATGATTTTTTTGGTACATGAACCAACTACTCTGCACTGATATCTTTGATAATGCGGTTATTTAAATTGATTTGTTGACGAAGTAATGCTTTTTTGATTTCCTGGTCTTTCCGACGTCCATCAATTTTCCGTATGACTGGGAACAGCGTGTCGAATAAAGTGGCAAATGAATAATGAGGAGGAATCATCTCTATAATCTTGATCAGTTGTTTGTAATCAGTAACAATTCCAATCTTTTGTTTTAAAAGATTCTGTACGAGCACTGGAGAGTTCATATCTGCGGTCAACTCCAGGTAATGATTCATGACCTTTTGCAAGTTATCTTTATCAACCAAATTCTCGATTCCCTCAAAATCATTCAGAGCCATTAAAATATTGAGCAAATTGTCTCCAAAAAAATGATGAACCTCTCTTTGGTCAAAAAGAAGAAGGGATAGAATATGACTCACATCAATCTTTTTGATTTTAGCATATATCTCCTCTAAATTTTTCTCTTTTTCACCCTCTTTTGCAATTGAGTCTATTTTATCGCTGATAGAGACAAAACTTGTAAAATGTGAATTGTTTCTGATCTTTACTTCCAGGTAAGTCTTTATGTTTGGCTTGTTATAATCGATATTTTGCGAATAAGTGGTGGTAAACTTGGTAAGTAATTCCCATAAGCCATTGTCATCCATTGTTTTCTGTAATTGTGCAACATAATAGTCTAATAAAAATTCCTTTTCAGCGGAACCAATTGTACCAAGTTTTTCCAGCATTAATACTTTAGTGCTACTGCTTTTTATCTTTTCGATTAGTTCTTTCAATGGTATGGGCACTTTTTTCATCAATGACAGCACATTATTCAAGATAGGCTCTTCATCATTAGACTCAGTTGCGTCATTAAATAATGTTACAATATCCCGAACAAGATCCTGTTCTTTATAGGTGCTGTCCTCTGTTAAAATTTCAACATTTTTCAGTAAGAACTCACTCAACTCTCTAAATTGTTTTTGATCTCTAAGTAACTGCACACAGTCTTCAAATCTCCCAAGTTTTTTCAGTATCTGAAGAAGTGTTCGGTAGTTTTCAGATGGCTTCTTTTGTAGTACTGCCACAATTTCCGGTAAGCTGCTTATCTCATAATCATTGACATCAATTTCAATATTATTCCGCATATTATTCTTGAACAAAACCATATCAAAGCTTTTCAATATGTTATTGCTGTCTTTTAATTTCCCCGCGTATCTTGTTTTTAATTGCAGTCGCATAAACGCCACGATTTCCGTAAAATGTTGAAACATATTCTTCAGTTTAAGCTTTCGAGATTCTTGTACAAACTTCAAAAGTCCATTCGGTATCCAAACATCACCATAAATAGTGAAATCACATAAATATAGGAATAATCTCATATCAACATCGATCGCATAGTCACACCAGCTTTTGGCAATATCTTTGTTGATACTCGCGCTGTGAAAAGTCAGGAGAAGAAGATACATTGTTTTGAGGTAAGTAATTTCAAGTTCTTGATATGGAGAATGCTTTTCGTGGCCATGTCCCTTCACGATATGCTCTTCAATTTTGTCAATCATCGACTCAGAAAAGTCATTGAATTCAAGAATGAAAGGATGGCTATTAAGCAAGAAAATCCCAGAGGTACCATATACTGCCAAAGATGTGGTTTGTTTAAATATTTTGTCCACGTAAACACGTTCTTGTTCTAGTCTAAATTCGTAGTTTCCAGTAAGCAAAGGAACCAGCCTTAGCTTCTCAATAGTCGCCGATTTATCATCCGAAGATGACGATGAAAAAGTATTAGTAGTTTTAGCAATACAGATTTTACTCTTATTCTTGCAGAAAATTTTTTGAACTATGGTAGGTTCGGTATTCATTTCCATCTTGTACACATGTAAGCCTAGCGTACCATAATTTACAATGACAAACGGCAGTTGAACAAGTACGTCATCTGGATACTTATCAAGAACAATTGTTCCCTGTGTGATATCACCATCATGGTTAACAACTAAAGCCATGGCGTTTTCCTCTCTTGAACTTCCACACGTCACAAGAAATTCATTTGGACTAAATGAACTTATTACCGGAGGTAAATCAGTGCTCATTTCACTTATCCTGAAAAGAGGTATTTCGTTTCCGCTCTTCAAATCAATTATCTCATAATTGTTCCCCTTAGCTGCCATAACAACCCTATTGTGATTGCAAGCCTTTACCACAGGTTTACACGGATACGTTTTCATAATAGTAAGATCATTTGAGTTCACACTCATCAATTTTACCCCATCATCAGAAAAAACGTGTATGCGATACCGTTTGGATTTGTCGGAAAATTTGATAACATTAAAATCGTTGATTCCCTCCAAACGATCGACATTCGGGACTGGTGCAAACTCTGGTAGAAGGAAGAGCTGTAAGAAACCATCAGAAAGTACTAGGCATCTTTCAATCTGTGGTAGTACTATCATCTTGTCAATCCGCTTATCAACATCAACTTCGAACTTGGTCTGTGAGACCAGCATGTAATTATTCTGCTCCATCTCGAAGTAATGCAGCATATCGCCAGTGGACGTTCCCAGATACAAATTATTTTCGAAAGCATCAAAAGAAGTATATTCAAATTCTTTTGGTACCAAGTGAATTAGAGGCCTGATAGTGAACGGTCCATCAGTGATGTGTATCTGATCGTCTTCCTCCTCCTGCTGTTCCGCGAGTTGTTCTTCCTGTTGATGATCGCCACGCACAGATTCAACATTAGAGTCGTCTATAACAGGATCTGCATCTTTAGCTTCTTTATCGGCCTCTTCACCGTGGTCACTCATTGGCTATAATTAAAAGATGTCACTCGAGCATTAAGCATAGTAAAGTAAAATGTTGAAATAGTATGAACCGTATATTGTGATGACAACGGTTTGATGTTTCTATCTAATATACATGCGAAATATCAGTTCCCTGAAATGACTGGTGGATAAACTATTTAGAAGCCATTAACTTAAGCAAAAGCTGTGCACCTTTGTTTTTCTCATTGCCTCTGTCAATCGATTTTGACAAACTCTTCAAATCTTTCAAAAAGTCCTTGGAATTTGCTTTAGATAAGGTTTCATAGATGGCAACGATCGTAAAAGAGCTATTTTCATTGTTGATCCACCCCAAAAGATTTCTTAAACTAATAATTTCATCGTAAAACTTTTGAGCAAAAGATTCACCTAGTCCCTTAACATGCTTGCAGGGTTCAATTTTTCTTTCTTTTGCATTCCATTTACCACCTTGTATCAAGGATTTTAGTAAACGTACTGAGAAAGGTTTGTTGTTGATAGGGTGTTCTTCCTCTGAAGGATCACCTTTGAAGAATGTAATGGTAGAATCTATCACATTTTGAAAACGCTCGACATCTTTTTCGGACAATTGCTCGTAAAGGTCATCATTCAATAGAACTTCGGCAACAAATTGGCAGCCCAGGTTTTCAGACAAGATTTCATCATAATTGGTTGCTATGGTGCTTAGAAATATTGGTGCAAATTTATTGAGAAGTTCCTTTCTTCTTTGAAGAGCGGGCTTCTTAGATGTAGCCTGGGAGTATTCGATATATCTTTGGAGATCCTTTTTAACAATTGGCGAAAAATATTTACCATCAAGTCCTAGGAGAATGTAAAGGAATGGTCTTCTTCCGTATTTATCAACGATAAAATCCTTCAAATTCTCCTTCACTGTTGGACCGAACGACTTGAACATCATCACTGTATCATCAACACATAGCAATGCAGTGATGAAAACCAAATTACCATGCTCATTCTTGATCAATTTATCAGCATGATCTTTCAAATTTCTAATAATAACTTTTCTTTCCTTTGCGTTGGCCTTAGCAATAAGAGTGGAAGCAACGTCTGCACCCTCAGGAGTATGTACCAAGTCAGCGAAATTTTCCTGGAGAAGTTCAATAAATTCAGAGGTTTCCTTCTCATTAGCAATTTTCACATACTCTCTCATGGCAGCATGTAAAATTTGGAAACCTGCAGAACCCTTTTCGACAGAAGCGGTAATGGTACCAATCAAATTTCTTGCAATGATATTCCTTTTTTCCACGCTACTCTCACACACTTGTTCAAGAGTTAAATCCTTGTGGGTTTCTCTAAAAACTGCATATTCGGACCCCCAGAATTCTCTAATCATTTGTTGTCTTTGCTCATGAGACGCATACAACACGAACAAGTCCTCAACGACGTAGGCACCTTCACGGTGTCTCATTAATTTTCTTAGCGATCCATGGAGTTCATCGATGATAAGTTGTCTCGATTGCTTCGACCCGTAGTGCAAGAGCTTGACAAGCAAATATTTCCCGTAAGACGAGGTTGCGAGTAGATAAAACTTGCCCTTCAAAGAGTTCACAATCTGGTCACGGCGTTCTCTTGACGAGTACTTCACGAGGGTTTGCACCACACGTGAGGCATCATGCTTCAATACCAAATCACTGATGCAGTCCTTCGAAAGATCCCAGATCTCGTTTGAGAGCTTCTCGCGGACAGCCTTTGGCATTGGTGGGTTTTTCACACGAAGTCTTTCCCATAGAGACTTGATCTGTTGTACTTCACTTCCTGACTTACGTTGCATCTTTCTCTCCTTTAGTAGCTTACGTTGTTCGGCATGTTGGCCAGGTGTGGCGGCAGCCCCATCAGCGCTCTTTTCCTCAGCGTTTTCGTCTTCATCTGCACCTTCTGACTCACTTTCATCTCCTGATTCATTGTCTAGTTCATCTTCTTCAGAGGATTGGTCCAATTCATCTTCTTCAGATTCACTGTTAGAAAGGATTTCGTCCAATTCATCTTCATCTGACGATGACGACCCACTAATACTGTCTTCCTCAGAGGAATCGACAGATATCTTTGCTTTCTTAGTGACTTTCTTATCTTTGGAAGCCAAAGAGTGTTTCTTTCCTAGTTTTTGGGTCTTTACGGGAGCCATACTATCAAAGATTCTCGTAGGGTTTGCAATATAACAGAAGAGCTCATCTCATCGGTGCTCTGCTAAAATTTTTTTCTTCACGACTGGAGAACGAAAAAGAAACTGAAACCAAAGGAAAAAAAACCATGTTAAGTTCACGTGACAGTCCTTCCCCTACGAATCAGCAATAGTGATTGCAATAGAGAATATATGTTTAGGTTCTATATCAATGGTTATATAAACAATACGTGACAGGATTGCTCGGAATATTGGTTCCATTCCTGATTTAATTTCACCTGTTGAAAACCTTTTTTTATCATTATCGTGTTTATGAACTTATTTGACATCGATCGGACTGGGATGAGTTGCCCTGCAAAACCACATCCTATAATGGAGTAAAAGCTAATCAATAAAAACCAAAATTTTGCATAAAACGTTGTCAAGGCGTGCAACGCCTTGACTCTTGATGGGGAGAGGGAATATGCTTGAGTTGAACAAGTTGTATATCGTCTGTTGACCCCATCAATTCTCTTCCCACCATTGTGCTTGATGTACCCTTTACATCCTAGCACTCCATCAATTCGTCGGAAGGCTTGCTCTTGTGAAATTCTTCTAGGCCGCCGTGTTTGGCCGCGGCCTTTTGAGCTGCCAATTGCTGCTTTCTTTTCTTGGCCAAAGTCTTGGAAGCCTTGATGTTGAAGCCATCTGCCAAGATCATTTGAACTTCTTCCAATTCGAGACCAGACAACTCTGGGTAACAGAAGTAACAGAACAAGAAAGATATGAAGGACAGAGCTGCGAAAAATGCAAAAGTACCCGTTGGAGTGATGTTTTGCAACATGGTCAAGAATGTGGAGGCAATGACCAAAGAACCACTCCAGTTGGTGGCGGTAGAGTAAGACGTACCGATACCTCTTACAGCTTGAGGGAAAAGCTCGGATTGTTGCCATGGCACGGTACCGATACCAAGAGCGTAGAACGCGGCGTACACGATGATGGACACGATCACCACGATACCCCAGGCGCTGAAGCCACCATTGGCAACCACAGCTTCGGTGCCCTTGAACTGGATATCCATAAAGTGGAAGGCAATGGCGCAAACAATCAAGGCGCCACACATACCAGGTAGGCCGATCAACAGAATGACTCTACGACCAATACGGTCAATGGCGAAGAACGCAACCAAGGTGAAGATGAAATTGGTACCTGCGACGATGATGGACACGGCGGTGGAGTTGGAGAACCCAACCGTTTGGAAAATAGTACCGGAGAAATACATGAGCGAGTTCCAACCACAGAATTGCTGGATACCTTGCAGAGCACAACCGATAATGAGGGCACGGAAATTGGAAGGAACAGTGTGAATTTCCTTGATGGTGTTCCAGATACGTTCCCAGACGGTATCGCCGGGGATCGCTCTGTTTAGAGCGTTTAGTTCTTTAATTTTTTGCTCGATCAAATCCTCGGGCGCGTCGACGTAACTCTTGGAAAGCACGTTGGAGGCCTTTTGGAGCTCGCCCTTCATCACGTAGTAACGTGGCGTGTCGGGCAAGAAACAGAAACAGGTGAACTGGATGACGGTGGGAATCAATGAGAGGCCCACCAGAATACGCCAACCGTTGTGGACTTTGTCGAGACCCGCACCGCAGCCGTAGGCGATCAATTGACCGCCGGTCAGCCACAGCGAGTTGATGACGGTGAGACGGCCACGGATGTTTTTGGGGGCGATTTCACTGATGAAGAGCGGCGAAATCAGGGACCCGATACCCACGCCGAAACCCATGATCAGCCTGCCGGCAGCCATCTGCCAGAAGCGGTGGGCCGAGATCTGGAGCACGGCACCGACCACGAAAAGCAGGTTGGAGAACATCAGACACGGTTTGCGGCCCCACAGGTCGGCCGCGGTACCCGCGACGATCGAGGTGATCAGGGCCCCGAGCGACGTGGCTGCAGTGATGATTTCCTTTTCGCCGTACGTGAGGACTTTTCCGTCGAGGTCTGTGCCGATCGACACCAGCGCACTGGAGATGTAACCGGTGTCGTAACCGAACATGAACCCGGAAATGGATGCGACGAACGTGAGCACGATGATGAAGGGCGACACTTTCTGGTTGAACGTGATCATCACCGAGGTGTCGTCCTCGTCGTTGACGGGCTTGATTTGGATTCTGTCGGGCTCGTCTGAGCGGGACCCGCTCTTGACGCCTGCGTCGTCGTCGAATTGCGACTTGAACAGCGATTCCTGGCTAGCCATGGTAGTTGCAGAGAATGATAGCCTGGCGCGTTGCGATGACTAGAAGATGGGGAGAGCGAAAGAAAGAAAGGCGATAACTGCGACAGAACCGGCTTTCCAGGTCTGGTTTAAATAGCTTTTGCGGCAACTGAGATTGGAACCTGTCAAGAGTGTTTGTTGAGGGGGGAAAGACAAGTGGCAGCGCGCCGGACCTGAGAGCCCAGAGAGCAAGAGGGAGCGCTCAAAAAAATTTTCGTCCGCTGATTAGCGCGAAAAGAAACGCGGCCGCGTCGTGGTCGTCGTAGCAGCGGCGGAGGCGCCCGCCGTGAGGCGGCCGCCGCGGCAATGGCCCCAGCCAACCATTGCTGAAGTCCTACAGTAAGTATCCACACATAGCTTTGAGCGAGCGCGACTCGAGCGACCGCGCTTCGTCCCACCACCAGGGCTTCCCAGTTCCCGTCGGAAGCCTCTAGCCCAGTCCCGTGTTGATTGTTGTGGCGACCTGCCGGTTCGCCGAAAACTCCCAGAAGGCCACGCGGGGGCGAGGCGCGGTTTCGGCGGGCGTGCAGCGCGCCACAAAAACAGCAAACCTGAAACAGGCAGGAGGCAAGTTGCCGTTTTGGGAATCTGCACGGTCGGCGAAATTTCGGCGGGCGTGCGTCGGGGGCCGGGCGAAAGGCCGTGGCAGGAACACAACGGGACGACAACGAGAGGTATTGGCGATGCGCGATGGGCGGTGCGCGATTGGCGGAGCTTAGGTTGCTATGAACGCTATAGATCTATATTTCACATGGCCGCTTCACATGGCCTAGAGCTCGTCGAGCAGGCGCGAGAACACGCCGTCGACGGCGTTCTCCACTGCGCGATCCGCGGGGGCAAGCGAGGCCGCGGACGCGAGCGACACCGTCGGGGTGCTCACGGTGGGGGCCACCACACGGGCCAGCGTGGTGCCCACCGTGTCCACTGCGGCGGTGGTCACGCCCGGCACCGCGCCCAGCGCGACCAGCACCGCGCGAAAGAAGCGGAACCACAGCCACAATGCCAACTTGACGGGCGCCTTGAACACCCGCCGCCACAGCACCCACGCGACGCACGCGGCCAGAAACCCCAGGCTCACGTAGATGTTGCGCTTCTCGCGCGAACTGGCGTGCTGGATGACGCGGATCATCTTGGACGACGTGTCCAGCACCCCGGACAGCGCGTCGAACCGCTCGTTCAGCCGGTGCAGCGAGTCTGTCTGCACCTGAAGCTCGGACAGGTTCAGCTCGCTTTGCAGGACAGAGCTCTGCAGAACGTGGTTGGAGCGCACGAGGTTCGACGTGATCTTGCGGTTGGTGGCCAGCAGCTTGTCGCGCGTGGACGCGGGCTGCGGCGCGGGCGCGCGCCCCGTAGAGCCGTTTGCGGCCGCTGCGGCCGCTGCAGCCGGCGCAGCCGCCACATACGCCTCGAACCGCTCGCGTTGCAGCTCCTTGAGCCCCGCGCGGAACGCGCGATGCGCTTCCAGTTGCGCCTGCTTGTAGCGGCCTTCGTACACACGGATAAAGTCCGCGTGGCGCGCGAGCGCGGCCACGTGACGCGCGAGCACGTGATCGCCGTCCTTCGCGATCTGCTGGCGCGCGCACGTGACATTCACGTGGAAGTCGCGGGTCGAGCCCCACGTGACGCGGACCCCTCGGTGCAATTGCGCAACGCACACGCACAGCTGTCGTACCAGCTGCGCGTAGCGCGCGATAGTCTCGGCGACGGACGCGGCCGTCGGGTCCGTGAGCAGTTGCGCCTCGACGCGCGCGAGCTCGCGCGTGCATTCGTTGAACTGTGTCTCGGGAACCATGCGGAGGAGGAAGCGGTGGACTGGTCGTGGGCGAAACGGCGGGCGCGAATTTCTGGAGCAGTGGGAGAAAAGCGCTGGATGTCGCTGCGTACGGTGTGGAAGGGACACGTGCACGTCGCGTGATAGTCACGTGCGTTGGACGTCTGCTCTACACGTGATAGTCACGTGTTCTCGTGAACTTTTTTTCCTCCTCTTGGTACCCTCTTTTCCTTGTTCAGACGCGTCCAAATAGCCGCCATCGTCATCTCCGCTGCCGCCGCCGCCCCCACGCCGCTCCCTCCTCTCGGAACATGTCTTGCGCTCCCTCCGACTACGAAACGGCCCACGGCTCGCCCAAAGACGCGTCCCGCCCGGAACCCACCCCCGACTCCGCCAGCGACGTCACCTGCTGTGTTGCCGCCAGCACCCCCCACAAGCGCGTTGCGTTGCATCTTCCCTCGTTGCGCGGGTCGATTCTTCCCCCCAGCGCGTTCACCGTCACCATCGAAAACCCGCGTCTACAAGCGTCGCAAAACTTTTGTCTGTTGTTGTGGCTCATGAACGGCGGCGCCGCGTTGTCGTACGAGCTCTGCGTCGCGGAAGCGCCGTTCCGGCTGTTCAAGGACCGCGCACGAAAGTTTGCAATCAGATATCAGAACTACCTCGACGTGTCGACGCCCACAGGCCACGGCGAGCACACGCTCACCGACGATCACCCCGGCTACACTGTGTCTGTGTTTCCTCAAATCTTGCAATGCACCGCGCTCGACCGGTTCCGAATGGATACTCTTTTGCCCGCTTACGCGCGCCAGTTCCAACGGGTGTTTGATTCCTACCATGCTCGCTCGTTTCCTGCGAAAGCGCTGTATCTGCGAGCTAACGTGTCGCGTCTGTTGCAAGGCTACGTGAACGACACACTCTACGACGTGGCTTGCAAATGGACGAGCTGGGCCAAGATTGTTGATGAGCCTGCGAACGCCAACATGTTTCAGTTGCTTCTGAGCGAGTTCTGGACGTCGTATTTCGTCGTGCAAGTCGACGGTTCGCTGCCGCAATTCGCACGTCGCGTGGACGGCGACGGCCATCGCGTGGACGGCGACAGCGATGGCTGCAGGCGAAACCGCCACAACTGCGCAAACTACAAGGACTCCCCCATCGCAAGTTGTGCACGACCGGCCCTGCGCTACGGAGTCTGGGTCGACACATCCAACGGGATTCTGCTTTTTTGCAACTCACAGCTTGACTCGCGCACGCACGCGACTCCCACGTTGGGACTCGCTCTGGACCCCAAGGCCACCGAGTCTACGGTGCTCAAATTGCTCTTGTTCGTCAATCTGTGCATATTGGAGTGTTGCTCTTCAGAGCTCCGATAGTTCCCAGCAATATGTTCCTTTTTCATCGCAGCTTCTAATTTTTTTCCCCTAATCATCGCTCGCAAGCCGTTCTTTCAGTGGGAACGATATTAAACGAGATGCAACGCTGAGTTGAAAAAAAAAATACCACACACATACATTTGTGAGTGCTTCTAACGGCGTTTCTCTACTGTTCCAAGCCAACCGACACATGTCTCAATCAACGTTGAACCCCAGAACCACCAGCTTCGAGTTCAGCGGCGTCATCGGTGCTCTCAGCATATCGATCGGACTCCCTCTCGTGTGCGTCGTGCTCAACCAATTGATCCGCCCAGACTACTACATCAAGGGATTCTTCTCCAACTTCGACTTTGCTCAACTATGGAACAACATCAAGCCCCTAAACTGGTACCTCACCAATTGCGAAATGTGGACCTACTACCTGGCGTGGTTTTTCGGGCTTGCTGTCCTCGACGTGACGCTGCCCGGCCGCAACATGTTCGGTGTCGAGCTGCGCGACAAAACCAAACTGCCCTACAAGATCAACGGTATTGCCATCTCTGCCACCATGGCGCTTGTGGTCGCCGCCAGATGGCAACTGACGGGCGGCCAAATGCCCGAATTGCAGTATTTGTACGACCACACCGTCGACCTGTGCATCATCACCATCATCTTTTCGTTCCTGCTCAGTGTCGCATGCTACGCGAGCAGCTTCGTGCCCCTCCTCAAGAAAAACGGCAGCGGCACAAGAGAGCGCATCCTCGCGCTAGGCGGCAACTCGGGCAACCCCATCTATGATTGGTTCATCGGCCGCGAGCTCAACCCTCGCCTGGGCCCCCTCGACATCAAGATGTTCTGCGAGTTGCGCCCCGGAATGCTACTGTGGTTGCTCATCAACCTCTCGTGTCTGCACCACCAGTACCTCAAAACTGGCAAGATCAATGACGCATTGCTGCTTGTGAATTTGCTGCAAGGGTTCTACATCTTTGATGGAGTCTTGAACGAAGAAGGCGTGCTGACCATGATGGACATCACTACCGATGGGTTCGGGTTCATGCTCGCGTTCGGCGATCTCACCCTCGTCCCCTTCACCTACTCTTTGCAAGCGCGCTACCTGAGCGTGTCGCCCATCGAGCTCGGCCGTGTGTACTTCACCGCCATTCTCGGCGTGATGTGTGTGGGCTACTACATCTTCCACTCCGCCAACAAGCAAAAATCCGAGTTTCGCCAGGGCAAGCTCCCCAACTTGCGCAGCATCGACACCGATCGTGGAACCAAGCTATTGTGCGACGGGTGGTGGGCTAAATCCCAGCACATCAACTATTTCGGCGACTGGTTGATCTCCTGGAGTTGGTGTCTCACCACGGGGTTCCAAACTCCACTCACCTACTACTACGTTCTCTACTTCGCCACCTTGCTAATTCACCGCCAGATTCGCGATGAATTGAAGTGCAAGCACAAATATGGCGCCAGTTGGGTCAAGTACGAGACTGCAGTCCCATACAAGATCATCCCTTACGTATATTGAACTCAAAATGCTTTTTCTGTTCGTCTAGCTAACTACATGTATAACGCGTGTCTTCTATATTCTCAATTCAGGTCTGTTGTACGTCCTTCGAGTGCTGTGCAATAAGGTCTTCTTGGTAACGGCCCAGCGCCTCACGTAATGCCGGCACGAACACCTGTTGCACTTGCGCGGTGTGGTCGCCAAAGCCCTCCACACGGATCTCGAAATCCTGCTCGTCGTGCATGAGCTCCGGAACTCGAACCGTACCGTTACACACGCTGTCTCCGGACTCGGTCTCGGCCACCTCGACCGCGAACGTCACGTCGAGATCAAAGTAGCAGATCACTTTGCCCTTTCGTTGCGAAACGTTCGAGTCCCCACTCACCGTGTCCACCCGTGCGATGCGGACGGTGTGTGGGTCGCACGACACGCTCAAGTCGAGCGCTTCCATGTACTCCTTCGTCCAAGGTAAAGTGTTTCTGTCCACCCAGTGCCAGTTGTTCGGATTCAATACTACCATGAGATACGGATTGTGACAGCTGCCGTCTACTTTGCTCGATGTTCAACGGCCTCTATATATCCATGGCACGGCGGAGTGTTCCAGAAAAGAGGAAAAAGAAGCCACGGGAAATGGTGCACGGGTGTGCACGTGGAATCCACGTGATCTTGTGATTTATCTCATAGCTCATCTCAGCACTTCCCACTCGCTTTCTCGCCTGCATTGGCAGCTCCGGTCTTGGCTGCGGCCTTTTTGGTCAAGGGAACACTGGTCGCCAGCACCCCCAGCCGGGATTCCGCGAATTTCAGCCACGGGGCCGCGTTCTGCTCGCCTGCGCACTCACGCAGACGCGCTGCGAACTGGCCGTCCAACTTTGCGTTCTCGACAACGAGCAGCAGCCCATCGTGTCCCTCGCAGCAGTCACCGAGAACTGCGTTTGAGCCTCGCGGAAGTTGTACGAGTGTCACCTCGCAAGCACTGACGCGCGCCAGCACGGGCAGCTGCGCGAAGAGCACTGCCGGAGCACCATCTCGCGTGCACGCAAACAAGAGCGCGCGTGTGCCCGCTGGCGCGGTCTCCAGGTACTCGACAACCTGGTTGAAGCCCACCTGCACGTCCAGCGGCGGAGCCAGCGCCATGGAACGGGCGTGCGCGAGAGGGGCGATCACGTGACGCCGCGTCAACTCCGCCACCAGCGCCGGATCCGAGACCCGTGGCCACAAGTGGGCTTCGTCCGTGTAAGGGTTGTCGAGGATGGGCTTGTAGACCTGCTTGCGCTGCGCAGACGCCCGTTGTGTTTGTTTTAGCGAATTCATCGGTGGTGCGATGGGAGAAGAGCACTGCAAACTGGAGCTGCTGCTGCTGCTTTTGAACGGCGAAGGCTGATCTTTGTCCGCGACGTAACGACAGAAAGAAACCTCTTACCCGGAGAACTCACTTACCCGGCCTTGTCTGTCGGCGACAACGTGTTACCCGCATTTCGTACCTAGTTATCTTCTTCATCTGGGGTTACCCTCCCGTCGCGATCGTCCCAAAAGCAATTTCGAGAATGGAAAAGAAACGCGGAACAAAAATAAGAAAATTTTGGAGTAGCGCCGTTACCCGGCCGCGGATCCGGATCGCATGTTTGGCATCTGCGTTCCATGCAGTATGTGTATCAACATAGAGCTACTACAGGTGTTGCAGATTCTCGCAGTTACAATCCTCCAGCAACACCAGGTTAAGTTAGGCGATGAAAGCTGCGATGAAGGCTGCAATTGTACTGTCGCTAACTCCTGTGGTTCTAAGCGTGGCTTCGTACAACCATCAAGGCTGTTACAAGGCCTCTGACCTGGAATCATTGCTGAGCTCGAAAGGTGAATATGAGTACCAATCGGTTTCATACTGTGAGGAGCAATGTGATGGGAGTGCAATAGCAGCACTGGTATCTGGTTCGACTTGCTACTGTGGAGACTCGACCAGCGTGCTATCGGGACTGACAGCCGCAGACTCAAGCGATTGTGACAAGGCGTGCAACGGCTGGCCATACCAGAACTGCGGAGGCAGCGGATACATGGACGTGTATATGGTAGCGGGTGCTTCGGTGTCGTCTGGCAGCGCAGCCACGTCGTCCACTGCTTCCGGCTCTTCCGCATCGTCCTCGTCGTCGAGCACCGCGTCATCGAGCACCGCGTCGTCCGCGTCCAGCTCCGACGCCAGTACGTCGTCCTCGACGTCGTCTGCGTCGTCCTCAACATCGTCGTCGAGCTCTACAACATCCTCGAGCTCTGCGTCGTCTACGTCGTCATCCTCCACCTCGTCGTCGTCGACTTCGTCATCTTCCACCTCTCAGTCCTCCTCTTCTTCGTCAACTACGTCCTCGTCGTCTTCCTCCTCCACGACCTCCTCCACGACCGCTTCCGCGACCTCCTCCCAAGTCCATACTACGGTGCTCGTGACCTCGTCGCTATCGGTCGTCACGCTCAGCAACAACGGACTGTCCACCGTCTTCGTTACCGCTACAACTCTCGTTACACCCTCCGCTACTTCGAACGCAGGCACCTCTGGCAAGAATTCCTCGGGCAAGAGTGCGCTGTCGGGCGGTGCGATCGCTGGTATCGTCGTGGGCGTCGTTGTTGGTTCGATTGCCATTGCGGCGTTGATTTTCTTCTTGCTCTGGCGTCGCAGAAAAGACCAACATCCAGATCTAGAAGAAACCAAGCAACATCAACCCTACTCGTTCGGCCACAACGACGTCGCTCCTCTACCCGGCGCCCATCTGAACAACTCTCTTCATTCAGGAGCCACCGATGTCGATCCCATCTTACATGACGACCTGCTGCGACCTTCTCCCGTGTTTGAAGATAATTACGGCAGGATACGGCTCAGTAACGGATCGCTGCCGGATGTCACTCAAGAGCACAAGCCTCTACGCATAGTCAACCCAGACTCAGAAGACCTCACCGACGAGGAGCGTTATTAGCGCACCCGCGTCAATTACATATCATTTCATTCCATCATTAGATGACCATAATTCGTGTCCACCATTGTTTTAAAAATAGTTTTTAGCAATCAACTGTTTAGGTAATAATAGACAAATACCCATTCGGAACATAAATTTCGCGTTCTGAAGGCAGTGGAACACAATGGACAGGGATTAGGACTGTCGGCAAAAAATAATGCTTCCAACCAGAGTCGAACTGATGATCTCCACATTACTAGTGTGGCGCCTTACCAACTTGGCCATAGAAGCTGTTTTGAATGGGAAGCACTAAGGTAGTGACTTGTGATATACTCGGCGTTGAATCATCTGATCTTCTCAGTCGTGTTATATGACAATGATAAATTTTCACATCTTTACAAAAGATACGGTGATTGGACAAAAGCACCACTTCAAATAGCGTGTGTTAATCTATGATGTTGTCATTACGAAGTCTGGGATCCACTCCAACCGCTGGATTGCGTTTTAAAGATCTTCTGATCTCTCAGAAACGTCAAATTTCCATACTGTCGCAGTTGGAGCCTTCCGAAGGTTCCACCAAGGGCTACAAAAGACTAGGAAGAGGTCCATCCTCGGGGAAGGGTAAGACTTCTGGAAGAGGTCAGAAGGGTCAGAAGGCACGTGGAAAGGTTAAGTCTTGGTTCGAAGGTGGTCAAACGCCCATCTACAAACTTTTTCCCAAGATTGGATTCACAAATGTTACTTCGCTCAAACTTGCGGAGCTCAACTTGGACCGGATAATGTGGTTCCATAGAAAAGGTCGTTTGCAGCTTCAGCCTGATGAAATTCTTGATATGAAAAAAATGAAGGATCTTGGACTTGTCACAGGATCTATAAAGGACGGTGTAAAAGTTCTGGCCGATGGTAAGAACCAGTTCAACCTTCCAATCAAGATCGAAGCTACTCGTGCATCTCGGGAAGCTATCAAGGCGATAGAAAAGGCTGGTGGTGAGTTTACTGCTCGTTATTTCAATACGCTTGGACTTCGAGCTCATTTGAGCCCCGAATGGTTTCTTGCGAAGAGGGGCAGAATCCCACTTCAAGCTCGGCCCGTCAAACGGAAAGACATCGACTATTATAGCAATCCAGAAAAACGAGGATATCTTATTAAGGAGAGTCATCCGTTGCTAGAACAAATAAATCAAGCCAGAGCGGGTGGTTCAGAGACACTAGTAAGAAGAAGTGTTAAGAAATCCGCCCTCGATGTGCAACTGGAAAACGTCGATCAATCTCGGGCTCCTCCTACTTCTGACTCTCGCATTCTAACATTGAGTGAGTTCAAGGCATAGTAGCATCGCCTATTTTTACGTGGTTCATTTTGTTTCTAATACACTTGTAAATACTAGATCTAAATCGGAAATCCAGAATCTCCACAGGTACTAAATAGTTTGATAATGCATCAAGGACCTTCTTGGAACCGTTCTCCCAAAAGCTGAAGGGCGAGCTGTCTTCTTCTTTCCTCGGCGTTGTTTGAGACTTTTTTCGCTCCTCTTTGTTCTGCTAGCGTGTTTCCAACATCGATGTCCTCCAATTCAAACGGTTTTCTCATCCTCAAGTTATTACACCAAATATTATAGCATATATTAAAGAAAGGTCTCAGTATTGGCCTCAATAATCCGGGGAAGAAGTAGATCAATTGAAACGTATCGGACGCATCACCAATAATGTCTCTTCCGTGATCGCCAGCAATAGAGGATGGTAAAATTTGATAAAATCTGAGGTACACCCAGCAACTCATAAATGTAATCCAAATAGAGAGAAGTTGAGAAAAATGATGGAACCATATTAACTGGACAGTGGTTAAAACAACAAGCACGAAAATAGGTAAAAGTTTGAACCTAAAGTTTTTAGAAAGCAAAGGAACATTGGTTATTTTAAAAATGGTTGTTTCTGGCATGAGTTGCTTGTATACCACGGGAAACCCTACGATTATAGTGTAGTTGCCGTCGAGAGGTAGGTCGAGCCTCACACCGGGGAACAATGCGGAGGACACAATTGTCACAAGCACAACAGCAAGGTTAGTAAGAGATCCTATTACTAGCACAAAGCGCAAAATCTCTGTAGAACTGTTCCAATTGCGCTCTATGAAAGATCCTCCAATGACGAGATTGGTCAAGTTTGCCAAAAACTTCCACAGCTCCGTATCGACGAGATTGGATAAAACAAGAGACCATGGGTTCCGTAAAGTCTCAGCTGGAATTAATTGCAATATAGGAGATGCGATCAGCTTAAAATTTGAACCGGAATTTCCGTCTGCGGGAAGTTGCCATTGGCATGATTTCCTCACATAAAACAAGGTAATGGTAAACACCACGTAAGCTATTGAAAGATATTTTGTAGCACTAGGCACATTGGAAAGCCTCACTAAAGACTCTGGAAAGCTTACTTCAAAGAATCTCGTTTTGAAGTGCATTAGACATAGATGCTCGGGTCTTTAAGTGGTATAAATTATTTGTCACTTGTAGCGACCAGCTCATCATCACACAGCCTAGAAAAAACAAGATTGCAATCAAGGTGCCAAAAAAATTTAAACACTCACGGTGGGGGTCGAACCCACAATCTTCTGATTAGAAGTCAGACGCGTTGCCATTACGCCACGCAAGCTTTTTCGTGGTGACTTCACGTAAACTTTGATATATATATACATAGGTGAGGTGTACATGAAGAAGTTCTTATACAGTGTAGCCATTACTGTGGTGTGAACATCAAATTCCAATTAGTGCTATCTACACGAGATATTCGATCTGTTGGAACGAAATACAACTATCGACCATCGACTAGTATTCGTGCTACTAGTATATTATCATACACGGTGTTTTAAGATGACATAAAGAATGAGAAACAGTCATCGAAATTAGTGGAAGCTGAAGCGCAAGGATTGATAATGTAATAGGATAATGAATGAAAATGTATAAAAGGAACAGAAAGAGTAAGAATAGTTGTAAGTAGAATTATTGACTCTTCTTTCTGGATTCTTAGAAAGAAGAGGAGAACTTCTAGTATAACCATATACCAATAATTACAGCCTTAATAAAAAATGGAATCCCAACAATTATCTCAATATTCACCCATCTCTCATGGTAGCGCCTGTGCTTCGGTTACTTCTAAAGAAGTCCACACGAATCAAGATCCATTAGACGTTTCAGCTTCCAAAATCAACGAATATGATAAGCTTTCCACTAAGGCAAATTCTCAACAAGAAACAACACCTGTGCCCACAGATGTTTCAGAGAACATTCATCATGCCTCTCCTCACACTGCTCAAGTACCATTGCCACAGAATGGCCCGTACTCACAGCAGTGCATGATGACTCAAAATCAAGCCAATCCTTCTGGTTGGCCAGCATACGGTCACCCATATACGATGCCGTACACACCTTATCAAATGTCGCCCATGTACTATCCACCTGGGCCACAACCACAGTATCCACAGTACACATCAACTACAGGAACGCCTTTGAGCGCCACACCCCCCGAGCCCAGTAACACACTTACCAAGCCACCTTCAACGAAGTCAGATGTGACACCCGTCAACAAATCTGTTCGACCACCACCAATTTTAACATCATCAAATGATTTTCTAAATTGGATCAAAACTTATGTTAAATTTCTACAAAATTCAAATCTCGGTGACATTATCCCGACGACAGATGGAAGACCCATACGGCAGATAACATACGACGAACATACCTTCTTGTACAACACTTTTCAAACGTTTGCTCCATCTCATTTCCTACCTACTTGGGTCAAAGACATTCTTATCTGTTGATTATACAGATATTATGAAGGTTCTTTCGAAAAGCTTTGAAAAATGCAATCCGACAATCAAGATGTCAATGACCTGATAACGATCACTAATCTCCGCTACAATGGCAGTACACCAGCAGGAGAGTTTGAAACAAAGATCACGAATACAATCGAGAGACTAAACAATAATGGTGTTTCTATCAATGACAAGCTCGCATGTAAATTAATTATGAGAGGTCTCTCTGGGGAATACAGATTCTTACGCTACACACGTCATCGCCACCAAAACATGACAGTCGCAGAACTGTTCCTGGACATTCATGCCATATATGAAGAACAACAGGAATCGGAACGCCGTAAGCCTACTTACCCAAGGATTCCTAAAGATGACAAGAACATTTCTCGAGTCTCTCCAAATATAAACAAAGCCAAAACTGTAACCCGAAACCCTCAAAAAGCAAGTAACTCAAAATCAAGAACGGTCAAAACTAATAACGTGTCCACGTCTCATAACTCTTTTGACAAGAACAATGATTCGATCAACGAATCACCTGATAAAACAATACACTTGAACAATCAGTATGACCTTCACCTTAGGCCAGATACATACTGAGTCCAAGGTAAACCACACGGATCATTCAAATGATGAACTTCCTGGACATCTTCTTATCGATTCAGGTGCATCACAAACCCTTATCAGATCCGCTCATCACATACACTCAGCATCGCCTAATATTGACATAAGCGCAATCGATGCTCAAAAAAAGGAATACCAGATCAACGCCATTGGTAATCTCCAATTCAAATTTGAAGACAATACAAAAACAATCAATAACAGTACTACACACTCCGAACATAGCTCATGATCTACTCAGTTTGAGTGAGCTAGCTAAGCAAAACATCACTGCCTGTTTTACCAAAAATACCCTAGAGCGAGTTGACGGCACCGTACTTGCCCCTATCGTTCGACATGGGGACTTTTACTGGCTATCCAAAAAATACTTGATTCCCTCGAACCTATCAATGCCAATAGTTAACAATATCGGTACTGATAAAGCCTCACACAAGTATCCCTATCCTTTGATTCATCGCATGCTTGGCCACGCTAATGCTCAAACCATTCGGAACTCTCTAAAGAATAACTCAATAACATATCTAAAGGAAGCAGATGTCGATTGGTCTAAAGCTACTACATACCAATGCCCAGATTGCTTAATCGGCAAAAGTACTAAACACAGACATGTCAAGGGATCACGAGTAAAATACCAAAACTCGTATGAACCTTTCCAATATCTGCATACCGACATATTCGGTCCTGTTCATAACCTGCCAAAAAGTGCACCATCCTACTTCATAACATTTACCGACGAGAAAACAAGATTCCAATGGGTTTATCCATTACACGATCGTCGCGAACAATCTATTCTCGAGGTATTTACCACAATACTAGCCTTCATTGAAAGACAATTCAAGGCCAGCGTCTTGGTTATACAAATGGACCGTGGTTCTGAATACACAAACAAAACTCTCCATAAATTCCTTCTTCAACAAGGCATCACTGCATGCTATACAACCACAGCAGACTCTCGAGCTCATGGTGTAGCTGAACGGTTGAACCGTACTTTACTAGACGATTGTCGCACACAGCTTCAATGCAGTGGATTACCAAATCATTTATGGTTTTCCGCAGTGGAATTCTCAACCATAGTCAGGAACTCTTTAGTTCACCTAAAAACGAAAAATCTGCACGGCAACACGCGGGTTTAGCGGGACTTGACATCAGTACTTTACTACCATTTGGTCAACCTGTGGTAGTCAATAATCACAATCCTGATTCGAAAATACATCCCCGTGGCATTCCTGGCTACGCTCTACATCCATCCCGGAACTCTTATGGATATATTATCTATCTTCCATCTTTAAAGAAGACAGTGGACACTACTAATTACGTTATCCTGCAGGGCAAGCAATCCCGATTGGACCAATTCAATTACGACGCACTTACCTTTGATGATGACATAAGTAGATTAACTGCTTCATACAAAATCGTTTATTGATTCAAATGAAATCGAACAGTCCTACGACCTTCACATGGATCCTAATCATGATTTTCAATCTGAGATAGATCATGACACTGAACTCCGGGGAGATGACAGTTCCACAGATCTGATTGCAACTGGTTCGCTATCAACTCCTACTCAACCAACGAGATTGGAATCTGTACCTACAACTAATGCTCGTGCACCCAAAGAAGTTGACCCTAATATATCTGAATCAAATATTCTTCCGTCAAAGAAGAGGCATAACATACCCAATATTCCTGATCCAGACAATGCCTGTTTGGGTGGTATGAATAGATCAGATGTATCAATCGATATCCCCGTGCACAGCTCTGTCACGCAACAGTCGAATAAATCCAATGATCACGATCAAGTGAGCGATTCAGATTCACATCGCCAAATCAATACTAATCCTAAAAACGACACAACGCCATGTTTGGGTGGTACAAACAACAAGACTATATCAGAGTTCAATGATCAGGCTACCGAGAAAAGCTTGATAAACTATCCAATTCCACTATTTGATCCCCCACAGGGAAGTGAGATACCAAAGTATAATGCTCCTATTGTTACACCAGATACCTACTCTGAACATGATATGAAGGAATATATTACAGAAGATCTTCCGATTCCCGATTTACCTCCAGAATCTCCTACCTGTTTCCCCGATGCCTTTAAAGAAATTCCACCGATCAATTCTCGTCAAACTAATTCCAGTTTGGGTGGTATGGGTAAATCTAATATCTATGCTACTATCAATAGTAAGAAAAGATCATTAGAAGATAATGAAACTGAAATTGAGGTATCACGAGACACATGGAACAACAAGAACATGCGTAGTTTACAGCCCCCAAGATCAAAGAAACGTATACATCTGATCGCAGCTGTAAAAGCAGCAAAACCAATCAAACCGATACGAACAACCTTAAGATATGATGAGGCAATCACATATAATAAGAATATCGAGGAAAAGGAAAAGTACATTCAAGCATACCATAAAGAAGTAAATCAATAGCTAAAGATGAACACATGGGACACAAACAGATACTATGACAAAAATGAAATAGACACCAAAAAGGTGATAAACTCAATGTTCATCTTTAACAAAAAACGAGATGGAACACACAAAGCTAGATTTGTTGCAAGAGGCGACATTCAACATCCTGATACGTACGACTCAGGAATGCAGTCTAATACTGTACATCATTATGCATTGATGACATCTCTGTCACTTGCATTAGACAATGACCACTACGTCACACAACTGGACATATCCTCGGCGTACTTGTACGCAGACATCAAAGAAGAATTATACATAAGACCTCCGCCACATTTAGGTATGAACAACAAGTTAATACGATTGAGAAAATCACTTTACGGCTTGAAACAAAGTGGTGCAAACTGGTATGAAACTATCAAGTCATATCTGATAGATAAATGTGATATGGAAGAAGTACGTGGATGGTCATGTGTGTTTAAAAACAGTCAAGTAACAATCTGCTTATTCGTTGATGACATGATACTATTCAGCAAAGACTTGAACTCAAACAAAAGAATTATAGAAAATCTAAAACGACAATATGACACTAAGATCATAAACCTAGGTGAAAGTGATGAAGAAATCCAATATGACATTCTTGGACTAGAAATTAAATACCAGAGGGGTAAGTACATGAAACTAGGTATGGAGAATTCACTAACTGAGAAATTACCAAACCTAAACGTACCTTTGAATCCGAAAGGTAGGAAACTTGCCGCTCCAGGGCAACCTGGTCTTTACATAGACCAAGAAGAGTTAGAACTGGAAGAAGAAGATTACAAAATGAAGGTGCATGAAATGCAAAAGCTAATTGGCCTAGCATCGTACGTTGGATACAAATTCAGATTCGACCTACTGTACTACATTAACACTCTCGCACAACATATATTATTCCCGTCCAAACAAGTTTTAGACATGACATATGAATTAATACAGTTCATATGGGATACCAGAGATAAACAACTAATATGGCACAAAAACAGATCTACGAAATCAGGAAACAAATTAGTTGTAATAAGCGATGCTTCATACGGAAACCAACCGTATTACAAATCCCAGATTGGTAACATATTCTTACTCAATGGTAAAGTCATTGGAGGAAAATCAACAAAAGCATCACTAACGTGTACTTCAACCACAGAAGCAGAAATACACGCAGTCAGTGAAGCCGTTCCGTTACTAAACAATCTAAGTTATCTCGTGCAAGAACTAGATAAGAAACCAATCATCAAATGTTTACTTACTGACAGCAGATCTACAATCAGTATAGTTACATCCAAAAATAAAGAGAAATTTAGGAACAGATTCTTCGGCACTAAAGCAATGAGACTCAGAGATGAAGTATCGGACAATAATTTGTACCTATACTACATTGAGACCAAGAAGAACATTGCTGATACATTGACAAAACCTCTTCCGATAAAAACTTTCAAGTTGTTAACAAACAAATGGATTCATTAGATCTATTACATTATGGGTGGTATGTTGGAACGCCACGTATACTATCGACCATCGACTAGTATTCGTGCTACTAGTATATTATCATACACGGTGTTTTAAGATGACATAAAGAATGAGAAACAGTCATCGAAATTAGTGGAAGCTGAAGCGCAAGGATTGATAATGTAATAGGATAATGAATGAAAATGTATAAAAGGAACAGAAAGAGTAAGAATAGTTGTAAGTAGAATTATTGACTCTTCTTTCTGGATTCTTAGAAAGAAGAGGAGAACTTCTAGTATAACCATATACCAATAATTACAGCCTTAATAAAAAATGGAATCCCAACAATTATCTCAATATTCACCCATCTCTCACGATCGTTTATAAGGATTCACAACAGTTTTATGTTTTTCTATTCGTGAGTGCATGTGAAAAAATAAACCATGCACATAGCCGCACTCCTTTCCACCTACATGAATCTTCTGTATGCAATCAATGCCAAGTTCTGGAGAGCACAACGCTGTGCAGATAGCTGAGAAAGCTAGAAAAAGAAGAAAGCGGGTTTCGAAGGATGTTAAGCTCTCAGCAGACCAAAAACGTGAAAACCATGTGTCGTCAGAGCAAAGAAGGCGACAGGCTATGCGTGACTCCTATGACAAGCTCGTAGAGGTGGTACCTGGCATTGAAAAGGCAGAAAACAGATCAGAACTGCTCATATACACAAAAAGTATGTGATATCATTTTGCGGAAACTAGTCTTGAGGACTACCTTTGAGACACGTGACTTTATAACGCGCTACTAACCTCGTTCTACGTGCAGCCTACCATTACCTAATGTGGTTATATGCGAGAAACAGTACTTTGAGAAAGGAGCTGGGAGAAAAGGCCGTAGCCAAGGGCATGCATGGCTTTTCTGAGGACAAACTGCCTGGACATTTGCATTGGTCTACACCTAAAAAGTAAATAAATAGATAAAAAATCTAAAAATATTATTCGACCTCGGTGAGGATTGAACTCACGATCTTGCGATTAACAGTCGCACGCCTTAACCAGCTTGGCCACGAAGTCTACCTTAAAGGGCAGAGTGAAGCAAGTAACGAGGTTCCCATATTTCGCAGCAGCCATTTTCAATAAAAAGATTGTTATTATTGTAAGTGTCGTATTAGTGAATACGGAAACCAGTTTAACAGTTTAAATGGCATATGTGAAAGAGAAACATGAGTGCTATTTTAAATGTTATGTTTTAATAGGAAATTGTGATTTAAAATTTTTTGTTTTTATCAATGTTTGCGGAGTTGCAATTAATTAGAAACTAAAAATCCATTTGGTTTCATAAACATGAAGCTCTCCAGCTTTGGAATGATAAAGTTAATTAATAACTAGGTAAAATTAACGCTTCGAAACTACATTCTCAAAAGCGAATGAGCTTTTACCAGAAAAGAAAGCGTTTTTCTTCGTAAAATCATAATTTCTTGCTTCAAACATACAGCAGCTTGTTGTCTCATGGGATAGTTAGATTTACACATAATACAAGTTGCACATAAAAAAATTAAGATTTTTGCCTGTGAAGAAGGGTAAATTTGAACAATTAGAACACTATGTAGTAAGTACATCTACAGTTTTAAGCACCTGGCCCGTTGATTTGACAAAGGAATAAGAGATTTTTTATAGTATCGAGGAGAAATTGTCCTTTCAGAAATACTTATACATAGAGTGATTCTTATTAATATCTCTCTTATTTTTTTTTTTTTTTTTTTCTGTTGCCGGGATACTACACCCTAAATATCTTGAATTCATTATCCTGCGTCATGACGGATGAAGATCATTTAAATAAAGCCGCAGAAAATACCAGCATAGGCAAGCCACTTAATCGTCCTCGATGTGTGCTTTGAATAGAAGTCATTCTCTGCTGTGTTTTTGAAATTAAACGAAATTTTTCATCCCACGCTATGCTTAAACGATGAGGGCGTTTGTTCGTGACAACTGAACGAGGGTCGTTTACTTCACGAATTTTCCAAGCACTGAGATGAGAGGTACCTTATATAGAATCTGTTCCGAAATTAAAACTTAACGACTTGTTTATCTCCAGTCGTTATAATCAAATTATAGGCGATTAAAATGAGTGCGCTCCTATGGGTAACCACAGTTGCTGGCTACGTCATCCAAACCAAATCTATTTCCCACATATACTCCAACACAGTCGATCAAAAGACAGATGCTTTGTACTTTCTGTTTACACATTATGCTTCGTGGATCTTGGTGTCACCATTAACCATACTATATTACTGTGTCAAGAACCGCTCGCAGCCAAAAAGCCAAGCAATTGCAATGCGCTCTCTGGGTACAAGGGACAATATCTCAGAAGACGTGGAAACTCAAATATTAGAATCCAAACAATCTAGGATAGACATCATTCATCTAATAAAACTATTTGTCCTTGCTGTTCTAATGGCGATAGGTGGATACACCTACTTTATGTCATTGAAAATGTCACCTGCCGTAGACATTGCTATCATTGACAACACGTCTAAATTTGAAATTGTTTCACTACTTATAGGTGTTTGCGGTATCACATCAAGACGCCATGTCCTTAGAAACTTCCTGTTGATGACACTTATATTAGTCGGCGTTGTCATTGTATCTTACACAAAGGCAACGTGTGATCTGCTCTCCGGGAAGCTGTCTATTAACCAAGAAACAGGTGAACTGACAGATCCTTTTCTCTTTGATAGGCTCAAAGGTGCCCTGATATGTGGGTTGGGTGCTTTAGTGAATGGCCCTATTATCGTGCTGTGGAATAAGTGGATTGTGAGAGGGATTGTTGAGGCTTCAGATACCGATGAGGACGAAGATGGCATCGATCAAATTACTAATAAGAACTCATCGGTCGAAAAGTCATTGGCAATCAATTACCAAATTAGTTTGATAGGCATAATAAACCTTTTATTTTTAGGGCCCATTTTGTTGTTCAACTGTCGTCACAATCCACCTACACAAACTGTGGGCTTCAAGTCGGCATGGACCATTGTTTCCGTCCTTCTTGGTCATCTTCCTATGCTTTTGTCTTACGTGCATTTGTCTGAGAAGTCATCCCCGGAATTCGCAACAACCACTTTCATCGGATCGATCATAGCTACTGCAATTGCGGAATGGATCGGAGAGAGCACTATGACAATTGTAACTAGATGGGAAGTTGTCGGGTACTTAATTGTGAGTATCGGAGCTATACTGCTTGCTTCCAACTACAAGTCCACCAAACATTTCTAATCGTGGTCATAAATTGTTGACTTCGCAAATATATACTCATGAAACCAAAAATACTGCATAATTTCTCATTAAATAAACCAATGATTTTCACCATTTAAGAACAACGACATTTTTCTTGCCCTTGTGCGTGATACCTTCCTTGATGAGACTCAAAACCTCGTCATCAGAAGCTTTGTTGGTATCCCACTCGAGAATCCTGACATCATTCGCAGGAGATACAATTTTACCCTCCGCATACAGCTTAGAAACTTCTTCGATTGTCTTCCTCTTGGATGCAGGATCTCTCACAGAGTTTTGAGTAATCCAGAAGCCAAGGCACTTCAAATTCTTGAAGATCAAAAGTGAAGTGGGTAAAGTGACCGGCATCTTCGACATTCCCCCGTAAGTTAGCATAGTGGCGTCTGGACTTAGCTTGCGCGCAATAGATGCGCTCGACTTACCGCCAACCGAGTTGAGTGCAAGCTTCACGCGAGCATCTGGCCCTAAGATCTTTGGCAGAACTTCTTTAGCGAATAGTTTGTCGTTGTTATTTGACTCCGATATAACTTTGGTAGCTCCAAGCTCGTTCTCAAGTTGTGAAGCCACTTCATCGAAGTTTTCACGGTCCCTAATGACACTTAATGTCTTAATCCCCCTCGCCTTCGCAACTTGTGTAACGATCTTGGAGACTGAAGATGTTCCTGCATTCTGAATCAGCCAATCATTACCATTTTGATCCCAGTCTACATAATTGTTGACTAGTTGATATGCAGTACAACCATTCACAGCAATTGTGGCTGCTGTAATTAGATCGATGCCCTGAACCTTCACAAGTTGCGAGGGATCTTCACATGTCCGGTAATTCGTCCAAGTTCCAAAATTTGCTTGTAATGGAATCACCATGTCGCCTTTTTGCAAACCATCGACACTATCAGGCACATCTACCACCTCAAACACCCCTTCATTACCAGCGATGGCACTTGGTTTTTCAGTTCCATAGTCCATCACTTTTTCCGGCTTAGAAGGGTACACTCCCTCTAACTGATTTATATCCGAGGGATTGATAGGAAATGCCAATGTCCGCAATAGTATAGACTTTTCTGATTCTCCTTTCGCTTTGTACGTGTGCAAAGTGAGAACCTTAGTACAGTCCTGAGCATCGTGACTCGAGTAAACCAGTGATTTGAAAGATGAAACTTTGCTAGACATGAATCTTCTAGAGACTGAACTAAAACGCTGCATTGCTATGGTTCTATGACAATCAACAAATATCTTTACAGATAGCCAATTCGAAGAGCTCTTTTTGCATCTTTACCCCAGGTTGTTGCTAATTATCATCGTTGGACACGAAACCCCAAATTGGTCATTCTCTTGAGAGCCCTGTTTTTCTATAAAAATCCGAAATACATTACGTAGACCATGTAGTATCTTGCAAATACTTCACTCTTGCTCGAATATACGCACACATGGAGATGGCACTTTCTTCAGGGGTTTCTGTGGCTTCAATATGCTTCGCCAAGTAGCTAAATTTCTTGTAGCTATCAGGATATTCACACAAGACCTCTTTAAAAATCAACCAGTTTTCCAATTCTAGGTCGTAATTGGTTAATCTGGACATCTTAGAATCGTACATTCTATAATGAATGCTGATAGAGCGATTTTTAGTTTTATCTTTTGGATCAGTAGTATGAAAAATGGACTCTTCTCTCTGCGAACATTCCCATGGATCATATTGCGGAGAAAAGGAATGAACAAATGTGACTGGCGTGTACTTGTAGAGAGATGAAATGTCGGACAACTTGTAGGAAGTTTTCATGATGTATTCAAATGTTTTTTTGAAATCATCGCTTTTCCTGCATTGATCTATTTGTTGTGCCTGGTCTGCTTTTGCAAAAGAATCGTTGTGATCATGTAGCCACTGATTACAAAAAGTGATCTCTCGCTCATAGACATTGTCATTTATTATGTTATTTCCCGTTGCATGAAAATTCCAATCATTGACTAAGTCATGTTGCAACCAAGCAGTACGGTAGAAACGTTTAGCAGTCACAGAGTCAAGTTCCTCATCATTCAAGGGAGAGCCTGTTTGGCTGTCCAGCCAATAACCCATACTCTCAATTGGTGCCTTTATTTGGTAGTATGATCTTTCACCGTGCAAAACATGTGCCGCTAACGTAAGCGTATCTTGATTACCGTCAAGTCCTACTGACTGGTCAAGCAATGGATAAAAGTAGGCTTCGCCATTGTAATGCAAATAAAGATTTAGAATTATTGTGTCGAGGTGTTTCTTTTTGTTGATCAGAAGTTGTCCAGTTTCAGTGCAGCCGTCCGGTATAGCGTGGTCAAAATCGTGAAATGGAGTCTCATCAAGTTTCTCCTTCTGAAACATGTACTTAGGGGACACATCATCAAAGCAGTTCCTAACAACGTTGGATCTATCAATACCAACGTTAAAAATATCATATAACTTAGGATGATGTACACGGCGCCAAAAATGAGGCCATAAAACAAGGCCACGCTCTTGGAGCTCGTTATGGCTGAAGTAATCATCCAGCGAATTGATGACATAGTTGTCGGCATCAAGCAATAAAATCTTCTCAAATGATGAAACCAAAAGAGCTAGAGCCTTTAACTGTTGGGCTGGCATATTGGAAGAGGAGGGGCGGTCAAATACATCAGTCAAAAAGATACACTTGGTCAATCCAGATGGGTCGACGACGGGTAAGACGCTCTCACAGAACGTTTTGTCATCGTCATCGTCTGATGGAAAGATAATCTCTATCGGAGCTGTATTTCTAGTTTGAACACCACTATTAGCTCTGATTGCTTTTAATGCAGTTAAGGCAAATAGGGAAAATTTACCACCACCTACCATTACTATTCCCTCATTATGAAATGCACCACCGTCTATGCTGTCATATTTTACCGTTAAGTCACTTCTGATTTTCGATATGAAGGCCGTCTGTGAAGCTTTAAGTTTTGCAGTGATTTCGTCTGAAACTTGAATACAGTTTTTCAAAGATGACTCCGTTAGTTGGCCAAATTTCGACGTATCCGTAATAGCTACCTTTCCTGTATTGCATTCAGATTCTTTTTGCTTATCTAAATGACCATCAATAGGATTATCAATGATGTGCTGAATTACATTTTGAAGTGCTTTTTTTACTGGTTCGGGAAAGCTATGTATATAGTCACCCTTACTGTGATCTAATGCAGTATCTAAATCGGATGCTTCTTCAACCGTGTACTCTTTTTCGAAGACCCTTTCAGCTGGAGTTTGAAGGTTCTTCGTGATGAAACCAAGGAGTAATAGTCCGAGGATGCTCAATGCTAATATATCAAGGTTCTTATTCTTGGTCCGCCTCAAGTAGTGATTGGCGTGCCTTACGCGTGTGCCTAGTAATCCCAAACTTGCTGCGACATGACTCAAGAGTACCTTCACGGGTCGATAAATACTCATGTGCTTTGCGATCAAAAGTTAAATTCTTCATTGAAAAAAAAATTGATGCGACTTTTTTTCTCTTATTCTATAAGAAATCCTCACTGTTGAAAAAACTCTGAGAATATGGATTGCCATCTGCATATCGAGGTATCGGTGTCCGCTTCCTCCAATTTTCACTTACAATTGCTGCACATTGAGTGATAGGGTGACTGCCTACGAGGAAGTAGTGTTTCCTATTGCCCACACCCGAAAAAGAATAGAGCGCTAGTGAAGACAGATACACCTGAATTACTATAATTTCATTCTAAAGCAGCTCCACGACCTTGTTTTTTATTCTTTTTGGCTGTAGACTATTTCATTTTTGTCCAGTATATCTCTTGATCGAGTTCAGAAGATTTTCTACGATTCTTCTGGTGACATTGTAAGCATTCCCTTGATGTATTTACCGATCTCACGCTCATCCCGGAAACAAAAGATTTTAGCATGAGGTTCAAACCCCAACAGCTTTTTGACATTCCTTACATATTGGTGAAGATTTTTGAGTAGCTTGGGATGCCTATGGGAACGACTTCATTACTCCTTCCTTTAAAGCTTCAAGAGAGTAATAGCCTTCGGATATGAACCATATTCGCTAGTCTATGAGATTTGCCTACGACAACAGAGCCAGGCAATTAAGACCAGCGAAAAATGCAGTTGAAAGTAATGCTTTTGGATTATCAGTTCTCCAATGTTAAAAAATGTGCTCTCATATGGAGCAATGCATTATTTAGGTATTGTACATCTATCATCCAGGTTCATGCTAGAAATATCTTTCCAAATAACTTGAACTGGCAACGTAGCTGAATCCTTTAAAAACATCCCTGTGTAGTATTGGATTAATGTTTTGTTGAATATTTATTTGATCTTGGCAAGCTCCACTGTCCAGCCGCATCTCAGTGAATTCCGTGTCGAAATTTTCCGCGAGCTCCCAGTCTGTAATAATGGGTAAAATTGGCCCATTAGTGGTTTTTTGTAGTTCACCGCTCTCCATTTTATTCCAGTCAACTTTCCGGAAAACAAAATGAGACTGGAAACAAGAAGTCTTGGCTTGGCCAGCCTTCTTTTTCTTATTTTTCGGACCCTCGACGTTCCAGAACTTATCAACATCCCACCTTTTCAAAACTTCTTTCCTTAATAAAGCCCCTAAGAAGTCCTTCATTCCATCACTGAGATACATTGGTATCTTGGGCGTCTTATCTTTTAGTATTTTTCCCAGAATAACCTTATGATTAACGCCTGTATAGGGTGGCTTACCAATGAGCATGTCATAGACCAAGCAACCTAGTGAGTACCAATCACAGTTTTGGTTATATGATTTGCCGGCCAATATTTCTGGAGCGCAATACTCAGGAGTTCCTATAATAGAGTGCAGAGTCGTGATGGGTTCTCCATCGTGAGACGACTCTGTAGTATCCTCGACACTTTTTTTACTGAGACCGAAGTCTGTCAGGACCAAATGCCCCTTTTCGTTCAATAAACAGTTCTCAGGTTTCAAATCTCGGTACACAATTCCTTTTCCATGCAAGAACCTCAGAGCGCAGCTTATTTCCGCCGCATAAAATGCTACCACATCCTCTGCGAGAGTACCTTGCTCCTTGAGATGGTAAAAAAGCTCACCGCCTGGAATAAACTGCAAGACTAGATACAGCTTCATGTGATCATGAAAAGAGTAGAAAAGTTTGACAATGTTAGGATGCTCCAACTGCGAGAGTATTTTGCGTTCTGCGAAAGTCCTTTCAAGTCTTTTCTCCAAATTTACTGAGGCTGGTTCTTTTTCCTTGGTCTCTTCTTCGGATATTAGAATTTCTGCCTTTTTAAGCTGTTTCATAGCATATAATTTGCTAGTGTATTGATCTTTAACTAGTATGACTTTTCCGTACGCTCCTTGTCCTAGAACCCTGATCGGCTCGAAGTCCTCGAGTGATCGGGGCTCATGGTTTTTTGAAAAACTTCGCCTGCGGCGTTCGTATTGATTAGCCTTTTGGAAATCCTCCTCAGGCGCCAATTCTAGCCTTTTGATATTTGGTGGTGTGCTGACTGCCATTTTATCATACAAAGATGACCTTCTCCTAGGCTTGGAGGGTGCTGCCGTCCCATTAGTAGATGTAGACAAATAAACAGTTGGCGAGATAGCTTGCGGATGTGCGGATAAAAGGTTTTTATGCCATTCTCCACATGTAGGGTCCTCTTCGAAATCTTCATCATCAACAATGGCACAACTGCCATTAACCGTTAACCTGCTGAGCTCTTCATCAAGTTTAAAAACGGACATTTGAAAATTCACTGTACAAAACCAAATGAGTTATCAATTTTATATTAGCAGTGCTATCAGTGATGTCTTTTTTATTTAGCGGAGTTGCATCAGACTCGAAGCATTTTCATCTACCGCGAACTTTTATCAAATTATATTTCATTATAACGCACGATGGCGCGATGATTAAAAAATAAAACCGAAAACAGATTGTAAAATTGGACCAACTTCACAAACCTCTCAAATACTATAATCTTTCATAATAACACGCATTTTTATATTGTATGTACATTTACAAGAGATACATCCATCCTTTTATTCACTATATAGCGAGACACTCAAGATAACGACGGAGCGAGTTCCCACGTGCGAAACCTATAAAGTAATCAGTTCAAAGTGCACTGATAATTTCAAGGTGCGCTGATATTTTCAAGGCCGACTCAGATACCGTTCCAATCCAATTATATTATACCAACTTCATCCCGAGAAATTACATCTGTTGGGTCCAAGGCATTAATTTTTCGACTATCAAACCAAATGAAGTTCTATATCACTGTTGAACTTCTCTTAATTCAAATTGAAGCCATGAGGAATATTCAATCAACAGCCTATATGTTATAGAGGTCAACAAGTTTCTTGTAGACTTTGTCTGAGATGATTCTATTGCTGTATAACACCTCATTCAATGTCTTGATTAATTCAATAACTTGGCGTTCGTCTAAATTCATGAGAATAGTTGACAACACCGTTTCTACTGTAACTCTCTTTTCGCTGATAAAGGTCTCATAATAAAGGTTCATAAAGGAACCCATCAAGAACTGGCAATCGACCCTATCGGTGATCCCTCCGTGACCAGGAATCGAATGGCCGAAATCCTTGACCTTGAATGTTCTTTTCAAGCCAGAAGCAAAAAATCCACCAAATGGAGCAAAAAGGGATGCGAAAGTTGCAAGGTTTAAGGCATGCAAATAGATTGGTTTGATAGTAATTACACTAACGCCAATTTTCTCGAAAATGATTGGTGGCAATCTGTAATCTTGAGAAACAAATACTGGATTCAAATCACATGTCAATGGTGTAAAGAAATTTGTATTAATATCTTTTACTGGACAGGTCATGTAGGTAAATGGCGTTAGTAACCTGGTTAGGATAATACTAGCAATAGCAGTGAAGAACCAAGCTCCGAGAAACCCCTCCAAAGTCTTTTTTGGGGAGATCTCTATCAACTTAGTGCGTCCAAACGTAATCCCACATAAGTAAGCAAAAATATCATTAACGATCACTAGACCACAGGGTAACAGGAACCATATCAACCCATTCAAAACGTTGTTGATAATCAAATGGGCTTGAAACACTACAAGCAATAACACCATATGCGTAATGCATAAGGAAGCAAACTGAAATTTTAAGAATCCCTTTCTTAGACTGCAGACAAAAATGACAAATCCCAAAACATACAGACAATAGCAAATGAAGAAGTGATTTGATGAGATGAGATTCAGTATCTTGTAGTTGATGAAATAATACTGAAAAAACTTGAAAAGGGATTGTCCATCAAGATAATAAATAGTAGTGAATAGGAAATACCAATTCAATGTCCGTGTTAGCGGTAGCTTTTTCTCACGACCAGACTGTGAAGTGACACCAATGCATTCCCTGAAGGTAGCAATCTGACATGCTAGAATGAGAAGGACACAATAAAAGTGACCCGAAGCTAGAGTGATGAAAAATCCACTAATCATGATGAATGTCCATATTGTCCTTACGATGAAATTATACCACTTGGAATCCTTTTCTATCACTTTTTTTTGCTGAACGTTTTCGCGCGATCCAACTTTACCCGAGCTCGTTTCCGAAGATCCTGAGGTTTTCTTCAAGTTAACAGGAGACTTCTTAGATTTCTTTCCAGCCATTTTTCCTTACCAATTGCACTTTTAGATGTTTATTCGAGTGTCTAGTTTACTAAGGGAACTCTCTGCGGTTTTCAAATTTTTCATCCAATTTTCACATGCATTACTATCAATCAATATACACGAATTCGGAAGTGATGATTCCGATAGTTACGTATCATTAATACAAGCCCTGTTTTTTCAATTCAAGGTAAACCTTCTCACTCATGACATTACCCTCATCATCTTCAACTTCCACTTCAAGCTTTTTGGCTGCCGATTGAGTGGCTGTGGGGCGTTGATCACCGGAATTGAGATCCTTAGCTTCTTGAATATCTGTTATACCCTTAAAGGTAGATGAAGGTTCTATCCCCAAACATCGGAGACCGAATACATGTCTTGACTGCGTGAAATGTTTATCAAACTGACGTCGTCCTTTATAAATATAATTGCCACATATTTCGCAGGGATACTCTATGTCTAGTCCCTGTAATTTATAGAGCCAGTGAGGAATAGGAAAGCCATCAGGTCCCAGAGGCATATTCTCCATTTCATTAATTTCAACTTCCGACTTATTTGTTGTCCTTTCGAAGGTATGGTCTTCAACTTCATTTTCTCCGTAAATTGGAGCATCATACTCAGCAGATAACCTGTCCATTTCTTGGGCTCTCTCGTCTGCTGTAAATGCAAGTTTTCGTTCAACCAAGTTCTTCGTGTTAGAGAATTCCTCATTTAGAAAGGTTAAAAACTTATGCAGTCTGAATTCTTCAATAAGAAATTTGCTCTTAGTGTTTCGATTCTTTTGATGCTTCTTACCTGGAATATGAGACTTGTAAATAGTGTCTGATTTAAAAAGTTTTCCACAAGAAATGCAAAAATATCCTCTGTTGTCAAATGTGACAGGCTGATTGATATATTCTTCAAATAGATTGTCAAGGTGTTGGTCAAGAGTGTAAGTGTTGACCAAAGGGTAGCATTTGTAAAAATAATTTGAGACATACTGCACCAAAGAGTGCACAAAATTATGATATCTTGCTCCATTTCTATCGATTGCAGGTAATATGAGATATGTGTTGTCTTGAAAACGAGCCAAAGTGTTCAGAAATTGTATCATGGTGACGCTTGCATCTTTTACAACATTGAGCCATTGTTGATGATACTTCTCAAGATCCAAGAAATCTCCATAACTTTCCTCGCGATTAAAGATACTGTTTATATCAAGGTTTTGAGATTTAATGGACGATATATTCTTCTGAGTGCTGGTAGAACTCGAAAATAAAGCATATTCATTTAAGCTCGCAGTAGCTTCCAAGTTATTTTCTGGTATGTCCTTAATCAATTCGATTTCTTTGTCGAATGCTTCGAAATTTAGTTTATCGTCCCGGAGAGATTCGATATCTATTTCGGTTTGCATCAATGACGAAACCTGCCTTTCATATTCCTCAAGAAACTGATTGATCTCATGCTGTTGGAAAGCAATCTGCTTTTTTGATCTTCTGGATTTCTTAACATTAAAGATCTTATTCTCTTGAATTTTGGATGAGGCAATGTGCTCTGGTGGCTCCTTGAAATTTATCTGTTTCAACTTTTGATACAACCGATAATATATTTCCGGATTTCTTCTGATTCTGCTGCTTATCGCATCCTCAATAACTTCAAGCCTCTCAAGGGAAGCTCTTTGATCTTCGCAGGAAGTCATTCGCCTTTTTACTCAGTCTTTCATTTGTCAAAGGTTCAACTTCAAGAAGCATTTCTTTTTTTGTAGGAAGTGATGCCTAAATACATATTCTGCCATTTATTATGCACAGTGAGAGAAACATTACAAAGAGTTACATATACCTACTTAAGAGGATCCGACACCCATATAAAGATTGAACAATTCAAAACTTCCTCTTTTTACTTGGACGTGCATTTTTGTCACGTCTCTTCGTCTTCACTGCTCTATCTTTTCTGATCTGTTCTGCAGACTTTAGCTCGCTTCTCGAGCCAGCCGCATTGAAGCCCTTGACAGCAATGCCATTTTCCATGGCCTTCTTCACCTTCTTCTTTTGAGTCTTGTAGTCATCTCTGTGCTTATCTGGCAGCTTTGGAGCCTTCATTTGCTTGTGCTTGAATCTACCTCCGATCGTACGCTCCTCATTACTTGGATTAGACAATAACTTCGATGTTGTAATTGATTCTCTTGCACCGACCTTGATTGGACCCACCTTTCTGGCCTTGGACCACTCTTCGAACTTACCCGATCTAAAAGATGCTGGAATCTTTTGACCACTTTCGCCGATGATGTACTTTTTGTTATCGATACCTTGCATATTAACATATTTTTGTCTCTTTTTATCCCATTTCACAGTAGCAGTTTGTTTGTGGACTTGTACCTTATCATCGTCGTGAAGGTCGAATGCAGCATTAGCAGCATCATTAGTGAAGCCATTGGATAGCTCCAACTGTTTGTCCTGTATTTCACTGCCTGGGGCGTAATATGACAAGAAGAAGTTTGGATCTTTGAAAGATTTCCGCTTTTTCTTCTTGTCTTGCTCTGCTAAAACTTCGTCTGCATCTTCAAAATCCCTGCTCAAAATTTCCTCAGAAACAGCATATCCCACTTCATTTTCATCACCTTTCAAGATCTCATCTTCTACAGAGTGTCTCAAACCCGCTATCCTTTCCTTTTCAAGCAGCTCTCTTCTTTCACGCGCCTTTCTCTGGATTGGTGCGATCTGAACTCTTCTTTTCTTCATTAAAACAGCCATTTCATCGTCTGGATTTCTAGAAAACTCAAAAACAGTTTCCTTGTTCCTTCTATTTTGCAATTTAGCTAAGAAGTTGAGCTTCTCCTTTTCCAAATTCTGACCGAATTTCAGATTTTGTTCATCCCATCCTGACGCAATTACTTCCTTCGACCTTTTCATTGATTCTGCCGATGCAGAAGTACGAGTACGGAAGTAAAGCTTTTCAGCTTTCTGTGCCACTGCTTTCGCAGATCTCAACTCGAAACTGGAATCAACCAAATTTTTGTAAAGATCGCCACAGTTTTCAAGATTTAACCTTGGGCATGAACCCAGAACCATTCGCTTGGTGTAAGAGACAGGGGGCGACTGGAATGACGATTCGTCGTGTCCCTCTGCAATCCACTTATTTTTCAAAATATCGCAGGTGGCTTCGTACATTGGTGTGAGGAGAATCTTCTTTCCTAGGAAGAGTTCCAAGTCTAGTAAATATGGCAACTCATTTTCGGCTACAATGGAATAGGCCCATCCTCTGTTACCAGCTCTGGCTGTTCTACCCACACGATGGACAAATATCTTAGATGAAGCAGGTAATGAGTAGTTTACGACATTTGCTAGCATGGGAATATCAACACCTCTTGCAGCAACATCTGTGACAACCATGATAGTACTGAGACCTATACGGAAATTGTACAATTGTTGTCTACGAGCATGTTGATCGAGAGTACCATATAAATAGGATACAAGATATCCACAATCCTTCAAAAGCTGAGAAACATATTCCACATGGTGTCTTGTTGGCACAAAAATTATTGTAGCCTTCTCAGACGGTAGCTCGTTTGCAGCAGGGAGCCTTTTTCCCATCTTTTTGCCCTTTTTCTTCTTTCGCTTACCGCCCTCTTCACTATCACTATCATCACTATCATTATTTGTGTTGTCCCTCCTCTTATATTCAAGTAGTTGTTCTGGGGTAGCGACCGGAATTTGAAGAACTTCTTGCAGTAAATAGAGAAGGTTTGCTTCTCTTTCTTCATTTTTTGCAGACACAAAAAGCATTTCTAATTCGTCAGATACTTTTGTCTCGGCATCCAATCGTACAAGCACAGGGTTGGTCAGTCCAGCCTTAGCGAAATCGACCAGCGAAGATGGTAGAGTGGCGGAGAATAAGAGGGTTTGTCTGGAAGTAGGCAAGGCTGCCAGTAATTCATTGAGCTGTTCCTGAAAACCCATTTCAAACAATCTATCGGCCTCATCAAAGACAACGTATTCAATGGATTTCAAATCCAAATTCATTTCAACTTTCAAATGCAAAAATCTACCTGGAGTGGCGATCACAACATCAGGATTGGACATCATCTTTCCAAATTGTTCTTCAAGCGAGTCACCACCCGTAAGAAGAATAGTACGGAGATCAGAACCACGAGAAAACTCTTTGAGGACTTTATGTGTTTGCATGGCTAATTCTCTCGAAGGAGACAGAACTAAAGCGCGTGCACCAATCTTAGCTGAATGGCATTTTAATTTTTCAATTAAAGGTAATATGAATGCCGCTGTCTTACCTGAACCAGTTCGGGCCATACCCACAATATCTCTATGTTGTAAAATCAGGGGAATCGTCTTCCGCTGAATTGGAGTTGGCTGACGAAAGCCTTTTTTCGAAATGTTTGAAAGTATGAACTTAGAAAGACCAAAACTTGGAAACGAACCCTTCTTGTGTTTCATTGTATTTACGGATGTAGTTGAAAAGTACTCATTCACATCGTCGGCGTTGTCTTCTTCTGCATTGTCATCGTCGGACATCTCGAGGCTGGGGAAACTATGCAGCTGGCTCTTATCTTCTTTCTTACGGCCTACTTTCTTCTCCTTTGCTTGCTCTTCTTCATCACTAAACTCGATAACATCTTGAACTTCTGCTTCAGAGTCCTCCTCATCTTCATCCGCGCTCTCAGCTTCACTGTCGCTATCTAAGGCGATGTTAGCAGCAATATCGTAATTCTCTTCCTCAGAAAACTCCTCGTCCTCGACCTTCCTCTTTAAATTGGAAGAAACCATTACAAACACCTGTGAAGTTTTCCTATAGTTGGTTTCTTTACTTTGGAAAAGCTACTTACAGTCCACATCAAGGCATCGCAAGCTCATCGATCGAAAATTTTCAAATCAAAAAGAAATAAACTATACCTTTTTACGGAATCTCTAATTAACGAGAGTGATGGGTGATCGGACGATGCGAAAACAGTAAACCCTAAACGTCTGTGCTATGCTGTCGAGATATCAAAGGTTAGCCCACAACCGGTTGGTAGAAGGCTATGTTCGGCATAAATTTCCTTCGAAATTCGATAATGTAATTGTCGCAATGTCGTCTGGCGTCGATTCCTCAGTTGCAGCGGCCTTATTTGCTGGGTTTCCCAATGCCAGAGGTGTATACATGCAGAATTGGTCGAAGTCACAGTCGTTAAATGATCCGTCGAAGGAGCTTTGCTACGAAAGGGATTGGAAGGATGTTTGCAAAGTTGGTTCTCATCTTAATTTCCCAGTTGAAAGAGTGAATTTTGAGCAAGACTACTGGATAGACGTGTTTGAGCCTATGTTAAAGCAGTACGAATGTGGCTATACGCCGAACCCTGATATCGGTTGCAATAGATTCGTCAAGTTTGGGAAGCTTCGCGAACATCTTGATGCCAAATTAGGTCCTGGTAATTATTGGCTCGTTACAGGCCATTATGCAAGGGTTATGAAGGCAACGCAAACAGGCGAGGCGCATCTTCTGCGATCCTTCTACCCAGAGAAGGATCAGAGCTATTATCTTTCTCAAATCCCGGCAAGCATTCTTCCGCAACTCTTGATGCCTGTGGGGGACTTAACGAAGCCAGAAGTACGACAGTTTGCTCACGAGCTTCAAATTCCCACCGCAGACAAGCCTGATTCGCAAGGAATATGTTTTGTGGGCAATTCCCAGCACGGAAAGTTCAACAAATTCCTGGAGCACTATCTTCCCAGCCAGAAAGGCAACATCATAACTATAGATCCCGAGTCTGCTGAGAAAACGGTATGGGGTGAGCACGAGGGCATTTGGTCGTATACCGTGGGCCAGAAAGTTGGAATCTCGATGCCTCAGGGAGACCCTCGCTATCAGGGTGCCTGGTACGTTGGTGAAAAGCTTCTTGATACCAATGAAATTGTCATTGTACGTGGAAGGGATCACCCTGTCCTCTACAGGAACTTCCTTGAGCTAAAAAATTTCATGCCATTGGGAGATCAGGATACTACGCGACAAGTTGTCAATCAAAGTATGCTGGATGGCAAGGTGTCCATCCAATACCGCTCTTTGCAGACGCCAATACGGGTGAAAAATTTGCAATGGAACGCTGAAAAGATGACTTTACTACTTGAAAAGAGCCAGCGTGCAATGGCACCAGGTCAATACTGCTGTGTGTACATCAATGATCGTGTATTGGGAAGTGGAATCATATCTTCTACATGTGTAAAGTAACTTGTAAATACTCACGTGACATGACTTACCAATTTTGGAGGGAAATAGCGAGCCACATATAAGTATTCTCTGAGTGCAATATTTGCACATGTTACAAGTTTCTTGAACTCATCCGACACTGCATTGAATAAAGTTGGCCAATCATTCTTTAGGATGTCATTTGAAAAGGAATTAAAGGTTGCAACGCAAGCTGTGCGTAAAGCATCACTCTTAACTAAGAGAATCCAAGCAGAAGTAATCGCTCATAGGGAATCTTCGACAATCACGAAGAGCGATAATTCACCAGTTACCGTTGGCGATTATTCTGCTCAAGCTATCATTATCAATGCGATAAAATCCAATTTTCCAGAGGACCAAATCGTAGGAGAAGAGTCATCAGATGGTCTTAGCGACGCATTTGTGTCTGAGATCCTACAAAAGATCCAGGAAAACGACAAGCTATTCCCAGAGGAATTTGGACAATCTCAGGTGCCCTTCACAAGCAACGAATATCCATTGAGTTCAATCGCTGATGTCAAGAAGGTGATTAACATGGGTGACTACGAGGGCGGGGCCTCTGGAAGATTCTGGTGTTTGGACCCAATTGATGGTACTAAGGGTTTCTTGCGCGGTGACCAATTTGCTGTTTGTTTGGCGCTAATCGTCGACGGCGTAGTCCAATTGGGCTGCATTGGTTGCCCAAATTTAAAACTTAACAAGTATGGTGGCAAGGAATTGGAAAGTGGAAATGAACTAGGCTATGTCTTCCGCGCTGTCAGAGGACAAGGTGCATTCTATGCAGCAACTGCCAGTGACAATTGGGTTCAGGTTCATGCGAGGAACCCAATTTCTTCAAGTGAATTGGTGTCATTGGAAGGTGTCGAGAAATCCCATTCTTCACACGATGAACAATCCATCATTAAACAGCGTTTGGGCATAAGCAAATCACAGCACTTAGATTCTCAAGTCAAGTACTGCCTACTGGCTCTAGGCTTAGGTGACGTCTATTTGAGACTACCTATTAAACTAGATTATCAAGAAAAGATTTGGGATCATGCTGCGGGTAATGTGATCGTGCATGAAGCAGGCGGAATTCACACGGATTCCATTGACGGAGTTCCACTGGATTTTGGTAAAGGGAGAACTTTGTTGACAAAGGGCGTCATTGCTTCAAGCGGGCCAACCAAATTACATCAAGATATTATTAATATTTCGTCCGACGTTATTAGATCTAGATAAAAAAAATTTCTGATCACACGATGGAAATTTTCATTACCCAGCACATGTATATTGGTTAAGTAAAGTAAGTGTACTCTTGAGAGACCATTATAATTAGCAGCATTTCATTTATTTTCAACTTTTGAAGGCTAAGTACCGGCTTGGACATTTGATGTTGGATCCTGATATCTCAGTTCGCCAAATGGAGGATATGCCACCCCCCGTGCGGCTGAGTCGCTCATGGAATACTACCACAGTGAATCAGCTATTGGGTCTACCAGGGATGTTCTCAACGTTTACAGCTCCAGAGCTGAAAAAACTTCGGATTATTGCGATCACAGCATCTGTAGCCTCAGTGGTTGCTGCTATTGTGGGGTTATACTACTTTGCTGGTATTGATAAGAGAAGAAAGGTGTTTCGTCATTACTTGATTTTCTTCCTAATCTTTTGCGACTTCCTGAAAGCTCTGATACTTATGATATATCCTATCATTATTCTGATTCGAAATGACATATACGGGATACCTGCATTCTACAATACGCTGGGCTGGCTCACAGCGTTCGCTGTAGAGGGAGCAGATTTCGCTATTGCAGTGTTCGCGGTGCACTTTGCACTTCTGATATTCGTACCGACCTGGAAATGGTTAAATCCTAAAACAGGTAACATGGAGGGTGGATTGTATCCCTTGCGTCATTTCTTGTATGCTGCCACATTTCTTTTACCTGCAATTATGGCAAGCTTAGCATTCGTAAATTTTACGAAGGATATCCCAATTAATGAAAACGACAATGTCGTGCTGGATAATAATAATTTTGGGTTCGCTTATCAAGCAAGGGTGGGGGGCTATAAGGCATTCAGTGCTTGGTGTTATCTACCTCCAAGGCCGTACTGGTATCGGCTTGTGCTAAGTTGGGGCCCAAGATATTTCATCATAGTTTTGATTTTTTCTATTTATCTGAGCATCTACATCTACGTCTCCAAGGAAAGTAGGAAAATCAAAGTCCAAATTGGTGACTTTAGGCATGATAGGAATGGTGTTGATTTAGATGCATCAGCCGATAATAAGAAGCTGCTAAATTTCAAACAAAAGCTTCTAATACATCTCAAGATGGGATCCCGAAAGATAGGAATCACAAAGGTGTATCAGAGTCTCAAAAGTTTCTTTTTCCTCTCCTTTGAAGATGACTCTGAAGATTCCACTGATAGCAATGAAGAAGACGATTCTACGGATAATCCATACTCATTCAGCTTGGATTCAATCGACTATGACGATGGATTTCAGTCCGATGACTTTAGGAACGGGGTACAGAGCTTTAATTATGATCCCGAGGAGCTTTCTAGAGCGCTTCGAGAGAGAGAGATAGCCGCGAATGCCGACCGAGAAGATGAAAGTTTGGGGAGAAATAAACGCATCCAAAATTTAATCAAGCAAAACTTCAATAAATCTTTCAGGAGGCATTCACTGGCATCGAAGGATGCTTATTCAAACAAAAGTACTCGCGGTGCCCCGTCGAGCGCCTCTTTGCGCGCAAAATCCAATACTACTGATTCACTTCATAATTTTCTCTCGGGGGACAACGGTAGTTCTGTGTTTTATTCTCCATCTAATGACACTTCAAATTCCAACAAAAAATCGAAAGCCAGACGATCTTCTTCCAAAAAAAGGCGAAAGAACTCTGTATCCAAGGCTGGAGGCGGTACCAGAAGTCGTAAACCAACAGAAAGCAGTGATCAGGCACCTGAATGTGCACCAATATTATCTCCAGTTCGGTCAATAAATCCTATAAGTGGGTCAATACGGAATACAATTAATTCGGAGCAGGCTCCCAAATCTGATCACACTCGAGCCTCCAACGCCGATCAGGATGCATGTGCTGTTCACCCAGATCATATTCTTGATCTAAAACATAACTTTCAATTTGAGACGTACCAAGAGTTCAAGAAAAGGCGTTCTCAAATTCGGAGACAATTAAGGTCAATTTTCATATATCCTTTCTCATACATTGTTATTTGGACTTTTCCCATAGTTGTCGATATTATTCAGTACCATTACGAAATTATCCATGGCCCGGTTGTGTGGTTAGAGTATATTGCGACGTTCATGCAACCTTTGAGTTGTGTTGTTGACGTGAGTGTCTTTCTCTACAGGGAGAAACCATGGCGTCATTCGTGGGATATCATTGTGACTAAGGATCTCATGAGTAGATACAGTTTGAAGGGCGAAATTGGGGAAAGCGAAATTTTACACATGTGTAACAGCAAAGAAGGCAAAAGAGGATGGTATTATCGTGGAAAATGGATGAAAATGGAGTGCTGGAGACATCAGCCTCAAAGATGGAAACGAATTGCATGGTTCATCTATCGAGCGATAAAAGGTTTCATGAAAAATGATTACGATTACGAAGACAACTGTAACGATGCTGAGTATTGGGAAAGTTATTATTCTGGTAATACTCCAATTTCACCTAGAAGCAGGAGTACTCAATACACACAAGGGACTCAGGCTTTCAAAGACATTATAAATGTCAGCAATCGAAAGCAGTCGTCCTTTTCTGCCTCCACTACCGATAATTATTCAGAAATCGAGGGTTATGTCAAGGTCCCCATGATTTGGAGAATAATTCATTTTTTACCAATGTGGGGAGGCATTGACCTTGACGCGCTAGACCGTCATATTCGTCTGAAAAGCCGCGAGGATCCTTTTGAGATCCCAGGTTTACAGTTCGCGCTAACTAAGGGCAAACCAGGCCAGGAGAAAGAGAATACCTCGTTTTTCAAGGCGGATTACAGTTTATCCTCAACGCCAGCTAAGAAGCCTTCGGGCAGACAGCCCTCAAATCTTTCGACTCGTGGCTCATCCTCATCGTCACAAACAAATCACTCTCCACACAATAGCACCGCAAATCTGGGCCCAATAACATCCAAGTTCTCATTTTCGGCCAATATGGATTTCAAAGACGTCACCAGCTCTAAACTTCCAGGAATTACTCACGAAATTCCACGTTCTAAAGGGGATGAAATGGATATCATGGACTTTTTGAATGGTTGATCTATAAGAACAAAGAAAAACCTCTTGTGTAGGCTCTATGTAACATTAAACAGCACGGCGTGCTTATTACTGGAACTTAAAAAAATAGTAATCATTTTTTTATGTCTTGTTCATCGAGAAGTCCGAGAGAAGGTAGCTGCAAGGAGAATTCAATCTTTTTTTTTCTAGGCTCATCACATTTAATCCCCTCGACAGAAAAACCCTAAAAGACAATGTCAAACCAATATGACATATTTGTGTCAACTTTGAACTGTGGGAAGCTTTTACCATTTGGACAACCTAGCGAGCTGGAAAAGGTTTTAGAATTACTGTTGCCAGCAGACAAAGACCATGACATTTACGCCCTTGGCTTTCAAGAGCTCGTCGCAATTTGGGAAGGTTCTTTCCCTCAGCTAGTGGAATCGAACTTGAAGCTTGTATCCGACATATGTTACAAATGTTTACAAAAACGCCAAGGCAACCGCAATTATGAGTTGGTATCCAGTCATAATTCAGGAGCCCTTGGGGTAGTTATTTTCGCTGATAAAAAGTTCAAATTTTCGAATATCTTCAAAGCCTCTGTGAGATGTGGCTTATTCTACTCAAGCTTGAAGGGTGCTGCAGCAATAAAGTTCACTGTAACCAACGAGGAAAGCACCCTTACCGATACCTTCATCTTCATTGATGCACACCTTGCTGCTAACGAGGGAGAAGTCAACCGCCTCAGAAGAATTGCCGACTGGGGTACTATCTTTGGACGTGTGCAGCAAGAATTTGGCCATTTCGAAGGAAATCATGTTTTTTTCTTGGGTGACCTGAATTTTAGAATCAGTAACTGGAAGGGAACTGACACTAACTACACTTCTAACGAAGCTATTAAGGAACTGTTAGCTAAATACGATGAATTGAGCTTGTCTATACAATCTGGAAGCATTCTCTCTGGTTTTGAAGAGGCTGAAATCAATTTTCCTCCCACTTACAAGTTTCTGTTAACGACACCTCAAGAGCAATACGATTTAAGGCGTCTACCTTCATGGTGTGACCGAATTCTTTTCCAGAGCTACAGCGAACCTGTTAAAGTTAACCTTTACAGGTCTGTTCAAAGGTCAGAGGCGTTACAGTTTACTGATCACCTTCCAGTGTTGCTAAACGTCGTCGCCCCGCACATTTCAGATGCAAATTCTACTGGTACACGCTCCTTGTTGTCTCATACGAATAGTTCACAATCTATTGGAAGTTTTTCCGACTTCATTATTGGACATTTTGGATGGCTGTATGCTTCTTATGGGCCTTATATTGTTGGTGCTACGATTCTATTGAGCTTATGGCTGATCTTCGAAATCTTCACGTGACATATGTCACGTGACTAGATACATTTTTTTATCAGATTGAGTTTGAGATCATCTCTTGTTTTCAGCATAACTGGATGCTTAGAAGTCTTGTCAGATCGTTCAGGCTACAATCGCATCCATTTAAGAAAATGTCTGATGCAGAGAAATATTTGCAAGATGGCAAAAAAAGATCAGCCACAGTAAATGGATGTAATGAGGATCAGAAAGTAACGCAGCTTTCGTCCGGCGAATGTGGCATCAGAAAGAAAAAGAAGAACGGGGGCCTAGGAGAGTTAAGAGATGATGTCGGATTCAAACTAAAGGTTCACGATGTAAATAATCAAAGGAATAAACAGATAGATCCTGATTACGAAGTTGTTTATGAAGGTCCACTCAAAAAAGTTCGACCATATTACTTCACTTATAAGACATTTTGCAAGTTGAGATGGAGGGATAGACCCATTATCGACATCTTTGTTAAGGAGTTCAGGGATCGTGAGGAGGAATATTACCGCAAAACGATCGAATCAGGGTCCGTATATCTTAACGATGAGCCTGCTACTCTTGAAAGTATAGTGCGCAATGGTGACCTGATCACTCATAAGATTCATCGTCACGAACCACCTGTTACTTCAAGACCGATTAAGATAGTTCATGAGAATGATGACATTTTAGTAATTGATAAACCTAGCGGTATCCCGGTGCATCCAACTGGGAGATATAGATTCAACACTATTACGAAAAGCCTACAAAAACAGTTTGGCTACGCCGTTCACCCCTGTAACAGGTTGGATAGACTTACTAGTGGATTGATGTTTTTAGCAAAAACACCGCAGGGTGCAGACCAAATGGCAACCCAAATGAAGGCCCGAGAAGTGAAAAAAGAATACATCGCCCGCGTCGTCGGTGAATTTCCCATCGGAAAAATTGCAGTGGACAAGCCGCTCTACTGCATTGAGCCAAAGCTCGCTCTCAATGGTGTTTGCGAAATGTCCCAAGATGGTGCCAAAGAAGCCAGAACTGTATTCGAACGAGTAAGTTATGATGGACAAACAAGCATTGTCAAGTGCCAACCATATACGGGGAGAACGCATCAGATAAGAGTACACCTTCAGTATCTTGGTCATCCTATTGCAAATGATCCATTATATTCAAATCCTCGTGTTTGGGGCCCTTCTTTAGGCAAAGGCGGGGAAGCCGATTTCGCTGAAATTATCAAAAGATTGGGACAGATTGGTAAGACGGAATCCGCGGAGAGCTGGTTTCACCCAAACTCTAAAGGTGAAGTTCTGACTGGCACTCAATGCCCCGAATGCGAGGCCGATCTCTACACTGATCCTGGTCCCAATGATTTAGATCTCTGGTTACATGCCTATTGCTACGAATCCACTGAGCTGGATGAAAACAGAACAAAAAAGTGGAGTTACAGAACTGAATACCCGGATTGGGCTCTGGAGCCTCATAGAAAATACATGGAATTAGCTATCACTGAAGCCAAGAAATGTGAAGCTACAACTACGGCTTTCAGTGTAGGTGCCGTTTTAGTTAACGGTAAGGATGTTCTCTCCGTCGGATACTCACGTGAATTACCAGGAAATACACATGCAGAGCAATGCGCATTAGAAAAGTATTTTGAAAAAACAGGTCAGAGAACTGTACCGGAAGGAACTATAATCTATACTACCATGGAGCCATGCTCCTATCGTCTAAGCGGCAATACCCCGTGTGTTGATAGAATAATCTCTTTAGAGGGTAACATTAAAACTGTTTTTGTTGGAGTTATGGAGCCAGATACTTTTGTCAAGAACAACACCAGCCTCGCGAAGTTGTCTCAACATGATATTGACTATGTTCTAATCCCAGGTTATGAAGAAGAGTGCACAAAAGCGGCTTTTAAGGGCCACCACGACAATTTTTAATGACATTTGTACTTAGATGAACGATTCTGAAAATAATGACTAAGAACGTGTCAGGTAGTGGCATCACTACTCATTACCAGATGATAGCGATATATGTTGTTTTACGTAGATTACTTGCACTCACCTGTCATGAAATACGCATAAAAATTTTTCTCATTTCCCAAAATGAAGTGAACTACTGAAATTTCGATAAATAGATCTAGGAAGGCTCATTGACTTCGAAATGTCGAGAAGGAAAGGTGGTGTTGTTCAGAGAGCATCATCCGCAGCAATTGGACGCTCTAAAGATGATAACAACTTGATCGAAGCCTTAAAGCTTTACGAGGGTAAGAATTACAAAAAATCACTAAAATTGCTCGATACGATCCTGAAAAAGAACTCGAGCCATGTCGATTCCTTAGCTTTAAAAGGTCTCAATTTGTATTTTACCGGCCAAAAAGAAGATGCTGAATCTTATGTGAATAAAGCTATTGATAAAATTAAAGACACATCAGCCTCTCCAATCGGTTGCCATATTCTTGGTATTTACATGAGAAATGTTAAAAAATATAAGGAGGCAGCTGAGTGGTTTCAGGCTTCATTGGACAATGGATCCACTAATAAGCAGATCTATAGAGACCTCGCAACTCTGTATTCTCAAGAGCATGACTACAAGAAATTGCTAGCATCCAGAAAGGCATACTGGGAGGAATTCATGGGTTATCGAGCTAATTGGACTTCACTAGCTATTGCACATGAACTTAACGGCCAAAGACAAGAAGCAGTAAATGTACTGAGTAAATTTGAAGAATTGGCAGCCGGAAAACTTGGTGATGCCGAAGCGTACGAGCACAATGAATGCTTGATGTACAAAAATGATGTGATGTATAGAGCTGCAAAGAACGATGCTGCAAAGCTGGAGTCTGTACTTGAAAATTTGGATGCAATTGAGCCTCAAGTATTCGACAAATATGGTTGGCTAGAGAGACGGGCGGCTATATTCATGAAGTTGAACAGAAAACAAGAAGCCTCAAAAGTTTACAGAGCACTCATAAAGAGAAATCCCGATAACGCTGCTTATTATAAGCTACTTGAAGTCTCTCTTGATATTCATGGCAACAGTAAGCTTAAAAAAGCTCTCTACGAAAAGTTGCAAAAGTTTTATCCGAGAGCAGATCCTCCTGCATTCATTCCTTTGACATTCATTACCGATGGTGATGAATTAACACAAAAAATGAATGACTACATTGTTCCAAAACTTAAGCGTGGGGTCCCAGCAACGTTTTGTAACGTCAAGCCTTTGTATAAGACGAATTCGGCTCTTGTGGCACCCATTATTGAAAAAATCGTGACCGCGTTTTACTCTTCGGTTGATTCGAAGGAGCAACCAACGCAATTTGTTTGGACATGCTACTTCTTGTCCCAGCACTACCTCCTATTAAAGGATTTTTCTAAAGCCACAGAGTACGCCGACAAGGCTCTCGAGCACACACCAACGCTAGTTGAATTGTATATTTTGAAGGCCCGTGTTCTAAAGCATATTGGATTATTATCAGAGGCCGCAGAGACCATTAACAATGGAAGAAAATTAGATCTTCAAGATAGATTTATTAACACCAAGACTGTGAAGTACTATTTGAGGGCAAACCTTGTGGAAAAAGCAATTGAGGTTGTATCCATCTTCACCAAAAATGATGAATCAGAGAATGGTGTAGTTGACTTGCATTTGATGGAGGCATCCTGGTTTATTGTTGAGCAAGCCGAGGCCTATTACAGACTGCATCTCGAACACCAACAGCGCTTACAAGAGCTGGAAAATGAAGAGGTCCCAACTGATGAAGAGAAGCAAAATGAACGAGCCCGTTGCATTAAAGAGCTCATCTACCAAACTGGAAAGTACAAGGGCTTAGCATTGAAAAGACTACACGCTATTCCTAAGTTTTACAGACAGTTTGAGGACGATCAATTAGACTTTCACTCCTACTGTATGAGGAAGGGAACTCCAAGGGCTTACCTGGAGATGATCAATTGGGGTAAGCGCGTATATACCCTGCCCTTATACGTGAGGGCCTTGAAGGATGCAGCTAAAATGTACTTTTCAATTTTTGATCATCTTGCAGAGAGCGCAGACGAAGAAAATGAAAAGCCTACTACAGACTCTGTTGCCAAGAAGAGTAACAAAAAAGCCAAAAAAGAGATAGCTGCGATGAATAAGCGTAAAGAGGAAGATAAGAAGAAGCTAAAGGCTTATGAGAACGATGAGGATGTGTTAGGTGAAAAACTTATCGCTACCAAGACGCCATTAGAGGACTTCGCCCAATACTTCTATAATGCTTACTTGAGTGACGTTAAAGACACCGAAAAAGATTACGTTTTAGAGTTTGGTTATCAACTTAGATGTGGTAAATTGGCCTTAAGCTTGGGCGCTCTTGCAAAATATGCTGACGTTCACGGTAAAAGTGATGGTATGGTTGGGGCTCTCACGCTATGCCTGTTGGATAAAGTTAAAGATTCCTCGCCACTGGATCCAATTGCAAAAAGTCTCGCCTTGAAAGGTCTCGAAAGACATTTCCCAGAAGTTCCACTTGACAAGAGAGATGATGCCGATTATGATTGGATAGAGTTCTTCACTAGTAATTATGACGCTTCGAATTTGGAGGCGCTCTTGACTTTGTACCGCGCACATCTAACCCTAGTTTCCGACACTAATGGATTGAAAGAAATGATCATGAATGCGCTCGGAAATCAAGAACCACGGATTCAAAACGTAATTTTAAAATACGAGCTTTAGGTTTTCTGTACGTTGCTAAGTAGCTTGCTGGAACTGTTGAAAAGATATCCATAACCTTTCGTACGATGTAATTATGTTTCAGTGCTTTCATGAAGTTTGAAAGGGGAAAATACAGTAGCTTCATCAACAAACTTTCCACCTAAATTGAACACAATGAGTTCTCTTCCTGGCTCTGGATCAGTACCGTCATCAGTACTATCCAATTCTGGAAATACAACGGAAAATGATAGAAAGCGGCGTGACAACATCAACGATAAAATTCAAGAACTTTTGGCAATTATTCCACCAGACTTTTTCCAAGACTACTATAGAAGGAAGGATTCAGGCGACTCTGATGCTGGCGGAACACCGGGTGCTGCTGCTATGGGGATGAAAGTTAAAGGTACCGGTACAAAGGATGGTAGGCCGAACAAAGGGCAAATCCTCACGCAGGCGGTGGAATATATCACACATTTACAAGGCCAGGTGGATTCGAAAAATCGTGAGGAGGTCGAGCTTATACTAAAAGTGAAGGATCTCAGCAAAGAGACCGGAGTGATTGTTAATGATATCAACCTGGAGAACACTAGCGCAGAAGTTGCGCTAGCGAGGATTGGGGTGGGGCCGTTGGCCGGAACTGTTGACGACTACTACGGGGAAAAGGCACAGAAGAATAATAACTTTGAGTATGGAGGGTATGACGAGTATGGGGATGGCAGCTGAGTCAATTTCAGATTAGCTTCCTGCCAGTTTTGTCGCAGTGTCACGGTATGCTCTCATATTGCTTTCTTCTTAATGAAGAGCATTTTCACACGAGTTGAATTGAGCCCAGCCCTGTGATACGCGGTGCTATAGGGATTTTTATTGCATGCCTAATGATTCTTATGTACGCTTCTAACGAAAGGCATCACCTTGAGAGGCGCAATTGTGGTTTGGCACACTTGCCTAATTATGTTTATATGAATCCGAATGTTTTACGAATGAATGAACTTACAGGAACCATAGTCACTAAGCTCTCAATAGAATGATGTGTAGTAATTACATCCTAATGATTCAACTGCACCGGATACGGGCACGTAGCTTAATCCATGAGCACAGTCTATAAACACAGATGCGATAAGGAATTCGCCCGGTGTCCCTAAGCATGTAGTGAGGGACTAGAATTTTAGTTTTACAAGAAAACTCAATCGATGACCAATAATTCAATGAGTAGTCTCAAGTCGCTTTGAAAAGGATGATGCTGAAATTTCAACATCTCTTGATCACCGTTCCAAATCTCTGAAAACCTGGTGGCTCGATAAGTATCTCTCGACGAGTTCCTAAGGACTTCAATTTCAAAAGTATTCATGTAATCATCATCCTTTATCAGAAAAAAAATCCGCTTCAGGAGTCAAATTTTAGCTAAATTGTCTTCGATTACAGTTTAACCTAAGAAAGCGGAGTTGGAAGTGGTGATAATATATATGCTACAACTGAAGTTATCCTTTGGGGAGAGTGAAAACTGAACTCCCTTATTGCTGCCAAAATCAACTTTACATCAACTCGCTAGGTTAACACATAATGACGGTAACTTACAAGGACGTTGCCAAGGCAAGCGACAGAATAAAGAACTACGTCAATCACACACCTGTTTTGACTTCAAGAACACTTAATGAGAAGCTTGAGGCGCAATGCTTCTTCAAATGTGAAAACTTTCAGCGCGTAGGTGCATTTAAGTTTAGAGGTGATATGAACACCCTATTGAGTTTATCGGATCGCGAGAGGGAAGCCGGTGTGGTTGCGTTTTCATCTGGTAATCATGCACAGGCCGTTTCGTTAGCTTCAAAGATTTTAGGCGTCAAGGCTACGATTGTGATGCCCTATGATGCCCCTGCAGCCAAGATGGCGGCGACGAGAGAATACGGCGGTAATGTGGTGCTATATGACCGCTATAAAGAGGACAGGGAGGCCATTGGACGCGAGCTGGTTGCCAGTAAAGGATACACACTCATACCTCCTTTCAATCATGCTATGGTCATTGCTGGACAAGGAACCGCTACCAAAGAATTGATTGAGGAAGTGGGCAACTTGGACTATCTCTTCGTTCCATTGGGTGGAGGAGGACTTCTCTCAGGCTCCTCTTTGTCCGCAAAAACACTTTCGCCGAGCTGCACAGTGATTGGTGTTGAACCCGAGAAGGGAAACGACGGCCAGCAGTCATTCAGGTCAGGCAAATTGGTGCGAATTGATACGCCTGATACGATAGCAGATGGTGCTCAAACGCAGCAACTGGGCGAGCTAACTTTTAGCGTCATCAAAGAGCATGTGGACGATATTATCACGGTTTCAGACGAGGAGCTCATTACTGCCATGAAATTCTTCGCGGAGCGAATGAAGATTGTTGTCGAGCCTACCGGGTGCCTAGGATTAGCAGGCGCACTTTCCCTTCAACATCAGATAACCGGAAGGCGCATCGGAGTGATTGTAAGCGGAGGAAACGTCGATCTAGCTCGTTACGGCAAGTTCATCTCCTCCTAGATGTTTCTGGCCTGTTGTAGCCGCATAAATATTTCGCACGAGCAGAAACTTGCCCAGTATAACGTTTTTTTATGTAAATTTTCTGCTTGACCTATCGAAAGAAGCTACTATGCCAGCCAATGAGCTAAACTCATTTCGTACCCATAGAAACCCAACTTAACAAAAACAGCTCATGTCTATTTAGGGCTTTCAATTTTTGAAAAGTTGCTTGGGGAACTCGCTATCGGGTAACGCTTGATACCAAGAAAAACCAAGATTCAACGACACCCAAGAGTTCCTACCGCACCATCAAAACTTGGCTGCATACCATAAGGTGCATTTACAAGAAGGCAGCCCATCTTAACCCGTTCGTTAATTCGTTTCCTCTTCCGATACGGTAATTCTCATTCAATATGCGAGGGAATGTCATTCGCACGTGGGAAAGATTTAAATGTTGATGCACGAAAAGGGTCCTAGGTAGGGACCCTGACGGATCTTCTAGGATCCGATGATGAGCAGGGCCCTAGCTTCAACAATGTACGGGCCGTAAAGAAAGGAACTTTATTGGTATAAGCACATTGTTAGAATAACGGTTACCAATTCGGCAGGTACGAATCAGCAATAATTGACATGTGGCATTGCAAATAGTGGAATATTCTTGTGTTTACGTTTTACCATCGAAGACGCATCGACAATGGGCATGACATCCGTATACCGATGGTAAATTCCGCCTCACCAATAATAATTATGGCCACGTTGTTTGCCGCCAATGGCGGAAAGCAAACTATAAGATGACCTAGGATGGGGCCTGAAGAGGCTCTGAAGTTTTAGAAAACCAAGAACATCAAACATGCTTCTCGCTTCTCTACTACTGGTTCCCTTCCTGGCCGAGGCTGCCCCAATCTCTTCAATTGCCGACCCAATTGGGTTCCCAGATTACGCATCTCACGAACATCTATTCCCTTACATGGGTGGTTCTGGTCCACACTTCTCTTATCCTCTAAGCTACGGCATTCCAAAAGAGGTCCCAGAACAATGTACCATGAAACAAATCCAGTTGATGGCCAGACACGGTGAAAGATACCCAACTTTGAAGACCGGTACCAAGATCATGGACGTCTACAAGAAGATCTCCAAGTTCTCTTCCAAGTTGAATGGTTCGCTATCCTTCATTGACGAAGATTATGAGTTTTTCATTCAAGACACCAACAACTACGAGGAGTTGACCACATTCGAAAACAGTTTGGACCCTATCAATCCTTATACTGGTATGCAGGATGCTCAAACGCATGCTAAGGAGTTCTTGTATCAATATGGTGATATGTTAGAAAATTCGACTTCTTTCCCAATCTTCACCTCCAACTCCAAGAGAGTTCACGATACTGCAAACTATTTTGCTAAGTCCCTTGGTGACAAGTACAATGTCAGCCTTCAAATCATCGATGAAGATGAGTCTTCTGGTGCCAATACCCTAACCACCGCCGAGTCATGCTCCACCTACAACAAGACTGCTAACGCAGGTATTACTGGACAATACTCTGAAGATTACTTGAAAACCATTGCCAAGAGATTGAACGCTGAAAACAAGGGCTTGAACTTGACATCCTCTGATGCCACTTACCTATTTGGCTGGTGTGCATTTGAAACAAACGTCAAGGGATACAGTGACATGTGCGACGTTTTCACTCCTGAAGAATTTGCTTACTACGCTTACGAGGATGATCTAACCAACTACTACGCTTACGGTCCTGGTTACGATCTAGCCAAGGTCGTCGGTTCTGTCAACTTTAACGCCTCCGTAGAGCTTTTGAAGCAAAGCGAAGACTTGGACCTGAAGGTCTGGCTAAGTTTCACTCACGACAACAACATCGTTGCCTACTTGGCTTCTGTCGGTCTATTCGATGACAACCAACCTCTACCAGTCGACCATGTTCCAATCAGAAATCACATCTACCACAAGTCTTGGATGGTTCCTCAAGGTGCCAGAGTCTACACCCAACTATACGAATGCTCCAACAGTACTTATGTCAGATATGTCGTCAATGATGTTGTGATTCCAATTGAAAAGTGCTCTGACGGTCCAGGTATGTCTTGTGAGTTTAGCAAATTTTTGGAATACGCGGAGGACAGATTGGACGGTATGAATTACGTCGATTCTTGTGATATTACTTCCACCAGTAACCAAACCTCTCTAACTTTCTACTGGGACTATGAATCTAAGAACTACAATGCTTCATTGATTCAATCCTAGTTTGGCTCACAATAAAATATTTTCTATAACGCTCTTTTTACGTTCGTCCCAACCCACTGTCAATTTGTCCAGAAAGCTTGTTTGAAACAGTCATTATTCACCATGGGAATTGACATTTCGAGTGAATGTGAGGTAATTATTTAGCCACAAGCATATATATAGGTTGATAGATACTAATACCATAAACTATGATACTCCCTAAAAGGAAAGTAAAATAAGTTACTTATGTACATAATATTTCATGGTTAGTGAATTGAATTGATCAAAGAAAATGGAGAATAGAAGATAGATAATAGAAAATAGACAAGGGAAAATTCTATATTTTATGTATAGGAAGATGACTGGCTAATTTGTGCCGATGAATTGATTCATCGATAAGGAGGTGTTCGCACATATCTAGATAAAAAGCTATTGGTAAGTTTCCAATTGGTATCTTTTATTCAACATTGTTCATATCTTTGTTACATTTACAACATGTGATATTTATTATTGTCTATCAGAAGAATGTATTTAATTCTACAAAATTTAAAACAGCTCGACATCATCCGAGTAAACGCATCGTCAGTTCGAAAGTAGCAAATGTGGCACCGTTGACCGGTAGCGATCTCAACATTGTTGGACCAAAACCCTTGAAGAAAGTGGAGATACCGCCTTGACCATAGATGTATTTTGCGACTTGTAAAACGTTTCTACCATGAACAGGATTTTTCAGCTTGTCAGCCTGCATCACGGATTTTATCACATCGAAAGGATAAACCATTGCCCATAGAAGGGCACCAGAGAGAGCACCGAAGCCGCATAATTTCCATGCGGGAATATCTTCTCTTTTAACGCCGCGGCTAGCTTCTGACAGAATTAATGCCTCGTATGTTAAAAAGTAGACACCAAAACCATGGGATGTTCTCAACATTGTTGCAGTTAATCCACGCATCAACCCGCCTGTCACACCACCTTCGGCAATCAGTTTTTTGATACAGTCGATGGAACCGCGGTACTCTGCATGCTCAAGAGCCTTGGTTTGCAACTGCAAACGGATCCTGACGTGCTCGATAGGTGATGCGAGGAAAGCATTACTCCACCCGCTTACAAAACCGCACATGTAATATTGTGGCAGAGTCAACGTATTGTGTACTGTGTTGTTTTTCTGGTGGAAATATCTCTTCATGGACTCATTCACACCAAATTGACATGATACACAGATACCAACACCAACCAGGGGCGTCAATGTACCTTTGTAGAATGCAAGAACACCCTCGTTCTTGATCAGATTTTTAATCACCTGCATAGCCGTGGTCGGAACGGGCGACGTTTGTAGACGAACCTTCGTGATATCAAAAGGTTGGCCCACTATCACTTGGGCTATTCCACCCGCAGTACCGGATAGAACATCTTTTAGAGTTCTCGAAAAGTCATGCGTCTCTGTCAAGTCATCCACCACCTGAGGTGTGATTTCGTCAGACATTTTCAATTAAGCAGGTGAAATTCCAAAACTATTAGCGTAAAGAAGAGATGCTGCCGTTTACCAGAACTCCTGTGAACCGACCACTATATAGCGATGAGCTTCAAACCTGAATCAGTTTTTTTTTTCACTCGACAGATATCGATACCGCCTAAAGTTTGCAACCAGCGACAAAATAATCATAGGAAAAGAAAAAATTAACGTTAACATCTCTTGATACGAGTTCTCGAGTCAGATGATGTGAGATAATCGCTTTGAACATCGCTTAAACGGCAGTTCAAGTGCGAGCTGATAAGCGCTAGTTATATTCCGAACAAACGCTCAAATGCCTTTGGCCAATAGGAGAGCATTGATAGCATATGAAAGACCAGTGTCTCTCGTATGAATCACGGTGCGGAACTGGGGTTGTCGTGAATTACCAAAAAGCAGCTTCTGGCCCAGTACTTGACGAGCCAGCCTCCGGTAAACGATGGTAAAAGCGCGTTTTCAGTAAAACGCAGGCAGAGCTGAGAAAGAATCCATCCCACATTAATTCCGAAGAGGACGAGCGCAGTTATGACAGGATAACGCGCTAGGCCCAATGCGAATCGTCACGACTTGCCTTGTTTTAGCATCAAATCCAGAAGTAATCAGTAATTATCCGGCATTTGCAGTAGGGTAGAATAGTGTAAGCATGACCATCACGTGTTGTCGTTCTTAATTGGGTATTTGCTTCATCTTGAACAATATCTGACAAAAACTGTGGCATCCGTCGAGATCCACACTCTAACTGTAGCTCACTAAGTCCATTTTTCACCCAGGTCCGATAAAAATATCCAAAATCGCATCTTCCGGCTTTTCTCAGGGAGGATGCGGACCATACGCATCAGATGCACCCCACATACAATTGAAATCACTTAAGTCCCTTTTATTGTACGGATTCCCGCGGTTCATTATAATATTAAAGCTCAAACATTGAAGTAGGCTCGAGAAGACGTATTAGTTACCTCCCTGCATCCGCACTTAAAATGCATAGCGAACAACCAGCTTGAAAGATTTCACGAAACACCAATTAGTTCGCATCAACACCGGGCTATGCACTATAGGCAGTCATGGCAGTCGCAACCTACACTCAACGACACATGGTAGTCATTGAAAGGGTTTATCAATGAGACATTTGCTATTTCAAAATATTTCAGGCCCCTTGACTGAGAGGATTTACTAAAAGTTACAACCACGTGACCTGTCCATTTACGTTGATCAGATAACTAAATCAGCACCTGTTGTTTAATGCCAATGAGGGTATTCGGTACACGCGGGTTATGAATCTCTGCTATCTAAACGCTGTCCAAGTGCGTTGTAGTAGCGTCGAAGATGAAGCATGTTCCCGAGAGCCACCATCTTGTGAACAACAATAACTTGCCTCATATACGCAGACGGGCCAGTAGTTTAACTCCTCATATGCTCTAAGACAACACTGGACGCCACGTGAACCGCGATTCCAATATTGCAACTGGTGGCTGCAAGAAAATTTGCGACCCTCAGAGAAGTGTTATCCCTTCATAGGCGTCAGATGGAGAAACGACGTCGTGCGCCGCCCCTAGGCACACACTAACCGATGATGGATCTGATGGCGGCTGTCAATGTGATATTCCCCACTAAGCTATGCGTTCTGCGAGCTTTTGGTAACCATCAAAGCTATATTGTAACATCAGCTTCTCCTAAATGTAGACTATTGTTGCCTCAAAGCCCTACTCTTCTATAAGAGCTTGCCTTCTTCAATCTCAAACAATTTCTGTATACTATCAGGGTTGCAACATAATCAATTGATGAGCATTCGGTGATGAGATTCCCTGGTACACCTAGAATGTGTATTGGCTGGAACCACTCCGTTGAGGGTTGTGATACCCACCACCACCTCATCCCTCCCGAAGTAAATGCTAATCTCCCGTTTTCCCTAGCTTCGCTTAGCCTTTACACCCGTCAACCCTGCTGGCATCGAATTTATGCATGTGCAGCAAAAACTGCTCAAAATGCACATTTTACATCGATGTCTTGTCGTTTAGAATATTCTTTGGGTCCAGACCGGAGACCTCGTTGAGCAGAATGGAGTATTCGGTCGCTGGAAGTGAGGTCAGAGAACTCAGAAATAGTAGTTTTGAATGCCAACTTTCACTTCTTTTCACTATTAATGATAGTATGACTTTGATTGTTGGCGCTGAAGAATAATTTAAGGTTTTGATCGATTTGCTTACCGGCACGCATGCACGGTGTTCGAGCCTTTTCTACGACATTTTCTGAGTGAGAAGGAAAAGATTTCCTTTCCAAAGGAAATGTGGGTGCAGCTTGGAAATTAAGCTTGAACTTACGCAACCGCGAGCGTAGCTTCTAGGAGCTCAGCTATTTTTTACGAATCTCTTGGCATGAAAAGGTCAAGGCATTTTTACTTGATAAAAGGATAGGGTTTTTTTCCTATTGGATCGCAATTGATTTGATCTTATTACTTTGTATCTCAGAGTCCAAGAATTGCATAGTCTGAAATTTCAACATGGGAAGAATTGCAAGATTTTTTGGTAACCCTGGGTCGAGACCTGCAGTTGCGCAACGGGCACCCATTGCTCATTGCGAAGCAGGCCAAGAAACAGAAATTAGCTCAAAATTCGACGCTGACCAGCATGTAAAGACTGTATCTAGCAGCGACGAAAGCTCGATTGAAGACCTTAATGATATCGAGATTGCCAACAATGGTAACTACGAAACTTCGCATACTTTTGCAGGCCTGAAAAGAGGTCTTCTCGATCGTGTTTTGGATGTAATTGTGATTTGGGCTGGGTCCCAATTTATGTTTCTTCTAATGTGGGTTATTCTTATTGCCTGGATCGTGGTAGGAATTGTCTATTCTGCACCCTTTAACTGGCAAGTCGTGATGCAAGATGGTCAATCTATTCAAAGTTATGTCTGGGACACACTGCTTATGAGACAGCAACTAATGAGTGGACATGAGCAAATTTTGATTTGTGGCAGATTGAGATCTAGAATGACAACATTTACCCACTTTCTCACCAAAAATCTCAAAACGGTCGAAGCCAAGAAAGAGGAGACCGAAACCACTGTTTTGACAGATGAGCTCGACAATAATGAATTGAATGGTATTCTACCTGTTGAAAGTTGGTACGACAGATTGTCATCTTTTGTCTCCAATATTCTAGGGTCTGTCCCTTCAATGATTATATTTTGGCTGGGTATTATGGTTTGGATTATCTGTGGTGTGATTCCAACGGACGCCGGTAACGAACCACCATTCACGGGCCGGACGACAGGAAGTAATCCAGAGCTAAAAAAGTTTAGTTCCACGTGGTAACTTTACATCAACACTGCAACTGCTATTGTTATTTTAGTCTGCTCGGTCTTTCTTCAAAATATCAGAGCGAGACATGACAAATTCATTGCCAAGTATTTGATCGCTATTTTTGAACTGGATGATAAGATTGACTATCAGGTCAGAGAGCATGTTGGTGATTTCCAAACGCCGCATCCTGTGATCACTTTCCCAGCTCCCAAAAGAACAAGATTACAGAAAGTTATTGATTTTTATGCTGATGCTATTGGTGCAGGTATTGGTGTTGGTATTGCAATTGCAGTTTTTACTGTTTGGTTGGCAATCGGAAACACTATGAAATGGAATGATGACTGGTGGTTAATTATTGGTACTTATACTGGTTTAGTTGGATTCCTCGATGGATTTGTGTTGAGGGAAGTGTATTTCCGTATTGTTCAAAATGAAGAAGATAATTATGCCAAGGTTGCAGATGATGATTTAGCGTTGTTCCAGCAATTGGGAATTGATTATTCAGAGAATCTAACGGCAGATTTTGCTAACTCATACAAAAAATCCATCTACTACAGGATTTCAGCAACAATAAACAGTATTTGTTCTAGCCAGTGGGCGACTCTAGCATCAGTTGCAGTCATTATTGGCCTAATATGTATTGCATCAGGTATGCGCTGGAGTACTTTGGGTCAACTAATTTGTAATACACCTACAATGATTATTGAAGCATTTTTCCTAATTGTTCTGCTACAGGCGCATAACTGGGCTGATTTCCAACGGAGAGTTGAAGTTTCCGCCCTTTTCAAGCGTCGCACTATTCTTTTGAATTTCGTTCAAAATATGACAAGCAGTATGAAGATTGAATCTTCAAAGGTGTAGATAGGCGAAACATTACCCAATTCACATATACATCATAATTAAGATTATATTTCTTTAAATTATAGAAAAAGTGAGCTGATCGCTGGCACATAAATAGAATAGACTGCGGATACGTTAGGGTGCTAGGGCCTCATCACCGTCAAAGCAACTTTATGATTTTGAACAAGCGCTAGAAGTTCTAATGATAATTTCTTCGTCTTGAATACTCGATGAATGGGTAGAACAAATTGATTCTGTTTCTTCTATCTCTCTATTAACCCAACTTCTGATGAGAGGTACTATAATTTGAGCTGTAGCTACCTGCTCGCTTTGGTACAAAACGAGGGGCACTAGGAGTTTACCTAACTCGGGGAAATCACTCCCATACTGAGACGATACGAGCGATACACCAAGCGCTGCAGTTTTGGCTGGTCCACAAAAAAGGATGGCAACTGCATCCTTTCTATTGTAATAAAACGGTCTGAAAATCCGATAAGATATAGCATATAGTGACCATGAATTAGAGCTAGGCTCATGAGAGAAAATCTTAGGAATGAACCATGGCCTGGCACAAACAAAACACAGTAAAGTGAAGAAAAGGTATATTCCAAGGTTGAAAAAAACCACGAATATTATAGAGACGTGGGATACACTAGTAAACGCGTGTTGATAAAACGCAGTGGAAAAGGAACTGAACATTATCATCAAAAGACATATGCTTCCAACCTTATTCAAAAAGAATGTTTTTAAAGTCCATTCAACTTGTTTTGGAAAACAATTTTGCAAGATCTGACCCACCAACAATGGTAAGAAAACTGATAGGCCTATTTGCTTAATGACATCCGCGTATAATTTTTGAATACTAGATCCATTCGCAGGGTTTCCAAAACTGAAAAGATTAGTGCTGAGGTAAAGTTGTACCATAGCTGGTGTAACGAATGTTCCCAATATATTACCAATGAAAACTTCACATAAGCATAGGATATCATTGCCCTGTGCTTTTCTTGTCATGACGACATTCGATGCCACCGTTGTTGGAGTTGACGCTGTCAAGATCAGACCCACTAATAACCACTTGTCAATCTTATCTGTTCCTGAGGACATGATGAGGTAGCAAAATCCAAATATTATCGAGCTTGTCAACAAGAAGCTGAGAAACAAAACAACTAGATGAGCACGCCAATTTGATAGGTTCACGCACAACTTTTGCGTCGACATACTCAGTCCACTTTGAAGGAATATAATTGCAACGGCACCATAACCTATAGTGTACTCAGCTCTAATCAAACCACCATGGCGCGCGAAGTTTGGAGCGAACCTTGCTATAATGATAAATATCGCCAATGCGATCAGAAACCATTGTGACAGGATAAATTGAAATGTTGCTGAACGGTAAACTTTCTTAGCGACTTCCGACATGACTTTGTACATGATAATTCATACTAAACCGGAATCCATAGTTCCCAATGGCTTTCTTTCTTATGGCCTTATGAATTGTTCATCTGTAGTTGTTGTTGCCCGAACTCTACTTTACAACACAGTGTCATGCTTCGGGATCGGTCCGATCATCGGCCCGAAGTTTGATATCATTTTTCACTCGTACCTACAACCCACAGAAGGGTCCAATGACTCTTAAAATACCCAGAGAGCTTTAGCATGAGAAAACAAGAGTGCTAGTCACTCTCACCTATCTACACCTTTTTAGAGCGGAGCAATTCGGCATGCTTTTGCATTTGAGTGCGTTATAGAGTATTTAAATCGCCAAATTGTACGCCCAAAGACTTCGAGAAGTATCCTTCGAAGAGCAGAGGTAACATCAAAGGATTCATCAAAGCAAGTGATCATAAACATATCTGGCGTCCATTTGGCGTTTGTCCAAGGCCGTCTCGTCATTTACGTAATTCGGAATAAGGCACGAAGGAACTACACGTTGAAAAATTAAAAGAGAGTCACAGGCACCAAGTCAGCATTAAGTTACTCACCCTCAATGCTAAAATCAATCTGCTTCTCTTGATAGCGATACTTTGATGGCTTTAGAACCACTATAATTCAGCATTTTACGGTGAGGTGAATCGTCAAAAAGATGGCTCTCGCCGTGAACCGAGAAAGAATAAAAGAGCGTTTCCCAGTGACTCCATCAAGTACAAAATTATTTAGGTTATGTGGTGTACATTACACATCGCTGAAGCTATAGTAATTTTATCACTCTCCATTTTGTTGGTACTCCATCTTTTGAAATGAAAACTACCTCATGGTGTAAAGATGTGATATACGGTAGATTGAGAAGATTCCAATTCTTAGTATTCTTATATCTATCAAACATTTGAGCAAACTTAAGAACAAATGCAATAAGAATAGATGTAGTGGGCTGTCAATAGTGAACTTGCAGAAAAAAGTAGTCGAAAACTTCTGAATAAACTAACATGGAGCCTTGAAAAGATGATCAATGACTTGTGTGCTACGGCTTCATTTCACAAGAAAGGCTGGGGCTTTTAGTCTATATTCTGTTATGCTTAAAGCTGCAGTTTGACTAGAAGACGATAAAGGGCATCTAGGCTAGAGAAGAAAGTACCGGACAATGTTTCGAGAAGAACCACGAGTTTCAAATGATAATATAAATCATAGTATGTGGGAGCTTCATAAAACATAAGGATGGCACACCTAATGTTCAACCACTAATGCAAAAATTGCCCAACTTCCATCAAACAGATTAGCTGATGCTGCACCGTAATGCTCTATTTCATCCTCGATTATTTAAAATCCAAAAATATGAACTTAAGCTGATATCAATTATATCGCTACAACCCCTCATTTGCTGACAGCTTTGCTCGCTTGCTTTCGATATCATTAGATTAAATCTATCTACTCAATGGTATGTAATGTCTGACGAAAGCTCTCCCGACGAAAATTTTTTCAATTTTTCGGCCAATCATCAAAGGGTGTGTGTTTACAATAATTATAACCCATTTAAAGGACCAGAGCAAGGGACAGTTTTTGCTTGATAATGAGTTCAGAAACCGCAAAGGATGACTTGGTAGCAAAAAGATCGCTATCGGATGTCACGACAACTGTCTCTGACGCAGTGAACGACGAGACGGATTCTTCCAAGAAGCCCAAATTGCAAGATGATGACAAAGAAATACTTGAAGATGCGCCCGCGGATGAACTAGAGGATATTGTAGAAGATTATACACCAGAAACAAATGGTAAGAAAGAAGAAGATAATGATGAACCATCTTCATCGCAGTCAGAAAACCAGGCGGGAACTGGTGTGGACACACAATATGTACCCAAGGAGCCAATCCCACCCATCGAAATTAGCCGCAACCCAATCACTGGAAAATATAGATTTCCTTTCATTTCCAAAGAAGACTCACTCACAGCACGATCCTATTTAAAGTATTACGGATCAGGAAAATTTCTGGATAGCTATCTGCCGGAGGATTTGAACTCTTTGTACATATATCATCTGATTAAATTGCTCGGATTTCAAATCAAGGACAAGCAGCTTTTAGAATCTGTGCAAGCAGTGGTAGAGAATGAGATTTATCCAGATGGCTCATCTTTCAAATCCGTACCGTTGGTGGAAAAAACTCCAGATTCTGATACCAGCGATTACTTTGATGACCCTTTAGAGAAGAGGCACGCTGTGCGTTTAATTAAAGATTTGCAAAAGGCTATGAATAAAGTGTTGAGCACTCGAATGAGATTGGCCAGCTTCCACACGTTGGATGATTTTTGCGACAGGTTGAAAACTGCCAAGAAGGTTCTGGTATTAACAGGTGCAGGTATTTCAACGTCGTTAGGTATTCCTGATTTTAGATCTTCTGAAGGGTTTTACTCTAAAATCAGACACTTGGGATTAGAGGATCCACAGGATGTGTTCAATTATGATATTTTTATGCAAGACCCTTCTGTGTTTTATAATATAGCACATATGGTATTACCACCCGAGCATATTTTCTCACCTTTGCATAGTTTCATTAGAATGATTCAGGATAAGGGCAAGCTGTTAAGGAATTACACGCAGAATATTGATAACCTAGAATCTTACGCTGGGATACAGGCAGAAAAAATGGTGCAGTGTCATGGGTCTTTTGCGACTGCATCGTGTGTCACTTGCCATTGGAAATTACCTGGTGAGAAAATCTTTGAAAATATTAGAAATTTAGAACTTCCCCTTTGTCCATATTGTTATCACAAGAGGAAGGAGTATTTTCCCACAGATTCGTCCGAATCGGCTGAACTGCATTCAGAAAACGCAAACCCAGTGTTCCATATGTTGAAGTCATATGGGGTATTGAAGCCAGATATAACCTTCTTCGGTGAAGCTCTACCATCGAAATTTCATCGATTTATCCGCGAAGATGTGCTGAAATGCGACCTGCTCATTTGCATAGGTACCAGTTTGAAAGTAGCGCCGGTATCTGAAATTGTTAACATGATCCCGGCACACGTCCCTCAAGTACTAATTAACAAAGATCCTGTAAGACATGCGGAATTTGATCTCTCACTACTTGGATTTTGTGATGATGTAGCAGCCCTTGTCACACAAAAATGTGGTTGGGATATGCCTCACTCGAAGTGGTCAGAACTCAAAGGGACAGAATTTGAACTTGTAGAGCAAGATAGAGGTGTATATCACATTGAGGCCAGGAAGAAAATTCCAGAGACTCAGTAAAGTTCGCACTTTAATATTGTAATATAAAACTAGTCATGATTTACTACATGCGCTATGATGTTGTGGAGCTTGATAATTGTTATTCACGGTAATGAATATCTTTCACTGGCTTAGACAGAAGGGCAAACTTAAATTATGTATTCGACTCTACTTTACAAAGAATATGTCATCCGTAGGCAAAAGCATGCCGTCATTGGTTCAAAATGGAAGTATCTATTCAATATTTCTGATTACTATCTGCATGAATAAACTTTTCTCATATATCAACTGATACGAACATCAAAGCTCAAGTTGGACGAGTTAAGTTACTTTAAACTTCAGCATATTTTCTAGTTCAGTTGCGAGGGTTTTTGATTCATATTATAGATGGATTATCAAAACAGAGCAGGATCTAAAAAGGGATCGGGTGGAATTGCGTCTTCATCTCAGGAGAATCTTCACAGAAGGAAGCAAGTTGAGGACCTGCTTAGTGGCGGTCAGGAAGTACCATATAGTTTTCAGGATGCAGCTAAGGAGGAAGACGAACATGCCAAAAAGAACCCATATATCTACAGGAATCATGCAGGAAGACTTGTTTGCAAGCTTTGTAACACAATGCACATGTCGTGGTCTAGTGTCGAGAGACATGTCAGCGGTAAAAAACATGGACTGAACGTTTTAAGAAGAGGAGGCAGTACTCATATGGCACAGCAAAGTGAGATTTCTGAGGAGGAGTCTCTGTTTCAACAAAAGGTTGAAGCAGTACGATCCGAGTTACGCAATCTTGGCATCATGCCTCATTATCAGGTCTCTAAAGTGAAAGCCCCAAACACTGGCCAACTCGGGCTTGCCATGAAAGTAACATACCCACCAATCGAGTTTAGTTTTGACAATGATGATAAGCCCTGTGCGAGAGTCATGACTAGCTTTGAAATCGCGGAAGAGAATGACGACGATAAAAAGTTTCTGGTAATCGCTTACGAACCATATGAGACGATTGCAGTCGAAATACCGAACCAAGAAGTTGTCTTGGATGAAAGTTCACCTACAACAGAATTCGCCGTAGACGACTTCAACAGTCGATCCACTTATTGGGACAAGGACGAAAAGATATTCTACGTTCAACTTTTCTTCAAATAACTTTACATTGTGTTCTAATTACTCATTTCATTTTCTCCAGCATGGCACCCATGTATTTATTTATGTGTCCTGCCAGTAGCGAGTACTCCAGTTCAATAGCATCAGATTCCCTTTGAAATTCGTCCTTCAATGATTGCATTTCTTTTTCCAGTTCGCTAACCACACCACCTATTAGTTCGGTGGCTATGTGCTCTTCCGTACGTTGAACCTCTGGTACAATGGTATCCGAGTACTGTGATTGCAATTTTTCGAGGGCAGCCCTGTTTTCCTTTTGTTTTTCCTTAGTCGTTCGTTCGAGCTCTTCAAGCTTCTCTTTTTGGTTTGTAAGTTGAGACTGTACGATAGAAACTTTAACAAGAACTCCTGATGAAAGAAGATTTTTCAACTTGGCCTCGCTTTGCAGTAATTGTTCTTTAAGCTCTACCAGTCCCGTCTCCTTGACGTGCGATTCTTGTAACTCAGTCGAAACAATTTTGAGAACATCATATAACTCCGACGTCAAAGTTTGGAAAGTTTCCATTGATAAAATAAGCTTTTTCTGACGCACCTCTAATTGAGAAAGTCTCTCTTGCTGTTTTTCATACAATGCTGCAAGCTCCTTTAAAGTCGTGTCTAGGTTGGACATATTCGTCTCAGAATACCTTTGTAGCTTATCTCTTTGCGATTCTAGTTCAATAAGCTCAAAGCCCGAAGTTTCTAGTTCATGCATTAGTTTCTGCTTGCTGCTCTTATAGCTATTGTAATCTATTGTCAATGTCTCCTGGATCTGTGTTAATTTCTTAAGTTGTTGTTCCAAATTCTTATTTCGCTCCTCCAAGCTGGCAAGATCTTCGCCTTCCTTCAGATCATTCAAATCCTCGTATCGTTTAATCTGCTGTTGCAAGAAGTTGTAATCGTCGAATTTCTGTCGAAGGCGGCCCAATAGTGACTCCGTCTGCGACAAGAATTGATCGCAATCGAACATGCGCTCTTCGCGAAATCTCGCATAGTTCACAACTGCACTAAGAAGTCTGCGTGTGCGTGCAGGCTCTGGCTTATAGAGGTCCATGATATTGAAGTCAGATACTCCAATATCCTCGAAGAACTTAAAGCAGATCTTATTGAGCGTTAGAACTCTGAGTGTGTCTGCATAAATAGCATTGTAATCGTCACTATTGCCCTCATCTTCAACTCCTTCATTTTCTTTGAGAAGTGTATCCGGTGAAACACCCATGAAGCTGTCTATTATTTGCTTGTACAATGTTATCACATACTGCGGTGTCGGCCTTGAGATGCTCTCTTCTGTAGCCATACTAAAATCACAACTTTGTAGACATATTACAAGCTCCTGCAAGTCTAGGAGAGGGAAAATGTCTTTATTCATGTATCCAATTGGAATAATGACAGGTTTATCTACCTTTTTTACTAGGTTCTATTTTCCGTGTTGATCGATGAGAAAAGAAGACGCGTCTAGGTAAACACTATCATTAAATCACGTGCTATCACTAAGGGAGATAACTATTAGAGCTGAAGTATATTATTTTCATAGTTCTTAACGCCTTTTCAATCGTCAAGCTTTAGAAGTTGGTAGTCATCAATCACCTTTAGTGTCCTTAGAATAGGTTGCGCCTTTGAAACGCTATTCAATTGATATCTACGTTGGTTATTTCGCAAGATGAGTAAAGCTGGACTGATTAAAAAAGTTGCCGTCATTGGTGGGGGACCGGCGGGTCTGGTCGCTGTTCAAGACTCACTCAAGCAAAAGGAATATGGCTGGGAGGTTATTGGGTTTGAAGCAAAAGATAAATTGGGAGGAGTGTGGAGCGATGAACCTGGATCTCGACTGGATTCACCGGATGTTTTCAGTTGTTTGAGAAAACTACCGGAAGATGTGCCTGAAGGAGTGAGCGCTGAAGCTATTTTCAATTATGGATCACCGCTGGTGAAGGATGGACAAGTGAGAGATATTAAGGCATTATTAGGAACTAGTTGTGAGTCACCGTTAAAGCTGGCCAAAAGCTCTACAGTACGAGATGGAATCATCTTCTCTAATAAAACCGGCGTTTATGACGGATTTTTCTCAAATGTTCCTGGAGAATTGATGGTGTTGGAATCAGAAAAAAGCGAAGCAGGGAAATCTAAGTCGCCTGAAATTGCACCATTAGTTAATCTCGATCAAATCCATCAAAATGTAAACGAATTTGTGAAGAAGTACGATCTCGAGCGGAGCTTTAGAACATCGACAAGTGTGGAATATCTCGACAAGCTTTCTCCTGACAAATGGTTTGTGATTGCCAAGAGATCGTTGCCTGGATCAGCGCATGATGAGTGGTATTTAGAAACATTCGATGCAGTAATAATCGCGAATGGCCACTTTTCTGTTCCTTACGTCCCATTTTACATGAGCAAGCCCTCTGAGGAGGACTCTGGTATTCACCGCTTTAATCGAAAATTCCCCGAAATAATGACACATGTCCGAGACCTTGATATTTGGTACCACAGGACTCTGCCCCATATCATCAGCGGAAAGAGTGCTGGGAAGCGTAAAGTGGTTATAGTTGGTAAGAGCTTTAGTTGTATGGACGTGCTGAAAAGACTTGTACCACTAAAAGAGAAATTAGACGATCTAGAAATCATTGTGTCGACTCATGCACCACCTATGCCTGAAAATATTGCCAATCCATTTTACTGGTTCGACCAATGGTTGTCGAAGACTACTAAAGTGACCCTCAAGGGGCCCATTAAAAGTTTTCTCTCGGACTCTAAGCCGGCGATCAGTTTCACGGACAACACACAGATAGAAGAGGTGTCTGCCATTATTTTTGCTACTGGATACCTCTACAGTTTCCCTTTCATGTCTGAGAAATTGTCAGAAAGCTATCGTATATTTGTGACTGAAGACTCAAGAAATTACGATCATAGCCCTTCTCACATATCACGCGTTACTGGCCTTTACCTTCATACTTTGTCTATTGCTGACCCCACTCTGGGATTTGTTGGCATTTCCAGCAATGCGAATTTCCAATCCTTCAGCATTTCCTCAGAGCTCTTGATGGGTGTGTGGACAAGCTTCAATAAGCTCTTCATCAAGGATTCTCCAAAAGATGGACCCATCTACAACTCCATCTGGTCTCAAGTACTGCCTTCGGTCAAGGATCAGTTGGAGTGGACTCAAAACAGATTCAAAAAGACTGGTAATCTGGCTTCTTATCATTTCTACTACCCTCTTCCATCGTTAAAAGATGAATGGTTAAATTTTTGCAAACCGCTGTTCACTGAAGAAGACAAGAAACAGGAACTGTTCCCTCCTGATGCTCCTAAATTATCGCAGGAAGGCATAGATGTACTACACCGCAAGTTCTTAGCTGCCATGAGCCCAGAATGATGTTTATAGTACTTCTAGTTGTCGCTGTTCGTGAACTATGATAGATGAACCTTAACGACCATTGAACTTTTTGTTTATATATTTCTAGATTTGGAATACTAATATGCATAATTCTCGATATTTGGATTCTCCTTCTATCTTTGTATCGACTCAAATATTGAGATGACCGAGAGAGGCATCATTCTTGCTAGAAAACAAAGTAAACAAACTTTCTGAAACGAAAATGAGTGTTAACACGCAAAGGCTTTCGGCAATGATTGACTCACTGAACGATGGTAATGACAATGACGAATTACTGTACATGCCACGTTCAGCTAACAATTCGCCCCCCAAAAAGCAAGAATATACCCCTAGCCCTATAAAACAACATGAGTATCTCATGCGACCCCCCGTGATGACCGGAGATGGCGCGACCATTAGCACACATTCGCATTCGCTGCATAGTTACAATAGTCCTGGGAACAGAGAGAGTATGATCTCAGATTATTCCGCTAGCATCCACGAAGGAGTTCCCGTTTCCTATGTCGTATCCAGCGCGGACAACTCTCAACAAACTACACAGATCCGGTCAACGCTCAATTTCATCAGCTCACAGGAGACTGTGGGATTAGGAATATCCCCCGTTGAGGAGAGTGAACTGAGCGATGATAGTGAAAAAGCTCCTGCTAGTAATAGTGACAACCAAAAATTTGGAAATACTTCGGCTACTGACTTAGATCCAAATTCGTCGTTAAGATTAGCAATTTCAGGTCATAATACACACCAAAAAGCGCTATCTTCAATTGGCTCTGGTAATTTAGCAAGTGAAAGCGGTCATTCTCGTAACTATTCGAACATGAGTGGATCAGGTTCTGGTAGTGCCAGCTATGTAATGCAAGACAATGCACAGCAAAGATATATGAGTGATAGAATCCGTGTCACCAAAATCAAAGAGGAAGTCCGAAGTGATGAGGAAGTTGACATAGAATCCAGTCGTTTACACTCAGAGGAGCAACAACCAGCGGAAATTTGTCGAAGAAGCACAAATGCTTCAGCTAGTCAAAAAAGTACAAATGATACTGTTAGTCGAACAACTACAAATGTTTCTCCAGCACGCTCCCAAAGTAAAGTATCTGTACAAAGATCAGATAGAACTGCAGAAGACAATCAATCTATCGTCTCCAGCATTATTCCTCCAATCACTACAAAAGTACCCGATGAGAGTTCCAGAGTAAAGTACGCGGATCGCGCCATTACAACTGATTACACACCATCTATCCCACCTAGAAGCAAAAATAGGCCAAAATCACATATTTTTATTAAGGACAGCCTCGAAGAAATTCAGAATCAATTACAGCAACAAATGATGGATGAATCTGCCAGTGTTTCAAGGGCAAGCACCACCAAGTCAAGTAGTTATTATTCAGCGGCTGACCAGGCAAACGAAGAATTCGGACAACCAGATGACGATAGCTATTTCCATAGACCTCTGCCCAATATACCACAAGAAGTAGAGAAGGAGAAGACAAACAACGTAGACAGAAGTGGCACTCTCTTGGTAAAGCCTGTGTCTGAAAAAAGTCTTCAGACCCCTCCACGAATGCCAAATCCACCAAAGATGCCTGAAAGTGTTAACACTGAATCTCGCAGTCGTGATAGAGGATTATCAGAAATCAATGTTCCAGCCGAACGTGAATCCAAGACTTTAAACTCAACACCCAAGACTCCTACCAGTAAAACTTCATCTCCATCAAAAGCGAAGCCAGAGAAGCATTTTAACACTAAAAAGGGTAAAGGAAAGAAAAACCATCTCAAAAAAGAAATGAGGTCATTTGACATTGACACAATCTCTCAGTTGCTCAGTGTCACCAAGGGAACCTTAATTGGTTCTGAATTTGCTAATCTTGGAATTAGAACTGAAGAGAAAAGAGCTCTCGAAAGATTGGTGGACTCACTTTCAAGACTGACTGCGGATATGGTATTGGATCCAGAAAGATATGAGGAGGGTTTGAAGAGATTGGAGAAGGCTACAAGAGCTCTGGAGGGATTTTAATGTCAATAATAAATAAGATAATGCTTTAATTTTATGTATAAATGATTTTGTTCTACTTTCGTATTATATATACTTCACCTCGATTGACATTTAGTATGAAAAGTGTCACGGAATTTTTTTTTTCAGGATCTGAACAGTTCGTTGATTGTTGAAAGAAAGCACCCATTGTTACCAATCATTCAACCGCGGCCCAGCAATGATTAGACGTAGTTGTGGTTTATTGAATGCTTCTTCACGCCGACTCTATCGTTGTGGTAATTCGCGGCATAACCAAGCCGTGAAGGATGCAGATCATTTTAAAGATGAAGAAGTTTCTTCAATGCAAGAGCGAACACTTTTCGAACAAATCTTTATGCAGATCATGAAAAAGGACGAAGAAAAGAGGAACTCTAAGAACCTATTGGGAAGTATTACATCGGGCTCACCTTCTGAAAAACCGAAGAATGATGGAGTACAAATTGTATTCGGGAAGAAGCAACTGTCTGTCGAAAACGAGAAGCTACAAAAGTTTTTGAAAGATGCTACGGGTGAGAAAACTGATGATGTGGGTGAGTTTGCTAGAATAACCACGGATGATATTAGAAAATATCCAGTATCTTTGACATCTACTTATTTTACAAATGCTAGCCATGAAATCAACGACAACCAAGCACCTGAATTTTTAGGAATTTCATCATTAAAAGACATCTTTTTATCCTCCAAAAAGTCGGCTTCGGAAGAAGGCAAAGCCACCTTCAGTCAAGCGGAATCAAAAGAAAGACTACAGACTGCTTTGCGTGAGGCTCTCCAACCGCATATCAAATATCTCAATGATCGTATAGAGACAGATTTTGATTGCCTGGAGGTTATCGAGGGATACTTAGAAGCATATGAAAATAGAGACAAAAGTTTGGAGAAACAATCCAAAACTATTCTAGCACAGATTTCAAATGACTGCGTGAAACACCCTACTACACTACCGCAACCATACTCTGTTACTCTCCCTTACATCATCAAATATTTATTCACAGAAGCCAACTTCAATTTCCCCTCCGACAGAGAGTACACTCTCATATCTCACATTTATCATCGAGCGAAACGCAGTCAAAATATTTCTCTGTATTTGAATGTGTGCAATGTAGATTTCTACAATTCACTTTTGAAATGCTGTTGGGAGAATTATCAGGAAATACATCAAACGAGGCAGCTAGTGACTGAGATGAGCGTGAACGGTATTATGGGCGATAATAGCACCATTGCATTATTGGATAAAATAGTTCGTGAAATGAGATTTCTTAATGATGGAATACTTGATGAAACTGATTTCAATACGGATACTTCCATTTTGGGAGCGGCTTGGTGCCGGGAAAATTCACAAGATCTGGATTACGTTGAGAACTTCTTAGTCAAATTGAAGCAGAACCAGAATTGAAAAACTGGATTCGCATTGGTATATTAATTCATGTAAATAACTATTAATGGACGCTGCATTATTGTCATACTATACGTTCGGAACTGGTAGGATCAAGAAGGTATTAATCAGTTGGAGTAACGATGATATTCTTGCAATCGGCAAAGAAATCTCACCCTAGCACGATGTCGTTAGAGGGAGTCGCTGAGCATTGCTATAATATAACACAGTCTTATTTAGACTTAGCAAATCAGACATCCATAGTGGACGAAACGAAGGAAGCAATTAAACTGACTAGAGATTACTTGTTGAAGGATATCTTCAAAAGATGGGATCCCTTCAGTGGTCAAATCTCCTTCTCATACAACGGAGGTAAGGACTGCCAAGTACTATTGATAGTGTACCTGTCTTGTTTGTGGGAGTTCTTTAAGGAAAGCATAAGGATATCACAATTCTCCCTCAAGTTCCAGAAGTTTCCGCTTGAATATCTTCCAACTGTCTACATCGACCAGGCGGAAACTTTTCAAACGCTCGAAGATTTCATAGAGCTCACAAAAAATCGATACTTCCTATCATTGTATGAATCGCCGCGAAATCAGACGAGCATGCCACAAGCCTTCAGAAATTATTTGGATTTAAATGAAAACACAGAGGCTATCGTGATAGGTATACGACACACAGATCCATATGGTGAAAAATTAAAGTGCATAGAGAGGACTGATTCGAACTGGCCCGATTTTATAAGACTTCAGCCTCTGCTGCACTGGAAGCTAGCGAATGTTTGGAGTCTGTTGCTATACTCTGGAGAAGAGCTCTGCGGATTATATGAATACGGGTTTACGTCTATAGGGGGTGTTAACACCACTAGACCAAATCCGTTCTTGAAGAAAGGCCCCGGCGAAGACAATGGCGAAGCTATTACAAACCATTTCAGTTGGGAAATCTCAAACGCATATGGCAAAGCACAGGAAGATTCATCCGTTCCTGTTACGCGTGTTTCGGATGCAGATCTCGATATCATTCAAAAAACCGATGACTCGGCATACTATCCCGGCTGGTTTCTGATAGAGGACTCGAAGGAGCGTGCTGGGAGGTCATAAATAACAAGCACAAAGCTTAGCTTGTAAATATTAAGCATGTAGAAGGGCGTCAGGCCCAAAAAACGTTTATTTGATGCGCTATATATACAGGAATGATCGGAGTTCTAACTCTAATCGTGAGGTTTGCCTGAGACCCTATCATACAGTCTTGCAGCGTGATAGTTGATATTACTCTTTTGGACGCTGGTATTTCTACCCATAGCACTATCAGCAGAACAAGCTTTAAGCTCTTTGACTAGGTTCTCGCAAACAGGGTTCATGTGACCGTTGGAAGACCAGCATTGTAGTAAGTTAGACATAAGCACTAGACACTTATTAGCTTCTTGCTGTATAATTGGTTTCTTCACTTTCAGCCTTGGTAGAGGAGGCAGTCTATGCACTGGCACTTTACCAGACATCCTGTGCGTGTATTTTGGAGTTATGAGTGAATCTTAAGTCTCAACTTACCAACTTTATGTTAGGTTTTTTAAAATTTTCATGTTCCCCGTATTACGCTATTATGGACAATCCAAATGTATCGAACTGATATTTGTCATAAAACTATAGAATGTAGATATGTACAGATGCATTCGCTAGAATTAGTACTTGGATAGGTCAGGCATTCTCAGAATTTCCTTATTTTTGTTTGCGCTGAATTCTTGCAATTTTTGCAAAACCTTTGAGTTTTCCCACTTAGCCGGTAGAGGTGTTATGGAGTAATTCTTAGTGGCCCAGTAGTAGATGTCCCAATCTAGCTCATTTAAGAGATCGTCGTATTCTTGAAGCTCTTCCGGGGTCATAGATTTTAGGTACTCAGCAGCGAATCGTGACAGAAGAAGGTCTGTTTCTAGAATCCCTCTCTTTCTAGATTGATACACTAAACGGGCTCTTTGGCGATCTAATGATTCCCCTGTGCGCTTTATTGGTGCCACTTTTACTCTCATGGTCACGTCGTCCTCTTCTGCACCCGCCTTTCCCTGAGTAGAATAAAGGTATTTGGCCCTAGCGGACACAAAGGCAAGGCAAGGGGAGTACAGAAGCGATGGTCTTACGGAAGCCTTTGCGATAGTTCTGGAAAGCATGGCCTCTTGATCTTGGATAAACGGAGAAAGGAATGAGGGTGCACCTTTCAACGACAAGTGCAGTAATGAAAGTCGCCTCCGTAAAAAGAGAGGCATAGTAATATCAAGGATAGCGTCGCTATGTACGCACCGCTATTGGATATTGTATAAAGAAACGCTACGATAAGTTTCATCTCAATCAATAAGAGTTTGAGTTTTTTAGCAAGCATCACTGCGTCACTTGTTCGCATCACAATTGTTCCAGTTTCGTCAGACGTTTGACAATTTGAATTGATGAATAACCCGAAATTGTTTCAAAGTCAGTAAGAGCCCTTGCGTTTTGAAGAATAGCGAGATGAACGCTCAAGTACTGCAAAAAATGCATTTGCGTCGGGAAGCGAAGTCCCATCTACACTAGCAGGCTTTAACTTTTCAGAAGATTTACATTACAATAATCGTAGCACGGCATGCCACGCTGCGTTTGATTATAAGACTATAGTATATATCCTTGAGCTCTATACTTCGCGTTCAATGTCTGAACTTTTTGAAGATGCGACGGGCTGGATTGACAGAGAAGGTAGGCTGCTTTGCGCCCTCATCTAATAAGCTGGAAACAAAATATCACCAGTCAAGCAGGTAATTTCGTCATCTTCAGCAGTGTAGGCCCTGGCCACGACACTGTATTTTCCAGGTGGAACTTCAGCAGGAATTTCAACTTCCTTGTCGATCATGTAGCTACCTGGAGACAATGGGCATCTGAGGCCACCAACGTCGTTGTTTTCCAACTCTTCACACAAGTCATATGTTTGTGATAAAAGCTTAATGTAACCCAAACGGACCTCAACGTCGACATAGGCTCCCTCTGTGATTTCTCCGTTCAAGATACCAGCAGCAGATACCGTCACATTCTCACCACGCACAGGGGGGTTTGGCAACAAGTTAACTAATTGAAGATCTAGCAGTTGAGACTCGCTAGCATCACATTTCTCCAAGGGAGAGTCGCCAGGAATAGGGTCACTATCGCCAGATCTCCCTGGAACACTAAAGAATGAGGAAAACGTGGGCAAAGCAAACGAAACTGCCGCAAAAAAGGCTAATAGGACAACTGAATTCAACTTGAACATTTCTCAAAACTTTTTATACACGGATAGGTTCCAGAATAATGCTGTAAAGGACCTTTTAAACGAGTGCAATTGTTGGGTTTGTTTGCTCCGGTTGTGCTAATATCATACCAAAACCCCTTGCGCAATGGAAACACTCAGCCTTACAATTAGGAGTCGTTTTTTACGAGGTGCGTGAACAACATAATATTACTTGGTTGACTAAAATACATATAGATGAGTAGACGGAGGCCAAGAGCATCCCTTGGATACCGTCCATTGGACATTAATGTTACCATGTAGAAAGTGAGCAGCACGTCTCTCTTTTTCGTTAAACTTTCATGTTCATCGTTAAAGGACAAAAACTAGGTAAAATGCCAGAATGATGAGAAGCCAGCTTGAGGCGGGATTGGCAGTTGCCATGAGGTGTGCCGAGGGGGATTCTCAGCGGCTTCACAAAAAGTAGCCACCCCTTTGATTGTTGTGTGTCGTTTCTTGAATGTAGTCGTCGGGCACCGCAGAGAAAATTTTAAAGGTGGTTTCGAGGTCTTCGTCGACTTTCATTACGCTCGCAACGTTACCGCAACGGTAGCAGTAGTTAGGCGCAGACCAAACGGTGACCACATCCTTTTCAGGAAAGTGGTATTTGAAGCCCTCCATAACCAGCTGGTGCGCTCTTGCGATGAGATTCAGCCCGTTGACGTGGTTGAATTCGCGGGCAACTTTGCTTCCAAACAGCCAGCCTGCACCCCGAGGCGACACTTGCCACGCTTCGACGTTGTCAGGGTCACTCCACAACAGGTCTGAGAACCCACCCTCGTGAGGCACTTCTTGCGCACGCGACAGCACTCTTATTTGGTCGAGCATGCGAATTTCAGGCGACAGCCCACCGTGTACACACAAGATCTTGCCGTCGATGATTGCGGCGAGCGTCAGGAAGTCGAACACCTGGCAGCAGTACTTCCACACCGTTGTGGATCCATACTTGTTCAGACACTCCTCATAGAACCCGTAAACTTGCGTAATCTGACGTGACTCGTGGTTGCCCCGCACCAGCGTCAGCCTTGCAGGATACTTGACCTTTAGGCACATCAGTAACGTGAACGTCTCCAGACTGTAGTAACCGCGATCAACGTAATCCCCGAGAAAAATGTAGTTTATCTGGTCAGGGAATCCGCCTGCCGTGCGGAACAGTTCCAACAAGTCGTGAAACTGCCCGTGGATGTCACCGCATACCGTTACCGGTGTTTGCACTGGTTGAATATTAGATTCCTCCATCAACAACTCTTTCACCATCTCACACAGCTGCTTCATCTCACCCTCCGTCAGCGCTTGGCACTTTTTGATTTTCTCTAGCCACTGATCTGGGCCCTTCTCTACCATTATTGAACAATATGTATTCCGATAACTTTTTTCTACCTGAGCTTCGCGTCTTTTGTCTCTATCAAAGTTCCACGATCCTTAAATTCCTGGCCTCAATCTGCTATTCGCTAAAGCCATGAACTAGTGAATCCACTAATATCGATGCGAGTTATGTATTCGAAAAACACTACTATTTTCTATTTTCCTCTCCTTGTCGAAGGGCTGTTAAACAAATTTTCACAGCAACGAACTCACGATTTTGCCACATCCGGACACCAGGAAGATATTGTGTGTCACGTGCATGTGGATCAATCGATCAATCGAAGTGAACAGCGTCGAGAGGCTACTCGTCGAGCCATGAATCCTCGTTATTAAGCGGGAAAAGTATTACAAGCTTCTCATTGATGTTTGGGAAAATATCTCTGATATTGGCTGTCTTACGGAACACACACTGTCCGCTCAGAGGAAAACAGTTCGCCTTCAGAAAAGTGAGCGTAACAAGGGTCTCTAACACGTTACCAACGTTCTCTGGTGCATGTATTGTACGGTATATGATGGGCAATCGGGCGAGACGGTCAGGTGGACCGAGCGAAATGCGTATAGCATTCTCTACTGCTTGATAGGAGATTTTATTCAAGTTCTGGGGAAAGGCCACCAACAGCACGACGCGGCGTACGAGATTGCGGTATAATAGCATAGGCATCTTTTCTAGAAGTAGTAGTAGTAGACGGCGAGCACGCAGCGAGGTTTCGTGTTCGGCCAGCCAGCAGTGGAAGGCAGCGAGATTTCCCTCGCACACAATGTGGATCAACGGGGTGTAGGACCGAGCCAGCTCGGGACTCACCTGTGCAACCATCTGCATTGAAGGTACCTTACCGAAAAGGATGCCAGCTGGTATCAGGTAATTGAGGACCCTGTGCATGTTTCTCCGCAGCGCAGGAGTTACGGTCTGTTGCGAGGCCAGCATCTCGAAGCAACGGTTGAGCTGGTGAAATGCATTGGAGACACGGTGATTAAGCAAGTAGTAACGCCCCAGTAAGTATCTATACTCAATTTGCTCGCGGATCGGGAACTGTGAAAATCGTTGAATCGTAGATTTGGGTTTGACATTCTTGAATATGTTGGCACACGATGAAGACGAGTCAATTCGCATATAGATGTTATTGAGACGGTTAGACACATACAGAAGCACTTTCTGTTTCTCCGGAAGGTCCTCAAAACGGCTAGATATCTCTTCGAACTTTGGTTTTACGCTGTTGAACACTTTTGAGATGATTGACGATACGTGAGCGAGAAATTGGTGTTTTCGCGTGCCCAAAGCTTCGTGGTTCTCATCTAGCCTGGCTGCTAAAGGGATTACTATATCTGTAGTCAATTTGAATAGCGGCACAAGGCTCTCGAGCGGATATGAATCATTCAATAGACAGTTGCTCAGGCTTTGGTAGTAATCGAATACTAGATCGAAGCTTTCCCACAAAGACCAGGGATCCACATCTCTGCAAAATTTAAGAAACGAAACCACGAGAATATTATACCTTGTCCACGATCCGTTGTGCAACTTAGCCTTCTCCACGAGTGAGCTCATCATGTCGTCTTGTGTGTTCTGGAGGTGATTCTGTAGGTTTGCAATTAATTGACCATTTGCTGCTATATCTATGGATAATACAGTATCATTACCATTGTGCAACTCTTGAAAAAACTGGTTCAAGGGGTTGCTCATGAGATCCAAAGGTCTTTTCGCTATTGATTGTGCTCATATACTTCAAGTGTAACATGAAAAATTTTTGATTTTACAATTCCTCAGCTCTTCGATCCCCAGCTAAAATAGCATGGACAGTAAGCCCGAAAACGACCTTGAAGTCGGTGAAAGAAGTGTCCATAGTCAATGCAAGGGAACTAAAGGAACGTTGCTCAAGAAAAGATCAAAAGATGAAGATAACTGTAGGAGCGCTCCCGCTCATCAGAACTCGAAGGTGAAATTGCGGACGAGGCGATATAGGAACGCTAACAAAGCTGCAGCGCATTTTAGGTTAGTGGTGAGATTACTACCGCCAAACCTAACGGAAGGCGAGTTTTACAACACTCTCTCGCCCATAGCAGACAATGAGTACCTCAATCAAAATGTTGACGAGCGATACTTCGCAGCTGGTCACTATTCAAAAAACCCATTCAAACTACCGACATATTCGCGTGCTTATTTATCATTTTACGATATGCATAAACTCCAGGATTTTGCTAAAAAGTTGAGTGTCGTGAAGTTTGTGGATGACAGGGACACTGCAATGGTTCCCACATTAACGACCACCCCATTCGTAAAGAAGCTTTTTACTGAGGAAAGCAAGGGAATGCAGAAATCCAAGGCTAAACTTGAAGGTACTTTGAGCAGTGATAAGGTATTTCAGACATTCTTGAAATCCTGGCAACTCATGGAGCAAGATAAAGAAAAATATGGTTATTCCGAACTAAGTGTCATAAGCTCGTTGGAAAGAGGTTTGCTCAAAGAAAAAGAGCTCAAAAAACGCATTAAAAAGCAGAGTGAACGAGCAATTGTCGAGCTGGCTGGAGATATAAGGAAGGATAAAAAGTCAAAGAAAAATAATAAGCAAAAGAAGAACAAAACAGATGAATCAAGCGGGGAGAAGAAGAAGAAGAGTAAAAAGAAGAAAAGCCATCCTGCTGCAGACCAAAACAAGAACAATATCGTGATTATAGAAGCCGCAGGAAGAAGAGAGTTACTGAGGAGAGAAAGGCTCAAGAAAAAGGCAGAGAGAAAAGAGAAGCAAACTCTTTCAACTAATGAGAAAGGCAGTAATCAAGTGAAAACGAAAACTCCGGGAGAAGAGGACACAAAGAAGCAAGAGAAAAAGAACAAGAACGCAAAAAAGAACAAGAAATCAAAGCTACAAAAAAAAGACGCGAAGGAGTCAAAAAAGGAAGATAAAGACTCCTCAGAAGGTGACAACAATAAGACCAAACAAAAACCTAAGATCAAGGTTCTGAGAAAGCCTTCAAATAGCTTGACATGAGATGTAATCTAAACATGACTGTGATAGAATTTTGTTATCACAATAACGAAAATTCGCTGCGAAGTTTTACGATAGCGAAAATCACTTCGTTCTATGCTCTGCTTCAAAAACCAATTCATTTGTGACATCTAGGAGTAATAGATTTGACGTTATTTGACGTGAAGCGATATATATCAGCTGACTTTTCCCTCTGTGTGCTTCTGGGATGTACTTAAACATTGCCAGTTTATTGCCGGCTTATAGTTGAGTTGGTAGAGCACTGCACAATTTTTTGTTGCCAAGACTTCAAATAAGCTCAAGTTGTTTCTATAAGTACTATCAATAACTATTACATATATAATAAACTTGAATAGTCTAACGTATGTACGCCTGTATTCTAATCTATATGCACTCTGAAATCCGAGCTTTTCTGGGTTCAGCCTCAATTCTCCTTCTCTTCAGATGACTTCTCAAGCTCTTCGGTTTCTTTCGCTTGTTCTTTTGCCGGTGCTAGCTTCATGTAGATATTTTGGGCAGTATTTAACCCAGCATAAGCAAAGCTGAGAAATACGGACCACTTTTCGGGTGTAATCAATTGCTGAGCTAAGGACACAAATACTGTCGAACTTACTATACTGCTAGTAAGCATTGGAGTGTATTTGTTTTTCAGACTCTCCTTAATTGATGTCATGCATTTATTAACACTTAGTCGTTGCTCGATGTTCACAATTGTCAATGCAATAACCAGAAAGAACACCTGGATTGGGCTCACAACTAGCCACGACCCACAAAGTTGGGCCAAACGCCTCCATTTCGCTACAACATGTTTGTTGGTCACTACTGTGATCCACTTGTATAAGTAATGACTGATTGGAGCATTGATTAGGCCACCATACAAGAGCATCATAAAAATCTTCTTGTACTTGGGGACTGACGTGATATATTTCAACTTTTCCTTTAAAGTGCTCAGTTTTTCATCTCTCTGAGAGCTTGCAGCTGCTGTCGATTGGCTGATCAGTTCGCCTGTTGCAGATAAAACAGCTCCAGTGATTGCTTTCACTAGCAGTGGATTCTTCTGTAACTGTTCATTGTAAAAGCCTAATGGTCTGATTGTTCGAGTTTGTTTTAGCATTAGCTGATTGATAATATACCTAGGTGTTGTGGAACTGTAATGGTGCGATATTTCCCTGAGTGCTCACCTTAAATATCTTGATGTTATCGCGCACGCAGATACCCGATTAGGATCGTTTCTTATCAACGCCCGTTACGCGCGCAAACGAAATCACGACGCTGAAACAGTATTTCCAGTTGGAAAGCATAACTGATGATCGTCGGCATGCTCAGCTCGTCAAGTTGAGATCATTTACTCTCTTACCACAGAATTGAGTGATCATCGTACAATTGTCGCTGTTCTCTGTCATTTTTAAGTAAACGGTTAAAATTTGGTTTCAGAAAAAACCTTAGACCCGACCTCATATACATCAAGGTGGAATGGCTGAGTCAAGTACTCTTTCGTGTGACCACCATGTTTGGTTACCTTTATTTTTGTTCGAAGAAGCCATAATTTGATTTTTCTTATTCAATACCTGCACTTGTGACTAACAGTACAGAAAGATTCAAAAAGATCATGGATTGTTCGATGGTCATGAATTTACAGAAGAACTAAGGAATTAGACTTATCTAAATTTGCTAGCAGGAAATCTACCTCCGTAATTTCTGGAATAGGGTTGTATAGGATTGTCGCATCACGACGACGCTACATAGAGCGAGAAAAGCGAATGAAATTAAGATATGGGCTTATGATTCGTACAAAACTAAAGAATATCTCTGTAAACAACCTTCCAAAACTCTCTCATCTCTACTTTTCAGTCCTCAAATATCAAGTCATCGCTTCGAATCAAGATGATCACATGACCTGTGAAACCATCAAAAATGGCGATTTGGTTTTGAACTCGTTCAAGTGCCCATAACTCCAGAAAACAAGATAAAGATAATAATCAATGAAGCTTGTTCACTTCCTCATGAAACTGCGTAATGAGCAGGTTACTATCGAATTAAAGAATGGCACAACAGTATGGGGCACTCTTCAAACAGTGTCGCCTCAAATGAACGCTACGCTCACAGATGTGAGATTGTCGCTGCCCAGTAAATCAGCAAATAGCGCCATTGCGGGAATGTATTTGAGTGGTGGACAACCAAACACAGAACGGAATACTACCTCGCTTCAGTATATCAACATACGAGGAAATACCATAAGACAGATAATCTTACCGGACTCGTTAAACCTTGATTCGCTGCTGGTGGACGAGAGGCACCTTAACAGGCTGAGAAGAAGCGGAAAAGTTATAAACGATTCCAATAGGAAAAGAAGGATGGAATACAATGGAAATTCTGCCAAAAGAGTAAAGCGCGCTTTTTAGGATATACAAGTACATATTTTTACGAATCTCACATTTTCTCACTTTAGTTAGCACTAATGCCGCGGTTATCATCACCGTCGCTGCTAGTGTCGCTCGCATGGTCATTAGCACTTTCTTCACTGCTACTGTCGTCGTTGTCGCTAGTGTCATCTTCAAAGATATTACACCATCGGCACCTGCCCAAGGGGATTCCCCAAATTTCATCTTTCGTGGAAAGCCAGTCTACGATCTCATCGATATGCAGAATCCCCACAGATTGTTCTGTTGTACTTGACCAGCAATCCACGTCTAAAAGTACTGACTTAACCTTTCGATAGTCATTTATGAATATCTTAAAGATGTTCCTCAAAATCTCGGAGTCTATCTGTCCTTCTTTGTCGATGTCCTCGAGATTGGGCGCCGGATGGCCCTTAGAGTGTACCATAGGAAGATAATAGTATTGAATTCTCAAGTATAATAAAATTAACACCACAATATATTTGTTGTCGAACTTTGAGGTCTTTTGAAATCCTTTCTTCAGTATTTCCAATATCTGCGCCAGTGTAGGTCGTATGTGGATGACTTTCATTAGAAGACATTTGAATTCAACCCCACCACAAGCCATTAGCATGGATCTTGGCTGTCCTCTACATGTTCCAAAGTCTCTTATCAGCGTCTTAGACAACTGGATCATGTTGACCCCTCTCTGAGCAGGTGGCTCGAGGTTGATTTTGTAGTACATCGAATTGTGGATTTTGACCCTAGTCAGCTGCGGTATCACCAATGATGTCGATTGATGGTTCAGTTGTTTATAAGATAAAGTTTCATCCACTTGAAATTCACGAGGCATCTTAGATATGAATTACCGCACTCGTAAGACGGACGGACACTAGCTCATCAGTTCCAACTGAACCACTAGTTTAGCAGTGTAATTCCGTCCACAGTGACACGTTTGATGCAAGCTTACATTGATTCTGTATTCTTCTATTTACAGGGTGTGTTATCTAGGACGCGAACATTGCATCCACATATTTCTAGTTCAAAACCAGCTCTGGTGATTCTTTTGTTTCCTTTTCTCGATTTTTTTCAGGTACTTTTTACCTCTTGTCTCTAAAATGAACTGGTCGGCATTTTTAATTGCCTCTTCCATCTTCTTCATCTTTTCATCGTACCGAAGCTCATATTTGTGCCCTTTGGGAAGTAAAACACCCTTCATCAATTTCTTCTGGTCATACTTCTCCTCAAAAAATAGCTTTTTGTTCGGTGGTAAAAGGTTCTGTAGCCCATATTGGTGAGCAAGCTTGTAAAGATCACTCATACGTCTCAATGAATATTTTGGGTTGTGGTATCTGCCTGTAACAGGGTGTTTGTTAGGTAAGAATGGATTAGCATCGGGTGAGTTAACCAGCGTTGGTCGATCGCTGTACTTCACATTAGGAGGAAACTTCTTGAAGAATGTTCTTAATTTATCTGGAAGTAAATTGAAGTACTGCTTCATAGCTGGGTTGGACATCTTTTCGAAAGGCTGCGACGCTAAATACCAATTTTATCACTTGGCTCAACTTCAAAATTTTTTCAATCAAATTGAAACATTTCACTAAAATAAATCACACGTGATTCGAAGTTGTTATAAAAGTATGCTACAAGGTTGAGAAGGAGCAACACATCCTCTGGAAATCCTTGAGATGTGTTGTTTCCTCTCACATATTGAAGTTCTACTACATGATATGCTTATTATTATCTCAATTTTTTTTAAAACTTGGCGGTCCCTCATAAACCAAAAAGGTTCATTACTGTTTATCCACTGTTTGTAGAAAGTAGCGTCTCATGAACTTCATATATGACTGAAGTCCAACATCACGCCAAAACGTAACATTCCTGGTGAAACAACTTGTGGTTAATGCTCGATTGGGGGAGGGAGGCCGTAAAAGACATCACTGTGACATGAAATGTATCTCAACAGCCTGGTATTATCAAGAGCACATAATAGGGCACAACTGGTTAGTTTTTGATGCTAGGAGGGCATACACAAGTTTTCGATTGCCCTTGCCTCATAGCTTCTGAAGATATCCTTGGCGGATAAGTCTTTCAACATCTGCTTGCCTTACAAAAAACTGCGTGTCCTTGATCAAATTAAACACGCCATACTCTGTTTGAATCTCACCTGCATCTTTCAATACTCGGACATCAATGAACACATCGCTTGGAGATGTTAAACTGCCGGACAAATCTATATCTGCGAGATCTCCACTCTTCATGTCTGTTATCAGTTGAGAGTACTCTTTTAAATACTCTTGCTCAAAATGTGACAAGTTTTTACTCCCTTGGTTGGAGACTGTCCCAGCACTCAAGGCATCTAATCCGTCATTGTCCCAAGCGATACTATCCAAAGTATCGCTTCGCAGCTTCTGATAAGCCATTAAACATCTCTTGTTTCTCTCCATGCATAATAGTGTGACGAAATATTGGCATCGGGTTATCTTGCTATCATCTTGATCATTCTCTTGCTGTAATTTCAAGATCTCTGCATTCTTTTTTAACTGGTTCATTTCCTTTAAGATATTCTGGACAAGACCATCTTGATATAGCGGTAATTGATCGCAGCTGGAGTTCTGATTTAGTTGCTGAATTCTCTTGGCTTCAAGTACAAGCTTATTTGCGAGGTCACCGTACATTGTTCGCAGATTTTATACTTTTGTAAGAGTTAGTTGAAACGCGAAACTAAGCTTTTCTGTTCACGTACATCAATGAAAACATATGGGAAAAAAGGTTTTCAAATACGTCCAATTAATCGATTATCTACTAATTTGGCAAACTTCAGTGATGATGAGGTTGAGACTACCGATATAGGTAGTGAAGGGACTACAGAAATTGAGTCTTTGGAAGCTAAATTGGCTCTAGTGACGAATAAACCTGAATCACCTGTTCTTAAACATAAGAATGAATTCGAAGACAACCTCAATGCAACAAGTAAATCCAAAAATAGTAAAACATTTGATTTCTTCAGCTTCCTAGAAGACACGCCAGTACCAAAGAGAAGGAAGACTCATAGCTTTAGAAAGGAAAGCGCTAAAAGCAATGAAGATAGTGGTGACGATTACGAGTCCAATATAAATTCTGAAAGTTTTCGAAGTACTATTGATGGTATCAATGAACTGCTGTCATCAATTAAAAGTGCAGAAAAAAGTGAACTGGTGCTAACTGATAAGCTTCAAGACGAGAAAGATGTTGAACAATACGAGGCTGCAGGAACATATGGTAGTACTAGAACAATCTTATGTCGTGAAGAAGATGACTCTATACAAGGATCCGCCTCTGAAAATGAGGAATATCGAGGAAAAGGGGAAGTTGAACTTCAGATGAAAGAAGAAGATGACGGTGCAACCCACCATTTTAATCAATTGAAGGTGATGGGCGAATCGTTGAAATTTCAGGATGAATTGGAATTTTTAATGAGTGATGCTGATAAGGATATTCAATCTTTTATCTCAAGATTGCTAACTCTCTCTTTAGATATATTGAACAACGACGAATTGCGTGCTTACATCATAAAGTATCAACATAAAGATGTTTGGAATTGGTGTTTCAAAGTGTCAGATCCCCATAACGCCGTTCTGCTCTATGTACAGGCAATCATTGCTACTATTATTCCATTAGACGACAGACAAAACTTATGGTATCGTCTAGATATCGATGATTTTATCCTACCTTTAACATCACAGAAGATTGTTATCGAAAACATCGAAGGAACTAAGTTTATGCAGCTCAATTATCGAGACTTATTAGCAAAAACCGAACGTCGGACTGGTCTTTACTATGCTCTCACTTTATGGCCCAAATGTCAGGATCCAGATTGTGAATTATCCGAAATCCAATACTCTACACTAGTTAATCTTCTAAAGGATCGAACTGAGTGGATTGATATGTTACTTGAGGTTGTTGAAGTCATAATTCCGAATGAATTCCCTATGAAACTTTCAAAACGATGCATCGATTTATTTAATATTTTAAGTCAGATACTGGAGCAATTGACAGAGAACGAAACATTAATCAAGTCGCTAATAAAACTAACCAACAATCGAACCATAATTGCTTCCTTACCGACTGAACAACGCATTGGTCTTTTAAAACTCTCTCTTTCATATATTGCAAATAGCGCTTCGGTATTTGAAAGCCAGTCAAGCTCCAGTGACTCTGGCTTAGCAATTTTACATTTAGGATTGGCACTGAATCTTATAGTTGACTTAAAGGATGCGACTCTCCGAATTGAGTATGATGTACTTCAAGAACTGAAGAGGAAATACCATAAAATCCTTTCACGAATTGCAAATTTTAATTTTGGTGAGAACATGTACTTACTGGTCTTCGCCTACGTTTGCAAGATTGCAAATATAACGTTGGATTCAGTTGCCAATGTCGACGTGTACCAAAAACTTCACGATTTCTCAAATGAAGTGAAAATGTACAATAAAAGCATATATTTTGGCATCCGAGCTCTGCTAGACACTATTTAATTTTCTTTACGATTCAAGACCTACTTTTAAGACCACATCTGGTAAAACTTCTGGAAGGTAACTGTTCATTCTCAATTGCTCTTTATGGAGCAATTCTTAGCATTTCCCAGGGTTCTTCCTCAGACTTTCTCTGGAAAACAATACGGTCATGCAAACGGCTTGGTCTACCTTGCCAAAATTCTATCATGAGTGGAATTACTCTCACTCCACCCCAGTAGTCAGGACAAGGGACATCTTCGACACCTTCAAATTTAGCCTCATTCTTTTTGACAAGCTCTTCTAGCTCATTACGGTCTTTGAGAACGGCCGATTGGGGAGAAGACCAGGCACCAACTTTAGAACCGTGTGGTCTGGTTTTAAAATAACGTTCGGAAGTTTCTCTATTCACATGCTCGACTTTCCCTTCAACACGAACCTGCCTTTGTAAATTTTTCCAGAAAAAGGTCAACGCAGCTTGAGGATTTGACTTTATGTCATCAGCTTTTCTGGATGTACCCCAGTTGGAGTATATACAGAATCCGCGATGATCAAGCTCTTTGAATAAAAGCACTCTTGCAGATACACGACCACTTGGTAATTCTGCCGATGCAAAATTCACAGCTTCAGGAATAGCTTCTGTTGGATCTTCCTTGGCCTCTTTGAACCACTTGGTGAATTGCATTATGGGATCTTTCTCAATTTGTGACTCATCCAACGAGTACTTGTCATACTGATAGGTTTCTGGAGCGACTGTAAAGTGAACATGTTAGCAATTGAAGTAGTATTTGAAATTTCTGCAGTTCAACTGGGTTTACATACAGATAATAGGTTTTTCAGTCTTTTGTTCCGTCATTTTGGTTGCTTGTTTTAGAAGTGAGTAGAAAAGCTGCTGTAAATGCTAAAAGTTGACTAAAATGACTGCATCAATAGGAAATCTTATCGTCTCGTAAGAAAAAAATAAAAAGGCACCTGATCATTCCATTGTTAAGTATATATTAATTCTATAAATTATGAGATAGGGTTTGCAAGACCTCTTGTCCATGTATATGAGCCCAAAATGACAATGAACAAACTGTAGGATATAAAGATGGAAACAAAATAGTAGAGAGAAACTGGCTTCAACGGCAACTGGTACCCTTCATTAACAAAAGTGCTGATGGTGCTCATCGCACCACATAAACCTGTTCCCAATGCACCTACAACTCTTGAAGTATTCACTGACTTTATAATCATTGTTCCGTCTGCAAGCTTTCCCCTTATCAGCAATTCAAAAACTGCTAACAACATAGAAGCTCCGACGTTTACTATGAAAGTACCCAATGGAAAGTGCGGGTATATAATGTTGTACCATCTTGAAATGTAGTATCTTGCAAGTGTGCCAAAGATACCAAATACCGCAGACAAAGTCCAACTTCTAGAGAAGTTAGAGTAGACTGCAGCTAGAACAACCTGAACGATGACGAATGGTAAAGCGAGAGCAATAGCCGCTGCTTCGACGCCATCCAAGAATGAACTTAGATTGATGGAGAGTTCAGAGGGCATTCCCTTTTCCTCTTCCATATATTTGCCGAGTTCTCTAGCCACATGATATCCTAGCACCAACCCACATATCGAAACGCCTAATTCGACTGTTAGGACGGATAAAAACTCTAGAATACCGTACGCTTGATTCGGAAATTTAATGTCCATACTAATGTTTGCAGAGTTTTGCGCTGTGGAGTGATTGAAAAGTTCCATCATCAATGAGGAGAAGGATGAAGCTGTTCCTGCGTAACCTGTAGTAAGCCCACCAAATAGTGACGAAGGTATTACCTTATACTTGTTAAGACCCTGAACCAGACCCATGCAAAAGCACGCTGTGAAATTTGGCCACAATACATTGGGGCCCTGCACATATGAACCGGCGTAGTTAGTTAAATCTGTGAGACCAAGCCGAGTATATGTTCCTAAGATTGAAAATGTGATAATAATGAGAGCTTTTCTGATTTCCTCTGGCCAAGGATCAGGTGGAAGAAATATGAGAGTGTTGCCAGCATGATAAAGGCCATCTCGAACCTTTTCTATGTTATCTCTATTCATCTGGTAACTGCAATTGTTGTCTTGGCATTTTTTCCTGAGAAATTTTTTTTTTTTCAAGTATACGGAGACCGCCTGCCAATCGCAACTAAAATAGGCTCGGATTGCCCATTAGAAGGTCGTATGACCTGTATTGCCATCTTACACAGTCAAGATAGGAACAAGCAAATGTATATAGATGAAGCCTGGACTCCAAAGCAAACTCTCGATGTAAAAAGTCCATGAAAGAGCTCTACGTTGCAAATTGCCCTCCCACTACGCTACATAGACTCTACATAGATTTTCTTTAGGGGAAAAATGAAATGGGTTCCAAAAATTGTAGCAGGGCTATGGTGAGGATAATGGGCAAAACGAATGAAAACACATTTGAGCAGAAATCGGTAGTCTTGAGATATGCTAGTCGGAATTCGCCCTGCTATACGGGGAGTGGACATACCAATATGCTGGGCGCTTCTCCTACAAATATAGTATTGACCTGTCGGCCCTCTGGGGCAACAGATCCCCTCGACCCTGCGAAATCCATCACAATGGTGCAAACTTGAGCTGTCGATGACTTTGCTGTTGAACGGCCTTTAATTGGGGGAAAAAGCCGCTAAAAAAACCAAGTATAGAGGGAGTTTTGCAGGCCTAAAGACAATTTGCAAGTTCAAACGACATTTTTTGCGAGGTCAATTGTGGTTCATCGGCAGCTGCCACTGTCTACAAGACCAAAACCGCTATGCGCACGAGTTGAATGTAACATGGGAGGCCGCCCGGGATTATCCATAATCCGAGCATTAGAGTTCAATTCAGAACGCGTGTGCCAACTCGGTTCAAATCCAATACGACCCAGCCATCTCGTCCACACGCGCGGATCCTATTACTTGTGTATTCGGTCTCTTAACCAACAGCAGACAGCGGCTCCCCACCCAGGACGTTAATCCCGCAGATAAAACACCGTCGTCTCTTGCAACCCGCCTCGGCCCATGTTGAAAAGCGCACAGGTGTCAGGGTGTAAATACAGATGGGTCCTTGAGCCCAGGCAGCATGAGAGCTACTGAAGCGCCAACTTCCACAATACACCCAGGAGTTTAACCTTTCCTATAGATGTTTTGATGGAAATACATCGATTCAATAGCCACACGCCACATGGAGAACCCAACAACAAAGTTCATCGACTAGCCTGACCTTGCTTCGAACTTGCACAAAAATTCCTTCAGCTTATCACATAACCCCAGATATATAGCTCAATGTGCAAAAACATATAGATTTGCGCCAATTCCTCTCAAAACTCGCTCGATAATTCACTTTTGGTGATTTGTCAAACTGAAAATGGTAGCTGATTCACCTTAAAAGCTGATTTTTCTCTTCGTATCGGACGATAAGTCTCCAGAGCGACTAAAATATTGTATAGTAGATTAGCCGCCCAGCATTTATTGATACTCACTCAAATTAGATGCATCCAAAAGAGAAAGATAAATAAAACACGACCAGTAAGGATGCGTCAGTTCAAAACAGTTGAGTATGAAGGCGATTCTGGCTCTATTATTTCGACCAGAAAAGCTCGAACAGTCGAGCTTAGAGACTGTTCAAATGTCACTTGGGAGGGTATGAGAGACGGAACGGGTGAAGTTCGTGCAACTGAAAGCTGTCAGGATAACAGACCAGAGCTTTATTCAAGAGTTTGGCCGCGAAGAAGTTCCACTACTATCAAGCAGGATGCCGTTCATCAGAAGTCTAGGAGGAGATCCGCCACGGTGAGTGTTCCTCTACCTTATTTGGAAAAGCAGTTTGGGGATTTGGATTTGTATACAGTCGAAGAGGTTTTTCATCCGTCTGAAACGTCCTTTGAAGGTCGGGATCCGCGAAACAGTAGCCTAGAGACCTCATCGCAATCAGAGGTTGACGATGGCGCGCAACTAATATCAGAACGGCAATTGGCACACATGAGAGATGATTTAAATCCAAGCAATCCACAAGCCATATCAGCAGAAAGGCAAAGCACACAAGAGGTACAAGAGACTTACATTGGAGAGCAAGAATGTGTGATCATTGAGGATGTTGAGGTTATTAATTTGAATAACGAAAATGAAAGCACTACGGGCAACCCTGAACCTATAGAAGAAAAAGCACCATTAGAGACCGCTTCATCTGGTTTTAACCGCCATAAACCAAATAGATCTGCTGAAAAGGGAACAACTCATTATAGGAATAGATCAAGCGGCGGTGCTTTAAGCGCTGATACCTTTACCCGAGTTGCACGGAGCCTTCACTCAAGCTCATTAGAGCAGGGTGTCTGCAACGGCTTAAAGGTTCTCACTGGTGAAGGATCTGAGCAAATGGCTCGTCAAGAAGCAGAAACTCGCATGCAAGTGTGTCAAGAAGTTCTACAGCCAGTAACATTGACAGCACTCGACAATTCAACCAATGCTAATTCTTCCGCGTTGCAAACTCACGTTTGTGACTGTGAAGGCATTCAAATAACAAATCTGAAACCAGCTCTGATTGAAAAAGAAGCTTTTTCAACAGATGTTCCATGCAGCGCTAGTACGACGTCCATTCATAGGCCTTTAAGGGAACTAATCAATAAGACAAATAAAACATGCTATCAAGTCGACTCTAGTAAGGTAAGATATAAAGCAGGTCTCTCTAAGAACACTTCGTTGCGCGTACCTCACCTGCACGCCAAATTCGATAGGGAGAAGTAAAAAATTGGTCTCTAGCGGGATCGAACCGCTGATCCCCGCGTTATTAGCACGGTGCCTTAACCAACTGGGCCAAGAGACCATAAAATACTTATTTGCTCTGCGGTAAAACCATCCCCTTGAACTCGGGAAGGTGTTGATCGTGGCTACCCATCATGAATGAGATATAACTCCTTAGAAACTTCTTACGGGTACAAAGACACCCGATTTGGCCAAGAAACGTGGCTTTGAAATCAATGGCTACCTAAGATATATGTACAGCTTCATAATTATAAGCATAGTGCACACGATAGCTTTTCCGGTAAAATATACTATATTCATGATATGGACCAAACAGTAAGCTGTAGTGCTTATCTTCGCATGACAAAAATGCAGGAAGAGATATGGTGCCACGTTTGGAAAGTCTTGTGCATCCATTCCGATTTGAGAGGCTGTGAACGATATTTTCTCTCATCATTTCACAAAGACTCCAAATATTCAGAGCAACTATGACAGAGGCATGGAGCCATGATTCGTTCATTCACCACTAGAGCTTGGATCGATGTCATCGGGATTGGTGCCAATTTCTGTACCATCATTAACACCAGTAGTTCCGGAGTAAAATCTTTTCCAGAGCTCAGAAACGTTTTCAAACTCTTTACCCACGGCAATGAAATTTTCCAGAGAGATATTGAGCCCATTAAGCCCATTCAAAATGGAGTCTAGAGTTTGATTGATATCTTGTAAAATAAAGTCTCGTTGCTCCAAAAAATATCTATCAGCGTCTGAAACTTCAACTATCTCACCATTCTCCTTTCTCAAACTCTCAGCCATCCTGCAATTTTACTCAAGCTCGTCTTTTCGCGTCCGAAGCTGTTGAGCTGTTTATCATTTTCAAGATCATATCAGTCAAGAGGTTACCCGTCTTTGGTCGAAAAAGTATAAAATCTGTAATACTCTAAAGAAATTTAATAACTACACTTTTCCTACTAAAGTAAAAACCAACCAGTATCATTGGCTGGCCATATCTCTCCAACATATGGGCGGTCTCTCTAAGCTGGGAGATATACCTGAACAACTTAAGTTCTGTTGTGAACTAGATATTGAATCACGTTCCATAACACTATTGTCGTTCAAACAACTTGTAAGAAACTACTGCTATTAGATATTACGTAGACTATTGTTACAGCAGATTGTTTCTACTCGCTGATGTCGGGATCATCCTGGTATCGAGGTTCAACGCCGAAAATTAGCTCGTATTTTCTCCACTTTTTGCGTAGCTCGCTCTTGGGGTCGTTAACATCGGCTTCACTCTCTTTATCAAATTCGTCGAGCCAGTCCCAAGGTTGAGACAGTACCGCTTTCCGTTCTTGTAACAAATTTATAAGATCGTCATCGAAGCACAATGCTGCGTCATTAGTCAGATGGTTCCACATGGCCACTAGGTAAAACTTCAAGCTTCGAATCCCGCGTAAAAAGCCTCTATCTTCGAGCTCTGGCCGTTTTGGTGGAACTTTGAAGGAATCCTCGCCCTCTCGTAAGTCATCGCTTGTGATGCACTGAGCAAAGTCAATAAGATTGACCTTCACGCGACAGCGTTTGTTATTCGGGTTGTTACCATCATACATCAAAAGTAACGACGACCCGTAAAGCCTATAGCCTTTTAAAGTAGATATCTCGGCATACAGCTTGTCCAACTGTGATATTAGCCTTGGAATTTGCTCCAATATGCTTGCTTTTGTTTCTCCGTTATAAAGGAATCTGCCTAAGACACGTGCAAATTGCCAACCGATTCTGACTCGTCTTCCAAAATATTTATCCCTAGTGATGTAGTAACTCTTATTCCAAATTTTTAATCCACATATTCTTACTCCTAGCTTTCTTGAAGTGGTCTTGCGGCACTTCTCGCGCTGCGAAAGTTGTTTCGACCGTTTGGCATCGACACCGTATTGTCGAGTGCCCATTTTCAAATCTAGAACACAAGGTTTGTTTAGCTTCCTCGTTAAGTCCTCCAATAAAATGAATTTCGATACAATAGTATGAGAGTTTTCTTCGATAGAGACAGATTCATGGCCAAGATCATCCTTAGATGGCATTGTATCTTCTTCCATGCTGAATACACCTTCGTCGCCAGCGGGGCTATCAGGTAGTAATTCTTCATTAGACGTAGTACAATCGATTTTCTCCCTCTCGAGATGCTCCTGGGCCATTTTACGCTTATTGAATTGTTTCAAGTCTAGCACTGATGCGTGCGAGTCTACCGCGTTAGCGATGCTTGACTTTACAGATTTGTGTAGAAGTGGGGAAGAAGGAGGAATTGAGTTTGGTCTCGATTCAGCCGAATTTCTTCTGATATTTTGTAGATATTGCGAATTAACGCTAGAAGAAGAAGACGATCTTGACTTATGTTTACCTCCCAAGGATGGAGCTCTCGAATGGCATTTGCGCTTTGTGGGAGCGAATACCTCTTGTAGAACGAGCTCTTGTAATTTTGTGTTTATTACAGTAGATCCAGAGTCACAAATATGTGTCTTTCTATCCTCGAGACTATGTGATGAAAGATAAGAATCACTTGGGACAGAGTTCGGTGAATGCGAATATCTAAACCAAAGGGAATCCGGAATGATATGCTTATTGTCATCCAACACCACTTCGGGATTCTTATATTCCAGGTGTTCGTCAGGAGCAGGGAGAGATTGAACGTGTTTCAAAGGAGCTCCTGGCAAATAGTCTTTATTTTTTTTTTTTTGTTCCAATTTTTCTTGCTTGTTAAGTTCTATCTCTTTCATAAATTCGTCCTTAGAATTAAAATGCTGCCGTACGTTCAACACACCGATATATCGTGGCATGAACTGCAAAAGATCCTTGTGTTGTTGTTCTATAGTTTCGTACCATCTGTTTTCTCTATTGACTAGGGCCTTGCACACCGCCCTTTCTGAAAATCTGAAAATGGCCGTATGACCACCAACCTTGTTGGTGAAGGGCTTCAATTCGACGGCGAGGGGGTATTCCTCGTCTATGAAGCCATCTTCTTCATCATCCTCATCTGTGGTGTTGTCATTGTCATGTTTCGCGCTGGACTCGACAGACGCGACTGTTGTCACGGATGGTCTACGAGCCGCATCGTCACCTGCTCCGCGATCGTTGGATTTATGCGGATAGTAGGTTGCAGATGATATTGGCTTCAGCTCTAATGAGCGCGTGCTGGAGACCTCCTCTTGTGGTCGAGCGACTGGGTCTTTCGGTCCTGTGCCACTCTCGCCGGAAGGATGATGACTTGTGTATGCATGTAACTCTTCCGCCACATGCGTGTTGAGCTTATCTTGTCCTATTGTAGCAGCAGGTTTATCGGCGTGCCTAGCCTGTCGATTGGTAAGCAGCGGAGGTACGTTTATAGCCCTTGCAGAGTTCCGTCTGATACGCGTTAACGTGTCGTATATCGAAGATGAATGTCGTCTCCTGGGCTGAGGACAAGGTGATCTGAAAGACTTTTTCGTGAAAGACGGATTCCAATCGATAGAAGGCGCCACGGGCACTTCGGGCTCGTCGGGCTGCCCTGTGTGCTGCTCGTCGTCTTGGAATATCCTTAAGTACGTACTAGCTTTTCTACCATGTATAACAGGCGGCAACTTGGTTTTATCAAAAACATTCAAATCCTTCAAATGTGTGGTCACCTCACCCACCCCACTTCGAGGTCGAGTTTCGTCCATTCTTTCCGATCCCTTCTTCGCAGCTGCACGGTTTACAATAAACACAGCTCCCTCTATGCTATCTCCTGAACCTTGTTCGAGCTGCTTTATGGATGGAGATGCAGATTGTATTCCAAGAAACGTAATGTTGACGATAATTTTTTTTTCTGATACCGAGAGCCCTTTGATGCTTCAAGATACCAAGTTGATATGTGAATACATACCAGTATGTTTACTTACCTACCAATCTATCGTATTTCCCACAACAGCCTTGCCAAACCCTTTGGTCGTCAGGTACACGTGTGTGTCAACGTGGGTGATTAAACCTTAAAATAGATGAATAGGCATATGACTTTTTACTTTCGGTCTATAGTACTCTTTTCAATCTTGCGCCACGACTTTTTTTGATATCTCGTAGCTCAGCGGTCGGGATTTGCAATTTTTTTAAATGTGAGGTCGCCGTTCGATCGTCCCCACGGTCGTTTCTCCCACCTTTTTGACAATACTACGCACAAAACAGCTGTAACGATACAAGTAGAACTATCAAGCTACTCCTAGGAATTGCAGCCATTAATTGATGTGACCCTGGACCCGCTAGTGTGATGTTGTATGGTCCACGTGACTAAAGACCAATGGAATTGCGTTATTTTCGGAGTAAGGCCCGTGCACCGCGTACTAGTTGCCAGAAATTGTCGTCCTGTTTCTCACCGGGAAAATTTTCACCTCCCTTTTTATTTGTAGACAAGTCGCAGCTGCTGCTCAACGTCGTCACAACAGGATAGAACCGCAATTACAAGGATGTTCGCCAGAGCCGGAGCCAACTGCGCTCGCAGCATGAGACCTGCAAGAAACTATGCCACTTTGAGAGAAATTGAGACCCGTTTGAAGTCTATCAAGAACATCGAGAAGATCACCAAGACTATGAAGATCGTTGCGTCCACTCGTTTGTCCAAGGCCGAGAAGGCTAAGGCCACAGCCAGACAGTATTCTGAAGCTGAAAAGGAATTTTACCAAAGTGCTGAGACCAAGCCTCTAGAAGCAGAGGAGCCCAAGAGCTTGATCATTGCAGTTACTTCCGACAAGGGTTTGTGTGGTTCCATCCACTCGCAATTGGCCAAGGCTGTTAGAAATGAGCTTTCAAGCAACCCAAGTGCTGATGTCGTTACTGTCGGTGACAAGGTTAAGGCACAATTGTTGAGAACACACGGTGACCACGTCAAGTTGGCATTCAGTGGTGTTGGTAAGGAAGCTCCAACCTTCCTAGAGAGCTCTTTGATTGCCAACAAAATCTTGGAATTGGGTGGTGCCAAATACTCCAAGATCAGCATCTTCTACAATGATCCTGTCTCTTCATTGTCTTTCGAGCCAAACACCAAGAATGTCTACAACGCCGAGACCATTGAGCAATCCCCAGCTTTCTCCAAGTTTGAGATTGACGCAGACTCTAAGGTCTCCCTTGACATGTTTGAATTTACTCTTGCCAACCAGATCCTTGCTGCCATGGCCGATGGTTACGCTGCTGAAATTTCCGCCAGAAGAAACGCCATGGACAATGCTTCCAAGAACGCTGGTGACATGATCAACAGATACTCCATCTTGTACAACAGAACCAGACAAGCCGTCATCACCAATGAGTTGGTCGATATCATCACTGGTGCTTCCTCATTGGATTGAGCCCTTAGCTCTACACACCGTTTATGAATATTTCTAATGACATATGGAATGCTATCTAACGAGACATTTCCTTTCTCTTTTTGTATATCAAGAGATTAAACAGCAACCAAATACTATAAATATATTCGCCTGGATCATTTATTTGAGTATCTCAACGCGTAGTTCATCACCAGTAGTAAGCGCTCCTCTGAGGCACGATTGTAGTTTCTAACAGGTTAAACTGAACTTTGCCACATCAGTAGGACAATGCATTGTTTGCACTAAGCCTCAGCGTGTTTTAATTCTTTACAATGTCTGAAATAGTCAAAACTTTTTTCGTTTCAAGACTGTTTTAGATTGGTCGCGAAACGTTAAAAACATGACAAACTAAAGTAAAGCCTCCTTTTCCAAAAGATATAAAAAACGCAGCCTTGATTAGTGTAGCAATGTTTTTGGTTATCACAGTTGGCAACGATGATACCTCTCACAACTCTCTGGTTTTGCGCCAAAAGGATGCCCCGCATTTTCGCGCTGACATTTGATTTCATTACTGTTTTTCTACTTGCTTTTGTTCTCGTAGGGTGCAGTAACGCAAAGCAACTGTCGACCTATCTGGTCAGTTATAAATTCAATACTGATTCACCAATGTATGAGATAATTGAGACATCTTTCAACTCCACTCAATCAACAGAGGGTCTCCAGGACGTTGAAATATTTGCGGGATATTTAGGTATCTGCTTTGATAACGTTCCTGCGACTATAAGCAATACGTCAATATTATGCTTTGATCGTAAGAATGTCTCTAATAGCGCTTTTTATGATGACTTGGCGGTAAAAGTGTTCAATATCCGGTCTACAAACTCAACCGTCACTAAATCCACCGAATTGAACATCGTGCAACTGGCCCAGGACATGTCAGTGGAAATTGTGCATCCTTATATTTTGATTGCAACAATCATTTTAGCACTTTTGATGTTTTGTTTGATCCTTTATGTGACCTTGCCGAAAGTCCCCGGAAAAGGCCCTGCAAATCTCGCTCTTTTGGCGCTATGCCCGATTATAACCCTTTTGTGGGGAATCGGCGCAATGTGCACCCATATTGCCAGTAAATCAAGTTCGGAATTTATCCCAGCCGCTTCGATGAACATAATTGATGTTCATAAAGGCTCTAAGGCTGCTACGATGTCGTGGTTTTCATTTTCTTTTCTGTGCATCGATTGTTTAATTCTCTGGGGACTTTATTTCAGAGACCGTAAATCGCTCAGCAAGGAAATTGATAACGTGCGGAAATCTGATCAAAATCCCCCCAAATACGCTAGTGATGAATCGAGCTTTTCGAGTAGAAACTATCACTATAAATAATTTTAGTCTTTTTATGGTCTGAAAAATTGCTTCGTACAAGACGCGCTGACACTTTATCGCAAGCAATATTCGTGCCGCGCTCCTTTCAACTTCCTTTCCTTCCAGCAACATTGGTTCACAAAAAAAATAGAATGGTGGTTGCCTCTATCGCTCGCTTGTTATTGAGGGTATTGAAGGTTGCAATCAGGCTTCTGCTTTTGCCGCTGACATTAGCGCTTTTACTCCTCTCCCCTTTTATAAACGGATTCATCGACAAACTAGATAAAAGGTACAGGGTAAAGGATGACTGGTATATCGCAAGCTACTTTTTAGTGGCAGTTCCTAAATACATATGGAGCGTGTATCAAAGCAGGTTTCAGTTTTGGTACCTCTTTGAAAAGCAGGTTGCTAAGAATGGGGACCATCTTGCGTTGTCGTACCCACGTCCTCTTCTTGAAAAGGGAGAATACGAAGTTGAAAATTATACCTACCAAGAGCTTTACGATATTGTGTTAAGGTTATCTTATGTTCTGTATTATGATTATGGCGTGAAAGAAGGCGAATGCGTCGCAATGGATTATACGAATAAGCCCTTGTTCATCTTCCTATGGTTTGCGTTGTGGAATATCGGCGCAGTGCCTTCGTTCCTAAACTATAATACAATCGGAGCACCATTAGTCCATTCTATTAAGATTGCGAATGTCAAGAGCGTTTTCATTGACCCTTTGGCAGCAGGGCCAATAAGACATACTGAGCCTGAAATTTTGAAAGAGCTGCCAGACGTCAAACTGAATTACATAAAGGAAGAAGACCTCAATGAGATCATCATGAACCCTGCATCCCCGCAATTTCTTCAAGAAACAAGCAAAAGGTCTCCTGAGACCCTGACTGACTTCACTCCGGCTTGTTTAATCTATACTTCGGGCACAACTGGTCTACCAAAGTCTGCTATTATGTCATGGAGAAAAGCTGTAATTGGCTGCTCCCTATTTGGATACATCTTAAGAATTACAAATAGATCCGTTGTATTCACTGCTATGCCTTTATATCACTCAACCGCAGCACTATTAGGTGTTTGTGCCGTTTTCTCGCAAGGTGGATGTGTTGCCATGTCAAACAGATTTTCTGCCAGTGCCTTTTGGAAGCAGGTATACCTAACAAAATCCACACATATTCAATATGTTGGTGAAATTTGTCGCTATCTGCTTCATTCTAAAGAATCGGAATATGAAAAGAAACATAATGTTCAAATAGCATACGGAAATGGTCTTAGAGCCGACATATGGCAAGAGTTCAAACAGAGATTTGGGATCGACGTCATTGGAGAGTTTTATGCCTCCACCGAGGCTCCATTTGCCACCACCACTTTCCAAAGAGGAAACTTCGGCATAGGTGCATGTAGAAGTTATGGTACTGTCGTCAACTTTATTCTTTCTTATCAACAGACAATAGTTAGAATGGATCCTGATGATGACAGCACAGTCTACAGAAATGAAAAGGGATTGTGTGAAGTGGCGCCTGTGGGCGAACCCGGTGAAATGCTTATGAGAATATTCATGCCTCGTAAACCAGAGAGTAGTTTCCAAGGCTATCTGGGTAACAAGAAGGCAACAGAATCAAAAGTTTTAAGAGATGTTTTCAGAAAAGGTGACGCTTGGTACAGATCGGGAGACTTGATAAAATCAGATAAATATGGTTTATGGTACTTCGTTGACAGGATGGGCGATACTTTTAGATGGAAATCTGAAAATGTGTCTGCTACCGAAGTTGAAGACCAAATTATGTCTTTTGCAAATTACATTCTCAGTGCAGTGGTCGTAGTTGGTCTCAAAGTGCCTAATCATGAGGGAAGAGCAGGTTTTGCAGTATTGCAATTGTCACCTGAGTACCTGGATCTCAAAGAGGACGTCAAGTTTCTCAACGAAATGCTGAACTACTTGAAAAACAGTCTACCAAAATATGCTATTCCTATTTTTGTTGGTTTTGTCGACGAAATTGAACACACGGACAACCATAAAATTAGGAAGAAGAGCTACAGAAACCAGGTTTTGCCCCGTGGAGAAAATGGCGATCAGAGGTTCTTCTGGTTGAAAGATAATAAGGAGTACACACTCTTGACCGATAGTGACTGGGACGCAATTATTTCTGGTAAAGCGAAATTGTAACATCTATTTACCTCAAAACACGAATTATTTAGCTTTTTGAAATCGCTATATAAACGAATACACTTTGAACAAGAAATTTGTCATACAGCATGCATTTAAAACAGCCTTTTGTACATCAGCCAAATTATAAGAAAAATGGTAAAAATTGGGAAGACCAAAATAGATAGCATTTCAAAAGCAGTGAGCTTGCACCACCCCATAGCAGTTGTATTTTGAGCAGGATCAAGGTCAAATGCACCAGTGGCATAGTAGGAATCCAATAATTCGTCTTTCTCTCTCCAAACTTTAAGAAGCCATTCCGTAAAATCCTTTTCATCCTCAATTGGAATTTCATCCAAGCGGAATGCTCTTAAATGAATGTCAACGATTCTGGGCGCTCTTCCCTTCAAAAAAATGTTTCCCAATCTATATATATCCTGTCCATATTCATTTTGTCTCACACCGGAATAGCCTATCGTAGCGTCGTATACAACCTCACAGCTCGATTTCAACCCCAGCAGTACATTACGCAGACCTGTTACTCTTGGAAGAATAGTATTATTTAGCTTAGGAAGGTTCATCTTGGCAGCGTATTCGGCGTTCCTAGCCCTCGTACCTGCACTTAGATTGGTACCCTCTGGGAATAAAATGAGAGCATATGGCCAATGTATTTGCTTGTCGTCTCTCTCAAAAGACTTCGAATTTTCCCAGATAGCCTCCCCATCGGTTGCCACACCAATTGGGGACTTACCCGCCAAATAGCCTACACCTTTAGCGTTGCGATCAAGTTCAGCAAGACGATTGGCTAGGTTGACTCTATCCTTTTCCCACTTCCTATTCATAAAGATAAAGTTATAGTTCCTCATACCATAACCCAGTATTGGGATACGTTCAAGAGAGTTTTTCAACATAATGAAAACGTTGCCGGCTAATCCTCCAGTATATGCTAGCCACCACAGAAATACCCAGTCAGTATAGATTTGATGATTAGATATTATTACTGACTGGCGTAGCATATTTGATACTATTCCGCCGGTCCTTCTATCGGTGACAAAAGAATTCTTAGGAATACTTGCGTTTTCAGTAGTGATACGCACTTGTGAAGGCGCCACAATGCGCAGTATTGTCACTAATAACAGGATGAAGTTCTTCTTACTTTGGTCGAGATACTTCTGTCTCCTGATCACATCCTTGTAGAATACTGCATTTACAATGAACTGTAGTGAAACGATGGCAAATGCGCCTTCAATAAATATGACAATTGACGCCAAGGTAAGAAGAATTTTCTTGGCCCTGTGAAAAGCCAATCTAACCGTCGGCATTTCAAAGACCTCTTCAAGTCAAAAACGCTTAATGGGGAAGCCAAATATTTGTATGAGATCCCTTTACTCTACTGACTTGCTAATCTGAGAGATATCTGCAAGAAAAAAGCCCGCCCCTGACGAGAAGATTTTGTTGGTATCTGTTGGCGAAAAAAGTCATGAATATGCATAAAAAATGATAAATTAAAAAAGATACTATCGCATTATAAATCTCAGTCCAGTAAGTCATATAATTTCTGTAAATCGTAATTTTCCCTCCAGTAATCACCTTTTTTCTTCAAAATAATCAATACCCCACTAGCGGCGATTACTATGAAGGCAAGCATGGTAAATGCCCAGCCGGGACCCATTCCTTCCAGCATCGGCTCTGTTACGAAAACTGCCGTAGAAGCGAAGATCTGTCTAATTAAGTTGTTCAGCGCAACACCTGTAGCACCTCGTCCGGGTAGGGAATCGACGAGATAAGAAACCGTGGCACCAATTGTCATCATTGATGCGTAACCAAAAAGGGCAGTTCCCACCAGAGGAGTTACCCAGTGCTGCTTTTTATCAAGGCACCATCCAAATATTAGAAGTGAAACGGGAAACGTTACAACTGCCGTGACCACATTCCAGGATATTCTTGCCTCTGGGGCTAGTGTGCCATGCTTTTGCTTGTATCTTTTCAAAAGATTATCAACCCATTTTCCACCATATATCGAGGCAAAAATGTATGTCACAGAATTCGGAATATAAAGTAACCCGATATAGAGTGGTTTGAAGTTGTAAGGAGACCGCGAGTATGAGTATTCGACGGTCATGTTTACAAAATACAATATGGCGAATGAAATTGCTGAGAAAATGATTGCCAAAGTAACAGGTGGGTACCTCAGAAAGTGTAGAGATTTGAGCGGCTTCAAGCCGTATATATAAATAGTTTTCTTCCAACTATTTGGTGACTCTTCAGATTGGGGGTTAGAAGTTTTCACAGATTTACGAGTTTCCATTTGTTCAAGCTCATTTTCGATATTTGATTTCCATCGTTGTAAGTCCTGTTCTCTAATGCGCTGTTCCTGCTTTGGATCCCGGGATTGCATGCGAGTTATTTGTGGAGCGACAGGGTCGCCATAATGATCATTCTGTGGATATTGTGTGACTTCGCTTGTGCGCGTCAATATGCGCTCAATTTCTTCTTCTTCATCCTCGACACTATTATCAGGTGTTATTTGTCCTTCTTGAGATACGCTTGGTTCATCCGGTTCGTCCTCTTTCTCTGTAGTACTTTCATCCATGTGCTTCGCACCTTTCCTTCTTTCTGCCAGGATTGCAGCAATTGCGCCTTTCGTGTCTTGACGACGAAGTGTTTCGGGGAGAAGCAGTGTCAGCAGTAAGACGTTAACGCCCGCCAGTATTACCATAAACCATTGAGTCGATCTCCACGACCAACGACTAACCAAAAGTGACCCGATGATAGGCGAGGCAAGTGGGGCCATCAATGCTCCCAGATAGTAATACCCAAGGTTTTTACCTCTTTCTTCGGGCTCATATAAGTCTGAGATCGTTCCTGCACCAACGCTTTGAACGCTAGCCGAAGAAGCACCACATAACATCCTAAAGACGATGAAGGCGCTAATATTGGGAGCCAATGAGGTTCCTATGCAAAATCCAAAAAGCAGCGTGAAAGAGATCACGTACACGGTGCGACGACCTCTTAGCTCTGACAATGATGACCACCACAATGGTAGAATTCCCAGACTTAGTAGATATATACCCACCGACACATTTACCATAATTGTGCTCGTATGATACTCCTCGGTAATCGGTGTAATTGCTGGATAGATTATTGACGTTCCCATGGGGCCCATCATCGAGGCATAAGCGATCAGCAAAACGATGAAGCCCTTTAGCTTTGGAGGATAATTACGTGCATCCTTATACTCTGGAATAACCGATAGGTGGGAAAAAAGACCCCTGCGTTTATTCCTAGGAACCATTAAAGTCTTGTCTCGCAGAGACGACTTTCCTGTAAGAGTTGGTTCAACTGTTGGACTATGACCATGGTGTAAAGTTTGAGGATGATGTAAATTTGATGCATACGACGAAGCAATAGAGGAGGTTTCGCTGTGTAAGTTATAACTCTGCACTTCCTCCGCCATTTCCCTGGAATTGGACATCTTACTACTCACATAGACAGAAGTTTAATATCTTCTTGCAGCCAATATTTTACTCAGGAGCTGTGTCATACATAAGTCCGTTCTTGAAAATTTCGCAAAAAGTGGATCTACTCCAAGCCCGCAAAAATGGAACGATCATTAGTCAAGTAATTGAATAGTGAGAGGACTCCTGTACGAATATGAGTAATCTTCTTTGCTTGGCTAACGTTTAAATTCATCGAAGATGCGGTTCACGAGTGAATTTGTGGCAATGTCAGTCAAAGAAATTATTATATAAGTTCTTATCCAGCACCTCGACCTGGCAATTCGAACGAAAAACATCGTGATCCCTGAGACTTCTAGAAATGAGTTATAATGAGTTATAATTCAAACCATTCACGTCTAGGTTCTAGCTTTGGGCTCGAAACTACTTTCACAAAGTATTTTTGATTATTGTTCGACGTTAGAAAACAATTGTAATTAATTTTACACTATTATATCGGGGTGTGACTATGCTAAAAGAGTACACGTAGGTTTCTCGATTCAACACCAGAATCTGTAGATCCTGTAATAGAGTGGGCGGGCAGCAACCTTGGCTTTTTCCTCCATGATCTCATGTTTGAGAAGTTCGAGATCACTGACTCTTTTCCCGGTATCCAAGTCAATTTGGCTCGCTGGGATCAGCCAATCTCTCCAATTTCTGCGATAGAGACGGTGACAAAAGTACACCACGATCATGATCGGTATACTCAAACAGTACTGGAAGAATGCCTCAGCGCTGGGCGAATCGCCCAAGGGAAATAACGAAACGTAAATCTCACCAGCAATCAATAAGAAGTTAATGACACATCCTAGGATACCACCATAAACACCAAGCATTGACTTGTGCCCAATCTCATCAGTGGTCCTTCCTTGAGCCTTGAGAGCCATTCTAAATCTAACCTGAGAGAAACAAATGCAGAACCAAGTAAAGAAAGAAGAAATGGAACATAGAGCAAACAACCAAGTGAATACATCACCTTCTTTATCAGAGGCAACCAAGAATCCCAGCAAACCAAAAATACCACAGATCCCGATACCTACTAGTGGACGACCTTTTCTGTCAATGTAACCACAAACTCTGGGTAGCTGACCACAAGCACCAAGTGCTTGGATCACTCTTGAAGATGCGTAAACGCATGAGTTACAGACAGATAGAACAGCCACTAGGATAACTGCATTCATGAAATGGGCCACACGGTCACCGAAGGCACCGGTGTTACTCAAAGCAATGACGAATGGAGAGGCAGCGACATTCTCATCGTAAGCACCCAACAATCTGTCGTCAGTGTAGGGAACGAGACAACCGATGACAACAACTGTAGTGATGTAGAAGATGGCAATTCTCCAGAAGGTTGCTTTCGCGGCACGCGACACAGATTCGACCTTTCTAGACTCAGAAGCGGTCAGCACGACTAACTCAGCACCTCCAAACGAAAAGGCTGCAGAAACAAAGGTGTTACACAAACCCTTAAACACGGGCTTTTTGAAGGAGCCCGGGTTGTGCCAGTATTTGGTACCGATGTAACCTTGCGAGTTAGGTCCACCACCGCAGATAAGCACAATACCGATAATGATGAAAATAATAATGGCGACAACTTTGACAATGGAAAGCCAAAATTCGGTCTCTGCATAGCCTCTCACTCCAAATAAATTCAAGGCCATTATGAATACGTAAAAGATGGCAACCCACACCGCAGGATTGACGGATGTGTTCCAGTACTGCAACGTCATTGCGCAACCGATCAGTTCAGAAGGGAACGAGATTAACCACGCAAGAGCATAGTTTGTCGATACCGTAAAACCTATTGATGAGTCGACAAATCTCGAAACGTGCGTCGCGAAAGACCCGGATACGGGGAATTGACACGAAAGCTCCGAGGCACTTTGTACAACACAAAACATCATAACACCAACAATCATGAAACCAATGAGAAGAGAGCCAGGACCACATGCCAGCGAATAACCTAAACCGATGAAAAGACCAGTACCCAACGTGCCACCGATGGAAATCATTGTCAAGTGTCTTTGCGATAGCGTCTTTTGGAGCGGTTGATTGGCAAGGATATAATTGCCTCTCGCCTCCTCGCTCAACTCTCCCAGCTCGATGCTCTCAGGAATAGGAAGCTCGTGTTGCTTGAACGAGTCTTTCATTCGGCGGAAAGCCGATCCTGAGTGGTTGACAGACCAATCAGCTCCACTGACTGACACCGTCTCACTCTCCACCTTCGTGCTTCTGCCTTTGTCTGTCTCAGTATCAAAGTTCATTTTGACGTATTCTTTAGACTAAAAGACCAACTATAACGCAAGCACTCTCCTTTTGTTGTTCACACTCGAGAAAGGAAAGTCATTGAAATATCTAAATATTCGTTGCAGCAGACCACAATTTCTTTTTTTTGTCTTAATTTTTTTTTCTTCTTCTTGCCTTTCTCAACGCGGCTGAGATTAAGGTGGCAATAAGGTTATGGTACGAATAATTGTGTACAAAATTATATAATCTACTTGTAATAGTGTGTGGGGACGAATGGCATGCGAACGACCTCAATGGGAAACTTCTTGTTTCTCACACCGACCAGTAGCTTGGTACCCTTCTTGTGTACGCCCTTCTTGACATAGGCTTGCCCGATGTTTAATCCTCCAAGAGAAGGTGAGGCGCTACCGGACGATACATGTCCGACAAGTGTGGCGCCATCTTCAAGAAAAATTGGCGATTCGTGTCTCGCAGCGGGGCCTTTGCCCAAGTACTTGAAACCTACACGCGTCACAGGTGCGGATTTGTTGTTAACTTGGTCCATTATACGGTCCCAACCATTAAACTTGCCCAAAGAGCCATCTCTGCGCGTCTTCGACACTAGCCAAGCGAGCGATGCCTCGATCGGTGTTATTTTTTCGGTGAGTTCGTGACCATAGAGACACATACCTGCCTCGAGACGCAGACTGTCCCTTGCAGCAAGGCCGATCGCTGCAACCGCGCTGTTGTCCAGCAGCTTCTGTGCGAACTCTAGGGCGCGCGCATTGTCCACGGAGATTTCAAAACCGTCTTCACCCGTGTAGCCTGACCTTGCAACGTCCACGGTGACACCTTCCGCCAGTTGGAAGGCTCTTTTCTGGCCAAAGTACAACGTCTGTAACCCACTGACGCCGTCCTTAATTAGATGGCCCAGTACGGATGGAGCCTCGGGTCCTTGAAGTGCCAGTAAAGACTTGCCTTGGACTGGGTTCCACTCACAATCGAAGTCAGAAATTTGCTCACGCAAGAACTTGGTGTCCTGGTCCACGCAACCAGCGTTGGTCACGATGCTGAATGTATTGTCATTAACCTTGGTGATCAACGTGTCGTCCACAACACCTCCCTGCTCGTTCAACAGCACTGAAAGTGTTCCCTGTCCCGCAGGTAAACTGGAGAAATCGGTAGGTGTAATCTTGTGCAAAAACTTGACTGCCTCAGGACCTTTCAACGTGCTCTGCATCATGTGTGACACGTCAAACAACCCAGCATGTTTTCTAGTCCACAAATGCGATTCTATGTGTGTCTGTTTGGCATATTTCACCGGCATCGAGTACCCCGCGTAAGGAACCATAGTTCCGCCAAGCGCGATGTGCAAGTCGTAAAGCGCAGTCTTTTTCAGCGCTGACGTAGCATTGAATCTCTTGAATATCATTTCAAACCCTCTGCCTCTTTCTCGAGCTCTAAACACGTTGTGATGATGCGCGCTTCGCTTAAATAGCTCCTTGATCCTCAACGGAGTCGATGATGGATCCCGAGTCACAATTTGGATGCAACACGAAGTCAAGTCAAATTTGAAAAACTAGTTTCAATGGCTGGTACACAACACGACTACCTTGGGTAACCGTTCCTATCTTGATCTATTTACATGATTCAGCATCAGCTATTTACAGGTAACTACTTCTTTTTTGGTTTATCGAAAAACTTGGCTATGAGAACGTCGCAACTGGATAAGAGTTTGATGAAATTTGCGACATTGGACAAACATTTATCTACTTTGTTCCAGGGCTCTAAAAGGCCAGCTTGTCTCATACACGTAGGTTCCTCAAGATATGCGGTTGTAAATTCAGGCTCTGTAATAGTCTGCCCTATTAATTGCGCAGCCTTAAATTTGTTGAAGTAAAAAAGATTACTCATCGCATGCTCCAGAGGCAGCGTGAGGCTTTCAGTGACAGCCTCAGTGCCCACCCGCTTCTGGTCTTCTCTATCAGAGATTTTCAGATAAGGGATGCTCTTGGCAAGCGCTACGCCGAGCGTGGGTACCCAGCCATCAGCGAGACCATGACAGAGCACATCGTTCGCTATGTGGTCGAGCTCTGCTCTTCTTTGATCGATTTCGAACTCGCTGTCACCCCCCACCTTCACAGTGAGTGTGGTACGTAGAGCATCGTTATTAATCTCTTCTTCAGGCTCTTGTGAGTTGTAAAGAAACGCTTCTCCGGTAGTTGCCTTTAAAGACTCAATTACACCATAGAATTCGGGTGCCGAAGCAGAGCTGGGGACGCATTCACTGAATTTGGGCGAGTAGATACTCCCTAGTGCCCGAGGTAACTTCAAAAATTGGATGAAATCTAAATTTTCCTCTAGTCGGGTATTGTTATGGTCTTTTTCAATGTATCGCAAGATGACAGTCCTGCAGTCAACGCCTTGGCGTTTGTTCTTGTTATTATTGATTGTTATAGCTGTCAATGCATCGCCAACGCATTCGCCTGATACTACCACGACAAGCGATTTGCCTTGCTTGGAAGCGTAGTGCAATGAAGGCAGAATCTTGTCCGCTTCACGTAAAGTACCATCAAAGACAACAACTAAACTCTCCTTATTAATCGAAACGATTTTGTTGGTCGGCAGCTCCAAAGATCTAAGATATGCCTCATCCGTATTCATCACACCACAAGGGTACTTCCAGCCCTCAGCTACCTCGACCTCATCGTAAGTTTTCCTTCCTCTAACAACTCGAACCACATCATCTGAGTACAGTTGATAATCTAAGATAGACAAAACTCTCTTGATGGTTTCGGCATCCCGAGTAGTCTTTGCAAGTTTATCTACTAACTTATCAATATCTCTAGGCTCATCGAGAATGATTTTATTCTGGTCAATAATTTCCCGCACCTGTGCAATTGACTCGCAAATGCCTTCAACAGTCTCCTTGTATGGATAGCGATTGTAATGCTCCATCAGATTACACGTCAAGCTAGTGCTCAAAGGCGTGATGTTATTGTCGTGGCAGCTCATAAAAAGTTGCAACCCTATCTTTCCCAGCTTCTTGGCAGGATCTCTTTGCCGCTGCTGATTGAGCGTTTCGGAAAGTTGCATCGAATCCGATAATTCTCTGACGAATTGGTTCACACGGACAGAATCATTGCCGGAAATCATTAATGGTAGTCGTTTGTATTTGCTGGTGTATAAAATCGATTTATTATGTGATGTTGAGTTTAGAACTTTATCGAGTATCGCAATATCATTAAGTAGATATTGGCGAGTAGCCAGCTGTCTACCGTCATAAATTGGAGTATGAAGGGTTTTGACTGAGCGTACGCTAGGCCTATTTATTCTTCTGAGCATCGCCAAGTCACGATCAAAGTTTCTTAATAATCACGGCTCTTGCATTTTTATCTTGTTTTTTCTCAAGAACTTGATTTGCATCGTGAACAAAACTATCGGAATACGTTAGCCAACATCAACGCTGAAACTGTAACTACTATTCAGATTGACTACTTGAAAATATCTATTTCTATTTGCAGAGATGAGGTGTTCTCAAATTGTCGTCGAAATCGAAGCCTTTCTGTTTGAAATGCGATGCAGTAAGTAAACCTCGAGAAGACATCAGCTCGATTTCTTGAGAGGAAACCCTGTAAGCCACTTTCTGCAGATTATCGCATGTTTATCTTGTCTTCATGAAAGCAAGAATAAAAGGGCCTGAAGCCTATTTGAGTTACGGGGGCTATAAAGGTAGTTGAACATGCGGACATATGTGACACCTAATTCCTTGATTTAAAGTCGCTATCGATGATTTTTATTTATACTTACCTTTTAGCTCTAGCTTAAATCGTAGTACTTTTCCTTTTCTATGTCTAGGCGTTCTGCCTGGAAATCTAAGTGAGGAAATAGCTTCCTTGTCTGCGAACTGCCTCCCTTGTTGTCCTGAACTATTTTAACTATGCTGTCAACGATGATAGCAGAGCCAACGGACCCACTGCTGCTCGGAATGATAAGGTCCGCACGCGATTTTGTCGGTTCAATAAACTTCTGCATTTCCGGTCTTAAATGGTCCATGTACTCATCTATGCATACTGTTAGCTTTTCAGGTGTCGTAGCGTTTCTCCTGTGAATCAAATCAATCAACCTTTTATCTCCATCGCTATCTAGGAACACTTTTAGTTGAGACAGCTGGTTTATCTTGTCATTGAATAGCGCATAAGCTCCACATAGGAGAACTGCCTCCCATTGATCTGTATCCTGCTGCGAACTCAATTGTTGATATATTTGCTCAAAATCGTAGTCCTTATCGCTAAATGATCTGGGCTTCTCCTCCAACAATTGGTCTAAATCTACTACGGATATCTGTGTGTTGACAAACGCCTCTGATAACGCCACTTTAATATATGATACCGTTTCTCGTATTCCAGTGACATGTCCGCCACCAATGGAAAGGATAATCCTAGGCATTTTAGCAGTTGTTTGGAATTTTCGGAGTCCAAGCTTGCAATATGGATCGCTATTTCAATTCTTCTCTAGTAGTTTTTGAAAATGCAACAAATTTTTTCCAAGCGATGAGCATCACTGTAAGAACCCACAAGTCTGCAAATGTCGTTCAATAGAGAAGTTGACTCAAAACTTAAATTCAAGACATCCAGCAAGCTTAAGATCTCGCCGACCTTCGAGTCCATGCGCTTGAAGGAAGATCTCCTGCGAGGCATCTATTCGTATGGTTTCGAGGCGCCATCTGCTGTGCAATCAAGAGCGATCACTCAAATCATATCGGGAAGAGATGTCATTGCACAAGCCCAGTCCGGTACTGGTAAGACAGCAACATTTACTATAGGTATGCTGCAGGTGATCGATTTAAAGTCTAAGGACTTGCAAAGTATGGTTCTATCTCCAACGAGAGAACTGGCAAAGCAAATCTCTCAGGTGGTATCAAACCTGGGAGATTATATGAATGTATCTGCACACGCCTGTACTGGTGGCAAAACTGTCCAAACTGATATAAAGAAGCTCACGCAAGGCTGCCATGTTGTAAGCGGAACACCGGGTAGGGTTTTAGATATGATTAAGAGGAGACTGTTAAACACCAGGCATCTGAAAATGCTGATTCTAGATGAGGCGGATGAGCTACTTAGTGAAACTCTTGGTTTTAAGCAACAAATATACGATATTTTCACTAAGCTGCCTACGTCTGTGCAAGTTGTTGTGGTAAGCGCAACGATGAACAGGGACATCTTAGAAGTGACCAAAAAATTCATGAGCGATCCGGTAAAGATTCTTGTAAAAAGAGATGAGATATCTTTAGAAGGTATCAAACAATTCCACGTCAATGTTGACAGAGAAGAATGGAAGTTCGACACCCTTTGTGATATATATGACTCGCTAACAATCACACAGTGTGTCATTTTCTGCAATACAAAGAAAAAGGTCGACTGGCTATCAGCAAAGCTGACACAGGCGAATTTTTCGGTAGTTTCAATGCATGGAGACATGAAGCAAGAGGAAAGAGACAAAGTCATGAACGACTTCCGTTCGGGCAACTCGCGAGTTTTGATCTCAACAGATGTGTGGGCCCGTGGTATTGACGTGCAACAGGTATCACTGGTAGTGAACTATGACCTCCCGGAAAACCTTGAAAACTACATCCATCGTATAGGTAGAAGTGGACGTTTCGGGCGGAAAGGTGTAGCTATTAACTTCATAACAAGAGACGACCTCTCGAAGTTACGGGAGATAGAAAAGTTTTACTCAATCCGGATCAAGCCCATGCCTGCTAATCTACAGGACATATCATAGTGTATTAAATAAGCTGTCTAACTGTTCGTTCTGCCTTTTGTACAGTTCTATAAGCTTTTCTAGTGGCAAATTTTGCGAATGCACATTTTGAAACTTAGATACCGCCTCTAGTTCCAACTCGTTCTCCCCTGTGGACTGATACGATAACAGCTGGTACTCGTCGCTGATTAACTCTACATGTTTGACCCTCATGTCCTTATCTACTTCTGCCACAATTACATTTTCCACCTGAGGGTCTTCGTCCTGCTCGGGTTCGTCATCCTCAAAGATATATCTGATATTCGTGGGGAACATTAAAGCCTGCGAGTCATGGTCGGGATGCTTGGACGATTGCGACCTAGACTCAAGCTCATGAATAATACTCTTGTCTGTAACCGTAACTACAAAGGGCTCCATTAATTTATTCGTGTTTCAAATAAAAAGGTAAATGAGAAAGATGAATACTGCCTTACAGCTCCATGTAACCGCAGTAGCTATTTAGTATTCAAGATTTTGGTCAAATCCTCGATAGTTGCCAAAAAAATATGGGAGATGATGAAAAATAAGAAACCCAACATGATCCAACCGAGGTTCGAACTCGGGATCTTCGCCGTGTAAAGGCGACGTCGTAAACCACTAGACCATTGGACCTGCGAGAGAATCTTGTTGGAGGACTTGTTTAAGTTGCGTACATAAGTGTAAGTCGTTATCTGGAGAATATAACTAGGCATAGTGCATTGGTCAATAAAAGCGGTTCTTACGAGACAGTGTTTTCATTTAGCTTTGTCAAAAAATTGCTTTGGCTTTGCAGGCTGCTTCTCCGCTGCTTCTCCGCTGCTTCTATACGTGGATTGACCATTGAGAGATGACGTGAAGCTTTAATTCCTTTGCAGTCGCCCTGTAGCAGACGTAGTGTCTAGAGAGAAATTTAAGAGAAGACTAACTCAAGAATTCGGACTGATAGTCCGATTTCAAAGCTGCGTATTATAGTCTTGCCGTCCACCGTAGGATAAAGCTTTTGACATCAATAATTCAAAACATTGAGTACATGCACAGTCATAAAGAAGACGCAAGGTGTTCAACGGCTACAATCCACATTCGAGATTACGAATCGCCGCGAAAAGGTGTTCTCATCCAGCTTAAAACAATCTTTGTGAAACTTGGCGTTTATGAATACTGCGTCACGTGCTTGTCTGGGAGCATGATTTCGCCAATGATAGCGAAAATTTTCTAAGTGATGCGTCATTCTGAAAGACCAAAGGCATAAAACAGCAGGAGCCATGTTGGATATTAACCAATTTATCGAGGAAAAGGGTGGTAACCCAGAGCTTATCAGACAATCTCAAAAGGCTAGATATGCCAACGTTGAAGTTGTGGATGAAATCATCGCTGACTACAAGGAATGGGTCAAGACTAGATTTCAACTAGATGAATTGAACAAGAAGCAAAACAAGGTTCAAAAGGAGATCGGTCAAAAGTTTAAGAACAAGGAAGATGCATCTGAGCTTCTTGCTGAAAAGGACAAGATTGTTGCCGAAAAAAAGGCCTTGACTGAGAAGGAACAAGAACAAGACAAGGACTTGAAGAAGAAGGTTTTTGAAGTCGGTAACATCGTTCATCCATCTGTTGTGGTCTCCAATGATGAGGACAACAACGAAATGGTCCGTTCTTGGAAACCAGAAACTCTACCAGAAGTTGGTACTAACGCCTCTTGCACCGGCAAGCCAGCTAAGTTGTCTCACCACGAGGTTCTACTTAGATTGGACGGTTATGACCCAGAAAGAGGTGTCAAGATCTCTGGTCACAGAGGTTACTTTTTTAGAAACTACGGTGTGTTTTTGAACCAGGCCATGATTAACTACGGTCTTTCATTTTTGGCTTCTAACGGCTACACCCCTCTTCAATCCCCTGTCATGATGAACAAGGATGTTATGTCCAGAACCGCTCAATTGTCCGACTTTGATGAGGAACTATACAAGGTTCTCGATGGTGACGATGAAAAATACCTAATTGCCACTTCTGAGCAACCAATTTCTGCATACCACTCTGGTGAGTGGTTCGAAAAGCCTCAAGAGCAATTGCCAGTCCGTTATGCTGGCTACTCTTCTTGTTTCCGTAGGGAAGCTGGTGCCCACGGTAAAGATGCTTGGGGTGTCTTCAGAGTTCATGCTTTTGAGAAGATAGAACAATTCGTGTTGACTGAACCAGAGAAGTCTTGGGAGGAATTCGACAGGATGATCGGCATGTCTGAAAAATTCTATAAGTCTTTGGGAATTCCTTACCGTGTTGTTGGTATCGTCTCTGGTGAGTTGAACAACGCTGCGGCAAAGAAATACGATTTGGAAGCTTGGTTCCCATACCAGCAAGAATACAAGGAGCTTGTCTCTTGTTCAAACTGTACGGATTATCAATCCAGAAACCTAGAAATCAGATGTGGTATTAAGAAGATGGGTGACAGAGAAAAGAAATACGTTCACTGTCTAAACTCTACTCTCTGTGCCACTCAAAGAGCTTTGTGCTGTATTCTAGAAAACTATCAAACCGAAGATGGCTTAGTTGTTCCAGAAGTTTTGAGAAAATACATCCCAGGTGAACCTGAATTTATTCCATTCACTAAGGAATTGCCAAAGAACTCCACTTCCAACAAGAAGAGCAACAAATGATGTCTTTAATTGTTGGATTATGTCTGTTTAATTTCTTCTACATACTTGCAATAGAGACCTCAATTTTGACGATATAATGTACAAAATTTCTGTTGCTCAAAGGTGTCAATCATGGCGAACAGCAGTAGTCACATCAATTTTCCTGAAACAACCTGGATAAGAATCACTTGAGACAATCTTTCGGTTGCTGTGAATTTTGTGCCTTGAGTTTGTATTTTTAGAGCCATTATTGTCCGCTTTGTGATTTCTAACAGACCAAGATCTTAGCCTCATGTCAGAAGAGGGGAGCGAATGCTGTGAATAATACTGCGACAACTGTTGCCCACGAATGAAATTTAAGCGAGTTTCTTCTTTCCTCCTTTTACTTTCATAGTCTTCAAAAATCCTAATGAAGGAAAGCACATCGACTTGATCACAATTGTCTGCTCTAACAGACTCCAGCTCGGCCCTTTCGTTTTTTTTGGACTTCAGGATGGATTTCGTCTGCAATTTTGAGACATCTACTTCGCTATCTCCGTCATATCCGGGGTCAAAATTAATTTCAGTAGGATTTCTCTCTCTTGTATTCTTCGTACGTCTCTTGCTATCTTCAAATTTGCGGCATTGCTTGGACGCATCATACAAAAACACGTATGAAACCCTATCAAATTTGACACTATTTGTGTGCATTATATCTTGAGCATTGTTTAATGTGCTGGTTTGTTCGTCTGATGCAGCTGATTCCAATTCATAGAAACTTTTGTCACGGAAAGTTAGTTTCTTCTCTTCTTTTCTGCTCAATTCTACAAGCTCATGATTTTTCATTATACCATTCGTGACGTTCTCAACTATGTCAGACACATCGAGCCTTTTGTGACCTTGTCTGAACGTAGGGATGGGAATTTGCGTCGGCTCGCACTCGCTCGAGCTTGTGCTTAGCCGAATTGGTGGTTTTTCTGAGTTTTCTTTCTGCTCAGCGGTAGCTACAACTACAGGAACTGTACTGTTGTTTTCTGGCATGACATTTACTCTTTCCAATGTGAGTGATTTGGAATCATTCTCGCGTGGGGAAGGATCACTAGGAGCAGAGACCTCGCCAGTCTCCTTGGCACTAGATAATAGAATTGACGGTGTCTTGCAAATTGATCCTTCGGTAGAGGGCTCACCAGAATACTCAGAAGAACCTTCAAACAATTCTTGTGCATCTTTAATGGCACAAATTCTCTTGTTAGCCGTTTTATCGTCGCAGGAGGGCCTCTTTAGACTTGACGTAGATGGCGCATCTTCATTTCTTTCCGCGAATGATGAATCATTCTCAACCGTACATTCGAATTCTCCAGCCACTCTAGCGCCCAGAATTTTAAATATCTGTTTGGTACCATCTTGTAATGCGTCAGCATTGTTTTTTAAGTTATGGGACAGATTGAAGAGTATTTCCAATTCTTTGACATTCTCTTCGAACAAAGAATGGTATCTTTTTCTCTCCTCATCATCGGTAGGTTTTATGAGGTCACTTGAGCTGTTTTGTTTTTGATTCTTCCGGCTTACATGTCCTCTCAGGAAGTCTTTCAACTTATGAATATGATGCTTTTCTGTAGCTTTCTCATTCGAAAATTGTAACTCGTTGGAGGAATATACCGGAATAAATGTTAAACAGTGCTTGGAGTTTATGCAAGTGTCCTTGATGTCAAGCAAAACGGTTTCATCCTCTAATTGAACTGAAGGTGACGGCTCCCTTATACCTTGCAACCATTTCCTGAAATGTTTCCTTCGGGAACCAGAAATTCGCTTCCTCCACTGCCGTCTTTCTGGTTGCGCTTCATATTGTTCATTAGTTGATTTGATCAATTCCTCTTCTTCTCCAATATTCGTCGTGTGTTGTTCGATGATTTCAGCCATTTCTGAAGTAAATGATACCCTTGATAGCAAATACTGTTGAAATATTACTCAAGGTTGAGAGCTTTCTTTGAATAGGTATAAAAGGCTTGAGTCTAGTTATATCTTTCCTAATATAATTTTGTGTTATTTATTATATTAATGACACAATGTTTATTTGTGTCGCAGAAATAAAAAAATTAAGGAATTTCCAGCACTAATTTACCAACAGTCTTTCTAGCTTCCTGTTCCTCGGTAGCTTTCCTATAGTCTTTCAAGGGGTACGTCTTAGAGATCAAGGCTTTAAATTCATGAGATTCGATTAGTCTAACTAACTCCGTTGAGTAATGTTGCCATTCCTCTGGAGCAGCTATGTAGCCAAAGAGCTGTGGGCGGGCAATTTTGATGTTCTTTGCGCTCAATCTAGCCAAGGGAAAAGGGGTAACAGGACCAGAAGCGTTACCAAAGGAAACGAAAGTTCCCTTCCTCTTAAGCGCCGCCAATGTAATTTCGAATGTATCCTTACCAATCGAATCAAAGGCCGCATCTACACCTTTTCCGTCAGTATACTCAAGAACTTTGGCCAAAATATCATCTTTTTGGGAATTGATCAAGTATTCAGCGCCGTATTGCTTTGCAAGCTGAAGTTTCTCATCTGTTGATGCAACAGCAATTACGTGAGCACCCTTTAATTTCAACAACTGGTCAAAAGCAAGGCCTGCGCCTCCGGCGGCAGCATACAACAAAATATAATCATCTTTTTTAACTTCATATGCCTCGTTTATGAAGGTCAGCGCTGTGAGGGCTTGTAGAAGAGCGCCTGCATATATTTTCAAGTTTTCATCGCTGCTATCAGCTGGCAACTTCATAATTGGCCCAGTTTCGGAAATCTTCGAGTACTGTGCAAAGGTATGTGGTGATAGATAAGCGACCTTATCTCCAATGTCGAATTTCGTTACCGAACTGCCTTTTGCTACCACCTCACCAGAGGCTTCTCTACCCAGTACATACGGTTTTTCAGTTGGATAGATACCTTTGCGAAAATATGTCTCGATGAAGTTGATCCCCGCATATTTGTTTTTAATCAGTAATTCATTCTCACTGATTTTTGGAACAGGGTAGTTTTCCTCGTAACTCAAAACCTCTGGACCACCGGTTTCTCTGATAACAATAACCTTTTGAACAGTTGGAATAGATGTCATTTTTCTAAGATTAAAAGTGCTCTTTAATCGAGATCTTAGCATCCCTTTTTTTGAACGTAAGTTCGAGAGATTTGTTTTATAATATATACTTCGAACTTTGTGATGACTAAGGATCTCCCCTATCACGTGAAATTACCTTATCGCAAGAAGTCATAAGAAGTTACGGAGACAAATGGTTCTCTGTAGAACTTGACTATAATTTATCAGTCTGGGATAAATCAGCATAAACGAGCTGATTATAGGGCAAGGTTGTTTTCGACTTTGAAGTAGAAACGCTTTCTAAAATTGCATTTCGCCCATACAAATGCTCGATCGAGCAGAGGCTTTTTTGGCTTGACAGAATGTTCGCAGAGAATATCAGTTTCAAATTCTTATATGAAGTAATTAGTAGCTCTTATACCCATCAGAAAGCATTTTACAGTGTTACATTCTGAGTGGAGTGACTCACGCCGGTTTAGCTTTTCAAGTCAAGGTCAACGTGTACTGAATTGAAGTTCAAACGCCTATCGAGTAAAACAAGCTCTTGATTTCCCTGAAACTACTTTTGATTTCATATGAATTGGCTCAGTACCACTCTACGTATGTCCGAAGCTGTTTGTTCTTTTAACAGCTGATTATAAAGAATCTCAAATGAAAGTATAGTGGGGTCCGAATACTTCACAGCGGCAAAAATCTTTACATTTCTGAATATTATCGAGAGTTTGTGAAGCTTAGAATGATGCTTCGCCAAGATTTTCACTCAAGAAATCCCAGAAGAAATCAGTGTTGTTCTGTAAGAGGCTATTTAAAATTTCCCCTTCATCAATATCGGATATTTCAGAAAATGTTTCGCTCGTCATTAGCGTGTTACACTCGACACCAAACTTACTGGACAAAACAATACTCTCCAGATCATTCAACAACGATTCATTGAAACTTTCCAGCGTTTTGGCGCACATCAACTTTTGCTTAATCGACTTAGAGTTATTAATGTCCAAACCCCACTTCATAGTGATTTTTTGCTCAATACTTTGCGGTAATTCCCCTCTGACTGCGGCACGTTCCCAAAAGTCATTTGTCAGACTGACCAGCTTCCCTAATCCCACCACATACAAAATATATCTAAACATTGGAATGGTCTGGAAAGAGCAAAGGTAGTTTTCTTGAAACTTCGAACCGGCCAAGTCAACCAGGTGCGCCATTTGATTTCGCATATAACGTGTCATCCTGGACAAAAGATCATCAAAATCGTCCCGTTCCTTGATTGACCCATTTAAAGCTGATCGAGACAACCGTGCTTCTCTTTTATATGCCAGTCTTAGCAACAATCGGCATTGAAATATCCAAATCCGGACGAGGGCAAAACATACCCGTTTGTCAATCGCATAGCCATAATGTTTTGAGATTCCGTTCGCAAAGCTACCATTTAGGTAATCACATATCAGTTCAGCAAGTAATATATATTCCTTGAATGCCTTGAAGGTGAAATATACATAAGGTTTCTCATTTTCTTCCCAGCTCGAAATGGTTTTACTTTCAAAATAGAGGGAGAGTATATCGCACGCATTGAGAATACATGTATGCCCCACTAAATTTGCTAAAAATATCTCAGTGTTTTTCACGCTGGAGATGTTAAGTGATAGTCCCCGGACGAACTTGAGGGTATCTAATTTGGTGTTAGTTTTTGCTTCGTAGAGTAAATGGGTCGAGAAACTTTGTAGCATGAAATCTTCCGATCTAACGATGTTTTCCAAAACATTTGAAACTTGAACACGACCCACAATGGGAGCACAACTTGCCACTAATTTGCTCAAAAGCATATGTAAATGATATTTGTTTTGTGCACTTTCCGACAGCCTATCATTAAAGTAACTTATGGCATCCGCACTGTTGTCATACCACCCATTATTAATTTCCATATTTTCAGAAAACGCTTCCATAAATTTGATATTTGAGCTGTCCCAGTCACCTTCAGCAAGTGAAACCTCGAATCTTAATGATTGGAGGCCCAGCCATAGCATACGTCGATGTCGCACCACGCGAGGATCTTTTATTCTCTTGAAGTTAGAAGGTTCGTATTGAAGACCCAGGGTTTTCGATAACTCCGTTAGATGTCTCAAAGATAACAGATTAGTATGTGTCAGAAAACAGTCACCACTTTCAGGATTCAAGTGCTCAGAAACGTAAAAATATAAAAGACATGTGAAAGCACTTTCATTAAGGTATTGGAAGACATCTAAAAGACATAACAATTTGTGTGACAGGAGTGATAATTGTCGTGCCGATTCGGACGCACTAATTTTCACTATTGAAAGAACGGTATTATCCAACACCGAGTGTCTTAAAGACATAGACATCACTATCATCAACAAAATAAGAGTTTCGACCTTAGAGCGTATGTCTCTACCACTAGTGTTTATTCTCCATTTGTCTTCATCATCTTTAACAAAGAGTAGATCGAAGCCACTTTCAAATAATCCAACATCCATATATGGATAAAACGGATAAATGTTCTGGTAGAAATGTTCTAACAAAAGCTGACAGTCTTTTTTTGGCATGATTGTGTCCTCAATTTCGGGAACCATATTTTTAACAGCAGCTACCAAGTTATCGTCTTCGGACCCACACATATTGCAAAACATGCCCACGGCAGCTGGCTGAGCTTGATTCAGTTTGACTTGTTCCATACGTCTTATAATTGCTTTTTCGATAAATTTCAAAGGGCTTAACATGCGCTGTGAGGTGTTTTGCGTGGAAGGGTTGTTGAGATGATAACTCAGATCCACTAAAGTCATTCCGTGCAACGATTCGCTAAATGCTCTAGAATATATGTCATACTGAATGAGACTATGCACAGCGAAAGGGCCATCTAAAAATGAAATAGGCCCAAATATGACCAGCATGTCATCTGCATTCCACAAATCGATCTGCTTGTGTAGCACATTCTTTGATAATCCAGATATAATCTCGGCCGTACATGAGTCGGGCATTATCTCATGGATAACATCTTTTTTTCCCTTTGCTTCTTCACCTCTTGATCTATTGCATGCCCTTGTTTCGATTTTGAATCCATTTTTGCAGAAGGAGCTTCTAACTCGTAGGTGCATTCAAGAGAACTTTGTTTGCATCTTGTACAGACAGGTCGCAGCTTGTCACATTTCCTTTTGCTTCTTTTACATTGCACACAAACCAATGTGAGCCTGCGTCTCTTTATCGAGGTAGACTTCATTCTTCAAAGACAATGGTAGTTTTAGTGTGTTCGATGACACTGGAAACACACTTTAATCATCTTAAACAGCATGCATATTTCGTTTATAGCGATTTTTATAGGTGGTATATGTTACTCTCACTTTCGAAGACAACTGACTGCCAGAAGAGGTGACTATTAAAAGGTGACTATTAAATGAACTAAGCTATAACTTAACCCCTAACCACCTCAAGGGCTCCTATTTGAACAAAATAAAAAATGTTTAATAATTGTAAGGATATGTTTTACGTAAAAGAAACATGTGCAATTTGCGGCATAGTTGAAGTGGCAGCATAACATAGTCTCCAAGAATAAATATATGAAGCCACGTCGTAATATTCTTTATTAACGGGAATGGATCCAAAATCCTCACGTATCAAAGAGCTTCCTGAGTCCTCTTACAATCTTTAGAATGAATTGTAATGCCTATTATTGTTTTTTATGTTTGTGCCTTGTTTTTTTTCCGGGGTAATCGAAGGTCAAGTAGGATTCTTGATTACTTCGTTCAAAGCCAATTGATTATTTTTAATTTACAACTTAGGCAAACTTTGGGGAGATTCTCATATTGTTGCTATTTAATGTACTTCACCTTACATGCCTATCGCTAAAAACCATTCAAAAGCACTTATCATAGCCGGTCAAAACAAAACGATACTTAACATCGCCGTCAAGCATTCTCTGCCAAGATTTGGCGACGTTTGGCTCACTTATATCTATAGTCTCAACCCATGGTTTGATGTCGTGTTTTGCGGCAAATTCCAGCATATATTCGATCTCGTGAGGACTTCCTGAGGCAGATCCACTAATAACATAATCATTCATGAGCATGGTCATTGGTGTAACCGTTAGTTTTTCATCCATTGGAGGTGCAGTGATAAAAATCATCCTACCAGCTGGTTTTAAAAGCGTGAGCATCTTGTCCAAATTGCTACCAGAGAAGGAGGATGTTGTGACAACAAGCACATCAAGACTGTCGGCATTCTTTAGTTCATATCCCTCCTCGGCCGTTGCGATGTAATCACTTGCCCCCAATTCAAAAGCATCGTCCTTTTTACGGTTAGATCTGGAGATCGCAGTAACTTCAGCGCCCAAGGCTTTCGCAAACAACATGGTCATATGTCCAATACCACCAATCCCAACAATCCCAACTTTCGTTCCTTTCCCGACCTTGGCTGTAAGCAAAGGCTTAAAACCTGTGATTCCCCCACAAAGCAATGGAGCGGCGTGCTTCGACTCCAGGGCATCTGGGATTTTGAACACCCAACGGGAATCAACACGAATACGGTCCGCATAACCACCTTGAGTCTTCACGCCTGTTTTTGGGTCAACACCTAGGTAGGTCAAGACCCCCTTTTTACAGTTAACCTCCTTATGGTCCTTACATCTGTTACACTCATGGCAACAGTCGCAAACTGGGCCAACACCGACTCTATCGCCTAAATGAAATTTACTCTTGTCAACTTCATCACCAAGGGACACAATACGTCCAATAATTTCGTGACCGACAGCTAAAGGAGTATATGCTCTACCCCAGTCACCAGCTGCAGCGTGGATATCTGAACCACAGATACCACACGCGTCAATGCTAATTTCAATTGACAATGGGCCCATTGAAGCCGGATTGTAACTGAATTTTTTTGGTTCCAACCATTTGTCAAAGTCGAGAACTCCAATTGCGTTAAAGGTAGTTGATGTATCCATTATGAAAGAAGTTTTTTTGTTTAGTGATTTATTGAATAATGTCACAGATGGAATCAAAGAAGGACTTCCCTTCTTTATATACAATTCGCAGTGAATCTCATTAGTAATGGATGTTTACATGCTGTCTAAAGTAACCAAGCAGAAGTTAGGAGCCCTGCGGAGTAGTTCTTGTCAACCGAATAGTTATTGCCGCTTTGACGGATAAGGCGTCGGAGATGTGTGCGGCCGATGCGGAAGAGAAAAAGTTGATGTCACGACAGCCCGAAACTGCGGAGTTAAAGTCGGCCGTCTTGCGGAAGTAAGGAAATCGCAACTTGCCAAGTAAAGCCTACCATCTCTATTACAGGACTGATTACTAATTCAATCTTTTGAATTGATAGTGAGATCTCTCTATAACCAGGATGCTTTTGCTGGCGGTAACTAGTTCTTACAGAAGTTTACGCTCAACTGGAAACGGCTTTCAGCTTTTTCACTTGACATAATGGTACTTAGGAGCGATTTCTACACAAAAATAGTTCTTTGAGGATCGGAGGAAATACATATATTCCGCAAATTATAGTTCTACAGTTAAAATGTCACGCTAATTTCATCCTCTGGTGCGAGTTCCCCAGGTTTTGCAATTGGAGTAAGCAGGATTTTTTCAGGCTTCACAACCGCAACATGCAGCGTAGGATGGTCCTAATTAATATTTTTCAATTAAGGCTACGAACAAGAGTACTTCAGATCACTGGTCATTGATCCTACTCACCGGTTTTTCTTTATGATGCTACTTGGCTGAGTGTCACCTACGACTTAAAAGTACAGATCCTGCGATAACCGTCCAATAGCACCTCGACTACCCCAAGCTATGAGTGAAGATCGGCAAGGATGGAGAGGCGTGCCAAAAATTACGTTTGCCTTCATAACTCAAACTGCACCTGCGTGTGAATTCGAAGTTAAAAAACACCGCAGCATGCTGTCGGAATGGGTGATTCATGTAGAGATCTCAAACGTTTTTCCGAGTTTTTACGCATGTGCCTGAATACCTTTGAGTGCTCGACACGACTCATAGAGTTTTGACGTTCTGAGGTGCATCGCCAATGTCTTTTTGTCAAGTGAGCCGTTGATACGAGTGTTTCTTTTTCTACGGTGTAAGGTGTAGAGGAAGGGGTGCACTTGACGCGAGAGACTATCGAAGTATCCTATTTATGTAGAAGATTAGGTCTTTGTTGTTTCCATAAAACATTTGTCCACAACGCTCTGTCCAGCAATGTCTATGCGCACTTTTTACCGCTCGTTCAGCACAACCCTCGCTCTGGCGTCGAAATCCATCTCCAATAGAGTCATCATCCCACCTTCATCGCCGTTCAACGGTCCTGTCCAGAAGAGTGAGTATAAGCAACTGCCTCTGGACTCAGATTTCATCGAAAAATCATACAATGAGCTAGAGCAGTTCTCTACTGACTTTCTTCAGAAACATCTCAAGAAGTCATACTCGGACTTCGAAAATCATCCTGACCAATTAGTGTTCGAGCTGGAAAAATATATCGAACTACACGTGATTCCTCGCCACAGCGTATCCTCTGGCCAGATGGTCAACACCGGAAATCGTGTACTTCCCATGGTGTATTGTAAAAGCATGAGCGACAAGCTTGTAATCGAGCGCTTTTTAGATTTTTGTAACGGCGTCAAACTGACCCTTCGTCTGAATGGTGGTCATACTTGTATCTTTGACATTCTTTTACAGGGTAAGGCTGCCTTTGATCAATTTGAAAAGAGAAACGCGTCTAATTAGGATTCAATGTAAGTTTATAGTTTATAAAGTTTTGTTCGTTGGTTATTTGACTTTACACTGTTCACGATTTCTAAAGGTATGACTGCTCGAAGTCCGGAACCCATACATTAGTTAAAAATCCATACATTTCAAAAAAACTTGTGAGTCTATTCATGAAAATAACAAACTCAGAAAGATTTTTTGGCTAATGCCTCCCTGCAAACCGTAGCGTCGTGTCTACCTGCGGCAACTCTAGCTCCGCCCGAAGCCTGGGCACCTCCCTAGCTACCGCGTCTCAGCACGGCAGCGACCCCAGCAGACTCTCCCTCTAGCAACTCCTGGTAGGCTCGCCGCATCCGGTATAACCAAACTTTTTCGAAGACATTATTATCAATCTTTTGGCAATTTGCATTGTTAGTTATACTAGAGGCCTCAAGAAACCAACAAGATGTCCACTGAATTGACTGTGCAAGCTGAAAGAGCTTTCCAAAAGGTATGATAGCGTGCGAGTTACATGATGTTACCAAGCAAAACTAGACGAAAGCATGAAGAACCGTTGATTTGAATGTACGTGCGAAAATGGAAACGAAGAATGACTTATGGCTCATGTTAGAACATATGAAGAGATGCAAATCCACTAGATATGTATACCGAGTTGTCTAGAAGAACCATGGCTGTGAGAAATATGTGTCACTGGTTTAAGCAACATGAACAAGTTCCTTGCCATTTTAACAGATACGAGATGGTGTTACCGTACGTCTTAAGTCCTCCATTCGCACCCAGCGTTGTGATTTGTGCATGAGAAAAGCTTGAGTATCTAATAGCGAATGATTCCCGTTACTAACTATTGAAAACAGCAACCACACATCTTCACCAACCCAAAGGCTAAGGCCAACAGACGTACCAAGAGATGGTACAAGAACGCTGGTTTGGGTTTCAAGACCCCAAAGACCGCTATCGAGGGTTCTTACATTGACAAGAAGTGTCCATTCACTGGTTTGGTTTCTATCCGTGGTAAGATTTTGACTGGTGTCGTTGTCTCCACCAAGATGCACCGTACCATCATCATCAGAAGAGACTACTTGCACTACGTTCCAAAGTACAACAGATACGAAAAGAGACACAAGAACGTTCCAGTCCACGTCTCCCCAGCTTTCCGTGTTGAAGTTGGTGACATCGTTACCGTCGGCCAATGTAGACCAATCTCCAAGACTGTTAGATTCAACGTCGTCAAGGTCGCTTCCGCTACTGGTAAGGCCAACAAGCAATTCAGCAAGTTCTAAGCAGACTTTTTGAATCTTGTCATCCCACTATTCTCTTTTTTAGAATATTTTGTATAATGTTTTAAATACTAAAACGCGTTATTTTAACGGGCTTGTTTACGTATTGTAAGGTCCTTAACTAGAGCTTTGAAAAGCCTTCCTATTTGACTCTGCATAAATAGATTATTTATGGCTTTCCTTCTGCATCGATTGGATGTGCGCCTTCACGATATCCGATCAGTTCTTTACAGATTTGATTAATAGTGCGGTCTTTGTAAAATCTCACACCAGTTCTCAATTTTTCATAACATAATTTGAGTTCTGTGCCTGACCATTGTTGATCTGGCATTAGAGTTGCGAGCTCGTCCCAGTCCACTTGCGAGTCTTCTGTAAAACCCATGTCCCTTAACTTTTCTAATATCCATCTTTTGTCATCTTCAGTTATGCTTTTAATCTTATTCATGGCCTTCTTTTTAAGTAACTTATTCCATTTGTAACGGCATTGAATACGAGACCGTGATCCACCCATGCGTTCGCTGACGACCGTCCAATTGATGGAGTCTTTTGAACCAGTGCCCTTCTTTTTCTTGTTCAGTTTCGTAATTTGGTCTGGGTCACTAGCACCTAATATTATTCTAAACCTTTCTGCATCATCATCACCCGCTTTACTAGAAGCATTTGCCTGAGGATTCTCATTGTTAGCAGCGTCAACAGCAGAGGCCTCCATAATTTCTGCAATAACTTGCTTCAAACGCTCCTCTTCTTCTAAAGACCACTTGTTAGAAGCTCTATTGTTGCCACATTTAACGTAGTTCCTCCAGCGATCTCTGCAATCCTCGGGCATCCTCCCTAGAGCCTTACCAATCTCCGACCATTGGCCTTCTTTTTCAACGCAGAGGCTCGCCAATTCTTGGTCTTCTTCTGGGGTCCATTTACCACGCTGTTCGAAAATATGATACTTTCGACGAACGTGCTTGTAAATGGAAGATCTAGTTCTGTATGGTAGTACCTTGCAAATATTGGTCCAAAAATCGTCCTTACGCCTTTCATTCGACCAGATCCTTTCACAAATTTGACGTCTGCTTAGATTCTTAATGGCCTGATAATCTTTGATAAAATGCTCCAATGCTTGTTCTTCGGATGCATCAAATGATTTCCCAGTAGATTGGCTTTGGGGACTTATAAAGTTAGACGCTTTGGTCGCCGCATCCTGAATTAAGTGAGAGATATCTTGCTCCGAACTTCCTGCAGCTAAAACCTTCGGTAGAACTTCAATTTTCTTATGCAAACTCCTGTCTTCTTGAGCATCCTCATCAGAAAAAGCGCCCTCAGGAACACCGTCGTGCTTATGAGTGCCTCTGTATTTGAATTTTTTCGACATTTTGTCCTTTCCGTCAGAGTCCTCGTCGGTATTCAGGTAATGTTGAAAATCTGGGTGGTGAGCAATGCTGTCGGCATCCATAATGGCCTTGCGGACTAGTTGCTCGTGTTCCGTTACTTCACTGTCGTCCAGTGACGCCAACTCTGGATCCACAGCCGAGAGCTGTAGTTTCGACCGCTTTGTCTTACCATTGCCGTACCCCTTAGCGTTCTTGTCACCAGCATTAAGCTCTGACCGGTCTCTCTTCTTAGTATCGTTGTCGTTGGCAGCAAATGCGGCTGCTACAGCAGCCGCCGCGACCGAGTGAGAGCTAGCATCTACGCCACCGGAAGCCTGGTCTTGGTCGCTCGCCAGATCGTGCCTTAAAAACCATTCCATGTCCGCATTACCTCTCTCGCTGTGTTTAGACTCGTTCTTATCATCGTCTTTGTCCTTAGCGGGCTCCTCTTCGTCTACTGCCTCTTCCTCGTGTTTGCCACCTTGTAAGTCCACGCCCACATACTTGAACACTGCCTCTTCAACAGACTCATGTTCTTCATTTGCGCCATGTTGTTGCTCTTGATCTGACATTTTAGCCGCCCACAGTTTTATGGAAGGTCTCACTGATTATGCTTGTCAGGGTAAGTTTAATCGCCTCTGATCAGGGTAAGCAAACAACGATTAAGTTCTTGTTTTGTTGCTTTCCAAAACAAGGAAAATTTTTGGGAAGATATCACCAAGGGCGGGTAACATATAATACCATTTTGCGTATATTGTGATTGATGGAATGCTCTTGTTATATTTTATGTAGTTAGTTACACAGGTGGAGGCGGCGCGTGTGCTTGATAAAGCTTGTCAGAGGATGTCTGGAACTGGTGAAGCAGCTGTGAGTACGTAGTAGAAGGGAATGGTGTAAAGTCTTTGTAGTTGTTTCCCATGCGTTGATAGAAACCTTGTATCAAAGATGCGAACTCAGCTAGACAGTCGAGTGACTCGCCCATGATGCTTAAATTCTTCCCCCCTTTTGATGTCGGATTTCCATCAGCTGGAGAAGATACAGAAGCCATTGCGCGGCTGTTAAAGTAGCGGAGCAGGTCAAGGCACATCTTTTCAAATGTGGGTAGAAAATGCGGTGGTAGGTTTGTTGAGAGAACGAGGATAGAGCGGATGATCTGGATTGTTACCAGTAGGGCATTGCTGGCAACAAACGTCTTATCGCTGACCACTACTGATTTTTTGTGTCCCTTCTGAGTACGCTCTTCCTTGGTACTCCCGTCAGTCTCTGAAAGCTGGAGTGGTTTTGTCAAGTCCATGAGTGATGTCCAGTCTAGTGGATCTAGATCTATGCATGAAACGATGTCATTGACCTCATGCTGCAACTCGCTTCCCACGATGTACGGAACCCACATCTCTTGCTCGATTGTAACCTTCATTGTTCCGAGGCTGACTGCCTTAAGGGATGTAGCGTAGTTTTTGATCTGCATAGTCAGAACATCCACCAAGTACGCTGTTAAAACCTCTCCTGTAATGTATTCGCACTCACGTATAAATGAGACGCAAATGCTGTAGAATCTCAGAAAATGATCGAATCTAAGTTTGGCAGTAATGTCGCGCCTAACTGAAATGATCTTCCCCATTCGTAGTTGTATAGTTCGTATTCCTTCGTTAATTCCAGAGCGAATATCTAGTTGCATTATCATGTTATGACTGTTCTCTGCATTGTCCGAAGATTGAGTGGATATCAATTTTAGTGCTATATCCAATAAGACCTTTTGATGCTTCCCTAAGCGCCTTAACGCGTCACTTTCGCGTGTGAAAATGTTCACAAGCATTTCCTGGAATTCGACGGGAGTTTGAGCTTTGATTAAGCGAGAAAGCTTGGATCCAGTTGCTGCTGACCTCAATTCCATGGACCTATCCGCTGTCTCTTCATTTTCTGGTTCTTTCGGTAAATATTCCTTGATTATGTTCTTCAGCTCCACAATAAACTGATCTTCGTAGAGTTTGAAGGCACTTGCCAGTTCCTCGCATTTGATAAGTTTTGAAATGAGTTCCTCAATCTTTTCAATGAAAGTGAAGTCTGATTCTTTGTCCTTCCGTTTATCAGTTTTACCTGACTGCAACCTTTCCAATGTTTCATTCAAAGACACAGAGTCACAGTGCATTCTAATATCCTCGATAAGGATGTCACACATTTGCTTCGAATAAGTACCACCAATTTCAATTGCAACATTCGTCAAGAATTCCCTCGTACTTGCTAAAGCGGGGACGGACCTTAAATCCAGTAATTTATAGGGCCATTCTCTTGTAATCTCTTGAACCTTCTTGTCATTAGTGTCATCACCCTTTATTAGATGATCAATAAAGTCTATCATATCAAGTGCATCGTTGAGATTGCCATTATTGTAGAGATCCCTCATTTCATTCGTCAACTGGACTACTTTTTTAACCTGCAAAAGTCCTTGTTCCAATTTTTCCAAGTTCTTCCGTTTTATCATCTTACGCAAGACTTGTATACGGAATAAAATATACTTCTGGTCATATTCTTGCATATATTTCGACACCTGGTCCAGTTTGTTCACAGTTTGTAAGGCTTTTTCCTCTATTTTATCAACATCTTCCAAAGCATCAAAAAATTTGTGAGAAGACTTAGATATTTCGGTAACAAGTAGTGTTTCTATTGTATCAAGATATGCGTTCAGCCTTTCGTTCAGCTCTTGATATGCTTCGCTTCTTTGGAATGTAGAATCCTCGTCAACGGAATCCAAGTGCAAATCGATATCGTCCAAAACCTTCCTAAATGTGCGAGGATCATCCAATTTGAAATCTTCTTCGAAATAAAATTCAGGAATGCTCATTAATGTCCCAACTTTTTCCTTCATCAAAAAATTGTCCACCTCTTCAAGCTCACCAGGTGAATGAGAAAGCTCATAACTGTCAAGGTGAGTTAAATTTAAAGGCCCTAGGCCATTTGCGTGTTTGAGATCGTTCATGCGTTCAAAAACCGCGTAATCTTGTTGAATGGTATTCACATAGTCTCCGATCTTATTCTTCCAGTCATTTTCGAGCTCATTCTTGCTCAGGATCACGGGCGGAATATCTTCAGTCGTGGGTCGCCGTAGCCAATTTTTCCGTCTTGTATTCATAACAATTTCATAAATTGAATTGTTTCCAAGTGGTGAGAAATCCATGCTTCCGCTATGAGCCTCACTTCCCAGAGCATAGAGTTTGCCCTGTCTTCCCCACACTGATGACGATTCGAAGCTTTGTCGAAAGGACATGCTATCCATGCTCGGTCTTCCCGATGGAAATCGGCTTCTTTCTGTTCTGTTAGTACTACTATTTACACTTAGTAGATCATCATTCAAAGAGGCATTATCATCGGTTCTTGCACTGGGTGACATGTTATCCCTTCGTTGGAATTGAGGCGTCCGAACTATAGGGGGAGTCCTTTCTTGCATCAGACTCTGCTCATGCCTTATTACCGGCGCATCTCTTAATGCATTGTCTTGCATTGATCTATAATTGCTGAGATGCTCAATTAATAGAATAACAGGCCTCAGCTTGGGGTGTTACTTAAACCTTAATAAACATGCTTTAAAATAACGTAAAATCAAACAATTATATCGTTATGTACGTATATGACAACTGAATCTCTAAAGCTTGGTAACTGAGTGGATCAAGATTGAACTTTTCTACCGATTCAATCTGAGCTCCTATAAAATACGCCGAATATTCCATGGTTTCTCGAGTTTCTGTAATAAGGACCAGTTAAAGAAAAAAAACGAAAAAAAAAATACAAATGTTGATAAAATCCCTATTTCTTCCATGAATGTAAATATTTACTTGCAATGTCTCTAGCCGAAGACATCATTTTCTGTAGGCTTTCGTTGCTTTCACGATCTTCGTCATCCTTTTTTGTGTCGATGTGGTAGTTTTCCAAATTTTTGTTCATACGTTCAACGTCGGGTGAGGTGCTCTCGACCATTTTCTTGCCAGCCACAACTGACTGCATAGAATTGTTGCGTGGAGAAATGTAGCCTGAAATTGCCACATCAGATAGACATGCTTGAGAGTTTCCGGAACTCACTCTAGCAACAGGAGAGCCACTAGACACCCTCTGCGGTTTTGGAATGGCCACAGATGAAATTGAAGTTCCCGACGTAGGAATTGAGAACTGCGCTTTTGCATTAGTGCTCTTAGTGTTGTTGAAAAGATCATCTTGCGCAGTTGAATGTGCATCTTGTACATTCTCGCTTGCAATAATACTTTGATCTGAATCCCGATCTGAATCATCTTCAGAGTCTGAATCTAAAATGAAACTTCCTGAGCCAGATTTTGGAGGCATCCTTGCACCTGGGGGCCTCACTGGTGCCTTCTGAGTTGTTTGACTCAATGGTTTGCCCGTGATGAAGCTATGTGTCTGGGGAATTGCAGGACTGAGGTCGTCAATGTCTGGTACTAAAGCGGTGCTGGAAGCACCAATCGTTGGAGTTCTTCTCAGAGGTGGCAAGTCCTCGATCTCCTCCTCTTCGTCCTCTTTCTCTTCTTCATCATCATCATCGTCATCGCTACTCTTCATTCGAGAGTCCTCGATAAACTCAGAATCGCCATCGGATCCGTAAGAGTCACTATCATTATCAAAGTTAAAGCCACCTCTAGTTTTGCCACTTGGAAAATTATTCGGCAGTTGTTTTGAAGTTTCTTGACTTTGCTGGAAACGAGGGCTTTGTTGTTCTTCTATGGGCGTCTGTAATCCTTCTGGCACATCAACCATGTCGCAGTTGTTAACCGCCATGAAACTTGACGTGTCCCCAGTGTAAACTGAATTGTAATCATACATGTAATCATAACCCCTAAATGTATTAACGTTGTGCGATTCTGCATTTCTTCCATAATCATCATCTTCCTCATATTCGTCATCATCAGATCCGTAGTTAAGTGTTGTAGCAGGCAGAAGTTTGATAATTGGGGTTATGGGCTCGCCACTTGGGGCGGTTGAAGAGCCCGCTGAGGAAATGTCTGATGGCGTTTGAATTCCATCTTTCTTTCTAGCAAACCTAGCACTGATGAATAGTCCGCCCTCATCATCATCATCGGAAGAAGAGTCGTAGTCTTCATCGGAATCAGAATCGTAACGACCATTTGCCTTTGCAGAGGTTCCTTTGGTCTTATTCATTGTCAACGAATACTCGTGGTTGTCGATGTCTTTTTCGTCGTCCATACTATCATCATAATCATTATCGTCATCAGGGTGTATATTAACAGCCATGCATTGGTCCACTCGGTCGTTGAAATGGATGTGTCTATCTTTTTGCTCGCCACTACTCTTATTTGTTTTTCCGCTGGATGTTAATATAGAGGGTGGAGCTGAATCATCAAATTTTTCCTCTTTCACAGACGCGACCGGTGAACCTGAGGTCAAGGTTTGGTGAGCCCCGAACTGAGAAGGGGGTTCTTCTTCTGGATTGTTATGTGGCGATGAAGCATAATACTGTGCATTGACCTTGGCTGCGATAGCATCGTAGTCGTCGGGCGCATACGTGCTACCATATCCGTCGATTACCGGTGATGCATTCGTTAGTTGCTTCCTATGCTGTCTTGCGACGTTCAATCTCCAAAGCGAGTTTTCCTCTATGATCTCTGACACAGTTCTCTTTTTCAAGATTGGTTTTGGGCCTGACTTCTTTTTGGGCTTTTTTGTTGGAACTCTCTTGGATGTTTCGTCGTCTGAACCGTAGCCGAACTCCTGGTTCGTTGTCGCTACTGCATCTCCTGTTTTGCGTACTATAGGGCCGTAGAGCCAAGTGACATCTGAATCTTTCGACCAGTTCACCACTTCGGGGCTCACGGTTTTAAGGTTGTTTCTTGCCTTGGCCCACGTTCTCCAGGAGGCATTCTCAAGTCTCGCTGCATTCACCAGATCCTCGTCTTTTTTCTTTTTCTTCAAAATAATGTATTTCCAAGACTGCGAGATCTCAGACTCGTCCCACTTGTGCGACAAATAGTCCACATGCCTTTTGGGCTCGTGTACTATGTCATTGTCATCGTGGGGTATCAAATAGTTGTCGGTGTCGGGAATGGGGGGTGAAGTCGACTCTGATGGCTGTGCTGTCCCAATTGTCTTCTCTGTCTCTTCTTCCTCGGGCTCTGATTCTGTATCATCGTCTGGAGAGCCCCCTTGGCCCAGCAGCTTCTTTGTGGGATCGATGTACTCGTCCAGCAATCCCATCGACCGCGTTCTCTTCAGATTATAAGTCGACCTGTTGAAATGGTCATCATCCTCCGCTTCCACCGCCATAGATACAGACGGTCCCATGTCTTCATCCTCTGGGCTGTCGCTTGCAGAATGCTGTCCCATGTCTTTGCTAAAATACGCCGCCAAGTTCTTAGACATCGTGAAGAAAACCTGTTATCGAAAATCTAAGCACAACAAATTGCGTACACGAAGAGTGACCGATTATGATTTTAAAATGGCTTTCTATTTACACTCCCTCCTTGATGTTGAAGACCTTCCTTGCGCTAGCCGACTATTTGACTTACTTGCTAAAGGGGCGAAAAGGATGAAATTTTTAATATAATAAGAGGAACGTACTTCGTTACTTAGTTAAAGAAGTCAAAAAAAAAACTACCTTCTTGTACCAGCACGTGATGGGCGTTCATAGCCCGTATGGATCCTGTCCTGTCTAGGTGCGGTATTCCAGTACTTGCCCGTGGATGTGGTCGGTGCCCAAAAACATTCTCATGCCAATTGTGTTACTCAGACTAGTCTGTAAAGCCATACTTTGAAATCTTGGAGTCTTGGTAGTCTTGGTGTTCACAAGAGGATACTCGAAGGTGTTCCACAGCTTGCCATCATGCGCCTGGAATGCCAAAACTTCGCCGTAGTCGCTGTTCCAAAAAACGTAAGGCCCATGCCACATCAAATAGTGGGAGGTACGTCGTTTGAACCGGTTGCGCATGAGATCTGTGCTACCAAGCTGCAGAAGCAGCTTACTCTTGCCTTGCTCGAGCGACCAGACCTTGCATTTTCCGTCGTTCCCTGTAGTTACTATCTCGGAACCTCCGGTGGGGTTCCAGCACAAATCGTTGCAAGATTTGGCATGTGCCTTCGCGAGGGTGTCGGGCTCTGTCAGATCGCAGAGTGCCTTGTTGCCCATTCGGAGGTCCCACACTCGAGCATTTCCATCTTCATCCCCTGTTGCCAGCATCGGGTGGCTTCCCGTTGAGAACTTGGCGGTGTTAATGCCGAACTTCATGCCGGAGTGTCTCACGCCCAGCGTGATGGCGGCGCTCATGGATTTCAAATCCACCAGACGCGGGTGTGAGTCCTCGCTGGCGATCGCGATGAGATCATCTCGCGTATCTAGCTGCGACACCCTATGCGCGATATCCAGGGAGTGTACCACTTGGAACGAATTGGTGTCCCATAGTTTAACTTTCTCGTCGTTACTTCCCGTGAAAAAAAGGCCATTATCCTGCGTGTACCATTTCACTGATGTAACGGCAAATGCGTGGTGCTCCACTGGTAACGGTGGCGGTGGAGCCCCGATGTACGTTCGGAATCGCGGCCTTTTGCCCTGCATGCCTGGTCTTGCCACGATGTGCGTTTTAGACGGGCGTGATGGGCCTTGCTCGCGGGACTCACCCTTAGCAAGCCTCACCCTCTTGTTGCAAATCTTGTCGTCGACGTATTGTTCGTCGAGTGCCCAGAGAGCGACGCTCCCATCCTCGCTGGTTGACAGCAGAAACTGCCCGGTGGGGTCCAGGGCCAATGAGGATATGGCAAAAGATAATTGAGACCGACGATGTGAATACACGTTTGGTGTTGCCTCTTTCAGCTTCTCAAATTCATTTTTCAGCACCGCACGATGGAAAGCATCGGTACTTACTTTTCCAAGTTCCCATCGGAGGTTTAAATTGTTCATGTTTTATGAAACGGGCCTTGAAAAAGTTGCTTAACACTAATTCATAGGTTTTAACATAATCCGGGGAAAATCAGCTTCATCAAAAAACAGTACAATGTCTAGCTTTCTAGACCAGTTTATCATGGAGGATGTGGCCAAAAACTGTCCTAAGCAGTTTATGGAGTACCACAAATGTATTTCTGCCAATCATGAAGATCCTAGCCAATGCCTATACAGGCAACGGGATCTTTCTCTATGTATCAAGGACAAGGTGCCCAGTATTCAGAAAGTTATGCAGAATTGCAGCCAGCAGCTGTCAAGATATGAGGCGTGCGTTAGAGAGCACATGGCCACTCGCACCATCAACGAGAACTGTCTGGGACTTTTGCAGGAGATGAGAAACTGCGCAGAGCAACAAGTCGGTGGGACCAGACCGATTAACGATAGTTGAAAATCAAATTTATAGTTTAAAGATCCTAAAAAACCCGTCCTAGCACGGTTTCGAACTACTTACGTTAGGACGATGTATCTAAAACTTTTGAACGGTCTCGAAGAAAGTTTGACCTTGAATTTCGTTAACTCTTAGTTCCAACTCGGAAGGAACTCTGGTACCGTCGGCACCTGCAATGCACCCGGCACCCCATGGAGAGCCACCGTGGACTTCTTCCACGTTACTGAGCTCAGCGAACGCGTTCTTGTAACCTAGAGGGACGTAGATGATACCGTGGTGCGCCAAGACTGACAAGGAGTTGACGGCAGTCACTTCGTTACCACCACCGGTACCGGTAGACACGAAAACACCTGCAACTTTGCCGTGCAATGCACCCTTGGCCCACAAACCACCAGTAGCGTCCCAGAAAGCCTTCCATTGCGCAGGGAAGTTACCATATCTTGTGGGTATACCAAACAAGAAGGCGTCGTAGTCTTCCAAGGTCTGCAAAGTAGCAATTGGGTAGTCAGGCTTTGGTTGAGCTCTTAGGGCTTTTAGAATGTCCTCACTCAAGGTCTCTGGCACTTGGTAGATGTCAGCTTCACCACCGGCAGCTTCGACACCCCTTTTTTGCGCTTCGGCCAAGGCTCTGGTGTGTCCGTATAGAGTGTAGATGATAATAGCGACTTTTGGCATTTTAGTTGGATTGCTTGCTTTTGATTGGTTAGTGGTTATTGTTTCAACTAGATTGACACGGTGTGTTATGAACTCTCGAGGACCCTTTTATAATATCAACGAATTTCTCTGACTTTTCGATTACTAACTTTTGACTAAACCAAATATGTGTGGGTGTTGCGATTATCCAGTAGTGATTATTCATTGTTAAGGTACCTTAATTAGTAAAATCTTATATAAAATATGACAAACGAGGTGCTCGGGAGAGCTAGAGTTGTTCGAGGGGACTCCAAGATCAGTTTGATGATCAAAATATAGGTCACCCGGGGACTTTTCGGTAATTCGTAAGTTTCTTTCGCTGTAGCAGAGCTAGCTATATACGGAATACGTAATTGATACAGCTCGAAAGGATTGTGGAGTGCTCGTTTACCGGCTGTGGCGGTGGCACGCGGGTCTAATAGGAGGGGGCTGGTTTGGAAGAAGCCACCCTGCCAGTGCCAGTAATATAACTGGCTGGGATACGGAATAGAGCACCACCTCTGCCAGAGCCACCGCCTTCCTCGACGTTGGAATTGGCTGTGGTGACGAACAGATCACCGCCCTGGCCTACGCAGCAGCAGGTAACATTAGGGGCATCCGGAATGATAAACTCGCGGGCCAAGGCACCGGTCGCGTCAAAGGCCTGGACCTTGGACGTGGAGTATACCGCGCTATAGAGCGTGTTGTCACGTAGATCGACGACGCTTCCGTCGGGTTCGGGCGACTTGAATTCGGCGTTGATGGGCTTGAAATCGATGAAACGCGTCTTTTCAGCCATCCGAGGCTCATCGCTGACGTAAGGAATGGCCCAAATGGTGAATTGCAGCGAGTCGGTCAGGAACATCACGTCGCGCTGCTGGTTCCAGTTCACACTATTGGGGATATAAATCCCGTCATATAGAAGCGTCACTGTGCGCTTCGGGATGTTGACACGCACCAGACACCCCTCCGGTGGCCGTGTGTTGTCAACGCCGATATGGAAGTCGTTCATGATCCCGATGTATAGGTCGCCATTGGGGGCCACGTTGCCGTCATTCGATCTTAGACGCGACCAATCCTTATGTCCCAGGCCCGCACATGACGAATACAATACCAAATACTCCCACTCGCCGCTTGCTAGGTCCAAGTTCCCCACACCGTATTTGCCTGCGAACAGCACAGTTTCCACAGAGTCTGGGCCATCAACGGGGAATATCACACCAATACGCTCGGGGAACTGGGTAGAGTAAGGATAATTGCCTCTGTAATTTTCGCTAGAGATCTTAATCACCGAATGCGTTTTCACAGGGTCGTCGATATTGGTGACCTTGTGAATTTCCGAACGGAAGATGTCAACCCAAAGTAACGACCCAGAAGATGCCATATAGGTCACACCTTCGGGTAGTCGTGCATCTGGAGTATGGATATAAGGCTCCAGAGAGAGCACAATGGTCTTGCTCATGGTTTTTGGTGAGTTGTTGTTAGGAAATCAGAGGGAAAAAGAGCCTCGTTTTTTATGGGACGCCCTTTAGATCTTGAAAATTGGGAAAAAAAAGGTGGAGCAACCAAAGTGCCAAGAACACACAACCCCGGGGAGCGGGGTTGTGAAGAAATTTCTATAGAAGATGCGTTCGCTACGACCATAATTGAGTCCTGAGCCTTATCTTGCTACACAGATGCCCTCTAAAGTCTTTTTGATGCCATTTGACGGGATTTACGGTCGTGTCGCCAGCGAGCACCGTAACAGGCTCATCGCGTACGATGGCCGGACTTTGAGCAGGATGCGACAGCCCGACGGGCATAGCAGCATCCTTGGTTTGGGATCCGATGTGGCCACCTGGATCGCGGGCTCTTCCTAAAAGTCCACTTTCAGAAGTTGGGCGTCCCGGTTTTGCCCAACAGGATGTATAGTTGCCGTTTTGGCACGTCAACGGCGTTCAATCGGGACCCGGTCTGCATGAGAAGGACCAAACAGTAAAAACGTAAACAAACACTAGCTGCAGAGAGCTGAAAGGCTGTGGTAAACATTGCATGAGGAACCGGGACCGTGAAACTAGGGCTTGAAGCTCTAAATGCCGACGTTGCCAGCACAGCTCTTGCAATTCGAAGTTGGTGCAGTTTGGACAAAAGCTCAACCACCCGCGCATCACGCACCACGACCTCATCGCCTGCTGCCTCGTCGTCTGGCTCCCTGTCTCCATCTCTTTGCCCACAGGCCGCTAGGCTCAACCTTGTCCCCTCGACCTTACAAACTCCCGCGGTCGCCGGCATCGTACCACATCCGGTGTGTGGCAATGTCCGTTTTCATGCGTAATTACTGCTCTAGCCGCACTTTCTGCCATCTCCTACGCAATTGCTGTGGTCCAACAAACCCACGGCAGGGGCCCTCGGCAGCTGCCCCCGATCGGTGTCCGCCTAGCTTCCGTACCGGCAACGGCGTTCGGCGTCGTTGTCGGAAAGTTGGAATAGGAAATCACCTAGGATGCGCACATTAGGCATTTCCTGCATGTCGCCCTTAGCTCATCGCAATGCATACCTCTAAAGACAATTGCCGCACAAATTACTTCAAATCTTGCGCTTCGCCGAATTCTGACCCTTCAACGGCATCCTCGAGCACGGCTCACCCTTCTCCACCACTAATTACCTCTCAAAGCTTTAGCTCCTGATGCTATCTCCATATTTCTGCCCTCATCGCTTGTCTTCGCCCTACCAAAAAAATGCCTCGCGCAGAAAATTTATTACGTAAATTTCACAAATCTCGGGCAGCGTCACGAAATATCCGAGTGTCAGTGAGCTTTGGATAATTCGTAGTGGAATCCAGGATACAAATTCACTCGGAACCATATGTTCTCTGAAAGAGGTAATTTGTAAACCCTCTATGAAATGTATATAAGGGTTGAACAGGCTGGTTGATGAAGACTTATTGGATTAATTATTATTTATCAACAGAAACAAAAACCAGCAAACCTTTTTGAATAATCCCTTTTAAACTAATTAATACCTTTAATCAAAAAGCCATCAAAAAAACTCAACAAATATGTCTTACGTGGAACTAATGAAAAGAGGTGGTAACGAGGCCATCCAAATTAATGCGCCAACTGGTGTCGACTTCCATCTAACTGCTCGTGGTTCGGATTGGTTGTTCTCAGCCTTCTGTTTCTTCCTAGTCCTTGGGTTGATAACCATCGGTTTGATGTTCCGTAAGCCTGCCCAGGAGAGAATTTTCTACATGACTGCTGTCGCACCTCTATTGTTTATGGCCTTCACTTACTTCACCGTTGCTTCTGACTTGGGTTGGACTGGTATCAGAGCTAAGTACAACCACGAGAAAGTAAGCACTCAAACCGAGTTCCCAGGTATCAGACAAATTTTCTACGCCAGATACGTCGGTTGGTTCTTGGCTATGCCATGGAACATCATTGCCGTTGGTTTGATGACCGGTACCCCATGGATCCAAACCGCCTTTAACATTGGTATGACTGAAGGTTATGTCGTCTTGATGTTGATCGGTTCTCTAGTCCACTCCACTTACAAGTGGGGTTACTTCTCACTTGCCATTGCCTGTTCTGTCTGCTGTTGCACCAGTCTAATGACCACTTCTCGTAACTTGGCTATCAAGATGGGTAAGGATGTCTTTTCTATTTTCGACTCTATCATGGGTGTGATAATGTTCCTATGGTGGATCTACCCTATCTGTTTCGGTATCTCTGAAGGTGGTAACGTCATTGCTCCAAACTCCGAAGCTGTCTTTTACGGTGTTCTAGACTGTCTGCTTTTGGGTTTCTTGCCATGTATTATCACTTTCCTAGCTTCCACCATTGGTTTGGAAAGAATTGGTCTAATTGGTAACAGCAACAACTTCAGCGTTATGCCAAACGAAAAGTCCATGAACTCCATTGCTACTGCCAGACACTCTGGTGAAACAGCCGTCTCACCAAAGAGCGGCAACACCCCAGCTTCCCCAACTCCTTAAACTTCAAGCTCAATAGCACATTCGTCTTAAATCCAAAAGAAAAGAAATTAACAGACTCATTTATGACTTAGGATCGGTTCCCGATACCCTTTCATTCCTTTTAATGAATAGCATTTTTTCAATGACTTGTATGAGTTTCAACTTCGTTCATTTTTAACTATAGAAAGCCAACATCTATTCATATTTTGTATCCCTTTTTTTGTAATGTTTAATTTGATCGTTAGAAGCGTCATCAGAAATAGTTCCAATCAATGCCAATAGATGGTATAGGCTAAATAGAATAATTGTTTTTACACTCGTTAAAAGAAACTTGTTTATTGTTGTAATCTATGAGGGGGTGGGAAGTGCAAGGAAAACTCTTTAAAGAATTTCTCAAGCGTGTTGATGCAATTTCTGGGACTGTCTGATGATGCTATCCCAATTTGACCTGTAAAGGCAATAAAGTTCACTAATTGCCAAAATCAAGATGCCTACACCCAGTCCAATCCAAAATCCTTTGACTTCCATATGCCATTTAAAGCCCATGACCATCGCCAAAGGCAAGCCAAAGGCATAATAAGCGACAATATTTAGATAGCCACCAATTCTTTGACGTCCCTGCGCTCTAAGACAACCTGCCGCCAGAACATTAAAAACATCATACAACTGATTGATACCAATGAATGGAAGTAACTGAGATGCAAGTGAAACGACGCCTGGGTCATTACTGAATAGAGCACTAATCTTGTGCCTTCCCAGTACCAGAAACAGGAAATTTCCTAGACCGATTATCGATCCCAGATATGCCAAAGTAGTTTTTGTTGCAATTTCACAGTTTTGTATGCGGCCCGTACCAATGTGATAGGCGATTCTATTGGATGCCGCTACACCGACAGAAAATGGGACCTGAAAGGTAAGTGACTGAATTGAAGCAGTTACAGATTGTGCAGCAAGTGTCTCGGTGCCAAATTTGGCAGATAGAATTGTCAATAGTTCAAAAGCAAGAAACTCCGCTTCGATCATTATAATTCCAGGGACTGCAAGGGAAATCATCGAATTCCAATTTTTAAAAATCTCTCTCCAGTTACTGACCTCATTCCAACAGTTAATTGTTCTGGGAGCCCTGTTTTTGCGGAATATATGTAGAGCCAGCGAAAGCCCCATCAGCGAATAAGTAGTGGCTGTAGCAATAGGTGCGCCAATGTATCCTAAACCCAGTCTGAAAACTAGTAAATAATTGAATAGCATGTTGAGTGGTGCAAATACAAAAAGAATGTATTGAGCGGTTGTAAAATCATTCTGTGCTTGCAGATATTTCTTTCCACACTCGAATACAATATATCCAGGAATACTTGCTACCATCACTCTTAAATATCTCGATGCAATAACGATCAACTTTGGGTCATCAACCATAGCTGCCAACACTGGTTTTGAAAACCACCATAAAAATGCTATCGGTATGGCAAATATACTACTAATAGCGACACCTCTTTGGAAGTATAGTCCAACGAGCTTATATTGTTTTCCCCCAAATGCCTGAGGGCATAAAGTGTCCAAGCAGGTGGCCATTCCAACAAACACCGCGGACGTCGCGCTAAAGGTCACATTTGCGAGAGAAACACCACCTAACTCTAATGCACCTATTCTACCAACCACGAAAACGGTCATCGACGAAAGAGAAAACTGAAGCACGAACGTGAACACTAATGGCAACGCATTCCGACTTATTTCTCGGAACTCGTTGGAATAAGTAGTCTCTTCGCATTCCTTCAGAATAGTTCCATACTCGTTTGCAGAACTGTTCTTTGAAAGTGAATTACGCTCAGACATGATTTTTCAATTTCAGTTGCATATGTTTGCAGCAAGACCTGCCATCTTGTCGCTTCGATTTATATTTGAACAGTTTTCTTATCACCATTCCATGACTTCCCTTTTGAGAATCCCGAGCACCAAAACGATAGGTGAAAAATCCCGAGGAAAAATTCACATATAAAGATCACTGCGGTCCTGAGCTCGAAAGATGAGTATTCAAAATAGGCATCAATTCAGCTTCCAATGAAAGCTCTAGGTTTAATAGGTGTTGTTTGTGCAACATATGCGCGTGCCTTCTCAATTCAGGAGCACTTTGAAGGAAACCCGCCTTCCTTGATGAATCAACTGTACGACGAGATTCTACAGCCGCACGATGGAAAGAGCATGTCATCGCAAGCACTAAAGTCTTATCACCTTGCGGAAGATGAAGAGCCACTCTTCAAGGAAATGTGCTCTTTTTATGAAGAGCATAGATATGAGTATCCTGATGACAGTTTCTTATCAGATATACAGTTATTCTCCGGCATTGTGACATTTGCCCATGTCCCAATTGCTCGCTGTTTCGAGCATTTAGGTTCTAAAAAAGCTCCTCAATATGATATTGCAATTGTGGGAGCACCATTTGATACCTCGGTGTCTTATCGTCCAGGCGCCCGTTTTGGACCTAATTCAATCAGACAGGGTTCCCGTAGACTAGGTAAGGGTATTCTCCCAGTTCGTGGTTTTCCAGGATCAAAACTGCGCAAGCTAGATCCATACAATTCTGGTTACAAGATTGTCGATTGTGGTGACGTTCCTATGACACCTTTCGATAATAGAATCGCACTAAATCAATTGTACAGAGGACAAAGAGCGATTCACAACCATAGTACGGTTAAAGAGGATTTGAAGGCGCCAAAGGTCATTACTTTGGGAGGTGACCATACAGTAACTCTTATGGCCTTGAAATCTGCCTACGAGCATCATGGTCAGATGGCAGTAATTCACTTTGATTCTCATATTGACACTTGGGACCCTAAGGTACTCGGTGGTGGTATTACCAAAAGACAGAGTATTAATCACGGAACTTTCCTACATTTTGCACATGAATGGGGCTACATCAAGGATGACAAATCAATGCACGTTGGAATTCGTGCTCCTTTCCTTGATCCTTCTGATGAGCAGCATGACCAAGACTGTGGTTTCGAGAAAATTGTTGCACGCGATTTCGACATTTACGGTTTCAAGGAAATTGTACGCCAAATTAAGGAGAGAGTTGGTGATTTGCCTGTGTATTTGACAATTGACATTGATGTTCTTGATATTTCTGTAGCGCCTGGAACAGGTACTCCTGAGCCAGGTGGACTTACCGCAAGAGAATTATTGACAGTGTTAGATGGTTTAGAGGGTTTGAATATTGTGGGTGCTGATGTGGTCGAAGTTTTACCTGCTTTTGACAGTAATGGCGAGATTACGTCCATTGTAGCTGCTCAAGTCATTGATTCAATCCTGGGACTGATGACCGTGCAATAGAAGCAGCGTTTTCAGTATTAGAATTTTTTATGCTGTGTACAAACTTTATGAACTCTATAATTACGATGCAGATTACCACGTGAGAACGTCTTGATCCTCTAACTTATACCTCCCTTCATTACCATACCAGACTTTCTCCAACCTATTCAAGTTATGCTCCGTTAGCCTTTGAAACCGGCCGCCATTCAATTTATAATATTTTCGTATAACTTCCCTTGTTTCTTCGTCGATTGCATTGAGACCAGCTAATAGTATCGCAAAATTGCAGTAACATGTCCTCGAGTTCTTTGGCGGGTTATCACTGTCCAGAAACCCGAAGAGGCTAGTTATCTTTTTCACGACCTGTTGGATGATAATAGACTCTTTTGGGATACCCAACAGTTTCAATAGTACAATTAGTAGGAAAGAGAGTACTTGCGTTTGGTGAGATATATCATACCAGCTGATTGCAATCTGCTCATCGTTCTTCAAAGTGACCAAATCTATTGCATTATCCACAATTTTACTGTTGTTGGGATGTGATTGACTGGTTAGCGGTATGACACCAGTCTTATCTATAAATGCATACTCGAGTTGTTTATCTATCTCAACAAGTATCTTCTGAATCTTGAAATATGATAATTGCTGTTTGAACAAATCCGTGCTGGGGTTGGACCAGAGAAGGTAATCCAAATTTTTATCGAAGAGACCCTCCTTCTCTGAAAAATAGTTTTTTTCCGAATGCCTAATAATATTAAGAGCCTTAAATGTTTCCTTTATCACCAAGTCGAAATCCTCTTTGTGCCCTCTTAAAAGATTAAACTCATTTAAGGGCGTCATAATGTTTAGGAATTTCAGTGAGTCCACGTACTGGTAATCATAAGGATCAAAGATTGCATCTAAATCATTTTCTTGAACAAGAGCACCACCCAAAACTGTACTGATGCTAGCAAATGTTTCTATCACCTTAAACCAACATTTGGCAACATTAAGGACTTTGGACGAATCTCCTGAGTTTATTTTTTTGAATAGTTCAGTGACACCTTTCAAGTGTGATCTCCACTGACTATTCATTGTATAAATACAATCCCATGTAAGCATTAGAACCGTCAAAATTATTGGTTCAATCCTATTGATAACATTACTCTCATTTTGAAACTGTTCGCTAAGTAGGCTCAGGCAATGTGATAGATATGCACAATAGGCCTTTTCATCCTCAACATTGGAAGACTTTCTGTGTGCAATCGATGCACCCACAGCGAGAATTGCCGACAAAAGATATGATTCACCCCTGGCAAAAGATAAAAGGATATCACGTAATGGATTGCCCTGATTCTGAAAGAATGGCGCTATTGAATCCAAGCAGTCGTAGTAGAATACCTCTAAATAATTGTCGTGCACACCACCCAGTTTGAAGGAATCGATGCTCATATTAAATGTCATGACATTATCAACCAAAAAGGAAATGGGAACGCTTGCATAAGTGTTTTGGGTTGAGATTGCTGAGAGTTCGGGTATATCTAAATCTGAAAAGTCCATTGTCTTCAGCTCTTCATGTATCATAGAGTCATTCAACTTCATGTTGACGATATCGTTCAAATTTTGTATCAAAAGGTTCGCATCATATGAGTTTAAATTTTTAGGTGGAACCAAATTTGGCAATTCATTCAGTGATGAGTTTTGGGGCTCTACTATATCTGAACTTTCGGATTTGGCTATTACAGGAGTGTTTGTGGATGGAACTGCTGAAATTTTTTCATTCACTTCTTCCTTTGGTGCTGGTTTAGCCTTCTTTACTGCACCGTTCTCTGTCCTTGGTTTCCTTTTCTTATTCTTGGGGTGAGGAATATAAACGCACTCTCTATTCAGTCTTGCGCACTGCCAGCATGCGGGCTTCCCTTCATCGCATTTCATCCTCCGCCTTTTGCATTCAGTACAACCATTTCTTGAGTATTTTCTCTTGACGATCTTTTTATCACCTGCCGATGTGGGGGGTTGCGATGACTGTTTCTGCATGGATTCCTCCATGAGTATCGGACCTGAAACACTTGCGAGGCGATCTAGATCGGTGGTTGGTTGTGATTTGGCGAAATCCAAAGTCGCCTTAGGACTATCTGAGCTGGGATCTGGCGTCGTGCTATTCCTCATCGAGAACGTGGTGAGACTTAAAGGACTGGGAGCGCCAATAAATGTTGGAGGGGGAGAAAATGTATCTGAGAACGGTTTATCAGAGGATCTATTCTGGTTTTGAAAAACACTCTCTCTGCCTAGAGGCTCTCCGCCTGATGAACTTCCTATCGAACTTGGAGAAACGTAATTCAGCGACCGATAAGAAGATTGGGCTCCTAATTTGGCATCTTTATCCCCGTTGAACATGACTCTGGAGTTCTCGAAAGATCCCATTACTTTAATATCCTTTCTAGCACAATGGTCGAATTGGTGACCTAGCTTCCATTACTGAGATTCCTCTGGAAAAATTTTCAGTGAAATTCCCGCTCGATTTTAAAATTCCGTGGAAAATGCTAATCGACTTACATACCACCGTAGTGTCAGTTTAAGGCTTCTATGGATGCTTTGAGTATCTGTGCAGGTGAGAGGTACTGTCTCTTAACGTTTTTGGACATAGAAATCCACTCATTTCCATACCTAGGCTCGTAATCTTCGACTTGATTTAAAAGAGGCTCGATACTCTTGCCTAGCTTTTTATTACAGCGGGCTAGCCATAACCAAGCGTCACCGTAGAGGGGATTGGAAGTTGTAGCCCTTTCTAGCCATTTTAAAGATTTTTCATATTGAGCGTCTCGAAAGAAATTGATTCCAATTTCGAGAAGAACGCGGCCGTCATTGTTAGTAGCTTTTAACGCATCTTGAAACACCGTTCTTTTTAATGACTTCTTGGAAGTCAGCTTTATATTTTCTGCCCAAAGTAAGGGACTTTCTGGAAACTTTCTCAAACTTTCAGATACCAACAATCTGGCAATATCGTAATTTCCCAATCTTGTCTCCATCTGAATCTTTGCAAAAAAAAGTTGCTCAGAGTCTGGATTTTTTAGTAAGCCTAGATCTAAATCTGAGCGAGCAAGCGTGTGCTTCTGAAGTGCTTGCTCATCTAGCTCGGATAAAGCCTTCCAAAGATGACAACTTCGGGGAATCTTTTTCGTTCCGATAGAGAAACACTCTCTCGATTTACGGAATTGATTCAAGTCTGAATAGATCTGGCCCCATTGTAAATAGAGTTTCTCGCATTCGGGATATTCTTGTAGATACTTCTCTTCTAAAAGAGTTAATGCCCTCTTGTTGTCCCCTTTAAACCTTAAAAAGCTGATGTATCGATAATATAGCCTTTCTAAACCTTGTGCTTGATCAATACTCTGCATTGCATCATGGAATACGACTTCAGCTTGGTCTAACATAGAATTCACTATAAGCAGTTTTGTTTTAGCTAACCAGAAGTCAACGTGAGGAGGAAACCTTCTCAGAGCTTTATCAATGATCTCTAGAGCTTGCCCTTCGTTTTTCTCAATTTTCCACACTTCCTTTGAATAAATTAGAACCAATATGGGATACTTCTTCAGCATGGCATCATCATCTGAAAATAAAATGTCGTTGAAAAGATCATAAACCCTGCTCATTTTGAGAAGATTTCTGCACAAAGCGATGAAACTTTTCCAGAGGCTGAATCTCCCAGGTTCTTGTTTCAGTATACAAGAATATGCTGATACTTTCGTGATCCAGCAAGTATCTTCAATACCACTGAGTAGTGAATAGAGATCAGAGAACTTGGAAGAGTCGTACTCTAGGCGCAAAGACGAATATATGATTGCTTCTACTGTCTTTGGATAAAGTGCTGAGAATTCTCGCTCTAGATTTTCACCTATCGTTAACCAATTCTCAAAAGTAAGATATTTGCCATGTTTCGATAGCTCTTTGATCCCTTTGGTGTGCATTTTGATCAACTTATCCACAGAAGCATTATTGAACTTCTCTTCGATCTCTAAGGCAAATATCCATATTCTCTCTTCAGTGGGCATGTTTTGTCTAGCTCTGTTTAGGGTTTTTCTAGCTTCTGCATGATTCTGTAAATTAATTAGCGCTTCCACCAGATCGACGCTCGTAGAATTAAGCTCCACTGCCTTTGTGAGAATTCTAAGTGCCTCCTCTTTATCACTTTCGAGTTGAACAGCTAACTTCCAAAGACTTTCTGAACTTGGTAAATTCTGTAAGGCTTTTCTAACGACTCTCACCTTATTAAATGATTCTCTCTCAAGATCGACCGCTTTGAGCCATAGTTTTAAACTTTGATTATTAAATCGAAGGGCTTCTGCAACCAACACCTTACAATAGTGAATATCGGAAGAATGAAGTCTTATGTTTTCGAGCCAAATATCCTCATCTCTTGGACATTGCTTGCAGCCTTCTTCAATAAATTGTTTTGCTAATTTAAACTTTTGAGCTTTTTCCTCCAGACGCGCCGAGGCAATCCAGCCTTGTGGTTTCTTTGGATCAGACTTTCGATAGGAACTGAAAATGATACGCATTTTCTTAAGATCCTCGACTTGGTTGCTCAAATCGCTACTTGAAGCAGCAGTGTCCAACTGAGACAGATATTGCTCGACAGCATCACCATTATTGGTTTTCTGTAAGTTATGACCAGCTTGAAAATTCTCATCTAGCTGGATTCCTAGCAGCTTCTCACGCTCTTCCGTTAATTTTGTAAGGTTTATATTTCCCGATATTAGGGTGTCAGGTGCAGCATAAGTTTTCCGCTCACTTTGCATTTCCAATCTCTGTCTCTTGTTTCTCCTTGTAATATCGCCAGCCTCTGGAATGCCTTCCCATTGCTCTTCGCTAACACCCGCTAGTGATCTCTTCAAGTCTACAAAATCCTCTGAAATCGAGCCAAACACACCTGCATTCGAAGATGACTGCTCGATTTCCTTTTTCCTTCTATTTCTTTGGGACAGCTTGTTATCAACTTGAAGGTATATGTTCTCGGCCTCTTCATCATCTCTATCGAGCACCTCAGAGGCCAAAGACAGTCCATTAGAGTCGTCAAATCGCGAGTTCGTCGGAAGCTTATTGCCATCACTATCTATGAGTTCTTTGTCCTCATGGGCTGCCACGTTTATCTCCCCTCCATCCCGCAGCCGGGCAGGAACCTTACCAGAACCTATATCTGATCTGGTAGTGAATCCAGTAGCACCTCGACCAATGCCTGGTATATAACCTTTGGGAGGTTCTTGGTCCAAGAAAGCCGGCCTCTCCATTGTTGTTGTTGAATGGTCGACCTTTTGAACTTAAGATTCAGTCCTATGGTTCAATAATTTTTCATATTTTAAGCTCAAAAACAACATTTCGGAAACTACACTCCAAAAACGATCCTCTCTACATACGATCATGATCACTGAACAAGAACACTGTACTCTGTTTTAGTTGGAACAATATAAAGATAGAAATATGACACCAGGGACACATTCCTGGTCAGGATATCTTATTATGATGACCAACTGTATATCTTCACCTCCGTAATTCATGCGTAATTCTGTTGGAACGAAATACAACTATCGACCATCGACTAGTATTCGTGCTACTAGTATATTATCATACACGGTGTTTTAAGATGACATAAAGAATGAGAAACAGTCATCGAAATTAGTGGAAGCTGAAGCGCAAGGATTGATAATGTAATAGGATAATGAATGAAAATGTATAAAAGGAACAGAAAGAGTAAGAATAGTTGTAAGTAGAATTATTGACTCTTCTTTCTGGATTCTTAGAAAGATGAGGAGAACTTCTAGTATAACCATATACCAATAATTACAGCCTTAATAAAAAATGGAATCCCAACATTTAGCTCAATATTCACCCATCTCTCATGGTAGCGCCTGTGCTTCGGTTACTTCTAAAGAAGTCCACACGAATCAAGATCCATTAGACGGTTCAGCTTCCAAAATCAACGAATATGATAAGCTTTCCACTAAGGCAAATTCTCAACAAGAAACAACACCTGTGCCCACAGATGTTTCAGAGAACATTCATCATGCCTCTCCTCACACTGCTCAAGTACCATTGCCACAGAATGGCCCGTACTCACAGCAGTGCATGATGACTCAAAATCAAGCCAATCCTTCTGGTTGGCCAGCATACGGTCACCCATATACGATGCCGTACACACCTTATCAAATGTCGCCCATGTACTATCCACCTGGGCCACAACCACAGTATCCACAGTACACATCAACTACAGGAACGCCTTTGAGCGCCACACCCCCCGAGCCCAGTAACACACTTACCAAGCCACCTTCAACGAAGTCAGATGTGACACCCGTCAACAAATCTGTTCGACCACCACCAATTTTAACATCATCAAATGATTTTCTAAATTGGATCAAAACTTATGTTAAATTTCTACAAAATTCAAATCTCGGTGACATTATCCCGACGACAGATGGAAGACCTATACGGCAGATAACATACGACGAACATACCTTCTTGTACAACACTTTTCAAACGTTTGCTCCATCTCATTTCCTACCTACTTGGGTCAAAGACATCTTATCTGTTGATTATACAGATATTATGAAGGTTCTTTCGAAAAGCTTTGAAAAATGCAATCCGACAATCAAGATGTCAATGACCTGATAACGATCACTAATCTCCGCTACAATGGCAGTACACCAGCAGGAGAGTTTGAAACAAAGATCACGAATACAATCGAGAGACTAAACAATAATGGTGTTTCTATCAATGACAAGCTCGCATGTAAATTAATTATGAGAGGTCTCTCTGGGGAATACAGATTCTTACGCTACACACGTCATCGCCACCAAAACATGACAGTCGCAGAACTGTTCCTGGACATTCATGCCATATATGAAGAACAACAGGAATCGGAACGCCGTAAGCCTACTTACCCAAGGATTCCTAAAGATGACAAGAACATTTCTCGAGTCTCTCCAAATATAAACAAAGCCAAAACTGTAACCCGAAACCCTCAAAAAGCAAGTAACTCAAAATCAAGAACGGTCAAAACTAATAACGTGTCCACGTCTCATAACTCTTTTGACAAGAACAATGATTCGATCAACGAATCACCTGATAAAACAATACACTTGAACAATCAGTATGACCTTCACCTTAGGCCAGATACATACTGAGTCCAAGGTAAACCACACGGATCATTCAAATGATGAACTTCCTGGACATCTTCTTATCGATTCAGGTGCATCACAAACCCTTATCACATCCGCTCATCACATACACTCAGCATCGCCTAATATTGACATAAGCGCAATCGATGCTCAAAAAAAGGAAATACCAATCAACGCCATTGGTAATCTCCAATTCAAATTTGAAGACAATACAAAAACATCAATAACAGTACTACACACTCCGAACATAGCTCATGATCTACTCAGTTTGAGTGAGCTAGCTAAGCAAAACATCACTGCCTGTTTTACCAAAAATACCCTAGAGCGAGTTGACGGCACCGTACTTGCCCCTATCGTTCGACATGGGGACTTTTACTGGCTATCCAAAAAATACTTGATTCCCTCGAACCTATCAATGCCAATAGTTAACAATATCGGTACTGATAAAGCCTCACACAAGTATCCCTATCCTTTGATTCATCGCATGCTTGGCCACGCTAATGCTCAAACCATTCGGAACTCTCTAAAGAATAACTCAATAACATATCTAAAGGAAGCAGATGTCGATTGGTCTAAAGCTACTACATACCAATGCCCAGATTGCTTAATCGGCAAAAGTACTAAACACAGACATGTCAAGGGATCACGAGTAAAATACCAAAACTCGTATGAACCTTTCCAATATCTGCATACCGACATATTCGGTCCTGTTCATAACCTGCCAAAAAGTGCACCATCCTACTTCATAACATTTACCGACGAGAAAACAAGATTCCAATGGGTTTATCCATTACACGATCGTCGCGAACAATCTATTCTCGAGGTATTTACCACAATACTAGCCTTCATTGAAAGACAATTCAAGGCCAGCGTCTTGGTTATACAAATGGACCGTGGTTCTGAATACACAAACAAAACTCTCCATAAATTCCTTCTTCAACAAGGCATCACTGCATGCTATACAACCACAGCAGACTCTCGAGCTCATGGTGTAGCTGAACGGTAGAACCGTACTTTACTAGACGATTGTCGCACACAGCTTCAATGCAGTGGATTACCAAATCATTTATGGTTTTCCGCAGTGGAATTCTCAACCATAGTCAGGAACTCTTTAGTTTCACCTAAAAACGAAAAATCTGCACGGCAACACGCGGGTTTAGCGGGACTTGACATCAGTACTTTACTACCATTTGGTCAACCTGTGGTAGTCAATAATCACAATCCTGATTCGAAAATACATCCCCGTGGCATTCCTGGCTACGCTCTACATCCATCCCGGAACTCTTATGGATATATTATCTATCTTCCATCTTTAAAGAAGACAGTGGACACTACTGATTACGTTATCCTGCAGGGCAAGCAATCCCGATTGGACCAATTCAATTACGACGCACTTACCTTTGATGATGACATAAGTAGATTAACTGCTTCATACAAATCGTTTATTGATTCAAATGAAATCGAACAATCCTACGACCTTCACATGGATCCTAATCATGATTTTCAATCTGAGATAGATCATGACACTGAACTCCGGGGAGATGACAGTTCCACAGATCTGATTGCAACTGGTTCGCTATCAACTCCTACTCAACCAACGAGATTGGAATCTGTACCTACAACTAATGCTCGTGCACCCAAAGAAGTTGACCCTAATATATCTGAATCAAATATTCTTCCGTCAAAGAAGAGGCATAACATACCCAATATTCCTGATCCAGACAATGCCTGTTTGGGTGGTATGAATAGATCAGATGTATCAATCGATATCCCCGTACACAGCTCTGTCACGCAACAGTCGAATAAATCCAATGATCACGATCAAGTGAGCGATTCAGATTCACATCGCCAAATCAATACTAATCCTAAAAACGACACAACGCCATGTTTGGGTGGTACAAACAACAAGACTATATCAGAGTTCAATGATCAGGCTACCGAGAAAAGCTTGATAAGCTATCCAATTCCACTATTTGATCCCCCACAGGGAAGTGAGATACCAAAGTATAATGCTCCTATTGTTACACCAGATACCTACTCTGAACATGATATGAAGGAATATATTACAGAAGATCTTCCGATTCCCGATTTACCTCCAGAATCTCCTACCTGTTTCCCCGATGCCTTTAAAGAAATTCCACCGATCAATTCTCGTCAAACTAATTCCAGTTTGGGTGGTATGGGTAAATCTAATATCTATGCTACTATCAATAGTAAGAAAAGATCATTAGAAGATAATGAAACTGAAATTGAGGTATCACGAGACACATGGAACAACAAGAACATGCGTAGTTTACAGCCCCCAAGATCAAAGAAACGTATACATCTGATCGCAGCTGTAAAAGCAGCAAAACCAATCAAACCGATACGAACAACCTTAAGATATGATGAGGCAATCACATATAATAAGAATATCGAGGAAAAGGAAAAGTACATTCAAGCATACCATAAAGAAGTAAATCAATTGCTAAAGATGAACACATGGGACACAAACAGATACTATGACAAAAATGAAATAGACACCAAAAAGGTGATAAACTCAATGTTCATCTTTAACAAAAAACGAGATGGAACACACAAAGCTAGATTTGTTGCAAGAGGCGACATTCAACATCCTGATACGTACGACGTCAGGAATGCAGTCTAATACTGTACATCATTATGCATTGATGACATCTCTGTCACTTGCATTAGACAATGACCACTACGTCACACAACTGGACATATCCTCGGCGTACTTGTACGCAGACGTCAAAGAAGAATTATACATAAGACCTCCGCCACATTTAGGTATGAACAACAAGTTAATACGATTGAGAAAATCACTTTACGGCTTGAACAAAGTGGTGCAAACTGGTATGAAACTATCAAGTCATATCTGATAGATAAATGTGATATGGAAGAAGTACGTGGATGGTCATGTGTGTTTAAATACAGTCAAGTAACAATCTGCTTATTCGTTGATGACATGATACTATTCAGCAAAGACTTGAACTCAAACAAAAGAATTATAGAAAATCTAAAACGACAATATGACACTAAGATCATAAACCTAGGTGAAAGTGATGAAGAAATCCAATATGACATTCTTGGACTAGAAATTAAATACCAGAGGGGTAAGTACATGAAACTAGGTATGGAGAATTCACTAACTGAGAAATTACCAAACCTAAACGTACCTTTGAATCCGAAAGGTAGGAAACTTGCCGCTCCAGGGCAACCTGGTCTTTACATAGACCAAGAAGAGTTAGAACTGGAAGAAGAAGATTACAAAATGAAGGTGCATGAGATGCAAAAGCTAATTGGCCTAGCATCGTACGTTGGATACAAATTCAGATTCGACCTACTGTACTACATTAACACTCTCGCACAACATATATTATTCCCGTCCAAACAAGTTTTAGACATGACATATGAATTAATACAGTTCATATGGGATACCAGAGATAAACAACTAATATGGCACAAAAACAGATCTACGAAATCAGGAAACAAATTAGTTGTAATAAGCGATGCTTCATACGGAAACCAACCGTATTACAAATCCCAGATTGGTAACACATTCTTACTCAATGGTAAAGTCATTGGAGGAAAATCAACAAAAGCATCACTAACGTGTACTTCAACCACAGAAGCAGAAATACACGCAGTCAGTGAAGCCGTTCCGTTACTAAACAATCTAAGTTATCTCGTGCAAGAACTAGATAAGAAACCAATCATCAAATGTTTACTTACTGACAGCAGATCTACAATCAGTATAGTTACATCCAAAAATAAAGAGAAATTTAGGAACAGATTCTTCGGCACTAAAGCAATGAGACTCAGAGATGAAGTATCGGACAATAATTTGTACCTATACTACATTGAGACCAAGAAGAACATTGCTGATACATTGACAAAACCTCTTCCGATAAAAACTTTCAAGTTGTTAACAAACAAATGGATTCATTAGATCTATTACATTATGGGTGGTATGTTGGAACGAAATACAACTATCGACCATCGACTAGTATTCGTGCTACTAGTATATTATCATACACGGTGTTTTAAGATGACATAAAGAATGAGAAACAGTCATCGAAATTAGTGGAAGCTGAAGCGCAAGGATTGATAATGTAATAGGATAATGAATGAAAATGTATAAAAGGAACAGAAAGAGTAAGAATAGTTGTAAGTAGAATTATTGACTCTTCTTTCTGGATTCTTAGAAAGATGAGGAGAACTTCTAGTATAACCATATACCAATAATTACAGCCTTAATAAAAAATGGAATCCCAACAATTATCTCAATATTCACCCATCTCTCAAATTCAATCATATTTGGACAGAATAAAAACGACCAGCTGCTTTTATTATTTGCTTATATACTTTATGGATTCACCATACTTCAACAAAGATCCGTGATAGTTTAGTGGCTAGAATTCGCGCTTGTCGCGCGCGGGACCGGGGTTCAATTCCCCGTCGCGGAGATTTTTTGCACCGTTAGGGTATTTTGCATTACCAATTGATGATTAGATGCAAACCATCTAGGATGATCAATCAAGAAGGACATTCACCTGCAATACAGGAGATGACTTTCTCGTTTTGCTCTCAATACGTGAGGATGAATAATCACACATAGCTTGATTGCTATTCGTAATTTATTATATGCGAGGAATTCACAGCCCCTACCTGAGAAAAGGGTTTTTAGAAAGTATAAAGCCAGCACTTTGAATATCCCTTTTAATTAAATTGGCAGTTCTACAATTTTGAGATCATCAAGTTTGGGATTTTACAATGTTTGACAAATTGAAGCAGAAAGTTCAGGAACTCAAAATTTCCAATGACGCTTCACTGCCTGTGTTTCCAGAAGCTGGCAAAATTACAAAACGAGATATATATCAAAATCGATACAACTTTGGGGTGAATTTTGGGTCACTCTTCGTACTTGAGAAATACATCTACGACTCGTTGTTTTCAGCTGGAGGTGAAAATGAACACGACGCTATTGTTGCTTATGCCAAGAAGACGTCAGTGAATGATGCGGCCAAGAAACTAGAAGAACATTACACCAACTACATCTCAGATGACGATTGGCGATGGCTCAAAGATGAGGCTGGTATAACAGCTATACGGTTACCAGTGGGATACTGGCATATCGGCAACGGTCAATTCCTGGAAAAAGGTATGTGCTTCGAGGACCTACAGAAGGTGTACGAGAGTGCAAAACCATGGGATCACATCAAAAGGATCGTTGCCGACGCGAAGAAGAATGAAATTGGCGTCTTATTCGACCTTCATGCATTACCAGGTGGAGCCAATGGTGACGCTCACAGCGGAGAGACGAACGGTGGGAAGGCCAAATTTTTCCAGAATGGAAAGGCAGTCAAGAAAGTGGTGGAAGAAATGTTACCATTTGTGGTAAATGATTTGTGTCAGCAGAATGAAAATGTAATTGGACTCCAAATTGTCAACGAAGCAGCATTTAATAATAGTCCCAGTGCGGAAAGGAATTACTACGCCAAAGCTATTCGCAGCATCAGAAAGCTGGATTCAACGCTCCCCATTGTCATCTCTGATGGCTGGTGGCCTGACCAATGGGCAGACTGGTTGGAAAACGTAAAATTATCAAACGACGTGGTAATTGATTCTCACACATATAGATGCTTTTCTGACGAGGATAAATCGAAGTCAGCCCGTCAACTGACTGACGAGTTGCATGAAACTGTCAATTTTGCCAAGGATAAAGCGGACTACGTGGTTGGAGAGTTCTCCTGTGTACTTGATGGATCCACATGGGACAAGACTAAGGAACCTCGCGATGAATGTGTAGCAAGCTACGGTCAAAAACAGACCCAGGTTTTTCAAGATAATGCCAGCTGGGGTTGGTTTTTCTGGACCTACAAGTTTGAGCATGGAGATGGAGGTGAATGGGGTTTTGTCCCCATGGTAAATCGCGGCTGTATTCCAAAGAGACCTCGCACAGATCCTCACATTGATGATAACCGTGTGAAAGATATCGTTGCTGAGCACGTCAACTATTGGAAGGACAAAGGAGGAGATAAGTTTGAGCATTGGAGGTATGAAGACGGCATCAAGAACGCTATTGACGATATCAAGGCCTTCAATGCCTTTGAACACTCACGGGTAGGGAGAAGGCACTTTATGAAAAACGTCAGAAGGCATCAGTATACCAAGGATAAGGGCGACAGCGAGTACATGTGGGAGTGGGAACAAGGGTACGATAAGGGTCTCGATGAGTTCAATAGATATAAGTAGCTTATTCACAGTTTATATGCCTATCCTTTGTTTCACCTGCTTCCTCTGTCTTGTATGAAACTTAAGAATTAGAGAAACCGTGATACTACTCGATCAACGTAACACCTAATTGTCCCAAGTATTTCGAACATTCGGTTCTATAGTGTAGTGGTTATCACTTTCGGTTTTGATCCGAACAACCCCGGTTCGAATCCGGGTAGGACCTATATTTTTGCCCTTCTTGAAGTTTGTGCGGCAGTGAATTGGGTAAGCCCGAAGCTCCAGTCTCATCTGCCGTGCCTGTGATCAATGTAACTATGTTCTTCAGCCTCAAACCAGAGGCGCAGACCCACAACATGCCCAGCACAACTGTTGCATGCGCCGTGCTCACTACATCTAACTACGCCTTACTGTAAATATCTTGTACTATATTTAATCCCAGTCCCATGATATGAATGGGTACATAAGATGCTAGGTTCTGCTACCTTTGCACATCAAGTTAACAGTTACCTCGATGAGAAATTACCGACCACAGCAAATATACTATCAACAGCCTCAGCCCATATACATACAGCAAGCTCCACCTCCTCGGGATGACGGATGCTGCAATACGTGTTTAAAGGCTTTGTGCTGCTGCTTCCTTTTCGAACTATGCTGCTGCGATATGTTCTAGCTTTTATTCTACAGCCTTTCCTGCTGGCATCGCTTCAAATGCACAATGCACCAAATCAATGTGTCATGAGAGAAATCAACTCACATGACGTCCCCATGTTTCTAGTAATTCGTGAAAAATTTTCTGAAAAATTGAATCATCGCTGCCATCGCAAGGTGAAAAATATTTCATATATAAAATATTTTGCAATGTTCTATAGATTTCATCAGTAAAAGTATTAAATAGTAGGGCAAAAATGTTCATTAAAAACGATCACGTCGGTGACAGGTCTCGCTTGGAAGATTGGAGAATTAAGGGTTACGATCCATTAACCCCACCTGATTTACTTCAACATGAGTATCCCATCTCTGAGAAAGGTCACAAGATCATCGTGGATGCCAGAGAGCAAGTATGCGATATTCTAAATGGTAAAGATGACCGTTTGGTAATCGTGATAGGTCCATGTTCTATTCATGATCCTAAGGCTGCTTATGAGTACTGCGACAAGCTAGCTGCACTATCTAAGAAATTGTCCAAAGATCTATTAGTCATAATGAGAGCATACTTGGAAAAACCTAGAACCACTGTGGGTTGGAAGGGTTTGATTAACGACCCTGATATTGACAACTCTTTCCAAATTAACAAGGGTCTCAGAATCTCCAGAGAAATGTTTACCAATCTCGTCGAGAAAATGCCTATTGCTGGTGAGATGTTGGACACTATCTCTCCCCAGTTCTTGAGCGACTGCTTCTCTCTTGGTGCTATTGGTGCTAGAACCACCGAATCTCAACTACATAGGGAGCTAGCATCTGGTCTCTCCTTCCCTATCGGTTTCAAGAACGGTACTGACGGTGGTCTACAAGTTTCCGTGGATGCCATGAGAGCCGCTGCCCACAGTCACTACTTTTTATCTGTGACTAAGCCTGGTGTTACTGCCATCGTTGGTACCGAAGGAAACTCCGATACTTTCGTTATTTTGAGAGGTGGTAAGCAAGGTACTAACTTCGATGCTGAAAGCGTTAAGAAAACGCAGCAAGAATTGATTAAAGCCAAAGTGGCTGATGAGGCCGGTGTTCAAAGAAGAATTATGATTGATTGCTCTCATGGTAACAGCAGCAAGGACTACAGAAATCAACCAAAGGTTGCTCAGGCCATTTATGATCAGCTGATTGCCGGCCAAAATGCTATTTGTGGTGTTATGATCGAATCCAACCTTGTTGAGGGTAGACAAGACATTCCTCCAGAAGGTGGCCGTGATGGCTTGAAATATGGGTGTTCAATTACCGATGCTTGTATCGGATGGGAAACTACGGAGCATGTCTTGGAACTTCTGGCAAAGGGTGTTCAATTGAGAAGAGAGGCTCTCAAGAAATGAAAAAAAAAATGTACGTGTTATAGCAATATTTAATAATATCTCTTCTGCTTGTCAATTATGCGCGGTAGTTTCCTCTTCCTATTTGTGAGAAGCTATTCCCTTCCTCTTCTCGGTGTCCGACGCTTTCCTCCCACTCGCGAGCAAACAAATAGCATTTCAATTTGACTCTTGAAAATGCTGGTGTGAAGACTGAGCTTCAAGAAAAATCAGGGCTTTTTAAATGGAGTTAGAACTTGATAAAAATCGGATATTAAAAGCATAGCGAGCATTGTGATAGCAAATTAGAACATTTATCCTTGACTCCGATTGTATTCGTCTAAGACTGTTGCTTGAATGATCTAATTTTTTCCTTCAATTCCTCATTCTCTTTTCTTAACAATTCCAACTCGATCTGGGCCTCTTTAGATCTCCCATATCCAAGCATTTTAGCCATTTCTCTATTTTCTTTGGTTAACATCTCAAGTCTGGTAATCGTTTTGTGAGCTAATTCTTCTTCATCATAACGACCAAATTTGGTGATTGTATTTGAGGGATTCAATGCCACAGCCGTTATTATACTTTCGAGCCTCGCGTTTGTCTCGTCTAATTCTTTCGTCTTTCTTTGCAAAGATGATGACAGTTTCGAGAAAACCGTTTCAATACTGGCAGGAATTTCCAAAGTCTGATCGACTTCAGTGGAAATTCGCTCGTTTTGAAAGCTCCCTTGCTTATACATAAGGCCTTGATTAAAAGCCGTTTTCAGCTTCTGAATTTCTGTTTCCAATGATTCAATCTGAGTCTCTTTTAATTGAAGTTCCAACCTTAGAGTTTCGTTATTTGGAAAAGTGCTAGTTGCGGACTCTAGCGAAGTGTTACAATCCGAAATTCTTGTAGTATTCGCTGAATCCATGATACTATTAATTGTTAAGGTACCTGCCGTCCCTGGCGGCTCTACATCATAGTCCTTACAATCAGCGTTCCAGTAGGAACTACCTATTTCATGACCAATTTTTCTGGAATTTGCATACTGTGAAGAGGTCTGAGAGGCCGTAAGGGTATTTCTACCTTCTAAATTACTCGTTGTCGTACCTGAACTCGACGAACTGGTCAAAAAAGGATTCGAAAAAGCGTTCACCACATCCATGCTCGGTCCACCTACGCCATGTCCTTGATTATCCGCTTCAAAATGATTAAGAAAGTTGGACTGAGCAAAGGAGAGATGGCCAAAAGATCTTTCGAGATTGTAGTTGTTGTCAATATTTTTGGCCTACAGAAGCTTGGTTAATAAAATTATCGTCATTCTCAGGAGAAAGTTGAGACATACATAAATATCAAATCGATTTGTCCGCTTATTTTCTTGACTATTCATGCTGGCTGAATCAAAATGTCCTTCTTGAATACCTTTACGCCTCGGGTGTCAATTAAATTGATCTGAAACACTGACCAATTATTAAAAATGACATCGTTCTCTATGATGCTCTTTTATATAGATAACAACAATCTATTTAGAAAATAGATATATGTAGCCATTCTTTTTGATTTCCTCAATATTTTTGGGGTCATCTGCCACAACCATCTTTTCATCATTGTACAACACCCATTTGGATTGACCTTCAATTACTTTTTTGATAAATGCGACATAATGTCCAGAGTGTACAGAATTTCCCTTATGGCAAACCACCGCACGGAGGGCATACTGTGCGTGCTCTGCATTTGAGTCTCCATACAACTGCACTGTTTTTTTCAATGAAGGCTCTTCTTCTATCGAACCGTCGTCATCCATATTATTGAATACCCACTCGACACTCGCATTAATATCACCTTTATTTAATATCAATGATTTCCGTGAAAGCTTAGAATCCAAACCCATTGCAATGAGGGACTCCAAGGCAGAGGGATCCACAATATCTGAAGATTTGGAGTCGGGCTTGAATACGTCATTCAAATCCGAGTCATCGACATGCGAGAATAGCCAGTTCATCGCTGCTTCTGTGTCATTATTTCCAGTATGAAACAACGCTCTGGTTCCTGCATTGCTTGAGAACCCCATTTCCATTAGTTGACTTAGAGCCTCCTCTTGAGGCTTAAAAGCCGAATCATCATCTTCCGGTAACAGAGTTTCATTATTACTATCAAAACCCCTAGACTTGTACTGCCCTAATTGTAACCTTGTGTCGTCATCAGGATTCACTCCAGGAAGTGTTAGTTCAGCAGCTGTTTTTACAGGGATCCAATTATCTAGCTTGATTCTAGAGGGGTTGATGATCAAGGTATTAGGATAGGTCTGAAATCTAGAATATTTTGTAGCAGATATCAGTTTTTTGCACTGAGGACACTTGAATTCCAATGTTTCTCCTTTGAAGAATCGTTCGAGACAGTCAATTAAATTCTGAGGCTCTTCAGATTCTGATAGCGGAATTTGCAAAAACTCACTAGCTTGGGAAATATATTTAACTCCATGGCAATTATTGCATTCAATCCTATCCTCAAGCATGAAGCGTATATGATCATCAGGATTTGTAGAGGAGCTATTGAAAATCTTCTTGTCTAATGCATCCACAAAAAAAGACAAAAACTCCATTGCATCTTGTTGCCTCCCTGATTGAAACTCTTCGTCAGATCCTGCAAGGCATGCTTTGAAACTCGAAGGTCTTATTCCCTTCGAGTATCTTGCAGGATTGTCGACAACAGCATTTCTAAGTTTGATCAATTGGCACTTTAAGTTGGTGGAAGGATAGACCACATCGACAGGAAAATCCCCTAGACCTTCTACAGACCATTTCGAAACACCACCGTTGAAGAACACCTGAAGAACTGAGTTCATGTAACAGGAATTTCCCAAGTTAATTAAACCACAACCATACTCTTTGCTGCTTTGTAAATGTTGCAATTCATGGCCTTGGGAGTCCACCATCTGAAAATCCCAATTCATATTTTGCTCGACTTGAAGTTCCACAAGAGTCTTTTCTTGAGCTACCTTGTCTTTAAGATCAATGTTCCAGTGTGCAAGCAGATTCCTCCATTCGTCTTGATTTGCAAATTTTACTTCATCATCACAAGCGTAGCAGTACACATCAGCTGACACATCACTTAATGAGCCCAATTTTACGGCCAAAGAATGATCTGGATGCTCTTCAAAATGCTTTAGAGCATGTGAGTGTCCATCAATGCCAACTTGTTGTCGACCACAGCCAACATGACCACAGTGTAGACATAACCAAAGATTTGTAGCAAGGTCACACTTTCCGCAGCATTTAGATATATTATCTGATGGACCTGGTGGCATTTGAAAAGATTCAACGTGCTTGCAAGATCTAATTTCCAACTGCCAAGACTGAGCCATTTGTTCAAAATTCTTAGAATGCGCTCTCAATATCTGAGCAACTTTATCTTGAACAGTTAAGTCCAATCCAGGAGTAGTGTAATCAACTGAGCAAACGCCTCCTTTCACCAACCACCAAAGCGTGTCATAAATTTCATCTTCAGCCTTTTCTTTAATCTCTAGCTTCAGCTTCTTCTCCGTGCGTTCCTCGGACGCTTGCTTTTTAACCTTGCTCAGCTTAAGGAAAAAGTCATGGTGCTCATTCAATGCACTTTGAACAACATGGCCATGCAAATCTAAATGAGCATCGCAAAAACTTTGGTAGCAAGAAAGACAAACGTTGAGATGATGTGACAGCTCTCCCTCTTCATTATACATTGTTTCATAACAATAACCACAGTCATCTTTATATATGACTGATGGAATTTTAACACTCAGAAATTCATCAACCACTGACATCTGAACCAAATATATTGCTGTAGCTCATAAACAGAGGACTCTATTATCGTCAATCATCCTTTAAAATCGTTGAAAGATACACAGAAAAGCTTCGCCCTCGGTTTTAATTTCGAGGTTTCACTCTGCTCCATTGACAGTGATTATATACAATTAGCATGTTACTTGTTTTATTTACATGGATGATCATATCGCTATGCATCTTATTTAATTTAACTGCATCCAGTATCTTAATCTTTCCAGTGAAGTTCTTCTGTTTCGCCAACAGTGCACTTTCTGTCGCAAATCAAGCGACACAAATAATCAACACCTGTCTTTCCCTTAGAAGATTGATTAAATTGCGAGAAGTACTTGATAACCTCTGCCTTTGAGACCGCGAGAGATCTTCCGGTGCCGTCATTACCAGTAATATAATCTTTCAATTGCTGTTCAGTGGGGAGCATGAAGAGAGAGTGGCGCGGATACTTTTTCCAGGTGATGGCGTTAGGGAACTTAAGCAGAGATACTGGATTTGAAGCACGTGGAGATACTAAGCGTGAAAGTTCCTCCATTGTTAGTGAATTCTTGGCCCATTGATATGGCGTTTTCTGCTTATCAACTAACTTATGCTTCGTAGCTTGCGAGAATTCAGATGCAGGGTCTACGCACATGTTAGTGGCGGTGACAAGATCTTGCCTCAAAGCTGACTCAACATCCGAGTGCATGTTTCTTTGGAATTGTTCAATTGCAACCTGAAGGGAAACAGGACTTTTTGTTGCTAGCTTCTCCTTTGTCGTTTTCGCGAACTCTCTTTCTTCAGGTGATGCGGAGGGGGAAGCAATCAAACTATCTAGCGCACCAATTATTCCTTTCAGGCCCAATCCTACTTTGAAGCATTTTTCAATAGTATCAAGTTGAGCGGGCGAGTACTTGAATTGATAATCATCTGGGATACCGGTAGAAAACTCTTCCAAAGCTGCGCTCGTCATTTGAAATATTTCCTCACTTTGAATAACGGGCAGCTCGCTCAATCTTGCCTGTAGGTCTGGAAGGTTGCCGCTGGGCACGTAGTGCGAGGCCAAACCTGCCATGTAAACGTCTGGTCCTGAAAGTAAATCACCACTTAAACACAAATAAAGGGCGAGCTGACCTTCCGTGCCACCGACAGTAGTGATTTGGGGTAAAGAGAAGGTCGTTCCAACGTCTGGGAAAAACCCAATGTCCATCTCAGGCATACACCACCGCGTGTTTTCAGTTGCAACACGGAAGGGTGCATGAGTAGCTAAGCCGACACCACCACCCATCGTAATTCCATCCATCAAAACCACAACAGGACGGTCGTATGTAGCCAATAACAAATTGAGAGAGTACTCCTCTGAGAAAAACTCGAATGACTTATCATATTCGCCAGCCAGGTTTTGCAATGCCACTGTGGCAACATCACCTCCCGAGCAAAGCGAGCGTGGTGCATTCGAAGATCGAATCATCACAAGATTAGTCACTTCACTTTTTGCATATTCTTGTAAAGTGGGTATAATCTTCTTGCACATTTCTGTCGAAAGGGCGTTTAATTTCTTTGGCCTAGAGAGCGTCACAACTCGTGACACACCTTTAGTGCCGAAGGTTACTTGTTCCGACATCAATCTCCTAAAAATGGTGGGCCTTAGCTGGCTTCTTAGCATATCTTATCTAGTTTTCAAGATTGCTCAAATCACGCCTCTTCTGAACTTTGTATCGACAAGCAAAATTTGTGATGTTTCTTGTTACGGAAGGAAATCACCTTCATACGAGCAAGATCATTCGTAACTCATGATACGTACCGAGACACGTTACCGAATATTCCATCGTATATAAGAGTTCTCTCGAGGTTTGTTTGCTGCTGATTTGATTAATCGCTCGAGTAATAGGATGCCCATCACTCATCGCGACCTATCAGTTGACTCACAGACTGTGGAACCACCAGCTGCTTCATCTTCGGTGGATAGATTGCACAACTACTACTGGTCATCGCAGAAAGAACCACATGCGATCCGCCGGCATGCGATATTAAAGTCACATCCTCAGGTGAAGAAACTGATGGGACATGAGCCTTTAACTAAATACATTATATTCGGGGTTGTGACGTTGCAGTGCACGATGGCCTACTTACTGCGCAACACTTCTCCACTGAGTTGGAAATTCTGGCTTTGTGCATATGTGGTCGGAGCCACTGCAAACCAGAATGTGTTTTTGGCGATCCACGAACTGTCGCACAACTTAGCATTCCGCCAGCCGATTTACAATAAATTATATTCGGTCTTTACAAATACACCTATTGGAATTCCATACGCCGCGTCCTTTGGGCCTTATCATCAACTTCACCACAAATTTCTAGGCGATGAAGTCTACGATACCGATATCCCTACTCCTTTTGAAGCTATGCTTCTCTCGAATGTCTTAGGAAAGGCGTTCTTTGCCACGTTCCAGATTTTCTTTTACGCATTCAGACCCATGTTCGTCACGTCAATCCCGATGTCTCCGCTGCATCTCGTTAATGTCGTGTACCAGTTTACTTTCGACTACATCTGGATTCGTTCATTTGGAGTTAACTCATTCGTGTACTTCCTACTTTCGTCATTTTTGGCAGGTTCTCTACATCCTTGTTCAGGCCATTTTATTGCCGAGCATTACTTATTAAATCTTGAAGAAGCATTGGTCGGTGGAAAACTGGCCCTAAAACATACTCCGGGTGAAAATGAGAAAATTTGCAGTACTGATGAATCACAAGTGAAGCGTGGAGAAGTAGTATTCCAGCAAGATTATGCGCTCGAAACATTTTCCTACTACGGAATTTTAAACTTCTTCACCTGGAATGTGGGACTTCACAATGAACATCATGACTTTCCATTCATCGCCTGGTCAAAACTTTGGGAACTTAACCGCATGTGCCCCGAGTATTACAAGGATTTGCCAAAGCATAATTCATGGTGTAAAGTACTATGGGACTTTGTTTTGAAAGACGATGTTACTTTGTACAACAGAGTGAAGCGCGTTAATAAGAACAAAATGACTTAACGAATTTCAAATTTATAAATACTCCATGTTGAGATATATGACTTATTTAGCGATGCTGATACACGTAAATACACAAAAATGGCTCGTGCAGATAAGCAGACTGCGTGCTGGCCTGCCAACCCTATCCTGCAAATAAATTTCAGTTCACAAGAATACGATGTACTTGATGATACCGAACAAGCTTAGTGTGAAGATAGTCAAAAAGAAGATATGAAGACAGAAAGCGTCAAATGATGTCATTAAGTAATAGGGAAGGTGAATATAGTACATCCAATAAAGGTTTTCGAAAAAGTTTGACACCTTTTCAGACAAAGAGCCGGTACTTTGCTGCTCGTCAGTAGGTGAAAATATCATCTTCCCACGGCGTAGACTATTCGATCTATTCATCTTAACAGTGCTCATTCTCTCTTTCCCGTACTTTTGTATGAATTTAACTGTAATGTTGTGGTTTCTCTTTCTGCTTCATCGATTTCAAGGTACGACAAAATATCCCGTGTAGTACGATTGCATGTTTAAAACGCTTTGAGGGATTACAAAATGCTGTTATATCTATATATTTATATGATTGATGTAAATTAAGGCCGGATTTGCAATGGTTTCAGCCTTTAAACTTTCCGAAGAAGGATCTTCTCTTGCTTGTTGTCTCACTATTATTAGCAGTTTCCCGTCTCAAAGTTTCCAAGTCAAGCGACTTCCGCGCACGCGAAAAGGACTTTTTAGAAGAAGATTCCGTGCTACTAGGAGATTTTCTCTGAGAATGGTGGTGATGGACTGTCTTATATTTCTGAAGGTTTAAATCTGGGGAAGGAGATGAGGAAAAATCTACTTCCTGAAATTTCAGATCCAGCGATCTCCTGCCCTGCGGAGCACTCATTTTCGGATTATTCACCACGCTCTGAGACTGAGAAGTTTCTTTGGAGCTCTTTTTCTTCTTACTTTGAAGATCAATGGATATACTATCGCTTGATGCAACGCTTTGTTGAGAAATACTTGCTTCATCCTGTTTTTCCCCTTTGGGTGTTGGAGACAGGTCGACACTATCATATGTAAGATCCAACTTCTGTGCTTCCCTTCTCTTAACAGGTGAAAAGTCTATCAGTAAAGCTTCCTCTGGATTAGCTTTAGGCTCCTGTTCACGCACCTGCTGCTTTTGTTGTTCCAATTGCTGCTGTTTTTGGGTTTGCTGGAGTTTCAACTGCAATTGTTGCTTCTGCTGTTGCGTCTGCTGTTGCTGCTGTTGCTGTTGCTGTTGCTGTTGCTGCTGCTGCTGCTGCTGTTCCCGACCGATTTCCTGTTCACCTTTACCATACATATGAGGGGCGCTATTGGCATAAAACTGCTGAACGGAATACCCATCGTGGTTCGGAATTCCTTGCCTCACAGGAGGTGGCGTTGTTTGGTAATAATTTGCGTAAGCGGCGGCATTTTCCTTATTTGTCGCCTTTGAATTTTCTTTGACAGATGAAACATTTTGGACCGCCGGAACAGTCTGAGGTTGCTGTAGCTGCAGCTGTGATTGTGGTTGCGGCTTTGGAGGGATTAGAGAGCTTTGCTGCAATGAAGGAATAGATGCTGCCTGCTGAAAGTAAGCCGCATCATTTCCAAGATTCGAGATATCACCGTGGAAAAACTGTTGTTGTTGCTGTTGCTGCGAATCTCTCCCATAAAATGCAGCTTCCTGCTGGATATAAGGAAATGGGTTGGTTGGTTTGTGTTGCTTCATAGAGTTTGTGGATTTAGATGTAGCGTCTCGTGCCATAGAAGTTGCACTAACTGTTGGTCCGGTTTTGACTGTCGAAACAGGATTGGGTGTTTCATCTGGAGAGCTAGAAATTGCAGCATGATGCAGTAAAAGATCAGTTCTACTGGAGGACCTTGAGCTGGCGATACTTTTACTTTTCGTTGATGAATCTTGCACCGACTCCTTCTTAGTATCACTATTATTGAGATATGTGTCTAAATCTTCCACGGACGGGAAGTGCTGCTGCACAACGGTAATGTCTTCCTCCCCACCGGAGTCCAAAGATCTCTGTTCTTCGACAAGCTCAGCAGTATCTGATTTAGCTTGTTGAGAGGCCACCTCTTGCCCACCACGACCCATGTTGACTGGTTGCTTCGGCCCAATTTCAAAGCAATCAATAAATAAATCATTGAGGTCATCAACAGGTTGCTTACTTTCATAAGACAGATACATTTGATATTGAAGCTTCTGCAACTTTTCCTGGTACTTGGAATATTTTTCGAAATCATAGGGCCCAAAGTTATATTTATCTTCTAAAGGAACATCAATTTTTAAAATGGAACAAATATGGTGCATCACCTGATATATGTTCGGTCTCAAGTTTGGATTCTCAGCCAGCATAATTATGATAAGATTGATTATCTTCGATGAATAATTATTGACAGGGAACTCATACTTGGAATGCAAAATAGCGAATTGTCCTGTTAGCTCAAAAGGCGTGGTGTAAAATAAAAGCTTATAAAGAAAAATGCCCAACGCCCATATATCGGACTTTTCGTCAATTGGTATACATCTGTATAGATCAATCATTTCTGGAGACCTATATTGCGGAGTCGTGTGAACATATATGTTGTTGGTAAGCATAGCAATTTCCTGGTGTGTGGTGGCGATAGAAAGACATCCAGAAGTAGATCCAAAGTCGCATAGCTTGAAGTTGTTGTCAGCATCAACCAAGACATTTTCGATTTTAATATCTCGATGAATCAGAGGAATGGGCAGATAGTGCATCTGAGATATTGCCATTGTCACATCAAACATGATTTTAAGGATTTCTTGCTCAGATAGCTTCGTCGCTAGCCTTTGATTCATGTAATCCAGCAAAGAATTATTGGGACATAGTTCCATCAGTAAGAGAACTTCAAAACCAGTTGTGCCATCTCGAGATCTGGATGCATGAGAGTCGTAATATCTGACAATATTGGGAGCATTAGCTAACTGTTTCATAACGTTGACTTCGTTTCTCATCTCATTCAAGCCATTCTCATCTGTAACTAAAACTCTTTTTAAACAAGCAATTTCGCCCACCTTTAGAGAATTCAAAGGGATCTGCTCAAGTTCATTGACAAATTCCACGAACTTTACAACATAAATGTGCGCGAATCCACCTTCTGCCAAATATTTTACAATTTCAACTTTATGGTTCCCGACTGTCACCCGTGAGCCTGCTTTCAACTTTTCCAGAACAGGAAGAGAGCTGCTCCGACTAGTGGCAACTGCCGAAGAGACATCTTTGAACGCAGCTCCGGATTTTGACATTCCTTCTCAGAGCTACCTTTTGATTCAACTTCAATATACCTTCTAGGGATGAGCCAATAGGGGTTTTTTTCCCTCATGTTCTTACAATCCCAGATCCGGGGTATCGTTATTTACGTATAAATTGGTGAATGATTTTATATTAAAGATCAAGCACATCTCTCAGTAAAGTTTGCATTTCAGCGTAAGAATAAGGAACATATACGGTTTCTGCTCCAGTTCTATCTTTTGAAATTGCAGCCATTTTATGCTCGATGAATTCTCCCAGCATGGATCGCAGAGATATCTCATTAGAAGCGATAAACTCTGCGGCACACATATGATAAAACTGTTTGAACTCTATACCAAACAGATGAGAACCACGCTTTGTGGCAGTTATCTTGCCTTGTGAATCCATGTTATTGAGTTGAGTATCAATGAGTAATCGATACATTCTTTTAGAATTTGTTGTTAGAGAATCGAGCACATAACGAGCACCCTCAGCACCAGTGCTGGAGTCATTGCGGCCCAATTTCATGATATCGTTGAAAGAGGATTCAACTGAATAGTTTTCATAATTGGTGATGTCATGGAACACAAAATTGAAATTCTGTGTCCGTACGTGATCCCACAAAAGGGGCGCATATATGTGGTCTGTAGAAGCAACCAGAGCTATCTGTCTGACCCGCGCTAGAGAGCTTAGCATATTTTGGAATGGATCCTTGCGCAGCATCGGCCCGTCCAAATTGTGAACAAGAAGAATGAGCTTGACATTGGAGGGCGTATCGCGATAAACCTCAATCATTTTATTGATCTGCAATTCGACGTGATTTCCCCAGTATTTCGTTTCAGATTTGCTCAATTCTTCTGGGAGCATAATTTTGGAAATGGAATGGAAAACATCTCTATAGCTACAAGTAGGATTGTAACCATTGATAACTACGCAAGGCACGCCTTCAATCTCACCATCACTATCTTCCTCTTCTTCATACTGATTGCTTAGCTCAAGATGGGTTTCTGGAGCTAATGCAAGTCTTGGCGACAGGTATTCTAGGACAAATTGCTCGAGAAACTGCCTCTTCGAACCAATACCATAAAACAGTAAAGAAAACCCTTGCGTAACCTCAAACCAATACTGCGGAAACATCTGGAGTTGAATTTTGTGAAGCTCTGCTTTGCTTGACCTATGGAGAAATCCATTCAGGACGCTGGATATTAACGAGAACTGCTCACGCGTGACTTGAGGAGCCATTGCCATCGAATTAGTAGACTTCTTATGCGAACGAATGGGCTTTTTCTGATCAATATAACCTTCAAATCCATCGAAGAAGTATGTTAAATGCTTTTCCTGTGGCGGATTGTATTCACCTTCTGCAGGAATTGGTGTTGGTATGAAATCTTTGTTTAATGTTATTTTGAGAGGCGATTGAGTTAAAACGGGTTTCACGGGAGATTTAGCCGGGGATGAAAAAACATGATGAGACTTCATTGGAGATGAAGAAGCTGTGACAAACCCGGCCTCGGTAGGTTCTTCTAGTTTCGGTTTCTTTGGTCTACCTCTCTTCTTTTTCGGTGTCTGTTCAACTTGCACTGAATTCTCAAAAGAATCTTCAGTTCGAGATCTTTTCACGGGCTCCATAACCGGAACGCTGGGAATATGCATTGGGCTACTCATTGTCTGAGACTTCTTTTTAGCTGGTGACATCGAACCAGCACGGCCAGAGCCCCGAGTACGACGGGACAGTAAGCTCCATAGGGACGGCAGAATGCCAGTATCAGTTTTTTTAGGAGAATTAAAGGATTTTATATCTTCATGTGATACTATGTCGTTGATGTGAGACATGCGGCCTGTTTTACAGCGTTTATTGAAGTTTGATCTGAAGACTAGTATTCATGCTATATGCTAACAAAGAAAAAAAAAAAACATGAAAAATTTGGCAAGCGATGAGACAGTATTCACTTTATAAACACGCAGCAAAAGATGCTATCATTCTGTCCGCACTGCCATAACATGCTATTAGTCTCACAAGGGGATAGTGGGTCGTATGTGCTACGATGTGGCTCATGTCCATATGCATTTCCCATCGAAGGTGTCGAAGTTTACGACCGTAAGACGCTTCCTAGAAAAGAGGTTGATGATGTTCTGGGAGGAGGCTGGGACAACGTTGATCAGACCGGCGTACAATGCCCCAACTACGATGAGTGTGGGGGCGAAAGAGCATACTTTTTCCAATTACAAATTAGGTCGGCTGATGAGCCGATGACGACGTTTTACAAATGCGTCAGCTGTGGTAACAGATGGAGAGAGAACTGATTATCGATCACGTCAAGAAACCACACATGATAGAGAGTAAAAACAAGTTAAAGAGGCGTATATATATATAGATATGTAGTTTTTAGTATTAGAGAGCACCGAAGCGCATAAATAAAGTTATAAAAATGGGGCATTAAACACTGCTCAAGCCCATTCTATTGGGTTTTGTAAAACTTGTAGTAGTTTATCTTCTCTGGAACCTGGTTCTGGGTGGTGATCGTAGAGCCAGCACGCGGTCACGGGCAAACTCATCAAGATGGACTCAGTACGAGAACCTGGCGTGCGTAGACCGAATTGGGTACCTCTATCTAGAACCAAGTTGAATTCGACGTAACGACCACGACGCAACAATTGCCATTGTTTTTCCTCCTCAGTGAAAGGCATGTCCTTTCTCTTGGCAACAATTGGCAAGTAAGAAGGCAAGAAAGCGTCGAAGCAGTCTTCGACAATGGCCAAGATTTCTTGTGGATCACGGTCGTCAAGGTCATCGAAGAAGATACCACCGACACCACGGGTTTCGTTTCTGTGCTTGATGAAGAAATACTCGTCACACCACTTCTTGAAGCGAGGGTACAAAGTGGCATCATGCTTATCCAAGGCCTGCTTGTGACAAGCGTGGAACAACTTGGCATCCTCTTCGTACAAGTAAGAAGGAGTCAAGTCGGCACCACCGCCAAACCACCAGGCTTGAGGAGTGCCATCTGGGTTCCACGTTTCGAAGTAACGGTAGTTGAGATGGGTGGTTGGTGCGTGAGGGTTGGAAGGATGGATGACCATACTCAAACCACACGCGAAGAACTTGACACCGTCAGCAACGGGCAAATCCGTGGCGGGATCCACTGGGATTTGCAAGTTCTTGTGCTCGTGTCTCATGGCGGAGATGGCCTCTGGAGAAAGTTGACCATACACGACAGAAACGTTGACACCACCTTTCTCGAAAGTGGTACCGTTTTGGATGACCATGGAGGTACCACCGCCACCGTCGTTACCACGGGTCCAGGAATCGGCCCGGAATTTGACAGTGTCCAAGGTTTCGAGACCCTTGGTGATCTCTTGTTGCTTGCGACGGATCAATTTTTCCATCTGCTCGCGGATGGGGAGGTGGGTAGGGTCCTGTGGAGCCGGCATGTTGGAAGATACGGTAGAGGCACTGGAGACTGAAGCCATTGGGAGCGTTGGAATTGGATCTGGGTCTTTATATGCGTTGGGAGCTTGGTCTCGTTTGGACGTCGCCTTTGTGAATAATTTCACGCCGTGAACGAGGCGCGATGTACGAGGCGCGTGGTTGCGTAGGAGAAACACGAGATATGCAGAGGAGGGAACCGCGGAGACGCCGCGTGGAACGAGGCTCAACGCTTGTATACGACGAGTGAAAAAGTGTCCCAAGAAGTGCGCTGGCTCACAGAGGCTACAGGCTGCGAAACAGGAAGCCAGCAGCGGGCCGCCCGCGCGCCAGCCGGGCGGGCACGTGACCGCGCCCCGCGAAAAACGGCCGGCGTGGCACATCACGCGGGACGAGCGCCGTGCGGCGCGACGCACACCAGTGCGTTACCCGGACGCACAGCACGGGCACGTGACTCACACCGACACCCACACACCGGCGCCGGACCGCCGTCGCCCGCTCGCCTTCTCGCCCGCATCCCAGAAACCTACGTCCGCGTTCGGGCTCCCTCCCGCTCCCTCTCGTCCGCCTCCCGCGCTTCCCTCCCTGTCTCTCCAGCTCCCACAGCCCAGCCCCCCGGGCCGGGCACAGAGCCCACACACCACACCCAACACACCACGCACTACTTGCCGCCGTGCCTCCTTCCAAGTAAACCCGCGCCGCGGCCGCTGTCCGCGGACCGTTCCGCCGCGCCGCGCCGCGCCGCGCCACGCCGGAAACCGCACCCTCGTGGATCTGTAAGGGTCTCCTCTCATTCGCCTGTGCACCAGGGTTTTAATATCTTGGCATTCTGTAAATGCCGCAAACCCTGATAGGGGCCCTGGAGGTGCACCCACGCACCCAAAGTATCCCGCGCAGACGCGGCCGCACGACCGCTACAAAGGGCACGGGTGCACTGCGCCGATGTGCGCGAGCCACCGTGGCCGTGCGGCCGCGTCTGCGCGCACCGTCGTAACCCGCCAAGATCGACTGGACGCTCCCTTGGCGAGAGCCAAGACTGCATCCGCGTCATACTAGTGGTCCCTGCCACGCGGCCGTAAGTCGGCGTGCGAGCTCTACGCGTTGTCTAGCATTGCGGATTCTGCGGGTGCGTGCTTGTTTCTGCAAAGCACAGCGTGGCAGAGCGTGCGTGGTTATTGTCTATGCATCCGGTGGCATATATATATGGCCAAGAATCAGAGTGCGTGGCGCCGGAGTCCCCGCGAAAGATTTGGTGCCACGCTTCGAACAGCTCAGAAAGCCAAGCGATGATGCTAGCGTCGATGTCGCAATCACATTACAACACATTCCCCAGCATATCGCCCGCAGCGCACCGGTGCATCGCACTGGCGGGGCCTCACGGCCACGTGCTCCTGCCCGCGTTGCTATCCACCACACACGCGTCGGAGGAGACGGATATAAAACGCATATTGGACCGCACCGCGTTTTCGTCGCGGGCCGACGATTCGCACGTGCCCCGGGCCGAGACGCTGCCTGCGTTCGCGGAGATAACCGCGGGGCTAACCGCGCTTCCTCCGCTCGCGGCGCCCGCGCTGCCGGCGCTACTGGCGCCCGCCGAGCGCGCTGCAGAGATGTCGTCCAACGCGGCGGCGGCCGTAAGCGCGGCCGTAGGCGCGGCTGGAGCCGCTATGTCCGCGGCCCCGGTGCTGCAGACGCGGCCGGCGTCGCCCGCGGACACGCCACAACGGCCGGAGTCGGCTTCCGGGCCCGTGCGCAAGCGCCGCAGCAAGGAAGCCGCGCTGCCCATTGAGCGCCGCCGCCGTTACATTTGCAAGACTTGCAACAAGGGATTCACAACCAGCGGCCACCTGGCACGCCATAACCGCATCCACACGGGCGAGAAGAACCACGTGTGCCCGTTCGAGGGCTGCGGCCAGCGGTTCAGCCGCCACGACAACTGCGTCCAGCACTACAAGACGCACGTGCGCCGATCTGTGTAGAAATAGATAGTGTACATTAGCTAAAACAAGGGACGGAAGAGAACGAGACGGGCGGAGCAGGCGGAGAAGCGCGGGGAAAGCAGAGCACGTGCGAAGTGAGCAGAGCGCGTTTTAGACGGCCGCGGAGAGTCGCGTCGTACGGCGGCGCTCTATGAGCTCCGCCTTCGCTTTTTTCAGCAAGCCCTAACCGTCTGTGCGACGTTCCGTCGCGCGGTGCGGTCCCGCCAGCGCATAAAAGTGGTGAAAATTTTCTCCCTCTTCTCTGCTTGAACCAGGAGCCAACTCGGCCAGCTCGGCGCGCGCTCTTGTGGCCTCCACATCGGGCAAACGCTCCAGTAGTCTCTTGCAAGCGCTTCAGCAGCGCTCTACGCACACACACGCACACAAAGTGGCGGATCCAGACGGACTCCCACGTTTCGCAACCACCGCATGATGAAAACCAAACTAACAACAACTTGAATTTCTTCAACCGAACATGTTATGAGGAACCAAACTTTGACAGCTTTTTAACCCTGACGGCGGTCTGGTAAGTGCGTGTGCGAGTGTGTGTGTTTTTGTAGTCCTGTAATGCTCCTCGAAAGTATGGTAGCGTGTTAAGCGCAGCGCGCTTCGCGCGCTGCGCGACCGCTGGCTCTCTCTGTTTGGTGTAGTTTTCGCTCTGTCCTGTTTGCTGTCTTGAGGGCGGCGCCCCCCATCGCGCGAACTTTGCCTGCTCATCACCACTTTGCGTCGGCCATGAACCAACCCGCCATATGCGAAACGTGCTTGGGCGACCAAGACCGCCTGACCCGCGCTGCCAACGGCGCTCAGTGCAAGATCTGTACGCTGCCGTTCGATGTGTACCACTTCAAGTCGCACGGCGCCGTCGCCAAGACCGTGATCTGTCTCAACTGCTCTAAACAACGCAACATTTGCCAGTGCTGCTTGCTGGACCTACAGTGGCACATCCCAGTCGAGGTGCGCGACCGCGTTCTTTCCATCGTTCAGGGCTCCGATGTGGCCACCTCTGAAGCCCACAACGACATGATGAAGCGTTTCATTGCTCTCAAGGACGGCGACAGCTTCAAACTGGGAGGCGCCAAAGTTACCAGCGACGCCGAAGCCACCGCAGCCGTGCTCTCACAAATCCGCAGCATCCTCGACAACGCCAACCCCTCACAACCTGCGAAAGCGCTCCCAGACTCTGCAACGGCCTCCTCGCAAACCGAATCCGCCGCCAACAAGGCTAACTTTCCCGACGTGGACGTCTCTCATCTCCTCAAAAGGCTGCCCATCAAGGCCTCACTGGAGCCTGCTCCTGCTTTCTTCCTCTACAACATCGATCCATCGGTGCCCGAGTGGGCCATCATGGATAAAGTTGCCGAGCTCGTCGGCACCGCTAACTGGCACGATACCCACTCCACTGCCGTGGCCATTAACCACGCAGCGCGCTGTGGAGGAATCCGTTTCAAAAGCACAGATCTGGGTCACAAGTTCGCAGAGACCGTACCACGCTTCACCACCCCATCCGGCACGGTCAAGGGAGTAATGCAGTTGCGAAACTCACGAATCCACATCGTAGCGTGGCCCCAGTTTAATCGGGCGGCCATGGGCGATAAATACGCCGAATGCCGTAAGCTGGGTCTGTGTTTGGATCAAATTGTTCAGAAAGACCTTTCAACCCCCTCCAAGGCTCCCTCCAAATCCAAGAAACAGGGCAAGGTTGCGAAACAAAGCATAGGACTGTTAAAGAACAAGAAACGCAAGAGGCGCGTGCTGGACATCGAACTATAGACACGCTGGAGTATTTACTTTGATCGAGAAGTCCTGTGTGCGAACCAAAGACACTAAGCGCAAAACACCAAATCTCTACAGAAGGCAACGAAATGAGAAGCGTCCAGCATCTATCGCTCACAGCACGACCCCATGGCATCGAAAAATGTTCCACTTCTCAGCTTAAGGTCGCTCCAAGCGTCACATCCAAAGACTCGTGTGTTATCACCTTTGAATTCCCCAGTCACCTTTGAATTACCCAATCACCGTTGAATTCCCAATCACCGGGTTTCTCTCTACGGAGTTCAATTCAAACCACCACACCGATGCCAATCATTAGTAAAGCTTTCATAATGCTCGGCTGTGGTCGTGATGTTTCATTTCACAGACAGACTCTGACGTACATTATGACGGCGTTGAAACCTCGATTTCGATGTGATATTAAACATACGATATCACAACTTCTGTCATTCGAATCACATAACCACCTCCATGTCTGCTTACGAAGGTACGTATACCCTACTCATTACACCCTCTCCATGGCCTTTGTCTAACCTTTAATGTCTCAAAAGAGGAGCACAACATTAGCAACGAGGATAATTCCAGAAGAGAGCTCCGCGCTCAGATACACGAGTTGTACCAGGAAAATGGCCAGTCCAACACCCTGCTCCAATTATTATCCCAGTTAATCCCAGAGTCCATGCAAGAAGAGTGGCTCCAGGGAAAAGAAGAAGGGTGCCCAGAGTATTTCATAGATTCGTTACCGCGGGTGGCAAAGAATAAATTAAAGACTGGAGACTCATGTAGTATATGTTGCTGCGATTATATGGATGACCAGTATCCGCTAGTCGTGGAACTACCCCATTGCAATCACCGGTTCGACTTGGAGTGCGTCGCCGTGTGGCTATCGAAAAGTAAGACATGTCCCCTTTGTAGAGATGACGTTCTGTCGCACAAGCCAAGTGTGGATGTAAGCAAAGCCGAGATAGAAGAAGACTGGGGTATGTACGGCTAGTATTGCCAGAGGCTAATGAATAAAATAGACTCTTCTCGTGATTTATAATTATATACAGGACTTTTACCGGAAAGCAGCGTCATCTACATATGCTTTTTGAATGCTTCGTCTTCGAGCAATTCCATTACCTTTTCGCCAACAGCCTCATCCAATGTCTTGGATTTCTCACCGGTGTTCACTAGCGAAGTATGATTTACAGCCGATGACAACTTTATGCCCTCCCTTTGGTATAAGTTACACTTCATACCAACACCTGGAATGGAATGCTTCGTGATGTAGCTCAACCACAGCTCCACAACTTCGGGATTTGTGTCCCAGACTCGAATCAGTCTCTTGTGTGTGTGTCTCTCGAAGTTCTCCTTCGATTTCGCTTGTGCAAATGGTGATCTAATCACAGTCCAGCGTTCCCTTCTCGTGGGCAAAGGTTTTGGACCTGTAAGCGGCATTCCCAAATAAAAACCCGCCCTTAAGATAAAATCGGAGAAGAAGTCCAAATTCTCATGATCATACGAACGCAGTTGTAAATCTGCAATCAAATCGCCGTGCTCAATTGGTACTCTCAACGGGGCGTGATAGACCGCCTCTACATTGATAGGCAACTTGTTTGCAGCAGGTGTAGCTTCTTTCGCAACAGTAGTAGTATGGTACTTCAAAAATTGCCTAAATGGCAGAGAGCTTGATCTCCTCAGCATTCTTCACTCTTCTACTGATCCAGTTCGTCGTTCGTTGTAAACTTGACCCAAAAAATTTTTCTTAATCCGTTAGGAGATTCGGATCAGGTGACCAAAAGGTGTAGTCCGCTAGTGTGGTAAGCTGATGAATAAATAACTGAAGATCAATATGACGCTAAATCAAGCTTCACAATTTACGAGACTCAGATAAGATAACTATATCTGCTCTCTCTTACTGTGTTTATTCAAGGAAGCCCGATTGGCTTTTAAAATCGACCTGAAAAAAAATTTCTAGTCATCATCTCCAAGTCGGTTTGAGATAGAGAGTGTAATGGGTAAGAGCAGTAAGGACAAGAGAGATTTGTACTATCGTAAGGCTAAGGAAGAAGGCTATAGAGCGCGTTCAGCATTTAAACTTTTGCAACTGGATGAACACTTCCACTTTCTGGACAATGTCACCCGTGTGGTGGACTTGTGTGCAGCGCCAGGATCGTGGTCTCAAGTATTATCCAGGCGATTATTCGATGAGAGTACCAGCGATACGTCATCAAAACGTATAGTTGCGGTGGATCTACAGCCGATGTTCCCAATTGATCACGTCACAACGTTGCAGGCAGACATCACACATCCAAGAACTTTAAACAAAATCATGGAGCTTTTTGAGGGCGAGAAGGCTGACTTTGTGTGTAGTGACGGTGCTCCTGATGTGACTGGTTTGCATGATCTTGATGAATACGTTCAACAACAACTGATTCTCAGCGCTTTACAGTTGACTACTTGCATGCTTCGAAAGGGAGGTGTTTTTGTAGCCAAGATTTTTAGAGGGAGAGACATCGATATGCTATATTCGCAGCTTGGTTTTCTTTTTGACCGAGTAGTATGCGCTAAGCCACGAGCCTCTAGGGGAACTTCATTGGAGAGTTTTGTGGTATGTTTGGGTTATAATCCGCCAGCTCATTGGACACCAAAATTAGATGTTAATGCCTCTATCGAAGACTTTTTCCAGGGTTGCGATATCGGAAGATTAACCTTGGATGATAAACTACCAAGCTATACAGAAGAACCCAGAGATATTGCCGAATTCTTATCTTGTGGGGGACTTGGTAGCTTTGATTCTGACGCTACCTATCACGATGTTCCGTCAAACAGGAAAGTGCTAGACCCTGTGCAACCACCTACAAATCCGCCATACAAGCGGGCTCTAGAATTGAAACGGAAGGGAAAATTGAATTGTGTGACCTAATGGTTTCTCATCTTTTAACGTATCAGACTATATTTGAAAGACCATGGAATCACATTTACATCAATGCTGATACCCATTATTTACAATCACAGTTTTGAAAATGTATTGATAAGCTGTCACTCCATCGTGACTTCTAGGTTTATGATGAAGACGAAGTGGAGTACATGACAACTCAATAAGCTTTGTACATTATATAATACTCTTATATCGGAGTTAAATTAATTTCACTAAAATTTAACTAAGTCTTAACCTTGTCTTCTTCAGATTCCTTTTGAACGTCTGGCTTCAAAGTTGGGAACAGAAGAACCTCTCTAATAGTGTTAGAGTCAGTCAAAAACATGGCCAATCTATCAATACCACAACCCCAGCCACCAGTAGGTGGAAGACCATATTCTAGTGCATTACAGAAGGTTTCATCAATCATTTGAGCTTCATCATCACCTTGATCCTTTTGTCTGGCTTGTTCCTCGAAACGGGCTCTTTGATCGAATGGGTCGTTCAATTCTGTGTAGGCGTTGCAAATTTCCTTAGTTGCAACAAAAACTTCAAAACGTTCGCATAGACCTGGTTGATCTCTTGAGTACTTAGCCAATGGAGACATCATTTGAGGGTGACCGAAAATGAAGGTTGGGTTGATACAGGTATCTTCCAATTCACCGACCAACTTGTCAAGCATACGAGCATTTGTCAAAGGAGGAGGACATTCTAGGTTGTTGTCAGCCAATACCTTCTTCAAAAATTCGCCGGTCTCAGCAGTGTGCAATTGGTCGCCTGGTGGGAATTTGACGTTGAGTCTCTTTTCCAATTCCTCGATCATGTTGATTCTCTTCCATGGTCTGGCAAAGTTCAATTCTAACTCCTTTTCTGGGTTGTAAGGATCTGGGTGGTACTTAATAACATATGAGCCAGTAATTTCCTTGACCATCTCGGAGAACATTAATTCAGTCATGTCCATCAAATCGTAAACATCAGCGTAGGCTTGATAGAACTCACATGTGGTAAACTCAGGGTTATGGGTCATGTCAATACCTTCATTTCTGAACTGTCTGCCGATTTCGTAAACTCTGTCCATACCACCGACAACTAGTTCCTTCAAGAATAGTTCTGGAGCAATTCTCATGTACATGTCCATGTTCAAATCGTTGTGGTGAGTGACAAAAGGCTTAGCAGTAGCACCACCGGCAATCACATTCATCATAGGGGTCTCAACCTCAACGAAGTTTCTGCTGTCCAAAAATCTTCTGATGTATGAAATGATCTTGGAACGAGTAATGAAACGAGGTCTAGCGTCCTTGTTCATGATCAAATCCAAGTAACGCTTTCTATATCTGGTTTCTTGGTCCTTGAAACCGAAGTGGTCAGCTGGCAAAATGTGCAAACATGGTGTTAGCAATTGAACACGGGATACAAAGACAGAAATTTCACCTTCACCACCCTTCTTTGGTTGAGTTCTACCAACATAACCTTCAACACCCACGATATCACCTCTCTTCAACAATTCGTGGTCCTTTTCGTAATCGGCTTCAGAATGGTAGTCTTGCAACTGAGACATCACTTGGACTTCAACGCCTTCACCATGCAAGACGTAGAACTTCAACTTGGAACCAGATTCTCTCTTGGCGTGAATTCTACCTGCAATAGAGACCTTCTCGTTAGGCAAAGTCTCACCTCTTTTCAAAGAGGCGTACTTTTGCAAGAAGTCAGCCAAGCCGACAGAAACATGGAACTTGTGAGGATATGGGTTTGGACTTTGAGTCTTTCTCAATTCATTGATTTGGCGGGATCTGGCCTCAAAGTACTGGGAAGGATCCAAGTCGGCAAAAGCGTCGTTGACCTTCTTCTTAGGTTCTGGTTTTGGTTGAGCATTAGCCTTCTTAGCAGCCTTTTTGGCTTCCACTTGTCTTTGCTTGATTCTTTTCTTCAATTCAGACTTGGAAACCATCTCACCGGTAACTTCATCGAGGTGTAGGTTGGCAACACCTTCAGTTGCAGCTTTGGTCGCTTCTTCTTGGGACATACTTTACTGATTCGTTATCAAAGAGAAAGATTAAAGATAATGTTCACCTACTCGAATGTATGGAATAGTCATCGAGTATGATTTCAAAAAAATTTTCATGACACCCATACACAAAGAGAAGGTCTCGCTTCAATTCGTCGAAGTGTTGAAGAGGAGATAATGTAATTCGAAATATAATCCATATCTAAGGGGGGGAATTCGCCCAAGAGTGCAAGGAAATGAATTCAAATATGTACGAAATATTTGTCTTAAATTTTTGCATATTTTATCCCAGTTCACTTGTGTTTTAACTAATATGACAGATTATGAGCCCGATAAGACCAAGAATCTGTCGTAAGCTCATTTTTATCATAAGAAGAATAGTGCGTTTATAAAACTGCTTACAATTTACAGGCCTTGTATCTGCAGTCGTCACATTTCACATTTCACTGGCAATATGATTATAATACATACTCACAAGACAACGCATTTTGAAAATGAGATAAATTGTACATGCTATTAATCCTCTCAATGTTCGGACTTGTCGTGACAGATAATATAATCTTCCTCGAGTGAAGGGCGAATTTGCATGAGTTACGTATTATATGAACTCACGTGAACTAAACAGCTTCAAGAATAAATATTTCCACTTTTCTAATCAAAATAGCAACCTACTTGCATCCTAAAAAGCCATGCGTAGTGCTTTTAGAGGCCAATTTTGGGTACCAAAAAAAATGGGGAAAAATGAGTTGATTCGTTTCACCTAGAACTATAACGGGCGACGAGAGCTGTATTAATGTATGAATTGTTGCAAAGTTTTGTGGCAAAAGGTTCGAAGTTATGAACCTTTCAATTTTATAGATTTTTCTAGGATCTTCAATGGACTTCAAGTTTATGTCAAGATCTTCAATCTGCATTTTTCTCGATCCATCTCTTAAGATCTTGCCAGTTAACCTGTGTGTTAGTTAACTCTGGTACAGTATAATGGTCCACTGGAAAGGTCTTCCTGACTGCTACCAAAGTAGGAACTTGCTTCACCTGAAATCGATTGTACGTTAGTAAATGGTTCTGAGCTCAGCGGGCTTCGAAATAACATACCCCAAATCTCAACATGGAATCTCTAGTTTCGAGGTAATCTGTCTCTACATCTGCGATATTCACTCTCTTGTCGGTCTCCAGCAGAACGATTCTATTCAGGGCCCCTGTAAGCTTGTTGCAAGTGTCGTTACCTCTAACGGTGAAATTCAAAATCAAAGGAGAGCGATTATTGAAACGCAAGGTATCGTCCAACTCGGCGTCGCTTCTCACAGGCAGGAAGCATTGATTACCATTTTGACTTGAAGGTTTATAGGAATCGGTGATTGACTGATTAGGCTGGGAAAAGGGATAGAGAATCTTGGAAAACCAACTGGCGCTTCTATGGGTTGCCACGAGTGACAAAACACCAACTTTTTGAGTCAAGATCGATTTAGTAATGATGGCTGACATTTTTTGTATATTTCTGTTTTCCGATAGAATGGCGCGCTCCTTTAGATTGCTTTACAAATTCTAAAAAATCTCATTCACACCTACAATCACAAGAAGGGACAATGTCTAGTCACAAACCGCGGCTGATAGTACTTGTCAGACATGGTGAAAGCGTGTCCAACAAGGACAAGAGCGTTAATCAACATATTCCTAACCATATGATTCCGCTGACAGAGACAGGCTGGAAACAAGCACGCAAGACAGGGGCTCAGATACTGCAGTTACTCAATGTTGACAACGAAGAACTGGTCGAGTCCATTGCATCGAAACATGAAATTGAAAACGATGCAAGAGTACCGCTTAAACAAGACTACAAGCGGCTCATCAAGACACTTGACTCCAATGTCGTGTTTTATACTTCGCCATATAGGCGCGCTCGAGAAACGGTGAGGGGTATATTGGACGTCTTCGACGAGTATAATGAGCTGAATTGCGGTGTACCGGCCAAGGAGAATGACCACTATCAACCGATGGGCAAGCAACGACTTGCACATTGGCATTGCCCCGATCTCCCCTCGGAAACGCGGGAGGCGAAGAGGGCCACATCGACCGACCCAAATAAAGCCTCTTCGTCAAAAACGTACCTCCATTACCGTATCAAGGACGAACCACGGATTCGTGAACAGGATTTTGGCAATTTCCAGGAAGTCTCCTACATGCGCGATGTGCTCAACGTGCGCTCGAGCTACGGTCATTTTTTCTTCCGTTTCCCTCAGGGAGAAAGTGCTGCTGACGTTTACGACAGGTGTGCGAGTTTCCAAGAGACTCTATTTCGTCATTTCGAGCAAGAAAACCGCAAACCGCGAGATGTAGTAGTGCTTGTAACTCACGGCATCTATTTGCGAGTATTCCTCATGAAATGGTTCCGATGGACATATGAGGAATTTGAGTCCTTCACGAATGTACCAAATGGGTCCATTGTCATCATGGAACTCGATACCAACCTCAACAGATATGTACTGCGCACAGAGATTCCAAAATGGTGCTGACCTCTTCTTGGTGGTATCAAATCTATTCACGTGCATCGTTCTGATCTTCGAAATGTTCAAATACGTCAGTTTTGTCATTAGAGACGTTTGACTTTCTTCAGCTTCCTGTAGCTTCCTGATCTAGCTTCGTGTCCCGCGGTGAAGGAAACATCACAAATGAGAAAGAGAGCTGCTGTCGTCAAAACATTATGGTTTTGATTGCAGAGTGCGCACGATCAAGCAAAGGCAGGCAATGACTATCTTACGCGCTTGTTGAATGTGATAGCCAAGGCATCGTTGCCGATGTTGTGGCACTTTTTTTCCGTTCGCACCGTGGCTTCTTCGGCTTCCACTGCGCTCTGTGGTCGCTCGGAGCGTCACTGGGTTCAGGAAGCCAAGTGGACCCACTGTATAAGGTGGTGTGTCTTGACAAAACTATAAAAGGGGCGGCAAGTTTTTTAGGTAGGAGCAGCGTTCTAAGCAGAACGTTAGACTTTAGAGTTTATACAAATAGCAACAATGGCCAGAACTTTCTTCGTCGGTGGTAACTTCAAATTGAACGGTTCCAAGCAATCTATCAAGGAAATCGTTGAAAGATTGAACACTGCTTCTATCCCAACTAACGTTGAGGTCGTCATCTGCCCTCCAGCTCCATACTTGGACTACGCTGCCTCTTTGGTTTCCAAGCCACAAGTCACCGTTGGTGCCCAAAACACCTACCTAAAGGCCTCTGGTGCTTACACCGGTGAAAACTCCGTTGAGCAAATCAAGGACTGTGGTGCCAAGTGGGTTATCTTGGGTCACTCCGAGAGAAGAAGCTACTTCCACGAAGACGACAAATTGATCGCCGAAAAGACCAAGTTCGCTTTGGGTGAAGGTGTCGGTGTCATTCTATGTATCGGTGAAACTCTAGAACAAAAGAAGGCCGGTATCACCTTGAAGGTTGTCGAGACCCAATTGGATGCCGTCTTGGCTGAAGTCAAGGACTGGACTAACATCGTCGTCGCTTACGAACCAGTCTGGGCTATTGGTTCCGGTTTGGCTGCTACTCCAGAAGATGCTCAAGAAATCCACGCTTCCATCAGAAAGTACTTGGCCGAGAAGTTGGGCAAGGACGCTGCTGAGAAGATCAGAATCTTGTACGGTGGTTCCGCCAACGGTAAGAACGCTGTGACCTTCAAGGACAAGCCAGATGTCGATGGTTTCCTAGTCGGTGGTGCTTCTTTGAAGCCAGAGTTCGTTGACATCATCAACTCCAGAAACTAAGCCATTTAAGAACCTTATGTAATGAATCAAATTTTCTATATGTTTTAAACGAGGATTCCGAAGCATTTTGATCGTTCGTAATGGGTGTGAAGCTCCTCCCACTGAACAACAAACTCATCGACAATCGGGTATAAAAGCTTTCCTGTTAGGCTCAGACTGTCAGTGCGCGCAAGACTTTCAACATACAGAATCTTACTGCGCGTGCATGTGAGGATCTCCAGCAGTTTAAGCCAGTAGGAAATGACACAGCAGGTGCCTGGGCCGTTCAGCAGCACCAGGTGCGATTGGCCTAAAAATTGGTACTTTAGCCACGTGAGTGACTGGATCGATTGTAATAATGTGCGGGCTATGCTAACGAGAGATTGCAACTTGGACGAACCCACTTCGCGGGCTTTCCCAAATCTTATGTAGCTGACCTTTACATCAGAAAACTTCTTTTCCAGACGCTGGAAAGCTGCCAGACTTGCATCGTCAGAGTAACCTACGTAGATCTCGTTCTTAGCAGCCAATAACGTCTTTTCGTAGTTTTGCAGCAATCTCAACATCTCACCTGTATGGCCTCCGGATCCAAGAAACACAAATAGTCGCAGAGTCTCTTTCTGCTGTCTCGCAAGCACACTCTCATCTTTCAACTTAGTCTTGGTATCACACTTGTAACCAAAAATAGGAAGTGTTAACACTGCTTTTACCATCAACCATTGGAGCACAACTAAGGCCCCCATGCAAGTCATGTAAATCATCGTGCTGCTCATTTTCTGCGCGCAACCCTATAGACACCCGTTTAGCACTCTTATCGACCACGGCCTGGGACTTCACCACTCTATAACGCTTCCTATTTGAGTGAAAAGAAATGCAGGCGCGAAATGATGAAGTAACAAAATGATTTTCGCGAGACGCGTCAAGAATTTTTCGTTTTGCGCAGCGATCATGATCTGTTATATATAGATTCATGAAATCATGAGTAGGCCGTCGGAGAGCTTACCAATAAGGTATCTCGATAGGTATTCTCATAAGCATTCAAATATGAAGGGAGTCAAAAACGACAAGAAAAGACACTCGATGTTTCTAACATCGTCCAATCTCGACATATCGAGTCTTTATCACTCTAAAAGCGCAAACAGATCAATGGACACACTTATTAACGACAAAAGCAAACCCGCGAAGAAGTCTAGCTCTGGCAGCAAGACTTCTCATCTTAAGAGAAGCACTGTTTTGCTGGACGATAATATGGTCAGAGAATATAACTTGGCTATCCGCGCTCTAAACAAGTCGCCAGATGAAACGCCCGCGGGAAAGAATAAGCACAAGAGTAGTGTCTCTACATCGTCAAGTATGTCTTCACTTTTTTCCCGTGAAAGTTCCATGTCGATCCATGACCTTCTTTACGAAGACTTTCAAGACACCCAGTTCACAGATGGTATCCAGCACAAACAATTATTTTGCATTGGCGAAGCTGGCAACACGGAGCAGGTTAATGCCATGGAGCTAGAAGAGCCCGTACTTGCACCCCTAGTAAGAACACAGCTGGAATTCTGTTGAGGAGTGCAGGTCATGACACGATTCTGCAATACCCTTGATCATCCGACAGTCACGTGATTTCACAAGTCTAGATGTTTCTAGCAGTTGCCGGATAAATCCCGTGAACACATAGCAAATGGGTAATTAAGGTGATCAGAAAGTACTGGAAAGCACCCCTGAATGTGAAAATATACCGCCCCCTTGGCCCAGTGCAAGGTATAAATTAGTGGCTTTGAGGCCGTTTGGAAGAGCTTTGATTTCAACTGCCACTGACAATCACAACTACAAGTTCATCAGTAAATTCAGAAAAAAAAATCTCAATGTCTTTCAACTCTCCATTTTTCGATTTCTTTGATACCGTTTCTAGCGAAGTCGACAATTTCAACAGATTACTCAACCAGGGCAGGTATTCGACATATGCCCCAGCCCGCCAGGTGACGCAAGGTAAGAATGACGAGAAAGCTGTCACGAAGACCCAGAAGTCCCCAGACTCCACTGTCGCTAAGAGAACTCCATTTTTTGACTTAGACAATTGGTTTAACGATAACTCGCTATTTTCATTGGGCAGCAGCGGAGACCTTGTTCCACCTGTTGACATTTTAGACCAGGATAAGAACTACGAACTTCATATCACAGTACCTGGCGTGAAGTCTAAGAAGGACATAAATTTGGAATACCACCAGGAGGAGAATCAGATCATTGTTACGGGTGAAATCCCATCTTCCTCCACTGACGAAAATAAGGATAAGGTAAAGGTTCAAGAACGTGCTTCTGGTAAGTTCCGCAGAGTTATCACACTACCTGAGAAGCCAGGTGTCGACATCGATAACATGAAGGCGAACTATTCCAGTGGTGTGTTGACACTTACAATTCCAAAGTTGGAACCATCTAAAGACGACAAGAATGCCGTGCGCAAGATTGAGATTTCTTCGGAAGAATCCTGGGGTGACTCCAAATTGTAAATAGAGTAAAGGATTCACGACACATACATGATTATGGCCGGTTCAGCAATTCTATGTATCTAACGAATGTTTAAATCAATACATGTGCAAATCTTTAGCTTTAAAAAATTACCTCGATTTCGCCAACTAGATTTTTACCCTTTTAATCGCGACATTATTTGGCGAAAATGACAAGCGTAACAAATTTGCGAGCGATCCAATTTTGTCAACATTGACGATAAGTATAGTTTTCGCGTAAACCAGTTAGATCGCGATGGTTTGAGGTTGAAACACGACATGAGGATAGTGAAATATGATAATAAACCTTTTAAACCACCTCGTATTGTCGGAAGGCCTGGTGGCTCCATTCCCCGAGTTGGAAGGTCGCTAGCTAACACCTCTAAAACGATGTTTCGTGCACCAGCAACCGAGATAGCGGCCGGGACCAAGAGATCTATAGACGACGAGTCAATGCCCCTCAAATGTGCTGCGCTAAATGTCAAATACTATACTATGACATATCGTAAGCGTACGATGAAGAAAAATAAGACTTGGGACGGTGATGGGTATGCTATAGAAAAGGGCAGTGATACATTGCGATTCTATACAGAGAACGGGCGTCTCTTAGGCAGTTATTTACTGAAATCAAGGGAGAGCATGTACGATGATATTTTCTCGTGTAGTGGCTGGGAATTTCAGCTAGACTATGAGGTTTCGAGCTCAAAGGAAGTAGAAGATATCACAAAGGCTTTAGGGCTGAACAAAAGCGAGGATATAGTAAATCAATCTCCATCTGAAAGTCAAATCAAACCACCGCGCATTCCTATCTCTAAAATGCTTCTCCGTAAAGAGCCTCTGAAGTTTAAATCTGTCGTCAAAAAAAGACCAGCGGAGCAAACGGCTCAAGAAAGCTCGCTCAATAAGAAGAAACTTCAGTTCTCGCCAGTTTTTGATGAATCAAAAATCGAAAGCCCATTAATTATGAATAAATCTGCCAACGCAGAAGTTGATGTCGTTTTGGACCCTATCTTGGGAAAAAATCTAAGAGCACATCAACGTTTGGGACTAAAATTCATGTACGATTGCGTCATGGGCCTTTCAAGGACAGGATCATTGGAGAATGAAGACACTATTTCTTATACACTTCCAGAAACCAACGAAATTCAAGGATGTTTATTAGCAGATGAGATGGGACTAGGTAAGACGTTGATGACCATTGCATTGATTTGGACTTTACTGAGGCAGACGCCATATCCTTCGAGAGGAGAGTATTCGCAATCAGGTGTTACACTTCAAGGGGTCTGCTCTAAAATACTCATTGTCTGTCCGGTAACATTGATTGGTAATTGGAAAAAAGAATTTGCTAAGTGGCTTAATTTGAATAGAATCGGCGTTCTCACCTTAAGTACTAAAAATTCCCCCGAGAAAGATAGGTCAGATGTTCGCAATTTTTTACGAGTTCAGAGAACCTATCAAGTTTTGATCCTAGGATATGAGAAATTACTCAGTTTGTCAAAAGAGCTTGAGGAAAATAAAGACAAAATTGGACTTCTTGTGTGCGACGAGGGGCATCGCCTAAAGAACAGTCAATCAAAAATTTTGAACATTCTGACATCCTTAGACATAACTCGGAAAGTCCTCTTGTCAGGAACTCCCATTCAGAACGATCTGAACGAGTTTTACACTATTGTCAATTTTTTGAACCCTGGCATATTGGGTACAATTTCTCAGTTTAAAAAGGAATACATCAATCCTATCTCTAGGGCAAGAGATGTGAACAATAGAATAAATCCGGCAATTTTATCTCAAGGCGAGGAAAAATCCAAGGAGTTGATAGAATATACAAAACGTTTTATTCTTCGCAGAACGAGTGCGATTTTAGCGAAGTATCTCCCGCCTAAAACTGATATTATACTTTTCTGTAAGCCCACTGATGCTCAGATAAAAGCATTTCAGAAAATTTTGTCGGAAGGACATCTGAATTTTGACCAAATGTCATTTAATTCGTCTCTTGGGCTCATCACATTGTTCAAGAAAATCTGCAATTCTCCGTCTTTAATATATGATGATACTTACTATAAGTCCAAGCTTCAGCAGAATACCTCACTTCCCAATACCATGAATTTAAATTCAGGGAAGTTAAGGGTACTTATGATCTTACTGTCAGAAATTCGCCAGAGCACTGATGGAGAAAAAGTAGTGGTAGTTTCTAACTATACACAAACACTGGATATTATCGAAAACTTCATGCAAAGTGATGGATACACGTATGTCAGATTAGATGGAAACACACCTAACAAACAGCGTGATAGCATTGTTAGCGCGTTTAACAGAAATCATAAGATATTCGGGTTTTTACTCAGTGCAAAGTCTGGTGGTGTAGGGTTAAATCTCATTGGTGCGTCACGATTGATTTTGTTCGATAACGATTGGAATCCATCTGTGGATTTGCAAGCCATGTCAAGGATACATAGGGATGGCCAAAAAAGACCATGCTACATATATCGACTAATTACGACAGGATGTATCGACGAGAAAATCTTCCAAAGGCAGCTAATGAAAACGAGCTTGAGCAAGAAATTTCTAGATGATGCTGAAGATACCAATAATGGTCGGTCAAATGATGATTTATTTGACAAAGGCGATTTAAAAGATTTGTTCTCTGTTCATGCTAACACTGTGAGTAATACTCACGAATTGATCTGCACCTGCAGCGGGCTTGGTGAGCGACAGGAGGCACAAAAGTTAGGCCCAAAATCTGAATTATCCAATAGTTTTGAAGACATAACGAGTGGAGGGTGGACCAATGCTCTTGAACTAAGAAAAACTCTTGATAATTCACAAGCTGATTTACAGGAAGAGAAATCTGACCTCATAAGGAATTGTCTAGTCGGATATCGTCATATTCATCCCAAGAAGCTAAGAGAGATTTCAGATCAGGTGACTAATAACCTCTTTCAAAACCTAGATGATGAGATTACTTTTGCATTTTTTAATGGTGATTAGTTGGCTAACCTCGGAATTGTCTATAGATATCTATTATAGTAAAGTGCGGTAATTACTTACTTAGTTGCATTCATGCGCATTCGAGCTTCAGCGGCTCGTGCTCTTTGTTCTCTCATAAATCTCATCTTTTGGTCATCATTTAATGAGTTCATTGTCTGCTGTAAGTTTGAAAGCTGACTGCCTAATGCGACACCTGGTCCTCGTTTCTTTTCCTTCTCTAACTTCTGCCTCTGCTTTGCAGCTTCTAACTCCTTACTTATGCTCACAATTCTTTCAGATTCTTCTTTCTCTTGTACCTTTTGATTTATGTCATTGACCTGCTCCCTACTCAATGGCTCTTCAACGTGTGCTGCAGTCCAATCGGTGAAACCCTCCCCCAGATTATATCTTGCAATTTGAAACGCATGTCTGACTTCACTTTTCTTAGCTAAATCCCAGGCCGTTTTCCCAAAGTGATTGGTAATAGTGGGGTCGGATTTCAAATTACTTAAAAGAATGAGGACCATATTTTTGAGCCCTTGTTGAGACGCCAGATGGAGTAATGTAGGTGTCTGAATGTATTCATCGTATGGTTGTAGTTTGAAGTTTATATTCAGATTGTTTTTTCGGATAAATGAAACGAGAAGAGGGGCTTTGGACTTTTTCAAGAGAGCTACCAGTTCTAGAGTCTGTTTTTCCTCCGTAGTCTTCTCTCTTTCCGCAGGCTTCTTGGTTGCTTCCTTTGCATTTTGATTCTTTGATTCAACTGCACTATTTTGCTTCGGTATTGTTTCAGGCCTTGAGCTTTGGGACAAATAGGTCAATTGACACCACGCTTTTTTTAGCTCGCTAGCTGTTGGACGCTTCGTTGTAAACGGGAATGATCTTATTCTTGGGTCGTCCTTTTTTATACATGTATTATCATCAAAGAAAACCGCTCTGTCGGAAGAACTTCTAGCTCTAATAAAGATGTTATCACACCGCTTTAGGAAAGGCTCCCACTGAGTCAACAACGATTGAACATCAACCTTCAAGGCTTTTTCATTGTATCGACGCAAAGATGAGCCGGCTGAATTAGCTTTACCCTTGGCATTATCCATGGCCGATTGGGAGCCACCCTGTTTTCTCCTTGTGGTATATCTATGAAATGTTTTGTGTTCAAGTAGTTGAACACCCTGCTCCTGAAGGCTTTGCTGTTTAACTGAATTACCTTTGGTATTCAATCGCTGATGAGATACAATTGCACCAGCGAAGTGGCCACCTCCAATCATGAATAACGCTGAACAACTTTCGCTTGAAGTTTTGCTATTCCATTCTCTAATAGTTTCCAATGGTCTTTCAATAGAGTCCTTTGAAAATAGCGCTTTGTATACCGCAAAAACTTGACCTTCAGGGAGCAAACTAGATTTGAAGAATATATGTGGCGATTGAGTATTCAAATGACTGAATTTGGACTCTGTCTCTTTTTCTTCCAGATTCATATTTGCAAGCTGCGTTTCAAATATAGTCGTGAGCTCATCTTTTCGCTCCTTGTAAATATTCTCCTCTCCATCATCGGATTCCTCACTGTCGGAGCCAGATATACTTTCTAAATCTTCATTCTCAGTTAGTTTCTCGAACTCATCAATGTCTATTGGCGGTAGATTTGCCAGTTTCCTTTTGATGTTAAAACGATGGAAATCCGATTTATAGTGCTCTTTTCTATCTTCTTGAGATTCGAAACTTCTTTCACAACTTCCACACTCCAAAGAGTTGGATTCAACCGCCTTTTTAACAGGTTCCGGAGCTTCTTTTGGTACTTCTAAGATCACTTCTTTTACTGAAGAGTCAAATACCATAAGCTCCAGTGAATTTATTATCTGCTCAGGTAAATCATAGATGTACAGATCATTCTTTTTCAACGCAGGTAAAGTATTAGACATGATGTTCAATGAAGGTTTTCCACGTAATTAGAATTTTGCAGGTGAGAGCAGTGATATCGAGAGGTTGACTAAATATCCATGCGTCACATTTAACGTATACAAGATGAGAGAAGTGAGAATCTGCACTCTACGCAGGTTAGCATCGATGCTCTTCTCCATCGTTATATCTCGTGTGAGACATGGAAGTTATTCCAGCTATTTACAGGCTATAAAATGTCACTTTTTTTAGTGCTGTATCGCTTTATTTGGCACCACCAATCTTGTGGCATTGCTCCAGGAAGAACCGTATTTTCTCAGTGTCCATAAATGGGTGAGTACCATGTCCGAAGTTGACGATGTAGTTCTTTTTACCACCTCCAAAACCGTGAATCATTTCCTCAACTCTCTTGGCAATGATTTCATCTGTGCCATAAATGACACCAGGATCCAAGTTACCTTGCAAAGTTACGCGACCTGAGCTAATCTTTACAGCACTTGCAGGATCCCACAGCCAGTCTAAGGATACAACATCATAGTCTGAATCGCAAAGCTTGTCAAGAGCATACCACGAACCCTTTGCGAAAATGGTGATTGGAATCTTTTCTTCGATGCCAAGTTCCTGCAGGCGTTTTGGAAGCTTTTTGCTGATTTGACGAACGTATGGAAGACAAAACTCGTCAAAGTCGCGAGGGCCCAATTCGCCACCCCAACTTTCGAAAACTTGCAGCATTTGAGCTCCGGCAACAACCTGTTGCGCTAGGAACTCAACAGCGACATCTGTTATCTTTTGGAGTAACTTATGAGCAATGTCAGGAGATTCATTTAGCCACTGTTTGGCAAAACGGAACAAACGAGAACCACCTCCCTCAGTCATGTAAACCAACAATGTCCAAGGACCACCACAGAACCCTAGTAAAGGAACTTGGCCATCTAGCTTAACGCGCGTTAGCGTAATGGCCTTGAAAGCCCAGTCAAGTTCCTTGAGTACATCCACATGGTAATCTAGCACCTTTTTGGCGTAATCTGCAGTTCTCAAAGGTTCTGGGAAGTGGGGACCTTTGCCCTCTACCATTTCCACTTTCATACCCATTGCTTGAGGAATTACAAGAATATCACTAAAGATGATGGCTGCATCAATCAAACCAGCATAACGCCTCACAGGCTGTATAGTTATTTCACTTGCAATCTCTGCGTCTCTGCAAGTCTCAAAGAAGTCACGACCATCCTTGACCTTGTGATATTCTGGCAAGTACCTTCCGGCTTGTCTCATGATCCAACAAGGAGGCCTCTCGACCGTCTCGCCACGAGCAGCCCTCAAGATCAGGTCATTTTTCAATTCAGCAAATTGAGAACGATCAATAGATTGCATTGCAGGTCTCGTTGATCGCTTTGCTATTGTGTGTGGCAGTGGTCGAAAATTTTTCGACTCTCCATGTCGTTTAGAGGTTGGAATCGATGATGATTTAAACAACGTTGGATGAAGAGCTAAATACATCGTAATTACACTTACGCCAACAACACATAGTCCCACGATCATGTGTACTCTAGTCAATTATACCAGGTCTTGAGTTGTTCAATGGTGTTTATAACACGTGATACGTACTGGATGATTCTTGTGAATTTGAAGTCTAATTTTATTCGTCACTTTTTAACTTTGAAGATGAAGGGTTCCTTTTAGGGAAGAGTGAATGTTGTCGCAGTTTGTAAGGTCAATCTTCCGGTTTAGGAAGACGACTGTTAGCATTCTTTTGCTGTTGACTTATGGTCTAATAGGTATTTTGTATCTGTGGGACCAAACTCGATACAAACACTCTCTACCTGTTGATGATGAGTATGCAGCCTTAATTGATAAGTCTTGGCTTCATTTGCAAAATTTTACACACGCACCGCATCCATATGCTTCAAGAGAAAATGACAGAGTTCATGACTATTTACTGGCGACCATCAACTCTATGGTGAAGGGAGTTGAGTTTGCGAAGGTGTCAGATGACTACAGCGAGAATGCATCTTCTTTGTTTAAGCAGAAAGATGTTTTCAATGAGTCCTCAACGGACTCAAGAGTTATCTATTACGAATCCTCGAATATTCTAGTGAAGTTGAACGGTACTGACCCTGATTTACCGGGTTTGTTGATCTCAGCGCACTTCGACTCAGTGCCGACTGGTTACGGAGCAACTGACGACGGTATGGGAGTAGCTACCCTTCTGGGCCTCTTATCACACTTCATATCCAATCCACCAAAGAGGACAATTGTTTTCAACTTCAACAACAATGAGGAATTCGGACTGTTGGGAGCTACAGTCTTTTTTTCCCATCCCTGGAGCAAATTTACCCACTATGTGCTAAATCTGGAGGGTGCAGGTGCAGGTGGTAAAGCAGTTCTGTTCCGTACTTCAGACACTGTGACTGCATCAATTTATAGAGATGCTGTGAAAAGTCAACCATTCGGAAATTCTATCTATCAACAAGGCTTTTATAGTCGATACGTTTCAAGCGAAACAGACTACAAGGTTTACGAGAAAAACGGTCTTCGTGGTTGGGACATTGCTTTTTACAAGCCGAGAGATTTGTACCATACCATAAAGGACTCTGTGCAATACACGAGCAGAGAATCTTTGTGGCATATGATGCACACGGCCTTACAGTTAACAGATTACATTGCACAAGAAGATGTCGAAGACGAAGAGGATCAACGTACTCCAGCGATATACTTCGATATTTTAGGTTGGAAGTTTGTGGCCTTCAGTGCTAAAAGCTTGTATCAATTCAACTGTGCATTATTAATTTTTGTTCCGATGCTGGCCGCTTTGCTTCAAATAATCGCGAAAAAAAGACAAACCCACAACACAACTGCATTTGTAACTTGGTTAAGATTACCGTGCTCTCTAGTGATTTCTTACCTTTTAGTTTCAGCTGCAAGACATCTCATATTCCAAAGCAATCCTCTTGTATTCAATCGTGACCATTGGAGCCCCACAATCAGTTTTGCTACTTTGTTTATTCTAACCAACTACTTAATTTTGTCGTTTTGTGAATTTCTTTGGCCGGTTCAAGATTTCAAGACAGTTGCATTACGGGAATTGTCAATTGGCCTTTGGTTGCCGATTTTTCTGGAAACAATTAGCCTGTTTCAATCCAGGTACAAAAACACCGGAATCTATCCATTTACATTTGTGTACACTCTGGTTTCAGTTGGTGCCCTCTTTGGGTTGGTCTGTAATGCTTTTAAGCAGGTAAAGAAATCCGACCACGGTGATTCTCTAATTCACACAGATGAAGAGCAGACACATGTGGACACCTTGGAGCCAGAAGGTAGATCTATCGGTACCGCCACCAGAGCACAGGAAAATGATGAAAGGTCACCCTTGTTGAATGCTTCCCAATCATCTCAAAATGATTACGGTACAGATAATGATACTAGCTCTTCTGCAACAATCGAGGATCAAACCGAAGAAACTGGAAAATTGAAGAAATATGCCGTAGCAACATTAAATTATGATTGGAGCATTCAATTTTTGACCGTAATTCCGCTCACGTCTTTTTTCATGTTCATGAGCGTAGACGTGATATTGGAAGCATTAGATCAAACGTGCCAGGAAGGTTTCAAATCTTCGTGGAGCGTTGTTACAATCTCTATGATCGGTGGTATTCTCATTGCACTGCCTCTTGTTCCATTTACTTACAAACTGAATTACGTGGTCATGTTACTAATGGTTCTGGCGTGTGCCGTTTCTTTCATGACTGCCATGTTCGAATCACCTTTCACACAAGTGGCTCCTTTGAAATTGAGATTCTCTCAGGACATTAACCTGTACGGCGATAAGCATTTGGCAACGGTGAATATTCTTGGAAGACAAGGGGAGTACATTTCAACAGTCTTAGAAGATTTACCTAGCGTCAAGCAAAATAAACTGGCTGTTGATTGTGTCCCCAGCGGTTTAGGGACAGAAGTATGTTCTTACCCGGGAATAACGCCCAACTTGATAGACTCTCATAGTGAAGTGAGTTTCTCAGAAGTTATGCGCGTCGAAGTTCTGCGCAACAACAGAAATTCCACAAGCAGATCACCATATGAGCCGATAGTGGCAGATTTGAAAGTGCATGTAAAGCAAAATCGGGTGTGTACGTTGGCGTTCAATTCGACGTCGTATGGTCAACCACCATTGAAGCAAGTGACATTTTTCCACGAAGATTTTTTCGATAATCGTACTTCTCCACAGTTATCGGCTCGAGAAGGTTACTCGCGAGATGATAAGGGCAATGATATTTTCAGATGGAATGCGGGCATAAAATCACTTGAGCTTCACAAGCTTGATTTTGACAAAGGTTTTTACCGAGTCGGGCTGCAATGGATGCCCAAAGTGTTAAGTGATGATTCGGATTTTGTTGATGAAGACATTCTCGGAGTCACACTGGAATGCTACTGGGGCGAATACGACGCTGACGTCGTGATTGGTGGCGAGACTAGACGCCGGGTACCAGCATATGACGAATTGCTAGAATACTCTCCCCGTACAGTTTCGTATGCTAACAAAAATCGTGGCATGGTAGTAATTAGAGATTATTTAGCGTTGTAATAGTTTAGAGAAAAGATGTTTAATTAATCGAATCGCATGTCCGAACGATAGCGCTTGTTTGCGCATTAAGAGCGGCTTGCTATATTACCATATGATGCAAATTGAAGAGATCATCTCGAAGTGTCTTCAGGATGATATGCTGCGGCATGTGACATTATGACTGGACCGGTATGGATTGCCACTTGCGGAGAGATGCGGGAGTTCAAAGGAAGAGACGGATTGGCCACGGGAAAGTTCCTAAGGGCCATAGGAGCGTATGTGTGCATACCCGTGGAGACCATGGGTGGTGAAGCGGTTATTGAGGAATGAAAAGCTTGAATTTGGTGCGTAATGGGTTGCGGCGGTATGCTGGGTTGCGAGTAGCAGTATCGGGAGGGTGCACTGAGTGCAGCGGGAACAGCTGGACCTGGAGAAACCATGTAACTTGGAGCAGGAGTCTTAATTAATGGAGCGGGTGGAAATTTGGAGAAAGATGCAGGTGCAGTGGGCAATGGAGCAGTTGAAACTTGTGCTGTTGGCAATTGTGTAATTGGGATCTGCGAAGCCGATCTCTGGGGCAAGTACACAGGTGAAGACTCTACTTTTGCAGCAAATTTATCTGGTTTTGAGTTGTCGGTCACTGTGCTTGGTTCATGTACATCGTAAGGGCTTGGGGTGGAGGTGAACACGGGTGAGTCCCAGTAAAGATACAACTCCAGGAAAATATCCGTGGGGATATCCGGAATGATATAGTCGAGAACATTAGAGCGTTGATCCGCAAGACGAGCATACATTTGCTCTGCCTGCCGGGCATGAACCATATTTTTTTCGGCAGTGAATAGTGTGATGGCATGGTGCAGATGTTCAAGCGCTGCGGGACGTTGGTGTAAAGCGAGTTGTGCTTGAGAAAGGCCCACATACGCAAAAGCCGCGAATAGACGGTTAAAGCGCATTAAGAAGGGCCTCTTACGCGTGTCCTCCTCGGAAGCGTGGGTCACAGCGCGTGAAAAGGCTATTTGAGCGTCTGCAGGCTGTCCTACACGGAGATAAAGCGATCCGATGGCGATCCAGAGTGGTGGTGACATAGGACGGACATCCATAGCCAGTTGGTAGCATTGGTAACTTTGGGCACTGTCGTTGAGAAGGTCAAATATACAGCCAAGCAGCCAATTTACGACATAGCGCGACGTACTTTGAGATTCGCACATCACAGAGCGCTCGGCAAGCAATGCAGGTACCAGGTTGCGCAATTGGACGCTGTCCTCGTCGGTGATGTAAAATATGGCCAATACGGCGAGTAGACGAAACGTAAGAGAGCAAGGCGGCAGCACCTGGAGAGCGTCGAGGCAGAGTTTCTTGGCTGCGGCGCCGAGCCCCATCTTGAAATGCACAACGCATAGAAACTGGTAAACGTAGGCGAGTTTGGCGAGCTGTTCGGGCAAGGCCCTCTTCAAAGGATGCGTCTGCGAGACCGATGTTACCGGTGGGGCTGAGATGGGTTGCGCACCGGGCGTAGCTGACGGAGAACCCGTTGCAGTCTCTACTAGCTGCAACACCAGAACAAGCTCGGCGTGGGATTCACGGTAGCACGCAAACCGGTGGTACAACTGTGCCAGCGATACCCGGGTTTCTATTTCGCAGCTGCGGTCGTCCGCTGCGACCGCGAGCTCGACTGCATGCACAAAGTAGGGCACAAGCTGGTCAAGCCGCATCTTGGGATCCGAGTCCATCGCCAACAGCAAGATGCGCGCCTGCAACGCCCACACGTTGGGGCTCTCGGCACCAGAGTGCGGCGTGGCCGCGTGCGACACAGCACGCAGCGCATCTTCGGGCCGTTGCAGTTGGTAATACGCATCGGCCAGCTGGGCCCACACACGCGGGTGGTCCACTCCTCGGCCACGAACTGCGGGCACCAGCACATCCAGTTGCGCGGCCGCGCCGCAGCTGAGGTCGTCACCTCCACGCTCAGCGCCCACCGCTCGCGCCAGCTCTACCAGCAGCGCTGCGTCGTCGGGCAGCAGTTCGAGCGCCCGCGACAGCTGTTCGACAGCCATCACAGGCTGGTGCATGGTCAGTGCCAACCGGCCACACGCGGCTCGCGCAAGCGCGAGTGCTTGACCAAACTCGTCATCTGCCGTTGCGATTTGCACAGGCATGATTATGAGGTGGTTATATATGGACGTTATAGTGATTCTTAGCGAGAAAACGAGTTGTCGAACACCAGTTGAGACCCTGGTGTGGTGGTCAAGGAGCAAAGATCTGAAAAACTACAAAACGGCCCCGACTACATTACGCCTCCCGGGCACTTGCGCTGCAAACCGCAGTACTGCCGTTCTGTGCACCGTTGGCGAGTTTGTTTCGTCTTTGCCGTTGGTTACGGGAGCCGAGCGTCCAGACACCAGTACGACGCGCATATACAGGCACCAAGACGTGCGGATTTGAGTTTTCAGAATTACCTTCCACAGGCATCCCACTGCGTCCGCTGGCAAGCTTTGCGAATGCAATCGCCGGGGTTCCTGCAAATTATGCGGCCGAGCGCAAATCCACTTCGGAACTGCAGGGCCCGCAGCCGGAGCAGTTTTCAGTATTTTGAGCTCACATACGTAGTTGCTATGTATATGAATGAATACGTTCACATGAGTACCAAATATGTAGAAACGTTAGGCTCTGGCTTTCTCACACTGTCTTGACAGCTGGCTGCTGCGCTGCTGCAGGTTGTGTTCCTGTTTTCACATAAGCGTTCCTCGCGGCGAATTCCCACCGTGCATATGCAATATAAGCCTTTAGAAGCGGGCGCACGGGTGCCTGATAGGCAAGGCGCGGAAAAACATTGCACGGCGGGGCAGTGATCGGGGACTGCCAGGGTGGAAGAAGGACTCAGAGGGACTGTCAAGTTGCAAGAGTGGAAAATGTATATTTAGTGAGAGCAATTGTGTGGGGTTACCAAGAAAGCGCCATGATGCCATTGCAACGTTGGGTTTGTCGGTCAAGCCACTCTTGTGAGACGTCATGAAACCTCGTGCAGCACGCCGGTACTTGGCCGTCCCGACGCATTCTCCGCTATGTTGCCTATGTTTCATTACTCTATATCGTGCCGTATGTAAGCCGTTGCCTGCTGGGCGCGGGCTGGAGGGTTCTGCCAGGGCTCGGGCCCCGGCGGCGAGCCCCGGCGGCGAGCCCGGTTTTTGGTTGTAGTTATACATGTGGTGTTGGTGGTGCTGGTGCTGTGGTGCAGCAAGCAGTGTGTGCGGGGCTGTGCCGGTGCTGTGTTGGTGCTGTTGCTGGGAACTGTGCTGGCTGGCAGCTGTCGAGGGCTCGCGGCCTCTACAGTTGGCCCAACGAGCACGCGAGCCCGCCGGAAAACGCCAATGACCATGTCAACGACATTCCGTCGTCCAGGTAGGCAGAGCTGTAGCTGGAACCCGAGAAAAACTCGTACGCCGCTAGAGGATCGAACAAGGCCTGGTTCAACGTCAGAATGCCGCGCCAGCCATCCGTCAGCGTGCCAACCACGCTCTCCAGCTTGGCACTCCATTCCTCGCTTACAAACTGGGGCCCACGCACCGCGGACGACGCAGGTGTGATGGGCAGCATGTGGATACCGTTGATGTATTGCACTTCGGTGCCAAAGTAGGTGGTGTAGTCGATTTCGTTGTCGAACAAGATACCCGACACGCGGTTCCCCAGAATCTCTGAGGGCTCCACCGTGTTGTCGTCGCTGTATAGGAAGTAATCGTTCATGGAACGCGCCATGATTGCGATCATGAGGTCTGCGCGGCGCTCCATTGATGAGTCGCCAACGACAGCACCCCACATCTTCATACCGTAAGCGAAATTATAATCTTCTGAGGAAGATTCCTCATTCTTACCGTTTGCGTTCGAAAACAATCCGGCCGCCCATGAGTGGCCTTGGAACCAATCGAACATACGTGAAACTGGGAAGTAAGAGTCGGAATCCGAGGGATTGGCCACATCACGCACTAGCGCATCGACCCACGCGCGGTTGTCCTGCGCCCAGGTCCCGCCTAGTTGCGCGTCAACATACCCTACAACTGCTGCTGCGTGTACGATATATCCGTAATGGAAATGGTGGTCATTGTAGTAAGTGTTACCGAAATCGTATCCGGTGGAAGTGGAAGCCCAGTCACCAGACGACACGACTCCACCGTACTTGGTGTCGTAGTATAATGGATATAATTGCTCGTTTGTAAATAATAACTCGAAAGCGTCCTTCATGTTTGCCAATGTTGTGTTTGCAACCGCTGAGTCCTGTACAATCTCTGCGACGGTCAATAAAATGTAGGCGTACTTGTCTAGAACTTTACCGATGTAATAAGTGTTGAGGCCTGAAATTGACGACTTGATGTCCATTTCCAACTCTGCGTTCGCAGCTTCTGAAATTTCTTGCAAAAGATCGGCAGAAAATGATAAACTTGCATCACCAAGTTGAGAAGTCCATGGAAGCCAGCCAATTTGAGTGTTTAGAGTCTCGGTGAATTGAATAGAGGTTGTCAACAAACCCTGCATTGTACCTTTAGTTGTGGATTGCAATTCAATGCCGGTCATGGCAGCCTGTGTACCACTTGTGAATGCACCCACATGATGTGGTAGCGCAAACAGCATTGTATTGCCTGAAGCGGACATACCTTGTGTTTGGTACTCGAACGCGTAAGAAGCTGTTGTACCGTCCGAGGTACCACTCAATGTGAAATTCGTGGCGTACATACCTGCGGCTTCATCGTAAAACACCTCATAGGAGCTTTCACTTGGAGCAGCGGCAAATTGCAGAATCAAGCCGTCAATTGCTTGAGAACCGACAATGGTAGAAGTGTCTGACATTGTTAATTCGAAAGAGTCTGTAGAGTAGCCATTGGGCAGAATGGCATACACCAACCATTGCACGTTGTCGTTCAAAGTCACACGGTATTTCAAGATACCTTGTGCGAGGTTATCCGAATCCAATTGTTCAAATACTGAGAATGCTTCAGAGGTTTGGATCTCTGGTACCAAAGATCCGTGGTAAATACCTGTTGTGAATCCCATACCTTGCACTAGAGGAATTTCCAAAATATTGGAGGAATCACCGTCGTTGATGGTCACATCACAAGAGGAGAGCGTCATGTCTCCAACAAACATGTTAAAGTTAGAGCTTCCGAAGCTTGTGGCCGAGAAAATGAGTGAAGCAATTCCCACTGGGTTGACCAAATACTCAGAGTTACCATTGCTGTCGTAATTGCCAAAGACATATTGGGATTCTGTAGTGTGTGATACTGCAAACCCGTAAATAGAATTAGTGCTGTATTTCCAAACTGTGTAAGGATAGACGTATGCAGGTTGTGTTTGGTCGTCAAGCATCAAGTTTGTGAAGAACTTGTTGGTTTCGTATGGGGAGCCGTTATTGCTCACACCTGAGGCCAAGTCCAATGGGTTGGCATTTCTGCTAAACACGTTTGGTGGCTCGTCGGTGGCAACAGGTTCAAATAGGTCGACTGCGGTGGCAGCAGCCGCGACAGAAGTGGTGGAAGTGGCAGTGGCAGAAGTGGCAGTGGCAGAAGTGGAGGTCGAGATGGGAGTCGAGCTTTCAGTAGCCAAAACCTCGATAGAGCTCACCAAAGTGTAAACGGAGGTGGATGAACTGTGGGAAATGACTGTGGTGTTGCCCTGCAAAGACGTGACCGCGCTCACGATCGTGGTGGTGTGAGTGCCGGACGAAACGCTGAAGGAGGCAGTAGCATTGCCGGTAGAGACAGCAGCATTGGAAGAGCTGGAAGACGCGGCTTCAGACGATAGTGCGGTGAGCAAATTGCTGGTGCTGATAGTCTTGGCGCTGGTCAACGTGGATGTTGCAATGCTGGTGGATGGTGTGCTCGTGCTCATGGACACGGTGATCAAAGGTTTTTCGGACTTGGAGGACAGTGAGGTGATCACGGTGCCCGTGGCAGTGGAAGAGCCTGGTGTGGTGGAGAACAAGATACTGGTGGAGGTGGAGGTGGTCTCGCTAAGTAGTTGTGTCACTGGGGAGAGCACTGTGGACGCTGAGGACGCAGATCCTGCCGAGGAAGCGGACACTTTTCTCGTGGGGGTAGCAGCATCTGGGGAAGAGGTGGCTGCGGACGTGGAGACTCCAGTGGGGTCTGAGGAGGAGGGAGAAGCGCCAGTGGGGTCTGCTGAGGCCGCTGGATCAGTTGGGTCCACGGAGCTGGATGGGTCAGTTGGGTCCACGGAGCTGGAGGGGTCAACTGGCTCCGCAGAGCTGGATGGGTCAGCTGGCTCCGCAGAAGCACCCGCTGGCCCCGCAGCGTTTGTCGAGACTATATACTCGGTGTTTGTGATGGAGGCGAGGCTCACCTCGTAGGTCGTGGTCTGCGACGCCGACACCCTGGTGGGCTTCACGAGGTCGACGTAGACCTCGCCGTACTCGATGGTCGTGGAGTTGGAAGGAAAGTACATGTCGGTCTCGTACACGCGCTCGGGGGCCACGCTGGTGGTCTGGTTCGCATACAGGATTGGTCTGCGGCTCTGCTGCGCGCACGCTACCGCAAGCGACAGCACGAGCGCGAATGCTTTGAGTGTGTGGTACATCCGTGGGGTTAGTGGACGAAAACGAGAGAATGTGGATACTGTCTCAAATCAGACCGTTGCATTACCGATCTGGTCGAACTACTTATATAAACCGCGTCGCATGTCGCTCGAATCAAGAACCTCGCGCGCTGGCAGCCAAAACAAAGGCTGGCTTACCAGCGCGCACGGCTGGCACATCGCAGCTCCGCCAAGCCAGCACTGTTATTTGTTTTTTTCGCGTCGGCCTCGAGCAGCCCGCGGTCGCTCCGCACGACGCGGCTGACAACGTTTTTCGCGGGTCCAACGGCTGCGCCCAACGTCATTGCCGTTTTGGGCAGGAGCGTTGCTGGTTTGAGCTGGCTTGCTCGAAATGAGGCTAAGCTTTTTTGGGCTGGCATGCTGAGGGAGTCGGTGGTGCCTAGCAACGCGCAAATCCGAAAACAAACGACGCACATTCGCCTGTTGACACCAGGAATGCGCAAGCCCGCTTGCCTGAGACAGATCAATGGCTGTGAGCACATTGGAGTTCCTGCTGAGTCTATCATTCTTCTGTGTCCCGGAAAACCGTATACAGGAGGCAAGTGACAAGGATTCTCGGGCAGTTTGTTTCGGGGTTGGCAGGGGATAGGGGGGCAGACACAACGATTTCCGTAAACTTGGGCGGATTACGAACGAGAACGACGCGTGGGAGCCTGGCGTGGGAGCCTGGCGTGGTAGCCCAGCGTTGAGCAGAGCGCGCGAAAAACGTCAAGGCGGACGCGAAAATCTCGCAAGGAGACCCACTCGCTCCTGGGGGGATCGTCGCGCTGCCTGCAGCGCGCGACGATCCTGCCGCCCGCCGGTCGAAAGGAGAGCGGAAGATCGAGCCCCCCGGGCCAAGAACCGCGGGCGCGCGCACGTGGTCATCGCCTGCCCCGGCAGCCGGCCTCGTGCCGAGGCACACGCGCCGCGCGGTAGATCCCGGCATATGAGCGCGTTTCGGAGTCAAATCCCGGGTGCGGCTAAGGGAGCCGTGCCGAGCCGCGAGCGGCCGTGTTTCGGCCGCGCCGCGCTGCTATCTCCGGCGGCCGTAATTTCCAGGGCGCAGATCGAGATCGCTCCCGCGCGGAGGATGCTGACCGCCGTTATTAGCCGGCTTTGGCGCCTGCAGCGTCTTTGTTCGCTAAGAGCCGCCGCAGGCGTGCCGGCGTGCGTCCGAGCTCGAGTAGCTCCGCTTAATATTGCACGAGCATGGCGTGCACGCGCGTCTGCGTCACAGACCACGGCGCCGGTCGCAGACGCAGCCGCAGCCCATGCGGTGCACGGCTTCGCGCAGAGCCCCCCGCAGCCTCGGGCACAACCCCCCTTTTCGCCGCCCCACAACCAATTCTACACCAACCAGACTTAATCAGCAGAGTCGCGGCACCTGTGGAACTCGCTTGATTTAGTCGTGCTTCTGAAGGCAATCTCCCCTGCAAATCGCCAAAATGATGTCAGAGGAGCCTGTGTCGGGCTTCACGCGCGACGTCAAGGTTGGTAAGAATTGAGCACAGGTTTCCAAAGGTCGCTGGAATGTGTGACAGGTTCGATGAACCGGCCCAACGCGTACATACGCGCTGGCGCGTTCGGCGTCTGTGGGCTCTGGGTCTGCGCGTCTGCGTGCCCGCGTGTCTGGCTGACGTCGCTTGAGCGTGTTACCGCGCAGCCCTTTGGCCGAGCGCCCAGAAAGCCCGCAGCGCGCCAGGCGAAAAACGCGGCAAAAAAACGCTCGGAATCACGCCGCCCGCTGCCGCGCAGGGACCAGCGGGGCGAGGGGCCCGGCGGCCGCTCGAACGCCAAACGTCGCGCCAAACGTCGCGCACACGCCGGTCGCGCAGCTCGTATAGGGCCATCCCCACATAATGCGCGTCGGCGTCCACGTTTGCATCCGTAATCGCGCCTGGTCCTTGGCTCACGGCGCTCGCAAAATGGTGTGACCGTTTCACGGTCGTTGGGCTGAGATGCGAACGCGTTGAAACTGCGAGCCAAACGAGCAGTTGGAAACTGGGAGAAATTAAGCTTTGTGGTGTGGTTGGGTGAGATGACGTGTTGTGCTCGCGCCCAGTGCTGCTAACGCCCAAATACCGTGCTTGTGGCAAGCACACACCCGTTTCGAGCGCGACCCCCGAGCCCGAGCCCTCTGGCGAACCCTCCTCGCCCGCGGGCTCGCCCGCGGGCTACCTCGGCTCCACTGCTCGAAACGCCAGTGACGCGCGCGCGTCGCGCGTCACGTCACAGGCGTCGGAAATGTCCGACCGCGTTAGCGCCGACGCGCCCTCTCGCTCTCGGCCGCCGCCCAACATCCGCACTGGCGTGCCGCGCGGCCTCCCGCTTTCGCCGCAGGCGAAAGCGTTCGGTACTGCGCCACGGTGTGTGCACATATGAATCTGCCTGCTGCCGTTTCCGAGGAAGGAACAAAGCTTATTTCTGGCGCAGACCTCGTCGTATTGCCGGTACGGCTGTAATTTCCCGATTCATGCATCCCGCCGAAGAAACCACTGCACGTGCAGCGCTGGGTCTGCGAAATGCCGAAATGGCAAATAAAGTTTCCTGTAGGCTGCTGCAGTAATGGTAGCAAAAAAAAAATAGCTGGGATGGCGGACAGGATTGCCAGATTGGTGTGTCACGTCGCACGGCGGGCGCGTCCCGAACCAGCGAGTGCTGACGTCGCGCCAATCCTGCTGGGATAAGGTATGTGGTATGTGTATGTCAGACGTGGGAGGGGGCCCGGATCAGCATGCGGTGGTTGCCTTCGTATGATCTACTCGTTTTGTCATGGTCGTTTTGCTGGCGAAACTTGGTAAAAGTACAGCAGCTCGTGACACAGTTCTGGCACCAAGTGAGCCAATTTTTTATTTTTGGCTCCGCAAATGCATCTACCTGCAGGTGCAAATTAATTCCGCAAGGTGCTGCAGGCATGCTCAACCCAAATGTCAAAAACGGCTATCGCCATCTGACCCAAAGAGTGCTTGCCGAATCTCTCACAGTGGTGAGAATATATATAAGTCAAGCGGCGAGCGCGTCGTGATGAAGTCGTGTGGGACGCGTAAGCATTGGACTACACGTGTGAAATTTCGTGCTGTATCGTAGTGCCAAAATTGTGAAATGTACGCAGTTCAGCTGAGCAGAAGGAAAAATGCCAGCGTGTCGGAGCTCAACAACTTCTCCGTCAACCCAATGGTCGAGCTGTTCGAGAGCTCGCACTCGAATTCCGTGTCGTCGCGCGCCAGATCGCTGTCACGCACGCCGGATGAGCTGCTGTCGGACCAGACCTCCATTATGGACATATTCCCGTCGTTTAAGTCGTCCGAGGAGGTGCTGAGCCTGATCACCGACGACTCACTCTCGTCGCCCGTCCTCCATCGCGACCCGCTCTCCGACTTTAGCCGCATTTACACGGGAGAGCTGCTTCCCGGGCCCCAGGAGTTTCTCGGCCACGATCCGAACCACATCCACGGTCACGTGCGCGTGTCTGCGCCCGCTGTATCGGCCGCCCCGGCTCCTGCCATCGACGCCAGCCCATGCCACGGCTGCTTCTCCACCGGGTGCCATGGGTGCGCCGGGATCGAGTTGCCCGACGAAACCTTCGAGCTACCGCTAGAGATGGCTTGCTCGCGGCCCACGTTTGTGCCGCTGCCGATGCAGCCCCGTGCCGCCTTTTTGGGCGAGGTTGCCGGCCGTGCTTCGTCGTTCGACATGTGCAGCGTCTCGGAGGACGCTCGCGATGACATCCACAAGACGCTTCTGGAGGCCCGTAGGCGCAACAAGAGCGCGGGTGACCTGCTCAAATGCGGCAAGAAGAACAAGCACTACTCCAAGTACACCTGTCGCAAATGCGGCAAGGTGTTCCAGCGGCCTTCGTCGCTCAATACACACATGAATATCCACACCGGCGACAAACCGTTCGTGTGTCTGTTTGAGGACTGTAACAAATCCTTCAACGCTCGCTCCAACATGCTGAGGCATTTTAAGCTCCACTACAAGACCAGCATCGGCACGTATCTGCTGCCTAACGGCGAAGTGATCAAGACTACTCCGACGATGAAGCAACTGATACCGACGTACGTCGACTCCCACGATGAAGATTATGAAGACGACGTCTAAGGCGACAACACCGATTAAGCTTCGGCTAAACTCGGCTACTAAGCGGGGGAAAGATGACGGCTGCAAAGTGCAGAATTACGGCTCTATTACTCGGATCGGGGCTGTTATCTGCTCTGTTTCCCCTTGGTGTTCTCTTGTACGTTTGCGCCTGACGAAAGGGGCAGTACGCTTTCATGGATTGGCAAATTCATGTCGTGAGCGCATTGCGCGCGCGAGTTGGAGCGTCAAAGTTTAAATTCGGATAGTGCCTAACCTTTAAGGCTGTCCGCTGGATTTGGGACCTATAATCCCGACAAGAGCTGATTTTTTACTAGCTGGATCAAGTAAAGTAGCTCTCGCGACTTCAGGGTAGGTTACGCAATATAATTCTCAAAGTTTGTAATCAATAGGACTAAAGCATAATTATATCGGGTAGGACATCCACCGTCTTGTTGCGACGCTAACCAAGATCTTGCTATAGCCGTGCACAAGAAAAAAAAAAAGAAAACTGGTCCTGGATCGTCGCGGATGCAGTTGAACAGAGGGATTGCTACTTCCGCGTTGATTTCTGCTCCACAATGCCTAGTTTAGCATCCTACTCTTGCTATTCGATTACTGCTGTATGCAGAAGTGCTTTTACTTTTCCACTCGCCCAAGCAATTTGTGCCTGCACTTAGATTTGATCTGAGCCATTTCCGTCTCTGCGGAAATCTCTACTTCATTCATTTGGCCCCGCGATAACCCTTCACAGACTCGATGGATGAGATCACTTTGTACGGCCAACGGCTCGAGAGACACAACCTACGGGTCGAACCATAGCTCTCGTTCCAAGTGCACCCTTCTCGGCGTTCGCACACCGCTTGCCGCTGTACATTAAACTTCAAGAATGCTACCATTTTCTCGGCACATTTCCTTCCATGGTTTTCTGCAGGTGCCATGATGAACTACTCACGTAGCACACACATACCCAATATGGCGAGAAAAATGTTTCGTCTGAAAAGAGGTGTTAAACTTTCTCGTTCAAGAGAGTAATCATCCTCTGACATGCAGCAGCTATTTCTCGAAGCAGTTCGCGCTTAGCGTATTTAAGACAGGGTTTTTTTTTCGTATTTAAAAAAAGAAAACCGCCGCGAAGATTGATTATCAAATCATGGCAAATCTTTCAAGAATACATACATGTGACCAGCAGGTAGCGATCAAAACCTTAGCAACATAAGCAAGATTTCTAGACTAATTGTAGAGGTCTTTAATTGATGCCAAATCGCGTGCTAACCGAGCTGTATGTAAAGAACATGCATGCGTTCGGTCCTCGGGATATTCTAAACTGCTAAGATGGGTAAATCCATGGAAATAGTAGCTAGTAGATCCATGATTTGAAGATCGCCTCCGATCTTCCCTCAAACTAGCTTATGCAATAACGCTTCGGTTTTTTGTTTCAGTGCGTTTGCAAATTTACCTGTGCTTACGTTATGACGAGATTGCCTAGCGTAATGGGGATCGGCTGTTACCAGAAAAGCGAATGCCAGGATCAGAAAGACTCCAATTCAATTTCCTTGCGGGAGATTTCGCGCAGAGCTGTCGCCCTCCAGTCACCACGCCTGCCGAATTCCCGGTTTCCTTTCCAATTCAATCAGAGGGAAGTCTTGTGGTTAATTGTAAAAATTAGCAGAAATTCCAGTATTCATGGCGCCCATGCTTTACAAGCTACGCCATAGGAAAACGCCGATTATGACGGGCCATTTCGTCTCCGCTTCTGTGGATCTGCGTTGATTTGGGCCAGAGCAACACCCAATCGTTTCGAAAGCAGGATTAGAGGTCTCCGTCTTCGTACAAAGGTTTATTTGTCGCGTTTTTTCTTCGACACCAGAGAACAAGCTTTACAGAGAGTTTATGGGCCAATAAGCCAGAGAAAGGTGGTGTAGTAGCCTTCAGGAAGATACCTAAAGCCCTTTGTTGCTGTCAAAGGACATTGATGATTCTACGAGTGGAAATTTTATGTAGTTTCAGAGCATGACATAACTTCTTGATATTCTTGAATTTCTGATTTGTATGGGTTTAAGAACAAATATCTTCTTAATAATATATTAATAATTTTTGTTCGAGTATGGCGCTAGCCCCAATTTGACGGTTTAAGCGCATTTGCCAGATAACGGCTTTGCCCGAAGTTCCTGTCAGTCCCTGATGTCAATGAAACTGCCCCTGTTGGAAAATGGTACCTACAACAAGGGGTTAAGGTTTCCTTGGGCGCAAAGTGAGTCTTTTCTGCAAGCTTGAGGCCCTTTGCATCAACCGTCCTCGCGGCGCCGTTATCCGCATAACGTTAACTTCACAGAGCATTGTTCAAATGAAGCATGGGAAGTGGTAGTAGTCAGGAATGTCAGAGAAATATCATACAAGAAATTAGAATATATTTATAGTAATTAGGAATATAATTCAATAAGAAACATCAGTAACATCACTAGACGACAACTCAACTGTTGGACGTGTATTTACCCTTTCCAAAAATCCGCAGAAATAGTTTACCGATGAATTTTCTGGACTCGAAAACTGGTAAAATAACACAGACAAAGAAGGTTCCAAACAACCAAATAATATTAGCAGCAATCACAAATGTGAAAAACGGCTTGCTGTAAACATATGGGGCTGCAATTTGAGGGATTGGGATTAGCACAGCCAAAATAATCGCACAGGAAACTGAGAGTTTCGTGAAGAACTTGAACTGCTTTTGAAGTTTTTCAATTGGGATATCCTCAACTTCGGGCAGATCAACGTTACGCGACTCTTCATCGATCAAACCACTACGGCCGTCGGACAAGCTCGAATTAACATTTACGTCGTCAACCGACAAGTTCGACCTATCGGAATCTTGGGGTGCCTTTACAGATTTCACTTCGTAGACCTCCTTTTCCTCCGTGACCCCTTTGTCTTCCTCGACAGAGGAGACAGATGGTCTCTCGGCTAGAATGGTCTTATTTCTAATATCATTCCAGTCAAAATTGTCCGGCCAGATTAAAGAAAACCCGATCGAGAAGATTCCACCGAGCGCCAAGGCGGAGGCATTACCAGCGAAAGAAACCCATCTATTTGACAAGTTATCAACAGTAATCTCACCAAGGTAAGCCTTACATGTAATTAACCAGACCATAATTGCCAAAAGCATTCCCAAGACAGAACCAGACACTGCACCCCACTTGTTTAATCTATTCCAGGTAAAAGTTAAAGCAACAGGGAATACACCGCTTGCCGTGGCGCAACCCAAAAAGTTGAACAACCAACCCATCGAAATCCCTACGGCATTGAAAATACTGGCTATGCTTCCTGCGAAAATTGCCCAAATGAAAACGCTAATCTTCGAAGCTATTAACACTTGGTGTGGAGTTGCGTCCTTCTTCAAATACCTCTTGTAAACATCGTAGGATAGGAGAGTGGATGTCGCAATTAACTCACCAGAGAAGGATGCAGTAACTGATAAGAATATCATCAATGTAATCATGGTAGCACCAGCTCTGCCCAGCAGATGAGATGCAGTCGCAACAGCGGCTAGACCTGATGAAACTTCTGCTTCCGTTAATTGAGGGAAGCCTGGTTGTAACGAGCAAGCTTTAGCACCCAAACCGAGGCAAAGACCCATTGTCCATGGAATCACAAACCACGTAACAGCGCCAATAAAATACGCCTTAGAAGTTTTCAAAGGTTGTGCGGCGATAGCTCTTGACCAATACGCTTGGTCCAAGACCACTAGACCAAAACCCGTGATGATAGAAATAAATAAGAAGATACCACCTTCTTTGCTTCTAAATGTCAAGTAAGAACCGTGGTAATTATCGCTAACTGGACTGTGATGTGCCACCTCATTCAAAAGATCCCACATTTTTCCTGGAGATCCCACAACGTCGGATCCTCCTGCATAAATGTAAAACACGAAGACAATTAAGAATACCAATAGCGGGAACGTGTGCGAAGCATCTGAAATGAAAGTAGCTCTCAAACCTCCAAAATAAACATACACCGCACAGACAAGAGGGAACAGATACAAGCCAGCGTACATGTTCATGCCAGTGACCGCATTAAGCACAGCTGCACCACCCAAGAGGATACATGCGCTGACGATGGTGTTACAAACTATCCCACTCCACAAAAATGAAAGATGACCTGCAGTTCCGAATCTCAAATAGCCTGCCTCAGGGAAAGTTGTAACTAAGTTAGCATTTGCCTTGACTTTAGAGGCAACGATACTGAAAACTGAGACCTGAATAAACCCACCAATTGCATAAAAGTAGCTTCCTGAGATACCATAAGTGTACGACTCAGTTGCCGATTGCAAAAGCGTTAAAGACCAACACCAACTGCTAACGATTGATACCACCATAAGTCCGAGTGGCACATTTCTTGAAGCGGCAGTGAATTCATCGGCATGGCTGGATTTGTGAACGAAGTATTTGTTCTGAATAAACGTCACAATATTCATCAAAATGGCGAAGAATGCACCTAGCCCTATGACGATACCATAACCTGTACCTTCTGATAATATTGGTTCCATTTCAACTTCTTTCTAAATTCAGCTCGAACCTCACAACTACTTTTCTTTCAACAGAAGTAACTCTTCGAGAATATTTCATCGGGCATTTATATTTATTGGTCAAGTAAGTCTTCATCTACTTAGGACACACCCGGAAACATACCAGCAGCGTGTTCTAAGCCTCTGGAATTCTGTAAGTTAAGGACAATGTAGTACTATGATTCTAATGACGCCTCAATTGTGACTTAATTCATTCCATTTTTCGATAAAGACATACATTCTACTATATCGATAATTGGGCTAGATGCTCATTTTGAAGTTTTTTTTTTCAAAACGTTCGCATAGATCGCTCTGCGGAGAGCGAAGAGGGACACAATGTCTTTGAGAATAGCTTTAAAGGAACTTGGGTACAATAACGTATTTCGGCCTTGCTCAAAAGCAACCCTGGTAAGGGTATTCCTCCGAAACAATTTCTGCAAGAGGCTGAGCTTTAAAGTGAATGAGCGGGATACAATCTAGAAGAATGCATGTCAGTGCGGTTTAAATCATGTGGGGAGATCTCTACACCTACTATGGTCAAGATCCCGCCTTATGATCCCGCGTTACCATGTAAGTCAGGTTTGAAAGCCAACTTTCTTTTGAAAGGAACGAACTACTCTGTAGATAACGGTGATTACTTGAGACAAAGTAGATGATGGTGAAATTGACCATTAATTTGGACATTTGCTGCTGGTCAATTTTTCAAGATAAGCTCATTTGGATCAGGAAAAAAAGACTAGGTTTTGTGTATTACTGTAATGTGACACTCATGTAGCAGAGTGCTAGTCGTTGCTTTAAAATGTGTAGTAAACATATACTCATCATTGAGCGATACAGTGTGATAATTGTAATTTGGGGTCTCAGTACGACCATTGTAGCTTTTGAAGGTGACAAGATATTTTCGAGGCTTCATGCATCTGTTGTCGCATCTGTATGCGCAAACGTACTTCTGCTTCACTCTGTCATTGCAGCTCGCTAAATAGACAACATATCGTTCATTGTTCTTTATCGATGTCCTCGTCTGCCGTAAAGCATAACGGTTCCAGTTATACCTATATACAATATATTTGGAAGAGTACTATTGGCAACAACGTTAGCACTTACTCATGAAAGCCTCCTCTACTTCAGCTGCCCCGATTTATACTCATAGAAGAGTTTCTCAGCAACAACGAAGGATCGCTCGAAATCCGTCTCCAGATGTTCCTCGTCGAATATGTCCGAAAGCTGTCTTCCAAGCGGTAAAAAATGTTCCAGCTGGGAGGCAAAGCCTTTAAAGCATTCATAAGGATAGTAGTGAAATTCAAGTCCCGTCCCTGTGTCTTTAAGTCTTTCTTGATTTGAAGATACTTGGTCCTCCTTCGAGGGTAAGCCTGATTTGTTGGTCCACACCCCAGCTATTGCCGATGCAGTTAGCTCAAATGAAGGCCATTTTATCGACGTTATCGTTACACCAACAAATGCTAAGGTAGGATCTTGGATTGAAAAAGTGTTAAGGTATAATCCAGAAACACTAGAACCAGAGTCTGGATTCTTGCCGTTTCTTCCAGGTTTCACTTTTACTCCCGTAAGTTCCTCGCTGAGGAACGGGTAATGCCAGTGATAGCCCGTTGACAGAACGATGGTGTCAATTCCCTCAACAGTAGTACCATCTACGAAGGTGACGGAATTCTTCTCGGGATCAATGCTACTTACACGGGGTTTGGTTTGAATTCCTTCCGAGGTCGCTGCGTTCCCCAACCATTCGTAGACTTCTCTTTTGCCTGGTGTGCGTGCAACATACACGTTCCTGGCGACGGGGAATGCATACTGTATTAAATCAACACCGCTTAATCCCGTACCAATAAAAAGAACGTTTTTGTTCTCAAAGATTTCATTGTTTCTGTAACTTTTTGAGTGTAGAATAGTTCCCGGATACTTTTTGTTCCAAGCATCCAGCCCTTTGATGTAAGGAATGTAGGGAATTGAATAATGCCCATTGCTAACAATGACTGCATCGTAGCGTTCTTGGTACCACTCATCGCTTTCCTCCGAAATGCTGTTTCTGATAGTCAAAGTCCACTGATTGTCATTGTTATCTTTAGTGATATTTACAACTTCTGAATTCAGCTTAACGTACTTCAGTAAGTCAAATCTCTTGGCAAACTCTTCTACTTGATTTATGATCTGCCCGTTATCTATCAATGGCGCTAATGAGGGATCTTCTTCGGCCTTGTTGAGGAATGGCATGAAAGAGTTTCTGAGATACCTTTCAGGTACGTTGGAAAAAAGACTCCTATAGATGCCACTTCTAGTCCAGGGTTTAGGTGTATCTTGACGTTTGCGGGTTACAAAGGGCTTTTCAAATGAGTAAATACCTTCCCGCAAATTTTCTGGGATGCGCGTTTCTGGACGGAGAATATTAGGGTCATCATACTTGCCCGTATCCAAAAGGTCTTGATCGATGGTTTCCGCATCATCAAAGCTTGGATTCCATATACCTCCGATTTGGTCGCTCTGTTCGAAGACATCAATCTTGGAAAATGCTCGTTCGCTAGGAGTTGTTCCGTGAGAAACCAATTCTCCAGAGTTAGAATATTTCAAAGAAGTCGTTCCCTCCTTCTTAACATTCAACAACTCGAAAAGTGTGGTTAGCCCTGCTATTCCTCCTCCAATGATGGCGACTTTTTTCACTTCGAACACATTACCAACGGTCATTCTTTCTCTTATGCCTGTTGATGATATTACTATCGTAATGGGAGTACGCTCAATTATTCACGGTAATTGAATTTAAGAGCAGATGTTGATTATAAACCCCTTATAGATTCAAAGATGTTCATATAGTGATTGCCTAAATTCTAATCTTAATTTCAATTGTTCAATTGAGCAGCGGCAAGGGACAATGTCTCCGAGCCATAACGAGTTTGTAGTCCGAAATTTCCACGTACCCCGGTGGTCGAATCTGATGGCAGAGGCGCCTATGGGTGTTGAAGTCACAGAGTCTTGAACCCATTTTTTTTTACACTTTTTTTTTCCAGCCAAATACAAGCCGACAGTTGAAAATGAGAGTCAGAATGTCCTCGAAGCGTAACGGATGCAAACCGATATGTAGTTTGTTTAAAAGGCTGCTCCTGTGCAAACAGTAAAACCGCTTGAATTGTACATAGTGAGTAAAAATGCTGAAAAGAAGTTTTCTTCAGGCTGAGCGTTGGGAGAGTTTAGGTAAACCTTTGATTCAAGATGAAACTGATGGTCTAAGCCGGGCTAAAAGACCCAGAACTCTTCCCGACACTCGTATAATCCAGAGATCTTCTGAAGTGCCTCCAGTTCAAAAAGCACTTATCATCGATTCATTTGAAAATGAGATGACTTTGAGGGAAGATGTTGATGTCCCTCTAGAGCTCGATGATTACGATATTTTGGTGAAAAACAGTTATGTTGGTCTAAACCATTTTGACTGGAAAACAAAGAAGTACAAGTTTTGCATTTACAGTTTTCCATGGATCAATGGTAGAGAAAGTAGCGGTGTAGTTGTAAAATTGGGTAAAAAAGTTTCTACTAAGGATTTCCCATTGAATTGTAAGGTTTTTCTGGCCAGCACCAGTTACCGCAACATTCAGACATCTACTTTTCAGGAGTATACTGTATTTGATTCGAGACTTGTGTGGAAAGTCCCATCCACGGTACCCGTTCTTGACGTCGAAGAACGCACAAAATATTCACCAGGTTTTGATCTGTCTGCTTTCGCTGGCACAGGTGTCAGTTTAGTGACCGCGGGCTGTTCCTTATCATATTTCTTGGATTTCGATAATCTGACATCATTGAATGGAAACAAGAAATGTCTAGTAATCTGGGGAGGATCCACGTCGATTGGTCATTTTCTCATTCAACTGGCCAAGTACTCCAATGCCTTCGAAAAGATTATTGCCGTCGCAGGCCTGCAGAGCACCGCACATCTCAAAACATTGGGGGCAGATGAAGTAATAGATAGATTCGAAACTGAAGATAACATTATCGAGAAGTTGCTTGAAACCTGTTCTAACAAAGTGGAGTACGCCATTGATTTAGCATCCAAAGATTCAGCCAAAATTCTAATGAAAGTCATGCAAAAAAGTGTGCAGGCAAGTGAAAAAAAAATAGTCTGCGTCTCTGGAACCCCTTCTGATGAAGATTCATACGACGGCATCGCCGTTGAAACAATCAATATTAAGAAATTTCACGAAAACATTGAATTTGGGAAAAGTTTTGTACGGTACACCTCGGAGCTCTTCGGAGAGAAAAAATTAAAACTTCAAAGAAACATCAAGTTAATAGATGACAAGGATTCCTTCGATGACAGGATCAAAAGAGGTTTGAAGGACTTGGAAGAGCAAAAATATAAGGGTACGAAAATTGTTGTTAAAATATAAGCTGATTCGTAACAAAAGGTAAACTATATATATTCATGCAGAAAATAGAAACGAATAATTAATGAACAAAATGATTATTATCAGTCATTACAGGTCTTCATTCACACAAGCCAACTACAGAGGTTGTTTTGGTCAGGTGAAGCATAAAAAGACTTTAACCGTACCTAGAAAAATTCTAAGAATCTTAGCCCTAGAGGTTAAAGCATATCAAAGAAACTTTATAGCATCGTAATCTTTTATTTCATATAGAATATTTATCCGTTCAAAAAACTAAATCAGTGAATAAATCTGACCACTCTAAGCCTCAATTAAAATTATATATACTTAATGTCCGTTTAGAGTAAGAAATCAAAAATAGACATTAGCTGTCTCAATAACGCTAGTGCAATACTAGTTTTTTATACCCTTTAGCTTATTGTAAGCAGCTTCGAAACGCTCCTCAAATTCTTCTGCCTCTTCATTTTCGTTCCAGGAAAGACCAGAGGCAGGATGAGTTTCATCTAGCTTCGATGTTCCGAATAACTGCTCTCTAAAGGTTGGACCTTGGCCAGGTGTCTCCGATTTTGGATACTCGTGCCTGAAAAGACCACGCTTTTGCAATTCAGGAAGTAACTTCTCAGAAATCTCTTCGTAAGATTGTGGCAAAACAGTGTAAGCAAGGTTAAATCCATCAATGTCTGAAACCTCAACCCATCTACCAAGCTCATCAGCAACCTCAGCAGGCGTTCCGATTATTAACGCACCACTTCCACCAACAAGAATACTGTCAGCGATTGTGTCCTTCGTCCATTTTTTTATAGTTGGGTGCTGGCCAGACCATCTTTTAATCGAAGAGGCAAGAGCCAGGTGCTCGACATTTTCAAGAGGTTGGTCGTCCTCGAATAAGTCTAGATTAACACCAGTCCATCCCGAAAACATAGCTTTGGCAGCCTCAACGTCACCAAACACCTCTTTGAACTGCTTGACCTTAGCTACTGCTTGTTCATGAGTATCACCAAGAACAACAGTCATCAATGCAAGAAATTTAATCTTTGAAGGATCTCTTCCAAACTTCTCCTTGGCAATCGTTTTAATTTCCTTGATAGGCCCAACAAGTTTATCAGGCGTCAATTGCGACAAAAATACGATCTCTGCGTTTCTGGCTGCTAACTCCTTACCCTTAGGAGAGGTACCAGCTTGAATGATAACAGGAAGTTTTTGTCTGCTTGGAGGAGTAATATTAGGTCCCAATACATCAAAGAATTCGCCCTTGTGTTTGATATGTCTTAAACCTTTAGGATCAGTGAAGATTCCTTCCTTTTTATTGATTTTGACGGCACCATCCCTCCAAGAACTCAAGAATAGCTTGTAAACCACGTCAACGTACTCTTCAGCTTTCGCATAACGCTCATTGTTACCAGGAAGATCCTTACCGTTCAGTAGGTTTCTTGCCGCACTTTCTAGGTATGATGTAACGATGTTCCAGCCAACGCGACCGTTTGTGATTAGATCGATAGTTCCAAGTCTTCTAGATAAGTGGTATGGTTCTTCTGATATGGTCGAGATAGTCATCCCAAAAGACAAATCTTTTGTGACCGATGCCATTAAGGGAATGAAATAACTAGGATCCAGGATTGGCCATTGGGATCCGGCCTTTGCGACTGGTCCGATGTTGCTAGGCCCTTGATAAACGTCATAAGATCCAAGTACATCCGCGAAAAAGACTGCATGGAATTTACCCTTCTCCAAAGTTTTGGCAAGATCAGTCCAAAACTTTGGGTTAGTCAAGTATTCTTCAGACTTATCATCGGGATGCCTCCAGGAGCCAATTGTTTGACATCCAGGGGATCCCATTAAAAATGCATTTATGATCAAGTTCTTCTGATTCTTTCTGGCGCGCTTTGGCTGACTACCATAGTCGTTCGTGGTATCACTCAAGGTCATTATTTGCTGAGCCGGCTCTGTCGAAGTATCTTCTACAACACACCTCAATATGATTTCTTCTAGTACTATTGACGTTAAAGCCCTTTTATATGCTATGTTGCTGACCTAACATTCGGACCACTAGCCCAATTGGCCAACGTACTATTCACTAAGAGCCGTGCGCACCAGTTCACTGAAATTCTGAGGTGTCAATCCTGTCAATCATAGCATCCAGCCATCAATCTCTATTTGGAAGCGAGAAGTCAGAGCGTCTTAATATCGGCGAAGACATGGAGACCACAACGCCACGATAAAAAAATATTTTGCAGCGACCAATGAAGAATCATTTCCTTAAAATCAGCTCATATTCATGGGAAATTGAACAGTCTTTATGCTGCTGCCACCCTCTGAATATTTGTGCTGTAGAATAGGATTTATCGCTTGATTTCTCTTGAAGCATCATTTTCAGTGCTCGCCATTGTTAAAGCTGCCTGGCCTCTTCTCATAACTCAGAAATGGCATACCTACGCATATGAGATAAATCAATTAGATCGTGTGTTGTCGAACATCGTAAATATGAATTCGATACACAAGCGCATAAATCTCTGTGTACAATTGCGATGCAACTGCTATGCAATTTAGCTTGAAATCGACCGAACTTGGAGTTCTGAGTTTAGCTCTTCAAGCTAGCGAGTCTGATCTCATGTACATGCCAACGCAAGTGAATTATATCACTGGGAAAATTGATTCAAATACAACTGGCATCTACCAAACACCAGTCCATTTCTCTCTTATCTTTTTCCTGCTCGTTTCTCTCTCCACTTCGGTAGAAGTCTCTGGTTATCATTTTTGAGTAGGGTGACACCATAGAAAGAGATTACAGAGCTCAAAAATTATTAGAAGGGACTGCTACACATCTTAAACGCTATTTATTAGTGCACATTGTATCTGTGGCATCGTAAGATAACAACAGCGCAACACAGCCGCTGGAGAAGTGCCGGCTCTCAGTTCTGCAGTAAAGCTCTCAGCTTTTCGTTTCGATATGCTCAGTGTCGAAGTTCAAATCCTTCTTTCCGTCTTCTAGAGCCATTGCAACGGCAAGCTCAGGCATGGAGGCAATACCGTCGCCGAAAACTTCTGATACCTCTTCCAAAGTCCTACCAGATGTTTCAACAAAGGTGAGGAAGCATACAGCAAATTCGACCACCAAAATACAGCAGTAAACGATATAATATTTCCATTCAATAGCGTCCATTGCAATGGGGTTCACAAAACCATTGTAAACCATGACAATATATTGAATACCAGTGAACACATTGCAACCTTTGGCACGGAGAGAATAAGGTAAAATTTCGGTCACATACAAGAATGGCTGTCCATTGAGACCAAAATTGTAGCAGAAATAGTAAAAGAAGATCATGGCCAAAACACCCTTACCGAGAGACTTGTCTTCAAAATTACGTTGTTGATTAATGGCAGATAGAATCGTCCAAATTGTGAAGCAGAGGAGCATGCCACCAATTGAGCAGTTGAAAACAACCCTTCTTTTCAAGTGGTTAACAATGAAGAGAGATTGAATCAAACATACACCCCAGTTGTAGATCATAAGGCCACCATTAACAACCAATTGCTCAGTAACTGAGGTAATACCAATGGAAGTCAAAACCTTGCCCAGGTAATAGGAAACCAGCCCATTACCAGACAATTGCATGAAAATACCAATCCAGCAAATAATCCAGAGACGCTTTCTGTTCGCTGCAGTTCTGATGAAATCTTTGTAAGATGTTGTCTCACTGAAAACGCGCTCCTGTTGGATTGCCATGGTAATTTCCGAAACCTCGTAATCAACTAAAGGACCACCACGAATTTCATCATCACCTGCATGATATTTCATCAAAATTTCACGGGCCTTTGCAATCTTGCCCTTGGAAACTAGGAAACGTGGGGATTCAGGAATATAATACAAAAGTGCAATTTGTAAAATAGGGAAGAAACCCTGCATGATGGCTGGAAGTCTCCAGTTCCAGTCATTTGCAAGGTTTCTGCAACCGAAAGAAACCCAGGCCGCAACAATGGCACCTAAGTACCAAGATGAGTTGTAAAAAGTCATCACTGTTTGTCTGTGGGTGGGGTAGGCCAATTCAGAGATTAATGCGGGAGCAGCAATAGACATGACACCACTACCTATACCTAGAATAAATCTAGCGGCAATCAGCATACCGTATACGTCTCTGCCTTTGTAGCCCTCTGGCAGGTTGAGGGCCCATACACCTGAACAACTTTGCACGATAGTACCGATAATCATGACAAAATTGCTGATCAGTAATGAGTACTTACGACCCAACCCATCGATGATATAAGGAGCAAAGAAGAAGGTGACGAAACAACCAAAACCAAAACCATTGGACATGGCACCCAAGATGGCACCCTCGACATTACCAATCGCATTGTTAAAGCTGTCCTCCGTATAAAGCGAGTTCAACAGACTACCATCATAACCGTTATTTGTTGCTGTCAAAGTTATGATGAAAAAAACGCCCAAGAGTTTCCGAATGTGGGTCAGTTGGTACCATTTCTTTCCATCAAAGTCCGGGAGGACGTCGTTGAGGCGAAGAGCATCTGGCTCTTCCGTATTAGACGATATGGATTTCATTAGCTGTAGGAAAATTACCTAAGTTGATGTTGATTAAATGATCATTAATTGAAAGAATGCGCGATTTTGATCTCGTTTTTATGCTCTTCTCGAAACTTTGGCAATTTCAGCCCCTCTGATCATCGCCCTGCAAGAAAACAATCAAACCAGCCAGCCGTGCGTCCGATAATGGCTAGTGCCAGTCACCACCGCATGTCCGACAATGGCGAGCGCCACTTCAAGAATGGAGATCTCATTTCTCCAAGTGTCCGAGCGCCCGTGTTCGTCTGAGCTCGGCAACCAAAGATTTCGCCGGCATTTGCTACATGCAGGGGAATTTCTCGAGTTCAGGGCACGAATGCATCCTGCAAAAAAAATGCGGGGTGCGGGATTCTCGAAGGAAACTTCACCTGTTTTTGGAAAACGTGGATACTTACGCAGGACGGAATTGCGGGACAATATAGTAAAGGGCGCTATTCCAAGAAGGGTGTAAGGACAGAAAAGATGAGAGGATGACGCTTTGCCCATTTGTTGATGCGAGGTTGTGGAGAAATGTAGGAACCAGCCTACAGTATTTTATGACGAAACAGCCTGGTACCTTTGTAGAATTAAGAGATCTGGCAGCCGTTTACAAACCCGTTGGGTTCAAAAGGTTGGAAAAACACTTTTGCCGATCTTCCGAAGGTCTCATGACTGATGCTGAAACAGTGCTGCTTTTCTTCTTTGTGTGAGGGGCCACAAAGCGTAGATTGTGTGTTGAAATTTGAAAAATTGGGACATAAGAATAGACCAATTTCGCATCTTTATCCGGTCCAAAGCGTGCGTTGAAACCATCAAACATTTGAACTTTACAAGAAAATGTCGAAATTTGATATCGAAGAGTTAATCGGAGAACTAACGCTTCAAGAAAAAATCGCCTTGATAGCAGCCAAAGACTTCTGGCACACATCTCCCGTAGAAAGACTTGGTATTCCATCTGTGCGTGTCAGTGATGGTCCAAACGGTGTAAGAGGTACCAAGTTCTTCAACTCTGTGCCCTCTGCGGCGTTCCCCAATGGTACTGGTCTTGCCTCGACTTTCGATACCGAGCTATTGGAAGAGGCCGGTCAGCTCATGGCGGTGGAAGCCGCGCATAAGAACGCGTCTGTGATTCTTGGTCCTACCACGAACATAGCTCGTGGGCCTCTTGGAGGTCGTGGTTTCGAATCTTTCTCTGAAGATCCTTACCTATCCGGTATGTGTACCGCTGCACTAGTCAACGGGATGCAAAGTCGTGGTATTGCAGCAACGGTCAAACACTATGTTTGTAATGACTTGGAGGATCAAAGGTTCTCTTCAAACTCGATAGTCACCGAAAGAGCTCTTAGGGAAATCTACTTGGAGCCATTTCGCTTAGCCGTCAAGTATGCAAATCCTGTGTGCATTATGTCTTCGTATAACAAAGTGAATGGGACCCACTGCTCTCAGAGTAAGAAGCTACTAGACGACATATTGCGTGAGGAGTGGGGCTGGGATGGTATGATCACTTCCGATTGGTTTGGTACCTACTCTTCTGCGGATGCCATCAAGAATGGTTTAGATATTGAATTTCCTGGGCCTACCAAGTGGAGAAAATCGGAACTAATTAGTCATTTGATTTCTTCTAAAGAGGGAATCTCTGAAGAAGACGTTAACACGCGCGTGCGCAATGTTCTCAAGATGATCAAGTTCGCTGTTGACAACAAGGATAAAACCGGAATCATTGAAAATGGTCCAGAAAGTGATGCCAATAACACTCCGGAGACCGCTGCAAAATTGAGAAAAATTGCAGCGGATAGTATCGTTTTGTTAAAGAATGAGAATAATGTTCTACCTCTTTCTAAGGATGAGTCAATTGTCGTAATTGGTCCCAATGCTAAGACTAAGTTTATGTCCGGTGGAGGGTCTGCATCGTTGAACCCATACTATGTCGTGCCCATTTATGACGGTATCAAGAGCAAACTTGGTAAGGATCCAGAGTACTCAATTGGGTGCACTTCAAACAAGACATTAAATGGATTGTGGGAGGCTTGTGTGATTGACCCATCTAAGGGAAATCAAGCAGACAATATAGGTGCACAAGCAATCTTTTATACCAAGCCCGTTGAGGACAGATCTCCGGATGAAAAGCCCATAGATTCGACGACTATTAAGCAATCATACTTGACATTATTCGACTATAAAAACCCTGCTGTTGAGGAATCCAATCCATTGTTTTACGTTGATTTCGAAGGTTACTACACTCCCGAAGAAGATGGTGACTACGAGATTGGTCTACAAGTGTATGGTACTGCCTTGTTATTCATTGATGGTGAGCTCGTTGTTGACAACAAAACAAAGCAAACGAAGGGCACCTTCTGCTTTTCAGCCGGTACCATCGAAGAGAAAGCTATTGTATCAATGAAGGCCGGTAAGTCATACAAGTTTAGAGTCGAGTATGGCTCAGGCCCTACCTCTCAAACAGCGAGCGATTTTGGTGCTGGTGGTATGCAAGTTGGTATCGCCAAGAAAATTGATGAAAATGAAGAGATCGCGCATGCTGCCCAGCTTGCGAAAGAGCATGACAAAGTTGTTTTATGTATTGGTTTGAATGGTGAATGGGAGTCAGAAGGTTATGACAGGGAAAATATGACCTTGCCAAAAAAGACTAATGACTTAGTCCGTGCTGTCCTAAGAGCCAACCCTAACACGGTGGTCGTAAACCAATCCGGAACGCCTGTTGAAATGCCTTGGATTTCAGAGTGTAATGCGCTGTTGCAGTGCTGGTATGGCGGAAATGAATTGGGTAACGCAGTTGCCGATATCGCTTTCGCAGACGTAGTTCCTAGTGCAAAATTGTCGTTGTCTTGGCCATTTAAGAATGAAGACAATCCAGCCTACTTGAACTTCGCTACTGAAAGTGGAAGAGTGCTTTACGGGGAAGATGTTTTTGTGGGCTATAGATTCTATGAAAAATTGCAGAGACAGGTGGCTTTCCCATTTGGCTACGGTCTATCATACACCACCTTTACTTTCGAAAACCTTGAGGTTACAGCCGATGAGTCTAAAGAGATTCTTTCGGTTCAGCTTGATGTAACAAATTCCGGATCGAAGTACGCAGGTGCTGAGGTGGTACAGGTCTATGTAGCACCAACTAAGAGCGGAATCACGAGACCTGTCAAAGAACTGAAAGGTTTCAAAAAGGTCTACTTGGAGCCAAATGAAACGAAGAAAGTTTCTCTTGAACTGCCACTCAAGGACTCGATTTCCTACTTCGAGGAATACCACAATAAATGGTGCGCGGAGGCTGGAGAGTATCAATTATTGGCCGGCTCTTCTAGTGATGACACCCAGCTAATTTCTAGCTTTGAATTGTCCAAGACATTCTACTGGAAAGGCTTATGATTTTGAATACGCCACTTTATATGACTATTATGCCGTAAATGAATAAAATATATATATGTATATATGCCTTTTTTACCTTTATGATCTTCAATAGCAGTAGTCTTTGTCTAGGCAAATGTCCAGTGTCGTAAAATAAAGGCTATTGTATAACGTCGTCTAGACAACTACCTTAGAAAGCTCAACTCTATTGAAGAGAAAGTTCAATCGCAACTCCTCTGGCTGCTGCCATAGTTTTTCCAGAAAACATCGAATCTTTATTGTACTTTGTAAATGAAACCTTTCCCCGATATTGAGCAAATATCTTAGCACTGCATCACGATCCCTGAAAGTCGTAGCAAAAGAGCCCATAATGACTAGAGACCATGCCAAAATGCCCCATATTCTGTTTTCCCGAGGAATCTCAGAAAATGCTCCAAAAACATCTCTTATATTCTTTTGAATAGAAACATCCCTGACATCAAAACTCTCGTAATGCAGCGCTTTAGACACAAGTAGGAAACACGATTTCGTCACAATTTTACCAACTAAAGAGCTCAATTTTGCACTCTCATATCGTTTGCTATCATACGCCTTAAGTTGCGGGGGTAAAACCGGGCTCGTGTAAAAATTACACATGGTCTGAAGTTGTTGTGCTTTCTGGTACCATACAGATCCGTGATCAAGCGGCATGGGTAGCCTAGCAATGAAAGAAGCTTTGGCCAATATTTCAAAAGCATCTAATGCTGAGCCGAGGACCGGATTGTTCATCCACTCAAACTGACAGTGGTAAATTGGGCATTTGAGAACATGACTCAACTCTTTAAAAACTGAAAAAGGATTTGGAAGTCTCGAGATGTCTGTGGCGAAAAGAATAGCGACAGAATAGTTATATATAAAACTTTCAATGTACATCCGTTCATGTGGTTGAAGAACTAACTCATCCTTTAATTTGTTCAGTTTCGAGTCACCCATAAAGTCATTCTCAATTTCGTATGTCAGATTCTGTAGCCCTGGAAGTACAATATTCTTTTCCGTTTTTGCACAATCAGCATCTGAACCACTTTTGTTTACATAATAGGTATTTTTGATCATCAAATAAGAGTTAGACAAGCAATTCACGCACTTATCCACTGAGCCAGAAAATGTGTGTTTGTTTCTCAGACACAAAAGTTGAAAGGAGGCCAGAAGCCAAAGTTCAACACCTTGCATGCCATTCTCACTCAAGTATTTCTTAATCAGAGCCTCGGAGCTTTCATAAAGATAATCAGATAACCTTGAAAATCTTGCTCTATCATACCATTCCAAATATGCTGCACCACAGCAAAGGAAAATCTCTTTCATAATAAGGTTATTTTCGACCTGTGGGATAAATGTTGCATTGGTAGTAAGCATGGGGTGGGTATCTTGTGGTCCGAGATTGGGAATAAATCTATGAACGCAGGCATAAAGCAAGAATGCTTCATCACTTGCAACATCCTCGATATCTGTAAAATCTCCTTTGTCACAATGCGCGAAAACATTGCGATAACGTATAGTACCAATATTATTTTCATCATGAAGAAATGCGTAATTTGAGTGACCTACGGAGGTGTCAAGTGATGCACATATTTCATGTTCCACTAAATCAATCGACTCCGTTCCCCTATCTCTAGTTGTAGATGGCAATTTCGGTGTCTTATTATTATTGATGCTTGGTGTTGGTGTACTTCTGCGAGTGAAGATCGAAAGTTCGGCCGAAGACTCTTTTAAGATGTGATAAGGTTCTAATTGAAGGTCCAGGAAAGTCTTCCATTTATCATCGTTTAAGAGATCGACTGGGTTGTGAAACAGCTCATCATCTCCCTTTTCAGGACGCTCAACTTCTTCATAAACACGATTTACGCCCTCCTCACAATGACGCAATTCTTTCGAGATCGCACAACTCTCGTAATTCCAATGCTTTGTTTCCTTCGTTGGATGTTCTGCGGTAGCTTCAGGACGAGACCCATTGACGCTTAATCGTTTTTCTGGTGGCTTTGAAAAATCAAAACCAGTATCCATAATGTTCATGAGATCAGACTTCAAACTATTATTTATAATAGTGATTTGTTTTTGTCTTTCCAAATGTTCGCGTTCGAGCTGCTCACAACTTGGAAACTGCTTTAAAGGTTTGCAGTCATGGTCAAACAACTGGCAAAGGGTCCCGTCTGAAAATCGGGATAAGTTTATCATATTATCCCACTGAGTAAACTTAGAACGTAGAGTTTTGAAGGTTGTGTTGTGGCTGTATTCCTTTCCGATTTCATCTGCAGATACATGGATGAAGATGTTGCTTCCCTCAGTAGTCGCGGGAGTGTGAGAATTGATATGTTCGGGCCAAACACATTGTAATATGTTTCTCGTACATCCCGAGCATCGTGGCTTTAGTTCATCACACTTCTTTTTCCTTTTGCGACAAGTAAGGCAACCACTCTTCGATCTTTTTTCAGTGTGTTTGATGCAGTCATCATCTTGAAGACGATTATACCTACTTCTGTACCTCACTCTAGGCATTATGCACACGAAGAGTCTTCAATGCAAAGTGCGTCTATCAATAATATTGTCAGCGCCCAAAAATCTTTGATATAGGGTGTCAATGACTAAAAACATCGAGCGCGATTATGGCGATTATACCGTTTTGATTTTTTCCCGATAAGATAGGACAAGATTAGACAACGCGATTATGTACTTCAAGGTGACAATCCATGAAAACTCAAAGAAGAGATCACAAAGTCATTCGTAACATTTCGCCAATAATAAATGCAAATTAAAATAATTAGAGTAGATGATAGGTACTTTACATGCCGAAAGATACTACCGACCACCATTCAATGCTCTTGAAGCAGCAAGCTTCTCTATTAATGAATCAATAGCCTCAAAATTCATATCATCATGAGCAAAGTGCTGGTGCTTGTCAGTGTTAATGTGGTGCGCTAAGCAATCGTATTTGACCCTACAGTTCTCACAATAGCCAGAACCAAGTTTAAAATCTTGTCTCTTAACCTCAGTTTTCTTTTCTTTGGGCTTTTCCTTTGATGCATCAATTTGAGTGCTAATAATCGAAGTGAGCTTCGTCTTGAGAGGTGGCGTAGACTCCACGGGATCCAAACCTTTAGCGGGGTGGAATTTTTTATCAACAACAAGTCTATTTAATGACTTCATGTTCTTGTTCAACACAGAGGCCTTTGTAGGACCTAGCCCGTTGCCAATAGATGCAGATCCATCATTAGATTGGTTCACTCCGCTGGCTTTTATTTCTTGTGGAATTCTGGGCTTTTTCCTGCAGAGATCATCTGCAAATTCTTCAGTATCTTGCCTAGAGAGTAGCAGAACTGGCGGGTTAAATGCAGCAGGGGTTTTCCAAATGGCTTTAGATGGAGGTTTAGGGATCACTGAAACTCCAGAAGGAAGCGACTCTTGTTTTTGCGCAGAAGATTCAGTGGATTCGTTTGACTTAACTTCGTCCGAGTTGTTTATCTTCATGAGATTTTCATAACACTCTCTTGAATTCGCGTGATTGTGGGAGAGAATAATTGGCATCTCGTCACCAAAATCTCGATCCTGTGGTTCTGCTGACTCTTGATATAGCAAACGCAAATGAAGAGCGTATTTTTCGTTGACTTTATCCCTCTTATATCTTTTGATGATTCTTTTTGAACTGCTTTCGTCACAGTGACCGTCTCCAATAAAAGGGCATCTTCCAAATGTGCCAGGTTTGATGCTAGGGTAAGGCAGATGATGAGGGTCTACCAAATCTTGCGGTTTCCACTCCATTATAATAATAGGTGCCCAAATCTGCCATAAGTCGTAAAGATAGATGTGAGGGTACTTGAAGTAGTGAACATCATCGCGACGTGTCTTAGGGTCTCGATCTGCTGGGCCGTAAATCTTTTCATTCTGGAGCAAGTTTGATAACGTTGGATATGCTACTTGTGCTTTGCTTTCAAGTGTATCTAGGTCCACATCCAAGTTCTTCAAGAACCTCGTTGCCTTTTCATAGGTCCAAACTTTCATGTACCGCTTAGCTGCTCGAGCAAGCACGTCTGTATCCGGAAGCTGATCAGTTGACTTTACCGTTCGCATAGTAACGACAATTGTCACATCGGTGTCGAAAAACTGCGTTATTTGTGCACCTAACGATAAGAAGCCACGTTTCAAAAGATCCTTCTTCTTATCCAACTTTTGTTTGGCATATAATATCGTATCATGCACTTCCGTTGTATCGAAATAAATCTTCGTGTCCCTTCTCATAATTTTCCTCCAATTATTCTGCCATTCGAGAAGATCATGGGGTGTCACCTTTGACTGCTCCCCAACCTTTTTCAATGCAGTTTGTTTGCTCATCTGTACTGCACCCTCTATCGTCCTTCTCGATGCATCGTTGGTTTTAGTTCTTTTGCGATGTTGTTGTTGTTCCAACCGATCCAATGACCGTTTTTTGAGCAAGTCATTTCCCGTTTTCAGGTTTGCATCCGTCTCTTTCAATGGTGATCGCCCGATATTCATGATTGGCACGTCTCGTGAGACTGTAGTTCTTCCACAGCCTTGCTCAACTCTTTCTAAATGAATGCTGGTTAAAAAGAACGCGACAAATTTTAGCGGTTGAACAGTCGCGTAACGGGACAGAATACACGTGATCAAAATTACGAACGTAAATGCTGCCAATCGTAAAAGCTCTAGGAAACCATTCAAATGGCTTCACGAGTCTGTTAATGAGTGCGCTTCTCTCTATTCTAGCTTATATCCATACATATCTCTAAATGCGACTAACGCCTTCTTTATCTTCATTACCAGCAGGCCGTAAGGATACTCTGCATCTGCGATGAAAAGCAGCAGGAGACTGCTCCGTGGAATTTGTGCAACGCAGGCGTGAAGATCTTCGAGCTCATACGTGTAGATTTTGGTTGACTCTTCTTCAATTTTGAAATTGTAACAGCTGTGAGTTGCCTGCTCTTCAGTATCTCGCTCATCCTCGTTCCATTTATCCCTAATCAGTAACGCCATCATCTTTAGGTTGTTTTGGGAATTGTTGTAGTTCTTGGTGGTAGGTTCTCCATTGGAGTAGGATATAATGCTTCCATTGATCGAAGAGATAAGTAATGATGACTGAAGAGGCCCGTGAGTGGACGTCAGACTTTCCACTGGTTGCAAAGTACTTGTAAGAAGTTTCCGAATGTTAGTTCCGTGGAGCATTTGTGGTCTTTGCACCGATATACGGCGTGATGTTTCCTACAGAATGGAAAGGAAGATAAATCAAAACCCTGAAGAATGGTAGGTAACAAAGGACTCACTTATCACGGGGTGATAGTTTCAAGCTGTATGGAAGTAACAAAACGCTACATGTCGCAAGCCGATATCGTACACTATTGTATCGTATTAAAAAAACGAGCAAAACTACTTATTTTCTAGCTTCATATCCTCTTCCAAGTCGTCACTCTCGTCCTCTCCCTTATTGGGCTGTTTCCTATCCATGACACTATCGTTATCCATGCTTTCATCGTCGTCGTCGTCGTCTTCGAATTGGATATCCTGATCGTCTTCGTCGTCGTAACTGTAGATGTTGTCGCCGTCCTCGCCGTCTTCCTCGTCCATGTCACTATCGTACCAAAAATTGTCTCCCAAATCCCGCGACTCCTCAGGTTCGGCATGCTTTTGCGACACGTATGCTGTTTGAGATGTAGGCATTACGAAGCCCTCAGGAATGTCCTGCTTTGACCTCTCCACTTCTAGCTTCACTCGCTGTTTATATTGCTCTGGGTTCTTCCTATAATCGACGGCCGCGTCCACGTTGGCCGGTGATGAGATGTTCGGGTCCTCCAGGAGGGATACTATTGAGATGAGTACACTCTCGACGGTCTGAACTGGCGACCAAGTTTCCGAATCAGGCTCCTCAGACGTGGGGTCGCCGCTCGTGTGTAAGATCGAAATACATAGTCGGCCATCACGGTAGACGTTTGGGTGATAGATAGCCGGTGTGAATCTAAATGTAGGTGGTGAAAATGGAAAGTCTTCAGGGAACCTCATCTGAGCTTTGAAATACCCGCCATGGTAGATCGAGTCCTCATTCAGTACCATCACCCCGATATTCCATAAAAATATATTAGAATCATCGTCAAGTTCTATGTGGAATGAAGGAATAGCCTTCTTGGGGTCTGTCAGCTCTCGATATTGCCGTAACAGTAAACTAGCTGCTGTATTTTTACGGTTGCTCATCCAGTTGACCTTTAGCGGGCTTAATAATTACAGACAGGGAGAAAATTTAATCTGGTGGCAACTTTGCGTTCTTTTCTTTGTGAAACAAGGTCATTATATACGAAGGGCGAAAGCTTCGAGAGGAATGAGCCCTGAACCTCGATGATATAAACTGGCATTCAACCTAAGTGGTTACTGTAACAGCGTTGTAGATATTTATAAGGAATTATAACGATTACACCATACTTAAAAGCAGAAAATATCGAGAATAAATTTGCATTATTAGCAGTGCTCAACGACAAACAGGAGCAGATCAAAAAAACGAGATATAGGTCAACTAATGCATCCCGAGTTTTCTGTATCTCTCCACCAGCGACCAGTACATGTGCTTTTGCCTATTTCTCCACCAGGGGCCGGAATAAACCATTAACAAGAAAGATGCATTGCACCCAAAGCAGATAAAGGCCACGCTGATAAAACACTTTTTGTAGCCGAGATTGACAACCCAGTCAGTGATCCCGTAGCTGACCGCGAAGGACATCAAATTACGCACTAGAATGACTACGACCATAGCCTCAGTGTCAAGCTCTTTGTAGGCATCCACCACGTACGTGGTAGACGACGCAATTCCGAATATACCACATCCACCCAAGAGACCCATACCAAAGACCAGTCCAAACCAGTGAACTTCGTAGTAGGCACCAACGCCCCACAAGATGCTGGCGAAAGTGCCCAGAATACAGTACAATGACAAAACCCATAGTCTGTCTTCGGGCATACTGAGCCCAGATCCTCTCCATACTGCGATCCGGACCTTGAGCCAATCGGAGAAGAACCCTGACACATAAAATAAAAGGAAAGAGAAGATGGTAGGTGACAAGTACGCCACACCTACAATACTTGGTGAAAAATTGTAAGGTTTCCCTCCCAAGATAAGGGCCGCAGTAGCGTTGAGAACATTGAACCACACTAGCGAAGAGCCGTACAAGAATCCGGCCCAAAGAACAACAGGGAATCTTGCCATAAAGAATGGCGCCATTGCATAATGATGCAATAAGAACTTGTCCTTTTTGCCGCTGAAGAGAGAAAGTTTCTCCACAAAAGTTTTGACCTTCTTTGGCGGAGGTACATATGTACCGGACACCACCGCTTCGACATTGCTGGCCTGGTTGTGTACATTGGCATTTTCAGCAGACGCGATGGCCTGCAGTTGAGAGGGGCTTTCTTGCACATTCAAATTGATGTCGTTCTTTTCCACCGAGTTTTCAGAGTCCATCACACCGTCAATATTGGAAAAGACTCCGCTAAGAACACCAGATCTGGAAGCCATGGTGATGGGTTGACCGGTTTCGGAGTCAACTTTCAACTTACGATCATAGTTTGTCTCTTCCATGAGGAAGAAAAGCAGCACGAAACATACTGCTCCAAAAATGGCGCACCACCACATCACCCATTCCCAGCTTTGGCCTTGCGAAATGAATCCTGCCACGAATGGTGCCAAATAGGAGGCACCTAGAAGTGTCAAACCGTATAAAGACAGCGCCAGCGCACGTTCGTGTTCAAAAAACAGATCACTCATTGAGATCTCAGGCAGAGACTCAATGCTAGAACCAAAAAACCCTTGCAAAATTTTGGATGCTATCCACTCCCCGTTAGACTTGGTGTAGGGGGGCCAAACGCAGATCATAGCGGTCGCCAGCATGGAAAAGAGATACACAGGCCGTTTGCCGAATTGCAACGCCAGCGGCTGGAACACAAGACAGCCCAGCCCGAAAAACAGAAACATGTAGCCTGTTCCGTTGTTAAGCTCCGTCAGCGTGATGTCGGTGTGCTCTTGAATGTCGGTAAGCACCGAGTAGATGGCTGCGGACGGCACGCCCACGCCCAGAGTGTAGATCAACACACACGCCACTGCAAGCCATTTACGGCGCCGAGTCCAGTTGAGGGGATCATTCGGGTCGTCTGATGGTGTTGGAATAAGCACAATTTGTTTTTCCGACTTCTCATTGCCGATGTTCACCAAGTGCGAGTTCCCAGGTATAGCTTCGTAGTCGATTCCGGTCATGCTGTATAATGACGTGGTGAAATCTTTCGAGTCTGGGTACAACTGGCGATACTTCTCTGGACCAAAACTGCCACTCTAGTCTTATATATACTTCCCATCTTCTAATCAGGAATCTTGCTAATCAGTAATCCTGCTAATCAGTAATCCTGTTAATCAGCTATCATAGTTAATGATCACAACGTCTCGAATTCAACTCTCAAAGCAATCTTCAGCATCCACCGTGGATGCTGCTTTGATAATAGACTTTCATTTGAGATCGTCGTCACCGCGATTGACCACGACATTCGGGAATGTACCGCGATTGATAACCTTTTTCAGAAAACTGTATCTGTTATCAGTCGCGTCGGACGGAAACAATCGCGGTGTAAGTATATTTCGAGACGGGAAGATAACATGATGTCAACGAGGCTGAATTGTAAGTCAGATTGTTGGATGCAGCCCAAGTCGGCTGCAAAGACGAGCAAACGATCAAGATGGTAGCGTAGATCTTTGCTTAGCCATGTTCTTCGAATTGTGGGGAATTAAACGTCAATTGAAGTCTAAAGACTCGCGGTCTATATTAGCAGGAAAAGTAATACCTTCGAGGTGCCGGAGGCAAGACTTTCATGATTTAAGCATGGTGTCTGCATTTTAATTGTAGTCGGAAATGCGACATTTGCCTATTTTGGCCGTTTTATCTTGTTCCTCAACACTAATAGCTGAGAATGAATTTCAAGTTTCGACCAGCCCGGTGGATAACAGGACAAAGGTAGTTGGCAAAAGAACAGGTTTAAAAGGCAGAACAGGAATGGCGAACCATAAGAATACTTCAAGTGAATCCCAACAGTTCTACTGGCGCGGTAGGTTAGCGTCGGCACGTGAACCCGGTTCCTGCGAGTAGAAATACCGCCGGCTGCAAGCGAAAAAATAGATAATCGCCCCGTCGTCGCTTAACCAAACGCTATCGGAAAGAGACAACGACTACAGAACATGGGTATATATAGGATTAGAGACAGGCTAATTCGGTTGTTCTTCTTGTCGATTCTCCTTGTACTAGGTTTCTTAGCAGGTATTGAAAAGCTTTTGAAACCAAGGTCGAAAAGAAAGGGTAAAATGAGCACTGAGGGTTATCTAACGGAGGATGCAAGCAAATTTGCTACTTACAAGCCATTGATTGATGCGTATAACAAGGATTCGTTGGATCAAGTGAGAGCATTTGACCCGAAATTCTATGAATCGTGTGTGGCCGCAATTCCTGATGCCGCGACGTTAGACTCGGAGCCCATCGATGCACGCAAATTTCTGAACTTGTTGAGTGAAGATGAACAGCGTATCGTCAACGATCTCACGATCTCAGACCTCACTTCAAAGCAGCTCGCAGGCGAACTGACTGCAGAAATAATTGCCAGGGCATACATCAAATCCGCAATTGTCGCACAACTTGCTACCAACTGTGTGATGCAGTTTTTGATCCCTGAAGCTCTATCGAGAGCCAAGGAGCTCGATGCTTACCGCGAGACGCATCAGAAGCTTGTTGGCCCGCTGCATGGTGTTCCAGTGTCTCTTAAAGAGCAGATGAATTATAAGGGTAAGGCTACCCACGCTTCTTACGTCTCTTATATTAACAACATCCCAGAGAACAGTGCCGTGAGCGTTGATATCTTGCACAAGCTAGGAGCCGTGTTTCATGCCAGAACTGCGCAACCACAGGCTATCATGCATCTGGATACTTGGAATAACATTACTGGCAGAACCAGAAATCCATGTTCAACGCGCCTATCGCCCGGTGGTTCCTCTGGTGGTGAGTCTGCCATGGTTGCCATGCACGGATCCGTAATTGGTCAAGGTAGTGATATCGGTGGGAGTATTCGAGCGCCAGCGGCCTTTGCAAACCTTTACGGTATAAGACCAACAACGAGACGTATTTCTCTCATGAACGGTCTGTCTGGTGGTAAAGGTCAAGAATCGATTGTTGCAGTGCAAGGTCCGCTAGCAAGATCGATTGATGAATTAGACTTGTTCATGAAATCTTACATCAACCAAGGTAAGCCTTGGTTGTACGACCCCTTGTGTGTTCCAGTTCCTTGGCGTGAACCAGAATTACCTGCTAAGATCAAAATTGGTGTGCTGTATCAGGACAATCTTGTCACCCCATATCCTGCCATCACCAGAGCTATGAAAGAGACTGTTGCAAAACTAGCGGAAAGTCCCGATATTGAAATTATCGATTTGACTCCTCAATGGTATTCCGAGGAGGAAATGTTTGACATCAACTTTGCAATTGAGTCCTTGTACACTTGTGATGGTAACAAGGTGCAATTAGGCATGTTCGAACCCAGTGGTGAGCCATTGCTTCCATTGACTAGGCACTTTCTCAACTTCGGAGGCGGCAAAGAGTTATCCATTTATGACAATAGAATGTTAAATGCGAAGAGAGATGCTCTCAAGACTGAAATGTTGCAAAAGTATTTCAGTAAGGTAGATTTCATCCTTTCTCCTACCTATTTAGCACCTGCTGAAATGCCTAAGCAATCACTATACTGGGGCTACACTTCATTCTGGAATCTGCTCGACTATCCTAATGTCGTATTTCCTACAGGCATTTCCCACAGCGTGGACAAAGATACTGAAGTTCCAACTTTGAAGGCGAACAAATATGAAAAGATGGTTTGGTTAAACCCATCCGACGGAAGTGTTAAGTACGATGCCCAGAATTATGAGGGCGGTCCAGTTGCATTGCAGCTGACAGGCAAACGTTTCTGCGACGAAGATGTCGTAGCTTTGACTAAAAAGATTTCTGATATCTTGAAGGTCACTAGAAGGTGATCGAAAACATAATTAATTCATACAACGCCATACAACTCATTACATAGATATTGCTCCTGAATATAGATCCTTTTTTTTTTCATTTCATTTACATTACATTTCATTGTCGATGAGAAGATCGTAAAAACTTTCATGGCCAAACCTCCCTGTCTCAGCTATATTATTCCTTTTTGGTGTAAGCTCTTGATTTGCATAAAGCCGGTCTCTTGATTTTTCCGATAATTTCAGAATGTCATCGTAAAATAAACCAAATACTGATGGAGCGTCATTATGCTGCTCCATATCGAGTGCAAGACCCCTCAAAGATACATTTGTCTTCGAACCTGGATATTGTGCGCTATAGTTATCCACAAATCTATGAACGAACTCTTGCTTCTGCGCTAAGCTCAAATCGCGCCACCTCTTGTAGGGAGATGACACTCGATGGTGCAGCCATCTCGTTAATCGAATGCCATTCTGTGACATGGTGAAGAAACTTTTTCCCTTATCGTTTATCAATTAGTGGAGAAAAAAAGTATTTCGGCTGTGATGTAGATTTACTGTTTAAAGTATAGATTAAAAAAATGAAAAAGTTTCTATGAAAAGCCCAATGAATTGAATATAAGAAAAAGCCATGATACCTTGAGATCTGAGCTTTCATCATGCAATCGCTCCTCGGGATATTTGAAGACTTTTTGCAAATGCTTGTTATATAATCAGTGAGCCTTTGACGCTTACAGTTTGAATAAGATCCATCGGTCAGTGAGAGCATTCGATTCGTTTCCTTCGAAAAAAATTGAGTCTTTCTGTCATATGTAATGGAACTGAGAGTGGGAGAGTATTAATATTATTTAAGTTCGTCATCAATTTCGAAGTCCTCCATCTGAATTGCCTCTTGATTGCTCTCTGTGTCAACTGGGGGAGATGCCTCTGGTTTTGGTTTGCATCTCAAAACAGTTACGGCAGAACCGATAATAATAGTGATTCCACACCATGACCAGAATTCTGGGAGGTGGTGCCAGATCAATGAATCCCAGATGAGGGCGTATATCATTTGAGTATAAGCAACGAATGATCCTCTACCTGCTCTTTCTCTTTGTATCCCTAAAGTTAGCGACAATTGCATGAAGAAACCCGAGAACCCGATTACTAGGAACAGAAACCATTGTTTAGAAGTCTGTGGTATTTGGAAAGTCATCGAAGGAATCAAGAGAATCCCTAACAATGAAATGATAAACGTTATGAATGAAAAGTACGTTACACTCATAATGGCGTGTGCCCTCCTACCGATATATCTGATAACGATCCATACGTTACTGGCATTCAGAGTACCAAATAGCGCAACTAAGGTTGCGATTAATCTATCATGTGGGTTGCTGGATTCCGCACTGCTTCCTTCGGATGACACCACGGGACCAAATAGAAAAGTTGGCCTTACAATGAGAATAACACCGAATAGTGAGATAAGTCCTCCCACGGCTTCGATGACAGAATATCTCTCTCTCAAAATGATCCACGCGAGAAAACCCGTGAAGGAGGGCCCTAAGAATAGGATAACAGTGGCGTCTGGTACTGATAGATACATCAATGAGTAGTACATCCCAAAAACGCCAAAAAATCCAACACAACCCCTCAGAATCAGCCATTTACGCATCTTAGGAGGTCCAAACGGCACATGCGAGATGGTTGTTTTGTTCAGGTACATGTAAATCACGGCTCCTATAACTGTGAAAAGCATTCGTACAACTAATATTTGCAAAGGTTTGATGGGCACCTCGAGTTCAGGATCTGTTTCCAGTAGTTTAGTTGAGACAACCATAATGCTGTTGAAGAAATTAGATATCAGCAGGTATAGTATACCTATATTGGGTTTCAAATATTCATTAGATAGCCGTTTGATCCTTCCATCGTCACTACTCGGCAATGGAGAAACACTCCGTGATCTTATATTTTCAAATGCCTCTGTAGAAGACATTATTACTCATACTATTCTAACGGTAAGTAGGAGGGGTGATTTTTGAAAAAACCTAGCTTTACCTTGAAATTCGCTCGGAGAGCGGAGGTAAGGGATAACTCCAAATCGTTAACAAAGAGTGATCCTGGGACGGATCATCATAGACATTTGAGTGAAGATTGAAGCGTATTGGGTTGTTGTCTGGTTGCAATAATTTTCCTCTTTCCTTCTAGTTTCACTATATTCAATGCCGTTAGAGGACTCTATTTGGTCCCGTGTGCCCGAACAGAAAGCAGCAAAGAATAATTCAACGGCAAAGAAGTCCCCAGGACTTGAATCTAGTATATGGGCTCAAGAATCCACATCTAAGAAGACAAGGGCTCCCCGGGATAACGGTACAGAAAGAAGTAAGAAGCCATCAAACCAAGAACGGCCCAAAAGGCAGGACAAGCATCCTAAACGAGAGAGCGTTCACCCCAGAAGGAGGTCGTCTGCAAATGATAATGGAACCAAGATAAACCCTCTTGCAGCACGGTTAGGATTGGTGCAAATTGATGACTCCAGTGATGGCAGTGACTCTGAAGAGGTCTCAAGGCCTTCTACAAGTGATAGGAACAAGATTTTCGATAAAAGACCCTCTAGAAGTAGGAGGACAAGTTCCACTAAAGGTAGCTCAGCCAAGACTGATCATGCCAAAGCAAATAAGATGGACGTTCTTAAACGCAAAATCGAGGAGCAGAAGCAGATCCAAGAAAAGAACCATCATAAAGCGCAGCAAACAAGCCTGTTGAACGATTTCTTAAATAATGATACTGCTTTCGATTGGGATGATGAGATTAAGTAGTTAGTTATATACAAGCAAAAATCATCTTGAGCCTTCATGGAACAAGACATATCGAACAAGCTTACCATCTTCTCGTCTTAGTAGGTCTACCTGTTCAAGTTTCACATCAACATGGTACTTGCCTTTGAAAACAATTAAATCATTTTTACTTAGCTCCATTTCTCCTAGAAACCAGACATGCATTGAGTGGTCTTCGTCCCCATGATGCAATGGGAATTCATATTTGAATTCCCCATAGACTTTATCAGGATTGACTACCTGAAAGAGGTCTGAGGTTCCTAAGCCAAAAAAGTTGAGAAATTTCTCCACAGAACTGGAAATACTAATGGGTCGATGTGTAACTCTCCATTTGCAAAACGCAGGGATCCCGTGCCATGTGTGGCTGTCGCGACCGTTCCCATATGGCTTTACAAGAATTCCGGTCAAACAAGGGTCTTGATCTTCACACCATAGGGTTAACTCGTGAGTCTTGGGCGGAGATCCCTTAGAGGTACGCAGCGGTACTCCATATTGTTCCTTTATCATGGGGTGCATCGAGAGCTTCTCTAGCACTCTGAAGTCTGCTAAGTCTTTGATGTCCTTCACGTTGAGACGTTGCAAATCACGGCTACTAAGCTTACGAGTTCTTGATGCGGGATATAATGGAATAAACGACTCCTCATGTAGGTACCACACTTTGTAACATATAGAATATCCGAAAATGGTTCCAAACATTGCCACTGCCAATGCACTGGCTATTTGTTTGGTCTTTCTTCGACGCTGCTGTCTTATTGAATCTTGAATGCTGCGATTTATAGTTTCTTCATCAAGTCCTGGTGTGTGAGATGGAAATGTGGGGTTTGTGAAAAAGTGCTTGGGATCTGGCGTTGGATTAGCGGCAGGGCTACTGAAAATATGCTTTGGATCGTGGGGCTTCTGCGTTAGGGTGCGCTTCGAAAGTCCGAGAACAGCTGAAGATCGGTTCACTAGGTGATTAAAACGCCATAATTTCAACATGCTGCCTTCCAAAAGTGAAATCGGAGCTATGCGTATCCCTTCTCGCGGCGATCTTGAATGTTAGCTTGGTAGCTCAAATTGTTCTCCCTTTACTTGAACGAACGTAGAAAATGAACAATAACAAAAAATGTTCATACTTCATAACATTGAATATCTTATTGCCCGGTAATTTAACCTTCGACTGTAGAATATATACTGATATATATATTTAGTTTTAATGTGTGAATTACTCCTTACCGAGAAATAAAACGTCTCCCGCTTATTTGTAATATTATTACTTTCTGAACGTCATCTCTCGTCGAGTGTGTCCAAAACCCAAAGTTTACGTTCTTCAAAGATGAGGCTTCCTTAACACAAAACGCCTTTTTGGCACCAAACGGAATCATGGCACCTCAAGAATAGTAACTAAACTCTCAAAAGAGAGAAGTTATGCCCACCCAATCTGTCGAACTTTGCGTCTCGATACAACTCAACATGCTAGCTTCGAACATTCCATGTCTCGAAAATACCATAAATACAACCCTGGAACCAAGGTGATTAAAAAAACTGATAAAAGGTCATAAGCAAATTATGCTGTTCACCTCGCTGTTCGATCAGTTCTTCTTTGGCTTAATACCTTTGACAGTGTTTGGGATGTACAAGAGTGGAGCTATCACAGCAACAGCGAACAAACCCCAGAAAGGATACATGTAGAAAGCCGATCTTGGGTGTCTCCACCACAATGGCTTAGTAGAAGCTTGGAACATTTTCTGTAATTCGATAACTCTGTTGGCCATGGCTGTCGTTAACTGTATCGATGCTTTGGTCAGTGGTGTTGGAAGGTAAGGAGATATTAACACATGAGAAAAATTTTATGATACTGGCCTTCGGCCAATCAGATGCAAGTATTAATTCTGTAAAGAAAAACATAAACCCGAAATATCTTTCCAGGTCACATTGTACCCGTGGGAAGTTATTTGGTGTCAAACGAGCTCATTAGTATGCTTAATGTAGCCAAAGTATGTGAATCCACTTCTGAAGCTCCTTGAACTCGCACATTCCAATAATCTTACGGTCAAAATGTGTACTAAATCACTTTAGTCGTCCTCGTCGCTGTCAATGACGACATGAAATCGTCTTTTGCGTGCCAGTGGGGCTGCGTTGGCGTCGTCTTCCTGAGGTATTTCAGACTCACTTGCAGTCCCATCGTCAAGGCTATCACCGCTGACAAAACCACCTTCGTCGTTGTGCTCGTAAAAGTCACTATCGTAACTCTCGCGATCATCGGAACTAGCGCCGTGCAGCTTATGGCCATCATTTTCCGGTAAACTCACCGCATCAGAGAGATCACCAACTTCAGCATCATCTTCATCAACTATAAATGAGTTCAAATCTGAGTCCACTGATTCCCGCTCTGAGACATCGGAGCGGTCTCGATCGTCGGAGCCGGCCCTTGGTCGTCTTGCTGAAATTGCTTCTTCTGAGCTTTCTGAGCCTTCTGAGCCATCCTCGCTTGATGCCTCCAAATCATAGATTCTGGCCAGATCCGTCCCTTCGCCGGCAGTCCCATTTCGCAGCTCTGCTAGTTCGTCCTCCGAGTACTCATCGCTATCGATGCCCTGATCGTCGCCTATAGCCATTCTGTTTCTCATCCTTGAGTTGCAATGAGGGCACACGTCTCCTTCGACTTCCCAATGACAATTACTACACCTCGCAACACCGTCGTCATCGTCCACAACTGCAATTGCAGTGTTACCGAAGACATTGTGAAACATGTTGCCAGTGCTGACATCCTTCTTGTATTGTGCAATACACTCAATTCTAGTCGTCACAATCGTAGAATTTTCATCCTGTATTTCATCTGCAATCGTTCCACAAAGCTGTTGTAAGGCTGAGTTAAGTGCAGGTGGCTCCTTTATGGAAACACGACACTGGGGACATGTTAATTCGGTGGCATTGTTGCTAACAAGCCAATGAGAGATGCAGCTGTAGCAATAATTGTGCCCACACGTTGTCATGACAGGAACATGCATATAATCGTGACAGATAGTGCAGATGAGTGACTCGAGAAGTTTAATCAATATTTTGTTTTTCCCTTCATCGGCCTGAATCAGTTAGTAACTGAACTACTAGAGCTCAAAAATCTCCCATTCGATCTTTTGAATTCAAAAAAAAAGCATGTTCTGATTCACATACTATTTTGGAAGTTTCTTCATGTAATAGTCCTTCCATTGTCTTGGTTTTGGCTGGCAATGAACAATCATCCGAGTGTGAATCTAAACTCATCGTATTTCATTGCAAAATATGATTTCGTCCAAAATTATTAAAAACCTTGACCTCTGAAGATAAATATTATGATAAGTTCCTGAACCTATGTGTATTTACAAGAATATAATGCTACAACCACATACATACATTGGTGGTTTTTTCGGTATTAATATGCAATAGAATAATATGATGAGGCATCCGGCGCAAACTTCCTTTACGCATGCAAAAAAAGAAAAGTAATGTGTGCATATTCAGTCATTGTTAAATTCATCTTCGGAGAGTAACTTCCTCCTCCTGACAGCATCAATTTTGTTTTTCTCTATGAGATCTTTCTCGATCCAGTCTTCCAAAAATGTACTGAGAACTTTCATGTCGTTCAACCCTTGAAATTTGTAATTTGTGTATCTCGTTGTCAAAAGTTCAAGTTCTGATCGGATCGATTGTAACGTAGTATCATCCATATTTACGTATCCCTGATTCTTGATGAAATAATTTAGGTAACCCTTGCATGAACGGATTGAGGACGGCGTAATTAACCATGCTCTATTATTCCTATTCCACTCGCTAAGAACTTTAAGAAAACTATCCGGGTTTCGTGCCCTGGTGAACACCTTCAGAGCCGTTGAATAGTAAATGAACCAGTCTAACCTATTCGATTCGTTAACCAACTTGCGCCCACGGTATAAATGCTGAATGGCACTTTTTGGGTCTTTCAAATCTAAGAGAAGAGAAGATATTTGCATATAGTTCTGGAGATTCATACAGTTTCTGTGATCTTCCTCAAAGAGTTTGATCTGCGATCTTGTGAGTAGTAGCGCTTCCTGCCTCTTATGAAGTGTAAAAATGCTGGATTTAATCGACTCGAGAGTTTGTTGCGCATTATGTTTTAGCCAAAGAATATCAACTTTCAAAGGAATTTTGTGATAGGCACCTCGCAAGAGCTGGTCGAAAAGCTTCGCTAAATGAACTGAGTTTTTTATGAAAAGTTTAAGAAACGTGTAGAACACATTAAAATCTGGTCTTGCACCATGTCTTACCTGATCGACAAGTATTCCGTAAGCTGCAGTAATATCGCCTCTTTTGATACAACGCTGAATAGCAATTGCGCATTTGGGATTTAAAGAGTGAAGTTTGGCCTTAGAATAGACTTTATTCCCATAGGTAGAAGCCTCCCTATCTGAAGGTGTTAAAACCAACTTATTTTCTAGCGTGTATCTTAACCAACAAAATTCTCGAACGATGGAGTTTTTCTCAAGTATTAAACGTAAGTCGTTGGTTATCTCTCTCGTTAAAATTGGATAGTTCTGTAGTGCGCAATTCCACAACTGTTCCACAAATGCTTGATTTAGGTGAAAACCAGGGCAAGGAAGAACAGCATCCTTGAAGTACTGAATCAATCCCTTCAACTGACCATTTCTTACAAAATAATATGCGATTTGCTTGTGGTATTCATCTGAAAGCTTGGCGCGACCGTCTTCTCGACACTTCGCCGTGATATGTTTTATGAGCTCAAAGTTATTCCTTGAAACAGCAGCACTCAAGGCGTTTAAATAAAAGCGATCAATGTCCTTACTATCTAACTTGGCAATTAATGGAGCACTCCTTTCCTCAAATTCATCAACTGAGACTTTGTGATCACTTACTAATTCATGATATAGAATGCACAGCTCAAAGTCCAAACTATTCCTATAATCCGTACGAAGAATTTTCTCATGCGAAAGAAACTTCTCTAGCCCTTCTTCATCATTGAATTTCAAAAATAATCTATGCATTAAAGCAATTGTTTCTTTTAAAGGCAGTAAATTTGAACCCTGTGTATTTTCCAGCCACAGATTGAAGATCTTCTTTGAAAGAAGAAAATCAGACGTTTTATAAATTTCAAACATAAAAGCTTGTAATCCTGACGGCATAATAGGAAATGTTTCCTGATTCTTCAAAACTTGCGTGTAGAATTCCTTGGCTAAGGGAAAGTTTTGATTCTTGACAAATGTGACTAATCCAATATCGATCATGTTGGCCTGAATTCTAGGATATTTGATGTACTCAGAGAAAAGTTCTTCACAAATGTGGTAATTTTTTAGACGAAATTCTGCTTGTAACACAACCTTCACGAACCGAGAATAGATACAGGGATCACATAGCTGCTTCAAGCGGTTCATATCATCTCTGTATGTTTGATAGATCATATCAATATCATAATAACGATGAAGGTATCTCAATGAAAGGATTAGCTGAAGAAGCTCGGGAATGGGAAATATAGTATTTTCAGTTGTCCTTTTTCCGATAATCTCATCAACCACAGATGGATAACCACCAACAAATTTTGATCGCCATTGCGTTTCGAATTCTTGTCGCGATATTACATGTGGTTCTGTTACACGTTGTCTTAGTGAAAAGGCGGTTTTGGGGATTGTACTAGAATAACTCAACCGTGGAACTGGGTCATGGAGAGAATTCTCAACCCAATTTTTGATGTCCTGTTTGTTTTTTTCTTTAGCTGAACCATCATATGACTTGAGACGATTCTGCACCTGTGGATAACTTCTTTTACACCTTATACGTCGCAGATGTATAAGGGAGCTGAGTAACGATTTGTCGAAAATCATGTCCTTAAGAAAGCATGAATGAATAAATATAATGCTTTGAGCGGTACTAGTAGCAAATTCGAAAGCTCACCAGGATTTTATCAATTGGTGAGTGTAGTGTTAGAAAGTTTGGAAAAGAGTCCAGATTTAGCACTGCTTGATATATACAGGAAGAGAGTAGAATGAAAATTTTCAATTAAAAGTACCCTCAAGAGCAACTTTATGATAGCACAATTAATCAACTTCACCCCCACAGGCTCTATCTTGCAAATCCTGTTATAAAGATGATAGTTTACTTTTTATCAAGCTTAACATAGGAAAATTTTTCGAAAGCGCCAATTAATGGTACAAGAGTCATGTGATCTAGATCGTGACCTGCACATTTAAATCTATATTCGAATGCAAGGTGATTACGAAACAACGCCAGGAGAATCGATGTTAAAGCTAAATATTTAGTCGTAAATGCATTCGTAGTTTCCCTTGTCATCAATTGTGTAATAAACACCCGAGATAATACAGAATTTGAGAGATGGTAAGAACTTAACAAGACAATCCATGTACGAATTGAAGAAATGTGACACGCATTTCACCAGGTGAACAAATGCAGACTGATCGTAATGGCAGTCATAATCTTCAAAATGCTGTACGTATTCGTAGCCATGAAGGTCCCATACGTGCGTCACAGGGCAAGTTGACAATGCTTTCAAGTCCCAGTCTATCTCGGTGATAAAACGGCGAGCAATTGCGTCTCCACAGTATGCAAAGAAAACGGTTGGTATAATGTCCTTAAACTCACCTTCAGCAAAAGAGTAGTACTGATGATTCATGATAAACTTGTCAAAAACATCTAGGACCTTTTCGCAGAAGCTACACTCACAACCATTCCACAGAAGATCACAGACCAGTATCTCGTATGCCGCCACAGACTGAAGAAAAGAGGGCGCAATCAATGTCTGCAGGTTACATAATTTTGGTAAAACGTTTTCATAAATTGTCCTCCGTCTGATATAATTTCCCTCAACGGAATCTTCGGTAAGGCCATTTAAAGGAGGATTATGGCGGATCGCAAGTGTTCTCAATTGTTCTGAAACATTTGGCAAGTTCAAAATGAACCTATTAATTGCCAAATCCCAATTTTCTTCCGTGTAATGGTTACCTTGGGTGATAAAAGTCTTCTCGATTAAACCTAGATCACGAAGACTTGTAACCTTGGGTGCCAAATCCAGAAGAAAGTCGTCAATACAACTGCAACCTGACTCTTCACAAGAAAGTTCCATTTCCAGCTTAACGATGTTTTCCAACTTAAAAACATTCTTGAAAAACACAGTTGTAAGCTCCCTCATGGTTTTATTATAGTCATGGATACCATGAACGTGATTGAATTTCAAAGCTTGAACTGCATTCAACTTAATTTTTTCACTCTCAAAGTATTGGAACAGCCGCAAGCTAGAAAATTCCATGTCATCGATGACCAGTTCCTCTATGTTATGGGTCAATGCTAATTTAACCTCTTCGGATAAACAGCCATGTTCAAAATCAGGAGCATTTAATAACAATTCAAGTGATTTAAGGTTTTTCAAACAGCGGAGGCTGTTGAGGTCTTCGATTTTGGTGGCAACAAACCTCTTTAGCTTTGGAAGCTCCTTCAGAGATTGATAGTAATGTTCGAAAAGATCTTTGTCCCGTATTTCTAAAGTCTCTATTTGGCCTAATTCAATCAATTGCTCTATTAACTCTTTTAGAATGGGTTGTCCGTCCTCTTGATAAACGAAGTTGTCCTCTTGAATTATTAAGGTCTTGACTAGTCCCAGCTGAGAACTGTTCACTAATCGATGAATTCTGTCATGCAAGAACAAGTCATTCTGGTCACCAGTTTTTTTCAGCGAACGATAGCCAGAGATATACGAATTGTTGGTGTCGAGGAAAGTCTTGTCGGACCTTAAGACAGGATCTCTTGAGATGACAATATTCTGATACAGTTGTGGGTCGCAAATCTCGTACGCAAAAAACTTACTTGTCCTTGCCAAAGAGGTTAGGTCATTTTGATTCAGAAATTGAGCAACGTTGCTCCAAATCAACCGAAGATTGTTCTCATCAACCATAATTGGAATGTCATCAGTCTTTCAGTTGACCAAATTTTCTGCACCCCTATCCTTTCATTGGCTTTTGTAGGTCGCTCGTTTGTTGAGCGAGCTGATGCAAAAAAAATTCGACCTCGGTGAGGATTGAACTCACGATCTTGCGATTAACAGTCGCACGCCTTAACCAGCTTGGCCACGAAGTCTGCTATTTGTTGTAATCCTCTGTGTTACTATATCATTATAGCTTGGGGAAAGAACAAATGATCAGATCAGATGCCTGATATTGCTCTATGTGTCACTACACATTGCCCACATTTTAATATGAAGTCTTTCGTAAAAACTTTTAACACTGTGATATTGTTGTTTTTTTCATGTCTGCCCATATTCAATTAGTCAAAAAATAATAGCATATGCTGGTTAAAAACTTGACCAGAATTAAAAACAATTAATATTCGGGGTATAGTTCTCATACACGATCGTTATGTAATAAAATAATAAATGTTGGAACGAAATACAACTATCGACCATCGACTAGTATTCGTGCTACTAGTATATTATCATACACGGTGTTTTAAGATGACATAAAGAATGAGAAACAGTCATCGAAATTAGTGGAAGCTGAAGCGCAAGGATTGATAATGTAATAGGATAATGAATGAAAATGTATAAAAGGAACAGAAAGAGTAAGAATAGTTGTAAGTAGAATTATTGACTCTTCTTTCTGGATTCTTAGAAAGATGAGGAGAACTTCTAGTATAACCATATACCAATAATTACAGCCTTAATAAAAAATGGAATCCCAACAATTATCTCAATATTCACCCATCTCTCATGGTAGCGCCTGTGCTTCGGTTACTTCTAAAGAAGTCCACACGAATCAAGATCCATTAGAC